CTACGGTTTCGGCCCCCACGCCCCTCTAAATCTAAACAACTTAGACTTATAATAAGTAAAAGCGGACGGTTAAGAAAGCCCTTATCTACTTATATTAGAGGTTATAGTCGCGAGAGACCTACTAAGCGTATAAATACTTCTTAAGACCGCTAGCGTTCTTAACGCGAGCCTTCTCGAGCCGGCGAAAGTTCTTAACGTAGTTAAGATACTTAAAGGCGTAGCTACGGACTAGATTCTACTTCTTAGAAGTATTATAACGAATAGTCTACTAGCGTATAAACGATAATACGTTTATAGCGCGGCGAAACTCGAAAGGCGGCTAGATAGGCGAAAAGAGTTAGCTAAAGATACGACGCGTATATAAATCGTAGAGTAAAACTTATCTAAGTATAATCGTACCGCGCTCTAGTATACCTCTAGTACTTCGAGAGCGGTATCTTACGTATATAGCCCTACTTAATAATATTCTTTACGTTATTATCGATCTAAGAAGCGGAAGCCTAGTATAAAAGATAACGTTTATAGAAGGCCTTATAATAAGACGGAATTAGCTTTTAATAAGGAGCTAGGCCGCGGATACTAATAAGACGACGTCGAGAGACGTCTCGTATACTAAACGACTTATAGCGAGCCCGAGTCTTATCTTTATCTTTATCTTAAGCTAATTTAAGACCGAGCTAGCTTATACGAGATAGCTCCTTCTCTTTCTTATCTATACTACCTATAGGACTAGCTTCTAGAGTAATAGGAGACGTCGAAGAACGAGCGGCAAAGCCGCGGAGGGGAGTTAAAGATAAAGCTATATTAGAGTATAGCGTAGAGTCGAAAAACGATCGCGTAAGAGAATTCTAATATATAAAGACTTCTTACTAGCTCCTTCTACGGCACGCGTACGTAAAACGTATAGGCCTAGACTCTATAAAAACGTATCTATCTAATAGGAGAAACTATATCTATCTAACGCCTAAGTACTACTCGTAAAGGGGTAAGAATCTATTATCTAGCTAATAGATATAGATATAACGATACTAGCTACTAAATCTAGCCGTAGACTAAGAATTACGAGTAGTAGTAGTAAACTCTATAAAGATAGATACGCCTAATATAATTACTACGAAGAGATATCGGGGGAAAAGTACGCGCCGCGTATACTATACGCACCCGAAACGTATAAATAATAGTTCTAAAACGCTTAAGCTATATACGAGACTCGCGATTATAAATCTAAAAAGATAAAAGACGGAATAACCGCTATTACGTAGAAAGTAATTACTACTTCCTCTACGTAAAATTAAACCTCTAATAGAGTTTTACTTCTAAATACTCTAAGCCGCGTAACGGCCTAGAGTAGCTAAACTTTTCTATTATTCTAGTATATAGCGCTATATACCCGACCCGCGTATAATAGTTATACGCGTTAAGTATACTCCGCGCACCTACTTATAATATAAATAAAAGCGGATATTCTAAGGGATATAGACTACGGCTTCTACGCCTAGAAATTTTCTTAACGACTCTAGCTACGAGCTTTTTTCTTTCTAATAAGAAAGATTTTCCTCGTAGAAGGTATATAAGGTTCTCGAGTTTTTTTATTCTTTACGGGGTCGTAGTCGACCTCTATAGTAGAAGGAGTAGTATAAGAATCTATAGCCGCGTCCCGTATACGTTTTATATACGAGATCTATAGAAGTTACGTACTAGTTACGTAACTCTCGCTTAGCTATATATAAAAGCCCTTCGGCCTACGGGCGAAGGCCGAATTCCTTAAGAATTCGTCTATTAATTATAAGCCCTCTTCTTATATCTATCTTAAGCTTTCTATTCGTGTCTTATACCTTATAAATACTTACTAAATCTTATCTAATAAGATTTATATCGCTTTCTAAATCTAAGAGAGTCTTTAAGACTACTAGCCCTTTCGGCGACTCTAGAAGAACGTTTATAACGATTCGTCTAGTTAAGCCTTAGTCGACTAGTTTTAGAGATAGACGGCTTAGAGCCGCTACTAGAATTATTCTTTTTCTAAGGTCTTATCGTTTTTCGAGCTATTAGCTCTAGAAGGAGGTTAGTTACTAGCTAGATTTTTATTAAACTAGTAAAAGCCTAAGTTACGCTTTATATACGAAGCGCCTACGTCTTATTTATAAGTCGACTTCTAGAAGTCTTCTTAGTAAGATAGCTTATATCGGCTCGAGTTTCTCGACCGACCTCGCCTACTATTAATAGAGTAAGCCGAACGCGAGCGTTTATAGTCTATATTCTAGCGCTATTATTTCTCCGTTTACGCTATCTTAACTAAGCTAAGCGTTTATTTAAGACTAATAATTAAGTCGTAGAGTTTCTTAACCCTTTAAATAGTCTTTATTATAGGGTATTTAAGAAGTTCTTTACGATAGACCTCTAGAAGATTCGTAAAGAAGAGGTTAATAAGAAGATTCTTATTAGCTACCGCGTATAGAAGCTATTTATATAGACTTTTTATACGGGCGCGGTACTTTTAATACGACGTACTAGGCTTTATTAGAAAGCGATAGAATATAACCGTATTCTCGTACCGCCGTAAGATAGAATTTCTTACTTAATTTTAAACGATTACTTTAAACTTCTTAAAGAGAAGCTTCTCTTAGATTATAAATTTATCTAGGCGTTAGTAGACGTATTAGGCGATTACTTTATACTTCGCGAGGTCCTAGAGGGCCTAGCGGGTCTACTTTTTAGTATTTTAGTCTTATAGATTAAGTATATTAAACTTATTATTTAACTCGTTAATCTACTTATCGAAATAGTATTAGGTCGCGGTTTATAGTTTAAAAATATTCTTTTCTCGCTAAATCGCCTTTCGCGCTTTAAAGTCGAGATATATATAAGAAGTATACGTTTTAGATACGCTTAGCTAAGAGAGTATTTTAATACGTTTCTATAAACCCTTAATTAAAGCGTTTAATTCGATAATTTAAGCCGAGGAAATCGGAATTACTATAGAAAGTCTATAGATTTTAGTCTTTAGATTCGTAATAACGTCTTCGGGCGTAATCGTTATAAAGAGGGGTTCTTTTATAGCGGTAGATATTAGAAATACCTCGTCGGCGTTATCGTTTAATTCGCTAGAAGTCGAATAGTTTAATCTAGTTAAGAAGTCTTATACGACTATAGCGTTTTTAGTACGCGACGTATACGCGTCGCGTATAAAAAGAGGGGTCCGCTTAGAAGATATTCTAAACCGGCTATTTAAAGAGAAGAATTCGAATATAAAATATAAAATACGAATAAAAAGCTTAAGATAGATATAAGAAGAGAACTTATAATTAATAGACGAATTCTTTAGAAATTCGGCCTTCGTCTATAGGCTAAAGGGCTTTTATATATAGCTAAGTAAGAGTTACGTAACTAGTACGTAACTTCTATAAATCTCGTATATAAAGCGTATATAAGACGCGGCTATAGATTTTTATAATAACTTATCTACGCTATATAACGAAAACGATTTCGCTAGTTAGTATAATCTTTAAAGTTTAGAGTAGTTTATATAATTAAAGCTCGTCTTCGCTCTTTAATCTTTTACTTCTTAGTATTCGGTCTTAAAAAGTATATACGGTAGACCGAGATAACGTTTTCGCTTAATATTAGCGTATCTTCTTTTAATACTTAATACTTATAGAGGCGGTTTAGCTACTAAGATAACTTAGTAATAGCTAAGTACGTAATCCAGGCTTATAATCTATTAAGAAGTATTAAAGAGTAAAAAAAGACTTAGTTATTCTATAAACGGGTATAAGCTAATATATATATATATACTAAGAAGGCTCGTTATATAACTTAAATACGTAACGTTATTTAGGTAACTTTAATATATAGTACTATACCCGTCCCGAAGGCAAGGGCACGCATCCGCTAGATTATCGTAGCGAACCTACTTCGGGTTAGACTAATAGAGGAGGGGAAGAAAAACACGGTGCTCCGACCTTTATATAATTCTGCCACGGGTTGAAATAGAACCCCGGGTAGATTGTGGAGGCTTTGGTAAACACGTCTTGGATTTGCGCTTGCTGCCTCTCATTCTCCACTATGCGATGGTCAGACTGAAACAGTTCAGGAATGGAGACTTGGTTTCGTACCGGGAGGCGCCAAAAACTCGAGCGCGGCGACGCTGGTCCAGTCAATCTTGTCACCCACACCGTTCTGGTCGGTCAACCTGTGGAAGTCGTCGTACGCCCGCTGGATATCACTCTTCATCCCCGGTGTGCACTTGCTACAAGGAGTCAGTAATCACGAAGATGCGGAGCACGGAAGGACATACTTGAAACCAAACAACCTCGTTCCCCAGGTTGCGGCCGCGGATATGGGCGGGTACATGTCAGTGATAGGCTCGCTGCACGTCTTCTCCGATGTGTCCATGGTGAGCTCGAGGATCTGCGGATTGAGGTTGTAGATGCCGTCCGGGCAGGTCGAAGTGACGCAGCGGCCGCCCGATGCCACCATGACGACATTTCCGCTGGCGTCGAGGAGCTCCATGCGTTGGTCACCTTCTTGCAGCGAGGAAAAGGTGCCGAAGTTGTAGCCGGCGGTGAGGTAGAACGTCTGGAGTTCTTGCCCGCCACTGAAGCCGCGAATGCTGTAGGGTCCTCCGATGGAGCTGACGATGACGGCCCATGTGAGCACATCGGAGGCGGCCGAGTAGCCATCCGGTTTCTTGCTGATGAGGGCGTCGGTGTCGGGGCACACGGTGCTCGAGTGGATGGACTTGTACCATAGCGCACCAACTGCATCTTCACCAGTCGGAGGCTCCATGATTTCTTTTCCAGCCTTGTAAGAGCTGATGAAGGAGGACAGCAAGGGACGAATGCCGTTGTGGGGGAAATCCGCTTGGGTGGCATATCTGGTTGGGTCGGTCTCGTTGTTCTGCTCCGGCCAGATGTTGCCGATGTAATGGCTTTCGGGGCCATCATTCTAGGATCAAGTCAGTCATCAGGGTGAAGCCGTCGCTCTGCGAGAGCTCTCACCCATGTAAGTATCTGAATGTACTCCGGCGCCGGACGCATTTGTTGAAGGTTGAAAAGTCTCCAGGAGAGATTGTCTTCGCCGGCTCGGTAGAGATTCGTATCGTACTAAATCAAGCACGTGGTCAGTCCCAGAGGCTCAAGTCGAAGCGATGGCCCGTAAGACCTACCGAGTTCTTGTACTGCAGCATGCTTAAGCCTGGGTAGCCGAATGTTAGCCGATGAGAACTGCAATTAGACGGATGTCTTACCCATCATGTACGCCTGTTCGTTCGAGAACGCGCCCTCCCTCACCCATGACTCGTTCTTCCAAGAAGATGTGTCAGTGTGGCCCCGCAGCGGCCAAGTGGATTCCCAGCTGAAGATGCCATCGACAACGTCTCCCCAGTACTCCCACCAGCCAGGGTCGGACAGGTAGTAGCCTTTTGAGCCGTCAAAATCAGGAACGAAGTAAATTTCGTTGGCCCACTTGTTCCTCCAGTCCATCCATGTGGTGTTGTGGAGACCGCCGTCGGCAAATGAGCTGATAAAGGGATACCCATTCGGGCCTTTGTAGTAAGCGGCATGACCCATGTAGTCCCTGAGGAGGTCGTCGAAGTCATCCAAGCCTTTCTTGGCGGAGCCCGCGGCCCATAGATCCATGCTGATGAAGAGTTTGAAGCCGGGGTAGTTGTCGCGGGCGTGGTCGAACATGTAGTTTAACGTCTGGCGTACGAAGTTTTGGGAGGGGTCGCCAATGTTCAAAGCGAATCCGTCAAGACCCATGGCCGAAGCATCTTTGATGTCTTGGTGAGCATGCTCTTCGTACACGGTTCCAACCTGAGAATGTGTCAGTGACGCCTTCAGCAGTTGGAAGAAGCAATGTGTCTACCATGTAGTGGGCAAAAACACCCTTGGTTAGGGCCTTGGCTGCTCCGAAGTTTGCGGTGGTGAGGACAAGAAAAGAGACCAAGGCGGCCAGGAAGCCGCGATTGAAAGCCATGATGGTGAGGAGTGATGGATGAGAGAATGTGTGCTTGAGGCCAATACCAACGGTTGTAGCATCGCCTTTTATGCTCCTGCTCGAATGCTACTACAATCCTCCATGATCACTGACCTGACGGACATCCGAGTGACGGCCGGCGGGTTCCGCCAAGGCAGCAACACCACCAACACCAGGCTGCTCCACCGTCGAGACTGATGAAGCCTCATTCTTGTCCAACAGTGGATACCACAGACTCAGTACAGTGAAAAATTCTTCACGACTATGCCTCTTTGTCTCTGTTTGCCGAAGTTGGTAGTCCACGATAGTTCTAGCCAAATCCCAGGCTTGTGGTTGCAAGAGGCACAGTCGTGAGAAGGATTCCTGGTGTTGTTTTTCCCATATCAGGCGCTTGCAGAAATTACGTGGCGTGCTCGCCAAGCTACGGACGGAGAGCAGTTGCGGCGCGGAATGCTGGTGTTGCTGTTGAAGTCACCTGAATAACGTCACGTGTCCAGGTCACATGACGAGCCTCCTTGGTGTACATATATATATCAGCTCATGCCCGTTCATAGAATAACAAAGTCTTCTTTCACTCTTTGATGCTCCTCAACAGTTGCCACTCTGAAATTAAGCGATGGTAGTTTTAGCGAGGCCATGCTTTGGTGTTCACACTCTTCGTAGACATGTAGAGATCCTGACAGGTATTCTTTCTCGATACGTACAGGACCACTTTTCTGGAAATGGATGTGACGTTTGATGTTGCACGAAGAAAATGCGTCATGTAAGCGCTATGATGCTGCGGAAGATGTGACAAGGTTGCAGCCTGCGGCGCTCCCGGCCGACCTGGCGCGAAGTATCCTTCGTGTCCGGGCTGCGGCGCAGCGGGTGGGGCCGTACAAGGGTAGTATTTTCTATCGTGGCAGCACGAATGGCTCGATTGCTTTGCCGCCTGCGGTGGGGCAAATCTGACGTATTGAAATTAAACCCTCGCCGTTGCACGCGCCGCACGGGGCGTGTCGGATCCTTCTCGCGTGGCATGCGTCTTGAGATCAGTCCAGCCCCGCGGCACAGCAGCACCGACCAACGCTTCTCTTCACCTCCCAGCCAGCGCCAGCCAGGCATAAAAGCACCACCAGCCATCCACCATCCACTCTCACCACTCCTCATCTCCTATTATCCAACCAAATCACCTCCATCTCTTTCCTCCACTCATCCCGCAATGTTTCTACTCAACCGCCTCCTCCCCGGCTCCTCCCAGCCGGCTCCCAGCCCCGAAAACATCGACACCCACATCTTCTATAACCCCCCCGACGCCGACCCGGACTACCAACCCTCCTATTTCGACGACGTCGACTCGGACCTCGATGACATCGAGCTGTTCCCGAGGCATTCCCTCATCCGCCCGCCGCCGCCCATGCGCCTCGCCCTGACCCCGCGCCCGCACGTCTACGGGTACCCGCCGCGCTGCCCACGCGGCGGCGTCCTCGTCCTCGCCAACGCCGCGCCCGCCGACCTCGAGTTCCTCGGCCTGCCCGCCATCCCGGCCGACGAGATACCGCCGCTGTCGGGACCGGGCGGAGAGGACGACGAGGAGGCGTTTTGCGAGCGGATGCGCTTGCTGGGGGCGCAGTGGTGGAAGGAAGGCGAGGCGGAGCTGCGGAGGGCGGAGCTGCTGAGGGCGCGGTCCGCGGACGAGCCCGCCCAGGCCGGGCTGCGGACGGTGGACCTTGTGGCGGTGGGGTTCGAGGGGGTCGTTGGGGCGGGAGGGGCGCTGGAGGAAGGCGGCGTTTGGGCCTATCGCGATCGGTGGGCCGAGAGGCAGCAGGAGCGGGATAGGCGGCGGGAGGAGCGCTGGCGCGAGGACGAACAGCGTGGGCCATCTGGTGTGGATCGCGAGGCGCGGATGACGAAGTGTCGCGAGCGGAGGAGGGAGCGGCGGGAGGAGTTGAGGCGAATCGCGAGGGTGAGGGCGGCGCGCACGATGGAGGAGAGGTGTAGGGTTATTAGAGAGTGTGGAGGCGAGTACTTCGAGACCGTGGACGCATGGCGGAAGGTTGTGATGGAAGAGCACGTGAGGGAAGGGGTCATTGCACCGGATCGGGATGTGTTGTTTCAGAAGACGGATGATGATGGGTATTTCCTTTGAGGTTAACGATAAAGAAGAACAACGACGATGGAATTGAGTTATTGTGAGACGACGTTGCAGCCGAGCGCTGGACTGTGGTCCATCCTATCCGCCGGGTAGGCATGACGCGCAAAGTCGTTGAGCAGCTGATGTATTGGCCATGGCTCACCTCATCCCCTCCGATGCCTCTATGCGGCGTGCGAAGACGTACGGGCTTTGGCCGCAGTAAAAGACGACATTTTGGTTGAATGCGACGGAAAGCACTCGATTGTCGCCGGCGTCGAACTCCTGTTGGAGGCTCATGACGGACACCAGCTCCCACCTGCCGCTCGCCTGCTCCATCCAGATCTTGACCGTGCCATCATACGAGCCCGAGACAACCAGGTCCTCCCTTCCGCCCACCGCGCCCGCCTGTACCGATCTCGCCATGCTGGTGGCGTGAGCGTCGAAGGAAACCAGCTCGGTGGCCCGCTCGACGTCGAAGATTCCCACCCTGCCGCCCGAGTGCCCGGAAAACACGCGTTTCCCGTCGCGTGCCAGCGAAAGCGAGCAGATGCCGCGCCGGCGACCATCGAAGTCCCGGCCTTTCGTCTCTCCCGCCAGATGCCAGTGCCGAAGCGCTCCGTTCCCCGCCCCGGCAAACACGTCGCTCTCGTCCTTGGACAGCACCACGGCGTTCACGGCCGCCCCCATGCTGCCCAGCAGCCCGAACGGCGGTTCCTCCCCGGCGACCGTCCTCTCGACGTTCCAAACCTTGACCGCCCCGTCCTTGCCGCCCGTGACCAGCACCTTGGCCCCCAGCGCCAGCCCCAGCACCGAATCCGCGTGCGCCTTCCACCGGCCCACCAGCTCCGCCGTCGACAGCCTCCACACGGCGACGATGCCGTCAACGTCGGAGCTGGCGAAGCGGTCGCTCTCCTCGTGCACGCTGCAACAGAGCACCGACGACGCGTGCTCGCCGCGCAGGGCCGGGTGCGCCAGCCGTTGTTGGCCGTCGCCGTCGAGGTTCCAGATGCGGATGCTGCGGTCTCTGCTGCAGCTGATGAGGTGGCGCGATGACACGGCTATCGAGTAGATGTCGGCCGTGTGCGCCTCCGACGCGTGAGAGGGGTGCGGGAAGCTGATCCCGTGGTGGAGGGTGATGGCGGACATGGCGAGCGCTGCGCTGTTGTTGAGGTTGTGGCCGAGGACAAGCAGGTATCGCCTGATGCGAAGCTTCACGGGCCGATTGGTTGTTTAGTAACGGCGAGCACCAGTAATAATAATAGCGGTGGCAAGTACTAGCAACAGCGTTTCCACTAGGGTAGGCTTAACGGCTCCGGCTAATACAGTCATGACTGGCGGAATTAATGCATTCGGCGTCATTAATCTACATCTCTTTCAGGGGAGTAAAAGTAAATCCTCATCTATAAATCTTTCCATGTCATCCCTTGACAAATGCAATAAAGCCTCCCAGTCCGCATCATCCTCCGTATCGCGAACACGCGGTAGAAGATTTGCGGCACCAACTGCGGCACCGCTGGGCCGGCACACAGCGTCAGCACGGCGCGGGCCACCGGGCTGTAGGCCGGGGATGTCAAAGACGGCGTCAGCAGCGAAGGTGGCCCACGACGTCAAGAAGAGTCCCGTACGGGCGATGTCAACGGCACGCAGGGCGGCCATGGCGGCGGCCGAGGGATCGGGCAGGGCGGCGATGAGGGTGACGCGGGCCCGCACGTAGTCGGCGTCGACGGCGGCCACAGCGTGGCGGATGGCGCGGGCGGCGTGGGCGACGTTGGCAACCGAGAGCGGGAGCGGGAGATGCGAATGCGGGAGGTGATCGGGGAACGACGATAGTGGTAGTTGGGCCATGGCGAGGAGCACCCCGTAGCCCACGAAGGCGGTAGGAGGGAGCAGCTCGGGACCCAGGCGCGTACGCACGTCGACGGCTGTGGAGAAGCGGACAATGTCATCGGCTGCAAGGCGCGCCGCGCGGCTGCGTAGGACGCCGACCCAGAGCAGTGCGCTCAGGCAGTCGACCGTCGATACCCATGGCGCCCCGCCCGGCCGCCGTGCTAGCTGCTCCGTTACTCGGCGCTTCAGCTGGCGTACCGCCTCAGCGGGGAAACGGAGAACGCGTGCTGTGGCGGTGGCTGCGCCCAGGTCGATGGGCGTGTTGTTGAAGTCGTACTCGGGAGCGTCGATGGTGGGCGCCGTGTCACTGGACGACGACGCACACAGCACCGCGGGTGGCACCAGGTCGGGTTGAGGGTCGGACGGCTGATAGGTCCCTAGCAGACCACTGCTGAATGCGCGCGTGTAGGCAGCGAGCTTGCGGCAAACGTCAGCGGCGCTGCTGCCGTCCATGGCGTTGTGTTGGTATGTCACGCTCAGTACCAGCCCGCCTGGGATGAAGTTGGCTTGCAGCAGCAGCACTTGCATACATGGGTCGTCAGAGCCCACCGAGTGTGGCTTCGGTGCAAACATGTCGCGCGGCAACAGGTCGGAAGGAAAGCGTCTCGCTGCGAGTTGGTCGTAGGTGACATGGTCAACGACCTTGGCCACGAGATGGCCTGATGCGACCACGTCTACTGGTATCGTGGTGTCGTACTCAATTCTCTTCCGCGTTATGGAAACGGTGCCTGACAAGTGCGGTTGTTCGGCGAATACGCGCTGAAGGCTGGCCCCGAGACATGAAAGTGCTGCCGATTTCTTGGAACTGTCGGGGAAAGCAAAGCAGAAGAAGACAGAGACGTAGATTGGACTCAGACTTTGGTCAAGTGTCGAGAATCTTACGAACTTTGCCATTTCCGTTGTGTTGAGCGATAAATACCAACTGCGAAGATGCAGCAGGGCTTGCCATCTTTCAGTATCCGTCTCGTGTCTTCAAGAGAGACCTCGGCTTGAGAGCCGAGTAGATGCCTGACACTCTTCAACCCGAGAACATGCATATTTAGCGGAAACAAACCTCATAAGCGTAAATTAAGCTAGGTTTTTAAAGTGGCTTGGAGCGGAGGTGGGACCCTGGGCTTTATTTGGCATCCGAACGGAACCTTAAGCTCAAATCGGGTTATTTCAACTACCTGCACGCGCTCATCTCATTCCATCACCAAGTCTCCGCGCTTGCTACTCTAATCCAACATGAGCACTACCACAATTACCGCAGAAGTCGCCAAAGGCGAGCCCGCTACGAACATGCTCAACATCGAGAAGTTCCAGCATTTGGAGGGGAGCAGGTGTAACGTCGGAAACGCCTCGACCTCTCACATGGATCAACGCAAGCTGACTGTCCATAGTTTGGTGCCACGGTCACTGGGGTTGATGCAAACAACCTGTCCGACGAGCAGATGCAACAACTGCGGCGCGCCGTCTGGGAGCACAAAGTGGTCGTGGTGAAAAACCAGAAGGGATTTCTCCCGGAATCCCAAGAGAAGCTCGTAAAGGCCCTGGATCCACATGCGCCAATGATCACACACGACGATTGGCTTCTCTGCCAGCATTCCAACACGAAGCAAATAGGCGTGAGTTGCTTTCTCCGCCCACTTCAGAGACGCACCGAAGACTGAATCATCAAAATCACAGGCGTGGGTCCCGCTCTGGTCAATCCCGACCGCCCCTCTGGTGCACGTCATTGGCAAAGGCCCGCTAGGCCCGGACCACTTCGGCCTGAAAAACCAGACCATCCGGGGCCGGACGCACCTAAACAGCCACGCCGATGAGCCGTCGGCGGCGGCGATGAACAATGAGGGTCGTACGCGCTTCCAGGGCTGGCACATGGACGCGCCGCTGTACCATCTGGAGCCGGCCTGGTTCACCACTATGTGGGCGGCCAAGCTACCTCGCGGGCCCGACATGACCGTCTGCTGGGACGACGGCACCGGCCGCAGCATGCAGGTTAAGCCCGGCGTCACGGCTTTCGTCAGCTGCGTGCAGATGTACGACCTGCTGAGCCCCGAGGAACGCCAAATGGCCGACAACTCGTGGGTCGAGTATAAGCCTTTCCATTTTTCCTGGACAAAGGACTGCCGTATTCATACCGACGGTCTGGGGTTCGTCAATGAGGGCCGTGAGGCATCTCCTGAACAGATGCAGCGGTACGGCGCTCCCGACCCTCAACGCTGCAAGACGGTCAGTTCTTCCACCTATGCCCAGGCTGGCCGAAGCTCTCCAACTGACATAATTTTGCTTCTTATTCTCTAGTATCCGATGGTGTGGGTCAACCCCCTGACCAAGGAGAAGGCGCTCCAAATCCAGAATGCAGCTGTCAGCAAGCTCTACTTGCGCTCCAGCCCAAGCGAGGCTCCTTGCATCGTCGACGACGTAAAGGAAATCCGTCAATTTCTCCGAAAGCTGCAGGGGCGTGTCATTACGCCTGAGTATGTTGCCGCCGTGGCACCGGCCGAGGAGGGCGATCTCGTCATCTTCGATAACCGTGCCTGCTTGCACTCGCGCATCGACTTTCCCGACCACTACGGAACAAAGGCGCTTCACCAGATGTACATGCATTCTCTGTCCCCTCCCGTCGGGCCTGCGCCGGTCTTTTCGTAAGGGGTGATATGACTGTCCGGTCAATGTTGTGCTGTGATAAACTTGGGAGAGAAATGTAAATTGTCAATCGAGTCTTGTTTCAACTTTAAGCTACTGCCTAAGAAAGTTTGTCTGGTTTCACTACTATATCATAGTTTGAGACATCGTTGATTAGCAGAATTCGAGGATGTCCTGCTTTGCTGCTCTAGAGTGCCGTAATTGCATAATCTTCGAGTGTGCTACAGAAGGGACATACGACCAAGAATCTATTTACCTCCATTACCAACTCCTTCTCCATTATTGATGGGTGCACATTCAGTTTAATTGACACTATCTCGGAAAGCAACTGCGGTAAACGAGGAGTTGACAAGTCAATTTTGCTGTCGTAAACCGAGATCGTTACAGAAAAGTATGCTTTGAAGCTACATAGCCATTCTACGCCATTGATGCCACGTTCACAGGCCCAATCGGCGCAGTTTTCGAGTTCAAGAAAACTTGATGCATGAGCCTGGTGCCATAATGGGCTGGGTAATCAACGCGTGTGTGCATTGCCCCACAGTTGTCCCAGACCACAACATCGCCCTCCTCTGCTGGGCCTTCGGCAAAGACGTACTCGGGCTTAACGATGCGGCTGTAGATGTCAATGATGAATCGCCTGACCTTTTCTACATCTTCAATCACTTCCGGCTCTTCCGATGATCCCTTCCAGAGCACGAGCTTCTGAGCCGCATCGGGATGGACTTGCAGGTGTTTCTGCTTTGTCGACGGATTCACCCAAACCATGGGGTGCTGCATGGTAGTGATGACAATGAGTAAAGATTCCATAGGAAATCCGGAGACGGAGCAGGAACGGGGACATACATACCCTCTGTCTGAACTCAGCACGCGGCTCACCAATCTCACCCATCTCCTCATCGGACAACTCGCGCCCTTCGCTCACCAGCCCGATACCGTTTGCCTGGCCGCGGGCTCTGCTGGCCCACAGGTACCAGAAAGGACGGTATTCGACGTACGAGCGCTCGAAACGGGCCTTTTCGTCGTCCGTCAGGCACTCCTCGTACAGCTGTGCTGTGCTAACAAAGGCCGTAGCGCCCGGCCTCACCTTGAGCGTCGAGCCGCTGCCGTCGTCCCAATGCACTGTCAGGTCTGGGCCGCGGGGCAGCCGTATGGCGCGTAGTAGAGTGAAGTGCGCCGGCTGCTGTCGGTAAAACGGCGCGTCCATGTGCCAAGTGTGGAAGCGCGTGCGGCCGTGCTGCTCGAACTCGTCGCGCGAGTACGGCTTCGCATGGAAGTCGTGCGAGCCGCCGCGAAGCGTCTCGTTCTGGATGTGGTAGTGCGAGTCCACGTACCCTTTACCGATGATGTGGACGAGCTCCTGTCCGGGAACTGAGCGGATCGGGAGCATCTTCTATTGTTGTGGCTTAGTCATGGAGAAGGTGAGGGAGAAATGCGGTGCCTTACAAGCAGCTTTTCGGGCTCTGGGTGGATGTTGGCAATCCAGTCTGCATGATCCCGCACCGCTGAGGTTGGATCAAGCCTTCGGGCTAGAGAAACCTGGTTTGCCGGATCGAGGTGGTGTTGATTCTTGATGACGATGACCTTGTGTTCCCAGATAGCTTCTCGCAGGGTCTCTATGTCGCTGTCGCTGATGTCGTTGAGGTCAACTCCCCGCACTTCAGCCCCGATCTGTGCAAGAGATCTCAGCTCAAAGTCATATTAGAAGGGTGGGAGGGATTCACATTGCACTTTTTCCATGACGGATGCTCAACTAGTTGAATCTCCATCTTCGATGAAATCCGGTACTCTGGGAGTCTTAGTGAGGTCGCATCTACCGCCGGTAGAGGGTCATAAAAGCAGTCATACGGAGGTCAGAGAACGATGTAGAGATTATCAAGCATGGGGGTTGGCTCGGTTGCAAGGACGAAACACCTCTTACCTAGGTAGAACTGACCACCCGTGTCATGCGTAGTCACAACTCATTGCAGGCATTTTCGATCTTTCTTACGCTTAAAATGCTTCTTATCCGGTAGATGACTCTAAATCCAGTTTGGTATACTGATATCGATCCCTGCCGATGCGGGCCACGTACATAAGCGATAGCTCGAAATAAGCATCATTAACGCGGATACTAATACGGAAAGCAGCGTGTAAATCTAATATCGCCATTCTTTCGACATGTCACGGAGAGCGGCTCGAACGTAGGCATCTTCATGACACACTACTTTACTAACCCTAATTGGCTACCATGTGAGATTGCAAGCGCTTCACGCTTCCAGTGCACCCGGCAAGAATGATTCTTAGCCGCAGCTGTTAACCTCCCGCAAAGCACAAGCGGACATGGTAAAGGTAACATGAAACGGCGCCGGCTTCCACAATCCCAGCAGCTTCGCGTCCCGTACAAAATGCTCGTTCTTGTCAGACTGGGCCCAGTCGAAGGCCCAGACAAGGTTCGCAATACACAAACTGGTTGGAGGGGAAGCGGTCAGCACGGACGTCGCAACTCGATACTGCCCAGGGATGAGGTGGTTACGTACCGTATTTCCATGTAGCTGAGCTGCATGCCAATGCAAGACCGCGGGCCGATGGAGAATGGCTTGGAGGCCTCTTTCTTGTCGCCACCAAACCGCGGATCGAACAACGGGTAGGACGAAGGCAGCCACCGCTCCGGATGGAACTGGTCAGGCTCGAGAAAGTAGCGTGGATCGCGGGAAGTAACGTGGGCGGCCGTGGCCACTATCGTCTTTTATTGCAGGAAGAGGCTTTCAGCGAGGGGCAAGGCGGACGGGATGAGATGGACATGTCAAACTTACGCCTTTGGGCACCCACACGCCATCGACTGTTGCACCGGGTGACACACGTGGCAGGCCAAATGGTGCAGGCGCAAAGATACGCAGTCCCTCTTCTATGACAGCCTGCAGATAACGCAGGGGCTTGACGCTCTCGGCATTGATGTCCTCCCGGCGGGCGAATGAGGCACGCACCTCTTCCTGAAGCACGCGTAGCTTGTCCGGGTGCGTAAGCAGATAGAAGGTTAGTGCGGATAAGAAGGTTGAGGTCGTCTCAGTCCCAGCCGCCACCAGCGTCGAGCCTTGAATCGACAGCCATTCGGATTCCACTGTCGTCCCTTTGGCGCTCAGCAGATGGCTGAAGATGTCGGCGCGGCCACCTTCGTCGCTGCCCACCTTGGCTAGCCGCTTCTGCGCCATTCCGCGGGCCTTTTCCAGGTGCAACGCGCGCATCTGCTTGCTCTTCTCATTCGTGAGCAGCCAGCGGGCCAGGTTGACAACCACGGGGTGACGTCGCCGCAGCACGAATCCAACGGCCACAGCGGGGCCGCTGCCGGCGAGCATTGCAAGCCATGGGTCTGCCTCGCCTGCATTTGCCCATTCCGACATCAGTACCATTCCAATGTACTGGCGCCTGCGAACTCACCGTCCTTCACGTTTCCCAGCGACTCTCCGAAGCTCAGATCGGTGATGACATCGAAAGCAAGCCACATGTACCAGTCGGTCATGTTCAGGGGCGTCCCCTCTCGTTTGCGGATCTGCTCTACAAGCATGTTCACGTATCCGATGACGATATGACTCTGTGCCTTGAGCGTCGGTGCGCTGAATCCCGGGGCAATCGACCGGCGGGTCGCCTGGTGCTTCGCGGGGTCCACTTCGGTGCCCTGTTTTCCGGCTTAGCATGCGAACGCACCGATTGAAATATGCCATTGCAATATATTACCACTGATGAAACGGTTGTGTCGGATTGCGTGTAAAAGGTGCCTGATTTGGGGAAGAAGTTGGGAGCAGCCACGTTCAGAGTACCGTAGATATCTTTGATGGACTCTACGCCGCAGAAAGAAAGCTCGTTTGGCGCGATGCGAACGACCGGCCCTGTCCGTTTGTCAGCGCGAGCGGAATCCCACAGGCCGACGTCTCTTGCCGTATTTCTGGTGCAATGCTTCCACGTCCCATGGCCATGTCCCCTTGATCCTGAAGCAAGATTAGCGTTTGATTTTGCTGGAGCTTGCTTTCTGTACCAATGCAAAGACACCCAGTAATCGCAGAGTGCTGCAAGAGGTGGGCCAGGGATTTTCGCGAGAGGGTGCAGAAAGAGGGCGTGCACGACCTTGGCCACGGCCTGTGAATTAGAGTCAGCAGTTTCCCAGCCTGTACGCGACAGTTCTGGTCATTATACATAAAAACCCAGGCCCAAGAGCACAACAACTGGGATATTGAAAGCAAACATTTTCTCAGTCGACGTATTTTGCAGCTCGAGAATAGACTGCTTAAAACGCGAAAGTGGACGCCTTTATAATCCCTCTCGGGTAGGTTCACCTTGCGGATAGCGTCGGAGCCCGAAGACGTCAACTTGCAGGGGGCGGATAACGTCTGTCGCGCATCGCCGTGCCGACATGATTGCACTAGTGCGTATGTCATGTCGACCGTGGATATATAAGTCCCAAAATCGGCCCTCGGAGCTCAGCGTCGCACCACTCTTGCAAACTTTCTCTATTATGCACGGATTCCGCACTCCCACCATGTCTTCCAAGGAACGCGGTTACGAACGTGTCTCGCACGACTCTTCAGCAGACGGCCAGGCGGACGAACAGGCTCAACCTTTCCTCGGCGACGCCGTCCTCACGCCGCCGAACAAGCAGCGGCGCCGGACTTTGTGCAAGTGGCTTTTTGTCGCATGCAACATTGTCATGTTCCACTTCTCACTGGGTGCTCTATACTTTAGTCACAAGAAGGGATGCAGTGGCTCGAAGGGCAGCACGTTCTACAGTAAGTCAAAGACGCTGGGCGTTGCTGGATCGACTAATGCTGGGCGTCAGCACCGCTTTTTGACCACTTTGATGTGCCAACGGTGGACGTGATGAGCAAAGCGCAGTACGGCGACGGCGGGCCGACCATCTGGAAGGCTCCGCCGAGCGAAGCAACCGACGAGGCGTGGAACCGCATGATGGGGGAGCATGTTTTCCCCGTCTCCAAAGCCAGCGTCGACAAGCTGCGCAAGGACGCCGACGTGGCGGTCAAGATGCCCGGTCACCACCACGACGACGGAGACGACGACCAGTACATGGCCAGCGTGGCCGTCTTCCACCACATCCACTGCCTCGACTGGCTGCGCAAGCAGATCCACCGCGACTACTACTACCCCAACGGCACGGACGACAACTTCAACGGGCCGCACACGGCGCACTGCATCCACGTGCTGATGGACCAGCTGACGTGCCACGCCGATCTAGGCGTCTACCTCTGGCGCTGGATGGACGACCTGCCCATGCCCATTGCAGACACCAACATCTGGAGCAAGTGCGTCGATTTCGACACGCTGCATGTCCGCTACGCCGAGCTTACCGACAACGGCGTCGAGCCCCGCCAAGTCAGCAAGCCCCCGGGCGCCAAGTCGGTGCCCATTCCGTATGAAATCCGCGAGATCATGCAGGGTCGAGACCCCGCGGCAGCTCAGTAGTGGAACCGGGAGCTTACGGGAGCTTGAGACGGACGGTTGAGGCGAAGTGTGCGGGGGTGGTTGGGGCGCTTGTGTTTAGGTTTAAGCATGATTTGTCCAAGTGCCGAGCACATCGCACATTGCGTTTACCATGTAGCTAGCCTCAGCCTTGACGCTCTCTAGTAGACGGAGCGACTTGGGTCAGAATCTAAAACATCCCCTGCGCTTTCTCTCACATTGGAATCAACGTCACTGGCCCTATCTCAAGCTCATGGGTTGCCACTATGAGTGCCCACTCGGAATGCAGAACTAATCAGACCAGCTACTTGGTGATGCTAAGACTTTTATCACGTCATCCACCCATCAGCGCTTCGAAAGTAAGCGAAGAGCTAGAAACCATAGGCCGAACGACCACAGCGAGTCAGAGAAGAAGCGAGAAGTAGAACTTGAATTAAGCGTGTTAAGCATCTGGTCTGACGCATATTGACTAAGGGACGTCGGAATTTCCATTTGCGGTTAGATATACACGTCATCGGTTGAGCATTTTCAACCAAAAGATGGTTAGAGTCAAACCCACGCTAACGTTTGACACCCCTCGGCCCGTAGCATGCATCACGTCCTGTGAAGGGAATAATGCATTCGCATATTACGCATATCTGCCCGACTCATGCAATCAAAACGACAAGGCCTTTGCCTTGGCATGCGGCTGCCAATTCTCCGTTCGCTTACAGGAGCAGGGGCTAAAGGGTACATGAATCTGACTGGCGAAAATAAGGTTGGGGCCGCGTCGCGTGGGGAGACGGCATCAATAATTAGGCATGACTCTTCTTCACTCGGTCGAATCACATGCAAACGCCAGCAGGGTGAGAGACTACGATTGGATTCTGGAGCTTGCTACCCACTCTTCACCGCGATATTGGCTTGCACCCGGTACCCCAGCCATAGATACGAGCTCTCGGCATCGCGCGTCCAGTCGAATTCGTCGCCGGCCGGGCGCTGCATGTCGAAGCGCCAGACGGTGTGGGCGACGATCAGCCGCATCGCCTGCGTGGCGACGAAGCGGCCGACGCAGACGCGGGGGCCCACCAGGAACGGCCGGTGTGCCGCCCGCCTGTCGTTCTCGAACGCGGAGAGGTCCTCCCCGTGCACTCCTGCTCCTCCATCGTCACCATCAAGGCTGCCGACACCAGCCCCAGCAGCACCCGCCGCCAACCAGCGCTCCGGCCGAAATTCGTGCGGCCGCGCCCAGTAGACCGGGTTGCGCTGAATCGTGTACATGTCCGCCGACACGACGGTGCCGCTCGGGACCGTCACGCCGTCGACGACGGTGGGGACCCTACTAGGAGGCGTCTTACGCGTCGTGCCCTTGCCATTCGCCGGCGGGAACAGCCGCATGGCTTCCTGGATGCAGCCGTTGAGGAAAGGCAGGGCTTTGGTCGAGTGGGCCGTGATATCGGCGGGCCGGGCGTAGGCAGCGCGAAGCTCGTGTTGCAGGCGTGCGAGCGAGGCAGGGTGGCGCAAGAGGAGGTGGAAGATGGCCGCGAGGGATGTCGCTGTTGTGTCGTAGCCGACCATGCTGTTGGCCGCCCGATGAGAACGGGACCATGTTAGCAGTTTTGCCGGGCGTTGGGTGGCAAAGGTGTGGGGAAAGACATACACGAGGAGGGCAGAGTTGCTGAGGAGCTCGGTGTTGGAGAGGAGGCATTTTGTCTGCGCGGACATGATGGCCGTGAGGAAGTTCTTGCGGACATATTGGCGGTCGACGTATCTTTGGTGGTTATCAGCAAGTTTTCTCCTGTGCGGTTTGGCGGAGGGAGCGGACGCACTCTCCAATCTTGCTCTTTGTGATGATGGTGTTTGGGATCCGGAAACCATGGCCTGCAACCTGGATGGCGACTTTCGTTACGGTGCCGACCACAGGCATACCGATTATGTATTGCACCAGCTCGAGAATCGGCGCAAGTCTGCAGAATCCGACCTTGAGAGATTCAAAGGCATCTGTCCGGTCAGCGTAGTAGTGGTGCAGATGGCGGGAACACTACTTTTTTGATCCACTGATAGAGACTCGCCAAATGATAGCTCGCCCACTATGTCCCATACACAGCGAGACAAGTGCTCAGTCAGGTCCAATGGCGAGGCGTGGCTCTTCAGTTCATGGCACACTCGGTGGATCATGCGGTCAACGTGAGCCTGCTGTATGGCTTCCTGCTCGACAAGCGCCGAGGCTGTGAAGGCTGGGGCGAGTGCGTTGCGCAACCGCTTGTGCTCGGCCGGCTGGTGCGTGGTAAGTAGATTCTTGGCAGGCCACACGATGTCTCCCATGATACTTTCGATCGTGTCTGCCTTGAGGAGGCTTTGGGACCCGCGCGGGGTGTGAATGTCGTCGTGTGCCTCGACTGTTGCAAACGAGAGTTCATTGGGAGCGATCCGAACAACAGGTCCTGGACGGCGCTATCAGTTTCGTGTTCCTGACTGTGCAACAATGACTTCTCTTGCCGTATTTCTCATGAAGAGTGTAGATGCGTTTGTTCCACTCTTTTGCGTAGATGGTTCGCATTACCCAGATCTGCGTTACACTGTGACTAGCCGAACCGCATGCCATGGGCGAAGAGGACCTTACTGGCGAGCATCGGGCTAGCAAAGGTCCGGGCACGCGCCTCAGCGGGTGAAAGAGTAGGTTGTAGCATGCTAAGAGGAGTAGAGAAATGAAGGTGGACTGGGAACTATCGTCAGCGAATGCAAAGCTGTGTGAGGGCGTGCTCCGGCACGTACGAGCAGCAGCACGACCGGCAGTTGTTGAAGCTGCTGGCGAGATACGACAATCACCGGGGCAGTCATGATAATTCTCGAGGATGGTTTGATACAAAGGTTCCTTGAGGAGCCCACTTATATGGAAAAGGTTATTGAGAATGACTAATTACGAGCCCAAGGATCCAACGTGTCATGGGATTGGTGCGGGGTCGGGACTACAATCCTCCCATGTACGAACCGACCTGGGTCATACACCATTGCCAGAACTTCTGGGAGGTTCCGGTGCCACCATCCAAAGCATCGGCCATTGACCTTTGCATAGAGGGCTTCAGGGAGCCTCGGCGTCCCCATGGGATGATGTATGTTGGACCATCTTCATTGGTAATATCAGGAGACCAACCGGCGTAGAGCTCTGTCAGCGCACCCATTTTGGGATGGTAGAGGATTGTCCAGCGAAGCTGGTGAAAGAAAACCATACATCAGCCCTGGGTTGTACAAACGGGGGTGGGCAAGACTCACGATACCAAGCACTTGTTCACGAATGCCACGGTGAATCTCCGAATCGCAATTGCCTGGATTGAATGGCTGTGGGTAACCAATGAGCAACGGGAGCGAGCAGGATGCATGGGCCCATACCAGACTGATGATGCCGCTCTCAGCGCACTGTTTACCTGTCTCGTGCGCCAGGAAGACATTTGCAGCCTTGCTCTGGCCGTAGTCGGCGCGCCTGTCCTCGGAAATGGCAGGGCGGCCGGTCTGGTCGAAGTCGACGCCGGCTTCGGAAGCAAGGGTGTCGACGGCGATAGAAGCAGCCCACAGGATGCGGACTGAATCCTTGGGCGCTTTGGCCGCCGTCTCTTTCATCCTTGGCAGGAGAAGCTGGGTGAGCAGATGTGGACCGAGGCAGTTGACCCCCATGTGAAGCTCATGGCCCTGGCATTCTGCGTCAATCGACTTTCCACATGTGGGGCAGGGGAGGCTAGCTACCTGTGCGGTAAGCCCGATAGAAGTGGTAGAGTACACGCCAGCGTTGTTGACTAGCACATCCACCCGATCTGTTGCAGCCAAGATGTCCGAGGCAGCCCTCCTCACGTCATCCAAGTCGGCAAGATCAAGCTTAACGATGTGGGGCTGGGCCCGGCAGTGTGGAAACTCGGCCATGGCGGCTCGTATCTGCCGCTCGGCTTTCTCGGTGTCGCGGCCTGCGACGAAGACGGTCATGTTCGCTTGCAGGAGCATGCAACACAGCTGCAACCCTATACCGCTATAGCCTCCGGTCAAGACGCAAACCTGTGTAGCAATCAGGCGCCAGTTCGTCATGCGCGGGGGTGATGGAACCTTACCCGGCCTGTTTGGTCGGCGAGGTCTCTTGGCTCGAATGACGGCCGGGCGATCCAAAAGAATTGGGAAAGAACTCTTGAGAGAGACATGATCTTCTCGCTTCGTATTGGTTGAGAGTTGAGAATTGTGGTGACAGCGCGTCCTCTACTCTAAATGTTGCGCCCGGTATATCCCGGCATAAGATACAGAGGCCGTAAACCATCTGGGTGCTGCTGCCAAGGGATGTGCAGCGTCATCGCATTCGTCGTGACACGATCCGCCTCAGCATTGCATATACGGGGCAAGGGCCGGTGGGACTGGAGTCCTGTAGGGTGGGGTATCTTTCGGCAGCACAATTGCGACGTGAGTTACCGTCCGGGTTATTTGTGGAGTGGAGCTCGACAGCTCCCAGCATTAATTTGTTGTTGGACGGCACTAGTGGCATCTGTGGTTCCCGATAGAGGAATGCGTGCTAACGTCTAGCCTTATTGGGTAACAAAACCGGATCCTTGGGCCAAATGTCATATTTAGTGTTGGCGCGGTCCACTCGGGGGATGCTAAAAGACTGGCATTGTTAGGCATAAGCATGTTAGGCGTCGGAAACAACTTTGGTAGAAACAATGACGCGGGCCGAAGTCATGTCGACGCTGTCAAATGACATATCTGCCCGGAAAAAGCGAAAGAAAGGCCGACATCTCTTGTGCACGTCTTCATTGGCTAGCGCCGGCATCTGCGTCTTTTTCTTTTGCTTATTTGGAAATTAGCTACCCAGACAACGGTCCCCCGTCCACGATCAACCATGAGCAGCTGGAAAATGGTGCGACACGGAGAATGGCGTCGCCCGTTGGGCGTACGCGAGCGCATGGTCCTCCGACAGCTTGACACGACGCGGCCCGGCCACTTCCCGGGGACGATCACGGCAGCCCTGCGGCTGGAGCACGCATTCGACGACGACGACTTCGCTCGGCGCTGCGAAGCGGCTTGGAAAGCGCTACGCCGCGCCCACCCATCCATCGCAGCCACCATCGAGGGCGGCGACGCCGTATACCGCACGGGGGCCCACGAATGGGTGCAGGGGACGTTCCGGATCCAGTACGGCACCGGCGACGCGGCCGCCCTCTATGCCACCGCCAGGCTGGGTGGAGGGGACAAGTGCTGCCTCCACGTCCTGCCGGGTAGCGGCGAGGTGGTGCTGAGCGGGCCGCACTGGATCCTCGACGGCGTCGGCGCGCTGCTCTTGCTGAACGACCTGTGCCGCTTCATCGCCACGCCGCCAATGGAGCCCGAGCTCGGCGATGAGGAGGTTAGCGCACTGTCGCCGGCTCTGGAGGAGGCGGCCGCGATCCCGCCGGCATCCCCGGCCGTGTGGCAGCGGGCGAAGGAGCTCGTTGCCGGCTGGAGTGCGAAGCGCAACGAGGCCGTCTGCATCCCTAGCACGCCATCCGCTGGGCAACCCGGCCCGTTCGGCAGGAGGCGTGCCCTGCTGTCTGCCGCAGCTACGGCCGCCGTCCGCCGCGCCGCCAAGTCCAAGGGGCTCAGCGTAACGCACTTGACCCATGCCGCCCTGATCGTCGCCGCCGCCAGGCACGACGAAAGGCACAGCCGAGAAGAGGGCGAGCGGCCGACCAGGCACTGGTGTGGAGGGCTGCCCATCAACGCCCGCCCTTGGTGCAGTCCGTCCCATGCGGCCGGCGCCTACTTCGTCGGTGTTCCATGTGTCGTCGATAACATCTGGGAGCTGATGGAGGCGGCGCAGGAGCTGAAGGCTCGGTACAGGGAGTGGCAGGATGGGAGCCATGTGTTGCAGCTGCTCGAGCCGCTGGAGCAAATGACGAAGCCGCCCAAGGCGGCTGCCGAGATGGATGGCCCGGCACTTCCCCTGTACAGCGGCATCGGAGAAGTGGAAAGGTTCATAAGTGTGCATGGCCAGTCGATGCAGATTCGCGATTTCTGGTTCGCAATGCGCAACATCTCGCCGCGTGTCGTCGATGTGTATTGCTATACAGCGTGCGGACGCTTGGCCTTGGATGCCAGCTTCAATCCCACATACCATAGCGATGAGAGCATGGAACGGCTGCTGGGCGGCATGACGGAGCTGCTCACCGAGGCGGCCCGCAATGAGTGAGGGTGGCGCCATCAGTTGTATTTAGCTCAGTCCATCCTATCGCGGTAATGCATCCGCCGACGACATTCTTAAATGGCCGCCCGCCACCTTTGCCTCGACCTTCAATCCCACCGTGACTTTTGCCAAAATGCTCTCAGCCTATCCTCTGCTTCTGCTCGGTCTTGCCGCGCTCGTTGTCCTGTCATGGAAGCGGCGTGCACGCGACAGGTATTACGGCCTGCCAACCGTCGGCCGCCCCGACGACACAGACTTCCGCAATGCTCTCGAACAGGGCGCTCGCAAGGTTCCATGTCCGACCCAGGCGGATGGGGCAAAAGCTGACTACCCCGCCGCAGTACCCAGACGACCCGTACGTGATCCCAGACGACCCGCCCATGGTGATCCTGCCACACCGAATGGTCGAGCGGGTCAAGTCGCTGCCCGAAGCCCAGGCATCCGCCGACAAGAACGTGTACCGACGCGGGCTGGGGCAGTACACGGACCTGGGCAATCCGCTGCCCGCCCTCTTTGACGGCATTCGCGTCGACCTTACGCGCCACATCCGCGACCTGATTCCGGGCATGCAGGAAGCCATCGCCTTGGGCTTCGACGACGTCATGGATTCCGCCGGCGGTGGCGCCAAACACGCCGCCGTCTGCGTCTTCCCGGCCATGAAGCGCATCGTTGCCCACTCCAGTGCCGCCGCCTTTGTCGGGCCCGAGCTGGCGCGTGACGGGGCCTGGATCGCCGCGACAATGCAGTACTCAACGGACCTGAAGATGACGTTTGCCGCCTTCCACCGCATAGCGCCGCTGCTGCGTCCGCTGGCGGCCCCGTTTCTGTTCCGGCGGCTGGGCATCAGCGAGCGGCGCCGGGCCGTCGAACAGATGCTCGACCACCACCAGAACCAAGCCGTCCGTCCTGGCGAGCCGGAGCGGCTGATTGACTGGGTGTGGGCTCGCCTCAGCCCCCATCAGCGCACGCCGCAGATGGTTGCCCGCACCCAGCTCCGCGCCGCCCTCGCCGGCTCCGACACGGTCGCCCATACCCTGACCAACGCTGTCTACGACCTGGCAGCTCACCCAGACTGCGCCCAGGAGCTACGCGCGGAGATCGAGGCCACGGCCCCCGGTGTCTGGGACATGGCTCGGCTGAAGAAGCTGGTCAAGATGGACAGCTTCTTGCGCGAGTCGGCACGCCTGCACCCCATATTCATGAGTACGTACCCCGCCTTGCACTCTTACCTGTATGCTCATGGCGCTGACGGACCCCAGCGGCTGTGGGGCGTGTCTTGACGGCGCCGCTGCCGCTCGACGACGGGCGTCCCGCACTGCCCGCGGGTGCCGTCGTCGGCTTCTCGCAGAACTTGGCCCACTTCGATGCCTCGACCCAACCCGGCCCGGCTGACCGCAATGCTTTTGATCCGTGGCGGTTCAGCCGTCTGCGCTCTGCTGCTGCGCCCGCCGACGACGCCAACAGCAACAACGCCGATGCCCGCCTGCTATTCACCACGACGGGCGACTCCAATCTGACCTTCGGCCACGGCGTGCACGCCTGCCCCGGCCGCTTCTTCGCCGACGCCGAGATCAAGCTGATTCTGGTCCATCTGCTGCTGGCCTACGACGTCGCCTTGCCCGAGGGGACTGTCCGGCCCCGGGACACGTATGTCAAGTTTACCGTTGCGGTGGATCGTAGTGCGGCTATCTTGTTCAAGCCGAGACTGTGAGGCATATTAGCGCTAGCTTTGTCAGTAGTCAATTAAAGAAGTCATTGCACCGCGTACGCATTTCCGAAACACAGACAATATGAGCTTGATCAGATAGCAAAGGTACTCGAGTTTACTTCCTGTCAGCGTGCGGTTGATAAGCTTGTTAGAAATTTGGCTCTATTAAGGCTATTAGCCAATAAGACCATGACGTGTGCGTGCGTATAAGGAGCAGCCAATGGGATATAGCGAACCCTGGAGTTGAAGTTACGCCAACACTAAAATCATCTAGGTATCCAGTGGCGTTGGGCCGTTTTCGTTTCCTTATCGCGGCCATCTAGTGATCGACGTTGGGTAAAATTGGGTCGGAATCGTATATCACTCTTTAGCTTAAGCATAGGCTTGAATCTCCGAGACATGCCTCGTGTTCCCAAACGGGAAATAGGGCCGATGCCTGCTGTCACTCCTCGCCAGTCCCGGCCACCTTGTCTCCATCTGGTAATTTGAGCTTAGCTGGAAATACCACTTCAAGGCGGGGGTAACATTTGCCGCACGCATCGCTTATCCCCCATTACCAATGCGTAGCATTTCTCTGCCTCTTACTCGCCGTCGTCTCCCAGCCCAGCGAGCCCATCCAGTGCCGAGGGATGCTGTTGCACGCTATTCATGCTACAGAAGACGTACAGACATCGATCAGAGGCGTTTACCTGGTAGTGCCTCTCGGCGGATTTGTCGGTGACAAGGAAGCATTGACAGCAGCGGGTCGAGGCGAGCTCCAGCAAGAAAGCTGGAGAGGTTGTGTATATTAGATAGTTCCCGTAAACCAGTTTTCTTGAAAGTATTTTGCACTGAAGAGCACTCGTATACTTCACCATCTTTGAGCATGTGGACTTTTTCTGGACCTGTTGACGCTCAGGAAGCGCGCCGCACTGGAGCCTTTACGTCGCTGCCGATTCGCATCCATCGTCGAAATGACATTGCCGACGCCGCCACCATCCAGTCTTTGCGCGACTGGAACCAACACGTCGGCGACGGCTGGGAGCGCAAGTCCGGATCGGCAATGTCCCCGGTGGGGAACTGGGGTGCCTTCATCTTCCCCGAATCCTTCGAAGAGCGGCTCTTCAGCATCACATACCTCGCGAGCATTGGGAATATCCACGATGGTAGTATGACCCAGTCGCTGCGGCGAATTGCTATCTGACAGAACTGCCAGATGCCTGCGAGGACATGGATCTCGAAGAGGCTGTCCGAGACCATCAGCACTTCAGCGATGCTCTCCAGCCAGAAGCCGTCGACGACGTTGCAGATGGTGCCATGAAGCAGAGGAAGATGAAGTCTCTGGTCAGCAAGATCATGCTGGACATTCTGGCCTTGGACCGCGACATGGGCCTCCGCATGCTCCAGTCATATCGGGAGAAGTGGCTGGATGTCATGGAGAAGCCTGATTTCGACAAGGTCGAGTCGATGGAAAAGTACCTGGAGTTCCGCATGCTGAATGGGGGGATGGAGTAAGTGCACAAAAGCCGCCTCTTTGCCCCGCATCATGACTGACAATGGTCCCAGGCCGTTCTGGCTGATGTGTCAATTTGGAATGGGCTTGAACCTTCCGGATAACGAGTTGGAGTTGCTCCGTCCCATATTCGAGCCTGCAGAAGCGGCCTTGGTGCTCACCAACGACTACTTCAGCTGGGATCGCGAGTATCACAGCGCGACGCATACGGGAGCCCGCATAGTCAATTCCATCGACCTCCTCAGGCGAACTCGGGGACTCAGCATCGACGAAGCACGGCAAGCGGTGAAGCAGTTGATCGTCGACTACGAGCAGGACTACTTGGCCCAAAAAGAGACTTATATCAAGGAGAATCCAAACCTGCCCGCCCACGTGCACTTGTTCATCGAGGTATGTGGCCTGGTGGTTGCCGGCAACCATTACTGGTGCGCCAACTGCCCTCGACACCACGCCTGGCAGCACCAGACCGAGGTCAACGCCAAAGTGCTCGACGGCCCCGAGCTCAAGACGACTGAGCTGCCGATAATCCTTTTGGCCGACGGCAAGTCGAAGGACGACAGCAAGCCCAAGCCCATCGGGCCGCCGGCCAGACGAGACTCTGCCTTGGACACCGAGACCTGGGACACGCCTAGCCCAGCCGACGCCGCCACCCAAGACCTCGACCCTCTCGAAGCACCGTGTGCCTACATCGCATCGCTACCATCCAAGGGCGTGCGAAATACGCTCATCGACGCGCTGAACCAATGGTTCGGGCTGCCCCCGGCGCGCATCGAGCCCATCAAGGCGGCAACGACGCTGCTGCACAACGCGTCGCTGATGCTCGACGACGTGCAAGACGGGTCCCTGCTGCGGCGCGGCCGTCCTGCGGCACACGTTGTCTTTGGCGCCGCCCAGGCCATCAACAGCGCCACGAGCATGTTCGTCCGCGCCGCGCGCCTCGTCGCCGCCACCGGCATCGCGCCCGCCGACTATACCAGCTTCCTCGACAGCTTACACGCCTTACACGCCGGCCAGGCGTGGGACCTGCATTGGAAGGCGGCCGCACGCGCGGTGCCGTCGCGTGCGCGCTACTTCGACATGGTCGACGGCAAGACGGGCGCCATGTTCGACCTGGTGGCGCAGCTCATGCGGGCACAGGCCCATCAGCGGGACTCGACGAAGAGCCAGCCGCTGCCGGATCTCGACCGCTTTGGGAAGCTGTTCGGCCGCTTCTTCCAGGCGCTCGACGACTACCGCAACCTGCGGTCCGACGCGTACGCGGGCCAGAAGGGCGAGTGCGAGGACCTCGACGAGGGCAAGAAGTCGTTCCTCGTCGTACTCTGCCACGAGCGCCGTCCAGACCTGGCCGCCCAGGTCCTGGGCATCTTCGCCAACCACTCGTGCGGAAACGGCCAGCAGCAGCCGGCGGCGCCCATGCCCGCCGCCACCAAGGCCTACATCGTCGGCCTCTTCGACCAAGCAGGCGTGTTCGATGCCGCCCTCGACTGGCTCCGGCAGGCCGAGGACGAGCTCCTCGCAGAGATTGCCGACGTCGAGCGCCGCGTCGGTGTCGAGAACCACATGCTGCGCCTGCTCGTCGGCACGCTTAGCGTCAAGACCGAGGCGGCGGTGCGTGCCTGAGGGAGTTGCAACGATTATCCTAGCTATATGTTTCAAAGACTCATAAGTTTGTTATGCTTGAATTTATGCGCTTCACGCGGTGAACCTTGATTGCTCTTGCCATATGCTATGACAAACGTCATCAAAAAAAAAGCTCAGATTTTTTTTTTTTTTTTTTGCATGTGAAGCCTCTCCGGTGTTTATCTTGGCCTGTAAATTAGGGTCCGAGAGAAGCCAGAGCAAGGGTTGTCCGTCAGCATGATATATAGTAGCAGCTGGACCATGTTCCGACTTTCACTTGCCTCCATTTTACCTACCAGAGCCACATTCCTTTCTTAAGCTGCGCCGTAACGACCATGACTCGAGTCGATCACTCGTTCAAGATTGAGCCAATCCAGCATGAGTCTTGGAAGACATGCGATGTATCAACGGCCGTGGCCCATGAAACAGAGCAGACCTGCTGACCACACGTGCAGATGGGCGCCGTCATCACCGGGCTGTGCATAAACTCCATATCGGACGCCGAAGTGCAACGCTTGAAAGAGGCCATTTGGAAGCACAAGGTCGTCGTTGTCAGAGACCAGGGCGAAATGCTCCCCGAAAAACAGCTCGAGCTTGTCCTGCGGCTGGATCCATCCGCCTACGCTCCTACCTATGAGGAGGACATTTCATACATGTACCCGCGGCCTGAAGAAATTGCGGTAAGTATTCTCTACTCCTCTGGCATCACGCTTCGTGCAATGCTGAGCCCACCAAGACAAAACCGCGAACGTCAAGCCTCCCGATTTCTCACCTGATCTCGGTCGTCGGGAAGGGCAAAGTAGGGGACCACTACGGGCTCAAAGACCTGACGCTCCGAGGAAGCATGAAGGGACTGGAGCACGAGTATGCCGTCCCCTTCTCGCTCAAAGACTTGGAAGAAAAGGGCCTCACCCGGTTCCACTACTGGCACATGGACGCGCCGATGTACCGGCGGGAACCGGCGCTCTTCAGCTCCCTCCGGGCAATCAAGCTCCCGTCGGGGCCGGACCTCACGGTCAACTGGGACGACGGGTCGGGCCTCAGCATGAAGATGCGGCCGGGGGCGACGGCCTTCTTGAGCGGCGAGCTGGCGTACGAGCTCCTCGACGACGAGCAAAAGGCCATGGCCGACCACTCGTGGGTCGAGTACCAGCCGTACTGGTACGAGTGGACGTGGCCCTGCCGCCACGAGACCACCGGGCTCGGGCCCGTCAGCGAGGGGCGCGAACGCTCCGACGAGCACATGCGGGCGTTGGGAGAACCGAGAGACGAATGGGTCAAGCGTGTGAGCGAGCACCACCCCTTTCCCTTGACGATGGCCGTTTTTGACAAACAAACAGTATCCCATGGTGTGGATCCACCCCGCGAGCGGCCGCAAGCTCCTGCAGATCCACCTCCCGGCCGTGCGGAGGCTCTTTGTCAGGACCTCGGCGGCTGACGAAAAGCCCACCGTCGTCGACGACTTGGCCGCCGCCCGCGCCATCTGCCGGCAGCTCTACGCCCCGTCGTTCCGGCCGGAGCACCTCTTCGCCGGCTTTGCCCAGGCCGAGGGTGACCTTGTCCTGTGGGACAACCGCGCGACGCTGCACACAAAGGTGGCGTACCCCGACCGCTACGGGGCGCGGGTGATGCATCAGGTCTACGTGAACTCGGGGACCCCACCCGTCGGAGCCGGTGGTGGTGCGGTTCCGGCAGAGGGCGTTGTTGGCTGATGGGCGTTGAGATGATCGTCGCACGTCTCGCTTAAGCCGGGTAGATAGGAATATACTCTTCTGTTCACCTCCGAGGCGGAGCACTGGCCGTGATCACCATGAGGGCGATTGGATCGAGTGGATGCGGGGCCCCGGAGTGTGCGTCTGGCCATCGACCCACCTTCTCCGCAAGGAATGGTGCAGATGGTGTCAGTGCAAAAAGCACGGACGAGTTGTGAAGATGTGCATCTTTTCTTGGAGTCGGGACTTGATACTAGCTATACCTATTTTGCGTGACTCCATGGGACCAGCTAATCATCCTCCCGCCCGTTCCGAGACGCAGGTGCGGCCCCACGGCAAGCATAAAACGCGTAAACGTACCTAGCGGTAGATAACCGCACCCGCAGTACATTAGCGAGTCAGAAGATGATTGTCTTTGTGGCTTTGATTTGATGTGTCTCAGTGCCCAACGGTCGTCGCACCGCTGGCAGAGCCAAGCCGGATCCCGAATGAGGCAATTCCAAGCCTCAGTCTCGGCATTTGTAGTCTCACAGACGATACCAAAGCAAAGATTCGTTGTATATACATACATACATACTTGGCACCAGTCTACTCCTGCAAGCCGACCATGGTGGCGTAGAGGCCTCCCTTGGCCATGAGGGCATCGTGGTCACCGCGCTCGACGACAGTGCCCTGGTTGAAGACGTAGATGCAGTCGGCGTGGCGGACGGTGCTCAGGCGCTGGGCGACGGCGAGGGTGATGCGATGGCGGCCCTTGGCTACAGCCGCCTGAACGGCCCGCTCTGCCGCCGTATCCAGAGCCGAAGTTGCCTCATCGAGCAGCAGAACCGGGGCGTCAGCCAGCAGGGCGCGGGCAATGGCGAGGCGCTGGCGCTGGCCGCCCGACAGGGCCATGCCGTTGCTACCGACGGCGGTGGCGAGCCCATCGGGCAGCGAGGCGATGAAATCCCAAACGGCAGCGTCGCGGCAGGCGTGCTCGATGGCGGCATCGTCGGCGCTGGCCGGGTCGTCCATGGCCAGCGTGATGTTGTCGCGGATGGAGCCGGCGAAGAGACGCGTCTCCTGCGACACGAGGGCGAAGCTGCGGCGGTACGAGGCCAGATTCAGGTCGCGGGCGTCGCGGGCGTCGAGGGCGACATGGCCGGCTTGCGGGTCGTAGCGGCGCATGAGCAGGGCGAGGAGAGTGCTCTTGCCGCTGCCGCTGGGGCCGACGAGGGCGACGGACGAGCCGCGACGGGCGTCTATATCGACGGCGTGCACGGTGGTGGCGCTGCTGGTCGGGAAGGCGAAGGCCAGCTGGCGGGTGGCTAGCGCGGTGCGGGGACCGTTGGCGGGCGCCCCGGCCTGGCTCCACACGTCGAGCTGCGGGACGCGGTCGACGACGGCCTTGAGCTCGGCGGCGGCGTGGCGGGCGCCGGAGATGTCGCTGCTCCAGCCAAAGACGGTGCCGGCCGACTGGGCGCCGAAGACGACGGCGACGAAGCAGACAAAGAACTGCTCGGGCGTGTACTCGGCGCGGGCGACCAGCGTGCCGCCGTACCAGAAGCCCAGCGCGAAGCAGCCGTAGACGGCGGCCTGCGACGCGGCAAAGGCGAGCGACGACGAGGCCAGCAGCCGCAGTTGGCGCCGTGCCGCGTCGTCCAGCCGCCCGCGGTACCGGGCCAGCACATGGCGCTCCATGCCGAGCGCGGCAACGGTCTGGATGCCGCCGGCCGGCGACGTCGCCTCGCACGCGTAGCCCGCCGCGCTTGCCTGGGCGCGTCGTGCTGCCGCCTGGGTTTGGGCGGCGAAGACCATGCGCAGCCGCCCGCCGGCCAGAATCAACGGCACCGTCGCCGCACACACGAGGCCCAGCTGCCAGCCCCAGGCGCACGCCAGCCCAATGCCCGACCCCAGCGTCGCCAGCCCCGTCACCACCGCGCCCAGCGTCGCTCCCGCCACCCCCGCCAGCTCCGCCGTGCGCCCCAACAGCAGCGCCGCCAGCGCCCCCGCCGGCTGCGTGTCGAAGAAGACGGCGTCTTGCCGCAGCAGGTGACGGAACGCGGTGCCGCGCGCCCGCCGCAGCAGCCGCTCGGAGCAGACGGCCAGCGCGAGCCCGTGGGCCGTCCACACCACTGCCTGCACCGCCGCCAGCCCGGCCAGCAGCTTGCTCCAGAACCACACCGCGTCCGACTGCCGCAGCGCCGCCACCGCCTTGGCGAACAGGAACGACTGCGCCGTCGCCCCGCACCCCGCGAGCGCGCTGCAGACGACGCCGCAGAGCAGCAGCCACCGGTCCGCCCGGTCCATGAGACTGCCGACCACGAAGCCCACGGCCTCGCGCGCCGAGAGCTGGCTGCCGGCTGCCTCGGTGCCTGCGCGCTCGGGCGAGGCCAAGGGCTCGTCCGTCGACTGCGTCTGCACCGCTTCTTCTTCTTCATCTACGCCCTGCTTCTCGCTGGCTGCAGGCGGCGGCGTGTCGAGCTTCTGCGTCTGCAACAGCCGGTAGAACAGCCCCCGCCGTCCAACGAGCTCTGCGTGTCCGCCTTGCTCTGCGATCCTGCCCTTGTCCATGACGACAATCCAGTCGGCCTCACGCACCGCTGAGAGACGGTGGGCGACGACGACGCAGGTCCTGCCGCGCATGGCCGCGCCCAGAGCCGTGTGCACCGCCCGCGCCGCCACGGCGTCGAGGGCCGAGGTGGCTTCGTCGAGGAGGAGCACTCTGGGATCCGACACGACAGCACGCGCAATCGCAATCCGCTGCCGCTGTCCGCCTGCACACGCTCAGTCAGCCAGCCCGCCCGCAGAGAGAGTCCTGCCTTGCTTACCCGACAGCCGCATGCCGCGCGCGCCAATTTCCGTCGCGTAGCCCTCGGGCAGCGCCTCGATGAAGCCGTGGGCATTGGCCGTCTTGGCCGCCCGCATCACCAACTCCCACTTGACCGCCGCCTCGGCCGTCTCGGCGGGGGTGCCGATCAGCCCGTTGGCGATGTTGTCGAAGACGGTGGCGTCGAACAGCACGGGATCCTGGCTGACCAGCCTCATGTGCCTGCGCAACCACCGCCGGCCCACCTCGGACAGCCCTCTGCCATCCACCAGCAGCCTGCCCGCCGTCGGCTCGTAGAAGCGCTCGATGAGGCTCAGAATCGAACTTTTCCCCGACCCGGATGCCCCAACCAGTGCCGTCGTCTTGCCTGCCGCCATGGTGACGCTGACATCGCGTAGCACCGCCACACCCGGCCTCGACGCGTACTCAAACGAGACGTTGCACAGCGTGATCTCCCCGCCACCAAAGGGCGTGGCCTTCTCCGAGGAAGAGTCAGAGTCGGAATCGGAATCGCCTTCGCCGTTCTGAGCATTCTCGTCGTCGTCGTCGTCGTCGTCGTCGATCGCGTCGAGGATCCTGCGGGCAGCCGCCAGGCCTGCGCCCAGCGCCTGCACCGACGGGCCCACGAGGCTCAGGGACGTGGCCCCGTACAGCACAGCTGCTCCAATCAGGAAAACACTCGAAAAACCGGACTGGGTACCAACAACTCACACAGCAGCACCGTCAACACCTCTGCCACCCCGCCACCACTCCCCTCCCTCGCCACCAGCCGTGCTCCCTGCCAGAATCCCAGCGCGTACATCAAGCTATTTACAGCCGTGAGCGCCGCCACCATGACAGCCACGCACGCCTTGGCCAGCACCCCAGGCCTCTGTGCCTGCGCCGCCATCTCCTCGTACTTCTCCTCAAACACCCGCTGGCACCCCAGCGCCGCCACGTCCGCGACCCCCGCCAGCGCCTCGAGCGCGACATCGGCGCCCGCCTGCCGCGGCCCCGCCGCCCTTCGTGCGAAACGACGCACGCCCACCGCGCAGACGCCTCCGCTGACGACGCAGGCCGCGAGCGTCGGGCTCAGGATCAGCGCCAGCCGCCACCACCGAGCGAAGCCGATGGCGAGGCCGGCGCCGAGCGAGCACGGCGCGAAGATGGCCCGGCCCAGCTTCTCCGACGACAGCGCGTCCTGCACCTGGTCGGCGTCGGTGCCGATGCGCGTGTGGATTTCGCCTGCCGTCGTCGATGCCGATGACATGTGCGAGACGCTCTTGCGGAGGACCGAGGCGAGGTAGCGTTGTCTGTGTCCTGTCAACATGCCAGCCCGTTGCCACCCCCTCCCTCCCCCCACAACTCCCCGCCGTCAGCTGGGCTGGTCTGGATTCGCATGTACATACCTCAGTGAGCCGGCGATACGCTCGCCGACGTAGTTGAAACCGACCACCTTGACGTAGCTGGCGACAAACTCGAGCGCGCCGATGTAGACAAAGAAGAGCGTCAGCCGGTTGAGCTGCTGCGTGAAGTCTTGGCCTGGCGACGACACCAGCTTTCCGGAAATCTGACCGAATACGATGGTCTGCGGCCATAGTCAGTCATGCAGACGAGAAAGGGAAGAAGATCTGAAGAGGTGCGTGCCATCAGCGGCATCGTGGCAGCTTGCACCACTGTGGCCAGTGCTGCTGCCAGTAGAACGAGAAGCTCGATGCGTGTACATGCTCTGCAAAGCTGTAAATGTGTCAACAGAGACGGCCGCCATAGCTAAGTGTTGATCTTACGGTTACGATCACGCTGGAGCGCGCTTCTTTTGCCATTGTTGCAGCCTTGGGACTGTCCAAAGTCAGAGATGATGCACTCACCTTCTATCAACTACGCTCACGGACCTCTCGTTTTAACCGGTTGTCAAAAGCTTAATTATACATTTACGCTTGAATTAAGAGTGAGAATACGCCTCTTGGGCAGTGAGACTGACCCTCGCCAGGTAGCTTCATAGCGGGCCGATTGAAGAATCACTGAAAGTCAGACAACAACCAAGTCATGTCGCAGCGGTTGGGCACACTGATCTGTGCGCTCGTTGCCGCCTTACGGCCATTTTGACCAAGTCTGAATGGGAATGTTGAATGGTTACGACATGGCCTTTCTCGATCCTTGCTCGTCCATCACGCCGCCATCGCCGGTGCCACTGAAGCGTAAATCGCCAAACAAGCTTGAGCAGCATCTCGCGGGAGCTTTCAAAAATCGAACGCCTTGACGACAACTGCCATACAAGATGGAGTGGTTTCGCCCGTGGGAAAGTGCATCGACTGACAGGGACGTGATTCCTTTCCCGCCCCGCGCTGGTGACACTTGCAGGCTCAGTTTTTTTTTTCTTTTTTTTTTGGTTTGCTGGCCTCGTTGCGGGCAACGATGGACGGCCGGCAAGTTGATGTAGTGGCGACGTTCCGCCAGCTGCATCGTCTGTCAGTGAAGCTCTTTTCCCATCTTCGAATGGACGTCCGACTGACTTCACCCGGCAGACCCGTGTCTAGCGAGTAAGCCGCAATCGTGGATCAAGGAGAGGTGCGGTCCTTGACGATCCTTTGTCCGCCCTGGGCCACAAGCACAAGTTCCGTAGCTTCCATCGCCTAGTGAATTGGACTGAAGAAAACGCACCTGATAACGAGGCTTACGTTCAAGCGCGCCGCACGACAAGATGGGTCTACCACAAGCACTGCGAGCACGCCAGTGCGGAGACGATCTTCAATCTCCGCCTTGGCTAGGGTAGGAAGACGCCATGCGACTTCTCCTGCCTACCTGGCCGGCCGGCCGGCCGGTACTTGCCTCACGCTAAAAAGACCCAGGCTCGTAGCAGCAGTTTTATGTCCTTACCGTTCTTGGTAGCATGGTTTCTTGATGACATGCCTCGTGTGAGTTCAATCAAATTAGTTCTTCAGGTGCATGCTGAGTGTGGAAGAGTATTTGGCTGTGGTTTGTGGAGAAAAATGTACCGCTTCGACATTCGATCTCGCCATCCCGACTCAATACGGCTGACATGCGCTTATCGATCCTCGTGGCAAGCCATCACAGACCAAGTAATGCCCATCACTTGCCATGGCATTACTCGACGGTCTGATGAGTAAAATCGAATCGAGGTTCGCTAGGGCCGCCGTATCTATCCATGACGTTGGTAAGCAGTTTTAGTGTTCCCGCCTCCGCCGTAATCAGACGTCTAGCTTTTCCTTTTGTTGATCCGGTTCTAGAACTTCCCAATGGAGATTCGGGAAAAAGTGGATGCATCGCAGCTGGCCGGTGGTGACGACGAAGCCCAACTCTGAGGCGTTCGGACAGCTCGAACGGCTCGGACAGCCAGAGTATAGGCGACAATACCTTGGCTTGACTTGCCAGGCTATTCATCTGCGGCCCCTTCTCTCGGCAGACGACTAGCGTCAGGGAAACCAAGGGTCCACGACCGCAAAGACTGCCTGTATGTGATACGTCGATCAGCGGGCGTCTGCTATCCCCACCGACCGGTAGGAGTCGGGTAGGTATCGTAACAAACTCACCCCAGTCGTTCATTGGGCAGGACAGGGGACAGAAAAGTGAAACATGAAACGACAGATACGAGGTGGATCCCAGAGTTTGCCTTCCCCATCAACCAGCTACATTATTCCGCCTTCTCTGCTGTGGTGGGAAGATGATTATCCCGGATGCGGATGTGACCCAAGCCGTCCCCACCGGAAATATCAGGCCTTCCTCTTGGCCCTGTCCCTTGACGAGAGCCTCGTTTGCGGAGCCGACCGCGCTAACAACTGATACTCTAGCCTCCCCGCACGACGCCACGCTAACATTATTCACGAATCTGGGTGGGGCCAACGGTACGATCTGTCCAATCAGGAAAAAGAAACGAGGTGGTCCACCAGGTGGGAAATCAAGTTGTTGTCTTCTCTATCTGGTATTATGTATGTCGCATACTATCCTCGCCATCGTGTCTTTGTTTAAAAACTGCAGTCGCACGTCCTTTGTCGTTATCAAGCACCGACGCCGCATTTCGCAGCATACAATGGCAACCAATTCGAATTCTTCGCTCGGAGAAGTCAGGATCACTCAGATCAGCTATCCCGGGCCAACGTGGCACGGCTTCATCCACGATAGCCTGGATGCCTTGTGGATCGTCGAGGCATGCTTGAACGGGACCATCCCGCAGTGCACGCGTCGACCTCGGCCCGAAGAGCGAGGCATCATTCGGGGCGGGGCCGTCTTCGTATACGAGGAAAGAACGTCGGGAATCAAGCGGTGGACGGATGGGCTCAGCTGGACACCGAGCCGGGCCATTGGTGATTTCCTCGTCTATCGAGAACTCGGCAGCCCGTACAGCCATACACCCAAGGACGGCAGCAACCTCTATAAGAAAACCATCGGCATTAGCTACGGTGCAGACCTGTTCCGCGTAGTAGCCTACTTCAACTGCGTCCCTACGCCGGCGGAGCAACTACGGCCGATCCACGACCCCAATCTCAACACCCACCCGCGCCTGGAACTAAGCGTTAAACGGGGACGTCACAGTAAGCAAAAACGATGGGAAAGGACTGGCGGTCGACCACGACTGATTATCTCAGGTACAGATAGCCCTAATCCCTTTGTGGACGACGCTTGGGCGCAGCTTTTCGACACCGGTGGGCCTGCACTCCCGACCATCGACCCGCCCAGCCATTCTGGCAACTCGACTTCTTTAGGAGCCTGCGATGCTCAGCAGCAGCACCGGCGGCAGTCTTCGGCTTCTACCAGTACTGCCGTGGCTCTCCTTGCGCAAGAGATCGGCCTGCCTTTGGATTACGTACAGAGGATGATCGACGCCTGGCATCTGACCGAGCAAGACGGACGTTTCTCCTTGGACTCTGATCCTCTTTCACAGTCCATACTCTTTTAGTAACTTTCTCTGGCGGTCAAGCATACGCGAAGCATACTAGATAACATTGGGTCTTTTTTTTTTTTTTGGAAACCTTCATCACCAAGTCGACCACCAACGCTCACCGCATGTACAATACACTCCTCAGACTCAATTACAGACGCTCAAACCCCACCCGAAAGTGCTCAAGAAAGCGAAAACTCGCCACGGCAGGCCGTTGCCTGGCCTCAGCCGTGCAAGGCAACTTCAACGACGGCGCGGCGGCCGGACTGACCAGCAGCGCCAGGTAGCAGCATCGTTGCTCTGGCGGTGGGGGCTCGCTAGAAATCAACCCGTACTAGCAAGCCATCTGGAGGTGCAGGGTGAACGGTTTGCGTACCGAAGGTGGTATTCGAGTGAGTGCGAATAGAACCAGTGAGCGGCGAGCCTCAGACGCTCAAGTGCCTAGTCCATAACCGTCGTACTACGAGCAACACGTTCGCCGTCACCATATACTCTGGGCTCACTTCACTTTCTACTCCTGCTTTTACTCCCTCTTCTATCTTTGTACCTCCTCCATCTTCCCGGCTTTCGTTAGACAGTAGATCCCAACGCGAAAGGCTCTCGCGTGAGTAAAATAAGGAATTCGAATCGAGTGTACTTTCATAAGCACGGAGCGGTACCGGTACAACTATACACACTACAAGTGGTAGTGTGTAAGCTCCTGTTGCCTTTGTAGCCAACCAAGCCGTCCTTGTACACTTGGGTATTTCTCGTCTGGTTTGAGAATGAACAAATGCCACGCAATAGGACCGAGCACAGAAAGAAAATATTTATACCCAGACTACGACATGATACCACGGTCTGGTCTGTGTTCGTGCCCGCTCAGCGGAGTAATTCTGTTATAGAATTTGTACCGCTCCATTGTCGAAATGACCGGCCGTCGAATACCAGTCTTTGTGAGTTTCCAGACATGGAGCGGTCCTCAACTCATTTCCGCTTCCACACCTCTTGAACCTCCTGTTGAAAAAGGCGAACGATATCGAAACCATGTTGTCCGATGTATTTGAAGGCATCCATGATCCGCTTGTGCTCCAGAGGATCAGTGGCTCGAGCCGCGGCAACGCGTAGGGGAAAGAGGAACAGAAGACCGCAGAGCCTCGTATGTCGGACGGCAATCTCCACTGCATTTAGAATCGACGCGACGTGGCTCTTCACCCTGTACTGGGGGAGGGTTGCCATGGGAGTGGCAGAGAAGAGGTGCAGGCGGTAGTCGAAAATGCCAGAGAGATAGATGGAGACGGCGTGGAGGGAAGCGTAAGATACCAAGTCGTTGGGGGATTTTGGATCGGGTTCGGGATACCCTTGAAGTATCATGTCTATGACAGCGCGAAGGCACGCTCCTTCTTCCAGGAAGTCGTCGAAATTTGAGCCCGGTGCACTGCGTAGAAGGCTGACAGATTGAGTTAGCATGGAGAGCAGATTAAGCGGTTCCTGGGTAACCCACCGCGAACATAAATCAGAGCAACGCAGCATGATATCCAGCGCGGTCTCATTACGGTATCCGTCAGGTCCTGCCTCGTCGCGAAGCATCGCTAGCAGAGAGTTCCACGCTGAATCCATCAGAAAAGAAGATTGATTATAGATCAAGCACCTTGAAATTTCGAAAAGGCGCAATGTAAGGAAGAGGGTCTTTCTGGAACCCTTTCTGAAAGCGGTAGGGCCACAAGCACGTAGCAGGCTAGCCGTGCCATATAGGAAATGGCGGTCCCAGTTCTCCGAGTTGCCTCCCATCATCAACTGGGAAGAACACGTCAGGTAAAGAAAGAGACAGGCTGGACACGGCTCACCTCGAAGAGGCCAAGAAAGAATGTCGTCCAGATGACGTCCTCAGTTGCTCCGTGAGCGTCGATGCTACACTGCAGAGCTACCATTGAGCTCGCGTAGGTTTTGAGTGCGCTCTCTTGCGTTTTTGAGGTAGCCCCGTGAGAGCGAGAAGTGGGCCTGCGGCTGGAATCCAGCACAGCCACAGCTGCGATGGCGTCCCTGAGGGCGGGCGAGGTGTGCAGCAGCTCGTAGAGGTGGGGTGTGATGCGACCCCACAGATCAGCTGCAAATTCGTTCATCTTGAGGAAACTATCAAAGAAATAGGCCAGTTGCCAGTCTTTGCCGTTGTGCAAGGTGGGCGTGCGGATGACAGGCACAGCGGTTGCATCTTGCTGGCGATAAGGCATGAATACAACTGCATCGCGTTTCTCGGCCACATTCTGAAAGCAGAACTGACGGGTTTTCTTGCAGTATTCGCAAGGCACGGGACCGACACACTAGGCATTCACACGTGGTTAGCACACCTCGTAGACGCGAGGCGGTGGGCGTACTTTGATCTTGCGCCGTTGACAGTTGGCACATCGGCGGACATGAGTCCGCTTGTCGAAAGGACCCACGCGGAGCATTGGGTGCGTTCAGTCTCTTCCAGTTGCGGATGAAGATTGATGGAAGAGAAAGGGAAGATGGAGGCGCAGCGGTACTGGTGCTCTGGCCCCCAGCGACTTGGCATGGCTGCTTAAGCCGGTTTGGGAAAGATTTGAGCGCACTCGAGCGGGGCGGACGAAGACTTGGCGAGGCTAGACTATATTGGGCAGCATTTGAACGCACCCAAGCGGGGCCAATTGCTGTCTTTGATCTCTAAGGCTGTAAGCTGGAAGAGATGGTGCATCTAAGTATTTTGTATAAAGACTCCCTCATTCGCCGTTTCATGCATGCCACATCACCATCTACGCTTTCACCATGCTTCTCAAGCTCCAGCCCGCTATCTTGCTCTCTCTCCTCGCCCGCGAGGCCACCACCCTCTCTCTCGGGAAATTCATGGTTTCTCATTCCACCTCCTTCCTGACCGACCACGCACGGCTAGACCCCTTCTCGCCCACCCCCCAGCCCCGCTCCGTCGCCATCTCCACCTTCACCCCTGTGTCGAACAATTGCACCACCTTCACAGAAATACCCTACATGCCGCCCGCCACCGCCGCGTTTGAAAGCTCCAAGCTCACCACCGCGTACGGCCTGCCGCCCAATCTCTTTGCAAACCTCAGCTATGCCGTCGCCTCTGCCGCCTGCACCACCGACGACCACACCACCAACGGGCACATCCTCTTCTCGCCCGCCCTCGGCACGACGCGTCACTTCTACAACCTCGTGGCCGCCACGCTCGCCAGCACGACGGGTGCCGCCGTCACGACCATCGACCACCCCTTCGACGCCGACGTCGTCGAGCGCCCCAACGGCACCCTCATCCACGGCATCGACATCCCCGACGCCAGCATCCCGCTCGCCCTGGCCACGCGCGCCGACGACATGCGCTACGTCTTGTCCGCGCTGTCCCCGCCCGCGGCGAGCTGCAGGGCGACGGAGAGACTGAGACGCCCCCTTGCCGTCGGGCACTCCCTCGGCGGCGCGGCCGCCCTGCTCGCCGGCGCGCGGTTCGCCGGCGCCGTCAACATCGACGGGTCTGTCGTCGTGGGGAATGCGTCCGCGTTCCCGGTGGTGGAGCGGCCGGTGCTGTTTGTCGCCCATGAAGGGAAGAACCTGTCGACGGACGCGACGTGGGAGGGCGTGTGGCCGAGGCTGCAGGGATGGAAGGGCCTGTTGGAGTTGGAGGGGTCGCAGCACTATACGTTTTCGGACTTGCCGGTGCTGGTGGAGGGGATGGGGCTGAGTGAAACAGAGCTGGAGGGAGTGCTTGGGACGATTGCGGGTGGGGTGGCGGTGGAGAGTTTCGTTGGTGTAGTGAAGGCGTTTTGGGAGATGGTGAGGGGGAAGTTAGATGGGGAGGGCTTTAAGGAGGCTGTGGAGGAGTACAGTGCGATCGAGAAGATATTGTAGGCTTAGATGGGTCTGTAAGGATTGTCTGGCGATACCTATGGAATGAGTCGGTTGTGGTAATGTGTGGGAGTGGTCGGGATTCTTCGGTTGGTTGCAGGGTGGAGATGGGCTGCCATTCGAGACGTTCCTCTTCAGGTCGACGCTCCAATGTTTCGGCAGTAACGTTTTGTGCCACAGTATGCTCATCGCACTGACCATTCAATCTATGCAAGGGGGTTTGCTTTCGCAGTTTGTATACAGAGGCTCCACATCATAGACCAAGAATGTACCTTTCTTCCCATGCAAGAGGAGCAGGAAGACTCTGAGAGCTTCAAGTTCCGGATTACAAACAATCCGGACACAAAGGAATTTCTTTCAAAGGTCTTACTTTGTCGCCAATCCTCTTTTGTATCGTGGTCAATACCTTTGCTTGAACCATGTAGTTGAATCCTCATTAACCGTAGACTCGTGACACAATCTGTGTTGCTGGTCCCCTCAAGGAGGTTCGTGGGTTGTCTAGATTCCATGGCGAATCTGGTAGTAAACTTACGTCCATGATCAAGAGTGAGACAATGCAAACAACAGATTCTTCACAGACACGAAAAGAATACAAAATAGCCGTCATTCCCACAAGACGTCACCATCCCCAACCGCAAGCAGCGCCTAGAGGATTGCAACGTAAACAGGCACGCTTCTACCTTCGGACTCTCTCATCAGACTGCGAGCACAACACAATGGCTGTCGTAGACTTCACCGAGCCGACTAATTGTTGCGTGTGGAGGAGGGGAACACGCCGCAATGGTGACAGGTTCTCGGTCAAGGTCGTTGATTGCTACTCGGAGACTTGCAGATACTCGGACTGGTACAAGCCTCCGCATCTTCGCAGGGGATCAGGCAAGTAGATAAATCCAAGTCAGCAAGGCAGTGTGCTAATGTACTTTTGGTCTTGCTCCAGATACATGATTGCGTCGTTCAAAGGACCGGATTAGAGCGTGAAGCCCGTCTCCTTATGCGAATTTCGAAACCGGTATAGTGCCGAAATCGAGATCTGTAGTGCGTGCACAATAAAGAAAGGCATTAGACCCTATATCTCTCACCACAATGCAAGTGTCATTAAGCCCTTCCGCTCCGCAGCACACTAAGTTGCACCACCCTCGACCACTACATAGCTTCCGCCGTGGTGCCAGTCTCCTACTCTAGGGGATAATATCACAAAGTTCGAAACGTGATCAACCAGGCGAACACATTGACATGTCATTGAACCCCAAGTCCGACACGATCTCCCTCCATCAAACTCCTCACCACGGCAATTCCGACCCATCCCAAACCATCAGCCTCCCCGACGTCTTCTCCCTCGTTGCATCATCAATCTGCCACTCGTCAGCCAACCTTTCCAGCATCACTCACTCGCACAAAGCACTCACCACCCTAACCAGGCCCGCGACACTGTCCGCCAACTCCACCTGCGCCTCCTCTCTCCCAAACTTCTTCGCCGCCTCATTCCCCATATCCGACTTCGTCCACCCAGGATCGACAGGAAAGGCGACAAGGCGAGGATGCTCGACATGCACCTTCCTCGTCAGATAATGCAGCGCCGCCTTGGCGGGGCCGTACGCCGCGTTCGGGAACGGCAGATGGCCCATCAACCCGATGCTGCCGCCGGCCGAGCCGACGGTGACGAACTTGGGCGGCGGCCCGCCCGCTGTCGCGGCGGCTTCCAGCAGCGGCAACGTCGCCTGGAACAGCACGACGGGCCCGATGACGTTGATGGCGTAGTGTGAGGACAGGTCTGCGGGCGTCACGTCTCTGACCCAGGGGAGGGCGGTTTGGATGCCGGCGTTGGCGATGACGAGGTCGAGGTGGGTGATGGCGTGTGTGGTTTGGAGGGTGTGGATGGCGGCGGCGGCGTCGGTGAGGGAGGCGGAGTCGATCTTGACGATGATGGCTTGGCTGTTCGCGCCGGTGGGGACGGAGAGGAGGGACTGGGATGCCGGCGCCGAAGGGTCCCGGACGGCGCCGATGACGGTGTGGCGTGGGCGGGCGAGGTATGTCCTAAAGAGGTGGAGGCCGATGCCTGGGGATAGTTAGAGAAGGTGAGGAGGATGAAGGGAGCTGCATCGTACCGCGGTTGACGCCGGTGATGAGGACGGTGGTGTCCGAAGCCATGTTCGATTTCTCGTAAATAGAGGTTGAGGATAGTGTGTTAGTCGGGGTTAATGTCTGATTGCGTCTGCTTTGTGGATAGAGCAGAATATGCTGTACAAAGACCGAGGGTGCATTTATAAGTAAATGCTTACAAATTGTCGGCTGAATTACTCAATCCGGAAACACTGCCTATGTGGCGTTGAACAACAACAACGACAACAGTCTGATCGCATACCACGACTGAGACATCCTGTTCTTCCCGGCCTCATTCTCGCTAGCTTTGGTTAGAGACTGCGCGGCAGATACTCTCGTTCTGCACGAGTGACAAGATGAACCATGCATCGGCCCAACTCAACAAAGACGCATGGTTGACTCTATCATTATTTTCCGAACGAGCAATCTCCAACGACACCGTCAACAAAGACACCTCAGTCACCATGTTACAGCACTCGCAGCAGTGCTCGTTGGATGCAGGAAAGGATTTTCCGATTCTTCATCTACCCTACCTATCCTTCATGGCTCGGTAGGGAAACCGTCCGATCCACGCACCCCGAAGCTTCCAAGTCCCTCCTTCTCCCCCGTCTCGCCTCCGTCGCTCGCACCTGCACCGCCTTACTGGCCGAGGATCTCGTCAAGAGTGGTTGCCCGTGCCCTTGTCGTCGGCGGCTTTGACGGCGTCCGAGATGCTCGCTTGGTCGACGACGATGGTCGTAATCTTATTAAGATCCGCGGCAGCCTGTGTGTACGGCAATTTTCAGCGTTGCGTGATGTGGGTGGTGGGTTTGAGGGGAAAGAGGGGAGCGTACCGCCCTTGCAGGCGCAGCCGATGAAGTTGCAGTGGCCCTTGCCGCAGTAGGGCGTCCCGGGCAAACCGTCTTGGCAAATTCCGGGTAGTATAAAGAGTCCGGGTCGGCAGCATTCGGCGGTAGCCAAGGGGATGAGGGCGGCCAGGATGACGAAGACGGTAGTGGGCTGCATGGTGGTGGTTGGAGGGGAGGTGTGTGTATTTTGAGTGCGATTTGAAGCTGACAGCTAGATGATCTATCATCAGACAATATAAGGCCTTCAACCAGCACTAAAAGCAAGTGCGGTGTCGTACCTCTTTTCAAGTGCGATGGTTATAAGCCCGGATCTCGCTACATGGCCCGTTATATATTCAAAGTCATCTTCGCTTCTTCATCAAGAGGCACTGGTCTGATAAGGACACAAAGCGGACGCCCAACAAGGGGTTTATAGTTCGAACCACATTAGCCGCTTCCATCAGCGAGCGGCGCCCAACAAATAATAGAATTAATAATAATATCAAGTTCAGCACGAATATCTACCGATACCTACCACTCCGCCGTGCCACCGGTAAGGGGGTGTGTCAGACAATATAAGGCCTTTAGCCAGCACTGAAAACAAGTGCGGCGTCGTACTATTTCCCAAGTGCGATATCTATTGAATCTCTGCTGCTGCTGCTGGTTCGTATATGCGCGAAGAAAAGGATAGAAAGGGGCCTGATCATGATGATACGTTGTTGAAAAGGAAGCCATGTGCCGGGTCTAATGATTACATTCATCCTCAACGAGGGTCATCTTCGTGATCATGCGGCCCAACATCTTGTTTTTCACCAAGAAGCTCGGAAACGGAAATAGGGAGCTAAGCAGTTAAACTCTACACCTAGCCACTCTCCACTCTAGACGTCCGCATCGAAGTCCGCATAGAAGCGCGTTGAAACGAAATGGCTGCAACTGTCATTCGCCTCTCCTGTCCTTCGCTTGTAGCAGTGGTAGCCTTCTCGGTGCTGGGCTCCAGCTGTGTTTCTGCGAGCCGCAAGACAACCTCAACTGCGGCTTCGTCTTCGACAATCTTCAAGTGGCGACGCGCAAAGTACCGTGCATATTTGAAAATTGCCCAGTAGCACGATACGACGTTGAGAAAGGTGAGGACGAACTTGTATGGCATCTGGGTTTCCCAAGTGAGCGGGAGCATAGCGGGGAAGGGAAACATTTCTTACGTAGTAGAATATGAGAACAGTCCAAGATACACGCTCTTTTCGTAAGCGAAGATGAATTTCGTTAAAGATGATGCAGTTGCAAAAGTACATGGCGAGCGTGGCGAGGATGAGGTATCCACAAAAGGAGGGTCGCACAAACAAGGAAATGGGCAAAATGAATGGAGCCAAGAGGTACAACAGGCATTCGTAAACCTATGTCTGTATTCAGCGTCGCAGAGCAGAGAGGAGAGGAAGCGGATGTAGCGACGTACCTCTTGGGCAACGAAGACCTTTGCACCGACCTCCCACCAACCCAGCTTCCAGCTCGTCAAAATGTATTTCGTGTTGTACCAGACACCGGCGACGAAGAAGAAGTTCCACCTCATGAACCTCTGCTTGCACACCGTCATTTCCCCAAACCCGCCCCTTTCTCCGCCTCCGCTTGTCCAGAAGAGCGCGGGTGGGGTCTCCGTTTCGACAAAGACCGACGTGCACATGGTTATGCGCCCGCCAAGAGACCGGCAGCTGTGTCCAAAGAACCAATCCTCGGAGACCTGGAAGCCGGGGTGATGATGGAAGGTACTGATGAGGAACTCACGGTCCCAGAGGGATATGGCGCCATGGGGAAAGGTTGCGGAGCCGACCTTGCCAGCAAACGCTCGTTGGAGACCAGACAGCTTGTACTCGAAGTCCTGGGCCCTATCACGGATTGAGTAAGCTGACCGCTTTCACTGGTAGGGCCTTGACTTACTGTTGACAAAAGGTTCCCCGAGAAGAGTTTGGTCCCACCGATTTGATCGAGTAGCCCACGCATTGCACCTTTCCAGTCAGCCTTTCCGACACCACCGGGAAGTTCGATGGCAGAGCACAGTCGTCATCGATCAACAGGACGTTTTTGAATCCCCTGGCGGCGTACGCGCCCACAAACTGGGCCACGATCTTCGAGCCAACCGGGCTCCAGATGTGGTTGACGCCGTAAGGCAAGCACACTTCCTCGGTCTCGTCCAAAGGCGTGGGAGAGTTTCCGTTGGCTATGACGAAGACATGCGAAGGAGGGAAGGTCTTCAGAGCCGCTTCGAGCGTCTTGCCGATGAGAGTTGCCGACTTGTAGCACGGGATAAGCAAGGCCGTGTCGCTGACCCCCGAAGTCATCTCAGCATCGGCGTGCACCCGCTCAGGAGGCTCCTTTTCGAACAAAACGCTCAAAGGTAAAAACGCAAGCCTGTTGGACACAAAGTCAGCAAATTCTCTGCCCCGAGCGACAGACACGAACAGTACTCACAGCAAGCCCAGCCCAAGCGTGATGGACCACCCCCCCGCAATCACGAACTTGTGACTCACAACCCAGTACAGCCAATACACACATCCCTTCCACAGCGGCAAGCCAACGAACACAAAGTACACGACAACCAGCGCCAACGCGTACAAGCCATACTCGAAGAGCACCATGGTGCTCCTCGCCCTCTGCAGCGCCTTGCCCCTCGACTTGGCCTTGTCGTACAGCTGATAGATGCTCGTGTTCCGCATCGCGTCCCCGACGCTCTGCATGCGCTGCTTCACCGCCGACACCACGCTCGGGCCCCTCGTCCGCTGCTCGTCCGCCGGCGTGATCCGCATCGACGACGACTTGCGCCTCGCACCACCGCTGCCACCGCTGCCACTCCTATCCGCCGCCGCAGACGGCGACACGGGCTGCTCCGCCGCGCCGAACGCGAAGTCACGGAAGCTCGTGGGGAAGCCGACGGACTTCTGGCGGCTGGCGCGGTTGCTGTTGCTGTTGCCGTTGCGGATGGTGTGCGGCGTCGGCGGGAGCACGGGGTCGTGCGGCGCGATGCCGCTGATTGGGCGCCGCTGGGGGGCGGCTGCGGTGGTCGGGCTGACGAACGAGGCGCTGGACGGACTGAGCAATGCGGTCGAGGGCTTGCGGCTGTTTTGGCGGCTGCGCAGGCCCGGTTGGCGCCATTGCTGCTGCGGGTGCTCGTCCGCGGCGTCGGTGCTGCTGGCGAAGGCGACGGACTTTTGGCGGTTCCGGACAACTCGCTCGTCGGGGGTCACGCCGCTGAGAGGGCCCGGGGAGAGCGGGCTGTGTCTTGGAGGGGCGAAGGTGCGGGGGGAGAGGAGGGAGCTGCGTGCGGAATTGGTGCGAGGCTCGGCGGGGGAGAGGAGGTTGCTGAGGGGGCGGGGGGTGCGAGCGCCTTTGGCGGCTTGGCGGCGGGAGGTGAGGCTGCTGGGCTGGAGGAAGGAGTTTCCGGGCGGAGTGGTGGTGGAACCGTTCGGGGTGGATCCGTTCGGGGTGGAACCGCTTGAGCGTCTAGACGGGCGGGACTCGTCGGGTGCCTGTTTGGGAGAATTGAAGCCACCGGAGCGGAAAAAGGAAGTGCGGGGCGAGGGCGTGGCTGGCTCAGCGGGAGTGATTCCGCTGATCGGTCGAGGGGTGCGGGCTGGTTCGCTAGATGCCTGTTTCGTGGACTCGAAGCTAGTAGGTCGAGGAATTGAGCTTCGTGGCGACGCCCTGGCCGTTGCGCCGTATGCTATACTGTACGACCGTCCACCACCCTCGCGAGCCACTTCTCGAGCAGCTGATAGACCAGATGGTCCAGCTGTGATGGAAGACCATCGTGTTGACCCTGGATCTCTTCTTGATGCGGTTTGGCGCAGCAAAATTGGCGGGATGACGACATCCTCGAGAATACGTTCGATGTCCCCGGAGGATGCGGCGCGGTCTTTGCGGTCCATGATCGATCGAAGGTGTTCCAATCGCAGGAGTGCAAAGCTCCAGTGATTGTTGACTTGATTGACGCGGGTGCGGGATGCGCCTGTTCAAGTACCCATGAAAAGCCCGCCGTAGATGACGAGCTACGTAGAGCTGTCTCTCGTTCTTATTTGCCGATTCCAAATCAGTACTTGGGACGAGGCCGAGTGAGGAACCCAGCGGTACGCTATATCGCTAGAGCGTTGATGTATTCACCAGCTCCGCCTCCATTTTGTCCCCGGCTGGACGCCAAGGCGGCACTAAAGTCACCTACCATCGGGCCCACCCTTGCTTCGCCAACCGCCATGGAAACTACCAGCAGTAGCGTCACATGATGCAAGTCCAGAACTGGGCTGGTCGCATGTCCGCCAAACCTTCACACGTGGGCTGACACTTCTTGCGTCAACGCCATCCAGGCGATTCCTAGTTTGGAGATAGCCAGAGAAGGATAACGCCGTTTTAGGTATAGTGTGCTCCGTCGTGCTGCATTCCGATCTCGGCCGGAAGTAAACTGCGGAACCCCTAACATAGTAGCCCACAGCCCTACCCGACGGTAGACCCCGGACTGCCACAAGCGGTTAGACTTTTTCCGTAGGTCGGAATCCAAGCCTCGGCAGGAGCGAAGCGGCCGGGCAAGGGGTAGTAGTGGCGGCGAGATCCCGGATCCCGGTAGCTTGGCTATGTATCGACGGTTCACTTAGGAAAAGTGAAAGCATCCAGAGTGGCCGAGCCAAGCCCAATCATCACGGGGTCACTTACAGTTTAGTCCCGTCCACCTGAGCTTAAATCGCGGTCCAGATTGCTGAGTTTCCCACTCAATAATGACCGTTGCACGAAACCACCAAACCACAGGAAGCTTGTAAGGTTCCACTCTCGAAGGGGGCTGAGCAGCAGTAGCGTCAAGAGAGGTGTGCTTTCGGATCTGTTCCATAGATAGTGTGCTGTTCGAGAATGGCCTTGCCTGATTGGCTGGAACGGAGATAGAGTTTAAGATTCTGTGGAGGTTAGGATCGCGGCAGCCTCGTACGTATATGTATCCTGCCGGCCTACACGGTGGCGTCGAGCGAGATTTGACATAGGGTGTACGCGGCTCGGTCCGTTCAACAAGTGCACGCCTCAGCCGCAAATAGCGCCAGTCGTGAGAAATGTAGACAAAGTCCTTCGATCTAGACTATACGCCGTCCTGCGGGGCACGCGATCCACCCTGTCTAGCTGCCATGTCGTTCATCGTGTCAAGCGTAGCTGTGGCTCAGGGAACCACTCGGTACCCACACGTCATGTATGACGCTTGGCCCTCAACTGGAATGGTGAGTTTGGCGTTCAAATCAAGCTCCCCACCGGCGGCGTCCACTCTGCTGTAGCCTACTACGGCCGCAGGCATCAATGGTGTCAGCTTAATGCCATCAGCATGACTAACGGGCTCGTCCAACCGTATGATATGCAAGTTCTGGCCAATCTATGCTTCTATTTCCGACTCACTCCGCGACGCCCGTATGTTGACTCCCTGCAAGGGCAAGACTTACGTGACCCGCCCGGATCACGCACCGACATTTGTCCCTGCCTGAAACCGTAGCAGGGCAGGAACCAAATGTTCCAAGTCAACGGCGACGCATATATAAAGTGCTCTCGCGGCCACCTTCATTCGTTGAACACAGGCTCTATGAGCCCCACATCCTGTTAGTGATCGGTCGATATGTGAACACTTTGGGTACAGCATATTCGTGTATGCTCTTTCAATCTATAGGCGGAGACTTAGAGCCCTACGCCTCTTACAGTGAACACACAACCTTGTAGACTATATCTGCTGGGGTTCTTACTACTTGTAGACGAATATGGTACGTGAAGTTAGGGTGGTCCGGCTTCAGTCACCTTGAGTAGTTGACATAGTAGGTATCTTTGCGGCACAGGCAAGACCGAGGAAGAAAGTAACCTGTTCGAGATTAGCGAACCGTCCAGGCTCATTGACCCACTCCAACAACCAGACCGCGGGAAGTTGATCTCAAGCAAATACAACTTACTCCAGCAGCATAGAACGGCAACCCCAACCAACCGCTCTCCCACCCCGACCGCATACCACCATCACCTTCCGACGACGACAGCCTAATTCCAAGCGCAAACAACCACGCAAAGGCCATCTCGCCCGTCAACACGGCAATCAGCTCCAACAACGCGACACCCGCATACAACTGACCCATACGGCTCCCCGTCCCCTCCCCACCAGGCCCGCCCTCATCGCCCCCCTCATCCCTACCACCACCACCACCCGCCCCTCGCTCATTCCTCCGTCCCCGCCGCCCCTCCCACCCCTTCCCAAAATGCGCCACCAACCCCCTCATCGTCTGCGTAATCCCATTCCCCGCACTCCCCACAACCAACCCGCCCACGACCAACGCCAGCGGCAACCCCAACGCTCCCGCCCCCGCCCCATGACCTGCCCCCGCCCCCGCAGCCGCGCTCGCCGCGCCCACGACCAGACTCCCCGCCGCCAGCGCCGCCAGGCTCCCCCGCGCGACCCACACGTCGACGGCCACGGGCGCGACGCCGCGGCGCGAGGTGGCGGCGGCGCCGGCGGCGGGGAGCAGCACGAGGACGAGGAGGGAGACGAGGGCCTTGAGGGAGAGGAGGTAGCCGGCGGAGGCGAGGGGGATGCGCAGGGCGCGGGAGGCGAACTGGAGGGTCGTGTGGGCGGACATGAGGGCGAAGGTTTTGAGGGTGATGGTGAGGAGGGTGAGGAGGAGGGGTGGTGGGAAGGAGTGGAGGAGGGAGGTCGTCGTCGTCATTGTCGTCGTCGTGGCGGGGCGGTGGGGTTTGGTGGGGGACTCGGGGACGAGGCTGTCGTGGCGGGGGCGAGGGGGGAGGGGGGTCCGTGGCGGAGCGGTCTCGGGGAGGGTGAGGATGATGGGGAGGGATGTGAGGAGGATGGGGGTGCTGATTTTGAAGGGCAGCCAGAGGTCGTGGGAGAGGAGGTAGGAGCCCGCGCCGGCGGAGAGCATGTCGGTGATGCGGATCAGGGCGCCGACGAGATAGAAGGTTGAGGTTCTGGGGGTGGGGAGGGATGCGTTAGATGGGACGGATGCGCGGGCGATGGGAAGAGCGGAAGGTGGATGGATACCTGGCATTTTCCGGGGCAACATCGACGATGACGGTGTTCATCAGGGCTGAGATGTTGCGGTGGCCGCCGCCCATGAGTTGGAAGACGGCAGATGCCCAGATGAGTCGGGTTGGGAAGACTTCATGGAAATAGCCTAGCAGGAGGGCGTTTTAGCACCGCGTCTGTTGAGAGACGCAGGAAATCCTACAAATCATAATGACCCAGAGGTAGGTCAGGATCTGGCCTGTCATGCCCAACAGCAAAATAGGTTTTCGTCCCCAATGATCCGCCAGTCTCCCAAAGAGGACGGTGCAAAAGAGACCTGGGAGTACGAGTAAGGTTCACAGCACCATGAATGCTTCAACTTCCACAGTCACACGATAAGAAGAAGGAAGTTACCAGGAACAGCAGCAAACAAGCCTTTTAGGGCACGCAAGTAGGCCAACTCGACCTGGATCTCATCGCGTTTGCACAGCTCCTCGCGCACATAGCTCAGCGGCGGCGGGCCAATCAGACGCGGGTCGTGCTCGTGGTAGTAGTCTCTGCACACGGCCATCTCCAGCAGGCGCACCTCGGGAGCCGCGGTCAACCCGTCGCCCAGGTCGGCGACGAGAGACAGCGCGCCGCACAGGATCGCGGCATACGGCCATAACCTGTGATTCACCCGAGAGGAGCGGCGCTCCGACGGCGAGTTGCTGTCTTGGGGGTGCTCGTGGCGAGTGGAGACTAGGAGGGGCGTAGTCTCGTCAAGGTCGGCCTCGAGGACGACTGCGGGAGCGGGAGTGGGAGTCATGGTCTTTGGACGCGGAGTGATGGCGTTGGTCGGCGTGGGTAGACGGACGTGTCTTATCTTTTTACCCCTCCTTTCGTACCGCTGTGCAACGCGGAGGGTTCATGCCGCACGCCGGACAGTTGTGGCTGCAGCAAGCTAAGCAATGCATATCCCCCTGTCGCATCGCCGATCGACGGCATGCTTATCTCTGGGAAGACAAGGATTTTGGGCCACCCATTTTGGCGGAACGAAACCCGGAAACAAAATACTTTATTCCACCCTGGAGTTTTCGACTGTCGGCTTTCGTTTGCATTGGTGCCGATACTTTGGATGTATTGCTTGCATTAGCGTCTGGATAGCCCTCGATACCGATGCAAGCCGACCCGACAGATGGCACCAGAAAAAGGGGAAGATGGTCGAGGTTGCGAAGCGATGCGACCGTGATGGTGTCGGCGTTGGCAGTGTGAAGCGTAGGTCGTGGTGTTTTGTCAACCTTGGTGCGTTCGACCCGATTCAGCTTAGCGCAATACATAAGTAGAGAAGTCGTTGCCTCCCCTCTGTCCCCGCCAACACCATGCCGATGCCTCCGCCTGGGCCCACCCGGAACTCGCCAGCATCGCCAGCGTGGCCATTATGTGATCATATTGCATTTGCCTGCTTGTTCAGAGCAAACAGTCAGATAAAGCTCGTGGTCGCCGCCGAATCGAATAAAGGAGAAGGGCCTGCCTTTCCTCGAATATATCTATCTCATATCGTAAATGTGCGTGTACGAGCTACTGTCGTAGGATTATATAGAGAGTTGATCTCTGCCAGTAATCAACATGTCCGATGGATACAGTGTGACCAAAAGCTTGTTCAGATACAGAGGCAGACATGTGCACCGTGAGATGTACTGCAGCAACGCTTGGGGAATACCTGGGCAGGCCACACGACCGCAGCGTAGAGACCACCCCGGAACCTGCTGAGGAGGAACTTGGGCCGGAAGCTGAGCAACTTCTCCAGATATCGCTCGTGTAGAAAGGGTTCGTGCCATAGAGGGAGGCCCTGAGTATCGGGACCCCTCTGACCATGAGTCTGATGAGGACTGTGAGGCAATCTCTGCTGGGTCAGTAGACGATACTATGTAGATGTAGCACGAAAGCCAAAGCTGATTGCTACTACAAGAAAGGGTACACACCGATCGGGCAGTGTAGTCGATAGGTGGGCACTGCTGCAGGAAGCCGGAAATCTTAATTGAGCAACCGATATACAACTGCCAGTCTTTATTTAAAGCCACGTTGAAAGCCCGGCGTATTGTTATGCTCCCTTAAGTCTCTGCAGGATTTTATTTCTTGAATCATGTCTTAGTTACTGTGACCTTCCCCTTAGTCGATAACCAAGCAGCCAATGAAAACCAACTAGACCCGAGTACATTGACCGTCACGTGTTGGGTCCGCCGATGAGATCCCGCGCTGCAAGAAGAAAGCTGCGATGGAATACCCTGCGGACGAGGCTTGCAACAGAACCAATGGGAAAACACCCCGACCTAGCACAAGAGCAACGTGGGGAGTGAGCGGGAATCAACCATTGGCTCGGAAGTGCGGGAGCTTCCCCGAGACATGCAGCCAGCCCCGCTGTTTCCCGCCCACCAGCTGTGCGGCACAGCAAGGCAGCAGCAGCCTGCCAGCAGCTTGTTGGCTATAGATAAAACTGTTGCATGCTTCTTACTACCCATCTTTTTCCACGTCGCGACCGCCCAAAGGCATACGCTGAACTCTCGTGCTGTTCCTCAATGATCCCATCGACTCATCACTCCCTGCTCGACCCTTCGTCATGACAGACAGCTATAGGGCTCAGACGCGGGTGATTGCCATCCGACAGCATCGGGGCTGGAACACGCACCAGTACAAGCGTTTTCTCGTACGTCTCCCACATCCCCCACATGCACGCTCACTCATCAGGCCACAGGCTGCCGTGGTGGACGAGGGAAAAGAACTCATCTACGGCGACAAGTACTGGAAACAACAGGAGAAGCCCGAAGCCGTGCTGTGGCGCAATTTGCCGGACATGGTCGTCCGACAGATACTCGCTGAACTACGCAAGAACCTGGCCAACGATGATATAGAGCGCAGAATGCCGCTCGATGACATGATCCTCCGCTGGAAGCTCCTCCCTTGGCTGCGCGACCACCCGAGTAAGTCACCCGCACCCTTCCATCTGCCGCTGTTATTCGAACATCATTTGCCGTACTGAACCTTCGCGCCTGTCAAGGAAGGACCAGCGCGCAGAAAGCGCCCGAGTCCGGACCGCCTCGGGCGCGCCATCAGAGGCCAAATGCCAATCTTCAGGCGCCCGGCGCCTCACACAAGCAGCCCACTGCAGTCTCCCAGCCAAAAGCGTCAGGAGTAGAAAGTCGCGACGGTGACTCCACCACTCCCAGATTGGATGACCACGCACAACCCACCATGGCCTCTCCTCTTCCAACCGACTCCGGCCGTGGTCCCTCACACCGGTATTTTGATCCCGTGCTGGATGCTATAAACTCTTTGGGGAGGAATGACCCCGCCGCTGCTAATGCATCATGGCACGGCGAACGGACTACCTGATGGAACATGGGTGGACGTACGCTTCTTTCAATCACCTTGCTGCCTCCCAGCGCCATCGTCGCCGACTTGACCAGCGCCGTTATCGTCATTCACGCTGCCGTCATCTGGTGATGAAGAAGGTCGTGAAGGAGCAGCAGCAACAGCGGAGCTCGACGGGATCGAGGGTGTGGATGGTAGATGAAATGTGAAGTGATGCGGACGGGCTGATGGGTGGTATGGCGCAATTCGCGTGCGTTGCAGCCACGGTGAACCGGTGGGTCCTGAGACACCAACCGATACGGCCACCAGCTGCAGCTACCATCCGCACCCGCATATTCCCGCTTCGTCTCTCGCTATCCAGCAGAGGTGGTAGGCTCGCTTCTGTGCGGGCTTCTACGTGGGAATTGTTGAAGCATGACGTCATTGCAAGCTTCCTACCTATTGTATATACCTATATGTTAAGCTGCGCCATGTACATTAATTAGCCAATCAATTAACCTACCTCCTTTCAACTTTCTACATCGATATTCAGCAGGAATCTGCAGTAGAGGATAGTTAAGTAAGGAAACACTACGGTGCCGATGCTCTCTTCTCAGACCGGCTCTCTGTGCTCCAATGAATAATATATCGATCCCAACATTGCTGAGATTACTCCTTTGCCATGTACCACGTTAATGTTCGCTCAAGCATCCTTCGGGCCCTGGTGGGCTCATCTCATATTGAGAAGCGATCATGAAGAAACAACCCCTCCCCCCTTTGCTTGTCATCCGAAGCCCATACTTACCAGCTCGTTTTGTTCCCCCAAACAGCCTCGACAGAGCACCAGCCCCGCCCACTCCCTCCGAGCCCCATCCACCTCCACCACCTCACACATCAAGGAACCCACCATCCCACCCACCCGCATCCCCACCATCCACGTCCCCCACCCCCGGCACCCTCACCGGCGGCCCACCCTCCCTCGACCCCGGCACCCCAGGCACGCCTTGACGCATATCCTCCGGGTCCGGGCGCCTCCACACGCGCAGCTCCACCTTCACCTCCAGGCCGTGCGACGACGACGCGGCGACGCGGAGCAGGCGGCGGGCGGCGGCGGGGGGCTCCCACGGGTAGATGCCAGCGACGGGGACGCAGACCTCGCAGAAGGCGACACCCTCGTGGTTTCGTTCGAGGACGGCGAGGGTGCGGAGGGGGGTCGATGATGATGATGAGGACTGGACGAGGGCGAGGAGCCAGTGGTGGGCGGAGCCGTCGGGGCCGAGGGCGGTGGTGGCGGTGTCGAAGAGGAGGGTGAGGGAGGACAGGGACGGGGGGAGGAGGGGGTGGGGGGAGGCGCGGCGGGCGGGCGGGGTCGAGGCGGGGAAGAAGCATTTGGAGTCGGTGGTGGCGCGGGTGAGGTGGGTGAAGGGGCGGAGGTCGAGGCGGGTGTCGTCGTGGTGGGGCCAGTGGAGGGTGTCGTCGGAGGAGAGGTCGAGGGTGGTGAGGGTGTCGTGGAGGGGGGCGAGGGCGAGGCAGAGGGCGTGAGGAGAGTAGGTGGTGGCCATGATGGGGGCGAGGCCGTCCTGGCAGATGGCGTTGGTCCTGCCGGAGCGGATGCCGGGCTCGAAGAGGCCGAGGTGCTTCACGCCGGATGTGGCAGCAAAGATGTTTGTCAGGGACTCGTAGGAGTAGTGGGTCCATAGCTCGAGCTTTGTCAGGGGCTTGGGTCGTCGTGGGAGGTTGTGTGCGGAGAAGGTCTCGGGTTTCAGCTGGTCACGGCCGGGTCTGACTGTGATGATGTCGACCGGAGTTAGGCACATGAAGCGGGCCAGATGGTCGGTGGGGTCCTCGAGATAGAGATGCAGCTCTCGGAGGTGATGTAGTGTGGAGACATGCCAGAAGCTGAGGTCAGCTCGTCGGGAGAGGTTCATGCGGTGGCCCGGGCGGTATTGTAACACAGGCGGGTTCATGGAAACGAAGAGGGACAGCTTGCGTAATTTGTCTATTGAGCGCAGAAAGTCAATCGTGTCTGGGTGGCGCATGGCAGGGTGGTCAGATTGCCAGGCGATGCGCACGTCGTGGATGTAAGAGGTCAGCTGAAGGCGTCTTCTCCTGTTTGGCTGGTTGAGGGAGCGGAGCAGCAAGTCAAAGCGGCGGTCGGGCTCTGAGCGTCGGAAGCTTAGACTGAGTTTGCGATAGAGCAGCTGGGTTGCGATTCTAGAGGCCAAGCTGCACGTCAGCGCGAGGGCGTATAGGGCTGGGCGGTCATTTTCGAGGTGCGAGAAGATCAGGACGAGTACGTCTTCGTTTAGAGTGGCGAATGTGGCCATGGTTGAGTTGTTGGTAGGGGTTTCTTGGTCCAAGTAGATTGCGAGAAATGAGGTTTTCAGCCAGGCAGCAGTGGCAGTGGGAGTGGCCCAATGCGGTTACCGTGATCTCGTATCCGTCCATCTCGGCAAGCACCTAGTCGGGCAGTAGTTGGCGCGCCCATGGCACCATCTCATCTCACGTTGAAGTGTTTCAGCAAATGCAATCAATTGTCAGGGACGGGTAAGAGCATCTGAGAGGTAGACGACGGAACCAAGAGGACGACGCAGGGAGCGTGCACCGCTGGAATCTCTGACCACGAAGAAGGGGAGCCGGGCGGCGACCTAGACGGGCGAGTGAGATTGGGCTGGTGCTAGAGTCGGGAAAGTTGCGAATGGGAGAAGGTAGGGTTGTAGAAGAATGGTTTGACGCGACTGCGCGACGCGCCAAAGAGGCAATCTGCCGGAGTTGTGCCGCTAGGCGAGCTGTTTAGGCTCCGCGTTTGGCGAAGGCGCTAGAGCCTTATGGGACGGCGTGCCGTAGTGAGCAGTATTTCTTTCACGGCTATTGAGGAATGTGGCTCCCCCGCGCGAAATATCAGTGCCAGGTCAAGCAAGCAGTGGGTGACCAGAGTCGGCGGCTTTGGCGGACGTGTGGACTGGCAATTGGCAACAAAATGGCCGGTGGCGGTGGCAGCAAGCTCATGTGGAACCGTGCTAATAAGCCGCATGTTGGTCATGTTAACGCAACTCAGCAGGTCGATCAACGGGCCGGCCAAATTTCCACTGGTTGGTGGCCGCTCCTCGGAACTACTGCAACGTAAAATCGACGACAATAACTTCAGCTCAGTGTGTAACGCGCTTGTGTAATGCGTTGCTGGGTTTCTGCGGCACAGCTTCTTGCCTCAGGCTACAAACGCGGCTGCTGCCTGCAGTCGACCCCGACCGCGCCGCATGCATAAAACCGAAACCCCTCCGCAACCTTCACCTCTCGACATTACACTCCCGGCCCTCCAAACACTCTCAGCTGATAGCTTACAGTAAGTCTCCACCCACCACCCTCGGCCTCCTTCTGTCCAGCTACCCACATGGCCAGCCCGCCCGCTACCCGACCGTAATGGGCACGCGTCACCTCATCATGGTCTACTACAAAGGCCAATACCTCATCGCCCAATACGGCCAATGGGACGGCTACCCCAGCGGCCAGGGCATCCGCGTCCTCGCCTTCATCGCCGACCCGGCCAACATCCCCAACCTCAAAGCCGTCCTCGACCACGCCGACAGCGTTTTCTACGAGCCCACCAAACATCAGCTGGACGACTTCAATGCCGAGCTGAGACGCATGGACCGGGAGCTCTGGCAAAAAGCCTTCACCACCGAAGACGGATCCGACGCCCAGGACCCCGACGAGGCGCGCCAAAAGGCCCTCGGAGTCTGGGCCTCCGTGTCGCGCGATACCGGCGCCGACATCTTGGACCTTGTGGCCAAGCTGGCCCCGGACTTGGCTGAGGGCAAGCAAGTCAAGGTGCCGTTGATGAGGGACCTGGAATTCGTCGCCGATTTCCTGTACTGCGAGTGGGCGAGGAGGGTGTTGGGGGAGATGGGAGGGGGCGTACCTCGGGCGATTTCGGACCACCAGGTGCGGATTATGAGGCCGAAGATGGACATCATGAGTTTTGGGCCGAAGGTTTGGCTGTCGAGGAAGTCTTCGAGGAAGGAGGAGGTGCCGTTGAACCAGTAGTAGAGGAGGATGGCGAGGAGGGCGAGGAGGAGGAGGAGGAAGAGGGCGAGCATGTACGGGCGGAGGAGGAGGGGCAGGACCGGGGTGCTGTCGTCGTTGTTGTCGCCGTCGTCGAAGATCTTGGCCGGAGGGTCGCGCTTTTGGCCGTCGTCGACGACGGTGAAGCCGTACGTCCAGCCAGCTGCTTTGTCGTACGACTGCCCGACTCCGAACCGCGTGTCGTTGCTGCCCCAACCACCGCCCTGCCTCTCCCGCTCCAGCGCCTCCCTCATCTTCGCCACCACCCCCGGATTCCCCATCAACGTCGCCACCCCCGCAACGCTCATCGCCTCGGCATAGAGCCCACCGTCCTTCCGCCGCGCAGACAACCACACCCCCACCACGCACGCCAACACCACCGCGAGCATCCCGCTCTCCGCCCACGCCAGCCGCCGGTCCACGGCCAAATAGCGCACGCAGTCCGCGCCCCTCCCAGTCTCCCTGCACGTGCCGCTGACGCCGATGTAGAACACCCCCGACGCCAGCGCGATCGTCGCCGTCACGAGCGCCGACACCACGCTCCCCGCCAGCACGAAGCCGTCCTTGTGCTTGATGCTGCCGACGAACAGCCCCCACAGACTGGCGTTCTGGTACGAGAGCAGCAGCGACTCTTTGGCGGTGGCGCCGCCGGGTCGCGTCAGTTGGAACCAGGGCGCCATTTCGGCCATGCCGGCGAGAATCGTCGACCAGAGGATGCCGTAGATGACGGCGAAGAGCGTGGGCGCGTAGGCGCCGAGGAGGTAGTGCGAGATGTTGAAGCGGGCACCGTACGCGGCAAAGGCGTCGGAGGGAGGGGTGGAAGAGGGGGAGGTGGTGTTTGTACTGCTGCCGCTGCTGCCGCTGCTGCCGCCGCCGGAGCCTTGAGCGGGGGTTGTGGGGCCGGCGACGAGAGGCCCGGTGCGCGTGATGACGAGCGTGCCGCCGGGGATGCTGGATCCGGTGGCGGTGATGAGCAGGGGCTGGCTCGGGTCGATGGTGCCGGTGATAGTGAAGGCGGCGGGGGAAGTCCCGCCGGGGATGCTGGTTGTGATGACGAACGTGCCGGCGGTGGGCGTGGTGATGGGGGTATCGGCTGTGCCAGTTGCATCGCCGAGCGGGATGAAGGCGTCGGGGTCGGTGGAGAATCCTTCGGTTGGGTCCGCAGCTGTTCCCGGCTTCATGGGGACAAAGGCGGTGGTTGCGGTTGACTCGGTCTCTACTGTGTTTGGGTCAATTGGGACGAATGCGTCTGAGATGGTTGTCCCCACTACGACAGTCGTGGATGGCGTTATGGGGATGAAGGCGCCCTCGCTGGTCGTGGACGTTCCGTCATCCTGGTGCGGTGACTCGGTGGCGGACGATATAATCATGACAGTGCTCGGTCCACTGGCCGTCGATGCTGTTGCCGCGCCTGGTGTCGCACGAGGGAAATGCGTAATAGTAGGCACGTCGTTTCGCCGCCGCACGTTCCCGATGTTGTCGCGATTCCCAGGTGCTGCAATCCATTGCAGTACGCCGATGATGGCTGCTGTGAGGATCACAAATCCAAGAAGTGACACCGTCCTCAAAGCTGAGGGTGAATAGCGCTTGTTCGGCGGATTTTGAGAAACTAAGGTCCGATTAGATAAAGCTCGTGTGTCTACAGGGTAAAGAATATATGCAGGTTACGCACGGGGTGGCTCTTCCTGAGGAACGCCGGAGTAACGGCCGATAGCCTGCAAAGCTGCCATCGCAGCGGTCGGAATTTAGTGATGCAGCAGAACTGGCGCAGGGCGTGGAAGATTTAGAAGAGTATTTGATCATAGTCCAGCAGTAATAGACCATCAGCCGTGGCGCGGTGGCTGCACTCTATTTTGCCGCCAGGACACTCCTTCGGGCTGAGTTGAGTGCCTGGCACAGGAAGAGTAAGTTACTAGCCAAACAAGCGGGTATCAAGTGACGAGGCTGGGCGCTTTCTACAGCCTCGGTCAAAGCGTCGACCATACAAATGCTTGATTGAGGACTCCAACTGATACCCCTGCACATGCTTAAACGCGGATTGGCCGAGAGACTGCAGTCGTGCTACTAGCCGAGCTTGGCGCATCCCGTTGGCCGGGGGCGGAGCAAAGCCAAGCCAGCCCAGGCCCGCGCTAAGTATAGATTCTTGAGCGGTCAGTCCGGCTTTGAAAGCATCTGCCGACGCCGAAGATGTACGCAAGTGAGAAAAACGGTTCCTCGGTCGTAGTTATAAATCACGATTGAGAATGAAGCCTCCTTTCGCACCGATAGTCCCGTGCGGAGGGGCTTGGTTCAGCTTCGCAAGAATCTTCTAGGATCTCTGAGTAAGCAAACGAAGAATATTCTATCTAAAATATTTCTAAAGTTACGAGGGCAGCTATAGTTCTGTCACGCACAGCAGCCACATCTAGAACTGCCATAGAACTCAACACTGGCTTTTTCCTCGTCTCCCCAAACTGTAATGAATGGACTTGGACCTTTACACCTCCATTCTGCAAAAAGCCATTCTCTTCGCATAGAAAATTGGTAGATTCCCAAGGTTGCGCTTATTGAAATGTTGTAGGCACAGCTAAGCCACGTCTCACTGACGGTACTTAGTGGCTGCGACAGCGCTAGTTGAATCCGCATCGGTGTACATGTGCCGCAGGTAGGGCTAGGAATGACTGCCAGCGGCTAAATCCCAGCTGAACCATCCCTACCGGATGCACGCCACGTCAGGTGGGCCCGCGGAATGCCAGACAGTTGTACCATCGACTAGATAGCTCATGGATACCTATTCAATGTAGATCGATAGTAGGATTGGATAATTTCATTCTTTGTATCTTCTCAGCTTGCATTCGTCTCCCCGTATCGTCTTCCAATATCATCACCACGTCCTGCTAGTCCGTTACCGCGGCGCCTCATCCATGTAACCGCAGATACTACATCTTTCCCAACGCGGTTTATTAGAATCGCCCAAGAACCCCGCAACTTCCCCACCCAACCCCCGTCGCACCTTACTTCCGCACGACCCTCAAATCGCCATAAGCCTCACGCTCGTTGCTCAACGGCTCCCCAACATTCGCCATCTCACCCGCAAGCATGCCATCCATCTCAAACTCCGCCTCAGGCAGCGCCTCCACCAGCGCCGCCACAAGCACCGCCACCATCATGGGCCCAAACGCCGCCCGAGCCGGACACAGGAACGGCGCTCCACCAAACGCCAAAAACGGCCCCCCACCACCACTGGCGGCAGCAACCCAGCGCCGCGGCCAGAAGCTGCGCGCATCGTCGACCCCACCGCCGCCCCACACGGCCCCATCGCGCTGCACCCCCTCGACGTCCGCGGCCACACGCCCCGCCGGCAGCGGCAGGTCGCGGTAGACGCGGCGCGTGGGCGGGTACAGGCGCAGGGCCTCCTTGGCGACGGCGGCAGCCGACACGGCGGCCCCGCGCTCTGCGTCGGCGTCTGCGTCTGCGTCTGCGTCTACGACCTCGTGGAAAGCGCTCGGCGTCGGGTCGTGGAGGAAGGCGGCGAGGGCGGCGCGCCAGCACGCCTGGTCGGAATGGCGGTGGTTGCGGGCGGAGCAGCGCACTTCGAGGAGGCAGCGTAGGACGACGCGCCAGGTGGTTTCGTAGGCGGGCAGGATGAGCGTCATGGGGTTCTGTCGGGGCGAGAGCGGGTCACGGGAGGGGATGAGGGCGCGGAGGGCGGCGATGAGGGCGTGGTGGTGGTGCCAGGGGGTGATTGCGGCTGGGTGCTGGCTGTGTTGCTTGGAGGCGAGCCAGATGGTGTTGATGGAGGAGGCGATGAAGCTCATCGTGTCGTTGTTGAGTGTGGAAGCGTCGAGGCCGAAGAATAGCTGGAGCGAGATCTTGAGAGTGAGGGTCTGCACGAGCGGAGCGAGGGCGAAGGAGCGGGACCTGCTTGAGATGCCGGTGGTGGCGATTTGGCGCGCCGTCGTTGCGAGGGACTTCCACTGTGAGTTTGATACCCTTAGGTGTGATTCGCTAAGCTTGCGGAACTCCTTGTACCATTCAACATCGGTCGTTGTGAAGGCGTTATCAATGCCGAAAGCTACTTGTAGTCTTTCGTTCGGTAGTGCCCGTGCTTGAAGTTGAGAGAGGAGAGGAATCCTTCTGCTTGAGCCGCCGAGTGTGCAAGCAAGGATGGCTTTGCAGCTTTCGATGTCTTCGAAGGTGGATCTGCTCGGATCGAACAAGGCATTGCCAGCGGTCGGCGTCGAGGTTGTCTGCTCCTTCGTTAGGCGCCCGTCTTCATATCCAGAAATGAGCTTACAAAGTTGGCTTTCCGACGCAGCAACAGAAGTGCCGAGAGAAGGACTGCAGCAGCACAGAATGTCCAAGGGCGGTCTTTAATGCACATGTAAGTGGCAGCGATTGCCAGGAACGTACTCAAAGCCCACAGGACGAGCGTGAGATGCATGATCCAGGGTCGGTAGAGCAAGCTGAGAGTGTAGTGACGAGAGCTGAGTGGCACCAGCGACCTTCAGGGGGCTCCAGTAAAGGTGTCTGCTCACGCTATTGACCATAAGTTGCGAACCGGGAGCAATTTGTGGGTGCGTGCAGGGTCTTACGTTGAGAACTGTCAACTTCGAAGGGAGCGCGGGTGACTACAAGAGGAAGTGGGTAAAGGTAAGGGTCCTTTGAGGCAGACGGAAAGGCATTAAGCACTTTATGCGGGCGGTGGCGTGTGACATTGAAAGGAAAGCACGTGCGTTTGCAGCGGCCGGGAGAAGAATCGGGTGACGACTCCAACTTTCATAATGCAAACGCGTGGTTTTATCATGGGAATAGCATCTGCATAGTCATATAGAACAATTCAGAAACGTTGACAAGGAGCCGGAATTATAATCACTGCTTGCCTTAGCTGTGCTAGCGATGATAAGAACATTCCGCCACCGTCAGTTCTTGCCACCTTTTCGTAGGTCTGAATCGCCCCATGTGTCTATACGCTATATGCATCGAATGATGGGCTCGTGAAGTTTGACTGACTCCCAGTGGCTCACAAGACTAACCGCCATAACCTGGCTTGTCGGATGTCTTTATGTATGCTTTGGATTGAGCAGCCACCCTCTGGGAACGATTTCTCTTTCACCAGTCATCCGTCGGTACCCGATGGTGCCTTATCATACCAGACATAGCAATCCCGGGGAACCAAGGAATGTGGAAGGGAAAAAGGGCGGGAATCTCTACGCTATGATCTTCGACGAACGCCTCAACATCTACGCAGCCACCATCGGTGTATACGCCGTGTGGGTGGTCGCTGATGATGGCTCTAGTGACGTAAGTTTTGTGTGCTTCCAATCTAGCGCGACCCGCATATCCGAGGCGGCGCAGCTGCCCGAAGCGACAAACTTCCATACTGCCACATACCGTTCCAATAGCGCTGCTTGGTAGGACATTGTACTTTCGAGGCCATCTAGGCGTCCCAAAGGCTCAATGCCTGAGGCAGGGTCGAACATGGTTCGAGGCTATCTCACACTGCTGCATCTCTCAAGTAGCGCCTGCCACGGTGTCAAGTGGACAGCTCAGCCAATATACTCGCTTCTGGATGAGCACATTCTGCACCCGGCGAGCAAAGAGCAGCCCATCAAGGACTAGCCACCCTCCATGAAACTCCTAAGCCCAGGCTACCGCGCCTTCCTCAGCGGGGACGGCTACGACATCAACCATAGGGTCTGCACATACGCAGGGTACCCCTCTCTTATCTTCCACTCCAACTAGCGGAGACTCACTGCTGCGGCTGACGAAGGCGTGGATTGCGTCCGTCGTTGTGTTGCGCAATGCTTCTTGTCTGTGGGTTCGGAGAAATACTTTGGCGTCGGCCAATTTCCGGTCGGTGAATTTCTGCGATTCAGTAAAAGTAGGGGCGGTAACCCGAATAGAGATGGAATGCGACGGTGGCCTATCCGCTATCGTTTTATACTTTCTGAACTGTCTTGGCTGCACGTGGGGTAACAGCATCGACCATACTGTTGATATATAAAAGAGAGCTGCTGTTTGAACAGTCAGAGCCAGCATCCACCATTCCCTCAACGACCTCAATCACCATCCAACCGATCCACCTTTCAATCTCAAAACAAATATCAACAGTCAGTCCATTGTCGTGGAAAGATAGTCGATCGTCGACTGACCCCAGATACAGAAATGGTCCACTTTTCCGCCATCTTCCTCGCCGCCGTCGCGACCATGACGCCCCTGGTCAGCGCCGCCTGCTCTGTCGACATCATCAACTTCAACCAGGTCGCTGTTGGGCACGCGTGCATTCCCGCCAACGGCGAAGGAGACATCGTTGTTGCATCGACGAAGAAGACCTACACTGTCCTCACCTCGGAGTCGTGCGGTCTCAGCCTCCGCGCCCAGGCTCTGCCGGCCAACTGGTCGCTTCAATACAAGGGCTCGTGCTAGTTGGAAGAAGTGTTGGAGAGGGTTGGCTTGAAGTAGTTCATTACTCTGTGCAAATTTACAATTCCTGCTCAAGTGTCCTTTGTCGTGGTGAAGCCTTTGGTTGCACTCGGGAGATGTCCATAGCAAAGTCTTCGAACCACATTCAAGTCTTTCAACAGCTTCCTGGTGAACGTGCCTTTTGAGCTGCCTCGTAGACCAAGATAGAGGCGCTCGACCATGGCAGCCTTACGAGGGTCTGTTCGGTTTCGCTGACTCATGGACCTCGTACTTTACACGCCATCTTCTATTCGGGCCGTAATAATACACATTACACGGCCAATGGACGAGTAGTACTAAAGCATAGACCATGCCTTATCACACCGTATCCTTGCGGGCCGACCATAAAGTATAAAGAGCCGCTACTTGAGCCGCAGTCATCTATACGGGAGAACGAGCTTCTATAGCTAACTCTATATGGTAGTAGTGCTGCCACGCCAGAGCAATCGCCGCAGCTGCCAAAAAACGCACTTGCAGCCACCAACACCCTGTACTTAATTGATTCTCCATCTTCGTGCGCATTAGTCATGACACTCTCACCGTCTATTTGGTGATGCCATCTTGTGTGACCCTCGACCCCAAATTGTAAAGGCCTGAACCGAGAACGTGCCCGTGCCCATGCCCGTGCCCCAAGTCCATACGCATTACACTTTCTCTAAACTACGAAATGTCAATGCATTCTTATCTCAGCTCTACGGATGACAGTCGGGACAATTTTCAACGGATTATCCGCCTTGCAAAGACAAGGCGACGGAGGATCTGGAAGCCCATTACCCAGCACGACTTCATCACGACTCCATCACGGATATCATTCCGATGCGGACCGCTCAGCCCTCAAACTAAACGCGCGTCGTCACCCCTCCACACCCTTTATAGCAAAGCTACAATGACTTGACAATCCGCTGCACCATCACTCACGCCCTCTCCTGCCGAGTCCCCATCTACACCCACGCCGCCTCCGCAACCATCTGCCTCTGTCCGGTCTCGCCCACTATCACCCTTCTCTTCCGCACCCTCTAATCCATGGACCGTCTATCCCGCAAGAAGCCATCAAAACTATTGATTTCTACCTTCTATGCTGAAGTCAAATGTATTTATTACGTGTTCAAGCTTCACTAATCACCTATATAGTCTGCTCATATCCTATAGTTAGTCGAATAAGCAATCCGGTCATCTCTTACTTCCCTTAATCCCGTCACTACCAATCGGTCTTCAGCGCTCTATTCCACCTCGCCTCCGCCGCCGCCTCTTGTTGATCTGCGGAACTCGCACTCTGCGGCATCGCCATGCAGCTCTGGAGCGGCGCCGGACGCGTGCTGCGCACAGTGGTGGCCGAGGCGTCGGAGCGTACACCGTAGCGGTGGGGTGTGGGTGATGCAAGGGGGGTTGAGTGGGCGCGTGGGTGCATGTCGAGGTGGCATGTCGTGGTTGGTGAAGTACTGGCTGGCCGGGTTGCCATTTAAATTGCTGCTGCGGACTCGGGGAATGAAGAGCTTCCCCCTCATGGATGCCAGATTGAGGGTGCACGTAGTAGATTCGCCCATTCCACGCACTCTCCTGGTCCGTTTTGCGGGGTGGAAACGAGCAAAACGCGTACCCGGCCTGCGAGAGCAGTTTTAGTCTGCTTCCATTGTTTTACAACCCCCAATTCCGAAGATTTGAGCTAGAAGGATCTCGATATCTGATCATCCCCTACCATCAAGGTGGCTAATAACCAAGTATGTTTGTTTGTCTTTGCTTGTTTCAACCAAACAATCAAGCAAAGATAGAGAGCTGGCCATTGCTGACCCTCTACCTACTAAGCAAGCAAGGATCGAGCCTCATCTTTGTTTGTCTTTGATTGTTGGCCACCTTGGCCTACCGTCAAGCGCGAACCATTTCATTCCATCGGTATCACTTTAGAGGGGAACGAAGAATTCCTTTCATTCCCCTCGCGAAAGAAACAGCCTCACCTTCAGCTTTCAAATCTTCTCCGTTTGAGCTAATATGGGAAGTCAGGTATATTTACCTCTGAATGGCCCCTCGTCCTGATACCCAACGAATCACCCGACTCTCTACACCCAAGCTTCCAGATATCTTTGGCTTGATTCACCTCAATGGGAGCCTCTGAGAATCCGATCGGACCGATGCCTCGTTGCACCACATTTCCTTCAGCCACAGAGCTCCATTCTGCGAAATCGACACACCGGCTGAACCAGATCGACCGCGTTCGAGCCAGCGGAATAGGCGATCACATCCCCCTTCCTCAACTAGTCGTATGCGGCGATCAGTCCTCAGGGAAAAGTTCTGTATTGCAAGGAATCACCGGGATTCCATTTCCGCGAAAGGATGGGCTCTGTACGCGGTTCGCAACAGAGATCATCTTACGTCACGACTCAACCAAGGAGCAGGTCTGCGCAACAGTCATTCCTCATGACTCCAGAAGTGAGATCGAGAAACAGGACATCTGCCGTTACCGTAGGGAGCTCCACGACTTTGAACAGCTACCGATTGTGATTGAGGAAGCAATCAAGCTCATGCAACTCCGCGGCGCAGAGGGTGTCAACAAAGGTCCATCTTTCAGCGCCGACATCCTGAGGATCGAAGTGGTTGGCAAGACCGGGCTTCACCTGACGATCGTCGACCTTCCCGGTCTCATCTCAGTCTCCAATGATGAGCAAACCGAGGAAGACGTCGAGATCGTTTCGGACCTAGTCAACACATACCTCGAAAGCTCACGCACAATCATCCTTGCCGTGGTGCAAGCCAACAACGATATTGCGAACCAAGGCATCATTCAGAGGGCGCGAAAGTTCGATCCGCAAGGTCAACGTACAGTTGGGATCATCACAAAGCCAGACCTGATCAACCACGGCACAGAAGGCCGGATCGCCGCCTTGGCCAGGAACGAGGACACCACCAAGTTGAAGCTTGGATTCTTCTTGCTCAAAAATCCCAGTCCACTGGATCTTGACACTGGCCTTGGCGCAGACGAGCGGAGGCGCAGGGAGCTGGCCTTCTTCGCGGCCAGCCCGTGGAAGGAACAACACCTGGATCCCGGCCGAGTCGGTGCAGATGCACTTTCGGCTTTCCTTCAGAACCTGCTCGATGCACACATCGAGCGCGAACTTCCGAAAGTCCGACGCGAAGTTGAGGCCTTGTTGGCTCAGACCGAGCAGGACCTCGAGGCGATGGGACAAGAAAGATCGAATGTAGGGCACCTTCGCATGTTCCTTACAAGCTTCAGCATGAAGTTCATGGGCTTGACACAAGCGGCTCTTGATGGCAATTATCTGGAATTGGAACGTGATCTCTCCACGAAGGACGACCTACTGGATGTATCCTACCGTCTGAGGGCGCAGAGTCACATCCTCAACGGTGGCTTTTCCGAGAACCTACGTCTTCATGGGCAGAAAAGAAGCTTCATCGGGAAACATGCTCAGCCAATGAAAGATGAAAAAAACATCGGATCCAAACAAGCAGAGTTCGATTCCTGGATTAGAGAGGTATTTTCACCCTCCACTTTGCGAAAACAATTTTGACAGCAACAGGTCTACACGAGAACCAGAGGGCGGGAACTTCCGGGGAATTACAACCACCTTTTGCTTGCAGAGCTGTTCCAAGAGCTATCAAGTCCTTGGGAGAGCATTGCACGCAAACATGTTGGCGAAGTCAACGATCTTGTTCAGAGATTCGTCAGCAAGGTTTTGGACAAGATTGTGAGCGAAGAAAGTGTTAGAGCTGAGCTCCATCAGTATGTGAGCGATGAGTTGGAGCGCCGCGCTCAAGAGGCAGAGAAAGAACTGGGAAAAATCCTTGCTGATGAACGGCGCGAACCAATGACTTACAACCACTATTACACTGACAATATTCAGAAATCGCGCCAATGCTCCATGCGCAACTCTGTTCAGGCGACCATGAAAGACGTCATATCGAAAGACTGGGGAGGAGTTGTGCATCTCACCAACACGGAGTATGACCGCAACGAGCTTCTCGACTCACTTGGAAAGCGTGTCGTAGTAGACATGGATGCGCAAGCGTGCGAAGAAGCTAGGGTGGGTCTGGAGGCATACTACAAGGTAAACACCTCTCCGCTATAGTAAAGAATCTCGAATTAATATATCTAATAGGTGGCACGAAAAACCTTCGCGGACAATGTCTGCCGACAAGTTGTGGAGCGCCACATCCTGTCCAAGCTTCCACATATCTTCTCGCCGACAGTGGTGATCGGATTCTCAGACGAAGACCTCGTGCGAGTTGCCTCGGAGCCACAGATCCGAAAGGAACGTCGCCAAAGACTGGCTAAGCTGGCGCAAGGCCTTGGGGAGAGCTTGAGAGGACTAAGGAAGTAGACTGTGTGGGAACTGGTGTATGCGGGCTGTGGCACTCTGCTTATGGTTTTTCCTTCGAACATTCGAGGGTTTTTCCCATACGCGTACGCAAATGCGAGGGTGTACTGTATTCTCTTACTTTACCTTTTTCTTGATCATCTATTTACAAGGACAGGCGGGGGAGTATGAGTACCTGGACCACGTTCTCTTCTCTTAGCAAGAAAAGCACCCTTTCTAGGGGCCACAGCTACGCAAGTCGGCTTGGCTGCTGAGTGACGAAAGTTTATTTGAATTGAAAATTGAATGTATATTTCGCTGTCGCGCGGAAGTGGGAGGCGGGTCAGCTTTTTGAGTATGGAAAATTTGCCGCTTGACTGGCCGCCAACAACGATGATCCGGACAGGACAATGTAGTGATAGATATTGCAAGCAAAGAGATTTTCGGTTTTTGTGAGCATGGACTGGTCCGCGGGAGGGTGCACTAAAGGCGCAGACATGATGTTATGGTGGTAACTCTATGAGTGGCAACAAATATCCTCGCATGACATCTTACTCTACTTGGAAAGTATTTTGAAAGAAAGCCAACGACAGTATCAAGAGCCCACCAGTTGCCAGGGACTCGTCTCCTACTCGTGACGGAAGACACCCAACTTGGCCATCACTTCTCGAACCATATCAATATCTCCACTCGAATCAAACCAGACGGCCCCAACCAGGGCTTCGACCGTCGAGGCCAAGGTTTCTTGGGGCGCTTCTCCCTTCTGGCATGGGTTCAAACGTATCATGTGTTGCAAATGCGCCTTGGACGCACGAACCCGAAGAGCGGCGTTCGACACAGTTTCTTTGAGTAGTTTGTTCCCAACCGCTTTACATGTTGTCAGTGCAACGATTTACATTAGAAACACATCATTACTCACATGGATCCGTGCCTTCGCCGTACCATTTCTCGAGAACAACGAGCTGGAGCACGGCATCTCCGACCATGGCGAGTCGTTTGTTGCCGCGCAGGTCTCCACGAACCTTGGGGTCCGACACGCTCGTGCCAGCTGCTAAGAGAGCTTCATCTCTAAGCTTAGAGTTTGAGAACTCGTAGCCTAGGACACGCTCAACCTGCTGCATTTTCTGTGATGGTGCTTGCAAGAATAAATAATGGAATCTTCAGTATGGTTGCAAAGGTATTTCGATGCTCCAGCGAAGTGCGGGTTTGAGGCAGGGTATTTAATCTGAGGACTGACGAGGCATCTGAGAGCACACGATGCCTATTGCAGTCCACCATTGATGGTTGCCGTTTTCGATGACCAACAACTTGATTTCTTCGTCCTGTAAACCATACATTGCTAAGTCGATCGGAGGAGCGTGGGATGATCGTTCCTCCAAGCCATGGTTCAAACTGGCTATCTTTCATGCACTGAGAATAGTTTGCTGCATTCATGGTAGTTCCTTGTAGCATCTGGTGTCGCGTCCAGATGTGATGTTCATATCAGATGCTACCACCTTAGGTCAACAAAGCCCCTACGTCCAGAGGTCTACGAATCTCGCTGACTGTACGTCTCTTTGCACTCAGGTCAACACATATTCATCAGATGAAAGTGCTTCATGTTTCCAGGTAGACTTGACGCGCTGTTTGATATGCCGACTGTCCTCCCACAAGCAATGTGGATACAGATCGTAACGCTTTTTGCAGATGGGATGGCTGTGTATCCAAAGGTGTCCGATTCAATCTCCGCACGCGGAGCAATCGGAAGTTGACCGGAAGAGCATGGAGCCATGGCTCGGTGATGTCGCATCAACATCGCGCCGAAACCAGCCGACCCGCATACGTCAGGTACGTTCGAGAGGAGAGTGAGCGTTAAATGTACATGTCTGGGTGCTTCATCAATGAGATGACTCGCATTTATGATAAAAAGAGTATCTCATCTATCACCATCCGTTCCCCATCTTCATGAGCGCCTCCGTGCCACATCACCAATCATGGCCGCAGCGCCGACCCGCACGACACCAGTTGCAACACCAATCCCGTAGCCACCCATGGCAGCGCTCTGGAGGATGGAAAACCCACCACCAGCTGTCAAGGGGGAAAGAGCCGAATGCAGAGTCGCGGCAATGGAACCTAAAATTGGCGTCATTGGTGAATTATTTCTGAACCTGCCAAGGCCGGATCCGGTGCGGCTTACCAGCGGCTGGACCCAAGCTTGTGAATCCCAGCACTCCAAGGAGCGGATTGAGAATCGTAGTGGGCACAACAAGAATTGCTGTGTTGATGACGTAGATGGCGGTTCTGTACGGATGCTGGTTGATCCAAGTGATGGATCTTGCGGCAACCTCTCTGATTTTTGTGATGACCTGGCCCATTTCGGCAAAGAAATATGCTGTTCAATTTCAAGTAAGCTTTGGTAAGGAGGGACGAGAAAGGTTCGCCTGGACTGCTTTTATACGTCCTTCTTAAAGAATGGGACTTATCAATGCGTTGCCGCAGTTTCAGGAAGGGAATGCGGTCTTGGAATATTATGACAAGACTCCGTTCCCAACCACGGCGATCCCAGGATTCTCGTTGTCACCTCGAGCGCCTTGTAGGCGTTGCTCACCACGTGGACCTTGTTCACCGGGAAGACCTAGCTCACCGGGAAGACCTTGAATGCCACAAGGGCCTTGGTCACCGCGAGGGCCTCGGTAACCGCGAAGGCCTTGTTCGCCCTGAGGCCCTTGGTCCCCACGAGGGCCCTGCTCACCGCGAAGCCCCCGCTCCCCACGGTGGCCCTGCTCGCCGCGAGGGCCAATCCCGCCATCGCGGCCATCGCGGCCATCTTGTCCAGACACTCCATCAGCGCCCCGCGCGGGCCTTCCGCGCCGTCACGCCCCATGCAGCGGCCGCGCAGTGGCAGTGCACCAGACGATCAAGATGAGCACGGCGATGGATAGGCCTGTTGCGAGACCGATCGTCGCAGCTGTCGCCGTCCCGTCGTTGCGGCCGCCACTGCGGCTGGCATTGTCTTCTGTGTGCGTTGTTGGTGGCGACGGCGACGGCGGAGGCTCACGAGCTGGCTGGACGCTGCTACTGGCTGTGGGTCACGGGGGAGGGGAGTGACGCGCGAGGGTGATGGTGGTTGTGTACGTGGTGTCGGGCTTGGTTATCGAGAGGGTGATGGCTCGTTGGTTGGCGGAGGCCATTGCGGGTGCGGTGCGGTGCGGCGCGGCGTGTGCGATGGGCTGGGTAGTTAAGTCTTTGGTTTGCTTTTCTTGCGTGGAACATCTTACTTGTTCAGTATTCGGGAGGGTTTAGCAGTCAGGAGTCAGGGTAGGGCGGGAGAAGAGCGGGCGGCGAAAGCTTGCAGCAGAATGCAAAGAAATGACTCACTATACGAAATGTCCCTTGGACATCTATCTGGAATAGAGGAAGTATATAATATTTTTATTACTATATACCGTTCTACCTTTCCACCTATATATATTAACCCCATGTTAAATATAAGGCTTAGATTCTACGTCTTATACACTTATCTAGACCATTATATTAACGAGATGCTATATCCTATCCTTTCCTAAGCCTCGGGCGGACACCTACATTTATAAGCCTTAGATGCCTTAGCTCGTATATTCTATCTGTGTAGACTTATCTATACAACAAGCTTTTCCGCGTTTTTCTTTATACCTGGCTGTGCCGTTACTGAACCCTAAGAATATTTAGATATATACAAATAAGGATCTTGGATGAACTGACTGGAGGAATTGTGGATCGTCTACTCGAAGAGCCTTGAGATCTCCGACGGTGCAGTGTCACAGATCTCTTTCTCGGACATTGAGCATATCGGTATCGGACGGGAACGACCGCCGAATATGTTGATACCGTCAAAGCTAATTGCTCCAAGCTCAGGGCGTGCGACGAAAAGATATTTGCCGATCCAAGTGGCAAACTCGAGCGTAAGGCCAAAAACACTGTTATGCTATTGTCAGTGGAAGATGAAGATGAGTAAGAATGCGCACAAGAGGCCGACACTTACTCGTCATCTAATATTGGCCGTGAGAGTCTATAATATATTTCGGGCGGCTTCCATTTGTTTAAATTGAGAACTGGAGGCGGATTCGTCCCGAGGAGGTTGGCAATCTCGTCGACCTGGGGAGTGATTAAGATCAACCAGTATGGGTGGAGTGGACGCTCGCCGCTTTCCAAGAGTGATGCCAGAATTGCCCCGATCCGGAGGTGCCGGGCGACTTGTTCCTCGGCTACAGTGCAATCGTAGCCTGCTTCTCGGAGGTCCATTATCAGATCTTCCCTCACTTGCTGGTCCGCCTTCCCCTTACGTTTCGGCGCGGTCTGCCCTGAAGGATCTGGTGTTTTGCCATACTTCCGCGCATGATGCAACCTTCGTTTTTGCGCCTGCCGCTCGGTCTTGAGACGCTCTTTTCGCAAGTCGACGTCAGATTCAAAACGTTTGTGGTATAGGTATAAGTAAATCAAAGCTTTGGATCTCAAGATGGATGGCTCATTGGTGAACTTGACGATCAACCCGTGTAATTCGCACAGATCTTCAACAATTGAAGATGGCGGGAAGGGCTCTCTTAGTAAGGGTTCCATTCCTACCTGTAGTAGGAGTTTTTGTAAAGCAACAACTCTTTCCGGTCGTGCCACTTCACAGATGCATTGGAGTGCTCTTAGCACGTCCCCTATATCTTTGCGCGGTGGTGCACCTTCGAAAGTTTGAAGTATCCCTTGAACATTGAGTTCCGATTCGTCTACAGCAGTAGAGATGCACGATCTCCACGCTTGGGCTCTGCGAAGTGTGTTCTCCTGGATGATGGATGGACTTGGCAAGTCCGAAAAGAAGCCGGATATCATCCTTCTTGCCTTTGTCGGCCGACTTGCAGACAAGGGGCCGGTCGGCACCCTCTTCGCTGAGTGTCTGACCGAGTCTGCCTTATGCATCTTCTCACCGACAAACTCGTTCTGTTCCTCAAAACCCGATGTGAAGCCATCGGAGGAACTCTCGGGGTCCGAGTCAATCCGGACTGGGACACAATTGCTGCGACCAAGGTTAAGCGTAGCAAGCTGATCCATCGTGGTGCTTCGGGAGCTAGCGCCACTGCTGGTGTCGCTCACTTGGGCTTTCTCTCCTCCATTGATGGATTGATCCCTTGTATGGCGGCTGCCTACGACGTTTCGCGTGTTTGCCTGGACGCAAACGGTTCGGTTTACGGCCCACGGAAACGGAACGCCACCCTTTGTTGAATCGCGAGCATGCAGGCTCAACGCAGGGGATTGAAAGCTTGTGCCAGAGGCACCTAGATGCGGAGAAGCCGCCTCTGAGCCCGGCTCGTTCGGCTGATGGGCAACACAACCTTCCTCGTTGAAGAAGCCGGCTGTGTCGGATCGGTCTTGTGTTAGATGGCGCTTACTCAAGCTGGTCAGCTTCGGCCAAGAAGCGCGGCTGCCGAGTGAGACAGTTGACGATGCTGATTCCACAACACGAGATGGCATTTCCCCAGCCCGAGGGAAGACCGGGGCTTCCAGGGTTGGCTGGCGCTGGGAATGTCCTCGGCTCTGAGGCCAAACGCCCACATCAACTCCTGCGTCCGTTCGCGGTACGCGTGGAGGACTGGCAAGCGTGTGGTTCGATGCTACAGGGCCAGGTTGGCTGGCAGCGTCAGGTTCCGGCTCGCACTCGATGACGCTTCCAGCCGCAGCGTCTCCGAAAACGCTCGCATGGCGGGAGCTATGCCAGATGACGAAGTCTTCGAATTCGGGTGTGGAATTGGCAGCCATGCTGACGCTGGCTGAACCGATAAGGTGAGGGTCAGAGCCAACGGAATCCAGCCCGCTGCGACGGTCAGGTGACGTATCGTATCACCGTCCATCCCTGCCCCTTCAGGCCGCTGTTCCAGTCTGGCCCGGACCGCGCGGTGCACGCGGCCCGGCCAGGGGCCGAAGTCGTCAGAACGCGATTCTAGCTCCTGCGCGGCCCAGGCCGCGTCTTCCAAGTCCTGATCCTGGGCCGATCCTTGTAGTAAAAGCACCAAGGCCTCGCCGGGGGTTAGCAAGGTGCGCACACGCCTATCAAGATGGCAATATCGTACTTTGAAGATGAGGGATATGTAAGCGGCTTCGTGGCCGTCCACCACCGACAAGAGCGAAGCTGAAATGGTCTCGTGCGGAAACATGTTGCGGGTGGCGTTCTTTAGCGAAGACAGCCATGGATGGCGCGCGCCGTTTATGGGCCCCTGCCCGCCGCCCCGGCCCGACTTTCATCCCACTTGGTTAGCGTCGACCACTTGAGCAACACATTCCTCGTCCAGCTGGTCGATGAGACCGACTACGTTCTTGATACCACCCTTTGTTGCCTTCAGCATGTCTGTCCAAAAGCTTTAAGAGGGCTCAAAAAGGATGCTTGCGTGCTGTAGAACGCACCAGGGAGCCACTTGGCAGCATCGTCATGGCACAGGCGCGGGAAAAAGAATGAGCGACAGTAGGACATCTCATCGCATCATATGATCATCGCGTTGGTACATGAAGAGGAGCTTCCTTGCTCAAGGGGTCGGTGCAAGCAGGACTGCTGCACACGCAGCCTGACAGGATCCAAACGCTGCATTGCAAGCCACAATCGACGCCGGCGCCGAAGCTCCCAGAGTCGCTCCCCAAGTGAAGCCCGCAGCCGCATAACAAGCCGTGACAACCCCCGCACACCCTGCCTGGCACACCCCGTATGCCGCCGGCCCCGCGCTCGCAACGCCCAGGAAAACGAAACCGTATCCGATGAGGAAACTAGGCGATTGCCGCATTTTGTCTGATCTGTATAGTCAGATTTCGGGCTTGAATAGGATCTTCATGTAAGTGTGTTCACCTCTGGTCGATAAGTCTCGGTGCTTGATTTTGTACGGGCCTGATGTTGGGGGATCTTTCGTGATAGCTAATGCGAAGGCGCATCTCGCCAGAATTAAATACTAGCAAGTCGGTCTTGACACCTACGCTGGAATGACGAATTGGAAGCCATTCTGATCCCAAGAGAGAGGGAAAGGGATCTGACGCACATTTTCGAGTACAATGCATGTCGCCAGCTTTGAGGTCACGAATCAATGGGGTGCGATAGCAGTGGACCTATCGAGGGTACGTCTGTATCCCCCTTTGTGGCCTTCCTCCCATCTCGCTTGCTACTCTGATCCCCATTCCTCTCTAGGTCCTCTTTCCGGTTGGCTGCGCCTTCAACCTCCTTTTCGACCTCGTCTCCGCCCTTATCTCCTGACCAGGGCTGACTGACACACTCCTTGTATGACGGTAACCGAAATACCGCTAAGCGGGAACTGCCGAGAGGAAGACAGGAGAAATGCTCGACGTGCTCGACGTGGCTATCGCTGCCCATTATCTTCCCTTTGGAGTAGATGCACGATATCGACCCCTTGCGCAGAGATGAATCTTGATTCCACAGAAAAGGCCCACGGATGCTGTGGCACGAGCGCAAGCGGGGCGGAATGCGTGGAGGAGGGCGATGAGGGCCAGACGCAGAAGGATGGGCATGGTTTCGGATTCGAAGGTCTCGATTACGGTAGACGGTCAGAGTATTGGGAATGAGAGGAGGCGATGGCGGAGGCAGAGGCAGAAGTGGGGTAGAGGCGGCGGCAGTCATCGTTGCGGCGGTGGTGGTGAGGATGGAGAGGTGTGTGATTGTGCTGGTGGACAATATTTACAGTCGTGTGTGGAGGCTGAGGAGTAGCAGTCGATCTCATGGTAGGCTGTGGAGGAGAGGAAAAAGGGTCAGGAAGCACGACGATCGATACCAGATGTTTCAACCCGCAATGCCTCCGGCACTGGCACCACCATTGTTACGGTCGAACGGCTGGGCACAGATGACGTAATCCTAATCTTCCATGTGGGCAGTTGGAGTAGTCATCCTCCAATCATCTGACTACGGACTATCTGCACTGCTTCATCGCCTGAGAAACCGACGATGGGATGGACCGCCGACACTTCAGGGTCCATTGTACCTTCCACTTCCTTTTTCTTCCACTGCGTCTTGCCTTTACCATTTTCTTGTTTCGCTCCGACAATCCTGTCTCGCTGAATCTTCAATCTCACATCCAACCAAAATCCCTTGCATGCACCATGCTACAAGGGACCTAGAAAGCCTGCGCTCGGGGCTCTTCATTGCTGGAGCTAAGGGGAGCTGCATTTATGAGATCATCAATGCCGACAACGTCGCTTTCTCATAATGGTACGACTCTCCATCGGGGCCTTCACGTCACCGCTAACACGTCTAGGCGACCGCATTAGCTGTGTAGTAGAACTACGCGACCAAATCCGCTACTGCTACGGCATAGGCGGCTGTCCTCGCATTTCTATCCTCCTGTAGAAGCCCGACGGAGAGCTACTACGCAATGCTTTCAACCACATCTCACTGGAGACGCACGGCGACAAAACGGTTCGAGCAGTCATCTGCGGCATACCAGACCCGGCGGGTGTTCGAGGTGACGGACACGGCAGCGTGGTACGCCATGGACGACAACGGATTGGACCGGTTCCTAGGTAGGAGGAGCTGACTGACCAGGAACCCATTCTGATGAGAAGGTTCTGGCGCTGAGGCTTGAGCTCGCATGACATCTGAATATAGTCGCCAGTGAAGCTGCCTCCGTGGAGGTTTGCGAGGAAGCGCTGCATGAGGCACGTGCTATGGGGAAGAAGGTAGACACGGACGTTGAGATGGCGTTCGGGAGTGTGATTGATTTCCTCTGCAACTTTTCGCAGGGCAAGATTGCTAAGATTGAGGAGGGCCTGAAGAATGGGTGAAACGCCAAGCTTAGGTCGTGGCAGAGGCAGGGGGAGTACGAAAAGCTGCGCGAGAGGGTAAAGAATGCGTCGGAGTTGTTTGATCAATTGTTATATAGTCAGGAAGGAGATGCAGAACTAGGGGCAAGTGCATCAATTAATAGAATCGGCGTAATGGTCAATGATCGGTCCAATAGACGGTTTCTGCAGTGGTGGCGACATAGCGGAGTGGGCGGCTGAAGCACTCGACACCCGACGTCCGGGCAGATGGGCCACCGAGAGTGGGGCTCCGACAGGTCAACAGCGGAGTGGGTGATACAGTAAAACGACATGGCAGTTGCGTCGACATCCGAGCGGAGCGTGGTGGGCGGCGAAAATAGGGCCAAGAGAATCATGGTTTAACAATCATCAGGCAGTGGGGGCTGGGCCGCAGCCGAGAAGTGACGGAGCCATAAGAGAACAGTGTCGGGAGACGGACTTGGTGAGGCTGAGGATGGCAGAGAGTGAGCCGGAAACACGTACTCGTCGGTTGCACAAGCCCCCAATCTCGCATGGATGCTGCTGACTGCAGTGCAATCGATAGCCAGCCCCATCTCAGGCTTCAGTGGCGCGGTGGGGCCGACTTTCGGAGTAAAAAGCAACTACCCCCGTATGATAGGGGCGCAAGTTCCGGTCAGCTGCGTTGTCATCATGCAGTGCCACAATATTCACCTCTCCTGTATTTACTTGTTTGTGGCTTACCATCAGCCTAATCAGTTCAATCGCTGGCTATCTCCGCATGGGCTGCAAAGCGGATACAATCTACGGTACACTAGGACGAGGCAAGACCATATAGAAGATAAATATTCATCTACACGCTGTGGTGACTGTTGGGCTGACGGGTATTACTCTGGAAGATGCAATTCAGACTATCACGATTCAAGATACAGCTTTGCGCTAACTCTAGAATGAGGCGTTAAGGCAACCACCAGCAGCTAACGCAACCAGCCAAAAGGCCAGCGGCTGACTTCTTTTTACCACACCTTCCTGGCAACTGTATAGCTTACCATCTTACAATGCACGCCTTGCAGCGATAAGACGCGCTTTCGCATCCTTTTCTTATTTTTATCTGTTCGCCCAGCCAGCTGCACTTAAGGCCGTCGCTGGCCGCAGAGCATGCAATACTGATGTCTCCTATCCCACGATAACCTCGCTGTGCCCAACCCGACAACCTTGGGGAGCAAGATGCCGCAGCACTCCCGCAATCTCATTCCTCTGCTTGTACTTGCCTCATTTGCAGCTTTGAGTGTGTCATCAGAAATCCACATTTTCAGGGACGCACAATGCACGCAGACTCAAAACAACATCACGGGACCGAACGGTTATCCGGACGGAAGCTGTACCCTCTTTAGCCAGTGGGCGTCCGGCAACAACTATTCGAGCTTTCAGGTCGGTGACCTGGACCCGGGATGCACTGGTGAGTAGCACCCATGCTGGCCAACGACAACGATACTGACAAGATTTGGAAAAGTGGCCATCTACGGAGACGACATCAATACCTTCATCTGCTCGTCCAAGGTATTCGAGATTGCTGAAGTCGGAAAATGCTACAATGCGTCTTGGGTGTACTACAGCATCGACGGTTGCATCTCGCCAGGCGAAACACCATCAGCTGTTCCCAGCGGCGGCCAAAGCTCGCCGACAGGGGCTATAGTTGGAGGCGTGGTTGGCGGTGTCGTGGCTGTAGCAGCCGTTATTGGGGCATTCCTGTACGCACGACGGTCATGGAAACTCCAGAGTGAACATCGAGAGCACAATGCCCAACTACGTCAAGATTTGTACGAGTTGGCTTCCAAGCGGCATCCGGCAGAGCTGGTAGAGAAGCGTTCACCGGTGGAGATGGAGGCAGACAGTGGATTTGGAGTTGTTCCAGTGAAGCCTTACTCTGTGCCGAGCGGAGAGCGGGGTGAAGAGATGGTCGTTTCAAACAAGGACCGGGATAGGAGAGAGGAATAACCTTGAGCAAGGTCGACTACGAAGTTGTTCAGTACACTAATGAATATATTGCTTTCAGTATTGCCTGACACAGTTTTGAGCGTCATCGGCAACATCGCATGCATCGTCATCTATGACTTCGGCGTGGATGTAGCACGGCTTTCCTCCATCTTCCCATACCTCTTGTGCAAAGCAACTGTGTGAACCGGAGGGGCTGACTGGACGAACTCCCTGATGAGCGAATGAACACGCAAGTAGAACTGCCGCACGTTCGTTGAGCACTCGGCCGCTATGTCCTACTACTGCCGTCATCGCCGGATGTCGATCCCGCCCTTGTGTCTTCTGGTACGGTGTAGTAGTGCTGGTATTGGTAGGTGGGTAGCATTTTTGCGAGCGCGGCTGGGGACTGGGGACGGTTTGTCGTTTCGGGGTGAGATGGGTTTGTTAGCTGATCGCCGTCTCCGTCCGGCATCCAAGTCGCATACACAACTGACTCCCCTTCCTCTTGCCTCGCCTCTCTCCAACCCTCGCATTCGCAGCCCCGCTTGTTATACGAGAGCATCCCTACGCAGTGAGGCAGGAGGCAAGGATGCATGTAGGTAGGGTAACGGAGCCGCACCTATCATCAGCGGGAGCGGCGTCAGAGCAACCATTAGGTGGCGCGGCGCCGCCGCCGAACCGCAGCTGCCACCGTCAATGGGAGTGAGAGCGAGGTCCGTCGATATCGACGGGAGAGTGGGCTGACACACGGAGTAAGAGTTATCCTCGCGCGGTCAAAATTAGACGGCACGCGGTAGAGCCCGTTAGACGGGTTCGCGTTGCTCCTGACGGCCAATATCGTGGACTGCGCTGCCGCCCAGTGAGAGGGGAGTGTAGGACGTGCTTGCTCTGCCGCTCGCATTTTGAGGCTGCGCGACAGTGTGATGGTGGTAGTGCCTGTGATCAGACTCGGACGCCCGAGGATCCTTCGAAGTGAGCGTGGTCGGCTGTATGTGTGACTCAGACGGTCCGACATTGAAGGAAGGTGGGTCCTGAGACACGTGAGCAATGAATGCGGGCGGGCGATTGTCGCTTCGTGACGCCGTGTCCGTCGACATGTGTCGGATGCAAAGCAAGGCAACGGCAGGTGGGGTGGTGCTGTGGAAGTGATGGGTCGCGTCGGTGGAGCGGTCGGAGCGGCCGCGGCGGCTGGGAGTGGGAGGTTGAGAATGGGACGGACTGCCCACCGGTCGCGCGACCTGGATATGCCGGTGAGGCTGCGGAAGTCACGACTGGGTGAAACGGCGACGTGGGTGGGGGTTTGGAGCGTCTTGCCTTGTCATCCATGACACGCGTCGGGTGCGCGGATGGTGAAAGATCTGAGCGAAGACGAGACTTGAGGAGCAAAAAGAAAGTTAGACCAGTAGAACGAGAAGCAAAAAGGCAATGGCTGAGACTCGAACTCAGGTTCTTTCCATACATCACATCAGGAGTTACCCTGGAACCCATGGGGCCATGTGGACTTGGAACGTGCTACCACTGCACCAACATTGCTGAGAGAGAGAACCACTTTCGTCAATTATGTAACAAGGGTCCACTTTTCGATCTGCACTGTGAAGGCGGAGACAAAAGCGACGATGCATAGGTGCCTCGCTATGTGGATGAGAATTGCCTACGTCATCCGCATCCCAGTGGACGCGCTCGGCAGAAGCACCGGCGTGACAGCGAGTAGCAGAACCGCAGCGACCGCATGGACCGCGACGGTCGACACGCCTACACGAAGTCGACTCGAGGCAAATTGCGGCTATGAACATTTCCATTGTACTTGTTTGAGTACAAAGAGGCTCAACCTCTCCGTCCCTTGGCATTTGCTAAGCAGGAAACCTGGAAAACAACCCACAAGCAAGCGCGTAGCCTCTTTGGCGGCAATCAGTATAACCATCTCCTGGCATCCCACCTTCAAATCCTGCTAGTGTTCTACGTTTCTGCCGTCCCACGGGGCTATCCACTCTCCACCAGCTACAGCCATCGCAAGAAACTCCACACACAAAAAGAGCCAACAGATCCGGCATGAGCTTGTACCGTGGAGCAGAAATGAGTGAGAAGAAGAGTGGGCCACGAGAGGAGGTTTTTGTGGTTACGAAGAGGTGGAATGTCAGAGAGTAAAGATGTCTTGACCGAAAGAAGTGGGGCATGGGGCGGAGTGCGGCCAACGTCCCTTGTCTGACAGCCAAGGAAGCATGCAGTATGAGCCTGTCAACAATGCTTATTACATATGTAACATTAGTGTTCTGGTAGACTCCAATGGATTCCCAGTCAGTGTCAGCCCTGAATTACATTTCCACATCGGCACCCGGTAATTCCTCTTCCAGCTCATCGCGGCGAAAAAGAAGGCAGATGAGCATATAGAGGAAGGTGGCAGAAACAGGAAAGTGAATCGAGAGGAGGAGGGGTATATCCGTCAACAGAGGCATCGGCCACAGGCCCAGAAGCTTGATTATAAGATTTATGAAAAGCATGGAAAGCATTGCGGAAAGCGTCGACAATGAGAAAAGGACTACGAAAAGCAGTGTCATGCGGCGCATTCTAGAACCGTGTTAGCGGACTGAGACATCTGCTACAGCGGCGAGAGTGCGTGCCAGCCGTATGGAGAGGCAAGGAGGGAGCTCACTGAGCGATTGGCTGGTCGCGAGAGCGAGGGATAGCGGAGCGTTCGCGGTGGCCGGAAGCGGGTCGACTGCGAGCGAGCAGACGGGGCGATGCGTGTGCTGGAATGGACAATGTGTGGGCAGACAATGGCTGAGCTGAAGATGGCTGAGCTGAAGACGAGTGAGCTGAAGACGAGTGAGCTGAAGATGAGTGAGATGAAGATGAGTGAGCTAAAGATGCCAGAGCGAGAAGAAGTGTGGCGCGTGTGCGATAGTTGATGACGCAGTTGTAGATGCAAAGAGCCGGTGAAGTCGCGCAGGCGATTAGGTACCGCGTGTGAGCTGCGGCGGCAGGCGCACCCCGCGCTGTCAGCCTTTTGCGAATATGGAAGCCCGCCGCCGGCCACCACTTTCTCGCCACCACTTGCTCACCACAAACACCACCGTCGCTTCCACCTTTTCTTCCTCCGCCTGCCCAGTCTCACTTCTTCCACCACTCAATCGCTTGGTGCGCATGGCGACGCTTGTACCTTGCTGAGCTGCGTCTTCACCTCTCCTCTGCGCTGCCTTCTGTTCTCACCATCGCCGCCATTGCTTGGAAAGACACCACCAGCCCGCCACAACTCATCATCACCGCCTCCTCACCCGGCTTAGCCGACCACACGCGAGCTGCCCACTCCTCAAGCCCAGCTGCAGTACCTGACGCGCCGCCAGGACCCTCCCAACCCATTCCCGTCCCTGAATGCACAACATGAGTATTCGGCTCCTACTCTATCGCGCACTGAACATACCCATTGTCCGAGACGATACTGAAGCAATGGGGAAGACATGTACGGAGGACATGGGGTGTGGGGGCATGAGTGGTGAGAAAACCGCGCAGGTGGAACTATGCGGCGGTGGAGCCGCAAGGTGCAGACGCTCTACGGGCTAGTCCAAGACATTGTCCACGCAGGCGGTGGCTGCGGGTGCAAGTCATCGACGGCCATTGTACTGTGCAAGACTGCCTCTTCCAGCTCCATCCGTACCGTCACCCCGAACAAACCCTTTGACCTCACCGGCCCGCCTCTCCTCCTTCTATTCCTGGTGACAACAACCCGCGCCGCCACACCCATCCAGCACAGACCCTCTCAGCTCCAGCACTCCCGCCTGCACCACCCTAAACTCATTTCCCGCATCCACCAAATAAACCCCAACTTCAACACCCCCACCAACGTCCAATCGACCCGCTTGAGTGCTGACACCGCATATACCCAGTACACGCATGGGCCAAATGGAGGGTGCGGCATATCCCACGGGAACGACGACCGCAGTCCACGGCTCTTCCTTCCATCTCTTCGACCTCCACGTCCACCACATGCCAAGCGTCTGCCAGCCGAGCAAGTCTATCTTGCATGTGGCCAACAGTGAATTTAATCCGGCAAAGCGCGCATCGCATATGGAATTACGCACATAACGAGCGCCATGGACGACCGCCGTAGTTGCTCGCTGCTACATGTGCACCACCACCACCCTGACACCCACCCAAGTCAGGCCATACGAGACCAGCAGAACAAAACCAGGAGATTGGCTGGGCATATGTCGGGTAGGACCTCAGCTGGCCGGATGGTGTGAAGGTGCCGGCCGGTAAATGGAAACAGTAGCCGCTCATGTACGGTTGTCGATCACACGGGGGTCACCAAATGAACAAGGGAATAGACACATGACGTCGCCGCAACGGTATGACGACGGGGGTATAAAGTGTATTCACTCGACACACCATCCCAATTGGTGCGCCTCGGGACTAACTGTAAAGGGGGTTCACGCTTCTCGCAGAACCGAACCATTTACGAAAGTTGGAAAAATGCCATGATCAATACGAGTGGCCCGCCCGCAAACCAGCCGGCCCTCTAGCTGATGCTCTTGCAGTAGCCCTGAAGGCCCTGGAGTCCGCAGTAGTAGTCGAACTCATCACCGCCCATGTGCCACCCCACCGAGAAGCACGCCGGTACGTTGGTGTGCCCATCGAGGTTCTGTGTGTCCATCTGGCCTATCGTTCACATCATCGTCAGTAGCCGTCACATCAATGCCCGGGGAAAAGAAGGGATGATCGAGGATGACGTACAGTCGGGGCACTGATCCCACTGCTTGTTTCCCGTGTTGCGGTTCTTGTAGCGCGTGCACGCGTACTCGGTTATGCCGTCGTTGAAGGTCCACTGTGCATCGGAAGAGTCAGCCAGTCGAGCCAAAAAGGCAGACGCACAGCGAAGTGGTGCAGTCGGGTGGTACGTACGTAGGCGTCCTGGACGGCGTTGCTGCCGGTGCGCTCACCGCAGGCGCAGAAGTTGTGCAGGTCGGCGAGGACGGCGCCTGCGTTGAAGCTGCAGCTAGGTGGTTAGTGCGAGTTGGGCGGGAGGGGAGGTCTGGACTGTGGACTGAGAGGTTCATACAAGGCGATGGTTCCGAAGAGGGTGGAGAGCTTCATGGTCAAGGAGCGTGTTCGAAACGAGCGGACGGTGGTTGGATGGTAAGTTGGTGCTGTAAGCAAGCGATGATGCGGACAGAGGTTGAGCCGTGGGCAGAAGATATAAATCTTGAGCAGCCTTCTCTCAGCCTCGAAATTAATCTAATGCTGCTCAGTCAGGCCGGAGAACCTGGACCGTTTCACCGGCTGCCCGCGGAAGGATCTGAGTAATGGGGATGGCGCACGATAACCAGGAATGCGGGTTATCGGGTGACGATGTGGGGAAGGCGAGGGGCTTGTGGCTTGTCAGGCCGACCATCAAAATTGCGGCTCGTGTTCGACGTCTTGACGGTAGGGCGGTGATGCATAAGGCGCGATCGGCAGGGGGAGTTCTTGGGTTCATTGGTTGGCACTTGGCGATCTCGCTAAAGTGCGTCATGGAGGCTGCAGCCCAGCCTTAGTGTAACGCTCTAGCGTCACTTTAATTGTTTCCGACACTCCTTTGGGAATCGTCCACATGCGGGATGCCTTACAGCTGGTGCTCGTTTTGGTTATCGAGAGTCAACACGTCAATCCCCTACGAACCCGAACACGACTCTCTCGCTCAACCACCATCCGAGAGTTCCGGGGGCAGCATCAGAGTTCGCCAAGATGGACTTTGGAACCCTTCAGGGCTGCGCTTGTCCAACGCTATAAATGCACTTGCATCCACGCCACAGAAGACAACCCCAGCATCGCACCGTCTCTCATTCAAACACGGCACCGTCTCGTTGAAACATCACTCGTTCTCTCACACAATCCTTGATCCCTCTCAACCACCACCATGCGTCTCATCTCCGCCGTTGTCGCCTCCCTCGCGGTTGGCATCCAAGCCTCTCCCGTGCCGCAGAGTGCCGGCAGCCAGATCAGCAACGCCCAGTACGGCCAGGCCATCGGCTACGCCGTCCAGGGCGCCATCGACGCCGTCGCCGGCATCGACAACTGGAACAATGTGCGTCCCTTCCTCTTCCGTGTCCTCCAGCCCAACCCGCTCTGACCAAGATACACAGAAGCGCGAACAGTTCGTCAAGGCCCTCGTCCAGGGCATGTGGGACCGCAACCCGAGCCCCTCGGAGGCTCCCGCCGCCATCTGCTACAACCAGGGCTACGACCTGCAGGTGCCGACCGGCATGCGCGGCCTGCGCGACCAGGAGGTCTCGTCCGGCCCGCTGAAGACGGATTACGACTGCTTTTACATGACCGGCAACAACGCCTTCTGGTCGCGCGGCGACGGTGGCAGCGTCAACGTGAGTGCTTTTTCTGCTTTGTTCGAGATGCTGGGAGCATGAGCTAACGTTGTGGCGACAGCTGTGGACCGTGTACGACAGCAACCGCTGCAACTTCGACGACAGCTCGGACCTTTACTGCAGGTAGAGGTAAGGCTTGAAAATAGCCTAGGAGCTGTGCAGAGGGCATTTGGTCGAGTTTGGAACCGCGGGGCAAGAGAGGTGTTCGCTTCTGAAAACGTGCTATCTCAGCCATGACTCTGTTTTCACAGCACGAGTGGCTTGGGGCTTTTTTTTGTAGCTGTGGTTGATAAGCTCAAATCATTATTCAAGTGTCGAAGAACGTGCAGGGAATAGCATCCTAACGCTGTGAGATACGTTACAGAGTGGGTCAGCTAATTATGTGCCTACATCCCCAATGCTATGGGTGTCACGGCCGCGAAAGACCTCAATTAGAAACAAAGTTATTGCATGCTCAACCCCCAGTACCCAATAGGACTAGCAGAATAAGGCTGACCGTGGTGTCTATTTATAAGCGTAACCTTAGTGCGATTAAGCTTGCTTATGCTTCGTCCTGCACTATATCCGCTTTCCGTTAGTCAGTCGTCTAGACCAATTTACTTCTGGCTGGGGTTAACAAGACTGACTCGTGAATGTAAAACAAGCTGGAGAGATCAACATGCAGCATGAGTCAGTAGGTCGGCAACCCCGAAGGAAAACCTCCTGCAAGTTTCAGCGTACCATGTCATTGAGAGCGTATCATGTTGATGGATTGTCTCTCCGAGAGCTTTGCGACAGGTTTCTATTTACGTAGCGCCTTCGTATCTGCGCGCCAAACCCTTTCGGAACCATGTTTCTTTCGCCTCTTTACCGTTGCGCTGTAGAGCTCAAACACGTGTCTCTTACTCTAGACAATTTATGACACGTCTAAACTTTCAACCCAATAGTTTTAAACGAAGATCTGGCTTTTGGAATAAAATCGTCGTCGCCAAAAGAAAACACTGACACCACTCTTCGCTCTCTGATGAACAATTACAACCCCTTCCTACCGCTGCCTTCGCCGCGCCAAAACTCTGATTCTTCCAATGCCGCAGCTCACTAACGGCCTGAATTCCCCCTTGCAATGTTCTACTTCCCTCCTGCGGTGCCTGCGTCAACGCGATGATGTGAGATGCCGTACACGCCGCGAAGTCAGAGCAGTGCTCACCACGCTATAAGCCTCATATAAGCCCGACGTCCCTTGCCAACAAACCTCACTTTCATCACCTCAGGTTTTGACAACCCAAAATTTCGCACTTCAATCACCCGCTAGGATGCATCTCCCCACCGCTACGCTCCTCTCCCTCCATTTCCCCTCCTCGCGCGACCCAGGCCACCACCCACTACTACCCCGCAACCGACCGCGCCGGCGACGTCTCCGGGCCCACGAGCACGTGCAAGGACTCCGCCCCGTTAGCTTCCCGCGCCCGACCCAAAATTTAAAGAGGAGGGAAGAGTGCCGAGTACTCAGCGGCTGCTGCCACATATCTTCGTCGACTGGATCCCGCGCGCCAACATGCCTCCCCATACGAAACTCCACCGCGTTCTCCTAAACCATGGCCGACGATGATGCCACCGCCACGCTGACGACGACGCCCTCGCGCGAAAGTCGACGCCAACGGAGAACTTGACTCTACACCTGTGCATGGCGTATGTACGTGCGGCGACAGATGATGAGTTTGAGGTGTGTATGTGGATTGGTTGCATCATCCAGCTTCAATTCTAGCTGCTTCGCGCCGACAAAAGTCTCCAATAACAGAGCCCACCCTCGGTCACCCGCCCTGCCCCACTCTTCTTTCCCGCCTACCCGACCGGTGCTGTAACTCCTCCACCCTCATCTCATTCCAACCCACGTCCACTTCACCACCTGCATCCTCTTCCCGATGATGCCAGCCCCAGCGAAGGTGGGAGTGATGGCAACACCGGAGCAGCAACGGCGCATCGCGCAGTTCCTGGGACAGAAAATCGGCTTCCCATCATCACGAAATGTGCCGAGCCGTTGGGGTATGCGAATGGGGCGGACAACCTCTGCGTGGAAATTGGGAAGTCCCAAAGCGGAATAGTGCGGAAAAAAAGATGGTTGCATCAGCTGTGGCTTCTGGGCGTGGCTTCGCGACGAAACGGACTTGTGGATGCCACAGCCGCACTATCACGGCATTTCTTCATTGCTTCGGCCGACTTGTTTTTTTTTCTATATTTTTTTGGGAATCCAGCGGATATCACAGAACAAAACGAAGGTGAATTCAAGGCCAAAGCCGTCTATCGGTAATCTCCACGGGGATGCGGAGATTCACAGCGGGACGAGCCGGTAGCGACAGGGCATTCCGACCTCGATCAGGTGCCGAAAAAAAAAAGGGGGTTCCAGCGATAACGATAAGCATCGGTATTCTCGCAGCCTCAGCGGCTGCATGATGGGCGTAGCGGTTAGCTCAACGTGGTGGCGCAGGGGAAAAACACGAACCGGACGCTAGCGTTGCCCCTTTCGGCTAGCCGTCCTCCACCCAGCCAGCCAGGCCTCGTCACCCACCATGCCCGTTTCCCACCCGCCAGCCAGTCACACGTCGGCACCCGCGATGCTGCTTATCCGTTTCGGCATTCGGTGCTGGACCGAGCCATGGAATTCAAATAAAGTCCCACGCCTGTACCCGCGCCCCCCTTCGCCAAACTCCCGTACCGGCTTTTACCGTCGCGGTGGCGGACGCCTACACCATGAATGTGGACAAGAACCTCAACAATGGCTCGATGATGGCTTCAAAGTGGCTTCAGCAGCGGTGCGGCTTCATCGGCCACGCCGTGAAGCCTCAAGCCTTCGGCGCTTCCGTCGACCTTTGAACTGTATAAGTAGGGCGTCGAGCATGCCCAACTGCCATCACCATCCAGCAAGCAGCAAGAAATTCCACTGATCTTCATTCTTTCGATCATGCGGTCCTTCATTGTTCTTCCTGCGCTCGCCGCGCTGGGTGCCTCCCAGTCCACCACCGTCTCCACCGACATTCCGGCCGACGTCAACCCCACCCCGGATGCCCTCGACCTTGCTTTCCTGAGGAGCGCCGCCGTCCCGACCTACTCGACCGTCGAAGGCGCCTCCTCTCAAGACATTCCTTATGCCACGGCCACCGCCATTGCCGCCGTCAAGGCCGACCAGAGCGAAACCCCTCTCTCCGTTTTCCCCGCCGTCACCAGCGTCGCCATCAATGCCGACGGCGAGGACGGAGCGGCCGCTACTGCCACTGCCACCGCCACCGCTGCTGCCGACAAGCGTGATGTGCACGGACAGCTCGTTGAGAAGCGTACGGCTTGTGCTCCGCAGGCCACCATCTCCAACTACTACAACGTCGACGTCTCGACCTACGACACGTTCAAGGCGGATGCTGTCATTGCCTCGGTTGCCAATGCCGCCCCCACCCCGCAGGGCTACTTCCAGAACTTCAAGAACCAGGACGGTGCCAACAGCGCTTATGCCTACCTGGGCTACACCGTTCTCGACACTGGATACGACGTGAACTCGTGTGCCGAGACCTGCACCAGCAAGGACGGCTGTCTCGCCTTCAACATCTACTTCGAGCGTGATCCCACCCTCGAGCCAGGTGATGTCGATGGCTGCAGGGACCCCGAGGCCTTCGCCAACATCAAGTGCTCCTTCTGGGGCAGCGCTCTGGACACGACTACCGCCAACAACTACGGCCAGTGGCGTGCGGACTTCCACGTCGGTATCGCCGGCTCCAACGCCTACACCTCGTACGAGGTCGGTGGACCCATCTCCGGCTGGACTGACCCGCTCAGCCTGAACAACGCTGCTCTGAACGCCCCTCTGAGGGACTGCGCCGGAACCTGGACGTACATGGGCTATAAGCTCTTCCAGGACGGACCGTTTGACCCTACTCTCTGTGCTGCCGCCTGCGACGCCCAGACCGAATACAACATCGCGCACCCTCCCTCCAGCGGCTACACTCCCTTCTGTGCTGGCTTCGGCACCTATCTCTTGACCATGACCAACTCGACCGGCTCGTACGTCCAGGGCCAGATGTGTACCATGTACACCTCGGCCTGGGGCTCCGAATACGCCGTCAACACGGCCTCCTACGACGACTCGATCGGCGCCAAGTACACCTACAGCTACAGCTTCTTCTACTCCAAGTCGTCGCTGCAGCCCGTGTGCGACGCCGACCTGTCCTACCTGCAGAGCGAGGGCGCCGATTTCTGCACCTCGTACCTCGCCTACAGCGCCCCTGTGACCACCACGACCGCCGTCATCACCCCTAGCGGCTTCACCACCAAGGTCACGACCGTCGCCACCACGACCGTCACCGTTGCCGGCACCGTCACCGGCAACGCCGTCTGGAAGCGCGAGGACACGGCGACGAACAGCTCCACGACCGTCCTGGCCACCGCCACCGACTACACGACCGTCGCCTCGCTCGCCACCGACTCGCTCGCCATCCTGGCCACCGTCACCGTCGTCCCTATCCCGTCCAACGACACCCTGTCCAGCGCGGCCGCCCTCCAGAAGCGCTCCGTCGCCACCCCGGCCTCCATCTCGGGCTGGGCCTCGGCCAAGGTCAGCGCCGCCTGCTCGCGCGTGGCCACGGGCACCTCGACCCTCACCGCGACGTCGACCGCGCCCACGCTGACCACCACCGTCGCCGCCACCGCCACCGCCTCGGTCGGCTCCTGCACGCTGCCCACCCAGCTCCCCGCCCTGTACAGCTGGACCGCGCTCGCCGGCGCCTGGGACGGCACCAACGGCCAGCCCGCCTCGAACCCCACCGGCGCCCACTACGGCGAGTCGTACACGGCGCAGCTCCCCTTCTCCGTCTGCGCCTTCGGCTCGTGCACGTCCGTCCTCAGCGTCGGCACCGACGGCTACGTCTCGTGGGGCGACGTCGCCATCCACGCCTACACCAACCTCGGCTACGGCATCTACATCTACCCGGGCGGCGCCCACGGCGTCTTCTACCGCGTCTCGGGCAGCGTCGGCTCGCGCCGCCTGACCATCGCCTGGTACGGCGCGACCATCGCGTGGGGCCACCAGAGCACCCACGTCACCATGGAGTTCCGCGAGGACGAGTCCAACGCCGTCTACTTCAAGTACTTCGACGTCACCCAGGACGCGTCGTATGGCAACCGCGCCGACGTCTATGTTTCCAAGAACGGCGCCGTCACCCGCGTGGAGCCGAGCGGCACCAAGATCGATACCGGTGCCCAGTACAAGGTCTCCACCTCGACTGATGGCACCGCTACTTCCGCCAAGACGCTGCACGATCGCGTTGAGTGCTGCACCAAGCAGGGATGGCACAGCTGCACCGAGTTCGGTGCCGATGGCGCTGTTGCGTAGAGGGATTGAAGGAAGACGGAAGGGGGGGGAAAAGGCATAGTTACCTTCTTTGAAGACTTTAAGATTTCATGTGTTTGTAATGAGTAGAGATTGAGCCGTTCCCATCCGGGCGGTGGTAATTAATATATGTCCCCTTTTTCCCTTAACTAGATTCCCCCCGAGTGATTCTCTCTGAGCTGAGGATACGTTCGAAAGGGGAGACAGTAACCTCCTCGGGGCGTACATTTATATGTAGAATTTACCTCGAGCAGCAAGCAGTCCACATGTTCCGAAGGATCTCAGCTTGTATGTCCCAAGTCTTCAGCTTCCTAGTAACAATTTGTCAAGACTGTACTTCACTCTGCTAGTAGACCATAGGCCTGATGCTGATCGGCTCGTAAAAGAAGTGTCGTGCAGAGGAAGGCATTATCCAGAACCTTCCTGCTTCTCTTCCTCCTTCTATTCCTTCCTTCTTCCATCCGTCCGGCTCTCCTCTACAATCCCTAGTCTTTCGTCAGTCGAGCTGACTAAGCTATTCAGCTCACCCAATCACACCACTCCATCGATCCTCCCCTTCCTTTTCGTCTCCCGGCTCTTCGATTCTCACACCCACCCAGCATCCGAGGTGCAACCAGTCGGTTGGTCCAGACGATCCATGAGTACTCTCTCCTTCCTTCCTTCCATCCAGCCCGGGTTGGTAGAGCCGGCGGGCTGCTCAGTTTTCTCGTAGAGAGAATGGAGTTGTTGTTCTAAAAATGTTCCTCCACATACTGTGCTCGTGTCTTGTTGTGCCGGACCACATGGATGAGCTTGTGTCAACTCCTGTTGGAGGTAGGTTTAGTCCGTTCGTGGCTCCCGAGCAGCCTCTAGGTTCGCGCTGGGTGTTGTATGAAGAGCTCGACGAACCATGCGTAGATTCGATGTTACTGCTCCAACGCGAAATGTGGTTCGATGCTTCCCAAAAAGGCGGGTATACACTCCGCTATAAATAGCAACACAGCCTTTTCGGGCCGGCGCGGCAATACCAAGACGCACTAGTGAGTGGTCGCTTCGTTACGGTGTACCGAACAGGAAAGGATGCTGTTATAAGCGAAGGAGCTGAATACGTTTCGGGTATAACGTTGCTCGACTACTGCCTTACGAAGAAGTGCCAAGTGCGCCTTGCTGCCTCCAGACATGCAGTGTATGCACGCCTCGGCTGTCTGTCAGTTCATCCCGATTCCACGCCGCTGATCATGCTGTAAATATATAAGGTCAGCCTCGCGTGTGCCTACGGTCGTTCTGTATATATTGCGCACCTTGTTGACAGAGAATTGCCTCAGGCTGTCAATCTGCCTGCCTATATCTCCTAGACCGCACCCTCTCCATAGATCTCTATCACGCCAAAGTAGATAATGTCATTTCAATCCTGGCCGGTGTCCTGGCCCCGCCTCGACTACGAGTCTCTCGGCGACCCCCTCGGAGCTGCCATCCGCTCAACGGTCGGGGACGCCTGGAACTTCGAAACGAACCACTTCGACCTGTGGAAATCCTCGTACCACATCGTCATGGAGATCCACAACGACCCGGAGCAGTTCCGCATGGAAATCGACAACCTTAAGCTCATGCACACTTCGATATTCCCACAGCAGAGCGGCATCCGGGGTCGCCTCAACAAGCTCCGCTTCAACTCCCTCTTCAAACCCATCGAGAAGTTCTGCGCCGGCATAATCCCGTCGTCAGAGGAAGCCGAGTCGGGCGACGCAGCCGTCATCGTCTCATACCACCTCGACACCGCCACGGGCGACGCCATCAGGCTCCAGATCTACCGGATCGTGCACGCCATGTTCGGCGACCCCAAAAACCTCAACGCCCTCTTCGACCTGACCATCTACGCCGACGAATTCGTCCACCGCCGGGCCGTCCTCACGGTTCTGGTCTACGTCCGCTTCTACGCCTACCGCCGACGCATCGGCCTGCAGGAGAGCCGCCGCCAGAAGCTCGGCAGCATCCCGGAGATCATTTACTGGCAGATCCTGCTGCTGGGCTTCTCGGTCAAGTCTGAGGGCGCGTCGAGGCCGCTGCCGAAGCAGATGGTCCTGGTGCATCAGTGCGTCGCGTTTGCGGCGCAGATGGAACAGCTTGCCCGCCAGGTGGATTTTGCGCGGATGGTTGAGGAGGGGGTCGAGGAGGACGTGAGAGAGGCCGGCGCGATTGTGATCCAGGCTGGCATGGCGTTTGGGATTTTGGATGAGAGGGGGCGGCTGGTTGATTCCGTGGACGAGGGCCTTCGATCCCTTGGGCTTATGCCTTCGTAGTACCTGCCCGTGCTTTTCAGAGTGTTCTGGATTTTAGGAACGTAGAAAAGGTTGCGTTTGCGGCCAGGACGCAGAGTGGTTGAGTGCAATATCTTACATCGTTTGCGTTTGAGCGATATTCAAGGAGGAAATGACATCGATAGATGGACATAAAAGTGAAGATGCTACCATCAAAAGAAGAGGATGATGACTTGTCCAACGAAGGGATCCTCGGAAAGAGGGAAGCCAGGGGTATCTGACGGAGATACACCGTCGATGAAAGATAGTTCATCTGCCCGCGGGCTCTTGGAGCCAACACGGTATATGATAGTCGAACTATGGTGAGAATGACACTCCCGAGTGTAGCATGGCCTGCGGTTCCGAACCTTGAGAGTCCGACAACACTGACAACTGGCAGCGTGCTAGTTTTGCCCAGTCTGGATGACGGGCTTTTCTTGCGGTATTTTCTGGGGGCGAATCGGCGCATTAGCCATGTTATGGAAGTCTGTCATAAATCCCGTCATCAGCTGCAACATCCACATATTATATGCAAAATATTCCAACTCCCCATTCGGATCGAGAATGGCGTTGCATAGATACGAATATTCAAACCCACCCGAGCACTAGTTTACCTTCGGCTCCCACATCAAATGCTGCTTCCAATGTCTCCACTTATCAGCTCGAATTTCACTTTTAATGTGAAGGAAAGAGAAGAGATAATGAACTGTGAATGAGGATGTCTGACCCGTGAAGCAGTGCCACGCCAATGAGACTGTTGTAAAAAGACAAGACCGGCAAACAATGCCACTTCCATGACGTTTTACATATTCCACGCATGGCCGCCCAAGCTGTACGGTGCCACATTGACGATCCCTGACAACAGTGCCTTGGTAAAACAAAGCATCGATGCTAACCGAAGCCATCGTTGACTGTTGCCACAAGTTTTGCTGTTCAATCGTCCTGACTACCTGTCTCCACGATAACGTTGTATCTTCCAGCTTCACAGCAAAGAACCCCACCTCTCGTCCCAGCAAGCAATGACATACTTTAAGCCAACTAACCAAGCCATAGATCCTTGCTGGACCGTAATTTTATCTTCCAGAATGCCTTACAATTTCAAACGTCCGTCTCTGAGTGATGACAGACTTACTTGTATGTATTTGGATGACCTCAGCATGCGCCCTCACCACTTCCGATATTCACGACACTACGAATGTCGATCGACGACCTACGCAATGCTACCATGTAGCCCGTCCCGTTCTCTACACAGATGCCATTGAGTTCATGCTGTGTGCGCCCTTGTCTGTTGGTGGCTGTGGCATCTCGGCCGGGTCTGCTTTGTCTGGTGCACGTGGCAATCCCAAACAGTAAAGAAGGAAAGGACAAAAGCAACTGCTGATCGGAGAGACTTCACACATCAAGCACCGTACAGGCGCTCTATGCGCCCCTTTACGAGTGCGTCAGACCGTTTTGGTTACAGACCTTCGCCACGTCACAGCTAGAAACGAGGATGCGGCACAGCACCAACTTCTCTTCCCTGTAGCAGCTAAAACGTTTTGAGCATCGGCTTGAAAGCTGCGCCTCCTTCTATTCTGCAGCTTACAAGGTTAACGTGCAACACTTGCTCGAGTCCCCTCTCGCCAATTTCCACTGTCTCAATATGGATCGGTCGGTGGCGAAGCCACAGGCTCCTCCACCCACCTTGGAAAAGGCCATCGAGAACTTCAAAGGCGCACATGGAAATTCTGTTTTTGAATGTTTTGCATGTCCACCCGCACCACCAGACTCTGCTTTTAGTGAGATTGGGGACCATGTTCGCCGGACCACGGTATTAAGTCAAGTCACTACTGTAGGTAATAACGTAAGGCAGATTAGCAAAGATGCAGACACTAGAATGGTGCGAAAAGATGTATTCCTAAATAAACGCAGACAAATTTATAAGGAAGATGGCCTCCGCGGCTCTTGCGTGCAGTTTTGCCCTTTGCTCGTGCATTGTAGAATTACACACTAAGATCCATCACGTGGGACATTTCCTTCCTAAGATTCAGACTGCCTGGTCAATTTGGTACCAAGGACCAGACCAGTGTGCGATTCTCCCTCAATATGGAGACGCTTGAACCTGTTGTCGACACTCATATCCGTGCCATTGTGCTCAGAACCGCCCAATAAGTCCGTGGTCTTCCCATTTACCCTTACATCGCTGTATGTGTTCCGTATCCCAGTCGCGGACGCTAGGCTCGTAGTTTCTGTAGTTGCAGCCGCACTCGCAGTGTTTGGTGACATGCGGGATAGAGCAGGGGGCATCGGAGGCGCTGGGACGCCAGTTGGCCTGCGTGCAAGTGCAGTTCCAGATGTTTCGCGGATTTCTGATTCAGCCGAGCCCGTAATGTCATTGGTGTCATGCATGTGTGTATCTGACATCTTGGTGTCGGCCTTCGAAGTTGTATTTAGTACGTGAAACAATTGTCGCAAATGTGAAGAAGACTTACCGGACTCGAAAGAGGAGTTCCAAGTGATCGTTTGTTGAACGGGTTATTGGAACTATGAGACATCCGTCCGGTATGCTGGCCACAAGAGTTTTCGTAGGAGGTGATGTACAGAATCAGGTTCGTTTTCTCGGATTCGAGATTAGCAAACCCTTGCAAGACTTTCTTCTCCGTATTGAACAAATGCCAGACTCTTTTGATGGGAGTCTTTGAGAGGCAGTTCCTACTTTTGTCGATGACTTGTAGTAAGTATTTGATTTGGTTCTCGATAGCGAGAATATACTCGGTAACGCTTGCGTTTTGCAGTCGGCCGTCCTGGGTGATGGATTGGACAACGCTCAATAAAAATCGAAGCTGACGACTTCGCCAGCGAATCCGGTGAGGTGCCTCTCGGGTAAGCGTTTGGATTGTGGAGACAGCTGAAATGATCGAAACCACGGAGGATAAGAGCTGGGCAGCACCAACGGCGACCCCGAACGCTTCTATACCTGACATGAAGGGACTAAGAGCAAGTGGTCACGCACACTGCGAACTCACTGCTTAAACTTTTGAGCATGTGAAATAATCGTGTTTTCTGTCCAGTGGTGGAATTTCACGTCGTCAGCAATATTGAGGCTTGAGGCCGGTGAAGGCGGGCACAAATAAGCGGCAAGGCTCTGCGAAGGGGGGATCATGCGAGCCGATCCAAAAGGTTGGCGAGGCTGATATGCTGCCTTAGGGCGAATAAAAATCGTCTTGTGACCAATTAACCCTGTCCCTTGTGCAACCTTGCTGCCTACTCGGCCTGGCACAGATCCGCAAGGCTGAAAGAAGACGCCCAATAAGTCGGTCGTTTATCCTAATGGAGCAGGTAAGATCCTCCGGCCACGCGTTATGCGTCAAGCCTTGCAATTAAAACCCAATGGCGAAATTTAGCCCCCCCCCCCCCCCCCCCCCCCCCCCCCCCCCCCCCCCCTCCCCCTCCTCCCTTTTTTTTTTTTTTTTTGGCGCGGACAAGGCTGAAGGAAAGGTTTAATACATCACTCCCTATTACACTGCAGCTTTGGCTGCGGCGAGGATCACTTCCTTCCCTATCACCCGACATGGCGACCCGAGAGACAGATGGACTTCGAAATGCCAACAGATACAGCCAGATTGGAATTACCGGCGACACTACCGATGCAACATTCGGGAATCGACATGGACCTACAAATACCTCGGACTTGGATGGCAGATGGTATATTTACAATAATATTTCACTACACAGGAGTACCACATCTCACGCAGAGCGGAGATCCCAGTCAACGGCAGCTATCCAGCCACTTAGCTACGAAGATACATCAGTTCTTCAGCGCAAGCAGCCTGCCGGCTGTAAGGCCTGCATCCAATACTGGAAAAAATGCACTACCTGCCAGAAGTCACTCATCGTCATGGTTATTGTTCTACTCATAACAATTGCTGCCACTCTACCTCCAGTGCTATTGAAGACCTCAAAGCGACATCAGTCAGGGAGTGGTTCAGCTAGTGAGTGAGTAATCTGACTTAATGCCGGCTTTCGGAGGCTCCAAAACTGACGTTAGGTTAGATCAAAAAGTCTCAACACATTAAGCGCACAGTCACCCTCGGTATCAACAGACACGATTTCCTCTTCAAGTTCCTCGCACACGAGTATACCTACGCAGAGCACAAAAGCCCTCACATCTACCAACTCTGTAGCCCAGACTACGACGTCACAAGAGCGGCAGACACAATCAGCCGTCCCATCGGTGACACTGGTGCCGGTGCTCAGCACAACATCTACCACAGCACCATCGACACCAGCGTCCACCACGCCGCAGGCGACATCGCCAACTGGGTTGTTTACCATAACGGATGATTCAAACACCTGGACAACCTACTGTACATGGGGATGTCCCGGGTGGTCTTGCACAAACCCAGAAGGTTGTGACAATCCATTTCCTTGCGAGACGTCAGTGAGTTCATGCGCTAGTACAGGATCGTACAATTAAGCAATACCCGGACACGCCATGAAGCTTTTATCAAGTATGAAAGCCTCTTTGGCTCAGCGCGCTATAATTAGGCCAAACGTTTTGTGTTCCTTGATTGTAGATAGTACATACGAATCCTTTTGCTCTGCCCTTCTTGACCGTTCCTCCTCTCTACTAAAAGAGAAAAGAAAGAACCCCAGAAGCAATTGTCCTAAAATCGACACTGAGCGCCCGTTGCCACACCGCCACGGTCCCACACGACAACACCTATTCCAGTCCCTGAGGATCGTGAATGTCGAATACGCTACCGAGGAAGGTGCCGAGGGCGAGTATGAAGTCGCGCAGAATGAGAGCAGGGATACCGTGACGGATACAAAATTCGAGGGACTGGGAGGCAACGTCGAAGAACTTATGAATTGTGAAGCCAGCGAGATCGGGGCGCAAGCAGCCGAGAGCGAGGACGCAGAGACGAAGGAGTCCGAAATAGCCCAGTGCTTCGGTATCATTTGGTCGTTGTTGCGGGCCATGGGGGTCAGCCTGCAAGCGTTGGACAAGGCTGGAGACGTGCATGCAAATGATCATAAGGTCGCGTAGTATGAGGAGTATAGGGAGAACATAAAACGTTGCAGTGAGCCCGCCGAGGAGGTGGGGGAAAAGGAAGAAGGAAATACAGTCCCTCGCAGAGCGAAGCATATGGGGCTTAAAGAGACCGAGGAGAAGCGCAGAGAAGCCGACAACTATACGGAGGGGCAGATATCTGCGGCCCGGCCACAACAGGACCTGTCTCACAAGAGGAGGCACCTGTGGGGAGTTGAAAGCCAGCATCGCGCTGCTCTGCAGTTCCTGCTCGTCTGAGGCTTGTCAGCTGTCTGGACGTCACAATCCAGCGGTATGTGAGTGACGCACAGTGATTGAGGCAGAATAAGATGGCTACACGCGTGAGAAAGTGTGGATGAATTTTGAGGATGGGATGAGTTTGGAGCGGCGGTCGCTCGCAGGCAGAATTGCGGGGTGTGGAACGCCCTAGTGAGGGGTGCAGGGTTTGGCGAGAGCTGTGGCTTGCTTACTGGGCTGCGGCTGAGCGACTGACTCGTGGTCTGGTGCCGCCTGCTCGTTATAATCTGTGCCAGTGTTGAAGTATTATTGAGGGGACATAAATATACAGAGTACCGGTTCAGATGAGGAAGTATGACTGGCCATCATCCCGCTGCTGTGTGCTGGGTTCAACAGCCCTACGCTGCTGGAGAACTACGAAACGCCCGGTCCGAACGGCCGCAGGGACTACTACAGAAACACGGTGACGAACCATTATGCAAGAATTGTGCATGGGACAATCACCGATAGGAAAGGCACGCTATTACCTACGATAATGTCATACCTGAGGGCGGCGAGGATTAGAGTGACGTTTTAATGCTACCCAGTACACTGCATAAACCCTAACGTTCGATGTTCTACGTCAATCTCTACGCCATCCCTTGGAAGACACCCTCTGCATCAGATACTCTAGAGCTCTGGCACCTTCCCGTTCCACGATCCACCCCTCCTCGTCTCCAGCTTCCGGCAAGCCAACTTATTCTCTCTCAATGCCCCCATCTGCTCCTTTCAGCACAAAATTCACTGAGACCCGCAGTCTCGGATGCTCACGATCCACCAAGTCCATCACGGCGAGCAGTTCGCCAGGCACGGCGGCCGGAGGCACGGCGTCTGTCGTGCAAGACCAGGTGCCTAGCCGATGCCTTCGTGCGTAAGACGCCTGGTTCGTGCATCACTCCAGATGCGCGTAATCTTCCAGGCCGCGGCGGTCCGCAGAAACAAGACGACGGGGTCCAAGGTGAGGGAGACCACTGGCTCGAATGAGCTATACTGCTTCGCAATTCCGCCCGCCATCTAGCACGACGCGAGCCGACCCAACCAAGGACATGTATTGGTGCCTTGGGACTACTTAGTCGCATCCGTGCAGAATGTCCTGAAGTCATATTGCACGACCAACTGTCACCACCAAAGGCAACCTTAAAGTCCCGATACCTTCATGATGTCATATAACGAGCCCGATTTCCACTACCGAGCACATGGATAACTTACACTTCTACTAGTCCAATAAGCAATTTCCCAACCTTTGCTCTTCGCTCCTCATCACGTGATTGTTTAGACTTCAACACCATGATCCATAAGAGCCCGTGCAACTGTGGGATGGCCACGCTCTACTACCAAATGAAGTGTGATTTTCACTCTGCAATCCGTAAGGATGCTGATTTCCGCGCCTCGTTCCAAAAGCAGCTGCACTTTTGTGAGATGGCCATATTCTACTACCAGCTCAGTTGTAGTCTTCGCCATGCTCTAATGGAATCTAGCTCTGTACCGAAATCTACCAATAGTTCTGTGGGTGATACCGCGGCCCGGTCCTCCCAGAGCTTTTCCTGTGCTTGCGAAATGGAATCGCTCACCGACGCAATTTGTTTCGGGTGGAGGTCTTCTCTGCTTCGTGATCCAAAAGGCAAGACACGGTCGTCAGGCGACTGTTCGCTGTTTGTCCGATGCACCACATTCACCATTCAAGGTACCTGCACAGGAGGCGACGATGGAGTCAAGTTGAACTAACGGAAAGTCGTGATGGATTGATTGATTTTTTTTCTAGCAGTGTTACTGTCTTTGACTGATTGTGCGCATTTAAACTCGAATGCCGACCACGCTTCCTGCAAAGCGTCGCCTATTTCCTTTTTGGGGCATTTGCACTGGCTCCTTGACTGCAAAAGTCTCGCTTACGAACCGAGGTCAACCCCGAATACGAAGAATGGAACACTCTCACAAAATCCAGGAAGCACAAATGGTTTTTCCTACACGTAAGATAGCCTGAAGGGTTTACAGAGTGATAACATCTGGCACGTGGGTGGCTGTGGCACGAGATGTTGTGCAAGCATCATTTTCGCCCACAGAGGCTGCAGACCGTGGCCATCTTTTTAACATCCGCCTGCCAGACGCTTACCGTATTCGCAAAGGAGACCAAGGTCCCGTCCGTTTCTTTCTTCAAATTCAGCCGCATCTTTAAGGTTTCCCGCCTTTCCCTGTTCGGATATCGCTTTGCAACCGGTGTTGCATCGCAGTGACCCTGAAATCCTCCACATGAGTAGTGCTGCAGGAGGTCCACGATGACGGAGCAACCTTAAGAGCTGATATGCTGCTTGGTCTCCTTTCTTCGCTCGCAGGAGGCTATGACGCCGTAGAAGAGAGAGGCCGGATGAAGGCAGAAATAGTGGGTCGATTCCTCCCTGACTCGGCTCCATCATCGTGCCTCTGGCCGGAGAGACCTCTTCCCGCTGCGGCATCCAAAATCACTTCGGAGCCAAGCGATCATTGCATGCCATGCCTCTCGTCCACGGATTCGCTATTATTTGCTGCTCGGCAGCAGTCTCGACAGTTCCATTACTGGCGGTGAAGTCTTGTCGACAGGTGGATGGGGCATCACGGATGCCCACGGAACGCCCGGACCACCGCTTTCTGGTCACTGGGCGCCTCTCCCGTCTCCTGGTCGCCCAGAGAAACCCGAGTTTCAATGCGGAAAGTTACGCACCGATATACGGCGAGCTACAATGTTTCATTCATACAACTGTGCATCTGACTAGCTGGTCAACGCGCATTCATCCTGACTTGTGACGGCGCATCTACCAATGTTTGAGCCAAGGCTGTCATCTCTCTGCGTATACATAGCCAAGTATTTCGGGACGCCGTAAACAACGCATATGACTGATTTTCCTTCCTGAACAGGAACTGCCGCGACAGATCCCAGCGGCGATAATGCCATCTCATCGGGTTTTCAGGGCATGGGTGCAGACGGAAACGTCAATGTAAGCGACAGAGCTTGGAGGTCCAGATTTTAGCGAGGTTTACTCTTTTTGCCGTCGTCCCTCCTGCCAAGTATTGTATGCAAGAAGCCCAGAGCCCACTCGCATGCGCACCACTATCGAATGATTCAGTATGCGTACCTCCATCGCTGGCCGAACTGGGCACTTGATCTCTCCTTTAAATGACGGATGCCCCGTCGAGACGATTGAAACTCAGACATTGTCCCTACATTTGTTTGCTGTTTTATCGCCGGTTTCCCATTATGGAATCCCCACGCTCGTTTCGCGGCCTGAAGAAGCTGCTGGTCCAGTCGCTCCTTTTCGCCAGCACCACCGCGCTCGCCGCCGCCCAAGAATCGGCTTCGCTCGAAGAATGTCTCGGCCAAGTCGGCGCCACTTTCGACGGTGAGCCCACCTGGGCCAACGAGACTTCCCCGTGGCAGCTCCGCATCACGCCCAAGCCCATCACCGTGATCCACCCCGAGACCTCAGACGACATTGCCACCGCTCTCTCCTGTGCTCAGCAGTTCTCCCTCAAGGTGTCCGCCCTGAACGGTGGTCATTCATACGGTGCCTACGGCCTCGGCGGCAACGATGGCGCCCTTGTCATCAACATGGAGAAGTTCACCGACATCAGTTACGACGAGACCGCCGAGACTCTGACGTACGTAAGCCGCTTGGCCAGCAACCAGAGCAACACACTGACGAGCAGCGAACAGTTACGGCGGCGGCAGCCGCGTCGGACCAGTAGCAACCTGGCTCTGGAACAACCACGGGCGCCATTTCCCGCACGTGCGAGCTAACTGGGTCGGCCTGGCCGGCTCCTCCATCGGCGGCGGATTCGGAACGACGTCCCGCTTCCTCGGCACGCCGATGGACTACCTCTCCAGCGTCACTTACATGCTCTACAACGGCACCATCGTGACGGCATCCCGCGACGAGAACCCCGACCTGTTCTGGGTCGCCCAAGGCGCCGGGTCGAGCTACGGCATCCTCCTCTCCCTCACAACCAAGACCTGGAAGCCCGTGCACACGCACGTCACCAACTTCACCATCACGCTCGACGCCAACACCACGACGCTCGACGACGGCGTCTCCGCCCTGCTGGCGATCCAAGACTACGCCCTCTCCGGCGGCTGCCCCGACACCCTCGCCCTGCGCTGGTCGCTCACCGCGCCGCCGTACTCCGGCAGCGGCTACTTCTACGGCGACCCGGCCGACTTCAACGCCACCATCGCCCCGCTGATGGCCGCCCTCCCTGCATCCACCACCATCACCACCGCCGTCGAGGACTTCTGGTCCATGGAGGTCATCGCCTCCCCCGCGCTCAACGGCTCCGCCGACACCTTCCCCCCGCGCAACATGTACCTGCAGGCCGTCGTGCTGCGCGAGGACCAGCCGTTCACGCGCGAGTCGGCCAAGGCGCTGTACGAACATACGACGCTCGCGTTCAACAGGACGGATCTGACCAAGTTCGGGTTTTTGGACTTGTGGGGCGGCGTGTCGAGGGATATCCAGGATGGCGATACCTCGTTCGCCCATGCGGATAGCTTGTGGCTCGTGCGCTGGGAGGGCAGGCTGCAGACCACCCTGAGTGAGTGGCCCGCTGATGGCATCGAGTACATGCAGGCTGGGTTCCGGCCGTTCTTGGATACCTTGAGGGAGGAGGGTGTGCCGGTGAGGGGTTTCGTGAACTACAGGGATACCGAGTTGAAGGAGGCGGAGTGGAGCGAGAGGCTGTATGCGGACAACTATCCCAGGATGAAGGAGATCAAGAAGCAGGTGGACCCGCTCGGGATGTTCTCGACGAACGCTCAGAGTATTCCGCTGCCGTAAGAGACAGGACTGTTTGAACCTGATGGATTGACCCATCTATGGGGTTGGCAATAGAAGACTTACGTACATGGTGTGAGGTATACTAAGCCTAATTACGCATTCCATTTTGGGTATCTTCTATATGCGGCTTCTCATTCTTCAACAAAGACTTCTTCGTTTATCTTGCAGTACCAGTAGAATATACAGGGCAGGGAGAGAGCACGAGGCGGGTGAACGTGGGCTTGACCCAAGCTATGGAGTTCTACCAATTGGGGAAAGCAAACGCATGCCAGAAGAGCATAGGGGAGTTGTCCATGCTTTTGCCGGGCACCAGGAAACTCTGCCACATCTTTCTGCACGCTTGGTTGGCTGTTTCTGTACGCGACCCTTCGGATGCCCTTTCTCGTCCGTGTATTGCGATGCCATGGAACGATAAAACACGTGAAAACGCATCTTGGACTGGTCTGAGGGGTGGTGGCTACCCTCTTTACGGCATAATCAAGAGGACCCAGCACACCAGTTCCACCTCAGCTTTGTAAGATCATGACGACTTGAAGAGCATCACAGTTGTATGTTAAGTTAGGGTGAACCTCTTGACCCGGAAGATACCGAGTAATCACGTCATTCATCTTCCGATGACGCCACTAAGAAACCCCACATAACATCGATCAAGATTCAATAATCAGAACAATATCTTTGTCCGTTCAACCTCGTTTGAAGCAGACGGCCTACTACCATGAAAACTCTCTCCGATGAAGAGCTTACGGCCCTGGCGGGGCAATACTTTGCTCCAGAGGGATTGTACCAATACACCAAAGCCCTGCCATTTCTTGGAAGCCTGGAGCACAATCCCAAGACATTGATCGCGGGCCAATGGACGGAACTGGTTGTTGAATACACTGTCGGTGCCAGTGGCCTGGCTGATGGTGCTTGGATCAAGGGCACCTTCAAATTCTACTCCGACTGGGCTCTGTTCCAAACGACGGATCCGGAGAAGGACAACTACGTATCAGCCGAGTACATCGCGGGTCCCCTCCATCCCGGTCAGACAGCTGCAACGGTCCAGTCGCTTGCGGTCCGGTTCGACCAAAAGGGCCACGAGCGGCCGTTTCAGAAGGCAATTCTGATCGACGTGGTTGACGGTTATCTGAACCCGGGAGACAAGATCGTTGTACGCATGGGTGATCGACGATGGGGATCCCGAGGGACGCGGGTCCAGACTTTCGTGGAGGACAAGTTCATGATGAGGTGGTACATCGACCCGGTTGGAACCTCGAGATTTGCACCCATCAAACCGGACATTGCCATCCCAATCAAGCCGGGGCCCATTGCAAAAGTCAAAGCCATTTCTCCGCGTGTCGTCAGACCAAACGTGCCCTTTCCAATCCACATCCACACTCACGACGCGTGGGGAAACGCCACGGCCAACTTGGCCGGATTAGACGCCCGAATCACCGTAACAGATGAGGGATCCTCCGAAGCCATCTTCGACAAGCAGCTTCCACTCCCGAGCCAAGGATGGACTGTAACCGACACCACAGTATCTCTGCCGACAAACGGAGACTACACCGTGTCCGTCTCAGTCTCCGACATCCCACACGGCGGCACCATCATCACCACCACCACGGACCCCATCACCGCAGAATCGTCGATCCCCACCCCGCGCCCCCTCTTCGCCGACCTCCACGTCCACTCGGACGACACCGTCGGCACCAACTCATCCACCTACAACTTCTCCTACGCCCAGCACATCGCCGGCCTCGACATCGTCGGCTACACCGCCAACGACTTCAACATCACCCAAGCCCGCTGGACGCAAACCCTCGCCGTCATCGCCTCCGCCAACATCCCCGACAAGTTCCTCATCTACCCCGGCACCGAATGGTGCGGCAACTCCGCCGCCGGCGGCGACCACAACGTCGTCTTCCTCGACGACCCGACGAAGACGACAGACGTCTCCACCGCCCCGGCCTTCCCGCTCGACCGCGCCGGCAACGTCGCCCGCAGCTTCGAGTGGAACGAGCACGGCCCGGCGCAGCTGCGGCCGGGCGCGTGGCCGCTGGACGAGCTGTACGCGACGTACGCAGCTGAGGAAAACCGCCACCTGCTGATCCCGCACGTGGGCGGGCGCCGCTGCAACCTCGCGTGGCACCACCCGCGGCTGGAGCGGCTGCTGGAGGTCGGCAGCGCGTGGGGCGTCTTCGAGTGGCTGCTGCGCGACGCGGTGCGGCGCGGGTGGCGGATGGGCGTTTGCGCCAACTCGGACGAGCATCGGGGCAGGTGCGGCGGGGGCGTGCCGGGGACGGCGGTGTTCGGGGCGCGGGGCGGGTTGACGGGCGTGTGGGGCGCGGAGAGGGTGGAGTGGAGGGGGGTGGCGGCGGCGTTGAGGGCGCGGAGGACGTTTGCGACGACGGGGGAGAGGCTGGTGGGGTTGGTGGAGGTGGGGGAGGAGGGCAAGATGCAGGGAGATGAGGTGGAGGTGGGGGTTGGGGAAGGGGTGGAGATGCGGTATCGGTTTTATGGGAGGAGTGGGTTTGGGTCGGTTGAGGCATGGGATGCGGGGGGGATGGTGTTCCGGCGCGACTTGCAGCGGGAGGCGGAGCAGCATGCGGCGGGAGGGACGCGACGGAAGCTTCGTGTCAGGTGGTCGGGAGCGCGGGTCTACGACAGATACCGGGAGGCGGTGTGGAGGGGATCGATCCTGGTGACGGACGCCGTCATCTCACACATTCAGCCGTTTGGCGGGGTGCTGGATAACCCGGAGGATGTCGTCGAGCTGGCTTCGGAGAGCCAGGTCATCTTCAACACACGCACGAGTGGGGATTTCGACGGCGTAGACATCTTCTTCGTTGCTGCGTCCGAGACTCCTTCTTCTGTCAGTGTTACGGGGAAATTGGGGGGATATGTCAAGGTCGGCAACGTGCTCAACGGCAATCCTCACAAGCCGCAGCCTGAGTTCCGTTTATCTGCCAGTCGACACGAGCTGGAGCAAGTTGACGGGAAGCAGATTGAGATCAAGGGTGGAGCTGAGCTTGCTGTATCGGCTGGATTGCTTCTGGACGTACCACTCCCAAGACGGGTGGAAGGGACGTTTAGTATTCCAGCCAACACTCACGCCGCTGGAGAGAACCAGGCAGTCTACTTTGTAGGCAGAGAGTCTCATGGAGGCAAAGTCATAACCAGTCCGGTTTTTCTCGAGTATATAGCTTAGACTGTTTTTGAGCCGGGCGCTGGGCGGACTGGAACAGCACCCTCTCGCATTCCATCTCTACTTACCACACAAAATTTTCAACCACCATCTTCACACCCTTTCTCGCGCTGCTCCGGCGCGTGTCCTGGGAAACGGCTGGCGTGTGTGCAGCTGAGGGCGGCGGTTGTGCGTTTACGTTGACAAATTCGCCGTTGGTGGTTACGCAGCGTCGAGACGGGAGTTATCACGGCGGTCTGTTGGGGTCTCGTAGATGCTGGACTTTTATCTCAAGTTCAAGGATGAGACGTACGTGGGCGTACCATGTCCATGCTGCTTGCAGATGGAGAAGAACTACTCCATGCCCCACCGCTTCGTCACGAAAAGTCGTAGGGCTTGCTCAAGAGCGTGGCTGGATACGGTGAGCGACAGGCGTTGCTGCAGACGGGGTGGTGTGGTATGGCATGTGTAGGCGGGGTGCCGTAGGTGTCTGGGGAGGCCGAAGCGGCTGGAGTGCGCAATGGCCTGGCTGCTGAGCGGCCAAGTCACGCGAAGACGGCGGTGCCGGCGAAGCGGCGGGCGGTGGGTGGAAGAGTGGGTGCGCATGGCGTTGTCGTCATGGTCAAGGACCATGACGACAGGCCGTCGAGGTTGAACTTGAGCAGGCTATGTGAGTTTGCCGCCCCCGACACCGAACAGCTTTCCTCGTTAGTGTGCCGGCAAGCGAGACCGACGGCACGTGAGGGCAGGACAGTCGCTCCTGCCAGTGCCGGGGCTCATCTATATAATCCCCTCCGGCCCTCCGACCTTCTCTTCTCTTTACCACTCTCGTTCTTTACTTCAACTTCCAAGACATCTTAAAACCTCCCATTCATTTCCATCCATCTCAGACCATTCAAGGCCATCACAGTAAGCACTCTGGAAGCAACGGCACCATGTCCTCGCTTCTCCTGCTTCGCTTCTCCTGCTTCACATCTCCGTCTTACTGCCTCACCTGTCCTACCTCACCTATCCCACCGCACTTGCTCTTCTTCTTAATATCCTTCTTCATATTTCCCATCTCCCACGCCCTCTCCCAATCCCTTACCGCACCCGATCTACCTTGGCTTCCGCTTCACTTTTTCACCCTCACTTGTCCAGCTTCACCCGGTCACTCACCTACTCCGCTCACCCGTCCTCACTCGACTGGTCATTTCAGCGCTACTTACTACGCCAGGTCACTCTTTTCATCCCATCATGTTGTTCCCGGCCTTCATCTTGACCCTGCTCGCTGCCACCCTCACCACGTCTGTCGTGGCTGACGCAGGTCTGAACGCTGCCGTCGCCTTCGACAACGGCCTCGGCTCTCTCGACCAGGGCCTCTTGGACAATCTTCACGCGCCCCACTACGATCTCTCCGTCTGGGCCCCCGGATGGATCCCTCAAGACTGCAAGGACATTGTCGAGGGCCAGAATCTCTCCGCGTCCGACGTCACCATCTGGAACGTCAACTACACCGACTGCTCCTCGCCGTGGGTCATCTGCACCCACAAGGACGCCCCGCTCACCCAGACGGTCGTCGCCGACCTCTTCGGCAAGATCCCCGTCAAGATGCGCAGCACGATACGCCACCTCATCTCCGTCCCCGGCCCCGGCATTGGCGCCTTCAACGCGGGCGACAACATCATGTTCAGCGGCGCCAACGACCACATCTCCGTCTTCGTCCACGAGGTCGGCCACAGCGTGGATACGCACGGCTACCCCAACATCTCGGCCGGCGCCTTCCACGAGACCGACATCTGGCTCGACAACTACGCCAAGGACTCGGCCGTCGCGGATGCATACGCCAACTGCAACCAGGCCGAGAACCACTCCCAGGAGCTCGTCGTCGCCCTGTTCGACCACGTGGTCCCGGGTGGCGTGGGCACCGTCAACAGCAACTGGACCGAGATTGCACACCAGTACGAGACCATCCAGGGCTTTGTCGGTGTCCATGGCGACATGATCACCCCGGGCGGCGTCTGCTCTGATCGCCACAACAACAGCGAGCCCGTGCGCTTGACCGAGAGCCCCGACACCGGCACTGGTCCCGCGCCCGACGTTGGACTCAAGGACGGCGTCAAGGTTTACGACTTCTTGCCCATGCAGACGGTTGTGAACGCGACGGTCGTGAGGGAAGATGGAACCGTCGGCTTGATGGAGGTCCAGGTTCTGAAGCAGTAGCCGGGCTCGTCATTTCGACAGTGGGCTTTTCTTTGCTTGGGTTCTACAGTAACTTTCTGGATGGCGTGGGTTCCCGACCATCATTACCCGAAGCACTACGGCGGAGGAGCTACGAATTGCTTGATGCCTACTCATGCGGGAGGTGTTGTTCCTGAAGCGTAGCAATCAATGACCATGGTTCCTCTAACCAACTAATCAGTGAATGCTGTCTTGAGTGAAGATGTGCTGCAACAACTCGCTGGAGTCACCTCTCCCACGTTGCAGCTTTGAGAGACAGTCAGTCCCGGCCCTCCAGTAGTAGCAGTCACCGCGACTCCCCACTGACTACACATTAGCAAAGCAAGAGGCCCGCCGCCGCGCCATGCTTGACACGCGGAGATGTTGGTCCCTCTCGACTTGACGCCCCCGCTCTCGACCACGCCGAAACCAAACGCCGTCCACCGACGCTCCTCAAATCGCCCCGCTTCGCCTTCAGCAGATCGTATCCTCTTCCCTCCCCCATCCGTTCGGTTCCCTCCCTTGCAGCCGCACGTACTCGTCCGCCCGTCCGTCCGTCCGTTCGTTCGTTCGTGTGAGGTAGTGCTGTGCTGTGCACACGCGGTCGATCCCGAAGACGACTGCTTGAGGTAAGCCATCAGCGCTGTTTTGAGTGTGCTTGGCCAACGATGGCTTTGGGGACAGGCGGCAGTGAGCGCGGGCCGGAAGTGTGTATGTGGGTGGTCGTGTCGGAAGAAGGTGTGAGGAGAGAGTTTGGGATAGAGACCGAACTGCGCTGTCTACAGCTGTCTGTAGGGTGCTGCAGATAGCTTCGTAGACGTGTGGACTCTTCGGTCATGGACATATTAGAGTTCACTGTTCATAGCTTTAGCACTTAGATAGGGCAGATTGACGATAGTGAACGGCTTTGCTTCTGCCACTCCAATTGTTGATAATTGCGGTTGGAGATCCAAGTTGCTGCTGCACCAAGTGATGATGCTCAATCAACAAGGGTACGATGGCTCTGGATACATTTGTGAGCAAGAGCAGTTTGCAACGGAGCGGTTCTCGGAGGTTCGTCGCAAGTGGCCGCTGCGCTCGCCGTAGATAAATTTTACGGTGGGCTTCAGACACGACCTTTCCTACCGCAAGACCGGAAAAGAAGCTACGTTGACGCGTCACCTGCCGAGAGCCTTTATCAACAGTTCAACTCGTCTTCATGCAAATGAGGAGGTGGTTCGCGGCGGGGGCGTGCCGCATTGGATGATTTCGAGGCCGACGGTGTTTATGCAGGACTCGCTGCTGCCGAAGTCGGCGTGGATTTTCCCGGGCTGGCCGAGACGGAGGTGCTGAAGGCGGCATTCAGGGCCGATGCGGTAGTGGATTTGTGCGATGCGGCCGATGTGGGGAGGTTTGTAGCGAGGGCGTTGGCGCAGCCCGAGGTGCTTGACGCGACGGACATTGAGGTGGCGAGTGAGCGGGTGGCGGCGGTGGAGCTTGTCGAGAGGGTGGATGTGGTGAGGGAGAGGAGCATGTCGTTTGTGAGCTTTATTTTGTGACAACGCTTGAGGAGTTTTTCTCAAAGCCGTCGCACAGATACGTACCGGAATATACGATTGATGTTGTGGCTTTTGCTGTGTTTTGCTTGCCACGGCTACGACGGCCTTCATCTCTCTGCTCCTCTCACCTCACCAAAGACCAGACGAGCCTCAATGCAGGGTCCATGCACATGGCCCAATACGAAAGCAGATCGTTGGTAACTTCGAACGTCTAGGTGCGGATTTTTCCAGGGATACTATTAGGCTGAGGGTGTCTGGATGGAAACTTGGACGAGGGTGGGGCTGGCTTTAGTGTCCCTGGCGTATGTGGATCACCAGATACACTTCTTCAACTCACTTTTTGGCAACTTCCACCGTTCGAAACCCCTGGATACCTACTATTATTCCCGTCCATGACCTCCAAATCGATCCGCCTTGTTATTTGCTGTTACTTCATGACCTTCACCTGTACTGTGAGAAGTGATACCCAAGACAACCCGGTCACTTGTCTTCTTTCCGGACCTCGTCTGTGCAGCTTCGCTCAGCGACAGCATCTTGGATGGTTCAACAACAAGTATCCAGCCTCTACTTCACTTGATGCCAGAGCCCAGAATCAACCCGGTATCGATGGCGCTACAAAGACACCTCACTCTGCTGGTTTAACGTTTGGAATTCCAGTATCTACCCACATCAGGTCATGGTAGCTTGCAAGCCGTTGTCTCGTTGCTATCCGTTATCGTTCATGCAGAATATCGGGGGAGTTGGGCGACGTCTTCGCGAAAGATGGAGGTGTAGAAAATTCACGAGCTGTATGGGCCGCGGTGACTTGAGCCAATCGAGCGGCATCTTCTCAGCACACAAAGCATGTGAGGTACTTTGATCTGCGCTTCGGTGGGCGACCATAAAAGTGCGCGGGGCAAGCCTCTCGGGAAATATTTGGAAATGAGTCATTCCCCGTTCGAAATCAGGAGTCAAGTCAAGTGTGGTTTGCGCTTTGGTGGGTGACCAGAACCACGGGCGGGCGGGAACCTGGTGAAGGTACGGATTGACTTGTAGTTGACAAGCGGCTACGGCGGTCCCATTGCGAGCGGCGGCGAGCGTCGGTCAGGTGGTTACTGCCTTCACTCTGAGAAGCCTTACCAACACAATGACCGGCACTTCTTGTAGCACATTTATGTTGGTATGCAAATGAACGATTAAGAAAAATACCTTTTAAAAGACTTCGTTTCTAAGGAGACTGCTACAAACAAACATATCATTATAAATATACCGAAAGGCCAGCTCGGTCTTGTGCAAATCGCAGAGGAAAAGTCGGGGTGGTTACTAGAAGCGGTGGGGCATGCATCCACATGTTGGCGTGGTTTCGATTACGTTTGCAATTGTATGTACTGCAAGCGCGTCCAAACTCAGCAGCAATGAACGACACAATCCAGTATTTCTTAATGCCATCATGAAACCCGATACATATTTTTACATGAAGAATTTTCCATGGCTAAACTCAACCCCAATCGAGGTGAAACTTTCTTGGTTTCACATCAGTATGCAAAGGCATTGCAACACATACGAGATGTAATCAGGCTTGGCGAGCCCGAGTATGGTGATCTTATAACTAGGAATACAATAGAGATCATGCCACCTCTCCACCCTCAGCCCGACCCCTCCACTCTCGCATCCCGCCAATGAAAAACCCATTGCGCCGCATTTCAATTCCATCTCTACGGCAGCAACGAAGGCGATTACAAATGTGGGCTTCTGGGGGCAAGGAGTTGAAACTTCCTGCCTTTTCCCCTCACTTGGACCGGGGGAATGGTGACAGCGATCGAGATGGAGCAGGGATTAGATCCGTATATGTGGAGAGGTGGGGTGCTGGAACGGCGTGGCGGGGGATGATGAGGGCTTGCCGCACAGCTTGTGAAGTGGGTCAGTTTCGGCACGCTGCAAGAGGTCGTTAGTGATGGAGATAAATTAAACCTGAGTTCTGGAACCTTTAAGGTTATCCGGCGGCGCGGGATATATTAGACGATGGGTATGGCTGGGAGGACGAAGAATCCGAGAGGTGGGTAGCGGAAATGATTCCAGCGTATCGGCTCTCGTTTCGGTATACGAGGTATTCTATCCAAGGCCCTGCAGGATGAGACTAGACTCCTATAGCATGACGCCGTAAGTTTACTGCAAGAGTCCTAAATGGATTTTCTTCTTCGTACCCAGACACCGTTTAAGGTTGTCGGGCAGCATATGGTGCTCCGTTCAAGAAACGACATTGCCGATATCGAACATGCGTTACTTATAAGCAGGTCGCAGTCAGAACATTGTAACGTGTTTTATTTTACTGTTTGGGTCTCTTATGTTGGTGCTCTGAATTCCTTTTCGGATTATATATCGCGTATACCTCCTTGTCGTACTACCATCTGGAAGTTGATGCCTACCTGCTACACCACGCTTGGCACTGATACGCAGAACTCTTAAGACGAAGGATTTCTCGAAGAATGGCGCTCTTGTCATCCGTGACGCTTGACCCATTTTAGAATCTTTCTGACCCGAAAACCTCGGAGAGAAAATAAAACTAGCAAACAGCATTTACAAAACGGTAAAAAAATCAGTGAAGTACACGAGACACTAATGACATATGCGTGCTAAATTTTTTCTCCAAGTAATTTTCTCGCTATACTCACCGCTTCCACGCTTTCATTGGAAGCTGTATACCAGCTGCAAGTGCAAAGTCAAAATTTATCTAGCACAACCTTATTCGCAATAAGAAACAACCCTAAAGAGCATCCGCATACTACCGACCCACTCCGCCCGCTAAGCAAACCGTCCAACTACCCCGCCATACCATCCAGCCGAAACGTATCGCTCCTCCTCTCCCACACCGCCGCACACGAAGCGCATGCGCCAGAAAAAAAAATGAAGAAGAAAAAAAACCACCCCACACACACACACACAACCAACCACCCACGACGCATCCGGCACAAACGTACGACCTCCCCCAATCGAAACTAGCGCTACATTGACCCACAATCCCCGGAAGTGGCTCCGACTACAACACTGCAACAACCAAAAACAGCCCCATCTAGCCTTTTCCCACCCCGGCCAAAAACGCAAACCAATACCGGGTGGGGGGGGGGGGGGGGGGGGGAAGGAGGGAGGTGGAGCAACACGAACAACGAAAAAAAAAAAAGCCCAGAGATCTGCAACAAGGGTTGGCGAGGGCCGTCGTCCAATACACGCACGCACGCACGCATGCACGCATGCATTGGCGGAGCCGCAGCAGTGCCTACCTGCCTACCTAGTGGAGAAGAAAAAAGCCATTTGTGCGTGTGGGTGTGGAGGGGCTGCCAGCCTTGGCTGCCTGCCTAGGTAGCTACGTAGTCATGGCTGCTGGCGCCAACCACACCTCGCACGAGAACGGGCGGGAAAAGAAAAAAGCAAAAAGAAAATTTCGTCAGAGCGACTCACCGGCGAATGAGAGAGCAGGGGTGCGTGCGTGTAAAAGGATAGGTAGGACGAGCTCGAGCTTGTTTTACCTAGATGTGCAGGGGGGGGGAGGAGGCGGGCGTAGGCGTAGGCGCAGGCGCAGGCGCTAACCAAAACGGTAGATCCCGCCGCCGCCACGGCCCGTGCGGGCCGCCGGTGGGCGGGCGTGGGTGCGTGCGGCGTGGGTGCATGGGTGCGTGCGCCGGGGCAACGACGACCGCCCGCCGCGGGCTGTCCGTGTGGGCTGGCGGATCCGAGCTGTTGGGAACTAGCGCTAGAGATTGCATTCGTGCGGCGCGGGGAGAGAGAGAGCGCTTGGCCTACCTATCGCGACGGCGCTCGGGTCTTAGGGTAATACGAATTTCGGGATACCGACGGGGCGGTTCAAGACATTTTGTGGGGCGGGGGGAGAAGATTTCTTTCCTTTCCAACGCATGCAGCTGCTGGGGGTGGTGCGAGGTTACCACGAGGGGTATGGTGGGGGATGGATTGGCTACTCGTGCGTTGCTGTTGTTTCATTGCGTCTGCCTGGGCGTGGAATATGATTGGTTTAGCTGCCTATTGCGCTGTCGCGAATCTTATAGCCATGAGGGCTCTCTGAGGAAAGAGAAGGCGAAACTTTCTGTCTGCGTTCCTTCAAAAACAATAAACATCCTGGTTCGCAGGCACACATAGTATGTTGAGGGTGGGATGGGTTATGAGAGAGTTAAAGCAGGGAGTTAGCGTTAAGTCATAGTATACCCTATCGGCGATCGAACAAAATCAACGAGTGCAACATATAGTTCGCTATCTTATAACCCCGTCCACCTCATAACCCAGTCGAACCCGTTAATCTAAATAGACCTGTCACCGTAGTTGTATATTGTAGCACAAGCTGCAACCGTTGCACGCAGTCCACACTCCCAACGGCATCCACCCAGACCCCTTCTCCACCCAGCCCAACCCACCCACCCACCTACTCCAAACTCTGCGCCGCCACCATGCTCGCATACAACCCACGCCTCGCCACCAACTCGCCATGCGTCCCGCTCTCAACCACACGGCCAGCATCCATGACGAAGATGCGATCGGCATCCCTCACGGTGCTCAGCCTGTGCGCGACGGCGACGGTGGTGCGGCCGCGCGCCGCGCGCACCACCGCGTCCTGGACGACGCGCTCGCTCGCCGTGTCGAGGGCGCTCGTGGCCTCGTCGAGCAGCAGCACGGCGGGGCGGCGCAGCAGGGCGCGGGCGATGGCGACGCGCTGGCGCTGGCCGCCCGACAGCGCGGCGCCGCCGAGGCCGCCGACGTGCGTGTCGAGCCCCTCGGGCAGGGAGGCGATGACGTCGGCGAGGGCGGCGTCGGCGACGGCGGCGGCGATGGCGGCGGCGGCGATGGCGGCGTCCGAGGCCGTGGCCGTGTCGAGGCCGAGCGTGATGTTGTCGCGGACGGTGCCCGAGAGGAGCAGCGTGTCTTGCGAGACGAGGGCGATGGACTGGCGCAGGCGGGCGAGGGGGAGGGTGCGGATGTCGCGGGTGGCGTCGAGGGTGATGGAGCCGGTCGAGGGGTCGTAGAAGCGCTCGAGGAGGGCGAGGAGGGTGGATTTGCCCGAGCCCGAGGGCCCGACGATGGCGGCGAAGGTGCCGGCGGGGATGTGCAGGGTGATGTCCGTGAGGGAGGGGCCGTGGGAGGCGCGGGTGGGGTAGGTGTGGGAGATGTTGTTGAAGGCGATCTCGCCGCGGATGGGCGGCGGGGGGAGAGGGTCCGAACTGCCGTGCTTCGTGTCGTCGACGTCGATGGTGGGCATCATCTGGGCCACGGCTTCGAAGTCGCGGGCGGCGGCGCGTGCTTTGGACGTGTCGGCGGCGGCTGAGAGCGCATTGCCCGCCGACTGGGCACCGAAGATGACGGTCGAGTAGCAGATGAAGAACTGCAGCATCGAGTACTCGCCGCGCGCCATCAGGCGGCCGCCGTACCAGAAGCACAGGGCGAAGGAGCAGTAGACGAGGGCTTGGCTAAGGGCGAAGAAAATAGAGGCCTTGCAAGTGGAGACGGCATTCTTGCGGGCCTGCGAGGTGAGGGTGGCGCTGTAGCGGCGCAGCACCGTGTCTTCCAACGTGAGGGAGGCCACGACGCGGATGCAGCCACACGCCTCGGTTGCGTAGGTCGTGGCGGCCGCGTACGCCTTTGACGTGCGCTCCTCATTTTTGCGTAGGAACGACAGACGCAGGTGGCCAGCGGCCAGAAGCACGGGAGCGGTTGCTGTACAAACGAGCCCCAGCTTCCAGCCGATGGCAATGGCAACGATGAGACCGGAGATTATGGTGGAGGCGCCCACCAGCAGCATGCCCAGCGAGCCCCCGCTGAGCCCGTCTAAATCCGCGGCCCGGCCGGTGAGTAGGGTGCTGAGAGCGCCGGCCGAGTGGGCAGGCATGTCGAAGAAGGACATGTCCTGGCGCAGCAGGTGCTGGAAGATGGTGGTGCGAGCGCGGCGGACCATGCTTTCGGAGCAGACAGCCAGCGCCACGCCCTGGCCGCTCTGCAGGGCGGCGCCGACGAAGGCCAGCATCAGCATCATGGCGGCCCAGAAGTCGACGTCGTGCCGCAGCCGCGCGTGGTTGTACGCGTTCTTGCCGAAGGCGGCGATGCACTGTAGGCGGTGTTGGGTCAGCCAGGAAGCCAATCGGGGGGTGCGTCACTCACTGCCGACAGCACGACGGATTGGGCGGTGCTCAAGCAGCCGCAAAGGACGGAGAAGACCATGCTGACCAATAGCATGGGGCGGTCGTGGGCGCGCAGGGCGGAGATGAAGCGGGTTGCGGGGCGGGGCGGGGTGCTGTCGTGTTCGTCGTCAGGTGCGTTTTCGGCGTCGCTGGCCGGGGGTGATTCAAGCTTTGCGTCGTCGGCGGCGGCAGGTGGCACGGCATCGGCTGCGCCGGTCTCGGGTTCCTGCACGGCCAGGCTCTGGGCCTCCAGCAGGCGATGAAAGGCGCCGCGGCGCTCGACCAGGTCTGCGTAGGAGCCCTGCTCGACGATGCGGCCGTCGGCCATGACGGCGATGCAGTCGGCGTCCTTGATGGTGGACAGGCGGTGAGCGATGACCAAGTTGGTGCGCCCCTGCATGGCGGTGCGCAGGGCGTGCTGGACCTGGCGCTCTGAAACCGGATCCAGGGCGGACGTGGCCTCATCGAGCAAGAGGATCTTCGGATCCGCCACGATGGCCCGCGCGATGCAGATGCGCTGTTTCTGGCCGCCTGCAGCGGCTGTCAGCACCGGACCTATCCGCGGCAATGCGGCAGCGGGGCAGGAGCAGGCAAGAGCAGGCAAGAGCGTTGGGGACCGTTGGGGACCGCGTCTGGGTGCAGAAGGCGCAGCGCAGGCAACGCTGTCACACCCACCATCGCAGACGACGGTTTCCCGCTTTCCCACGCCCGCTCCCCCGGGGCCAAGTGCTTGCTGGCTTGCTTGCTTGCTTGCTCGCTCACTGCTCACTTGGCGCCGGGACGTCTGCCCGTCCTCCCGTCCTCCCGTCCTCCCGCCCTCCCGCGCGCGCGGGCCCCACGGCGACCAGGGAAGGGAAAATAGGGTAAAAAGTAAAAAAAGAAGGGCGTCAAGCCACACACGCACCTGACAGCAGGGCCCCGCGCTCGCCCACCCGCGTGTCGTAGCCTTGCGGCAGCATCTCCACAAAACCGTGGGCGTTGGCCGTTTCCGCCGCCCGCCTTACCCGTTCGCGCTTCACCTCGTCGTTTTCGTGCTCCCACGCGGACCCGACCAAGCCGTGCGCGATGTTCTCGAACACGGTGGCGTCGAACAGCATGGCCTCCTGCCCCACCAGCGCCAGCTGCCGCCGCAGCCAGCGCACGTCGAGGCTCTGCAGCGGCGCCCCGTCCAGCGTGATGCTGCCCGCCGACGGGCTGTAGAAGCGCTCCAGCAGGCTGACCAGCGTGCTCTTGCCCGACCCGGACGGCCCCACCACCGCCGTCGTCTTGTTCGCCGCCACGTCGAGGCTGAAGCCGGAGAGCACGCCGACGTCGGGGCGGCTGGGGTAGTGGAAGTCGACGTCCCGGAACTGCATGTGGCCTGAGGAGACGACGCCGCTGACGCCGCCCTCTCGGCCGTGCGGCTGCGGCTGCGGCGTCTGCGGCTGCGCCTGTGCTGGTGGTGGAGATGGTGGTGGAGAAGCCGCGCTGTGGATCCGCGCCGCCGCCGCCAGACCCGCCCCAACGCCCTGCGCATCCGGACCAGAGAGCCCCAGCGACACCGTGCCCAATAGCACCGCTGCAGCCAACCCGTCAGCCTCGTTCACCCAGACACAACGGACAAGGGACCCCTTCGTATCTCACTTACCGAGCAGCACGATCAGCACGTCGGCCAGCGACAACACCCCGGCCACCAGGAACCGCGAGCCCTGCCAGAACGCCAGCGCGTACGCAAGCAACATGACGCCCGTGACGGCCGCCATCATCAGCGCCCCGGCCACCTTGCCCGCCACGCCCGGCCGCCGCGCGTCGAGCAGCCGCGCCGCATACCTGCCCGCCACCGCCTCCTGCGCGCAGTTGGCCGCCACCTGCCGCACCCCCGCCAGCGCCTCCGACGCCACCGTCGCCGCCGCTCCCTCCGCCGCCGCCCCCTGCCCCGTGTACTTGACGATGGATCCGGACGCGATCCCGACGATGAGCACGAACGCCACGAGCGTCGACGAGAGCACCAGCGCCAGCCGCCACGAGAAGACGAAGCCGACGACGAAGGCCGTGACCACTGTCGACATCGCCGACACCGCGCGCCCCAGCTTGGACGTCAGTGCCGTGCGCACCAGTTCGGCGTCGCTGCTGAGCCGAAGCGACACTTCGCCGCGGGCGTTGGGCGTGTCGGCGAGCGCGGCGACCCCGTGGCTGAGGACCGCCGAGAGGTAGCGTGTGCTGCAGCACCGTGTCAGTGATGTCTTCTCTTCTTTCTTTTTTTTCTTGGCTTCACGAACCGCAGCGTGCAGCTGATGCGCTCCCCGGCCAGCGTCAGCCCGACCGTCGTCACGTACACGGTGACGAACTCGGCAATGGCCAGGTACACGAAATACAGCGTGAAGGTGTCGAGCCGGCCGCCGTAGCTGCCTCCGCCGTAGCTGTCTCCGCCGCTGCTTGACGACGACGTCGTGATGGTCTGGAACTCTCCGGTCATCTTGCCGAAGACGATCGTCTTTTTGGCGGCTCCGCGTCAGCACACACATCATTTGCTCGGCTATCATCCCATCGGACGGAGGGCTGGGCGGGGAGGGCGGGATGGGGGCCAGGGGTGTGGGGGCTGGTAAGTGTGTCATGTAGTCTTACGCACCATCAGCGGCATCAGAGCGCCTCCGATCACTGCCGAGACGAGAGACACGGATACGACGACCACGTCTGTCTTGCTCGCTGCATCGTAGATCTGACACCAGGGTTTTTTGCCGTACGTTAGTTTTTGGTATGCTCAGCCGAGGTGCGCGGCGGGTGCAAAGTGTCTTTTACCAGCTTCAACGGGCTGCCGCTCGCCTGTTCGGTGCTTTCGGAATCCGCGTCGTGGGAGCTTCCTCCGATGACATCCTCCTTGCCTGGGTCCGTCTCCGTGCTGCTACCCTTCTCGACATTGCTATTGGGCATATGTACGGTAAGCGCGCGGCTGATGTGCTGTGTGGCGGAGCTGGCGGCGATGAGAGGTGATGGAAGGAGTCGCTTGTGAAGTATGTCTGGCCGATCACGCAGCTCTATGCAAGGAAAGCTGGAAGGCAAAGATGTGAACGAGTGCTTCTGTGTTGTGGAGACCGAGGTTCAGGAGAATCTCGTCAAGCTGTCGTAAAATAGAGCAAACGGCGCTCGGCTTGGGGGAATTCGTCTGCCGGCAAGACTGCCAACAAGGATCGTCGGAACCGCCCTGTCCGCTGTTCGTCTTGGCTTCAGCCTCTGATTCGATGCTTGCCAGGGGCTATAGCTACCCCGGGCAATATGCAATCTGGGTATTGAAAAGTGGGCCGGCTCGTACAAACGCCGCGTTCCGGGCACGAGGGACTTAACTCGGGGTGTCGGGCCTACCTTTGACTGGGTATGAGCTCCAACCACATGGCTCTGCATCGGGGATGAGCAGATGCGATGCAGGTCCAGAGGCTCCTGTTGACCGATGTAGAAGTTTTCAACCACATGATCATCTCGACATTGCCCGTTCAGAGCACGCCAACGCTGCCATGCTCTGCCAGCCCGACCTGCATCGGAGCATAGCGCGCAGGAGATCCACTGAGATGCACTCCCGCCTAGGCGAGCTTCAACTCTCCATATTGCCTAAATCTCAATTGGTCCCAGAAAAGCACACGCGGGCATGTCCCTTCCGATTGTGGTGTGCTCGAGGCCGCGAAGCATGCCTGTCTGGGAAGGCCATGGCGGCCGAGACCGCCCTGGTTTGACTTGCGTACATGACATGACCACCCAGCCTTGTGCTTTCTTTTGGGCCAGTGGCACTCTTTTTTCGTCTTCAATTAACGGATAAACGGATCCACAGTTGCCAGATGCGGCACCGCAAATAGGCACTGCGTCAAGATGCCGATCCCAATGGAGTGGCCTTTCCCGCCGCGCCTGACTGGTCTGGACAGTGCGGCGGTGGTTGGACCAGCAGAAACGCTGTGAGACCCTGCAAGATGCGAGACACTCCTGCTCCTGTGGAGACAGGTGCACGACAATATCGGGCCACATGTGCATCGCTCATGTCCAACAGCCCCGGGTTTACTTCCGCATCCCTCGCATTTGGTGGATTCTTCTCGGCTCCAAGACAGGAATGCCTCTCGGCATTTGAACTTGGGATCAGACTTGGCCCGACACGTTGTTCAGCTCCGAGCGCCAGAAGAAATTTGCACTTGCTTTTGAATCTAGAACGCCGAGGCGTGAGGCGGCATGGCTTCAGTGGCGGTATCAGAGTGGCAACCGTTCACGCTCGCTATCGAAAAGTGGCCACAGCCGGGCAGTACAAGAGGGCTGAGGAATCACGCTCTTCTCTTGCCAAAATCGTCAATGAGCCTCTCGCCAGCATTGTTTATCATTCATTTTCAGGATCAGCTACGCTCGTTTCCTCAAGATCAGCTGCGATGAAGGCCCAATTTGGAAGTGAAGCTGCGGCTCACGATCGCACGATCCCTGAACTGATCGATGAACACGTCCACTCCAGGCCTCATGCAGAGGCTCTCTGCTCATCCGATGGAGATTCCATGTCTTACAAGGCTCTCGACACGGCATCACGGACTCTGGCAGACCACCTGACTCACGAGCTCGATGTCGGCCCCGAAGTCATCGTGCCTCTGTGTTTCGAAAAGTCAATATGGACAGGTAAACCACCAGCCCCCGCGCTCTCCCCTCCCCCACACACGCACCCAACCCTCTGACACACTCGTTACCCCACACAGTCGTCGCCATCGTCGCCGTCCTCCGCGCGGGCGCCGCCTTCGTCCTCCTCGACCCCGCGCACCCCACATCCCGGCTCGACACCATCATCCGCAAATGCCGCTCCCAAGTGGGCATCGCGTCGCCGACGCACCAAAAACGGCTCTCCCAACTCATCCCACACGCCGTCTGCCTCGACCGGCCCGCGCTGCGCCGTCTCGAGGAGCGGCAACAAGCCCGCGCCACCGCATCCTCTTCCCGCCCTTCATCCCCGACCCCATCCGCCTCCTCCTCCTCCTCCTCCTCCACCACATCACTCCGCCCCCATGTAACAGCCCCGCAGCCCCACAACGCGGCCTACGCCATCTTCACGTCGGGCAGCACGGGGGTCCCCAAAGCCGCGCTCATCGAGCACGGCTCCTTCGTGGCGGGCGCCCTCGGGCACGCGGCGGCGATGCGGCTGACGGCCGCGTCGCGCGTCGTGCAGTTCGCGTCGTACAACTTCGACGCCAGCATCACCGAGATGCTGACCACGCTCGTCGTCGGCGGCGCCGTGTGCGTCGTGCCCGAGGCGGCGCGGCTGGATCCGCTCGAGTTTGCGCGCGCGGTCGAGGGCATGCGGTGCGATTGGGCGATATTGACGGCGTCGTTTATCGGGGCGTTGGAGGGCGCGACGGCGGGGGCGGCGGCGGGAGAGGGCGGGTTGGGCAGCTTGAGGGTGTTGGTGCAGGGTGGGGAGGCGATGACGAGGGGCGTGTTGGAGAGGTGGGTCGAGAGGGGCGTGACGTTCTTGAATGCGTATGGGCAGGTGGTGAGTGCTGTTTTCTTTCCCTTTTTTTCTTTTCACCCCCGCTTGGCTGCTACCTGTAACCAAGGATCTCATGAAGGACATCCGCTGACGTTCTCCCACAGGAAGCATCTGTCGTCGCTACCTGCACGCCGCCCATCTCCCGCCACTCAGATGGCAAATCAATCGGCCACGCCGTCGCCGGCCGGTGCTGGGTCGTCGACCCGGACAACCCAAACGTCCTCACCGCCGCCGGCGAGGTGGGCGAGCTGCTAGTCGAAGGCCCACACGTCGGCCGCGGCTATCTGCACGACCCAGAGAAGACGGCGGCCGTCTTCATCTCGCGGCCGACGTGGCACACGCGCCTCTTCCCCGCCGAATGCGACGCGCGCGCCCTGCGCTTCTACCGCACCGGCGACCTGGTCGCGCAGCAGCCCGACGGCAGCTTCGCCTACGTCAGCCGCAAGGACGACATGGTCAAGCTGAACGGCCAGCGCGTCGAGTGCGGCGAGATCGAGCACCAGTTCATGCGCGCCATGCAGCCGCGCCGCGACGTCGTCGTCGAGCTGGTCAAGCGCAAGGTGGGCAACGGCGCCACCCGCGGCGTGCTGGTGGGCTTCGTCGCCCTCGACGCCGACTGGACCGATGGCGATGACGCCGCCAACCAGCGCAGGTTGGATGCCGAGATGCGGAATGCTGAGGCGCAGGTCCGCGCCGTCTTGCCCAAGTTCATGATCCCTGCGTCGTTCATTGCTGTCCACCGCATTCCCATCTCGATCAATGGGAAGGTGGATCGAAAGGGGTTGCGTGCGCTGGGCGAGGCGAGGCTGTCCCGGAAGCAGAACCCGGCGCCGGTGCCGACACCCAGCCGGGCTGAAGAGCAGGTCGTGGTGCCGACGCTGAGTCGTGCTGAAGATCAGCTACGGAAGGTGTGGAGCCGTGTGTTGAATGTACCGGAGGCAGATATCAGCCGGACCAGCGCTTTCCAGAGTCTCGGTGGAGACTCGATATCGGCCATGCAAGTCGTGTCCCAAGCAGCGGCCTGCGGTCTGCCCGTCACGGTTCAGCGCATCCTCCAGAAAAAGACCATTGCCGAGATAACTTCCGGGATGGTGGATGCGCCTCTTGCGAGGACCGCAGAATCCTTTCCAGTGGATGAAGATGAAGGGGATGAGGGAGAGCCTTTCAAGCTTTCGCCCATCCAGCAGTTGTTCTTCCACCTCTCTCCCAAGGGAGACAATCAGGACAACATCAGCTTCCTGCTCCGCCTGAACAGAAACGTCTCGCGCAACTCCATCGACACCGCACTCGAGGCAGTCGTGTCACGAAACCCGATGTTGAGAGCTCGGTTCTTTGAGATGAGGCGCGGATGCTGGTTCCAGTACATCTCAGATGAAGTCTTGGAGTCATACCAGTTCTGCTCCCACGTTGTCAATAGCACGGCCTCATCCGACCTGATGCCCATCATCAAAGACGCCCAGCGAGGTCTCGACATCAAGTACGGCCCTCTCCTTCGCGCCGACCTCCTGACCACTCGCGGTGGTAAAGAGCAGCTTTTGTTTGTTTGCGCCCACCACCTGGTGACTGACTTTGTGTCCTGGCGTGTCATCATGCAGCAGGTCGAGGAGCACATGACGAGTGGGAGCATTTCCCCAACCAAAGCCGTCTCTTTTCAGACATGGTGCAAGCTTCAGGAAAGGCATGTTCGGAGTCTGCCTCCGCAGAAACTTCCATTCGAGCTTCCCGATCCGGACTACGACTTCTGGGGAATGCAGAGCCTACCAAACTTCTACGGAGATGCAGTGACTGAGGTTCTGGTGATGGACGAGAGTCTCTCATCGGTAATCCTGGGAACTGCGAGCAAATCCTCGCTCGAGATTGAGACCGTAGATGTGCTTCTCGCGGCAACCATGTTTGCCTTCCACACCGTTTTCCCAGAGCGGTCCATCCCCGCATTTTTTGTCGAAGGCCATGGCCGAGAACCCTCATGGGACGAGACAATCGACCTTTCTTCAACAGTGGGTTGGTTCACCACCATCTTGCCCATGGTCGTCTCGCAACAGAACTGCAAGGACCCCGTCTCCATCGTCCGCGAAATCAAACGCCTCCGCGCCGAGTTTCCCGACAAAGGCCTCGCCCAGTTTGCCGCCCGCTACTACAGTAAACGCCGCCAACGGCAGCAGCAGCAGACGCCCATGGAAATCACATTCAACTACGCGGGCAAGTACCAGCAGCTCGAGCGGACGGACTGCCTCTTCACCGAGGAGCCCTCCCGCACGCTGATGCACCTCGACGGCTTTGGCGCCGCGCTGCCGCGTTTTGGGTTGATTGAGGTTCTCGGCAACGTCGAGCGCGGCCGTCTCAAACTGTCTTTCACGCTCAACAAGCGCATGCGGCACCGGGAGCGTGTCGCGCAGTGGATGCACGAGTGCCGAAACGTGCTCGCCGCCGTGGCTCCACTGCTCGGCGAGCTGCCGGAGAAGCAGGGGCCCTGTTTCCCGCTTCTCAAGGCGTCGCCGGCAGAGAGTGCAAGGTTGATGGACGAGGTGCTGCCGGCGATGGGCGTGGAGGCGCAGGAGGTGGAAGACGCATATCCCTGCTCGCCGATGCAGAACGGCATGTTGTTGAGCCGCGCCGGCGACAGGGGGAGCTACACTTCACAGCTTTTCCTCGAAGTGCAGTCCACCAACGCCACGGCCATTGACATTGCCCGCCTCGAGCTCGCGTGGCAAGCCGTGATCGATCGACACGCAGTCCTTCGGACCGTGTTTGTCGAGAGCGTGCGCGGCGACGGCAGCTTCGACCAGGTGGTCCTCCGCCACGCACAAGCAACCACCGCGCACATCGCCAAGGACGACCTCTCCACCCATCCCGTCCAGCCATGGCCCGCGAACCAGCCCGAGCACCGCCTCCTCATCGCCGCCCCCAAACCATCCTCCTCTCCCGCGGTGATCCAGCTCCGCCTCGACATCAGCCACGTCCTCATCGACGGCAGCTCCACCAGCATCCTCACCCGCGACCTCCGCCGCGGCTACGCCTCCGCCACCTCCCTCGCCCGCCACCCCCGCCCCTCCTACCGCAGCTACATCTCGCACATCACCACCCCCTCCCCCACCGGCACCCCGCCCGCCGCCTCCCTCCAATACTGGACCTCCCACCTCGCCTCCGCCCAACCCTGCCACCTCCCCTCCTGGAGCAGCGACTCCTCCACCTCCCCCTCAACCCCACCCACCCTCTCCATCGCCCCCGTCCCCCCCATCCCCTTCGCCCCCACCACATCCTTCTGCCGCACCCACTCCGTCACGCTCTCCGACCTCCTCAAGACCGCCTGGGCCCTCGTCCTGCGCGCCTACACCGCGTCCGCATCCGCCGCTGCCGACCCCGTCTTCGGGTACCTCAGCAGCGGCCGGGGCGACGTCCCATCCGCGGACGACGCGCTCGGCGTGTTCACGAACATCCAGGCGTGTCGGGCGCGGGTGGGCGAGAGGGGGCAGAAGAACGTGTTGGAGGTGTTGAGGGCGGTGCAGGAGGACGGGTGGGAGCAGATGGCGCATCGGGAGTGCGGGTTGGCGGATGTGTTGCATGCGATGGGTGGGGGTGGTGCGGCGGAGGAGGGCGGGTTGTTTGGGACGGCCATGTCGTTGCAGAGGGTGGTGAAGGGCGGGGAGGGTGAGGGTGAGGATGGGGTGAGGGTGAGGGTGGTGAGGGAGATGGATCCGACTGAGGTGAGTTGTTGCGTTTTTCTGGAAGTTTCGCGATGGAGTAGCTCGTTTGCTGACCGTTGTTACTCCGTGTTGTTTAGTACGCGGCGACTTTCCTCGGATATGTTTCCGATACTGACGTCGAGCTTGTCATCGAGTACTGGACTTCGAAAATTTCCCACGCTCAGGCAGAAAACTTGGCCGCTACTGTGGCCAAAGTAATTCAGAGCATGATCGAGCACCCGCATAGCCCTGTTGATGAGCTCGACGTCATCAGCGATAATGACTGGGCCAGCATGAGGAAGTGGAACGAAAAGCTAGAGTGCAGCGCCCCGGTCAACAGCTGCATCCACCACCTCATCCAAAAGCTCAGCACGCAGCAACCCAACCGCCCAGCTGTGCAGGGCTGGGATGCCAGCCTATCCTATGGCGAGCTCGAGCAGCTGTCTTCGCAGCTGGCAGGCCACTTGCACAACCTGGGGGTTGGTCCTGAGTGCATTGTTCCGGTGTGCATGGAGAAATCGGCTTGGACCATCGTTTCCATGCTTTCCATTCTGAAGGCCGGTGGCGCGTTCGTACCCTTCGACCCAGAGGCACCGCTCGACCGGCTGCTGCAGCTTCTAAAGGACACTTCGGCGACCATTGCCATTGCATCGACGCAGACTGCCCCCCGCATGCACGGCCACGTACAGCAAGTCATTGTTTCTCCTTCATTCATCAAGGGCCTCCCGAACCGCACGTTCCACGAAACCGTCAGCCCCGAAAACCTAGCCTACGTCTTGTTCACAAGCGGGACGACGGGAGTACCCAAAGGAATTATGATGCAGCACTCCCAATTTCTTGCCAGCTCGACACGCTACAGCCCCGTCCTCGACCTCAGCCCCGAGTCACGCGTGCTACAATTCTCGGCCTACACCTTCGACGCGAGCATCTTCGAGCTCTGGAGCACGCTGACCTCCGGCGGCTGCGTATGCCAAATCTCCGACTCGCAGCGCATGAACGACGTCGCGGGCGGCATCAACGCCCTGTCGCCCGACACCATGTTCATGACGCCCACGATGCTCGAGATCCTCACGCCGACGGCCATCCCGAGCATCCGCACCATCATCACCGGCGGCGAAGTCATCAAGCAAACCATCTTCCGCACCTGGGCCCCGCCGGCCGGAGTATCGCACCTCATCGAAGCGTACGGCCCAACCGAGACGGCCGTCTACGCCACCTTCCAAACCCACGTGCAGCCGACCTCGGACCGCTTCTCCATCGGCTCGAGCTTCTGCTGCCGCTGCTGGGTCGTGGACCCCGCGTCAGCATCGTCACCGCGGCCGCGCCTCGTCCCCGTCGGCGCGGCGGGCGAGCTGTGGCTCGAAGGCCCCAGCCTGGCCCGCGGCTACCTCAACGCCGACGCGAAGACGGCCGCCGCCTTCGTGGAGCGCCCCGCCTTCGCACCGTCTTCCTTGGACGCCGCCCCCCAGACGCCCCTGCGGCGCTTCTACCGCACCGGCGACCTCGTCCGGCTCAAGCCGTGCGGGCAGCTCCGCTTCGTCGGCCGCAACGACTCGCAGGTCAAGGTGCGCGGGCAGCGCGTCGAGCTGTCCGAAGTCGAGCAGCAGGCCGCGCTCGCGCTGCCCGAGGCCGGCGTCCCCGTGGCGGCCGAGGCGCTGGATTCGAAGCTCGTGCTGTTGGTCGAGATGGTGGGAGCCGACGAGGCACGGGTCGCGCGGGTCGTCGACGCGCTCGAGACGCGGCTGCCCAGCCGCTTGCCGCGCTTCATGGTGCCGTCGATGATCGTGCCGGTCGTGGACGAGCCGTTCCCCCGCATGTCGTCGGGCAAGCTGAATCGGAAGAGGCTGCGTGCGTTGGCCGTCGAGCTGGGGAGCAGGCAGCGCGCTGTTGCTGCTGCGAGGTCGGAAGTCAACGGCGGGCCTGAGACGCCGGTGGAGAGGACGCTGAGGCGTATGCTGGCGTCTGTTCTGCCTGGCGTCTCTGCTGACGAGATCCGCATGAGCGACAATTTCTTCCATCTCGGCGGCGACTCGTTCTTGGCAATGAAGCTCGTGGCGGCCGCCAGGACCGAGGGGCTGCGCCTGTCTGTGGCGTCGGTTCTGCGGAACCCCACGCTGGGTGAGCTGGCTAAGACGATGCAGCTGGAGACGCCGCAGGGAGATGGCGCCGCTCAAGTGTCGAGGCCGTTTGAGATGATGGGGAGCCTGGCATCCTCGATTCGCGCCGAGGCTGTGAAGACGTGTGGACTCCGCAGCGAGGACGACATCGAAGACATTTATCCTGCCACGCCTCTGCAAGAGGCCTTCGTTGTCGAATCGACCAAAACCCCGACCGCGTACATGGCTTATCACGTGGTCAAGCTTCCCGCTGACGTCAATCTGGACAGATTCTGTGCCGCGTGGGAAACTTGCGTTCAGGAAAACACCATCTTGCGCACCACCATCTTCCAGACCGTACAAACCAAGCCACCTCGTCCCATACAAGTGGTTCTGCGCAGGAAGGAAGTCGAATGGGAGCAGAGCCACGATCTGCAGGCATTCCTCGACCAAAACAGGAACGCGTGCGCCGTCGCAGCGAGCAGGGTAGCCATCATCAGCGACCGCCCCTCCCGCACGCACTCGTTCGTCTGGCTCGCCCACCACACCCTCTACGACGGCTACACCATGACCCTCCTCCTCCAGCGCATGCAATCCATCTACCACCAACACACCCCCGGCCCCGCCCCCGTCCCCTTCCGCAAATACATCGAACACCTCCACACCATCCAATCCTCCCCCGCCACCGCAGCCTTCTGGCGCACCTACCTCTCCAACATCCCCCCAACAACCACCACTCCCCTCCCTCCCCCCGCCCGCCCCAACACCTCCACCACATTCACCCTCCGCCTCCCCCCCGCCTCCCCCATCAACGTCACCCTCGCCACCACCCTCCGCACCGCCTGGGCCCTCCTCCTCATCGCCACCTCCCAACCCCTCTCCCCCTCCCAAACCTCCTCCCCCCCAACCACCTACGACACCCTCTTCACCTCCATCGTCTCCGGCCGCCTCAGCAGCCAAGAGACCGCAGCCTCCCTGTCCCGCATCGCCGGGCCGACCATCGCCGCCGTCCCCGTGCGCGTGCGCTGCGCCCCGCACGAAAAGGCGCACGCCGTCCTCGCGCGGGTGCAAGACGACGCGGCGGAGATGGCGGGCGGAGGGTACGAAGGCGTTGGGATGAGGGGGGTGTGCGAGGCGTTGGGGAAGAGGGAGGGCGGGGAGGTGAGGAGGAGGCTGGTGGGGGGGTCGATGTTCGTTGTGCAGCAACAGCAAGAGAGGCAGCAGGGTGAGGAGGGGTGGGGGGTGGTGTCGAGGGCGGTGGATGTGGGGGCGAGTTATGGGGGGGCGGTTACGGTGGTGTGTGAGCCCGAGGTTGAGAGGGGGGTGGTGAGGGTGGAGGTGGTGTATGATGAGGAGGGGGTGGTGGAGGTGGAGCGGATGATGAAGGGGTTTGAGGAGGTGGTGAGGGTGTTGTTGGTGGGGGGTGGGGAGGTGGTTGTTCGGGATGTTGTTGCTGCTGCTGCTGCTGCTGTTGTTTCTGCTGGAAAGGTCGATGGGTTGACACCGGCTCGTGCACACGGTGCGCTGGCTGGTGGGGAAGCAGCAGCAGAGTTGAGATCGACGTCTGATACGGACATGGAGCGGAGACTCCAGGCTATGTGGGCCGAGTCGCTCGGCCTCGATGGACCGGAGGATGTTGGCATGCAGGACGATTTTATCGAACTGGGCGGCGACTCGCTCACGGCCATGCAGGTTTCTGGTGTCGCCAGGCGTGAGGGCTTCTCCTTGCGTGTGGTGGACATCATGAGTATGCCGGTGCTCCGAGACATGGCGGCATGCATGACTGCAGAAGAGAAAGAGGAGGAAAAGGACGTCGCTCCGTTCTCGCTGATGCCGGACGCGTCGTCGAAACATGTCCAGCTTGCGGCAGCCGACTGCAAGGTGGAGGTGGACGATGTGGAAGACATGTATCCCTGCACACCTCTGCAGGAGGGTCTCATGACTGCATCAGGGAAGCAGACAGGCTCGTACGTCGCGCAAATCGTGGTGGAACTAAAGCGTGGGACAGACGTCGGGCGGTTCAAAGCCGCGTGGGAGTCCGTTGTGGCAACGCACCACATTCTCCGTACCAGGATCGTCCACCTCGGCGCCGAAGGCATGTTCCAGACCGTCCTCAAACCGTCCAAGCCAGCGATCAACTGGCGGACGGCGTCAAGCGTGGAGGAATACGTCAAGCGCGACCGCAGCCTCCCAACCGTCTTCGGCGGCGAACTCGTCCGCTACGGCCTCGTCACAGACAAAAACAACACCACCACCTTCATCTGGACCGCCCACCACGCCTGCTACGACGGCGCCTCCGTCGCCCTGCTCTCCTCCGCCGTCAGCGCCGCGTACTCGGGCACCCCACTCCCCGCACCCCCTCCCTTCAGCCGCTTCATGCAGTACCTCGCCCGCCTCTCCCCCACCGACTCCGACGCCTTCTGGCGCGCCACCCTCGCCGGCGCCCCCCTCCCAACCCCATTCCCCCTCCCCCTCACCCTCGACTACACCCCCCGCGCCTCCAGCACCATCACCCGCCTCATCACCCTGCCCTCGCTCCGCAGCAGCAGCCGCAGCAGCGGCGGCATCACGACCGCCACCCTCCTGCAGACGGCATGGGCCCTCGTCCTCGGGCGCTACGCCCCCTCCGGCCGGGCCGTCACGCTCGGCGTCGCGCAGTCCGGGCGCCTCACGCCCGTCGCCGACGTCGAGCGCATCCCCGGCCCGACCCTCACCACCGCTCCGCTGCGGATCGAGGTCGGCGTGCTGGAGACGCAAGATGACAACAACAACACCGTCGCCGCGCTCCTGCACCGCGTGCAGGCGCTCGCCGCGGCAGCGATCCCGCACTGCCACCGCGGGCTGCAGGCGATCCGGCGCGTGGGTCGCGACGCCGCTGCGGCGTGCGAGTTCGCGACGTTATTGACGCTGGGACCGGCGGAGAAGAAGAAGAATGGAGAGGAGGAGGAGGACGGCATGGTGTGTGATCTCGTCCGAGCTGCGGGCCGCGAGGTTGACGGCGAGGACGGCGGGGCGTTCCACACGTATCCGCTGCTGTTGGAGTGCTTGTTTGATGATGAGAGCGGCGAGGTCCGGGTGGGTGCGACGCATGATGAGCGGGTGTTGGAGAGGGGCGTGGTCGAGCGGATGGTGGGGCAGTTTGAGAACGTCGTGAGGCAGCTGTTGGTTGTCGCCGATGACGAGGCGGTCGCGGACGTCGAGTTGTTGACGTCGGAGGAGTTGGACGGCCTGAAGAAGTCGGCGGTTGGGTGGGTGGTTGATCTGCGCCGCCGCGACTGGTTGGCGCCGGTGGGCGTCGTTGGTGAGTTGGTTGTTGAAGAGGAAGAGAAGGGTCGTGTTGCTGTTCAGCCTGCGTGGCTGGAGAAGCTTGGGTTTGCCCGCTCGAAGCAGGTCTACGCGACTGGAAAACTCGCGCGTCTCGGATGCGACGGTGTCGTGGAGGTGGTCGGGAGCGTCGACGAGATGGTCGAGCTGCCGGATGGCCGCAGCTTCATGGCAAGAGATGTGGAGAGGCTTGTGAGCCAGGTCATGTGGGACCGGGAAGTCGCCGTCCAGGTTGCGGAGAGCGCCGGTGAAGCATCACTCACGGCCTTCGTGGCGCTTGGGCACGGGTACGTGGATGATGAAGTGGCGCAGAGGCTGCTTGATGCTCTGGTATCTAGTGCCAGGGACAGGCTTGGCCGCGCTTTGCCTTCGTTCATGGTACCCAGCGTGTTCCGCCCGGTTCGCACGTTGCCGAGAATGGCGGATGGGCGTGTTGACCGCCTGCAGTTGCGCGGAATGGGAACCGACATCTCTCCAACGGACCAGAAAAACGACTCGAGAGAAGCTGAGAACACAGGCCCTTCAGACATGGAACAGCAATTGCTTGATCTGTGGAAGGCGGTGCTCGGTCTCGACAATATTGGAGTCCACGACAGCTTCCTTCGTCTCGGCGGAGACTCTTTGGACGCCATGAAACTCGTCGCGGCAGCTCGGCGCCAGGGCATCCTCCTCACCGTCAAAGAGATTTTCGAGAATCCAGTCTTGGTGGACATGGCCCGACTTGCAGGAAAAGTCGAAGCAATTGGTGCTTCCGATGACGCCATCAAACCTTTCGCTCTGATGAGCGGCAACACCAAGGACCTGATCGAAGAGGTGGCCGAAGCCTGCCAGATCGGCGCAAACACAGTTGAAGACGTTTATCCGTGCGCTCCTTTGCAGGAGGGTCTCATGGCCCTGTCGAACGTGGAGCGAGGGGCATACGTCGCCGAGTGCATTATTCCCGTGCCAGACGCCGTCGGAGCCACCGCTGCTTGGAAGGCCCTCGTGGCCATGACTCCGGTTCTACGCAGTAGGATCATTCATACTGACGAACACGGGTTCGTGCAAGTGGTCATCAGAGAAGAGGCGGAAATTTCAACCGGAGAGAACTTGGACGACTACCTCAGGGAAGCTCGCCAAGTGCCCATGTCGTCCGGGAACCGACTTGTCCGGGCTGGCATTGTGATCCAAGGAGCATCGCAGCATCTTGTCCTGTTTGCCCATCATGCTGTCTTCGACGGCTGGTCCTGGCGACTTCTCCTACAACGCCTGTACTCGCTGTACCAAGAGCGACCCGTGCCGCCGTCTCCGCCATACAGCAAATTCATCCAGTACCTCCATCAAGGACTACACCCAGAGGCGGCCGAAGAGTATTGGGCAATTTACCTGGATGGCGCCGAACGCACTGCTTTCCCGCCCATGCCTTCTTCCGTTGTCCCCCAGCCCGACTCGCACGAAACCAGGCACATCACCGTTGGGCGCAGCAGCGAGAATACATCGACCTCGATGATTCAGACTGCCTGGGCCTTACTCATCAGCCGTTACACCGACTCAAAGGATGTTGTCATTGGCGTCACGCTCTCCGGAAGGACGGCGCCGGTCGACGGCATCCACGACATGGTCGGCCCAACATTCGCCACCATCCCTCTGCGATTCGTCCTCGATGGCTCCAAGACGGTCTCTGAGCTGGCCAAGAGTGCGCAGGACGTCAGCATCAACCCAGTGCAGCATCTCGGGCTGCAGCGGATCCGGCAAGTCAGCCCCAGCGCGCACGCCGCCTGTACTTTCAACAGCCTGCTGGTCGTCCAGCCCGCGAGCACCGACGAGGACGACAGCTCGGACAACTTCTTCATGCGCGAAAACGACGCGCAGCTCATCTCGAGCTTCACCAACTACGGTCTCGTCCTGCTCTGCCAGATGCTGCCCGACGGCAACATCGACGCCAGCCTCGTGTTCGACTCTCGGATCAACACCAAGCAGCAGGCTTGCCGGCTCCTCGGACAGTTCGAACACTTGCTGCAGCAAATCAGCGGTGGAACTGCCCATTCCGTGCACGACGTGGATTTCATCAGCCCGGACGACTTCAGAGAGATTTCAGCATTCAACCGCGAGCCCCAGACCAACTCAAACACCGACCTATGCATGCACGAGCTTGTCGAGCGCCATGCACGCGCCCAGCCAGATGCACCAGCAGTCTCCTCCTGGGACGGCGACCTGACCTACGCTGAGCTGGACACACTGGCCACCCGACTCGCAATCCACCTGACCACGTCCATGGGCGTCCGCCCCGGCAGCACCGTGCCGCTGTGCTTCGAGAAGTGCAAATGGACCCAAGTCGCCATGCTCGGGGTGCTCAAAGCGGGCGCCGCCTTCCTCCTGCTCGACCCCTCTCACCCCGCCGCCCGGCTCACGTCCATCTGCGCCAAAGTCGGCGCCACCACCGCCATCGTCTCCTCCCCCGCCCTCTCCGCCCTCCTCACCCCCCACGCGGTCCCCGCCTCCCTCATCCTCGACACCACCACTTTCCTCCCCCCCATCACCACCACCACCGCCACCCTCCTCCCCACCCGCATCCCCCCCACCTCCACCGCCTACATCGTCACCACCTCGGGCACCACCACCGGCGCCCCCAAAGCCTGCGCCATCCCCCACTCCGCCATCGTCGCCTCCTGCCTCTCCTTCGCGCCGCGCGCGCACCTCTCCCCCAGCACCCGCGCCCTCCAATTCGCGTCCTACAGCTTCGACGCCTCCGTCATCGAGACCCTCATGGTCTGGGCCGCCGGCGGCTGCACATGCGTCGTCTCCGAGCGCGAGCGCCGCGACGACCTCGCCCGCGGCGTCGCCCGCCGCAAAGCCAACTGGGCCCTCTTGACGCCGTCGCTGGCGGGGATATTGACGCCGCAGGCTGTGCCGTCGTTGAGGACGGTCGTGCTTGGTGGGGAGGCGGCGACGGAGGAGGTGGTGCGGACGTGGGGGGGTGGTGATTCTGAGGGGGGTGTGACGCTTTTGCAGGCGTATGGGCCGTGCGAGTGTACGCCTGTGGCGTGCTGTTCGCTGGGGCCGATGAGGGAGGGGTGCGATCCGAGGGATGTGGGGGCCATGTTGGGGGGTGTGAGGGGGTGGGTGGTTGATCCGAGGACGCAGGAGCGGTTGTGTCCGGTGGGGTGTGTGGGCGAGTTGGTGATTGAGGGGCCGACGGTCGGGATGGGGTATGTCGGAGATGAGGAGAAGATGGCTGAGGCGTTTGTCGAGGAACCGCGGTGGAGAAAGCGGTTTGGAGGTGGGAGTGTGAGGAGGTTTTACAAGACGGGTGATTTGGTGAGGTATGCGGAGGATGGGAGTGGGTCGCTGGTGTTTGTGGGGCGGAAGGATGCGCAGATCAAGGTGAGGGGGCAGAGGATTGAGTTGAGCGAGATCGAACACCATCTTCGCCGCTGCATGGCGCCGACGCCGTGCGATGTTGCGGTCGAGCTGGTGGCGCCCGAGGGCGCGAGTGCGTATCTCGCGGCGTTTGTGGCGCTCGGAGATGCGTACGGTGAGGAAGAGAAGGATCCATTCGGCGATACGAAGACGAAGCTGGGGGATGTGCTGCCATCTTTCATGATGCCGCGGGTTTTCCTGCCGCTTCGTCAACTGCCCCTCAGCGCCGCTGGAAAGATTGATCGCAAGTCGTTGCGGCAGATGGCATTGAGTCAAGAGAAGGTTACCGCGGACATTCGAACTGGAAAGCCGCCGAAGACTGGGATGGAGCAAATGTTGCAGGCGCTGTGGGCCCGGGTCCTGGATATCCAAGTCGACGCCATACACACGGATGTCAGCTTCATCGAACTGGGCGGCGATTCGCTGTCAGCGATGAAGCTCACGTCAAAGGCGCGTCAAGCCGGTCTGACCTTGAGCGTGGCTGACATCATGAGACGCCCACGGTTCGCGGACATGGCGGAAAAGTGCAAGCCCTCAGTCGAGACTGAGCCAACGTCCGAGTACAAGCCTTTCTCAGCGTTCCCGGGAGATGACGCGGAAGTTCGTTCCTTCCTGCGCGAGACCCTCGACGTGGACCGAAAAGAGATCGAGGATGTCGTCGAGGCGACGTCGGTGCAGAAGGCCATGACTGAAGCAGCCATGGCGCCCCAACAAGGCACCATCAACCACGTCTGGCTCCACTTCGACGGTTCAATCGACACGAAACGTGTGAGAGATGCCTGCTTCCAAGTTGTCACCCGCCACGGCATCCTCCGCACCGTCTTCGTGCCGTACAAGCAACAACTGATGCAAGTGGTATTCCGCTCACACGAACCGGAATGGGAGGAGCACGACGCCGCCGCCAACGACGACATGGAAGACGCAACCGCCGCCGTCATCTCGGCCAGCCAAGCTCGTCCGGAGCGCTACGGCCAACACGGCCTACGCTTCTACTTCCTCACCCACCGTCGCCTCCACTCCAGCCGCCTGATCATCCGCATGCCGCACAGCCTCTACGATGGCTTCAGCCTCCCCCTCATCCTCGACGACCTCCGCGCCGCCTACGAGCAGCAGCCCGGCAGCACCCTTCCCGCCATCCCTCCAGCGTCTTCCTTCTCCGCCCACCTAAGCGCCTGGCGCCACCGCCAATCCACCTGCGGCGCCGAGACCTTCTGGCGCAACGAACTGAAAGGGTCGCGCATCACCCCCATCATCGCCGCCGAGACAACGACCAGCCCGCCCTGCACCGTCAACGGCCACCTCACCCGACACATCGCCCTCCCGCCTCCCGCCACCCCCACCAAACACACCTTCGAAACCCTCTTCCACACCGCCTGGGCGCTCGTCCTGCGCCACCTACCCGGCAACACGTACACCTCTGACGACGTCGTCTTCGCCCGCGCCATCGCCAACCGCGCACTCCCTCTCTCCTCTTCAACCCCGACCGACGCCGCCTTTACCGTCTGCGGCCCAACCCTCAACACCGTCCCCGTCCGCGTCGACTTCTCGCATTCCGCCGACGCCGACGCCAACGCCCTGCTCTCCGCCGTCGAAGACGCCCGCCTGAAGGCGCTGCCGTACGAGTGCCTCGAGACGGAGCGGCTGGTGCGGCGGTGCACGGACTGGGCAGACGGAGAGAAAGGAGAAGAAGCGGCAGCGATGCCGCGGTTCGGCTCGCTGCTGCTGTGGAACAACATCGCTGCGGCGAAGGCGTTTGATGACGGCGAGCTGCGGGCGTGGGCGAGCGGTGGTGATGGTGGTGATGGCGGTGAAAAGAAGACGAGGTGCGGGTTGGGGTGGGCGGTGGCGCCGTGGGACGCTGCGGACGTGCAGGTCACGGCGACGCCGACGCCGGGCGCGGGGGTGCGGATCGATGTTTTGTTTGCGGAGGAGAGGGTGCGGAGCGCGGTGGCGGCCGAGATGGTCGAGATGTTGTGTCGGAATATTGAGGGGTTGTGGGGGGGTGAGGCGGCCGCGTTGCTGGTGAGGAAGGATGGGTGCGAGTCGCCGGTTGGTGGGAGCCGTGGGGATATGTCGCCGGACCAGCCGCCGACGCCGGAGTCGTACGATATTGTTTCGAGAGATGGGTGGAGCGATATTTGAGATAGACTTTCTTTTTTTTTTTTGGTTTTCGGTTTTGTTCGGGGTGTGTCGGCGTTGGCTTTGGGTATAGTCGGAAGTTTGGGTAAAACAAGGATGTTGTGTTTGTCAATAGAAAACTTAGTTCGTCACTAAATATACTTTTCTGCAGTTCAACCATTCTTTTCTCCGGTGAGGACCGATGGACCATGCCTTCAACTGTTCGAGCACTGCAGCTATGTCTTCCAGGTTATTGCCGATATGAACGTACTTGACGGCCGAGGACATGGCAAGGTTGGTAAGGTGCATTACCCGGCTGTCGGTGCGTTTCGATCGCGAAGACGCTTGGCTGTCCGCGGACTTTGGGCATGTGGAGCGCTGGTCAGGAACAGCTTGACAAACTCCAAGTGTACTGACTTCTTGTCGAGCTGAGCCACGAGGCCTAGTAGGATCAGCTCGAAAATTCCGTGAGGATATTTTGATGGGGTCAGGATACGACGCCCACGGGCACTCAGTCCTCTATCCGTCAAACGTAATTTTGCTGAAGAAGGCGCGGAAGTTCACAATTTTTGAACCAATGCCGCCTCGGGCCAGAGAGTTAGAGGTTCTGGAAAGCGTTATTGCACAAGAAAGCTGACCTGAGGTTGTATCTCCTTCTACAGTATCCGCACGGAAGATGCGATCTCTGAAATGTTTGCCCAACGATACTGCCCGAGGGTGGGTGTCCTGGTGAAGGGTAGTTGATACTCAGGAGCAGTCAGATACGGGTACTTTGTACGCTGGTTGAGTAGATGTGTCATATATATTATGAGTCAGTAGGTGTCGGTATTAGAGGTGCAGTTCCTCAGGGTCCGGTTGTCACAATGTGGACAGTGCCACGCGCCTGGGCCGTGCCGATGAGCCAAACCTTAATTGTACGTGCTGCATTTCCGCGGGCCAACCTTGATGATGTATTCAACTATGTACCGATGGGCAGCTAATAATGCCATTATCAGCATCCTGGTGACGCCCCAGCCAAAGCCGTAAGGCGTCGAGTAATATAGCAACAGTGATGATTCCCGCGACGAAGTTGAAAGCGAGAGCCTACCCTACGTGCGATAACTAGGCTGGTAAGCTTAGCTCTTATTTCGTATGCGGAGTAATTTATCGTAAATGACTTAGCAGCTGACCTTCTATTGCCCACCAGCCGCACCAGAGACTTGCAAGTGCTTTTCAAAACTCTGACAGTCCTTTAAGTACGAGTTATTGGATTCACGTTGCATACAACTCAGCTTTTAAGATAGAGAGTGATCTGACTGGAGTAAAGTATGCAATGAAGAGAAAGTTGGGAAAAAAGGAAACCCTGCTGCCAAGTGAGAGCCAAGCCAGACGAAATATTCACGAAAATGGCCTCAGTCTGAATCAGTATGCATCCTGCAATCTAATATAGACTATCCTGTTCAATTCTTCATATCAATCATCTTTTCGGAAGGCATAGTTTGTGGGGTCTGGGTGTTACGCCGAATGAACGTTGAAGTACTCTCTGCTGGGATGCGGAGAGACGGTGCCGGATGAACCAAACCTCGCGTCTAACCGCTGATCGAAAGCTACAGCCCCCTTCCACAGAGAAAGGCTAGCGCCAACTTACCTTTTCATCGTATCGATGCTACTTTGGCCCTTTGCATTGTCAAAGTACGACGAGGGGTTTGATTCCACCATACATTATCACAGTTCTGACCTATCGCATCACCACGATACGACCAGAAACCCCCTGGCAAACAAAATCCACAATCTTGGCGCTAACTTTCCGCTCCAGAAGGGGGCTGTACTGGTTCAGGGGAATGGAAGCGAAAGAGTGGAAGATAGACGGGGAAAAATTTCTCCATCCATTGGATTGGCCTAGTGCGGCGTTTCAACTATGGCATAGCAGATGGATGATCCATCAAACCGTGTCTGAACTCAGGGGGCTAGTGGGACGCGGCACAGCCGGCCACTCGGGATTAGTGGCTTCAGGAAGAGACGGTTTGTGGGGCATCGCGCTTACGGCGCCAACATCTTGAAGCTTCACTGACGTTGACTTTGATGTTCGTCGCATTCCCCTATGACGCGCTAGTCTCTCAGGCTCGGGAACCTTCACATAGTCTGAAAATGGTGGGCGACTGTGTGAGCTAATGTCGCGTTTGTGCTATCAGGACTGTGCCCCGTGACGGATTGCGGCACAGCACTTCGCCCCAAAGATCTGCACAAAGTTGGGGGCCGACAAGGGTTCACGACAGGGGATCTGAGGCAGCAGCCTCCCCTTTCTGCCGATATGAGGGAATACGGGCGATCATTTAAGATAGCCACCTGCATATTCCAAAACTTCAGTGTCTCGTTCTTCATCTTCATTTCAAGATCTGTTTGCCCACCCCACGACAGTATTTCGACAAAAAGAATTCAGGCCTAAATGGCTTCTCCATTAGCCACCATCGTCGATCTTGTACGAAATTTGGACTATGGCGACGAACTCAGATGCCACGCCATTCAAGACAACGCCGACCACCGATGCAGGACGTCCTTCAGGACTCGGGTGAAAGAGGCTGAGGCGCGCCGAAACAGCTTCCTCAAAGCGAAACTACTAGATGAAGTCTTGGATCCGACAGATACGATCTACCTCGCACAGCGTTTTCTTTGTGGGCCGCACAGAACACGAAACAAGCACTTGCATCCTCTGGTTAACGCACTCGAAAGTGCAGATTTCAATTATGGGCTGCAACGCGGAAAGGGGTGCGCCCACGACGTATCGCCGTCCTCGTCGTCTCGTTTCATCGAATTGGTTGATTTTTCCACTGCACGACGACTGTTGGACGATAGGCATCAATTTTGGTGTATCGCGAATGACAGAAAAACGGAACCGTGCAACAGCAAAATTACTCGGTACAAGCTGGCCAAGGCTCGCCGTATCCTCAGCACTATGCGCGGAGAGGATCATTTCGAGGAAGATTCCGAGAACGAGGAAATAGACAGTAGTTTTCTGGATGGCGATGATGTCGAACAGGATGAAAGCTACGAAGACGAGCCCCTGAACAAGCTTCCCAATCTCATCGGTTGTTTGCTCTGCCAAAATCACTTTCACTGGTTTTGGTTGGACCTTTACCACAGTCAGTGGCGGACAACCATTTGTTCTGACACTTTGACCGAGCTTGGTTTGGATGATGATTCTGAATCAGACCACAGCTCCACGGAAGAAGAGGAAGAAAACACATGGTTAGGTTCCGAATCAGTGGTGAGCGATGAGGAGTCATTGGACGACGACGAAGTTCCTTCTGGGGTACTTTCACCATTCTCAGTCCAGAGCCCGAGGCTTTCGACGCCATCTCTGAGCCAGGATTCGCCCGCTCGCCCTAGTCACAGCTCCAAACAAGCTTCCCCGGCCCCAAGAAAAAGCAGATCCAGCCCAAAATCCCTCGAGCAGGATCTGGTGGAAAGCTTCAGCGCCCTGGGAATCAACACGGGCGCAGCGGAAAAAAACAAGCACGCCAAGCCCGTCCAACTTGGTTTCCCAGATGTAAAACAAGACAATACCAGCCTAGTCTTGCCTGACAAGACGATGAGGCAACTCGAGTCGAGTCTCTGCCATCTTTTGCGGAAGGAGCTGGCTCCCAAGAAGACTAGGAGTGTATACATCATGCAGTCCACGTGTCGCCCTGGTCTCGTCAAAATCGGGATGACCAAGAGAAAATCGCCGGGGAAACGGGTGAGAGAGATCAAATACCGTTGCAAGCTAGAGCATTTGGAGGTACTCCATTTTCTCACAGGCGTGGAGAATGCCACGCGTGTGGAGAGGCTCGCGCAATGTCATCTCAAACCGTTCAAGGAACCCTTTCAATGCATAGGCCATGAAGATCGAGAGTGGTTTCGGTGCTCACCAGCTGTTGCACGAGAAGTCGTTGATGCGTGGGTGGTGTGGATGGAAAGGAGACCTTATAAACACTACTTGTTGAAGGATCACTGGAAAGCCAAGGTTGAGGGCATCAAGTCGAATGAGAACTCTTGTCAAGAGGAGACGTTCAGACAACTGCTCAAGAGACACATCCGATGGACGCAGCAGGTCTGAAGTTGAACGACATAAGGGGGATGATGCTTTCTCTAGAACACCAAGGTTACGGGTAATTGGGCTGTGTTGTGATGTAGCTAAAATCCACATGGCATCGTTTCTATTGCTTGAATGGTCGTACTGTACGGAGACAAGTGGGACAGATAGTTGGTGTATATAACGCGTTTTCGAAAGCGAGTCAGCTGATAAAAGCGGCAATGCTTCGGAAGTGAGCTGTTGCGTGCACATTCATGTCAGTAAAAAGGAAGAAAAGGAGTGGTAGTCAACAAGCGGGGGTTTTATACTGTCTAAAACATGCATTTACCACAGTGAAAGATTAACATGGCAACTCGAACTGATTCTACAAAATAATTGATTTTTAGCTCTGTAAAGTAAACGTGGAGAGCGGAGGCAACAGCGTCCGCATAATCTCTGCAAAATGACATACAGTCACTTCACCACAACAGCATCCGCAACGCCTTCAGCCGACAAGCGCTCAGAAATTCGACGCCGCAACCTTGGTCACACCGCCACTGACCTTCACATCCTTCGTTATAATGGTCTTGCCACTCACGCCGGTAACCTTCACGGCCACGGTATCGGTCCCAAAGCCGGACTGGTTCTCAAAGAAATTATACTCCTTCCTCGTGGTATCCTTCCACGTGCTGCCGCCATCAGTGCTGACCTGCAGACTCTTGACCCTCTCATTCGAATTGACGACCTGCATGCTGAACCAATACGCGCTGGTGCCCTCCTTGTTCTTGAGCGTAATCGGCGTGGTGATGCCGCATTTCACAAAATCCCACGACACGTCGATGATGCCCTCGGAGGCGGTGCCGAGCAGCATGAAGCCGTCCTGGAAGAGGTCGAGGTGGTTGGTGCCGCAGCCCGGGCACTGGTCGACGACCATGGCGGTCAGCGACTTGCCCGACGAGGGGCGGGTGACCTTGACGCAGGCGCCGCAGTTGCCGGCCGTGTCCCAGTTGGCGTCGGAGAGGGCGGTGCCGTAGATGCCGGACGGGATGGTGTAGCCGGTGAAGGAGCACATGCCGCCCGAGACGTTGCCGCCGTAGAAGGTGGCTTCGCCCGAGTTGGCGCGGCGGGCGAGCGGGTTGGGCGAGGTGCCGGGGATGGGGGTGGCGAGGGTGGAGGTGAAGAGGGCGGCGAAGGCGCCGGCGAGGGTGGTGGTGAACTTCATGGTGGTGATAAAGAGTGGTCGAGTCGGTTCTGAAGAGAACGGAAGCCAGTCAGCTGGCGGAGAAAAGAGTGGATGAGGGAGAGTGAGGTGGAGGGTGTGACTGAGGATGATGATAATGTTCGATAGAGGGGTCGGGCGGTTTTGTAGTGAAGCGGGCTGTAGGAGATTGCATGGTTCCTGGCGTGATGAGCCGTGGGCGCAGGTGGCGGGCGTGGAAGCGCAGGCAGGAAGCGGGGTGGCTGATGGTCTGGACCGGGACTCGCGACGTGACGGTAGCTTGTCATGCTTTGATTGCCAGTGGAGCCGTGTGCAACCGAGTGGAGATGATCTGCGCAAGAGCGACGACGACAGGGCGTTTGGTGTTGAGTCGCGCAGCGGGAGGGCGGGTAGGTGGGGGCGGTTGGCGGGCCATGGCTGGTTGGCGGGAGCGGATGGGCAGGGAAAGCACAGGGAAAACGCGTCGGTGCCGCGTGTTTCCGGGACTCGAACGAGCGCCACGTGGGCTGATTGGGGGCTCGAGGGGTTGTTGTTGAAGCGTGGAACGAGGGTTGAAACGCCGGTGGCTGTCCCGAACTGCCGGCGTTGCAAACCACCAGCCATGACGTCGCTCTTATAGGCCACCTTCCGCCACATCTGCTGACGGCAAGCCTGATCGTTTCTTTTTGTGTCGCCGGGCTGGTCCAGGAACACAGCACCGCGCCCGCAGTATAGATGCAGCCTCTAGAGTTCATCTGGCGTGCAAATGAAAAAGACAGCTTCGACTATCAGCCTGCTCTCGCCACCAACCGTGTCCAGGAGATGCAATCTCGGCCGCATAACATTGTCAAAATGGTGCCACAAAGGCCAGTGACGGTTTGGGGTCAGTCGAGAGTTCCGCATCTCCAACCGAGGCTCGTCTGCACGGATGGCCGTGGTGCCGTCGTCTCGCGGACATGGTTAGACACGTGCTGCAAGCTTTCAAGCGATGCGCAGCGACCAATGGTTTGCATCTCGGATTCATCTCTACGCGAGCGATGCACGCGTTTATCCTGCCCAAAGGAGTTTCCAGGGTCCCCGAGCGGCGATCCAGACGGGCTAAAAGGCTAAACTTGCCGCGTTGGGTAATCCGGCTCAGCGCACGACTCACCCAGTGGCGCTAAAACGGTGCCTTTGACTCGCATCCGGCCAAGCCTTCGCTACCAACGCTTACCTCGGCACCTAGTGGGAGGACAGGATGCGCTAAATTTAAATTGATATCAGCCTGTAAGCTTTTTTTCGAGTAGCGCGCTTCGCACTGCTTCCCCTACTACCTATGTATAAAAAAAGCCGACAACCTTCGCCACCATGTGTCCGACCACCCCTGCACAATCGCAACTTGAACGAGTCCACGTGACCTCTGTCGCCCGAGCCAACTTCAGTCCTCTATCTAAACATTCGTCTCCATTGACGTTCAAATAAGCTCATCTGGCGCCAGCACTTTGCCGGGCATTGCTGATGATGAGTCACCGCCATGGAATTTAGGGCTTTACTATTCGGGTAACACCGATCCACCCCGCTGGTTCCAGATAGGAAACATGTGTGAGATCTGATCTGACATGCGTCATCCTCCATCCTCCGTCCTGCATCCTTCACCGCACGCATTATAACCACCCAACTCTCACACTCTCCGTCAACTCCGCTTCCCCAATAATCCCACCATGTCCTCCCCCAAGAAAACAGTCCTCATCACCGGCTGCAGCGCCGGCGGCATCGGCTTCGCCCTCGCCCAAGAGTTCCAATCCCGCGGCCTCCACGTCTTCGCCACCGCCCGCGACCCCTCCAAGATGTCCGCCCTGCAAGACGAGCCCGACATGACCCTCCTCGCCCTCGACGTGTCCTCGCCGCCGTCCATCGCCGCCGCCGTCGCCGCCGTCAAGGCCCACACCGGCGGCACCCTCGACTACCTCGTCAACAACGCCGGCGCCCTGTACGTCACCCCCGTCCTCGACGGCGACGTCGCCCGCGCGAAAGCCCTCTTCGACGTCAACCTGTGGGGCGTCGTGAGCCTGACCCAGGCCTTTGCCCCGCTCGTCGTCGAGGCGAAGGGCTGTGTGGCGAACATCTCGTCCATCGCCGGCATCATGTACGCCCCGTACTACGGTGAGTAGTAGTAGTCGTAGCAGCAGTTGGCGTTACACTCCGCACGTCTCTCTCTCTCTCTCCCCGCGCTGATGCCTACGCGTCGCGCCAGGCTTCTACGCCGCGTCCAAATCCGCGCTGCAGACACTCGGCGAGACGCTGCGCCTCGAGCTGCAGCCCTTCGGCGTCCGCGTCATCACCGTCGTGTCGGGCGCGGTCGAGAGCAAGGTCTTCAACAACGGCGTGCCGCTGCGCCTGCCCGCAGGCTCGCTCTACCGCCCTGCCGAGAAGGAGATCGCGGCGCGCGCTGCCGGCGCCGACATCGAGAAGAACCACAGCACGCTCGAGGAGTATTCGCGGGCGCTGGTGAGCGATTTCCTGGGCGGCAAGGATGGGAAGGTGTATCGCGGGTGCATGTCGACTCTGGTGCGGGTGCTGGCGGCGTGGTCGCCGGCCTGGCTGTTTGTGAGTTGTTGTCTTCTCTTCTCGGTTCTTGGCAAATGCTAATTCGACTCGGTGCTGGGCAGGAATGGTTTTCTTGGCGGGGCACGGGTCTCGATAAAGTGGGGAAGCCGAAGCAGTTGTAGCGCCGTGGGGTGCTTCAGGTCTGGGGACTCTGAAATGTTGGAATTGAGATGCTGTTTATTATTGCCTAGGCTGTCGTCCACTGCTATCCCCAGAGACTAGTGCTGCATGGCGTGTGCTTTCTGATTTAGCCCCGTCTTATCGTTTATCCTGGTAGCACTCATTGCTTCCCTACTTGTTCACTCTCAAAAATTGGGAAGGACTATGTTCGCTTACCGTCTCTATTTTTCTTGCAAAACTCGAAGAAATGAAATTTCCACAGACCAAGCTCTGTCATCAGCCGCATATCTCGTCCACCAGTTATTCGCGTAGGTCGATCTTCTCTCGGTGGGATTATGTGATGCTTTATTGATGGTTATCATCCCTTACACGTGTATTATTGGAACAAAGCACCAAGATAATTCTAAAATTGCGACATGGGGATCCATTCGTAGAATCAAACTCAAGCTTCCACAAGCGCCAATCAAGCGCTTAGCGCAGACTTCCCACTATCCCAAGTGATCCTTTTCCGCACTGCAATCTTGATCCACTTTCCGTCGTCTCTCTGAGACTGCCAAGCGGGGTTGCTGAAGCGGTGTATCACGAGCATCGAGCAGAGGTCAATCAGGTTGTGTTATATATTAGTGCACTACCAGTCCGACGATCTCCGCACATTGATCCTTTACTGGAGGGTAATTGGACCGTGATACATGAACTGTTATAGAGAGGGAGTTCTCAATGCTACACATCTTCCGATTCAAGTTCGACAAGAAGCCCAGCTCACAGAGTTAGAAACTCCGTGATATGCTATCCTCACCATAATGTAAGAAAAGAGCTGAAGCGGATGGCCATTTCCCAAATTCTTGGCTCTGTAAGCCAGTCATAGATCCCGGGGCCTGTCAAGAGACGGACCGCTAGCCTCACCGACAGACACTGGGACCCATTGAAGCTCAATGCCAAGCATAGGAAAGCAAGGCTAGTCAATCACGCACATGACATAGAACTAGCTAGCTATAAGAATGCCAGAGGAACGTAAGGATGAATCGATAACGATTCGTCTCTGTTCTGACTCTGATACGATTCATATTGTCTATCTTGAACCAATAACCTTACAGGGCCTGTTGGATCTAGCTCTGATGTGAGCGCCGACAAGTTCGAGCATCTCTGTGCTACCGTTCCACCGCACGAAATACCTGAAATACTCGTTTCTGGAATCCTCTGAGTAGTTGAGTAACCGACGAAACAAAGAAGTATCATGTTGCATTACAGATTCATAAATGGCTCGATCTGTCTTGAGGTTAAGGTTCGCATCACGGCTCCTCCCCGTAGATCGATCCACACTCGCCGTACCCGTTTCAAGTAGTGCATCTACCACAGCTGTATGATGCCCAGCTATTGCAAGGTGCAATGGTGTTGGCCCGCTTCCGGGTGGGTTGATTGGTGCGTTCGGCAGCTTGATGATTGTCTGCACCGTGAGAAGGTCGCCGTAACGAGCAGCCTTGAGCAACCTCGTTGCCAAAATTGAGTCTTCGTCGCCATCTTCGGCTTCTGATGTAGTGTCCAGAGATATGGCTTCGAGAAAATCGAGGTTTCCTATGTCGTAGGCTACCTGCCATGGCGTCTCTCCTGTCCAATTTGCGATTTGTTTTTTGCATTTACAGAACTCTACCAACCACTTTCCAGCTTCAATTTGGTTGAATAGAGCCGCCGTATGCAGAGCTGTATCATCTCGCAGTAGAGCTGTGCTGTTTGGATCGACACCTTTGGTGAGCACCAAGGCTCTGGTTATGAGAATCCGGCCAAACCGAACTGCATGGTGAAGGTATTCTCCGCAGAAGGATGAAGTGCCTTCGGATGCGTTAACCATGCAGTGCTTGTGTTCCAGGAACTTGATAGCCGATTCATCCAGACCTAGCTCAGTAGCCCTGCTGAAGAGCTGGAAGATATTGGTGTCCTTGAGGTTCTCAGCACGAGAGAAGATGGCGTCCACAACATCGGCTTTACGGGTTCTAAAGGCGTCTTCGACCAGATTTGTTGCCCCTAGCCCGTCTTTATCTCCTCCAGGACGCACTAGGAGATATGAAAGGTAGTCCAGGATTTTTTGCAAGATGGCGATGTTCCCAGATGACATTGCAGCCCAAAGAGGACCCCTGGATTTGCCATTCTGCCATATTTCGTGTTTGGGAATCTCGTTTTCGAACTGGTCTATCCACATCTCAAAGACTTCTTCGTTGCCGCATTGAATTTCCCTACACACTTCAGAGGAGGAAGGGGTTCCATGATGAGGAAAGATCGAAGCCTCAGGCCTTTGGAAATGCGCTCCCGCCTCATGCCTCCGTAGTTGCTGCTCGGTTGCGTAACCAATAAATTCAAGAACGCAACCAGAATAGCTGCACTGATATGGCCTCCGATGCTCGTTCACATGGTTTTGCCGCTCCTGAATGTTTGAGAACCCTTCGGCGAAGAATTTGCAGCGTAATTCTGGGCACTTGAAAGGTTTGGACCCGTGTATCTCCTGAATTTGTGATCTTCTCGTAGGGCTGGAAGCGAAATCCTCGAGGAGTCTTCTCACGAGAAATACTTGACTAACAGGGTAGGCGCAACTGTTGGAAAAGGCAATTTCATGGGTTTCGTCGAAGCTGAGATTCTCTGACACGCAGATGGTCTGTACAAGCTCGTTGAAGAAGCTCTCATCTTTAAAAGGGACGGTAAGCTTCCTCACTGCCTTTTCTTGAAGTGATCCATGTTTGGTCACATTTTGGCGTTTGAGAAAGGCTCGGAGAGAATTTGCGACCTCCTCAAATGATTTATTCTGCTCAAGCTGCCGACGACGCAGGATGTTGCTGAGATGGACCGTCCAATTTGGGAGGGCATAATCCATGAATGCGTAGTGCCCGTCCAGGATGTACCTTCGAGCGTTTTCCTCTTGGAGGCTTTGGTCAAATGCCGGAAGACGGAGATAGTTCAAGCAGCGACACAGCAGCTTTAATTCCTCCTCGGGGCCACAGATCTCATTTCTCTCAAGGTACCTGATCTAGTCAGCACTTTTGCCGTGTATACAGAATGTCAGAATACATACAGCTTTGCTGACAAGTGCACAAGGCGAATTTCGCCATCATCGAACAATTCGACGAGCGAACCGCAAAGTCTTTTTGGCCCTTTTCGTAGCTTGGAACCCTGCAGGTCAAACGAATGGTTTGATTGGTCGTAGGCTATTGCTCCTTGAACCTCATGCCATTTGAGGGGCCTAACAGCCGTAAGAACCCATCCAAGGAGCATGCGTGCTGCTGTACGCTCCGCAGGTGCAGCATCGTAGAGAACGCGCTTGGCAATCCGTTCGTATCTACGGGATTCGTCAATCAATGCAATCTCAATAAAGCATCGTACAGGGCCACAAACACTCCGTGCAAGTCAAGGGGTATTTCCTCAACCTCCCTTTCCAGGTCCTTCCAGGACGTTTGTTCTTCCAAGTATTTCATGATCAAAACTACAAATACGAACATTCCTAGCAATATTGTTAGTTTGACGGCGGTGGTCGGGATATCTCACGACGCTTACCATCTGCTCGTGATGACACTTTATCTACCATTCGTAGCGTCTTTTCTGCCGGGTACTCCAGCTCTTCTTGAATGCTTTGAGCTTTGATACGGCAGAAGGACTGGATATCCTTGCTGTTTTGCTTGCCGGTGATGGTGACAGAGGGAACTTTCTTCAGCAGATCACCAATATCATTGTCCTGCTGACTAAAGAAGCAACAGCGGATTGCACCATAATTTTGTTGGTGTGAGTCCCTAACGAGGGATTGGAAGAATGTGGTAATTGGCTTCTTGGCAGGCATCGGACACTCATCCAGACCGTCAAGAATGATGAACATGGAGTCGAACGCGGCCAAAGAGACTTCAGTCAGAGACTTGGCGAGTTCCACGTCCTCCAATATGCTTGAACCAGACTTTGCTGCTTCCTCGAAGAGATATGGAATGAGCAAGGGCTTCACCCGTGCGGCCTGTGACAAAATGCCGCGTAGTATTGCCAAGAGGCTGTTCCGTTTCTCCTCGCCATGCTTGTGAAAAAAGAACATGGTGTGTCCGTGCGAGGCCTTTCTGCACTCCTGTATGATAAGAGAGGCGAGCACAGTTTTACCAGCGCCGGGCTTTCCGTTGACCCACAGCAGTGGCTGCAGTGGGTATTTTGGATCCAGCCAACGCTTCATCTGTCCATCCTGCAGAATCCATAAACAACTGTTCGGGTTGTCAAGTCGGGCAGATGCTGCCGCTCGATAGTCGGACTCGCTGTCAGCGGGAGAAAGCCAGTTGTTGATGGCCATTCTACGGTTCTGCTCGGATTGCTGCTCAATCTTCTCGAATTCTATCTGAGTCTTCTGTCTATCCAACTGATACTGTTGGAGATAGAGCAAGTTTGACTGAGTTTCGAGCAGTGACTTATGGCGGCGGAGATTGTTTAATGTAGGCTCAAATTTGGTACGAAATGTTTTCCACGTGGCGTGGAACAATTGTTTCCAAACTTCGAAGCGGTTAGCTATCCATCGTGGATTGCTTTATGAATCATTAGTAACGTACCCGCGCTCTTGAAGTACTTGATCGCAGAAGCATGGAAGTCCATGACGTCGGTGTAGACGAACTCCAACACCAAATGCATCTGAGATCTGTCTTGGAATACCTGCTCGTACTGAGCAAGGAGTGGGATGCTCTCTCCAATGTCCACGTACGCATCCAATAGTGCATTGAAAGCATCGTGGTAGGTTTGTGTTGCCTATTGGAGTGTGCGTCAGGAGCGCGTTATCCAATGATAGGTCTTGGAACACGTACCAGCAAAAGAAACCTCACCGGTCCCTGGAAATGATTACTTAACAATAGTGATGACTTAAGTGCGACTTATGATACGTACCCAAATGAAGGCAAGCAGGTCTGTAGCGTTCAGGAAGATTTGAACAACCTTGTCAAACTGATCCATCGCTTCGAGAAACGGTGCGAGCCGCCTCAGGTTAGTCAGTCGTCGAGATTTCATTTGTTCTTCCTGTATGTCATGAACGAGTTTTTTGAGCTCGTCCAGAGTCGTGAATTTGAAGTTCTCCCTTTGGTCTGGGCTCAGGTCATGCTTGAACTCATCCAGGCGCTGTCGGAAGCGGGGGGTCAGCGGAAGAGGTGCAGCCGCCATGATTCTGAATTGCGAGGCGCTTGCAGTGATCCCACATGCGGAGTAGTGTTGTTAAAGACTGAGAGCCGCTGAACGCTGGAAACAGCGCGTGAAGTGCTCAGCCTCGCTATTTCTGCCTTGGGGGATCGTCGCATCCCCACTCCGCAAGAATCCCACCAACGACGAGATCGTTACACGACAGGGTGGCAATGCAAGAGTGACGTGTTCGAGTACAGCCATAAGTCAAAAGCCACTCACACAACCACCGCATAACGATAGAATAAGAGCAAACTTAATATAGGAAGGAAAGAGAACCGTGGAAACATCACTGAATTCTCCTTTAGCTGGTATCTGCCAACTTTGCATAGACATCTAACTCGTACACGTGACGCGGTAAGTCCGCTTACTGCGCCAGACGGTCTGACCGATACCCAGCTGAAAGCGGGGGCTGTGCGAGGTACAGATGCGACTCAGCCTTGCTGCGCCCTGATTGCGCCTCATTCTCAAACCCGCATGGCCTTCAGTCATCATTCTAATCGATTCTGCATCCCTTTCTCTCATTAACATAATAAGCCCGTCAAAGTTTACCGATCCCAAACGCTTCGAGTCATCATGTCCACCGCCAAAAGGCAGAATCTTTTTCCGAATCAACAAGCCTCTAAGCGAGCGAGACTGTTATCCCCTCCCGACCAGCTTCAGCCTCGTACGTCTGTGGGTCCCTCACCACATCTTGCACACGTGAGCAAAGTAGCCTCGATCTGTGAGCTAGCCGTGTCATCGGCGTTTTCGTGATAGCTAATTGCCTCCAGCCAATGTGGCCCACGAAGCTTATCCGATCACACCAATCTCCGATAGCGGTGCCGATTCTGCCCAGCCTAACACTCCTATCCAACCTTCTGCCTTACGCCGAGACGGCCGATACTACTGTTTTGGAACGGTAAAACCCTCTAAATCCATCATACCGGTACATACACCTCGCTGACATAGCCAGCTTTGCGAAGTCAAAGTCCGCATGCTTAAGGATGAAAAAGCGCTCGAGGAGGCATGCATTCCTGCTACCGACGGCTGGATGCAATTGAGGCTTACCCATAAAAAGAACCATCTCTTGCAAGACTCGAATGGGCTCGATCTTGCCGTTTTGAACCAGAGGACGGCGGATGCTCTGCAAGCCCTTGATGGCATGGGAGCCATCCGCTACGAAGCCTACGTCACCGTCCAGTACTGGGCTGCACAGATTAGAGCTGCGAAAAGGACTGCCAAGAACACTGTCGTCGATATTGAAGTCAATGTCAGTGGGCCACTCGAGAGTGGTGATGAGGTAGGTCGGGTCTTGTCAAGAGCAGGACTGTTCTTGCAGCCTCCCTCTGTGCTTCTCCCCGGTACAGCATATCAGAACCCGCATGTCATATACCTTCCAGGTATCCAGGAATCGTCTCTTGATTCTGCAATACCGGCCGCACCGAGACTGGCCGACCTGAATGCTGGTAAACTTGATATTCAGGCAGTCCTAGGCTGCCTTGACCAGAGTGAAGACCTGGCGCCTACCGCAGTGGATGAACGAATGGTTACGACCAAACTTCACGAGTAAGTGTTTTGCCATTGATATGAATCTCATATTTCTGACCATTGAAGACATCAAAAAGGAGCGGTGAGCTTTATTATCCAACGGGAAGCAAAAATAACCCCGTCGGCCTTTTCTCTCTGGAAGCCTTACGAGGGCAGTCCCCGGCAACCTTGGTATGAGAACCATATTCTATCATGATACCCTGCCTGACGCGGTCCGATTTAGCTATCGTCATACCGTGCTCGACATCAAGAAGCAACACCCGCCAAAGGAAAATTTCGGAGGCATTGTTGCGGACGAAATGGGCCTGGGGAAGACGCTCTCCATGTTGGCAGCCATAGGCATCACTGCTGAATCGGCAAAACATTTTTCAAAGGGTCTCACTGGCGATCCAATGCAAATGAAGACGAAGGCGACGTTGGTCATTGTCCCCTCTGCTTGTAGGTATTCCTTCACCAGCTATGATGTTTCACCATTTGACTGATGACACGCAGTGATTCTCCAAAATTGGGCATCGGAAATAAAAGAGTAAGACCTCTCGATACACATTGGATCATCATGACTTACAAAATCAGACATTGTGCTTCTAGTACATTCCAGTACCTGAAATATCACGGTCCCCGTCGTCCGAGGGATCAGAAGGCAGTGTTGGACAAGAACGTGGTGCTTACAACCTACGAAACCGTATCCGCCGACTTTGTCCGAGGGGACAGTCCTCTTTATCAGGTGGCATGGTTCCGCGTTGTTCTTGATGAGGGTGAGTGTTACAATGACCAGTAGAGTGCAATATGACTCAAACTTCCATCAGCACACTACATTTGCGGCCAGCAAACAAAACGATTCTGTGCAGCCTCGGCTCTACAGGCCCAACACCGTTGGTGCCTGACTGGCACCCCGATTCAGAACCGTCTCGATGATCTGTCCGCCCTGATCCGCTTTTTAAAGGTTCCTTACCTAGACAATGCTTCCAGCTTCAACAACTACATATCTAGGCCCATCGAACAGAACGATACCCGTGGGGTAGTGCGGCTTCGGTCACTGCTGAAAAGTGTTTGTCTACGAAGAACGACCGAACTGCTTACCGTTCCGGAGCCTACGATCTACTCACGGCGTCTTGATTTCACAGAAGCGGAGCGCGACGCATACAACCAGGTGGCGATTTCCTACAAGAAAGAAATGGATGAGGTCGTCAGTGGGAATAGAAAAGGAAACTCACAACTGGGTCTCTGCCAAGCCATCCTCCGACTCCGACGGTTCTGCAACAACGGCTCTTCACTCCTTCGAATGTCGGGTTCTGCAACTCAGGCTGCCGAAGACATGCTCAGCTATATGCAACAAGCCGGAGAAGTAGCTTGTGCAAGTTGCTCGAGGGAGCTTCAAACAATTGACGATACAGAGGACTCGGACTCTGGCGTCCTCGCTGCTTGTTCACACCTCCTTTGCTCTGTATGCATCCGCCAGACTCAGCTGAATCATACCGATAGCGGGTTGCAGTGTCCGATTTGCAGAGCTCCGACGCAACAGCTTGATCTAAGGCTGGATAGTGTCGATCAACAGACATCTCCAGCCCTTAGCGAAGGCAACTCGTACAACACGAAGCTTGTTGCCTTGTACCACGACATCTCCCAATATAAGCAATCGGAGAAAGGGTGAGTCTCCTATCGAATGTCCCTGTTGTGTGATTTTGACATTTCCATTCAGCATCGTTTTCACCGCATGGAGAGACACGATTTCAGTAATCTCTTCCCTCCTCCGAACGAGGAAGATCGACCACTGCGTTGTGCAAGGCTCCATGACAATCGCCGAAAGAAAGATGTCACTTGACAAATTCCAGTCCGACCCGAATTGTACGATCTTGCTCATGACATTCGGAACCGGATCCGCAGGGTGAGTCAATTACATGTGCATACCTACCCCACTCAGCGCTGAATCTCCTGTTCCTAGCTTGAACTTAACGGCAGCGAGCCGCATCCATATCTTTGAGCCACAGTGGAATCCCTCGATTGAGAGCCAGGCCATCGGCCGTGCCGTTCGGCTCGGTCAAAAGAATCGTGTCACGGTGGTCAGGTATATCATGAAAAACACAGTTGAGGAGGTAAGAGACAACTAGTTGCAGCATACAGAATGTCGCTCACTCAATTTGGTGGAACGTAGTACATGGAAAACACTCAGACAAGGAAGGCGCAGATGGCGAGCATTGGTTGGGATGCGGAAAAGGAGGAGGGAGCTGGTGGGAAACTGAAGCTAGTCGCGAAGATGGTGTTCAATACGGAGATGCCTCCTGATGTCGAGATGACTTGAAAGTCTAGCTGGAGACAGGTAATCACATGTTCTATCTCCATGTCGGTTGGGTATCCATCTCCGCCCTAGAGACTAGGTGATACGCATCTTTCTAATCTGAGTCCATCTCCTACTCATGACCTCTTTTCGAACGCAACACCCCAGCTCGACCACCTCACGCGCTCCCCATGACGACCACGTGCAAGACAGCTGACATAGACCGGGCAATCTACGCATTATGGATCCACGCCGGCCTTCAGCTGAAAAATTCCTCGATTCCTCGCGGGTGACAGCGACCAACTGCGGTGTGGTCTCGAGGCAGGCCGGTATCCACATACCTACCAAAGCCTGCAACGAGCCGTCCGTCACTGGTTGCTCCACGACAAAGTGGGGCGGTGCTCTGGTCTGGCACACGAAGCCGACGGACGGATCCAGGACCCGACGCTGTCGTTCGGTAAATCGGGCAGCGCGACTCTTACTCCCTCACGCTTTATCCATGCGCCTTGAATCCCTCTCCAACTCGGTCCTCTAATCCATCTAGACATTTTGTAGGCTTTGTGTGGTCGAGAAGCAGCGATGACACGTGGCAAGGTGCAGGCGGCGGCGAGGAGGTTCTTTCGTCAATGAGGTAGTGGATTGTGTCCTTAATGCTCCATGGGGAGGGTGGAGAGGCGTGCCATCCTGCCAATTCTCTTGTCAGCCTGGCGAGCTATATACGTAGATCAGCCGGTAGTGGAGCTGCGTCTCGAATATCTGGCTCGTGGACGCATGTCGCTGGGGAGGATGAGGATGCGGCTCATTCGAGGTGAGGGAGCGGGCGCACCGGCGCCATGTCTGTTGAGCAATCTATCGAAGGCAATGGAACCGGCGCGACAGCGGCAGTGTCAGCCTCAGCGAGTGCAGTTTGCGGTGTGGTGGGTGACATTGCCAGGGAGTCAGCACCGTTGGGCGATGTCTGCGGTTTGGTGGGTGACCCGATGGACGGGCGCACCCACTGCTACTGAAAAGCATGACGAGCGCCACCAGCAGCCCAGGTGAAACCGGTTCACACTTCGGCGGGTGACCTTCAGCGGTGAGGTGGAGGAGTGTACGGGCTGGCAGTCAGCAAGTGACGGCGGTAGCTAAGCTCCCTCTTTAGCTGCATGCCCTCACCAACCCGCGTGACCACCTCAAGCTCACCCGTGTTTGTCTACAATTTCTTTGCTTAAGTAAGATTTCAATCGAGTCAACGAACGAGCTTAATAGTGTAAGGCGAGATAGTATAGTACTCGTAGCACGACACGCGTGGTGTCATCGCCGTCGAGCTTCCCAAACAATATCTAGGCAAGACAGAGTGACCTTGTAAGCTACCACCACAATAGAAAATTAGAAAACTAGATAGGCAGAACCTAGGATTCGAACTCTTAGTCTCGTATAAAAAAAAACAAGAAATGCCGCGGGGACTGTGACCCCATCGCCCCCGTTCCGACCTGAGCTAACTCTTGCAGTGACGACTCCGTGAAGGCCCCACACCCTCCGGAATAGGTTGCCGTTTGCTGATAAGGACAGTCACTCCCATAGTATATATACATCAGAATCAATATATCCCATACCGTTGACAATCTTAATCAAACAGGCCGGTCATACCGTAACAGGGCCACCATATCATGGCAGAGCAGACATACCGTCTCAACCTCGTCTTCACCCATCTGCCACCAGAACTGCAGCTATGTGGAAGGCAGCTTGTCACACCAGCCGCAATAATCCGCCGGTCGTTGGTCGATGTTAATGGCGTGCCTGAGGCACCGAGCCTAGATAATCCGTAGTCCCGGCCAATCCGTGCACCACCGCTTGCCGTTAGCTGCCAAAGTTTCCCGTACACCGTTCTCGCGCCTGTTTGGTCGACGTGGTTCTGAGTTCCCAATGCCTCAACGGAGTGTCGCTCACCTCGACTCTATTACTCAACCGCCAGACCGCCAGACCGCCAGCTACGGATCTCACCTTCGAAAACCTAAATCGGAAACAGCCGGCTGAGTTACGGTAATCTACCGATTGGTTCTACACGTCATTCGGTGCTCCTGTTCCCATCTTCTGCCAAGTCACAGGCAGCAGCCAAATCCCAGTTGGTGGGGGCCGTCTTACATGTCTCGATCGGAGCTAACCTCACTAAGAGTTTGCGCGACCCACTGTTTGTTCCTTCCGAGTTCCAAAACCAACAAGATCAACTGCCAAAACGTGTCACGTCGAGGGCCTTACATCTAGCATATAATCTTGGCTGCCCCTTCCATTGCTCGCCCAGAAGCACCACTCATCAAAAAAATGTCGACGCTAGCCTCAACCTTGCCTCCCCGTGACGACATAGACGCCACGCAAGTACCCTTTGTTCGAACTCACCTAGTATGTGCTGACACAAGACTCCAGATGGACGTACATTGAAGATGGTTTGAAGTACTTCATGACCGAGCCAGAAGAGAACGTGGATGCGAAGACACGCACAAATCGCTACATGGGCCTCACCTCGGCCATCTTCAACTATTGCAAATCTCCGCAGAAGGCTGATGGTAATACCAGACATATAGCAGCCCCGTACAGCCTTGTGTATCTGGTACTAACGTTTATGGCTGCAGACGCAAGTGGCGGGCTGATTTACGATAGACTGGACAGTTTCTTGAAGCAACACCTCGAAGGGTTGCGGCAAGCGGATATGTCCACGGACGAGTCATATCTTACCGCATTGCGCCGATTCAAGGCCACAGCCCGACGCCACCAACGCATATTCAATCACGTAGATCGCCATTATGTTGTTCGCATGATGGACGAGAAGAAAGAAGTGCACGACATCTATGCGTTGCACGTGGCCCGGTGGAACGAGTATATGGGTGTAAGAATGATGGAGGAATGGACTGACGAGAGATGATCATGTTTTGCGTGGGCGTGCTGGAGCTTTGGAATCACGCATAATCCATCTAATGAGGTCATTTTCTATTCTATGCACCGTATTTTAGCTCGTTCACGGCACATCTATCCAGTCATTGTCCGAATTTCCTATAATGTGAAACCGCAAGACCATCTCCATCAACAAGCCAAAGCACTCAAATCTCTCACCACCTCAGACCAACACCCCATGGTCACACCCTCCCAAACCCCTCCTCCGTCAACACCCTCCCACCCAGCAAATGCCCCAAGTGCGTCTGCGAATACACATGCCCCTTCCTCCTGATCCCAACCAGCGCATTCACAAACCCGACCGGACTCTCCCCAAACGGCGACTCCACCCTCCACCCCATTCGCCTCCTTCCCTCCTCGCCCACAAACCCATCCCTCCCGACCACCACCCCTTCCACCACCCCCTCCGCATCCGTCACGATGCCCAACCAATCCGCCACGACCTTGTACGCCGCCCACTCCTCGAAAAATAGACTCCCCCCAAACACCCCCAACTGCGCCGCCACCAGCGCGTCCGCCCTGTACGCCTCCGCCCCGTACGCCTCCGCCCCAGCCTCACCGCACACGTTGTAGTAATCCAGCCGCGAGAAGTCGCGCATCGCCCGCGACGTTTTCGGCGAATAGACGTGCAGCCGCACCGCCGTTGAGTTCCGCCGGATGGCGGGCAGCAGCGCGTCGGCCTCGAAGGGGCTGATGATGAGGAGGAGCGGCGCGTCAGCGTCAGAAGAGGACGCCATCCCGGGCTTGCGGGAGAGGATCCACTTGACGGGGCGGAGGAAGGCGTCGGCGAAAGAGCCGGGCGCGGTGGCGACGGTGCCAGCGAAGTCGGCGGTCGCGTACAGCAGCGCTTGCGCGGGGCCGGAAGTGGGCGGGAGGTGCGGGAAGGCGGTTGTGGAGCGGAGGGTGGCGAAGGCGGGTTGGATGGCGGCGGTGGGGGAGGCGCTGGCGGTGAGGGTGCCGGTGGCGGCGAAGGAGCGCACGGCGGGGTCGAGGGTGTGCGCGAAGGGCTCGGCTGGGGGCGGCAGCTGTAGCTCGCGCTCTTGTTCGACTTCGTGCGCGATTTCGCGTTCTTGCTCTTCCTGCAGGGACCAGTCGCGGCTGGGGCCTTGTTTGAAGGCGTGCCACTCGGATAGCAGGTGCTGGACGGTTGGGTCTCGGCGCGCCTCCGCGTCGGTGAGGCAGGCGCGGAAGACGGCTTCACCGGAGCCGCCGCCGTACATTTCTTGCAGAGTGCGACCCTCGGGCTCTTCCAGGCGGGAGCTGAAGTCGGCTGTGTTGGAGGGCGTCGAGGTCTCGCCTTGCAGGTATTGGGCACAGAGGCGCTTTCGGTGGCTGTGCTCCAGGCCCTGCATGATCCAGAGCGGTTTTATGGAGCTTGTTGCTTGGCACGTTTGCTCGAAGCTCCAGCGCAGGACGTCGAGCGAGTTCAGTTTGGCGTCTTGCTGCTTGTCTGAGAGGGCGAAGATCTCTTGATGCACCTCTGGGGGAGCAAAGAACACGAGGGACTGGTGACAGCCGAGCTGGCGCATCCGCATGCAAGCTATTGCTAGATTAGCGCGATGAGCATGGAAAGACTGTATTAGTGGAACTTACCTTGGACTAAGCGATCCTTCGTAGTCTTTGGCCCAAGTGTGACTGCGGCGCGGGCATGCGTTGGCATGCTGATATCCACGCCGCGGGTGTGCACCTCGTCCAGGTATATCAAACAGCTGTCGAGATTCTGGTGAAATCCGGAGCTCGATAGCCGTTCAACAAACCCTTGTCGGTCCACAACACGCTTCACATCGGCCTCGTCGAAGAATACCGCCGCGTCGGCGTTGGGAGAAAGTTGCAACCACTTCTTCGCTACATCTTCATTGTTCGCTTCAAGTACCTGAGCTCCGACGTCAATTAGAACCGTAACTGCAGGAGTTTGGGTGCAGAATAGCTCCAAGAGGCGTTCAGTGTTGAGCCGCTTGCCACTGATGTCTTTGGCCTCCAAATATTGTCGGTTCTCCCGCTGAAGGAGCATGTTCGCCACCATGGCGTTCGTGTGATGCAATTGCGGAAGATCATTCTGGTGGATAGATAGCGGCAGGAGGAACTTGTTGTCGTTGGTACCGCTGAAGCCTGTGCTTGGCTGCATCTCGGAAGGAATGTCCCACGCCGAGGTGGACAGCTTTGTAGGAAACTCTTTCCCCTCGTGCGGGAACACCACGGTCGTCATGAAGTAGTCGACAGCCGACTTGGAGAACCGAAGTTGCGGGAAGATGATGTCAGCCCATGAGCGTTCGTCCTCCAAGTTGATTCCGTGAAGACTCCGTATGGATAAGCTCGGGCAGTCCTGTGCCCAAAGTTCGTATTCGCTGGCTGGATCGGATTCGCGAAAGAGGTTGTCGAAGGCTTGCCTGAGTTGCGCGGAGGTCAACCCGTTATAGTAATAACTCAGACATGTGAGGACGATGGCGACGTCCGGGTGGCCGAATTCAGCACTGATTGATGGGACACCCTTCGCTCGGTATGGTACCGCCATCTTGCATCGCGAGAGATCGAGTCCGTAGTTGACGAGCCAACGTTTCTGCTGGAAGGAAAAGAGCAGGATGTTGTTGGCAATCAGCCCGCGAAGCAGATGCAAGTTTTTCCAACTCGATGAAGCCCAGAACTCCTGCTTCACCACCGTCAAGGTCTTTTCAGATACGGAACGATCCCGAATGAACTCCAGAACCGCCTTGCGCACCGCAACAGAACAGTGCGAAAGTGAGACACCCAACAGACTCCCTCGTCCGATCTCCTCGACGACGCGGTCCGATAAGATGAGGCCAACTTCAGGTTTGCGGAAAGTGATCACAGGGAAGCCTCGGCCCCGAAAATCCACCTCCACATCCTGAGACCCTTCGTCTTGCAAGCGGCAGGCTTGACGCGAAAAGAGTGCGAGGAGCCGCTGCGTCAGAACCCATCTGTCAGGCTGGCCGTCCATCATCCTCTGGTTGCCCATCGAGTACACCAACTGGAAGCGTGGGTCAAGAATTGCATCGCTCTCGTCAAGAACGTCGCGGCACGTGGCGCTGAGCCATTTCTCCAGGTCGATGATTTGCCATCCCAGTTGAGCTTCGGTCCGGAGGCGTTCGCGCCCCGTGAGCCGAAAAGACATCATGTGCTCTGGTAGAGTGACGACTACGCATTGGTCGGTTCGACATTGCTCAAAATGTGCGCGAAGCTGAGTGACCTGGGATGCCTCAAGTCGGTTCTCCCTGGTGAACGGTGCGTGAAAGATGCGGCGGTCAACCAATCCGCCTAGCCGTTGTGAAAGCAAATCTAGCGTTTGCCTGAGAAGAGGCTTGAGAACGACGAGCCTTCCAACAGTGACGCCGTTGGACAAAGCCGTCATCACCATCGGAACAATCACAGACGATTTTCCTTCGCCCATGTTGAGTTGCAAGACAGCGTTCCTTTGCTCGTCGGGTTGGATCATTTTCCGGGCCACTTTCGCCTGGATATCACGGATGGTCAAGTCATTTTCGATCTCAATGAGAAGCCAATCAGGATATTCAGCAGCGCTCCACGACTGATGACCTGACTCTTCCGCTTCCTTGTAGAACCCCAAGATGTCATTCCGGTGACGAAGGGTCAGTAGCCTTTCGAGTCTCTGGAGCGAGGACAGCAGCTGGCCGAATGAGATGAGGAAGTCTTGCCAATGGCCAGGTACCGATCTCCGACGATGCGCAGAAAGACATGCGAGCAATGATGCTGTATCGATGCGAGGCCATAATCCGACATGGTGCAAAACCGTATCCGAAAGCTCTTTGGGTCTCAATGTCAGGTTAGTTGAATAAAGTGCAGCAGAAACTTGCTTCTTTAGTCCAGCATGGTGATCAAGAAGCTCGTCATTGTGCAGCGGAATCGTCTCGGGGGTTTTGGGAAGGTTCGCCTGCTTTAGAGATGAAAGACTGGCGTCCAAATCCTTTGCGTATGCTGTACGAGTTGGTTCATCATCGTCCATCATGCTCTCTATTATTCCTCCCAGCTCTTCTAGGCCCGGCAAATGCTTTGCAGGCTGACTAGGCCGGCTGGCCTGAATTGGCAAAGGAATGATCGGTGGCTTTGGAGAAGTCCTCTGGCTGAGGAGGCCTATGAGGTCTGGTGCTAGAACGACCGATGCCCTTTCGCACGTCAGGTTTGATCTCTTCGGGAGTACCCGCAACGGTATGTCCACGGGTCCGGACCAAATCTTCCGAAGTTCAGACTCGACACCGGCAATGTGCATCATGAACTTTCGGTTGTCATTCCAGGATGTGAAATACCCCTCGCACTCGGTCATGGCTTCCGTGTGACGGGCTATGCTTCTCACCAGAGATAGAGGAACTCCGGGGACATCACAAGGCCAAAGTCCTAGAATGTGGTTGACGATCGATGGCACGTCCTGTTCCATCTTAATGCGGAACGCAGCAAGCCTGCCTTCCCATTCTTCATGAGATTCGTTTTTGGCTTTTACTGGTTCTGACATGTACTTTGAGACCGTGGAATGGAGTAGACTGTGATCAGGGAATACCCCAAAAGTGAGGTCGTACCTTGACTTCGCGGCTTGTATATCAGTGAACATTCCGGAACTGGCAATACCCAAAAGCGTCCGCACATCTGGCAAGGACTCGGCCTGTGCGAAGACGACCATTGCAAATAGGCGCACCAGTTTATACTGGTCGATTGAGCGGTCACATCCTCGACAAAGCTCGTACAGCGAGCCCCATTTTCGGCCAACAGGGAACTCCAGGAGGTCGCTGCAAGTCAGTTCGGATAGATCCAACTTCTGATTGTAGCCTTCAATCTGTCCCCATTGTTTCACCCTCGAAGCAAGGTCCCGAGCAACGTCAGTCTTTTTTGGCCATAGCCGAACCAAAGAGGCGACCTCGTACACTCGGCGAGCTTCAGCGCTATCGCCATTTCCATCTCTCGCAACGTACACAGTGTCGCACCTCTCTTTTTCTCCCAGGTGCGTGTTACGAAGACAGGAGTTGCGATTGGCTGCCCTCAGTAGAAGGACCGGGTCACCGCGGCTTTCTAAGATCAGTACAGGGCTCGGTCCTGTCTCCAGCATATCGAGTTGGGATGCGTAGCCCACCAGATCCTCAACCAAGGAGTGGAAATCTTCGTGCTGCGCCAGTTCACCCAAAGCTGACTGAAATTCGACCTCTTGCATTTTGCGTAGGTCTCTTGGGTAGAAGAACCGCGAAGGAGTCAGCTCTGCAATCATGTTGAGCAACGGGACGACTTCCTCATTAATGGATGCTGAAGTCCTCAGAGATTGTTCTCGCAGGATCCGTAAGGCTTCTTGAGTGCCGGTATGGCCACTGAGTGGGTCAGACATCACCCAGCCAGTTACCGCATGCAGGTAGGCCAGAAACAGCTTGCTAAGAGCACCTTGCTGGCTTCGTAGACGTGACAATCTGATGTCGACCTGATATTGCATGAAGGGTAATTTTGACGCATAGCCGAGTTGAATTGTAACTCGGCTGTGGTCACTGGACCTGGAAACTGAGACCGGACCGTACGGTATAACAACGCTTCTGTGTGGGATGTTGGGATGTAAGTCCATGTTCCGAAGGATGAGCTTGTTCCGCAATCCGAACAAACATCCGATGCTTTGATCGGGCTCGACGATTCCGCGGAGTTGTTTCGATTCTAGGCGTCCGTCATCGTTTACCGTGAACGTCAACCGCATCCGTGGTATCTCGGCCTCGATCCCACCAGACGTGGAGTGGATGATGATGTTGTGACGATACTCCAAGGCTTGGAGGATATTGAGGACTGCTTTTCCCAGCTTAGAGTCTCCGTCCACCAGTCTTTTGTTACCAATTTCCAGATACGAGCTCCCGTTTCCTTCAAACTGGAGTCTCCACGTCCTTTCGGGAATATCCCAGGGTGATTTCAGGGGCCGGAACTCGATCTCGCCGCTTCGCAAATCCATCCAATGGATGAAGCCGTCGGTCAGGCATCTAGGCAGATCGAGCTTCAATACCTCATGGGGTATAAGCCGAAGATGGCGTTCCCCGACAACTGCCTTGATGAGAAGCTCTCCATGCCTCATCGCCAGATGGACCTATAAATTTGTTAAACGCATGTATGCCCTTTCAGCTAACCGACATACTTGGTGTCCATTGATCGACTTAAGTGCCGTGTATTCCATGCACGGTAGCTGGGACCGAGTAACATTCAAGATGCGCTACGACATTAGTGGAAAGTACATGAATGAGGAAGATAGGTGGTTAGACTCACGGAATCGAACACCCTACTGTACAGTGGGGCACTCATGTACTCCAATGGCAGTCTACCAACGCGTCGTCCATCTAACAAGAGCGTCCCCGATAGGACATCATAGTGACAAAATTGCACGACACCGCTCGGTTGTAGTGTTCGAGAGCAGGCCATCCACCGGCCCCTTTTGCCTGCCACCAACTTCCAATTTAAATGAAGACCGGTCACTTCATAAGCGTTCTTGATCCCATCATTGATACCAGATCCTGAAACACTTATCAGATCCCTAAGGCGAGAGGAAACACGACGTGAGAGCTTCTTGTCTAGGAGAACGGATTGTCGGATTTCAGTGGAGGCATTCTGCTGGTAAGCTGAATAATTGTCGTTGAGGTAAATGGCAGACTCGACAAAGTCGGCGACATCGGATTGATCGGCCAAAACCAAGTCGGTGCGGCCATGGTCTGTATCGTACGTCATGCGACAGGTCAGGGCGGACTGGCAAAGAAACACTCTCATCCGTCCACTCTCAGCCTCTGTCTTGCATTTCTCAACGTTGCTGGAAATGTCTCGACACCAACGGAGAGCTACTTTACGAACTCCTCGAAGCAATTGCATAGCCAGTGCTGCAGTCGATGGGTCTACGCTAAGAGTCAAGGTCCGAAGCCCCAACAAGGCGATAGTAGCGAGTCGGCTTTGTTCTCTCCAGTTCGATGTGATATTCGAAAGATGACCATCCAGAAGGTTGATTAGCCGAGCACAGAAATTGGGATCCGCAAAAGGTATGTGGGCTTCTCTGAGGACTGTATGCTTAGCACGCGATCCCGCTTGCAGGGCTGCTTGCCGAATGAGTACATGGACCTCTGCAGCATTGAAAGACAAGTCTGCTGATCCCAGCTCCCGTATGATATTCAGCCACTGGATGCGTTCCCCTGCCCGCAGCGAGCTGAAGGCTAGGAACTCGTGAGAAGTGATTCCAGGGTGGCATTTTTGTTGCGCCGCTAGGCTTTCGTTCGGCGTCCGAGAGGTGCTGTTCACAAAGTCCTGCAAATTAGAGTACGGTCCGCTGGGTAATAACGAGATGCAATGCTGGTCAAAGCTTGGTGGTGACATCTGATCCATCACCCAGCAATTGAGTTTGCTGCTATCGACTAGCCCATACCGCAAGCCGTTATTGACTGCGATTTTCTCAAAAGTGACGGGGAAGGCATGGTCTCTGTAGTGAGATTTGAGGAAGGACTTCGCCTGAGAGGCAATCGTGATTGTCCGGCCTCTTACATTAGATGCATGTGGGATCAAAGGGCCATACTCTTGAAGCGGTTGCAGGACAGGACGCCCATGTGAATATGTTGTACGCCCGAGGTCCTGGATGATGAGCCACGTAGCATCTCGCCAAGCAGAAAAGCCAGCAGGGCAATCGAGCTCGAAGACGGCAGCTCGAGCCTGTACTTCATCCGCTGGCAGTGGCCACTCATCCACGTTGATACGCATCTTATGAGCTTTCTTTTCCTTCGAGCATTTTGGGCAACCGTTTTTGCAGTAAGGCTGTCCTCTCTTGTTGATGTCTTGTGTGTGTTCCATGCGCGAAGCTTCGTGCAACAGCACCCTGTGATGCTCTGATCTGTCCATCCACTCTGAACGCTTGCGAACTCTTCTTTCAGATGCCTCATCGTTGATTTTCTTGCGCATGGCTTGATGCGGCTGAGATTGCGCATAGAACTGGAAGCAGAATGACCGCTCAGACAATTGGCCCAGGATGGATGGATTGCTCGGATCCCATTCTTTCCAACGCTTCGCAAGATGATTCTCTATGCGATCTAGGCACTTCATCTGATGAATCTGAGGAAGCAGAAGTGGATTAGCGATTCCCGGGATTGCGGGGCCAAACTTCCGCATTAGCGGATATAGCTGCAAGCAAATTGTATCCAGAGCTTTCCAAATCTCCAGAGCGGCCAGTAGCATGACGGAAAGCGATCGAGGGTTGTCCTTGTATTCTTCGCGAGCGATCTCCACATAGGTACGCATCACATTGAGTAACGAGTCGCAGTCCGTCTCAGTACCGTTCCTACAACTCGTCCATGAGTGAAGGTCGTTCATGACCCATACTTCGAAGTCGGTGAGAAGGAAGAGGTTATGAGTTGAGTCTGAAGCCCTTCTCAGCTGAGGCAAGCCATCCTCCTTGAACGCTAAGCGGGGCCCAGATTCCAAGGGAACGTTGGAAGGCTCTGGCTTTTCATCATGGCCTAGTGCAACAGATCGAAGGTAGTCGCGGCTGTTGGCCAAACGAAGAGTGCAATCATCGATGGTGGCTTCCGTGGGCAAGCTCGGGATTGACGGCGATTCCTGCGTCTGGAACTTTGACCAGGAAGAATCTAGTTTGGCGTGAACATTTGCCACGGCAAGCCGCACTGCATCTCCCACAAACGGAAAGGCATCGTCTCGGAGCTTCGCAAGGCGTCGTGCAGCCTTTGTAGCAGCTATCATCTTCACGTCAGCATCAACAGGGTCGGTGATGATGTTGTTGCAAAGCCTGGCAACGAAAAACGCCATGAAGTTCTTGTACTGAATGCGGACTTCCTCTGCGGTGCATGTGTGTGACAGCAGTATCTGAATGCTAACACGGGCAACGAGCCATAGAGGAGAGCGTCTCCAGGGCAGCCTGCTATGACTCCAGTTAACGTCATCGCGGACATGCTTGACAATGTCTGGACTCTGGCAAGAATGTCCCCAGGCACTCAGAATAGCCATGAGCGCCTCTGTGACGAGCCTGGGATTGGCAGTCTCGCGTTCCTCTGTTACGGCGGAGCTGGCCTTCTTCCTGGTGTGCATGGAGGATTCAACAGACTCGACACTCATCTGTAGCACCATTGCTGCTAGTTCGTCAACGAAAGCGCTGTCATGGAGGAGATGGCTTCGGAAGATGACGGTTTGGCCAGGGAATCTCCAAGTCAGGCGGTCAGAGGATCCCATGACATGTTCAGATTGAGCCGAGGCTTCGAATGCATGCGCCATGACGGACTCAGCGTCTGGACGAAACAGCAAGAGGCCGGCATTCTGAGCCTTGACGTGAATGATTGTAGCATCTAAGAACACGTGAGTCAGCTTTGTCTTCACGATGCGCAACAAGAAGAGCAAGTCGACATACCAGCAGGCTCGAGACGGCGAAGTGCTGAGCTTAGGGAAGCCTCGTCGTCGGTGCAGCCGTTGGCCAGGTGCTGAAGTGCACAGCAGACTGGCTTCCATTTGACATGAAGGCCGGGTGCGCACTCTGCAAGAAAGTTCTCCAGAGTGTCGTTCAGTAGTTGTATCAACAGTTGTTCCCCACTTCGCTCTGTGTCCAAGTCTTCTTCATGTTGAGGCAGTTTCGCCGGGAAGATGACATGGTTGATCAGAAAGCCGGAAGCATCTCGGCTGGATGCCATGTTGATGGGAGTTTCGGCTGCTTGGGTTAGAGTTGTAGAGGAAATAAGGCGCAGCTAGAAGCTCGGAAACGGCGCCATAGTACAAAGGAAACCATGGCTGAAACAGCGCATGACACTCGGCTGACTTACACTCTCTCTCTGCATCCAGACCGACAAGCGACGAGCTCAAGCTCAAGGTGGTGGACAGAAGGCGTGGACTCAAGCTGAATGGGTGACTATCGTGATTGCGCTAGGTGAGGTAACGATTTTGTAGATGCGTGCACTTGTTTGCCGGTGAGCGCAAGACTTGTTTACCTGGCTATGCAAAGCGGTGTTGTTTGATGGTTGGCGATTTGTTGGGGGAAATGGGACTTTGGGTGGGAGCAGAGATTGTGGAGGGCAAGTGACTACGCGAAGCGCGGTGGGCGATTTTGCCCCGAACGGGCAGTGACCGAATTTCCATAAGCGGCAGCATTGTGGCTATTGTGGCTGTACATATGGCGCAGTGAGTGATTGTTTGAGCGTCGAGGACCGTCACGTGTGATGGACGCGTTTCGCCCGACGCGTCGTGGCGTCGCCGCGTCGCCCAGGGAAGCTCGGACCCTTTGATGCTGAGTCAGCCTTCTCCGCTGTCACCTTCAAACCACCTTTGACCTCACCGGCCTTGTCACCTACGTCCGCGAGACAAAGCGCCGAATTACCTTTCGACACCATACCGAGCCCGGTGAGTCCGGAAATACCTCCGTCACGAATTTCCAGGTTGAGGTGGCGTGCTGACATATGAAACCCCGCTGAGGAACCGCCCGCGTCAAAGTGATCCAAGAAGCTCGCCAAAGGACTCATAAAGCTTGTCCAGCGCTTGGCATGATACGCCTATAACACACGCACTATTTCCCCGCGCTGCTGGTGCAACGCACTCTGTCTGCGGCGCTATTTAATCTTCACCATGGCTGATTTCGACACGTCGCCCCGTCATGGCGCAATTTCTCTTATATCAACTGCCCACGCGGCAACTGACCTGCCCAAGTAACCTGTCTCGCTCGTGCGCCGACACAAGCCCACACCAACCAGCCGGATACGTGCCTCAATAGCCATATCACGTGACTGACACATCAAAGACTACATTCCCGGCCTCCTTCCTCCGCAACCCATTCTGTTCGCAATGGCAGAGTACCTGGCAGTCCCTCATGGCGAGGAGGACACTCATTCTCCTCGTCGCACCCGGAAATCCTCTCTATCGTCACTGTTTTCCCGAAGTCGACTTGCAGACTTCACAACTACACCTGTTGCCGTTGCCGTCGGGGCGTTCCTCGCCACTTCCTGCTTCTGGCTATTCTATACCATCTTCTCAGAGCTTTGGTCGCATGATCGAGTTGCTCTGGGCGAGGAAATCAACGGGCTTGTGCCTGAGTGTATGTTCCACTCTCCCAGCAGACGCAGAGACGTACTGATCTTGCTCTCTTTCCAGTTCCAAGGGTTCCACGAGTATTCTGGAACGATTCATCATATGGACCCGAAGTCGATGTTTCCAAGCTCTCCAAAACAGAGCGACAGAGTATACTCGACAACTGGGGCAAACTAATACCTGGTAAGTGATGACAACGTCCATCATGCCGAATATCCTGTCTCACCAACCACCTTTTCCACCCAGACGGCGAAGGCTTCCTCCCCATCGAGGATCCCACACAAGCCACCCTCCCGCCACCGCTACAAAAGGACGAGCCTTCCGACCCATACTACTACGCCGTCTCCGTGTTCCACCAAATCCACTGCCTGGTACGTCCGTCCCAACACCACCCACCCACCCACCCCCACTAACACCTTCTCCCCTAGGACGCCATCCTCCGCATGTTCCTCCAAGCCCACGGCGGCGGCTCCGACACGGACCACGCATCCCGCTCGAAGCCCGACGCGCACTCGTCGCACGCCGAGGACACGGCGCACGCGATGCACTGCTTCGACTACATCCGCCAGTCCATCATGTGCTGCGGCGACACGGCCTTAGAGGGCGCGGACCCGTACATAATCGCCGAGGGCCGTGATACGCTGCGGTACGGCACCTTCGGCGTGGGCAGCACGCACATGTGCAAGGATTATGGGGCGATCTATGCGTATGCTAGGACGCGGGCGAACCCGAAATGGGTGTAGGGAGCAGGAAATTGGGGTAATGGCGGTTGGGTATGTGGGGGCTCTTGTTTTGGCGTTTGGTGGCTTTTTGTCTAGACAGGTTGTAGCTAATCGGTGAAATTTTTGTTTTGCGCGTGTAAGATGTTGATAGGATTTATGTCGTGGGTGGTGCAGAAGCGCGGCGAATATCCTCGCTCTCACCTCACGGCCTGTACAGTTCATGCCATCCATTGCAAGCTGCATCAGGGACATCCGCTGTTGGTCTCGGAAGTAGTTGAGTATTCCATGCAAGCCCTCTCCACATCCGCGAGGAAGAAGACAAAGAAACCGTTAGCTATATTTAGAAGGTCTCTTTCTGTGCCTATTAACCCGGATGATCTGGTACGCGATCATGACCGTACCAGTCAAAATATCCGGACCGCTGAATAAATAATCAATCATCAACATTTTTCCCAGAAGTCGTTCCAGCAGTCGCTACAGCGCCATTGCCTTTCGTCTGGTGCACCACCCGTCCCACGGACCTTCTTCCCGGATTCTCATTCCTTCTCACCACCACCACCACCGCTGCCACCAGCACCACTCCGATGTGGCCCAAGCAGCGCCCCCAACCTCCCAAACTCCCCGTCCAAAGTCCCCCACAAGTCCCCCCACGACTCCTCCAACTTCTTCGCCCTCCCCTCCGCCTCATCAGCAACATCGCCCACCATCCCACCCACCCAGTCCCTCTTCCCCGTCACCCACTCCAACCGCTCCATCCTCGCCGCATCCGCCGTCTCCACCCTTTTCGCTCCCTCCACGCAGTCCTTCAATTCCCCCATCGAACACGGCGCCTTCAACCTCGACAACGTCTCCATCATGTCCTCCGTCTGATCCACGAGCCCCCGCATCTCGGCCAGCCGCGTCTCGTACGCGCGGTTCTGCTCGGCGAGGAAGGCGGGCTCGAGCAGGCGCGAGAACAAAGTCCTGGCGTGGGCACCGTGGGAGGCGAGGCCTCGAGCTTCGGTGAGGCGATCGTGGTAGCGGACGCGGAAGGCGGCGAGCGCCTTGTTGATGTGGGCGAGGTAGTTTTTGATGTAGAGGGGGCAGGGGGGAGGGGGCACGGCGAACTTTGCTGGGTCGACGTCTTGATCTTTTGCGGCGAACGGGTCGCTGTCGTGCTTGTGTGTGGGTCGTGGAATCGAGGGAGAGCCGGGGGTGAGGCCTTTGAGGAGGATGACGAGGACGTTGCGCCAGACGGTCGGGTCGGGGTTCTGGTCGAGGAGGTTTAGGCCGCAAAACATGTGGATGGCGGCGACAAGGCAGACGATTGGCTGGTCCCAGTAGTTGGGTGGTGGGCCCAAGGAAATGTACGTTTTTTTCCAGGTTTTGTGGTCGGTGTCGTCAAGTGAGGTGGCGAAGAAGCTGATGGCAGCCGACTCTGTCCTGGTATGTTCCGTTTGTGGGCCGCATATAGTCATTGCTTTTGATTCAAGGTTGAGAGACGCAAGCGTCCAGCTGTTCTCCATGTAGAAAGGTACCATAATGGTGCTGTATTGCAACAGCATGAAGGAAGACCGCGAGGATGTTCTCGCTATTGTGGTGACTGGTGAGACTGTTACATGTGAGGCACTAGTAGGGTTAGCAGGAGCTTGGTAGTGAGGTTGGTCGAGCTTACCTTAAGCTAGAAAAGCATTGCAGTATATAGTCGAAGACAGGGGGTGGCAGAGTTTGATCATTCTCAAGACGTCCCAATGCCTCCAAATGAGTTCCAGCCAGGGATTGAGCGTGCGTGGCTTCTCCCTTGTGTTGATACGAGCCGGCGTTTTGTCCGCCTGCTTCTACAAGACCCACCGGTCGCTGTGCTGAGTCGTTGAACTCACCGGAGGTTGTGTCATTGGGTATGTTACCAGACGCAGTGCCGTTGATTGCTGCGCTCTGTAGATTGGCGTTACATGCTGAAGCGTTTGAAACTGGGCTCTTTTGTACTAGAGAATTCGATGCTCCAAGGCTGGGCGCCCCGGCATTCATCATCGTAGTGTTCACTATCGACATTGGAGCAGTAGGCATGGCAGAATTTGGCATTGGAACACTCATTTGCGGCGCATTTGCCCTTTGACAATTCGTCTTCGGGGAGTTCGGCTCGTAACCACTGGAGCCAGTGCTGCTTGATGCCACTCCGTTCGGCACTATGCCAATCCAAACTGGGTCATATGACATGCGACGGCTCGTCACAGCGCCGCCAGATATAGGACTGTTGGGCGCCGTGCTGTTTGATGCAGGCTGTGGCAGCGCCTGTGGCCGTGGCAGCGTAGGACTGGCTGTCGAGGGACGGACTGGAAACACACTAGTCTGCGCTATGTAGGGATGAGTTAGAGTGGATAGTTCCTTTCGTTTTCGCGTGCTCCATGGCTCTGGTGTTTGTCGCACACCGACCCCACAGGGAGGCTCGGCTTCACGCAGCGCCTGCGATAGTGTGATTTGCTCTACTGGCGGTGGTTGGGACGGCGTCTGCGATGGGGTCGACTTGGGACGGGTCGTTTCGCTCACCGATTCGGTCTGGGGATTTGGGCGTGATGTAGCTGCGTCGGTTCGCGCTGCAGGTGTCGTCTCCTCTGTGCCACGCCCAGACTGAGAATGGGACTGTGCGGGCTGTACCTGCGACGGGACTGAGTGGGATTGCGCCGCTTCAGCTACCAAGCCGGTGCTAGGGTCAGACTGATTCTGGCGCTTTGTCTTGTGTGTTTGTGATAGAGTTGATTGTGTCTGTATTGTTTCATTACTCGTTTTTAGTTGAGATGCCTGGCCTTGTAATGGTGTCAATTGAACTGGCACCACTCCTTTCGTTTCTTCCGTTTGACGATGGGGCTGAAGATGAGACTCAGATAGTGTTGGTTCTATCTGTGATGGGGTCGGCTGTTCTTGCGGTGAGCCATTCAGTACGTGTCCCTGGGCCTGAGGTTGAGGACGCGTCGTCTGCGCCGGTGGTAGAGACGACTGAACCAGTACCGGCCCAGTCACTACTTTTGCGTGGGGCTGAAGGCAAGGTGTTTCCGACGGTGCTTGTGATGGAGTCGTCGCCGGTTCCAGCGCCGGACCGATCACCACCGCTGGCTGCAGCTGAGACTGAGGCTGCATCGACGGAATAGGCTTTACCTGTGGTGCATCATGCCGGGCCTCACTCATGGCTTCAATAGAGCTGGCACGCGGCACGGACGCCCTTTCTGAGCGTGTATCCATCTCATCGGTTGGGGTGGGCAGACCTTGGGGTCTGTTTCCAGCCAACTCATTACGCACTTCCACGGGCGGCGGCCGGCCCTTTTGGGCACCAGCACGCTTCTGAATACCGACCTCCATTTCCCTTTCGGCTGGGGCTGGCCTTGGTCGTTCCTCGTGCGCCCCAGCCTGAATCGCGGTTCTCTTCTTCGACACTGAGTCTCCCGCCCCTGCCTTGGCCTCGGCCATGATCAAATCCGTCGCCCGATCCACATCATCTGGTATCCAGCTTACCATTTCGTCGTCCGAATCACCACGGCCTTCCCCCGCTCCAGAAGGAGCCTCAGAACCTCCTGTCAGCCTCTGCACCTTGGCCCTCTTCAACGCAACCATGGCTTGGGTAAAGCTCGCGTCGGTAAGCTCGGCCATGCGAGCAAGCCTGGCAAAAAAAATCACGAGTAGACGCCGACGTCCTGGACGCCGACGCCGACTGCTCCACGGACTGCTCCACGGACGGTTCTGCCGACAACGGCGATGGCGATGGTGGGCCATTGGCGACGTTGGTGCTGTTGAAGGTGACGTTGAGGTCGGTGACTTGGATGCCCCACTGGGTGCACAACTGCTTCTTCATGCGGACAAGGCGCGTGTTCTGGGCAGCTGCAATGGCGGCGGCATTGGCGATGCTGCTGTTACGGTTGATAGGGCTGCTGGTGGCGGTGCTGGCGGCCGAGTTGGTGGATGCGACTGAGGGTGAGGGTGAGTGCGAGTAGGGCGCGCTGTCAACGCTGCTTCCGCTGCGGGAATTCCTGGTGGTGTTGCGTTTGGGCCTGACAGAAGGCGCGGGGCTAGGCACACGGTCAGCAGTGGGCAATGTGGCGTTGGGTGGGTGTGATTATACCTACACGAGTGGGGTGCGGCGGGCGGCAGGTGTCCTCCTCTTGCGCGGGAGTTTGGCAGGTGAGTTTGGACGCACGGAGCCAGCGGCAACATCGACCTCGAACGAGTCGCCAAGCGGGCCGTTTGGGGCTGCCATTGCGACCACAATGGTGTCGGCTTCGTCGTCGCTCATGTTGAACATGGGGGAGGCGCACGGCGGCGAGGGAGCGAGCAGGGCGGGAGGGATGCACCCAAGGGCTGGAAGAATGGATGGCGACGGCACCGACGACAGAATGGAGATTACGAAGTTTGACGTGCACGGCAGGTCTGGAGGTGCACGCGCCAGCAGGAAGCAGGAAGCAGGTCCGGTCCGGCTTAGGCAGTTACTAATCGCCCGAGCGCTACATTCTCGGCGGTTGCGCCGTCGCCCATTGGCCGTCTGACCACGCCGCTTATCCACTCCCGCCCGCCCCAGCCGCGACACAATCCACTCATCCGCCGCCCGCACCCGCCCAAGCCCTCGCACACGACCTGGTGGCTGACCTCTGCGACCAGCACATGCTGCCGACGCCGTGCTGCTCACCATGCGTGCTGCCGCCATGGGCTCTCGCGTAACCCAGCCGGGTGTCACTCCGTTTGCCACATTGTCTCTCGACACCCGGGCATTCCACGACTGAGACGGACATATCACTCGACCTAGCTATTCCAAAACCAGAAGTAGCTGCCGCGACACATGCGACGCATCCGGTCCCGTTGCTGAACTTCCCGGCGAGTCTTTTTGAACTGTAAGGACCGAATCTGCAATGCTGAGAGTACCATGTGTAGCTAGTGTCTTCATGCATCGCATACACGTAGAATGCTATCGAGAACTCTTCTGTCATTTCGCTCACCTTTACATGGCTTCCACCGCCGGCTCTCTTGCCTGACGGCTTTGATCTGCAAGAAGCCCGGAAAATGAAACCGGAAAATCAATACTTATCCTTGTGTAATTTGCCCCATGTAGCAGACCGAACTTGACTGAGCAGGGTCCGAGGTCTGTCGGCATGCCCCGCCCCACGGACTTGTCAGTAAGCTGACATTCTGCGCAGGCTTACACAGCCAGTCATCACATCTGATAGACAACAATCTCGTCCCGGGGGTTCGACAAGTCTGGTTGCAGGGCATGACGATATGACAGTTCGCTGGCTCGAACAGGGCCCGACTTCCCAAGACCAATGCTTGACCTTCTTCGTCAGGACTTCGGCTGGACGTTGACGTGTCCAAACCCCTACCGGCTGCACCCCGACCGCCCGCGTGACACACAACTTTAAGCCCCCTGTCTATCTCGAGCGTGCATAGCGGCCAGCTCAGTCATGACGAATTGTAAACCATACAGCCACTTTGGACCGTCCAGCCAATTAGACGATCGAATGACGTCATTGGCCCCCGCACGCAACCTACTAAGCCGATCTATCCACCACTCACCACTGTCTTAGCGCTTCGACGAGGTTTCTTCCATGACTACATTGGAGTATGCCAGATCCTCCATCAAGGGTCGCCGATTCTTCTTTCTTCTTTGGATTTGGTTCTAAGGCTTTCGTGGCACTCGCAGTGCCCTCCTCTTCGACTGGTTGTCGTATATCCTTTCCAACTACGCAAAAGTGGAGAACATGCTTGAGTTCCACCTCATTCATCAGTCAGATGCACGCAAAATCTCCTTCAAACGTCGGTGAAGCACCAGGCTCTTTGCACTCCATGGTCATATAGGCGACGAAAGCGAAAACTACTGATAAGCAGGTGATGACTCAGATTCTCGTTCGGCCTAGTGTTCCCCTGTCTCCAATCGTGGGTTTGCACCGCAGTTCGAGCATCCAAGTTCTGGTAAGCTGCAGCGGACGGACAAATGATGACTTTAGCAAAAAGAAAAAGAAAAGAAAATAGACGAATAGCTAGAAAGGTTTTGCCGAGGATCTAAGCTTCTATTGGCACTGAAAGGTATAGCGATGTCTTTGGTGTAAGCATGTAATCAACACGCTCACAATACTTTCAGCCTCTCACTTTACAAAAGCATATCCATTAATAGACTTAACGTACGTCTGTCGCCATGTTGCTGACTGCGAAGATTTCTGTCTGAGTTTGGTATCCCTGACTCTAGGCTTCTGCGAACACGTCGTGCGCTTCGAGGAAATGGTGAGGTCAATGAGCACTGACTCCTGTGAGAATTTATACTGCAGCCTGCGTGGATGGAGCTGCAGAAAACCAACCGGACAATTCTACGGCCTACAGTGGTACATCATCCGTCAACACACAGTTCCGTCGGTAGTGCTCCTGAACTTACAAGCTGATCATGGCGGTGTCTCAGTTGGCGTGGCCGGATCGCGGCTCTCTGCAGCCACTGTACGCGGTGCAGAAGCTGCTTCAGTCGCCGTGCTTGAGCTCGTGTTCGCAGACGTCGGCTCAACAGACGTGTCAGAAGCCGCCCTTGATGTGGCACCCGCCGTAGACGGCGTGTTATCGGCGGCATCCGCCTTTGATAGGGATCTATCAGCCAACGCCTGACTCTGTTCCTCGATCAAATCCCTCCGCTTTCTCGGGCGTCCAGACCGCGGCTTGTCCGCAACGTATTCGTCCAAGAGAGGTTCATTATTTTCGGGCTTCCAGCCACGGCGCCGCGCCTCGTGGTACATCCGGCAGATATGTCGACCAGAGATCTTTGTGGCTCGTTCTATCTGGAGCGACTGAATTCCAAGAGACTTCATAGTGACGGCCTGAGCCCGTGTGGTGATGGGGATTTGAGACATGATGCTGTGCTGTGTCGTCGCGCTGCTGTGGATCTACATGGAATGAAATAGACTGGCCGGATGCGAATGGCGGTGTGCAATGTGTGCAGGCTGCAAGGATCATGACGTAGCCGAGTACAGGGAAGTTAGGACCTTCTCCAATGAGGAATAATCCATGCCTGCAGTAGCATCGTCACTTTCAGAGCTTGATCTTGGAATTTTGTATCGTGTGCATTTAGGAGCTGGAACCAGAGGCAATCTTATAATCGAGATAATCAACAGCTTCCAAATGAGTATCAGAGAGGCTGTCCCAAAGTCGATGAAAAGAATAGAAAACTGTCAAGTCGTCATCAAGCTGTGCCATAGGTGCGCTCATTCCGATGGTCTGCAAACCGAGCATGACTTATAGATATAGAAGTCATTCGGTGGAGCACTTAACCTCGTAGCTATATTGTTGGCTTAGTCGGCCTAAGAGAGTAAGCCGGAAACAAGAGCTTATAGCACTAACATATGCGGCACCCAACGAAACTCGGTGAAGTATCGTAGCGATGAGGAGTATACGCCTAAATACTATACTCCCGCATTGCCTAGTATAATTCCTTTATTATTATTAAATTAGCTATTTTACAGAATTAAAAAACTTAAAGAATTTTACACCGTAACGGGGATATTTTAGAAATAAAGGAACTAAAATGTCACGGATATCACTAGATACATATAACTTATATCTATGCTAAGCTTTCTACATCCTACTATAGTATGCATTCTAATCGATTAGCATCGTTATAATTCCATTGGGCTTTCTCGAAAGCGCGTAAGAACAGCTCTGCCTGCAACGTGGAGCTTCGCGATAAGGCGTATGTCGACTTTCTCAGTTCCAGACAACAAAACCTGCACACTGCCCTCAGCTCGACTGGTTGCTTCAGAGAAATATGCATGAATGCAGTGTCATCGGCATCGATGCTAAAGAGTGCAGAAAGCCCCGGCACATTCGATATATAGCAAGTGACGGACACAGCATATCTTGTTGGAAGTTCCCAATAAGCGCCAACCCCCTCACCAAGGGTGTTGTACGGCCCCCACGTGTGAGGCTGACGGGCTGCACGGTGCTGATGCTGGTGCGGGGTAGCAGACAATCACAAGGGGATTCCAGCCAACTTCGAACGTCTGAAAGCTGCGGCACGGGCCGCTGCGCTGCGGGGTTGTGGCGAATCGGAACCGGCGCTGTTGCTGCTCCGCCAGCTCTGTGAGGCTGTGGACCGCGGTGCTGGCCGGAGCTTCCTCCTGTTGCCTTGTGTCGCGTCTGGAGTGATGACGTATTTTCTTGGCTCTTTGTGTCGTTGTGGCGCATGCCCTTGGAGGGTCTTGTTACGGACTGTCGGCCGGCTTGGAGCGAAGCGGATGATGAAGCGGGCGGGCCAACAAACAAGCCCCAGAGGAATGTCCTGGCCAGGTGTCTGGACCAGGATGCGTAAGTTGCGCGACTGGCGGGGTGACTTTTTCCCGAGGATATGCGTCACCAGTTCCCACCCGAAGCGAAGCAAAATGGTCGCCATCCCGAAGTCAGCACAAAAGATGGCTGTGTCGAAGAGCTATTGCGAATCTGATTTGTGCAATATAGACCGGCTGCTGTGGTGCATCACGTGAAAGGGTACCGTCGACGCTGACGTCGATCCAAGAGCGTGATTGGCTACACGTGACCCAATCACTCCTCTCCGACAGAGCGACAGTATTAGCTGTTACCTTAATTAATGGACAGTGCGACTTATCTCAGGTGTTGTATGCGTGACGCCCCGGAGCTCTTTGCTGAGGTGGACGTTCCAGGCGGGCCTCTAGTACACATCAGGAAGACTACGACATTTAGCCGGCAAGGTAAATTACACCCACCCTCGAAACTTGAGCCTCGAATAGGGCAAGCGTCTCACGCACTAGGTCTAATGCAGCATTTTACTACGTAACAGTAGTATACGATACGAGCTATGCGTAAGCCTTCCTCTTCGTACAACACCGCCATCTTGGTTCACACCTCAGTCCGATTAATAGGGTTCAGCATTCCAATGCGGTTGGAGCAGAGCGCAGCTTGATGTTGTTTCACCTATGATTTTCGTGAAAATTTTCATAAAATCCACTCCCCAGTCAGGCTGGCAGTGCTCAATTTTCTAATTTTGTTCCTTGTTGGTTCAATAAGCTATGGTACCCGAGGAGGCATGTAGTAGGACAACATCTCACAAACGGGTCTTTAGCTTTTCAATGAAATCCCTCATACCTACCAAGCGATCCACAGTAGATGCGTTGCTACCCCACGCGACAATACGCTGTACAACATGGCCGACCAAGGACCCTCCAAAGCGAACTCGGCCCCCAGGAGGAGTCCGGCTGCGGCCTCGTCGCACTCGTAAAGAAGAACGATGCTGCTGAACCAGCTCTTAGGTCCCTTCCAATTTAGCCTTCTTGCAACTCTAGCCGTCACTGTTACCACACGACAGCGCCTGCGACATCGTCACCTACCTGATCAAGTGCGCGTCATCAACAACAACAACATGATTCAGCGAACCCATGAGGCCCATACGCCCATACGCCCCTAGACAGATGCAAACTCCACAGTTGGAAGTCGTTCACATTGAAAATGTGGTGAGATATAGGACAATCACCCACGGACCCCAATCATTCGACTCCTTCAGCCCTTCATCCAGCCAGAAGTCCATCGCGCTGCGCAGATTCGAAGACTCCCAAAACATAGTCGCCACCGTCAATCTCGTCTATCGCCCCGTTTTCCATACGCCATTCTCTAGCACCCCGACCACGTAAGCGATCGCCCACTCCATATAGACATTGTCGACGGTGTAAAACAGCAGCGAGTTCTGGTGATGATAGTAGGTGGACCAATTGGATTTCCCGCTGTCGGAGACTTTGACGCTACGGCATACTGAAAGACTACGGTCTGCTTCCGAAACTCTCCCGAGCTTTGGTGTTGAGTCAAAAGGATGGATGTCTCGACCGGTCTGGTCCCACTCCGGCCCCACTCCATCCCCACTCCTCGGAAACCACCCCCTTACATGTTGTCCTGCTCCAAAGCATACACGGCACAAAACAAAACACCGAAAGCAAAACGAAAGCGCCAACCCGGGATCGAACCGGGGACCTCGGGATGATAGCATTTTGACTGCAATCCTGCGCTCTACCACTGAGCTATTGACGCTTGTATCGATTCTGCTGAAGGCAAGCAGTTGAAAATTGAAAGGGGATGCTTTGGATTATATACTAGCTACTGCACGAGCACTCAGTGCGTCGGATCATGGGGAAAAGAAACAATCGCCCATTTCGGGTCTCATTCCCTACCAGTCCGGTTGGAAATCTTGTCTTTGTCTGCCAGTCAATTTCCTCACATTGAGACCGCTACTTCATGGAGAACTATCAAGTGTGGGCTCGGTCAGGATGTGGGGCGGCGACCTTGTACCTGGTGGCGCCGGAAATGAATTGATACTTTACCTCCAACTCTATCGACAGTCCATTCATGGCGGTGCCTTTAAGGTCATTAGTAAAGCCGTGGCAAACTTGTTCGGGTGCGTTGATGCTGCTGCCTGCATGCTAGTGTGTTGGGGCGAGTCGACTGCGATGGAGAGTGTCAGGGAGTCTGGAGCGTTTGCAGGAAGGGGACCGTTACGAGAGATGTGGGCGAATCTTTGTGCATGCGAGAAGCTGCAGTGACAGTTTGCATGGAGCTTGGGATATGAGACAGTTTGTGCTGCGGTTCGACACATTTCCCTTTTCGAGAGTGCCCGGAATGAGCGAAATACTTTGTTGCAACGCTCCACGCATAGGATCTTGTCAATAAAGTACACGAACCCCCATTACTGGTAACTTATCCTCTATTAAAACTTCACTCCCGCTCAAGAGCATCCGCCATCTCGCCCAGAGTATCGAATTTCCAATCATAGACTTCCCCGGTGCGATTGCCCATGATTGCTCCGGGCCTTACGATCCAACTCGATTTGATTCCCATTTCCTTTGCGGGATGGTGGTCGTGAAACTGACTCTGCGCCGTCTGCAACACCTGCTCCTTCTTGACACCAAACTTGGCCTCGACCTCACGCAGCATGTGCTCGAAGTTGCGCAGGTCGGGCTTGTAGCTGCCGACATCTTGAGCGGTGATGATGAGATCGAAGGCCACACCCTGCAAAGGGCCGGCATTGGTCCTGGAGAAGGACTCGTGATCAACGTTGGATAGCACCACCAGTTTGTAGTGCTTGCTCAGCCGGCGCAGGGCGTCCACTGTGTCCGGAAAAGCTGGCCAGCTGCCCACGGACTGGCCGAAAGCCTCGTTCTGCGCCGCGGTCGGTTGTGGCAGTGCGAGCCGCTCGGCGATTTGTGGGTGGATCGTGGTAAGCAGCTGGGCATAAAGCATGCCGGGATCCTGGGCTTGCTGAGTACGTTCGGCTTCGTGGTACACGTGCAGCAAGTGCTCGCGCGAGAAGCTGGCGCTGTTGGCGTTGAGAAGCGGCTGCAGTGCGGCCAGCACGCCCGACTCCCAGTCGATGAGGGTGCCGTAGACATCGAAGGAGAGGAGGCGGAAATCAGAGAGTTTCGACATGGTGTGTGGTGGCGTTGATTGGAGTCTGGGATGACGCGAGTGCGAAGGCGTGCAGCCAACAGCGTCACTAAATATGCAGACGTGCTGTGGCGATACGCACCGGCAACGTACTTTTTCAGCCGAGGCATGCGACCCCGCATCGGCCATCCGACTTTTTTGCGCCGGTCGCACCCATCGGATCTGGAACACCGGACGGGCGTGGCAGACAGCTTGATTAGCTAAGCGTCCGATCCTACCCCATCGCCCAGCTCCCAAACCACGTCCACAAGACCGAACGTTGTATTGCTTCGTGTGGATGCGCTGATTATGCCACTGCCAACTACGGGCGCAACTCGATTATGCCGATTCCCGTGCCCCGCCGGTGCATGGCCCTCCACACCTCATCAGCCCTATAGCTAAGGTGCCAAGTGCGTAGTGAGTATGCGAGTAACATGCCTTCCTCTTGTTATCATTACTCATCTCCAAATTTTCGAAACGCGGCAGTAATCTTCTCGAGATAGGCTGAGGCATGATAGCTTAGGGTCATTTAGAAGCAGGCGAGCAGCGATGTCTCGTTTGATCTTGAGCGGCGAGCAAGCGGAGCAGCATGGCGGTGCTGGGGAAATCGGTGTCGACAATAATGAAGCGCTTGGCGTCGCCGATGCCGCCGCACAGCCAGCGCCTTTAAGCTCTCTCCTAGCGCGTGCGCCGCTCCAGCTGGTCAACCCAGTGCTGCATTGTCGTGTAATACTCTCTCAGTAAACGCATATCAGAGCAGTGCCAGTAGACGCTCACGCGTGCGCCGTCCCTCTCTGAGACCAGCCCATCTTGCCCGAGAATGCGGACGCCTGGCTCAGCAAGAAGGGTGGCACCGTGACTTCGGGCAGCTACTCAAGGCGAGTGAGCACAGGCAGTGCTAGGAGAATGCTTGTAGTTGTAGGACATGATGGTTGTCGCGCAAAGACTTGGATGTCGCCAGTTCAGCCGAAACGCTCGCGCGCGCGCGGAGGGCAGCCGGTGGGGATGGCGGTGCGGCTGGGGCGGACGCTCTAGGCGAGCATGTGGTGGGCGCGTTCGAGGGCGGCGTTGGAGTGAGCAAATTGGGCGGCGCGTGCGAGGGCGGAATGGATGACCTTGGCTTTGATGTTAGTGGGGTCGATGGAGTGGTCGAGGTTCTGCATCTCCACGTAGCGGAAGCTGTGGATCGTGAACAAAGTCTCAACCCACGTGTCTGAGTCGCATAGGATGACATGTTCCTGTTGTGGTGTGGGGTGGAGCGGCGGGCAGAGGTAGTTCGTGTCCTTTGGTTCGCACCACTCTAGCCTCGTTGGTACGCGCAGCCTGTGGACCCTGACCCCAACGCCAAATTCTTTCTTTCTTTCCCTGGGAAGGAGCCTCACCGTCGGCCGCACCTTCTCGGCCTGGCACTCACCCGCAGCCTCGGAACCCCGACCACCAACCAACCCTCCTCCCGTGTCTCTCGACCCACCCTCCATCCCACCTCGACCTACGCCCACACTGTCAACACGTCCCCATCCCTCTTCCGCCCATCAAACACTCCAAGAAAACTGTGGAACCTTCCACCCTCCACCAAGGCACGAACGCGTCACCCATGACGTCATGGTCATGGCTGAGCAGGCAGTACTAGCCGAGGACGCTGGCTGCAGGGAGTTTGGGGAGATCAGAATGCGTACCAGAGGGTAAGTCCGCTCCAATCAGATCTTGGGGGAGGTTTGTTTGGAGCTGATAGGCTTCCATCAAAGTGATCGAATGGAAGATTGGTCTCTGGGTGGACATATGATAATCTGGTTTTGGGTCTTTGAATATGGCGCGCGACCACGCTATCGGATGCTACTTTTCACCAGAGCCGGAAACAACTATCGCGTATGGCCAATCGCTTCTTCATTACGGCTTGGGAAGTGGGCCATCTGATTATCGCCGAGCGAATGATGGTGATTGCCGCCTCAAACCCATGACAAGAGAAGGCTCATACGCAGGCACAGTACGGGCGCATGGTGTCCTATGGTAGGTGACGCAATTTCGCTTCCAATGAAGTGAATCTGAGAACCGTGGGTGAGGTGGTGGCTCATGACCCCGACCGCCGTTGTAGATTTTCTGTTGAGAAGAGGGTCCGAGAAAAAGTGCAAACGTGGCCAGTCCAAAGTCCACGCCTGGTATCTATATAAACCCTCGGCCGTGGAAGTAGATTCCATGTCGCTCAGACGAACATCCAGGATTCCCCAATGGTCACCCACTTGAGTACTAAAGATGGTCTGCATCGCAGGCACATCGAACACGCCTTCCTCCCCAATGGGCGACGACGCAGAACCTCCGCCAAGCGACCCTGATTAAATCTCTTATTTCACTCGGCCGTCACTTCCCCCACCTCTCAACTCATCCTCCACCTCAGCTGCGACACTACATACTCGCCTATCGCCGTCTCCGACCTCTGGGCCTTGGCCGGCTAGCACGGCATGCCGCAGAGACCATCAGACCGCCTTCAGACCGAGCCAACGACACAGCCCTGCGACCGCAACATCCTCACCACCACGTCAGGGTACTTGCTTCAACTGAATATATGAAGGATACCCGCAAGCCAGTTGGCTTCGCAACCCCCTGTGCCCTGAGAAAGCAAAACAACCTTCCTCGCCTGGAACTAGACCCACGCTCACCGCGTCTTCCCGTTCACGAGGATCGCCACCATTTCCGCCAAGAAGCCACGCTTGACCGTTACTGTCAACGTGGTCAGTTGCACCTTTATCCAGGAGACTCAGCTTACGGATGTCGTCCTCCAGATGTTGAATCTTCCCATCCCTCAACCATTCATCCGGAGAAGCTGCAACAATCCATGTTGAACTCCCTGTCTCTCAACAGTTCATCTGGAGAAACTGCAACAATCCATGTTGAAGAAGGACCTCAAGCGCTTCAGCATGGTCAGCGTCGTTGTTGGCCACCGTGGTTTCGACAAAGAGACGAGCAATCTTTCGACCCACACGGTCGACACGATCATGCCACGTACGCCTCAGCAGCACAAGATTGAGATCCGTGACGGTGCGATCCGCTCAGACATACTCAACTTGCGAACCGGCCGATTAGTACTCAATATTTTTACACACCCATGGAACTCTGCAATGCATCCACACGACTCTAGAACTCTACAAAACATCAACACGACTCTGGAAGCTTATAAAGAATCAAACGACCCTGGAAGCTTGCAAACCATCGACACGGCCCGGGAAGTCTGCAAAACACGAAAGTCTACATAAAATTAATACGATCCTGGAAGTCTGCAAGGTCTTGAAGAACCAAAGGCGCCCCTTCAAGCTCACGGATGGACGAGGCAAACATATTTGCAATATCATATTGTTAAATATATATATATATATATATTTAGTGGCAACGGTTGTTCGATAGTGTCGTCAAACACATATCTTTCCCTTCGACCTGGTACTAAGGGAAAGTGATGGCCGCCGTAACGATCGATAGGGATAGTCGGGGGCATCAGTATTCAGTTGTCAGAGGTGAAATCTATTGATTTGTCAACACGATCGCGCCAACGGCCAAGGCTAGCGGGGGTCATGTCAAGCATAGCCAAGGAACGCGAATGGAATACTTAGCTGAAGTAGTTTCGAAAAAAAAAACGAACTGTCAGCTGTTAGCTTTTTATTTTTACCTTGGACGCGGTTCATTGTTTGAAGTGATTTACCGGGAGCCTTATCGAGCCGCTGCCGTCGCCCTGTGCCGTGACCCGCAGCATGCTGGCGAGTACGATAATATCCCAGCGAACATTTAGACAGACCACGAACGTATAATTCGGCGTTGGGTATAATAATAAAGGGCGCATTTAAGGCTGTTTCTATATTGGCAGTGCGGTCTTATATAGTAAGAGCTTTTTAAAGGGTGCAACGCGGGGGTCCTCGGAGGTTCAACGTAAGTGGCCGCTGCGCCCACCGTAGGTGGTCATCCCTTAGTCCAGGTCGGCAACAAAACTTTGTACAGATTTTTCGGATGTTTACAAAGACGCTCAATTAGATTTTATAATGATTTTCCCTCTTTTACTCTTGCCAAGTCAATCATGACGACAATGCCGAGATATTTTTTCCAAGGAAATGAAAATGCCCTAAGCCATGAGACAGCCAAACCAAGAGTAACGAACCATCTCGTCCAATGGAAACATCGCATGATCCTTCACTTGAAACTGGCTTCATTTGGGCGGGTCTGTTCGAAGGCATCGTATCTGTGGCCCCAAGCTGCCGCGCGCTGCGTTTCGTCTTTCTGATACAGTTCCTGGAGGTAGGATTTGAAGTTCTTTGACATGCGAACCGTGGATCTGATGTGCTTTCGCTTGACTTGAATGCGTCCTCTTGCATCGCAGTCATTCTCAGTCTGTGCCAGTGCGACGGCGATTTGGAAAGCTGAACCCACCGTGTCAGCCTCGACCACTTTGCATTGATAGAGTCTCTTACCGTTTCGTATTTCGCGTCCATTCCATTCGAGCTCGCGCACTTCTTTCTCCTCAACATAGTCCCGCGTTTCCTCCAAGATCTTCATTTTCCCCTCTCTCTCGTTCTGCAGCTTGCGGAAGAACGACTCCCACACCTCGGCTCGACTGCGGTCCGTGAACGCGGCATAGTGAATGGTGAGGTGGATGCGTGAGATGAAGGCCTCGTCAAACGTTCCAACTCGGTTTGTGGTCAGGATCAGAATGCCCTGATAATACTCCAGAGCCCGCAAGAAGCCAGCTACCAAGTTGTTCCTCTCCAGGTCCTGCACCTTTCTCTGCTCCATGTACACATCAGCTTCGTCAATGAGCATGATGGCGCCCCAGCTCTGGGCGATGCTGAACCATCTCCTCAAGCCCTCTTCGACCTTCTGTGGATCAGTCCCGATATCTGCGCAGGTGAGGGAGAGCAGAGGCCGTTCAGTAAGCGCCGCCACACATTCTATGGCCCTTAGTATGCTTCGCTTTCGCTCATCTCTGGTTGAGGTACTTACCTGCCGTGTACGTCTTCCCAACCCCAGGTTTCCCATGCAGTAAGAAGATGAGCCCCTCTCCCTTGCCTTTGACGAAGTCGGCAGACCACGCGGACAAGTTGGGTGCGCTGTTTGGGCCGACGGCATCGGGACCGTTGGCAGGGTCTTTCTTCGCCGACTGTTCCTGGACGAAGAGTTTTGTAAGGTCCACGATCATGTCTTTCGTGTCTTGAGCCAAGACCAGGTCGTTGATCATCTTCCTATCAAACACCGGATCCTTGAATCCGGATACATCGAGCAAAGCTGTCATCGTGTTAGCACAGCGACGGGGCCTTTTCACAATGCACACTCGGCCTTACCCCATTCTCTCGTCTTAAAAACGAACGCTTCCACGACTCGGCTGCACAGAAAGTAGTGGTGGTCGGTCCATTCACTTCTGGTCCTGTGATGCTCTCTGTCGTAGTCTTCGAACATTAGCTTGACTATTTCGTCCTTGATAACCGCCTGGCATCTAGCGCATTCGCAAAGCCGTGATCTTGCTGCAGTCGCGCCAGCATCTTGTTCCAAAAATATGCTTCTTGTCCACGGGTAGGAGTCTCTGTCTGAGATCCATTGGTCCGAGTCCACCATGACGAGGCCGTTATACTGTTTCCGTTAGCCTGTGTGGCGACGGCCGTGCCCAAATATTGCCTCACCGCTCTGATTGGTTGGGTGACAGAACTCCCTTCATATTGGAAACAGCCCTTCTTCAACAGCCGTATGAACATCCGGCCCCTCTCTTCGAAGAATTTCTTGAACTCAAGCCGGGTTTTCCCGTCCAAAAGCTCTCCTTCAGGAAAAAAGCTACACGGGAACAGTGCCGAGCCGAATATCTTTGTCTCCTTTCGCGAGCATGACCAACCCTCTTCGATAGTGTTCATGCCAAGATATTCTGGTCGTGAGTATCCCACATCCAGGTTCCAGAGAGCAACCGAGTATCGTACTACTCGGCCGTTCTGTATCTCAGGAACGCAGGATTTGATGACAAAAGGGTTCCAAGTTCCGTCCGAACCCTGGTCGTAGTAAACATCGATTCCGGGCTTGAGGATGAGCCACCACATGTCGTCTGCGCTGTATCCTCGGGCGTTCCTCTCCCGCTCTGCTTTTACGGCATCTCCAACCTTGCTGCGGACAAAGTCAAGCAGAATTCCAATATGCTTGTACGCGAAACGGTTGGCGCAGGAGTCAGACGCTTGATGCTCAGTCTCAGCCTCAGGGGCAAATTTCTGGCGATACTGCTCCAGCTCATCTTCATAGTGAACAACGACAGCATAAGGCTCTAGGATGGTGATGGTTTCTCCACCGAGGTCTTGCGAAGGGTAGTAATTGACGACATGTCGAAGCGCGGCAATGACAGATGGAGAAAGAATCCTGATGTAAGACTGCCCCCTCCATCGAATCGATGGGAGGCCATCCTTGGGCTTCCCCTTTGATTGGGTCAGGACAACCTCGACGTACTCCAGAACGGTAGTCTCTTGGCCGGGATCATTTTTTGTGCCATTGTTGGCGCCCAAGTCTTCTGTGCAGACCACATTGCGGGTATCTTCTTGAAGGTATTCCTCCTTGTAGACAATGGGTGGGCGAGATTTCGTTTCAGGGCGAGGGTCCTCTGTACGCTCATCTGAGGACAAGCTGGAATGTTTTCTCTGCTTTGTGTTAAAAAAAAACAAAGTAACATTAGATCGGGGAAACCACCTACTTGGTCATAGCTGAGCATGTTCGAAATTCTGATTCTTTTCTCAGCCGAGAGCACAGATGCTTCCATGATCAAGCCTTCGCCACGGACTGTCCGTCACTACTTTCTTGTTTGGGTGGGATATTTCACGTGATGTTGCTCAACTGTGGAGCGCGGTTGGAAGACATGGGCATTTTCAGAAGGCCAGTCGACTCTTTACATAGGAATGGGCGCAGATGCGAACCACGCCGAACTGGGCAGAACGCCGCGCCCCGGCATAATGCCAGCTTGCCTAGCATGAGCGCCACGGCGCTTCGGCTTATCGCACAAATCATCTTAAATCATTGGCGTGGAGCCTGTCGATCAGCAGCATGCATGAGTGCCAATAAAATGCCTTTCCCTGCGACCGTGGTTGCTGCCTAGCGCCACGCGACCAACAAGAGCCGAATAAAGTGCCTTGGACCCCACCCCCGTCGACGACCCCGCAGCTGAATCGCTGCGCACATCATTCGCAATTGAGAAAACAGTTTATCGAAAGAGAATAATTCTTTTAATTCTCCTGCCCAGCTGCCCATCATTTTGTTCATCCCCATTTGAAATTATTTAACAACAACAATGAGCGCTTTTGATCCCTCGTCGGTCACTAGAAACTTCGCGCTGAAACTCAAAGCTGACAATCCATCTGAAGGAAGCTCGCAACAGGAGCGAGAACTTGACTATGCCGTGGCAGAGGAGCAAATGAGGAGAGACGAGCGACATGGCAGGAAAGAAAGGTTCCCAGCCCGTGAAGCAAATTCGAAGTAAGCTCTGGTCCTCTACGCGCTTCTCCAGTATCATTTCCGACGGGCATAGTATGACGCTCGATTGAGGACATGAGTTGACAGGACGCAGCGATCAAGACGAGCTCCGCGATCTCGACCACAGACTGAAAGAGCTTGCTGCACTTGTCAAACAATTCGAAAACTACATTCCAAAGGATCTCGTCGCATCCGGCTCCTCTATCACCTCTCTGAAAGACTTCTCCCGCATGGCGGAGATGGTCAAGATGAAATGGGAAACCCGGTCACAGTCCAGCAAATTTGCCAAGTCACGCGAATATCTGCGTAAAATGGCAACCACCGTCGACAACCACTCGAACGCGCTGAAGCTACTGCCATCAAGCAACGACTACGCGTCGATATTCTGCGGGGCTCTCACCATGGTCATCAAGGTCTGACGGGCGCGAAAGCTTCCAGATCTTGCCCCGCTAATCCGAGACAGGCGTCGTCCAACTACGAGCGGATATCAGAGTGCTTTTGCCGCGCCATGGTCGAGATCAACGACGCGGTCAGCGCGGTGCACGAGGAGGTGTGGGCGTACAGGGACGAGGTTGCCATCCAGCAGCTTGTCGTGCGGCTTTACTGCCAGATCTTCCGCTTTCTGGTCAACGTCATGCAATGGTACACGGACAAGTGGCACAAACGGATGCTGAGGAGCCTGAATGAGAACATCTACGAGGAGTACAAGGTGCAGCTCGAAGATATCAGGAGGCTGTCGGAGCTTATTCACCGGAAAGCCACGACTCGGATGCTTGCGGAGATGCAGGCGGGGAGGATGATTCGGGAGGATGAGAATTTCCGGTTTCTGGCGGACTTGCGTGATCGTGACCGTCATGCGGATGAGATGCGGCAAGAGGGATATTTTGAAAGATTGCGGATGGCGATTCAGAATGAGTTCCGGGAGACGATGGAAAAATCGGCGGACATGATCCAACAGAAAATCGCGGACCGGCTTCTCGCCAACGTCACCAGCCAGATTGCCGGCGAGACAGCACTACGATACCTTGAACAAAGAGCCCGGGAGTTTGTTCCAACGACAAGCTTTACCACGCTCAGCATAGGTAACAGGCATTTGCATCCTTTGAGCTGCTTCGGTTGACGGTGACATCAGAACCGAACCCTACCGCAGAAACCAACCTCGGTGCCAACGAGACAATGGCTGTTCCCCTCCACGCGAGTCTCTCCCCCCACATTGGGAAAAATGAGATTCAACTGGCTTCTGCGGATCTCGAGAACCACTACGACGGCCAAAACGTGTCTCCTCACTTCGAGTCCCCCGGCGCGTTTTTGCTCGCCAACCAGAACGTAGAAGCGGGCATCCGAGCCTTCACGATGGCCGGCCAGTCTCAGGTTTTACACGTCTGCAGCCCAATGGAACTCGGGGTGGAGACGCATTCGGCGCTGCTCGCTGCGACATTCACCGCCTCGGTCCGAGAGAGCAAAGTGCCTACACTATCATACTTCTGCCGACTCTCCCACTCGGTACCCAGCGGCCGAACGCGGGAAACGGTGGAGTTGGTGCATCTGACGTACGCGCTCATCCGGCAGCTCGTCGAGATCCTGCCGGACGGCGGGAAGTTTGACGGGACGCGGCTGGGCGAGGCCGTGTTCCAGACGTTGGATGGCACTCTGTTGACGTGGGAGGAGGCGATGGACGTGCTGCGGTGTTTGTTGCAGGAAGTGGTTGCGCATCAGCCGCTTCTTTACATCGTTGTCGATGGCGTAGCGCTGCTCGAGGATGTCTCGTACCACAGCACGGACAGGCCACTGGGCGAGCTTATTGAGCTGCTCTGCGGACTTGCGGCACAGAAGGGCGGTCACAAGGTGAAGCTTCTGTTTACTACTGCTGGCGAGTCGAGGGCGCTGAATGCGGCTCTTGAAGGTCATTGCCAGATCAAGGCCAATTGATGTTCTTGTCTCTTTGCGTTGAAGATGTGTTGTTGTCAGTGCAGAGCCAGCGGCCCGGACTTTGCAGTGACCAGAAGCCCTCTCCGTCCACAATGGGACTAGCGCATTTACGCCACGCTTCGGGGAGGCCGCCGACCCGCACGCCCAGACGACGGGAGCTGGCGGATCGGGCCGCACTATGATTGATCAACAATGCCTTTGCTTGATGATGAGCAAGCTCACCAGTCACAGTCATTGACAACCGCGTTCGAATGGCCTTGACGTCAGCCCACGCGTCTTTGCAAGTGTCGCGCGACACCCACGAGCGAGCGCACGTGTCAGTCACGTCAACCCGGCCTCCAGCCCACGCACGAACGCACGCCTTTTGCCGTCTGAAACTCTCCACCCGCAGCCCGCGCCCGATCTGTCTGCACCCGCCGTACAACCACCACCACCCAACCCAGCCGCCGGCCGCGGGCGCAATGCGACCTGCAAAATATCCCTCAACCGCGCGCCCTGGCTGCCCGCCACAAATATACACATACGCCGTCGCACGACAGCAGCTGGCGGCTGGAAAGCGCTGCCATCTATTTTTCGCTCTCCTCGCAGCCCAGCTCTCAGTCAGCGCATCCGAAATCTCGGGCGGCGCTCGATCAGGCCCAGCCACGCAGACAAGATGTCTCTTTGCTCCCGTGCTACCCCATGCCCCTGGTGGCTGCAGCCGCCGTTTCACCCTCACGATGCGCTCGCCATGGCGCCCGCCCGCCGCTGCGGCTGCTATTCGCCCGTGCGACGCCGGCCGGGTTAGTCATTTTCGACGCGCATTTGCCAATGCAGCTCCATGCAGGGGCAGTTGCCTTACATGGACGCGCCGTATGCGCTTTTTCCAAAAAGCGTCTGCCCGGTGAGGTGGCAGAAGAAGCATGGAGCGAGTGCTCGTGGAGTCGTATTTCATCGCACGAGGGCCGCCCCGGTTTTGGCAGACCATGCTGAGCTTCCTCTGCACGTTCCGAAGCAATCGACCACCCTCGTCATGTCTCCGCTCCTCTCTCCGCGCCGCTTCGCGGCTCTGCTGCCCCTCTCCCTCCTCCTCCCCCCAGCCCAGTCCTCGACGCAATTCTCCGCCCTCCTTGCCGACCTCCCCACCCTGAAGATCGAAACGACCGGCAGCAAGATCACCTACACCCGCGACGCGCTCTGGTCCGGCGCAGACTTCTTCTCCCACTTCGACTTCAAAACCTCAGCCGACTACATGTCGTCCGCGATCGGCGCCGCCGACCCCACGCACGGCTTCGTGCACTACGTCGACGAGCCGACAGCGCGCAACACCAGCCTGATCGACACCACCGCGGCCGGCAACCCGCGCTGGGGCGTCGACACAACGCACACGTACGCGCCGGGGCGCGACTGGGGGCGGGCCAGCGTGCGGCTGGAAAGCAAGCAGGCGTGGACGCACGGGCTGTTCGTCTTCGACATCGCGCACATGCCGGGGGCGACGTGCGGCATCTGGCCGGCGCTGTGGAGCCTGGGCGCGGGCGCGTGGCCGGCGGGCGGCGAGGTCGACGTGCTGGAGAACATCCACCGCGCGCAGGCCAACCAGATGGTCGTGCACACGGGCGACAACTGCACGCTCGAGACGCCGCGGCGCGCGGCGCTGGGCGGGCTCGAGGGCAGCTGCGCCGGCAGCGAGGGCTGCCGCGTGCGCGCGTCCACGGCGAACAGCTACGGCGACGCGTTCAACGCGAACGGCGGCGGCGTCTACGCCATGCAGTGGACCAGCGGCGCCATCAAGATCTGGTTTTTCCCGCGCGACCGCGTCGACGGCGAGCTGGCGCAGTGGCTGGATGCGGATGCCGCCGAGGGGGTGGATGCGGCGCAGTTTGGGCTGCCGCAGGCGGCGTTTGCGGGCGGGCGCGGGTGCGACGTCGACGAGCACTTTGTCGAGCACCGGTTGATCTTCGACACGACGTTTTGCGGCGACTGGGCGGGCAACGCGTGGCCGTCGACGTGCCCGTCGGTGGCGGGGAAGAAGAAGAAGGAGTCGTGCGAGATTTATGTCGGCGCGCACCCGGAGGCGTTTGAGGAGGCGTACTGGGAGATCAACTCGATAGCCGTGTTCAAGGAAAGCGAGGTCGTGGGCACGCCGGTCTGATGTATGTTAGCTCTCTCTTGTTTGGCTTTGCAATCATGACTGCTCCATGACAGGCTGGGTTGCGTGGTTCCAAGTACATGGACAGTCCAAATAAGCTTGTCGTCGGAGAAAGTGTTCGCCGTGCGCGGGCCGGCTCCCGTCGTGACGTGCAGTCGCTGATCACCGTGCATCATGTGGAGAAGATGCCGTTCGGGACAGGTGGATCTGTCGAAAGACTGGGGTGGGATCGGCCGCGCGTCCTTGTGGGGGCTTGGACTGGGGACTTTGCAGGCGGATCGACGCCATCGAGGGAGCTGAAGGTTGGGCGAAGACGGCAGTCGAGAGCAGGAAACTAGTGCGGTTGGCAGGCGGGCGTCCATTACTAAGCGCGGGGGCTAACTTAGCTCCCAACAGGAACCTCTCGTCCTCTCTGGTCATCGTCGTCATGCTCGCAATCACGATTCATAGACGTCACTCTCGAAACTCGCCGGTCGCGGTGCGAAGAACCTTGATTCTTGATCTCCCCAACTCGGCACTAAGCCAAGACTTCCTAATAGACCGGCATGTTGAACGCACTGAGGTCATACTTCCAAGTATCGATCGACTCCTGGTCGTAGACACAGTCGAACGCCGTCCCGTTGCCCGACCACAGCGGCCTCAGCGGCCACCTGCAAATCTGGTCGATGCCCACCGACCCGTTCAGCGTCGCCGGCGCCACACCGCCCTCCACCCACTCAATCACCGTCTGCAGCGTCGTCTGCGGCCACCCGCCATTCGGCTGCTTCGAATTCACCCCGCAGTGGCCCGCCCCAGGCACCAGATACAGGCGATAAAACGCATCCAGCTCCTCGACACTCTCGTTGTACCCAACCCCCGGGAACATGATCTCCCTCACCGACTCATAGTACCTCACCGACGACGCCGTCGGGATCGAATCGTCCTGCTCGCCGTGCACATGCAGCACCTTGGCGCCGGCGTCGCGCAGCGGCGCCAGGTCCGGGAAAGTCGTCTGCAACGAATCCTCGTAGCGCGCCTGCCCGAGCTTCATCCACTCCACGAGCGTGTCGTACGTGACGTTGGCGAGCGACGACAGCGTCGACGCGTCCTGCAGCTGCAGGAACCGCGCCACCCACTCGCCGCCGAGGCCGCTGACGTCGAGCCCCCACGTCTCGGTCGCGTCGTCGTACGCCGTCGCGCCGTCGACGAAGCTGGTGCCCGGCTGGTACGAGAAGTAGGCCTGTCGTCCGGCGCTGTCGTGAAGCCCGCTGAGGATGGCCGACGCGACGGCCACGCCGCGCGCGGAGACGGTGCCGTTTTGCGCGGGGGTGGCGGCGGCGGGCATCTGCCGCCGGGAGAGGCCGCCGGGGCCGGAGCCGGTGGTGGCGGCGCAGGAGTAGGGCGCGCCGAGGGTGGAGTTGATGTCGAAGTGGAGGGCGCAGAGGTCGGAGCGGGCGATGACGCCGTCCGGGTTGCCGTCGAGGGGGTCGCACGCGGCGATGGTGAGGTTGACGATCTTCTCCAGCTCGCACGACGGCGGGTAGTAGTCCAACGTCTGCTCGATGACGTTGGACGTCAGGTGGTTGACTTGCTGCTGTCCGTAGCGGAAGGCTGGCGCCCCGACCGCGGCGCCGTCGAACTGGTCGGCGAAGCGCTGCAGCTGCGACCAGCCTTCGCGGCCGCCCTCGGAGCAGCCCTGGTAGTACGAGTAGAGCTTGGAGCTGGCGGGGACGCTGAAGAAGTTGCGGGTGAACTGCTTGCCCAGGGTGGCGAGCTCGTGGTGGGCTTGGTAGCCGAACATGTAGACGGCCTGCCAGTTGATGGTGTCGTTGGCCAGGAGGAAGACTTCGTCCCATTGGGTGGAGAAGGAGCCGAAGCCGCCGTCGGTGATGCCGGACACGGCGCCGACGATGATGCCCGACGGGCTGAACGAGGCTTGCGAGTTGATGGCCAGGCCGCCGCCGCCGGTGGAGAGGTAGCGGTTCTGGAACTTGTCCGGGGCGGGGACGAGGTAGGAAACGTGGACCTTGTCGTTGGCGATGCCGTTGTGCGAGTAGGCGAAGGTGACGTTGCAGTAGTCGACGACGGCCGAAGGATACCACTCGGAGCTGACGGACGAGTTGGCGGTGATGGCGGCCTGGACCGACGTCTTGTCGATGGTGATGCCCGGGTAGACATCGTCGGCCGGAAGCGCCGACTGGGCATACGAGGTTGTGCACACGTCGCTCAGCGAAGCCGCCCTCACAGAGGTGAGAGCAGCGGCAGTTGCCGCGGCCCAAAGAGCGGACGGCATGACTCTGGATGAGCAGTGTAACGAGAGAAACAGAGATGGAACGAGGGTGGTCCGCGGTGAGCGAAGGCCTTGTCGGCAATTCCGTTCTTTTATATTCTCTAGCGCATTTCGTCCTTACTCGGGCAGCCGAGCACGGAGTCGGGCTTGCGTGTTTCTCTCCATCGCTTCCCCTTAACGTGCCGCGATCTGCCGTGCCGGAACCGGCCAACGGCCTCCACACTTGCCTTTTCAGGCTAGCGCCCAAATGGAGCTCGGGGTTACAGCAGCGGCGACAAGTTCCCCGCGTTCAAGGTGATGGATTGACGCTGTTCCATGTTTATTCCGAGCCGACACCTCGTTTTGCGCGCGAGCTGCGTGTTATCGCCGAGAGCACACTTAGCTCCGACGCGTCAAATCTCCGAGCTCCACGGACCATGAAACACCCATCCAAGTAATGTATATTAAAAAAACGAACCACACGTTTCTGCTCTTGGGAGGAGCCTCTGCCACACGGCCGCGACCCAGCCTTGGGTGCTTTAGCCTTAAGGAGCTGCTTCCTTCCAGGACCGTACTCGTCGAATGATTATGGTCTGCCTGGCTTCTGATTGGTTGAAGTCGAAGTACCTGGCGACGAAGTATATTATGGCAATCAATAGACGCTCCTATAATCCTCACACCTGTCATTCTTCTCCCTTTCGGCTTCTCCTCGAGCATTTCCTCGCCCGTTGGGAATGAAGCCTTGGTCATCGGCTCCTGTCTATTTCAACCGGAGATTTTCCGCAGCAAACACAGCCATCTCATTCGAGACACCGGCTTCCTCGACTCACAAGACAATTTCGGCTTCAATACTCCTCCGAGCCAGCAGCTATAAATCAGAGTCGTAATGCATTGCGCTATTTTCAACACTCACAATATCAACACCATACCGTCTACTTCAGCATGCTCAGCTCATTGAATCCTTGCCCCTGAACCAGCATCTCCCCAGGCATGATCAACTCAAGCCGGTTCGGAAACCAATATTGGAAGTACTCGCTGGTTGTCGGGCTTGTCACCATCAGTTTGAAGACCATACGGTTGTGGCTCGACCCAGCCGCCTCTACTAGACTGTTGAGAAACTGCATGGCGTAGTGCAAGCCACGAGCATGCATCTCTTTGTCGAAGAAGTTGATGCCATCGATCATGCATATGATGACACCGGACCCTATCCTTTTGACCAGCTCATCGAAGAGTCGGCATAGAGCCGGCACATCATTCGTTCCGATGAGTTGCAGATCGGCAGCTCCGAGGAAGTCCAGTAGGCCCGATACCTCGGTGTGGAACAGGATCAACTGGGCGATGAGAGAGCGCATCATGCCCGCGGCGCCGGTCATGCCATCACTGGGATCGGCGTGGAGTCGGCAGAAGAAGGCGAGCGGCTTGGCGTGCTGGACCTCGGCCACGGCCCTGGCTAGAACGGCGCACATGTAGCTGAGTGGGGATACCATGTCGCTCTGGAGGGTGTTCATGTCCATACCACTTATGACAAGGGTCCTGGACTGCGGGGCTTTGAACCACTCTCCGAAGCGGACGTCCTGCATTGTAGTTGATATGCGGCCCTGGAGGTGGGTGTTCATGGTGCGGCCAAAGTGGAGGACAAGTTCTCGCTCCATGCCGATTCTATCGACCACCTGCTCTGTGACATCTTGGTTGGGGCCCGCTTCCGCCAGGCGCAGACATGTCAGTATCTGTGGAAGGCTCACTGTGGGTTGCCATGGCTTGGCCATTGCATTGAGGGCTTGCTGTGTTCGTAGGATTTGGATGAGATGCTGTTCATTGCGGGCCTGCAACTCTCGTTGTCGCTCGTCTTGGAGTCGCTGTTGTTTTCGTAGAGCTAAGGTTGGTTAGCAACTGGAAGGCTTCATCGTCCCGCGGGTTAGACTTGCCGTCTGCCTCCCTCGCCATGCCGCGACAAAGGTCTTCTAGAGTGCTGACAGTTGCAGACATCTTTTGGAGATCTCCTGTCTGGCCATCGATCTGGCCATGGACGACTTCCAGCAGTCGCCCCACCGTGATGACATTTTTACCGGTATCGCGGACCTCGGTGTGCAGGCATGCTTGGACGGCACGATCAAACGCTTCGACCTTTTCTGTTACGTTGTCTTTCACAGCGGCTTCAAGCTTTTTTCCGTAGTCGCCTTGCTGCACAACCGCCTTGACTGGTTCGAAAAAGAAGCCGCGTACTGGTAGATTGTGCCGTCAGCCTCGCGTCAACTGGTTGGCATATGACGTCACTTACATCCCTTGGACTTCTCGATCCATTTGGTGATCTCCTCGACTGCATCAAGTACCGCAATGTATAGGTTCTCCGTCTTCTGTCGCAGCTCGTCGTTCCATGCATACTCGCGGATGTATGTCTTGGCGTAGTCAATCTCCACTTCAAGAGCCTGCAATGATCCCAAGATAAGTTCCCGCAAGTCCCTGCTGCGCCTTGCTGCCTGGTACACCAACTTCAAGCCGCCGCACAGCGCCCCAAGGTAGTCGCCAGAGGGGATAAGCACAGTGAGGAACTCAATCCGGCACGACATGTTCCCGACAAGCCTTTTCGTTCTGCGGAAAGGATTATTCCAGGACTTCCCCTGGTTCGCATAGATGTCCAGTGCCTCCTCAGCCTCCTTTCGGACTGCTTCCCAGGTCGTGCAAGTGCGGAACGCCGTTGTTGCATGTGTGTCGTTCGAACGCGACAGAAACCCCTGTATGTAGGCAACGTAACGCGTTTTCTTCTGCTGCAGTCTGCGAGAGGTCAATGCGAGTCGATCACGTGTCAGGCTGGAAGCTTACGCGGGAGAAGGTGGTGGAAGGGGGCGCTGCCTTATCGCATCTGCGAGGGCCCAGGCCGGATCGACATTCGGAGCCTTGTGCACGATCCAGCGACCGGTATCGTCAGTCGGTTGCAGAGCCTGTTGTGAAGCCATCATGAGGGCTTCTTTTTCGTATTCAATGGAAGCTCTACGGATCCGTTGGGGCATCTCTTCTGGCTCGCTTGACCTTGCCTTTATCATCTGGAGCGGGGAAGATTCGCTAATCCTACTTTCGTAATGCAAGGCTTCACAACAGCCTGGTGCGGAACCCCACGGCCGAATGACCCCATCTGCCCTATCTGAAGCAGCCACGTTCGTTTTCAGACGCACTTGCGCATCATGTACTACTGTAATAGATTCAGCTGCGGGGTTTTATCTTCTAGCCCCCATATCAATCCTCATTTCAGCAGGTGCTTGGATCGTGGCGCATTTTCTCTATACCCATAATCGGTGGACGCTGCACTTGTCGCAGCGATTGCAACCCGATGCCTGCATTTCAGCAATTATTACACAACTATGCTTTACCCCTCGCAACTGCGAGGCATGAGGCTGGAAATTTCCATTTAAAGCGAGAAGCCGCACTCCGATTTTCGTTCTTCTTTTTCACCTTCGTCAATGGCTCGCGCGGTATCTCTACTACCCAAAGTGCATCCAATCTTAGATTCATCATTACGTCGCCGAGTATTTCCAGAAAGGGATCGAACCATGGCCACTCCGCAAGAGCAGCAAAACGTCAGTCAGGCATGTCTGAGTTATGTCCGTAGACTCCTCTTTGAACGAGCTGACAGTAAAAAATCAAAAGGCAGCCAGTCCTGAGTCTCATCAACAGACCATCCACCCGAGTCCGACCAGCAGCGTTGCCTCCCAAATCGTGGAGGACATACCAGCTGCTGACTCCAGGGAGACTTTGAATCTCGAGGAGGAAGGAGAAAGAGAAGATTGTGGAACTGACGAGGGAAAAAAGGAGGATGAATCTGGAGAAACTTCAGAGGAGGACGAGAGAGGGTTCCTCAATAATATCTCTCAGAACACCTTGGCCCGATGGCTTCGTCTATCCCAGATGGATAGGTTCGACGCTTGTAGGGCGAGGATAAACAGGCTCACAGAGTTCACGGACTTAGACTGGACCAAACAGCTCAAGGATCTTGCTTCTGAAGTACAGCGGTGCCGTTCGCAAGTCTTAGACCTACGGGAAGCTCTGTCAACCGTCATACAGGAGCCTAAAGAGGAGCCGAAACCAAGACGATATGCGATCCCCAAATTGAACTTCGTCCCGTGGAGTCAGTTGGCCAAGCCCCAAGATCCGGCAGATGTCCATGCCGCTATTGATGTGTCGTTCAATGAGCCCACAAGCGTGGACATCCTCGAAGTTCGCAGTGAGGCAAGATCTTCGACTGATTTGACGACAAGCGAGGCTCATGAAGCGCCCCCTGTAGCCGATAAGATACCGGAGAGGATTAGGATCAGTTCCGTGCGGCTCCTGTATTTTCTCGATCTCGGCTTCTGCAATGGGACTTTACGATTCGTCAGCCCCGAGATCGGTTTTTACATCCTCCGACCTTTCAAACTCGTGTTCTACCTCGAAGAACGAATTCGCACCCGCATCGGAGAGTTTGAGCACCTACGCCGTCAGCTGAAAGAGATGACCGAGGAGGAATACGCGGAAGAGTTTGAGAAGAACCCAATTCCAGACGAAGAAGTATACCATCTCGGGGCCGAGCACAGCATGGGCATCTCACAGTTGACTGGGTTCATCAACGACTGCCGCTGTTTGACTACGCAATTTCTGGATCAATATCTTGGACCCGAGATTTCAAGGCTGCAGCAAGGCCCCGACGCGGTCCGCTTTGTGGATCTTTGGTTCCTGTTTCCGCAAGGCTCTCTGATATACTGCAAAGATCACAACATACCACAAAAACTCTGGAAGGTGGTCCAAAGGACCGGTGGCCGCAGGTATCAGAGAAGGCCCGAATCGATGCCCCAGGGCGAATATCGGACCGTCTTTTCCCCCTTCGTCCTCGACTGCTATTTCCTCGACTATGACGGTGTTCGCTTCGTTCAGACCTACCATCAATTTGAGATCACTGAGTATGAAGGCGTTCAACCAGTGAAGGGGCTCTCAATACTACCACTGATGATCGCCGAGCGTGATCTCCAATTGGTGAATCGGCAAGCGTTGCTCCATCGTGCTCACCAGTTTCTAGAACTGTCCAAAGGCGTGAACCACCGGTACTACAGCGGTCGGAGTAATGGTATGACACCGGATGGTTTCAAGTTAAGCGATCTGAACGACCAATGCCCCCGAAACGTGTCTCACTATTCGGAAAGGATTGATAGCGAGGTGATCATCGATTTTTCTCGGGCCTTCCAGGAAATCCCTTGGTGGCGACCGAGCGGCAACGAGCCTAAGTTCTACAAAGCCAACATAGCAGAGTATGATAGAGACGGTTTCGATAGGGATGGAGTGTGGGACGAGAAACTCACAAATGACTTTCTGGAAACGGAGAGCCGCAAGTGGCGATCATGGGAGCACTGGGGACATGGACCACAAGACGAGAGCGACTTGCTCCTATTGCCAGACAGAGTTTTCGCTTTTGTCTTGAGAAGTAGAAAGTGGGGTAAGATTTCTCCCGCGATAACCCTTTTTCAGAGCTGACAGCGCTATGCAGCGTCTATCCAACTAGGGTCAGGAGAAGACGGCCTGAAGCGAATTTCGGAGTTGACACGTTGCGAAGAGCCATGGAACAGCTTGGAGCTCCCACAGGGCCACAAAGAGATTCTGCAGTCTCTCATTGCCTCTCACTTCTCCATGGGGAAATCGAAGAGCGTTCACTTCGATGCAGTAAGAGACAAAGGTACGTTTCCACTGGGAAGAAGAGAGAGAATACAGTCTGACGAAGCATAGGAAAGGGTGTGATTATCTTACTGCACGGAGTTCCGGGCATTGGTAAAACTTCTACCGCTGGTGAGGCCGAGGTCGACGTTCTCTACTAAATATTGGAAGGTGCTGACAGGCGTAACAACAGAGTGTGCTGCAGAAAGCAGTGGCAGGCCGTTGCTTCCCATCACATGCGGTATGCCGGATGACCCCCTGCGGTAAATTCAAACATTAACTTGTTTTTGATAGGCGATCTGGGGCTCTCCCCTGGCGAAGTCGAATCGAAGCTGCAAGAGATATTCAGGCTTGCTCAGGCCTGGAATTGCATCCTGCTCCTCGATGAGGCGGATATCTTTCTGGCACAGCGCACCGTGACAGATATGCAAAGAAATGCCCTTGTGTCTGGTAAAATACCCGGGTGCCACTGCTCTGTCGTTAGCTAATTCGCTATTTACTCAGTCTTCCTTCGAACGCTGGAATACTACGAAGGCATCTTATTCTTGACAACGAATCGAGTGGGCGTTTTTGACGAAGCGTTCAAATCCCGCATCCACATATCACTTTACTATCCGCCACTTGAGAGGCTGCAAACCCAACGAATCTGGCAATCTCACATCAAGAAGGCTCTCAATGCCGGGATCCTAGCCAATGAGGGGGACTTGCTCGCCTTTGCTGAGCAGACTTTCAACATGCAAAGTAGACCTGAGTCCGGGCCGGTGTGGAATGGGCGGCAGATTCGAAACGCATTCCAAAGCGCCGTGGCCCTTGCTGGGTTCTATTCCAATGGAGAAGAGCTCATTCGGCTCCAACCCAAGTACTTCCAGAGTGTTTTCGACGTCTCAGACAAGTTCAATAACTACATCTGGAAAACGAAGCAAGGGCAAACGGACGCGGACTGGAACAAGATGTTGATGACGCGCCGAGACGACTTCATGTACGCTCCAGTGAACCTTCATGCAGCGGCTCATCAGGCGCAGCAGCCTTTTCTCGGATCCTTCCAGCCCTCAACGTTCGGCACAGGCATTCAAAGCCCATTGAATACCTACGGTGCACATGGTCAACAACATATGGGTACGTCCTTGGGATTGAATCAGTTTCCCCCATCCGTACAACCAGTCAACAACATGCAGCCCATGGGGAACTCGTACCTGAGTCAGCCCGCTGCGTTCACCTCGCAGCCACTGCAACAAACACAACCTGCACAGTATCAACCACAGTTTGTCACCCAGATACCACTGCACACGCCACAACAGCAGCCTCAAGCTCCGAGTCAGCTCAACCAGCCCGTGCAACAACAGTCTCAACATCAAGCCTCACCGCAGCAGCAGGCACAAAATCCACAGTACAGCGGCTATGCGGATATGCCACAACAACACGTTCAGCAAGTTCCGGCATCTCAACCTCAATCGTTTGTGCAGTCATCGCAAGGGCAGCAAGGATTTCATTGAGCCAAGCTGTGACTGAGCAAAGCATAGCTGGATGACCAATCGAAGAGAGGATGAAGAGTGTTCCATCAATTCTTTTAGGTTTATTGTGTTTCCTTTCTTTGTGAAGTAGATTTCGGCTCTTGTTGCTGGGCAGACATTCTTTGATCTGCAAGATGCAAGGTGCTACATTGAATTTTATAACACAGTCAGCGCATCATCATATCAAAAGCTCACCCCGTCCTGTACTCATCTCATCAAAACATTCCCAGTCCCAGACATGAAAATATCACGAAATCACGTCTTGATCAACCTAGCACAAACAAAGAACCCAAATCATCATCATCGTTCCGCAATTGCCATACAAACACCATGCCATTCCAACGGTAAAACAAACCACACTAACCCAGTCAACCCCTCAGCACCACCCCAGGCATACCATCACGTTCCGTTCTCTGACCCCTCGCCCAGCGGCATCTAAAGCGGACTATGGCAATTCGCTAACTTGTAGAGCTGCGAGCCATCCGTGTTCGCCTCGTTCGGCCTCGAATTGCTGTGAACCCTAAAGATATGTCTTTATAAGTTTAATTGTAACGTGCTTGTTTTGTCTACTTTGTAGGTTTGAATCGAAAAAGCTATACTAAGTGACATGCACTCGCGATTTTTGGGAGAGTCTTACCATATGCTAAGTTGTAGCAAATAGTTGGACATTGGCAAGGCTATATGGGTGTGTAGAGATGATGTTAAACACGTATGCGCATGGAAACGCAACGCATATGTCGACACCACCTCTCTTGCTGGGCTGTGTTCATGACAGATGTGCCAATGCATTGGATGCGGATCGTCAGAGTCTTGCGAAGCTGGAACCCATGTGGCGGTGAAGCGATGGTGCCGTCTGTGATGACTTGGCCCGGGCCTCGTTGGTGATCTGCTCCAGGATTTGCGCATTGACAGCATACAACGCTGAATTCTGAGCCTTTCGACTCGTGCGTTATTTTCAAGGCCCTCGCCTCTGCTTCCGACGAGGCGGCTGTGCTGCTTGGCGAATTCGAATATCGCTCACCGGTGCAGCTGCAGTGTCGGCTTGTTCTGCATCAAACCATCAGTACAGTCCGACTGGAAGCAATTTGCCACATTGACCGGGTTCTGTAATTTGCAATGTCCTCTCCAAACAAATGCGCCACGACCGAAGGAAGTGAGCGGGTCAATCCGACAACGGTCGTGGTTGATCTATGGAACGCCGTGCGGGCTCCCCAAACCCGCAATGAAAATCAGGGCTGCGGGCAGCCCCAGCCCCGGACTCCGTGATTGGAGAGGTTCTGTAACCGCCAAGCTGTACCTGGTGGTTTGCCACGTATGAGAGTGGGGCCTCGTCCTCATGCGCGCCAACCCCCACCGAACGTAGAAAACGAAGCCGCTGCGCCAAAGGGAAATTGCAAAAGATAAATCTCCGGTCAGATCAAGAGCCCTCTCTTTCCAGAAATTCCACTCCAACCCACACTCCCCACCAACCGCCTCAGGCACCAACACGCCGGCCACCACCGCCACCATGGAAAAAGCCCCCGCCCCCAAAACCGTCACCTTCGGCCCGCCCTTCATCCCCAAACACGCCCTCTTCCACAGCCTCCACAAGCCGACCACGAGCAACCACACCAACCCGCTCTGCCTCGCCTCCACCTCGGCCAAGCTCCCGGACCGACTCCCAGGCCACCCGCAGACGCGCCTCACGCAGCACGACCTCGCCGCCTTCCTCCGGCGCGACCTCACGACCCCGAAGCTCGACCGCTTCTACCACTACCTCTGGCTGGTGGCGGCGGCGGCGACGCGCGAGCGGCCCATCAACACGCTGACGCACCAGCAGGTGCGCGGGCGCGACGTGACCGTGTCGCAGAACCCGGAGCTGCACTGCGTGTGGCACGACAAGCGCATCTTCGTCAAGCCCATGCCCGCCTACCTGCTGTCGTACGACTTCTGGGACGCCGTCTTCACCGAGGAGTGGTGCGCCACCGACGAGGGCCGGCTCGTCGTCACGAGCGCGCTGGGCTTCATGCGCAGCTACGGCTACCTCGTGCAGCACCCGTCCGACTTCGCCATCGCGGTGGACAAGGGGCTGATCCCGGAGAACGTCGGGAAGGGGCTGGCGGAGGTGCGGGAGGAGGAGCGGGAGAAGGAGGAGGGCGAGGACAAGGCCGGGAAGAAGGCGGGGGAGAAGAAGGAGCCGGCCAAGATTTCGTTTGAGGACTTCGTCGCCTTCATCGATTGGTTTGGCAGCGCCAAGATCGGCGATGACCAGGTCTCGCTGCGCTATCACTACGGGGACTTGAGGCTCAGCAGGCTGAATTTCTGGGCCAAGTTCGTCTTGAAGGACTTCACCTTTGAGAAGGCGTACGGGAATTACGACGCCTACTTCTCCCGCTTCTACGGCCCGTTGCTCTTCACCTTTGGTGTCATCAACCTCATCATGGGATCAATCAACTTGGCTATCAACACGGAGAAGGGTGGGTGGAAGAAGCCGGATTGGAAGCACCTGTATGACGTTGGCAATGTGTTTGCCATCATTGTGCTCGTCTTCATTTGTTGTGTTGGCCTGACCTTGGTCAGTTTGTTTTCTTTCATGGCGCTCAAGGAGATCATGTACGCCGTCAAGGAGCACCGCAGAAAGTTGGAGAGAGCGCTCGGGATCTTTGATGAAGAGAAAGGCAAGACGTCTTGAGTTCATATGAGAAGATGTACGACTTTTGGAAGTTTGATTGGCGTTTTCGAGGGCATGGCTGAATGTATTTTGTATGCTGTATGGTTTATATTCTCTTTTGTGTCTCAGCCCTTTTTTTCTATAGCATGAGCCAGGTGGCCACTACTAAACATTTCAATTCGATATGCCTTGACAGAAACCTTCATATTAAAACGGTATTTCGTGTGAAATGATGGCGGGCATACAGCTAAGCAGTCCTACGTACCAACGTGTGGTTGATGACCAGGCCTCGTGCCTGACAGCAGCCGCTAGCATTGAAGGTACCGCAATGGCTTTTATGCCCACCTTTATCGAAGTCAACTATCATTTGCTATACTGCAGAGGAATTGAATTTGTCACTATGCTCCTGAAGTGACTGTTGTAAGCGGGGCCGCCCTGGTTGCCAGCGAGGGAGAAACAGTGGGGCTATGGACAGCAGTTACGTGGTGACGCGGTGATATCACCAAGAGATCGTTGCTGCGTCGAATGAGGGTAATTTCAAGTTTTCCATTGTAACGGAGCCTTACTGAAAGGAACCTCCTGGCCTGAGAAGATGGTGTCCGTCTCCTAAATCACGGTTGACATTAGGGAAAAGGACACTTTGGCATTGTTATTGTACCGCTCAAACACTCCTCACACCTATGGAAGTCAAGAACGTAACGTGAATTCTCTCTGTAAAACGAGAGTTATCTTGTGATTTGGTCTATCAAAGCCTGACTATCTGAACCCCCCGAGTAGCCAGTACTCTACGGGAGCTTCACACCCTGAGACCAGTTGAAGAAGTTGTCCTTGTCCCAAATCTGCTTGACACGGCGCAGCTCGTTGCTGTTGTCCCCGTAATAAGCCTCTTCGTAGGGCTCCGACGCCAGCTTTCCATCGGGGAAGTTGACGTACGCGGCCTTCTTCTCCAAAGAGAAGGACCTCAGTCTGTCCTTGACCGTCTCGAGGAAATCCCTCATGTCCTTCTCCATGCGCTTGTCCTCCCACACAACTGTGAGGTAGGTGTGGTATGCGGCTTCGCGCCAGAAGAAAGCCGTGTCAGTGGGGTTCTTCTCCGCCGCCTTGCCGCCAGCGTGCATCCAGGTGACAGAGAACTCGGCTTGCTCGCCCGAGAAGCGGCTGCGGAAGTTCTTCATCTCTTCTCTGATGATGGCAGTGATTTGTTCGACGTTCTTGCTGTCGTTGCCGAAAGCGAAAGAGCTGTTGACGCTGTAGGACTTGTTCTCGGGCAAGAATCGCTCAATTTCCTCCGACCACTGAGCCTCCAGCGTCTCGTTCAGGAACCGAGACGACTTCTGAGGCAAGCAGCGTTGCTTAAGGCCGTTCGCCAGCTCCGGCTGCTCGACGCAGCTGTCGACAACGCCATCGAACTCATCCTTGCTGCCATCAAAAGACGCAACGAGGCGGACCTGATCGCCGCCCGTCTGCCTCAAGTCGCACATCCACGTGCTGTCAACCGTCATGCCGCTCGGCCACTCAGCCGAATAGACCTTGTTCATCGCCGCAACGACCCCCTCGTCCTCGCTCGGAATCGACCACTGTACGCGGCCACCGACGACGTCCTCGCCTTGCAGCTCCTGCACCCGCAGCTTCACCCGCACCAAGACACCAAAGTTACCCGCGCCCGCACCGCGCAGCGCCCAGAACAAGCGGCCCGCATCCGACGCCGGGTCGTCATTCTCACCAACAGTAACCAGCGCGCCATCGGCCGTCACGACCGTCGCCTCGAGCAGGGCGTCGCTGCCGAGCCCGAAGCGGCGGGTGAAGGGCCCGAGGCCGCCGCCCAGCGTGAAGCCGCTGACGCCGACGGTCGGGGCGCGGGCGCCGGTGACGACGAGCCCCGCGGGCAGCGCCCGGTAGACGTCTTCCCAGCGGCAGCCGGCGCCGACGGTGACGGTCCTGGCGGCGGCGTCGAGGTCGACGGCGTTGAGCTTGCTGACGTCGAGGACGATGCCGCGCGAGGCGGTGGAGAAGCCGGCCCACGAGTGGAAGGCGCACTGGATGGTGACGGGGACGCGGGCGGACTTGGCGAGCGAGATGGTGGTGGCGACGTGCGCGGCGGATGTGGGCTGCGCGACGCAGTCGGGGCGCGTGGCGCGGAAGAGGAGGTTGGGGCGGGCGGTGCGGCGTTCGTATTCTGAGTGGCCGGGTGTGAAGACGGGGATGTTGGATGATTGGAGGGAGGTGATGGTGTCTTGGACGGTGGCGGGGGTGGTCCGTGTTGATGGGAGGGGCACGGTGTCGAGGAGGTTGACGGTAGCGGTGGAGGGCTCGTGCTGCTTCTGGCCGAGGTTGAAGGCAGGGACCTCGACGGGCTCGAAGAAGGTGATGGAGTCGGCCATGGTGATGAGAGGGGGTGTGATGGGTTTGAACTGTCAAAGTAGAAGGTTGGATGTGATTGAACTGTTGAAGTGATAAGGTGTGATGTGATTGATATGGATGTCAAACAGGAGGTCGTGAGTGGAAATCAAGCGATATTTATGGCCCGGCGCACGTAGCATACCGTTGAACATGTTTTGTCACGACTTCTCTTCCCATCCGAAATGAGAAGTGTCCTACGTAGTACGGCGGTTTCAGCAATGTTCCTTTTCAGCTGCCGCGCAGCGATAAGGTACGAGGCCCCTGTGCGATAAGGGGACAGCCAATGGGGTGGTGCGCTAAAGCTGGGATCTGCGGGTAGATCCGTCGATCCCAGATACGCTTCCCGCTTAGGCTCGATTTATTGCATCATCCGGCTTGATCCAGCCCAGCCATTCTTTACGCTAGCCATCGGCTACGTAGGGATCAACAAGCGTTCCAAAAGGGAATTCCGCCACGTGTCAACAGATTAGGGAATCCCCATCCGGTGGCTCAGTGTTTTGTTTAGGGCGGGGGACATTTCAGCTCGATCGCCCGTACCTGGACCCACCCAAGATCGTGAGTACAGAGCATCTCCACGAAGATCGAGCGACGTTGATTGGAGAAGCGCGACGCCGTAAATGGGAATTGGCTACCCCGCTCCATGCTATGTGGGGTTACAGGCGCTTAGAGGGTTTCACCGCCAACTTGTTATCCGGAGAATGCATTGTTCTACATGTTGCAGGCGCTAGGACGCGTCAATTTCCAAGCCTCAATGCCATTGCTCCGCAGTAACTGCTTATCACACACGTCGATTGGACAATTACCCTAGCTTCAAACGCATGCCTGTCACATTTGATATACGTCAGACTCGTTTGGCATGATGCCATGCAGGTATACGTACCTCTTTCCTGCTTCGGTGAGTGCGTTCATTCTCGTGACGACGGGACTTGATGGCCACGGGATCCTTCGACGTGAACTTCTTTGGAAGCTGCATTGCACGGCCTGTGGTACCGGTACGGGAAGCTTGTTCCCTCGCAGCCGGCATCTGCTCACTGGTCAGACACGGTCTGAACCCCCAGAGCCCGGTTCATCATCGAGGCTCAGGCTCGTCTGTTTTGCCTTTTCCTTCTCGTCGTGGACTGACTCGGGGAGCCCTTCCGGGTCTGCCAAGTGAACAACGGTTCTCGAGTTCCTATCAGGGCACCAGAGCGCCGAGGCTCCGAGCACGTGAAAGCGTTGCACGCGGAACGGGAGCGGCTTCTCAAAGACGTCGCGGAGTTCCCACCGCCCTCTCAATCACCGCTGCTGTTACTCTCTCCTGCAACAGCGAGCGGCACCGCAGAGCCTAAAGTCCAGCAACAGCAGCGGAAGCCGAAAGCCAAATCAAGACCGACTCCGCCGGCGAAGAGGAAGACGAATATGGAGCAAAGCTCACGATATCTCGCAAGCGGTTCGTGGTCGTCCTCACCACTATGATGCATGGTATGGGAATGAAGATGGGGAGGTGGTTCTCCTGGCGCATGGAGAGTTTTGTTTTGGAGGCGGATGGGCTGGGGAAACGGGATCGGTGGGACTGGCATACTGTTTTTCTTTGGCTTTACGTAAGTCGTGCATGTGGCTGTATTCCGTTTGTTCGGATAGGATTCGTTAGTCTACTACTCCGACTGATTTTCTGTGCTTGTCAGCTATCCCTGTCTCTTTGAGTTCATCTCATTACGTAGTAAACGCACTGCTGTGTAACTCTTTTACAGGAACCAAACCATGACCATTTCGGGCTCAACCGTAGTAGACGCCACCCCAGAGAGATACCGCCGATTAAGGCTCCTTACCCTAAGGCTTCATGGCCCGGAATCTCTCCAAGTAGAAGCCTAAAGCCACCCGTGGAACTAGTTCGTCCGTGTGAATTTCGACCACACTCGCAAGGCGCCCAACAACTAGATGTCACTTCCCCACCTTCCAGTAGCGTAGATGTCCATGATGATGGCACGCTTCGCACCTTTCTCTCCCACAGTCTCTCTCAGTCTCGTAGATGCGCGTGGATGGGCCAGGCGGACGGGTACCCGTATGCTGCGCTCTAGGACGATCAGTTGCAAACGGACAGTCTCCAAGATTTTCCACCTTACAGTCACTCCCGCTCCCTCCCTCACAACCGCCTTTTCCACCCCCCACCTCACCGCAACCTTTCTCCAACCCATACCACCCCATCAACAATGCCCGCCAACCCCCCACCACCGCAGTGCACCGCCCTCTCCCCCACTGGACACCGCTGCCTCAACCACACCCCCCGCAACGCCCTCAGCCTCTGCCCCCTCCATCTCCACCCCAGTAAGCACACCCGCCCTCTCTTCCCCACCCCACCCCCCTCAATCCGCCCCTCTAAACGCCTAATCAACCCCTCCAGTCTCGCTCCCCCACCCAGCCGCAACAAGGCATCAGACCCCGCCCGCTGCCATCCATCCCGCCCAACGCGGCGGCGGCGGCGGCGGCGAACGAGACTCCGACTCCGACTCCGACCACGAAACCCCTCCGGCCGCGGCGGCCAGATCGCATGACGCGGACGTCGACGAGGAACGAAGTGGCGCGGGCGTTGCCAGCAGTGGCGGTGGCGATAGCAGAGACGGCGGCAGGGACGGTGGGGGCGGCCGGACGCTTGTGTGGCGGGTTTGTTGTGGAAGGGGAGCGGGGGTGGTGGCGGGGCCAGCGCCAAGATGAGAGGGAGGAGGAGGAGGAAGAGTTTCCGAAGAGGATGGGCTTGTCGACGGCGAGGGTGACGGAGACGAAGAGCGGGAGGGCGTGGGGGTGGAGGGGGTGGAGGCGCGTGAGGGAGGTGGCTTGCATCGTTATGTAGGTGCGGGGCTGCTGTGGCGTAAGGGCGCGCTCGGTGCGCGGGGGCTTTGGCGGGAGGGAGCGTGGAGGGGGATGCGGTGGAGGCGCGCATGTGGGTTGAGGGTGCAGTGGCGCGTGGGGGTGTGTTGAATGATGAGTGGTTGATGGTGAAGGTGTTGCGGACGTGGTCTCACGTGTCGAGATTTCTTTTTCTTTTTGTGCTTCGTAAGGCAGGCGCTGAAGTGTAGGAACAGCGACCGGAGCAGTAGTAGCGGTGGATTGTTTACAGTGTCACGTGGTGTCGCGCCTGACGTACAACTTATACGCGACACCTACGCGCGCTTTCCAAATACGCCCTCAATCGTCATCTTGAGAAAGCTCGCGCGCCCCAGGTTCGATCAGTCCCTCCACCCGTGCACTAACGCGCCCAGCTTCCGTAGCTTGACAGGCAACTGTCCACACCGCTCTCCCTTCCAGAACTGTCTGCAACGCCAGTCAAGGCAGACAAAGGGCCCCGAGCGCGAGAACTCGATCATTTGTCCACATTGCATAAACTACCTCACCCCTGTACCTCCACCAGACACGACCATCGTCGGACGGCACAGAACACGCGGCTCACCGGCTCGGCTCACCGCATCCTCTTGCTCCCGCCCCAGTCGCCACCTGCCCGCGCCTATTATTGAGTTCGTTGGTTATACTGATGACCTGCATGGCATTTCCTCCAACGGCTGTTTGTGCAGGTTTCGCTGAGATTCTGGCTGGTTGGCGGCCTGGGGAAGGTCGGGTATATAAGAAGTGTCGAGCTGGACTGCCGTCTCTGGGGAGACGTGTTCGCCCACGGGAATACCCGCCTTGGTTAACATGGAAGGTGAGACGTATTCTTTGTCTAACCGATACACCTTTTGTGGGGTATTTTGTTTCAACCAGCTCGTCGTTTGAGCCCGCTCAGATTAAATGCCATCACCATCCAAGAGTGGTTTGAACCTGAACAATGTGCTCGCCGAATCTAAAACCGATGACCCGTCCTGATATATGGCACCAGGCACTGAAGCGGATCTTCCATGAGGGACCACGGCGACGGCCGTCCCCAGTTTCGCCCAGGCAAGCCCTCGCCCACACACTCCGACCTCCAACCCTAGTGGAGAGCTGACAAGGCTACGAGGGAATGAGCTCGTGAGGCAGTGAGGCAGTGAGGCAGTGAGGTAAAAAATCGCGGAAACAAAAAGGCATTGGCTGAGACTCGAACTCAGGTTCTTTCCATACATCACATCAGGAGTTACCCTGGAACCCATGGGGCCATGTGGACTTGGAACGTGCTACCACTGCACCAACAATGCTGGTAGAGAAAACACCTTCCACCAATCATATAGCAAAAGGGTCCTTTGGGCATCCACCCCCCGAAAGGGAAAGCCGACTGCTGCCATCGTCCCTGATTCTGACCAGGACCGCGAGAGCGGTCCTGTTGGTCCGTATCGACCTGTCATACAGATGGAGAGGGACTGCCAAGGTGAAGCTTCTTGAATAAACAGGCAAAGAGTGGCAGACGGGACCTGTCTCTCACTTTACTTGAAGATTCTCACCAAGATATCTCACTCGCTGATAGCCATACGCGAGATTTCTCTCACCCGCGCGCTCATCCGCTGCCTTCCACCGCCAGATCGGGTGAGAACGACGGCGACGGGCTCCTGCATATCGGCGCGCCCACACAGCTCGACACACCGCACGATGAAAATAAAAACCCCACCATCAAACATCCCACCTCTCAATCTTGCTCCCTCCAACACCCCATCAACTCATTCTATCACCCGCCCACTAAGCTGACCGTAGCCGAACCGTCACCATGTCGTCCAGCAAGATACAGACCCAGACAACCCAGCCCCGGTCCCAGGCCCGCACCAAGACCAAAAGCACCAAGACCGCAAAATCCGCGAAACGCACCGGCTACGCCAGGCACAAGGCGGCCGCCACAAAGAAGCGCGACCCGACGCCGCAGCGCCTACCCATCCCGCCACCTTCGCCACAACCGCAGAAGTCCGGAGTGCGAGCAATCATGCGGGCCGCCAACGCACACCAGTTCAAGCCGCCGCTGTATCCGGACGAGTGTGCCGTCTGCTTCGACGAGCTGGAGCTGGACATGTGGTACACCGTGTGCCGTGAGTCCGACCGAGATCCTTTTTCCCGTCCCTCGGCTTCTCCACGCAGCTCCTCGCCTGCCTGGCTGGCTGGCCGATCGGATCGATGCTTCACCCGCCATCCTTGATCTTTTCTCTGCCGTTTCCCTCTTCTTCTACAAAGGTTCCTTCGGCTGACTCGAAGCGGCCGCGTCGGCTGTGTTCCTGCGTGTCCAAGGCCACACGTTTTGCCGCGACTGTCTCGACCGCTTCATGGCGGATGAAGATGCCCGTTGCCCCGTCTGCAGGTACTCGCTGTACTTCTTCGACGTCCGTGGCCAGCCGGTGGAGAGGAAAAAGTCCAAGTGAGGCGGGATAGCCAGGAACAAGTGGGTGGTGCGACAGACATGAAAACGACAACGCTGGAAATGGAACGACAAACGGGAGAACTCGGCTACACGGAGCACATTAACGTCATGGACATATTGCGGCGGGATTGGATATTGCGCGCTCTGTCTCCATGCTTTGGTGCAGGCGCGGGAGGCTCCGATAGCAAGGCTTGAGCTTGCTGCTGCGTAGAAATAGACGATGATCGTTGGCTGGCAAAGCTCGCCTTCTGGAAATGCCGTGTGGCTTTGGTCATGCGATGGCGCTTTCCGCTGAGACGAACGTTCAGACTACGATACCATTACGACGGGAAAACACCATACCCGTCTCTTCCCGGCGGATATGAGCATCTGAAGCGTAAATCTTGGCCCATGCGTTGTATGGCAGGCATGAGAGCGGTGTGGTCTCTGTCGGGAGCGAGACTTACCTTCATACGACGCACATTACCCTGGAATCGTGTCTCAACGCTATAGCTTCCTTCCACCCACTACCTCTGACCCACCAATAGCGGTATTAGAACTGCGCCACCAACCCGCTGCTAGCTGCTCTGAAACTGACCATCGGTATGTCAACGTCTGTTGGTACCGTTGTTGTCCTCGAGAAGCGCTCCCTCTCATGACATCAGTGCACTTCCGAGACCTCGGCCCAGACTCCTTCTCCGCCGCGGTCAGTTGATTGAGACAAGTGGTGGAACCAATGCATACGAATACCAAATGGTTCGATGATTTGCGGCGGGAGATTGACATATATGATGGGACAGATGAGCTCAGAGCTCCAGGCGCCGCTTCCTGCACTGTCCCTGCCGCGTCGCACCGGCGCCGTCTCGTGTTGGCTTCATGATGGACTGTCCTCTCGTCGCAGAACAGTATGTAATGGTGGACTGTAAGGTATATGATGTGGCAAGGAAATGGGAAAAGCCGGCACGTGCCTTTGCGGTAATGTGATTTTTGGGAGGCGGGCAAAGAAGCTGGTCAAGTCGTGACTTGATGATCTTCGTGCTCATGCCAGGGGCGGAATTTCTTGTCCTACGAAGCACTGACGTTGCCTTGCCCGAGCCTGTGGACGAATCTCTCTCGGTAGTTGCCGGCGGACGTTGTCCTGGACTGCAAAATCTGCAGCTCTGATCAAGCGAATCACGGTCCGGGATTGTGGCCAAATTGCAGAGCTACAGTCGAGAGAGTCAACGCGGGACTCGGTGGAGTCTCGAAGCAGGGGCCAACTCTGTGCAAGCCTGTTATTGAAATATAGCAGATTTTCAATATCGAAAAGATAGTGTTCATGACCTAGAAAGCCTTGACTGAAGGAAGAATCTCTGATATCGGTACAGTAGCTTTGGAATATGTTATCCTACCCCTTTAAAATATGGCTAAAGATACTAACATGCTATTGGTGATTGTTGAATGGGATTCCGTTAGACACCATTCATTCACAGTAATCGACGTCTTCACATACATTCAGCAAGTTTTGTCAGCACGTCGTCAACAAGATCATGCTTCAAAAGAACAAGCCCTCCTCTCAGTTTGCCGTTTCCAGCCCACCGGACTCCACAAGGATATAAACGTTATACGATACTTCAACAGAGGTTTTTGACGAAGAGCCATGCAGACAAATCTTTTATCCATCATCAACACAGGAAAGCCATCAACAAAAGAAACCTCCAACGAGGTAACGCCGGCGAAAGAGACTCCCAATGAATGAAACACGTGTCGCATGACCAGCCCCGTGCATGCTCAAACCACACACACCGCCCCCGAAATCTCCCTAATCAACACACTGACGGTCGCTTGCTTATACTCGGCTACCCTCGCAATCTCATCCGCCAGCACCAGCGCATACTGTGTCTCCTTATCTCCGGTCAGTGGAGCGCCCGCCCCGCCGTTATTGCACGTTCCTTTCCCTTTCTGCTGCAAATCTTCGACTTTGCACTGGCACTGCGTGTGGTGGCTATGGTTGGTGACGGCGCCAGGCGGGGGTGGAGGAGGCTGGCGGATAGGTTCGGGTCGGTGAGGGGGAATCGAGGTGGGGATCGGGGTGTTGGGGGCCAGGCGGATGAGGAGGCGGTCGATGCGGTGGACATGGATGGTGTAGTAGAGGGTGTAAAGGCGACGGAGGTCAGTGAAGGTGGTGGTAGAGCTGTGAATGGTTTGAGCGGTTAGTATCGATGGTATTGCAGAGCGGGGGTGTAAAGGGATGGCATGACTAAGGGCGTTGAATAAATGGGGAAGAGCGTCTTCATGGATTAGAGTCGAGGTGTGGTGCCGGTGATGAAGGGCTGGCTTTTTTTTTCTCTTCACCGAAAAAAGATGGTTCAAGGACTGGGTGGGAAGAAGGCCAAGTAAAAAGAAAAAAGGAAAAGGCCTCCCACTTACCATTTACTTGCAAGGTCCATCAATGACAGTGAGTTCACCCCGGGATCACAGTCCTCGGACCAGGACGCACCCTCCATTTCACTATCAGAGTCTTCTTCACTGTACTCCTCTGAGCAAACGCTGACATGACTGCTCGAACCGTCGTTATCAGGTCCATCCCCATGGTCGAGACCAAGGCGTTCCGTGGAGTCACCCAGTTTGAGGCCTATGTAAGCATTTTAGCAAGGATACTCACCAGCATCGATTGAGACCAATCGAAAAGGTAAAGGAGGAGAGAGATGTGAGCTTACTCCCAATCCAAGCCATTCTGATCTCTCCAAAGGGGACATCTGGCTCGCTTATCTCTCCGTCGGTGAACATGGAGCTGATAGTGGTGGCCACATCCTCAAGGTCTCTCAACGCGGCTTGCATCCTGTCCTCATCCGTGGCCGTGCTGAGATAGACAAGGGAGCTGGCCGCGCGGTCCCGTAGTCGCACAAGCGGTGCGGCGTGACGGGCATGGATGGTGGTCAGATCATCTTCGTAGATAGGGCGGTCCATCTTATTTGGTCGTCGGCAGGTCCCTTCTGAGGTTGGACAATAGCTTCGAAATTCACAAGCGGAGCGCCAATGCTATTAAGTACTCCAGGAAAAGCGTAAGATTGAGAGCGACGCCCATGGCTTTATCGTGGCGCGTTGCTGGTTCGAGGCGAATCGAGGTCTATCGAACCAACACAACGAAAACGCGCTGCTGGGGCCGAGTGATGATTGATGGTGGGACCGCAAGGGCATACAGACCGGCGGTTGTGCGTTGGCTTTATGCGGGCAGCCGTCTGCCGTCCCTGTGGGACGCTTCGTGGCATATTTTCTTTTGTATTCCCTCTGGAGCAGGGTGAAGTTGGGATTTTCGTGCCGCGAAACGGTGGATGCGGCTGAGTGAACATTAAATCTCGGAAGGGACGGCCCGCCATGGTAGAAACGCATTGTAGCAGATGCCGAAAAGCTTGGTAGTGGTGGTGTGTGCTTCGCAGCGTTGGTCTTTGGGCCGCATAGAGACGAAGGGTTCATTGCCCGTGTGACGCCACTCGACAGTCCTGATGGTGCCTGAGCCTCCAAGCAGAGACTCTCCGGGGTCTGTCTGCTGAGGAACGTCTGTGTGTCTTCGGTGGCCGTTGCACTGTGCGACGTGGTGTTGACCGGTACTGGCGATCGGGCCGCCTGCAAGTAAACCACGGCCCGCAAGCTGACCAGAGGATCAAGATGCAAATAACCTTTCTTGGACGCCGGGCTGTTGCGTCGGCGCATTCCTGCACGATTCGTGCACGCTGGCACTCGTCGGGTGAGATGGCTGCGGGCGGTCGTGGAACGAAGACATGAATCATTTCTGCAGCTCCTTGCTTCTTTTCTTCTTGCCTTCTTTACCAAATGTCGGCGAGACGCGGTGCGATGTGCCGGTCAAGGCGGATCGGCAGATTGTAGTACCGCCAGCAGGTCTGGCGCGCAACGATGCGGATCCGACGGGCTGCAGACGCGGTCAATCTGACCGAGTTCCCGCACGGCGCACATCGGCCCACCATTGCAGCGCCAACCATGGCGGCTGATCAGCAAGCCCCGGTCTTTGTTACAATGCTCAGAGGCTCCAAGCCCAAAACGTAGCGAGTAACGACGGTTGTCGCATGTGACACAGCTTCGAAACAGAGAGCGCATTGAATCGCCAGGATACTGCATCGGTCAGGGTCTGTTGTTATCTGATCACCTGACGTGTGCGACAAGAGGAGCGACTCACAGGGCTTGCCTGCTGTGTCAGCCGCCGACCCGGCTGCACCGATGCAGCTACTCGAATCCAAATCCGACCGGAGGGGAAGGAGATGTGAGGACTTGGCGTAGAGTAGAACCTGGGCCGAGGTTGGACGAGTTACGCCGGCTTGGCCTTTTGTTGTACTCCCAGTGGTCACAGAACCTAGACAGCCTAGCCACCTCGGCTTTGCCATTGGATGCGCTCGGGCCTGGATGGTGTGCTCTGTTCGGAGCAACATACACTTCTCCAGCCGCACCATTGCTGAGGACACGTATTCGAAGCTGAGTGATGTATAGTGACGTGGTTGGAAGGTCTTGTAGTAGTCTGAGGCATCACGATCGAATCTTGTACAAGACGCGATGCACCCTCCTACAAGAGCCGCAACGGTTTTGATGAGTTTTTAGCGCATGGTGAAGTTGTATAAGGATGTCATCTGGTGATGGCTTGTGGAACAAGTGGCGGGGTCCACTCATTGGTCCGCAAAGTGGGACTTCAAGGCAGTACCATGAGCGGCCGATATGACCTATCATATCCAGCACTGCTAAAAGATGAAACACAACGTGGAAAGTGTCTGCCGAGGCGCAGAAGGTTCAAAGCTCGAGGCGTCACGGTTCGCGCTTGACGTATGATGGGTCGATGGAATTTGTGTGACTGCTCTCTATAGACGCCAAGGTTGACGGCATAGAGCTGTGGGCCATGGAAATCGAGGGAATGGGCTGTGCTCCAGGGACAGGCATAGTAGGGCGGTCGGGCAAGCTGCAATGACCCTTGTCGGGTTCCATGTCGATCTGTCGCGCCAAGATTCCATCTTTGTTGACAGCTGTCAGCGGGAGGAGCCGCGCGTGGAACGACCACCAGCATAGCGCCTTGTTGATCGTCTGCAGATTCGAGATGATCAAAGTCCAGTCGGACTGTTAGCGAGGGGTACTGGCAAGAGGAGCAGAAAAAGCAGGCGTTGATAACGGTACTTAATTGTGGGTCAACCAGACCGAAGGTTGAAGGCCTGCGGGAGAATTGGCTCCAGAACACGGACCAAGGGGAGCTCGGAAGAGTGGAAGCGGTGATGGAGATGGATGTGAGTTGTGTTGGCCGGGGCGATCAGGGTGTGTGAGGGCCGGAGGAGCTTCCAGTCCTAGGAGAGAAGGCAACAGGTACAGCGTTGGGCTGCGGACAAGAGCAAGGAGATGTGCGGCAAGCGATGACAAGGACGTGGTCGCGAGAATCTCCCAGCAGGCCCTGTGAAAATCATGCTGGCGCATTGGCTGGGCGGATGCAGGCGCGGCTGCAGGTCACTCCCGAGTTGTGGCTCGACCTGCGCGCCAATGGTCTCGGAAGGCGGACGGTCGCGAGCGGGAACGGGCCGTCGGCGGCCATGGAGGATTTCGAGATGGTTGACGCCTAAGCGCGGGGCAGCTGGAGCGGCGCTGGCACAAGGCAAGACAATGGCGGCGGTGGGTTCGGGCTGAGGCGGGAGTGGAAGAAGCTGCGAGCAGGTCGCGACTCGCGTCCAGGCAAGGAAGGCCCCGCGCAACCAGACGGGCAACTTAGGCCTCCCACGGTCAGGAAGACGTCAAAGCTGAGCTAGGCGCGCGATTAACGCGTGTAGGCAGGATGATCTCCCGCGCTGGCACGCTCCGGGCTGAGAGACACAAGGGGTCGCGGTCGCGGTGGGCATGGCCGATGGGAGCTAGGGAGCATGGGAGCATGGCCCAACGGCGGTGCAGGAAGCGACAGCCCTACCTACTGGTTGCCGCCGCGCCTTGCTTCGCAGCTTCGCAGCTCCTCTTCGACACGCCCAACTCTCTCTCCACCGCCGCGCCCATCTTCAACCAGACCCACCGCTCCACACCCCAGCAGCTCGCCTCGAAGCCCCGTTACAGCACAAGAGTCGGCCATGCGTGCTACCGCTGAGCCCTGCTCTGCTCTGATGCGCCCACCGCTCGAGGACCAGCCTGCAGCTGCACCTCGCCGTCTCTTCCCTCAACCCCCAGCCCCAGAAAGCCCTAAGCAAACAATGGCCTACCCCGAGTCACGCCAGCCGTCTCGCTCTCGTCTTGCCGTACAAATTCTCTCGCCCGCCCGCCCGCCTTCGCTGTCGGTGTCGCTGTCTCTTCACGTCACCGATCCGCCCGCGGCGAAACATGGTAGCCCGCCCGAAGGCCTGCTTCTTGACCAAGCTCCGCCCAGCTGACCAGCCACACAGCAGCGTCAGGAGCCACACCCCCAGCCACCTCCGCCTCCGAGGCCACGTCCGCAGTACCAGACCGACCAGCACCACGCCCAGAACCGGGAATCTCACAAGTCACGGCGCGACAAGCAGCACCAGCTATACCACCAGTGTCAGCAGCATCTGCAGTCACAGCAGCAGCAACCCTTGCAGCCACAGCATCAGTTGCCATACTCTACGCCCGAGTACCCGCAAAAGCGTAGGGAAAAACCAATCATATCCCCGTCGCGCTCGCCGGCCCAGGTTTGCCACTCACCCCGCCTGTGATACCATCCTCGTCCTGACCTGTTCACAGTCCAAGCCGATGCCGTCTCCGAGCAATGACCCAAATTTCTCTTACTCATCCCTCATGAGAGGCCAGAACACCTGGGAGCATGAGGCAGGCAATGAGGACATTCAGATTGACGAGGAATGGATCGAGCGCAATGGCGCCTTCGCTTGCATCTGGGCCTTGACCTACAAGCTGCCCACCAAAGAGTCTGAGGAGATGGCCATGATGACACCGCCCGGCCGCAGGAAGAAGGCCTGAGCAGCTGCCCATGGTAAAGACGGCGTAATTCAATTCAAAGAGCCGTTCGAAAAATGTGGAAGTGAAAGACAGCGCTGAATATATGGGAGTTTTTTGGACAATGGATATACCTGGACGGAAGCCGGATACTGCGCCACCTGCCTCAGCTGTACGGTGCTCGACCTTACCGCATTGGAGTTGATGAGTTTGGGATCGCTTAATTTCAGACGATGCTACTTTTTCTACACAATACCAGATTCACCAGCCCTGGGGCTTTGATTTGATATCCTAATGCCATGCCCTGTCATCCTGATTTGTCAAGTTGTTAATGTGACATCCATTTCGCCGTACCAGTATAACTTTTTCCTTGCCCCCCCACTAACCGGGTGCAACCTACGACGCAGCGGCTGCAAGGGGTGCCCCAATGATGCCTTCTGCTACCTTTAGCCAAGACCACCTAAGCTCAACGGCCGGCTTTACCTTACCGTACCGACTCGGCAGTCGGCAGTCGGCACGAGCCCGTTAACGCTGCCACGACAAACCGAAGCCAGAAGTCACGGCCTTCGCCTCCGCCATTCCGATCATAAACACAACCCACACATCCCACATTAGCCCCGGATCCAGCACCTCTATTGCTGAAGATGGAAGATGTAGTGACCAGCTACAGGGTTCACGGGAAGGATGCGGCTCCAGTGACATAGACGGCCATCATGGGTCGTCAGTCGAGCACTGGAACCCGTGCCTATCTTTTCCAGGAAAAGACTCCTCTCTTCCCAAACCCGTGCCACCCCCAGCCTCCTGCAGTGGGTGCTTAGATGAACCCAGTGCCCGCAACGTTTCAGCCCAAGCCAATGAACACCGTACAGCCTTTCCACTCGCGATTTTCAAATTCCAGTCAACACAGCCACGTCCTCCCGCTGCAGTCTCCGCAGGCCGTCATCCCGAAAAGAGCACCGACTCCCACAGACCATCCCTCCCTCAAAGCCCCCAGCACACCAACCACCTTCCCAGACGCACCCAAAGCAACCGCAAAGTCGTTCCCGCACGATCCAAGACGCCACGCCAGCCAGCATCGCCCCCCTCCGTCCAGCTCAGCCAGCCAGCGGCAGCCGGAAGCGGCCAGCCCACCAAACACCTGCCGCCCCGCACCACTGCAGCAGCCACCAACGTGCCACAGCGCCGCCTACCCCTCCCCCCCTCATCGCCCCGCTGCGCCTCGTCGGCTCTCCCCGAGCTTTCGCCAATCCCGACATCCGCGCCCAACTACCACTACCTGCCGATCGCCGTATCCGACCCCGCCGCTTCGTCCGCTCCGCAGTAGATCGACCATAGGGCCCACGGCGGCGACTACGAGACGTCGGCGGTTGGTGGTGGAGCTATTGTGTGAGGAAGCGGTATGTGTGGGGTTAGATAGACATTGTCTGGTCAAGGGTGGAGAGAGGCGCCGGGGGGGATTGGCGGGTTGGTCTGGTGGAGGGGGATGGATGGCTTTGGGCGGTGCGAGAGTGAGCGCGGCTGGGGAGGCTGCGGTGAGGGGCGCTGTCTGGCTTGAGCTCGAGTGGGATTGGTTGCAGATACCAGGGGGGGTTGTTGGCTTGGGGTGTGCGGATCAAGAGCGGGGCTGGCGCCGGGGAGGGCGAGGCTGTAGAGTAGGCAACAGCGCCACGACAACCAGGCATCACCGAAGTATGTCTGATGCGTTGTTCGTCCTGCAGCCTTGTTCGTCATCACCCCCGCGATTGGGTGCGGGGGCAAAAGTTGCCCATCGCGTATTTTCAGCCTTGCATCCAAACTTGGGGGCCGGTTGCGCACATAAACGACCCGGCGGCACGAACGTGCTTTGTGATGCAGACGCGCCTTTTGGACTACTCGACTTTCCAGCATGGATATCCCAACTGATTCTGATACCACGGCGATGCCAGCGGCTACGGTCCAAAATCTCGTCCAGGAGGCTGACGACTCAGCCGTCTCTATGGAACCACAATATCTGGTCATCCATACAGTTGACTGCGAGTCGGATGGGGCACATGAAGCTCATCCCCTCTCAGCATCCTTCCTCGACCGTCCGAGGCTCTGGACCGGGGACAGCAAGGCGAGTGCGCTTCGTGGGAAGAGGCTTGTGGAAGACGTCAACAGCTACATTCAGCAACAGGAAAACATCTGTCTGGTGGTGTACAAGAACTATAGATGCGACAAATATCAGGACGAAATCAAGAAAGACTTCATTCGCACGAAGCTACTCAACCCCGACATGACCGTCTCCACCAAAGTCTGGCCCTTTTTGTTCACCTTACAACGCGACGCCAGGGAGGCGAAAGAGGAGCACGAAAGCATGGTCATTCTGTCCGATGAGCTCCGCGAGCTGCTCGAGGAACTAGATCCCTCCCTGGATGTCAGACTTCCACCTACTGCGCCTCCTCGATCCATGTCTCCACCGCCACGCAGAACCTTCATGCCCCCTCCTCCACCGGATCTTTACGGGCAAGAGCGATCGGAGATACTGTTGCGCGCCCCTTACTTGCGCCTCTACTACCAGCGAGAGGCCATGTCAAAGTACATAGCCGAGCACGAAGACGAAGCAAAGTATCAAGTCCTGGTTCTGAAGAAGTACTTGGAGAAAGAGCTGGGAAGTGAATATGCCGAGGCGGATGCGCTGTTCGCAAAGGGTCGTGTCTCGAAAAAGCATTTTGAGAAACTCTTCGGCCCAGGTCAGATTCTTGTGGCTATGGAGCAGAATCAACCACGAGCCTACAAGTGCACAGTGGTAGAAAGTCTCCCCCCAAAGTTGAAGCTCTATGGCTGGACTTGGGCTTTCGACGGACACTTCCTCAAACAAGACGACGTGCATATGGTGGAATGGCCATCAGCAAATGAGGACACGATCGACGTAACGGCCCTCGGTATTTACCCACTTCGATTTGACCAAACAGGGCTTGAAGAGCGCCTGAGAGCCAGGGGTGAGAAATTCTGGGGTCTTCGTTACCGCACGTTTGTGAGCTACAGCTCCAAAAGCCCCTCTTTTGAGATTCGCACGGTAAGGCTCCATGTTCTCTTATACTTCTTCTTATCACTTACGAACGGTAGACAAACTTGAGATTCATGATAGACATGAAGACGTACCAGCTTTTGCATGCTTTACATACCGCTGAATCAACAGACCGAGACACCTTGAGTGCTCCAGCGATGGCGGAGAAGAATCCACCCGGCGACAATTTCTCACTTCTTCTTCCTCCCACCATTCTGGGCTACGGCTTCCATGACAAGAAGTGGCGTGAGTAATGTCAACGTCGGTTGGAATATAGAGGCTGACGTTGAACAAGGTCCCTTGAATGTCTGCTCCATCGAAGTGGTTGACTGGAATACTACTGCATTTGAACGTCTGGTATTGGACGCCGAAAAGAAAGAGATCATCGAGGCACTGGTCACGGTGCACACAAAGACCCTGAAGTCCACAGACCTGATCGAGGGTAAAGGCAACGGCCTAGTGATGCTGCTCCATGGCAGTCCCGGCACTGGCAAGACCTTGACAGCCGAGTCGGTCGCAGAGCTTACCAAGAGACCGTTGTACCGCGTAACATGTGGCGATATGGGCACGAATCCAGAAGCAGTGGAGAAGTATCTTGAATCCGTTTTCCACATCAGCACCATCTGGGAATGTGTGGTACTCCTTGATGAGGCTGATGTGTTTTTGGAAGAGCGCTCAGACGCCGATTTGGAGAGAAACGCTCTGGTGTCGGTTTTTCTTCGAGCCGTCGAGTACTACGACGGAATACTCATCCTAACCTCCAACCGTGTCGGCAAATTCGATGAGGCTTTCAAATCTAGGATTCAGCTTGCCGTCCATTACCCCTCCTTAGGAGAAGCCGAACGTCGCAAGATCTGGCGCAAATTCATCAGCTCCCTGGTTCCGGAAGAGCCTGACCGCGTAGTGTGCGAGCTGAACAGGCACATACACATGCTATCCCAGCAAGAACTCAATGGGAGACAGATACGGAACACCATCAAGTCAGCGCGCCAGCTTGCCTCATGGAAGAATAGGGATCTCTGTTTCGATCACTTCGAAACGGTTCTAAAGATTGCAGACGAATTCGAGAACTATCTGGTTAGAACGCGTGGCGGCTACACCGATAACCAGATAGCGTTGGAAGGTAATATCAGAGCTGAATAGGTACCAGAAAGAAACTTTTCCTACTCGCGATTGCTCCAGCAACAGCTTCGATTACTATTTCCCGTTTACTTTTCGCCCCGGTACATGTAGTAAAAGAATTCAGGCCCTACTAAGATATTAGCTCGCTCACAGGCTTTTGCAATCATCTACAAACATTTGATTGTTCCAATATCCATTGTGTCAAGATCCCTAATCATACGGTCGAGCTCCGGGACAAGTGTACTGTCGTCACTGGACATGATGGCATCCCGGAGACATGCAACCCTTACGGTATCCTCGCCGCCTCCGAGAATCCCAAAAAAACGGGCCATTTCGTCAAAAGCGCATGCGTCGAAAAGAATGGTGGAGACTAGGGTCACGAACACTAGAGCAGCAGTTGTTAGTACTCTTGGCTCTTGAATAATTGCATTGTGCTCACCTGTAATCGAAACCGGAGTCGGTTCGGGAGAGCCTTTACTTTTGATGAGCTTGTCTAACTCTTTGCGTAAGTTGGACTCAATCAAATCCGAAGGGAGTTCCCGGATATGGTACCATGCTTGTCGCCTGGTAAGAGCTTCGGCAGAGAAATTAGCATCCAACATCAAGGAGGGAGTTCACACATGGAGAAGATACCGTATCGAGGGTAGGCCTACTAAACACGTCAGTGGAAGCTTATGGCGGATTTGGGAATGAGGTTCGATTACCAATTGCCAAAACGTTTTGAAGATTTGAGCTACTTGTTGCTTGGTAACATATGCTGCGTGTAGTGCTTGAACAACCTGTCCTGGGGCCAAAGGACAACCAATGCCGGCGGAGCTGGTGACTTTCTTGCGAGTAGGTGAATCTTTGCGCGGGAACGGCGGGGGTGCGACGGGTGCGTTGTGAACGATGTGATGGTCTTGGCCCTTCCTCTTGTGTTCCGATCCAATCAGGATAAGAAGCTGCTGAACGACACTCTCATCCAGGATGGCTAGTAGCGAGGAACACCGGTTGAGTAGGTTGGAGTCAGATGCATCTTCGGAAATTGTATAGTTGACTCGTGAACGATTTCGTGCAGGGCCGATGGCTGAGCTCAAAGAGCCGTAAAGATTCTTTCCAGGGGACCTTGTGGGTGCTGAACTTGCAAATCCGGGTGTGAGTGGGGCACGTAGTCCCTGAGGCTCTTTCTGCGAAGTAGGTTGCGGTCGGGGATAGTACACTATGCCACCGAGTGTCGAGCTTGACAGCGCAAGCGATAGATTCGGAGGCCTGCCGTTCAAAGCAGAGAGCTTTGAGCTATCAGGCTGGCGTACTGCCATACCTTTTCTTCCGCGATCCCGGGCCGGTGGTTTGATTCAAAAGCCTGGCTGATGAAAGGCTGGTTAAGGACGCTTAGGAACAGTTTGCTGAGAGGCCACGAAAGTGGGGGTGGTTTTATTGCTGTTGCCTGCATCGTCGCGCTGGCTGAGGCCTTCTCTGCTGCACCTGGCTGAGTGCATGCATCCTGCATGGATCAGTAAGCGCTTACATCCTCCAGCCCCACGTTCGCATCAATCATTTCCCTCCACACGATGGACCAGGGGCGAGGCAAACCCAATCACACAGCCCATGGGATCAGCCCGATTAATTTCACCCTATCAGCCTCTTTTCCCTGTCAGCCAAGGCATACTTGGCGACCTTGCTGGTTTGCCTTCTTCGCGTTCGCCTGTTCTAGTCCGCATTCTTGAACCCCAAGCTGACGTAGCCCCACGCCACTAACACCTGCGTCCTCAGCCCCACTGCTTGGCTGGGTTAAGAAGAGGAAGGCATGCATCTCGCTCTCGTCTCGGCCAGCTCTATCACTTCGCTCGAGCCAGAACCACCGATGGCTGTCACCATCCAACACAGTGATCGAATAACTGCGGCGTATTGTCCTTCACCATCTCAACTGTAGGTATCTGTGCAGTCTGTGTAGTACTTAGATGTTGTTGTTCCTTTCCAATTTCCATGTAAACTTCGCGAGTAGGGTCGTTGCTCACATCACACAATAGAACGAACGATATTGCGCAGGAAGCGTACGAACACGCAGTCCAAACACTACAAACGGAATTCAAAGATGACCAAAAAAGCCTGGAAATGATATCCTCAACTAACACCATGGATGATGTCCAGCGGATAGTGCACCACACCCAAGCAGAGTACGACAAGCGAGGAAGAGGTCGCAAAAGGGTGCTGCAGTGGCTGCACAGTTTCTCCATCCGCATTGCCCATTACGAACGTGTCCTCGACGCATTGGCACAGCATCACCCGGAGTATGTGTCGCTTGCATGGGGGGCTCTGAAGTTGGTTTTTACGGTGAGACTCGAAGGCCCTCCGTTCTTACAAGATTACTTCTACTGACAGTACGCTAAGGGGATCATCAACCACCATGAGCTTGTGGAAAAGCTTGCCGAAGCTTTAGCCAGCATCGGTGACATACTGGCCCAAGTCAAGCTTACCGCGGAGCTGTATCAAACAGAAAGGATGGGACAAGCCATCGCGCAGCTCTACGTCTGTATCATCAAGTTCTTCGTCAAGGTGATTATATGGTACAAGCACGGCTCAGGAACTCGCATGGTACTATCCATCTTCAATCCTTTCGATGTTTCGTTCAAGAACACTTTGGAACAGCTCAGGGACGTTACAGATACAATCAACAATCTTGCCAATCAGGCCAACCAAGCAGAGGTTCGAGACATTCACGGCATAGTCAGAGAAGTTAATGGCAAGCTGCACGATGTTCAAGGCAGGGTACAAGACATGCGGGACACCATTCAAGATGCCCATGGGACAATCAAAGACGTCAAGGGTGAAGTCGATGGCATGAAACTTTGCCTACAGATGCTCATGGATAAATTCGGTCAGAACATGGTCGGCTGCGAGTACTACAGAGACGCTGTTGCCAAAGCTGTGGACGCTCGGATGTACCTTGCCAGCAAGCCTTTGTTGAACGTTCGAGACGGCGAACGTTTTGGGCAGTCCGTCCTTTCCCAACTGAAAACTTCGCTGGACCCTGAACGGAATCTCCACAAACAGCAGGTTCTGATCAAAAATCGCCAGAAAAAGCCCGGATACGTCTTCGACGTAGGCAGCGTCCTCGCCGCACTGAATCAGTGGAGCTCATGTCCAAACTCCTCTCTCCTGGTACTTCAATCGGCACCTCGAGCCAACGTTGCGGCCAAAAGTCTATGCGTCCAGTTAATTACCCAAATCCGTATTCATCACGACAACGTTTTCTACATCCTGTCTCAACCGGGCTCCGAAAAATATGAGCCCTCTATGGAGAACATTTTGAAGAGTCTCGTGGCCCAAGCCATAGGCCGGGACAGCAAGATCCTGCCGAGTTTGCACGATGGCTTCAACTTTGACAAAGTGATAGCTAGCCACTCTGAGGGAGAATGGCTGGAGCTTCTGGGCCGCATTCTCTGTAAGATTGGCATGTCCGTCATCATCGTGGAGAGCGAGGATCTCTACCGGCTTAACGGCGGCGACGAGGCGTGGCGGCTTCGCTTCCTTTCAACTTTCAAGCAATTGACACAGTACGTTGAAGCAGCTGGTGCGACTTTGAAAACGCTCGTGTTGAGCTTCGGCGCCTCCGCTCAGCAGGTAGTGGCTACATTGGGAAGTGGACCAAACATCCTACAGGCAACGGTTCATCGAGCATCTCCGTTGCCTCCTCGCTTGAAACGATCAGCTGCGGCAAGATCGGAGAAGCAACGGAAGAGTCTGCGGGCACTTGAGCTGAAGCTTTAGCGGGGCGTGGTTGCTCTGCCAAAAAAGAAAAAAAAAAACACCTTTCACTCTACCATCTCGTAACCGCAACACGACTGGTGCGTACCAGATCCTTGCTCTAATTTACAATAGCAATGAATTTCTTCTCTCTATACGAGATGTAGCATTGAATCTGTAATGTATGTACTTATTTCACTCATGCGCTTGATACGGTGGGCGTAAGCATTGCATAACGCAGTGAGCTGCTTTGCATACACTGGACCTTAAAGTACTGCCATTAGTCTCAGTAGGGACGTTAAAAGGGAGTCCTGGGGAATCTATTTTCGATATTCGCGTAAGCTTCGACCATCGGCTTACGCTTCGATGGAGACAAAATTTCCGGGCGACCACTCGTTACGGCGGGCGCAGCGGCCACTAACGATGAACCTCCGAGGACCGCCGCCTTTCGCTCGTCCGTCATCCACTCTTTACCAGGACAGCCGCCGCTGTCTCTAATTTGCCAGTGGCAATGATAATCCACAGCTAAGTAAGGCTACCATTGTACACAAGTATATGAAAATTCTGCCAAGATTGTATGCTGCCAAAGCCATGACTTTTAATATTATTTATGTACATCATTCTTTCTCTTGGAGCAGCGCGACCTTTCCAAGCAGGAAGTTCCTCCCGCATCTCGCAGAGGTAGCAGCACACGACTCTGAATTCCACGGAGAGAGGCCTTCCAGCCGTCCATGACCCTCATCCTCTCACGACCGCTTGCTCGCGAGCACCATTCCGATCGCCCTCATCTTACGAGTAGCTTCGACGTTCATACCGCACATATGTTTCAGCCATGGGCAAGTTATTATCCCCACCGGCCTTGCCGCAGCTAAGAACATTGTTGCGCTCTGGCTCTACATGTCCGCTTGAAGCTCACATTCTCAATGGTCGTCCAAGCCGGCCCTCTTACCTCCTTCGTCGAGAGCACCTACACGACGCTACGGTCATTCTCTCTCAAAACCAGGTCCATACCATACGTTTAGAAAGATCAATTCTCCATGATACGCACGATGTTCTGCCGGAAGAGAAGGAAGACCGAAGTTGACTGGACCAGTGTCGAAGAATTCATGTCCCGGTGAGCCGTGTTCTCCTCCCCGCGGTCTTCCACGCGCTTCTTGTTTCTAGACCCCAGATGATGCTGATGCCAAAGAAATATCGCACTCATCCTCAGAGTTCCACACCGTCACCCAGACGGCAGACCTGTGAGCCTGGGATAAGCGACTGTCAACAGAAAAGTAAATAGCGTCGGACAACCGCTGGGGCAGCAGCAGCAGCAACAACAACAGCGGCCAGCGCTGCAAGACAGCGGCATTGGCACCGAACAGCGTCAGACTCGCCCTCGAGAAACGGAACACAAGCTTCCGCACCTGACGATGCCCGAGGTGGTCGTCCAGATAAGCTCCGCACTACTCCCTTTACCGAAGTGGCGACGAGAGGGACGCTAGGGGACAACGGGACGAGGTCAAAGGCGGGCGTCGACTAGTGGCGACGGATGGAGTAGGTCGATCGGCAGGGCTAGCGGCCTGGAATGTGGTCTGACGGAAGTTCCTCCGGTCATACTCCAGCCCCCGAATACCCTGCTCTCTACCCGGCCCCATATCTGCCTCCGCGCCAGCACTTGGACTTGTCGTTACAGCCCGCCTACCCGATCTCGATCGCATGGCGCCCCTTGGCTGGCGTGGGCAGCTGATGCTGTCGCCGACACCGCCACCGCACCCTCCGTGGCCGTTGTTCGTACATTGTTACATAGCTTAAACGGGGCGGTAGGTGAAGCATAGCTGCGGGTGTTCCTGCAGTCTTGACGACTTTTTCTTTCCTCTTTGCGGCGGTGAGAGCTCTAGCCGCCGAAGTGGGCAGTCGTGCCATGTTGAAAATTGACTTCGTACGCCCGTTCAGACTTGATGCGCCTCGATTCCACAAGACAAGGCTCTAACCGAATGGCGGTTAGGGCGCCTGATTCACGCTGGGGTTATACATTGCAGAATTCCATCTGTGTTGGCGCTGCCGCGGATATGAATTCTTGAGTGGCTGGACAAAGGCCGGGAGAAGGTGCCATGACTGCACTGAGACGGACGCATGATCCCTAGCGCAAGCAGAAAAGCAGATGAAAAGTTCAAAAATGCTGAAAGATCAAGCAAGGGTGACAGAACTGGACCTCGGCTCGGTTGAGGTATGGTGTATAAGCTGTGGGTTGTGGTGGAAGAGATGGCGCCGTGGTGGAATACGTGCTTTATGAGAAAACAACTATCATGGCTGACCGGGAATTGTCAAGTATTAAAGATGCCCCACTATCATCGCTATCTTGTATACATCCTAAAATACTACCATTGTCAAGAAAACAATCTGACCGTATTCCCCAGCTGGCTAAAACAGCCTACAAGCAAATATTCTCGCCATATGCTCGCTGCATCTTTACTAAATTACCCATGAGAACTGTAGCTTATGAGTTCAGTAGCAAGAGTACCTTGAGACCTCTCATCATGGCCAAATGCATAGTGTTGGAAAAGTACGCCCTGTTTGCCTTGGAAAACCAAATTGAAGAAGGCAAAGGGCCAGTAAAAGATTATTCGGGATGTTGAACCCCAACTCAAACAACGAGAGAGTCCTCGGGTAATAGCGGGCAAATATGGACGCGGAACGTCGGGCTGGACGGTTCGCCTGAAGGATGAGGCATTAGCAGTCCATTATCTGATGATGGAGCATCCAAAACAAGGCCAAGGCCATACCTCCTAGGAAAAGTCTTCCCCCATTCGGGAGAGTAGTCCAAGTCCCATCGTTCAGCAGTCTGGTTCGTCCGACGAGCGTGGGGTAGCAAGTCTGCAAAGCTTTGACTTGGACAGCCTGACATGGCGCAACAAGTCAGTATAAAGCGACTTTAGGCAAGCGGGACAGGCTGGTCGTACGTCTTTTGACTGGACCCTCACCATGGCATGCCAGTTTGCGACACCCTGACCAGGTTTCAAGAGGAGGTTGTCGAACATGGGCACCGTACAGAACAGGTCTCCTTTTGTGCGGATCGTTTGCGGTTCATCTCCCACAAACACTACCGAGCGACCGAAATCGGTGCAGGTGGATCCATTCCGATTCTCCAGGGTGAAGGTGACCACTTTGGCCCGCGTCGGTTAGTCATGGCGCAGGTATGTTCATGGACTAACTTACAGTATTTGGCGGTCGCAGCCATTGTGTCAGTTGCAAGACTCTTGGACGCTGGGGATTGGACACGGAGGAGAAGCTGGATGTGCTGGTGCTGAGTAGGCTTGTATTTGTGGATAGAGCAGCTTGTGGGGGTTGTGGATGTTGGAAATGGTAATTATATAGATATTGACATTTGTATCGTCGCTGAAGTGTAAACCTTGGGTGAAAGAAACGCAAAGAACAGCATCGTCACGCTGCTGTATCGCATACGAGGCCAAGGGAAGGGTTCAAAGCGAAGGAACACTGATCTGGGAGGCACGTGCAGGAATATAAGACAACAAAGCGGCGGCGACAGGTGCGACGATCATGGCGGGCAGGAAACTCGCGTGAAGGCCAGCAAAAAGCGGAATGGCTCCTTCAGGGTGGGAGACAGCACTACAGGGCGGTGCAGAACAATGAAGAAAGCGAAAAGAGTTCTACACCTACAAGTAGAAGCGGGAGGCATATGGGCAGGTGTACGTGACACGTGGCTATGGGCACTGTGAGACATCCACAATCATGGCAGCGTCGCCTTTGTTGGCTCGACGAGAATAATGAATTGAGATTGCCAACAGTACAAGTGATGTATACAGCGGTTAATGAACGGTCCTCGGAGGATTTTGATGATGGGTAGACCAGCCGTAAGGAAGGTAGGATTGGACCGAGGGTCAGCCTGCAAGGTGGGGCGGAGCGTCGATAGGCTCGATGCGGACCAAGAAGATTGGTGCGTAGTAAATTACTTTGCATATGTGGTCAGCGCAATGAGCCAAATGAGTGGAGGGGAACAGATGGGCATACCGCCGCCGATAATGTCTGTCTTGCCGATCCGCAGTTTTTCGCCGTCATAGACGGGATACCACTTCGTATCTTTTATCAATAGATCGTCCAGCCTTATTCCGTCCAGGTTGTCTAGAGCCTGGACCTCTATGGTCTGTGGCGAAGGTAGATGGATTAGTAGGAAATGAAGCGTGGGAGGAAGGTGAGCAGAAGCATACATGTGGCGTAAGGGCACGGAGTCGAACGTGGATGACGTCAACCACGGGGTTCTCGACTTGTAGATTGGTTGATGCTGGACCATCTTCAAGGGAGCCTATGACCTCACTGCGTCCAATAAATCTGCCGAAGTTATTCAGTCGGACCCTGCGGACGGAAATGTGCTCGTAGCCCTCGGGCATGCCATCTCTCTCGGTTTGGCTGACCAGTTTGAGATCTTGGGCGGCATCGGGTCAGCAGAGGTGTGCACGGCTGATGCATCGGGTGTAGCTACCACACTCGACAGTCGGGCGAGGTTCCACACGATTAGCCATGGGTGCTAAGTATATGGTAGAGAGTAGCTGTGCTGCTTGTTGCGGACGCGGTAGTGGAGTCGTGTACTTGCGGACGCAGGCAGTTCGTGGCAAGGCAAAGACGGCATTGTCGTCGACGGGTGCACCTTCCGGGAGAGCTGGAAAGGCTTTGTTGAAATGACTGTGCCTTCCGCTCATGGCTGCGTCCGCCAGCCAGGCCGTCTAGGTGCCTTCCATGGCAGACGGGTTCCGTGACGCGCTGAAAGTCCCCGGCGACGAAGCTGGCAGCAGGATGCATGAGTCCATAAGCTCGGGCTGCGGCATTGGCAAGCGGTGCTAAGCGCTTGCTGTGACGATGGAGCGGGTCGGAAAGGTGAGAAGCGTCAAGATGCGATGAGGCTGCAACGAAGGCGACGGCGTTGGGGGCTCGACGGGAGGCGCAGCTCCGTGTTTGGCGGCGGCTTCCGGTAGAAAAAACCAAGACTCATCCAAGCCAGAGCCGCCAGCCAGCTACGCCTCGACCGGTCCACAACCCGATTGCCGGCGCTCTTCTCCGCATTCAAACCGCCCATTCGCCAACCCGGCCTCGGCTCGCGCACGAGGTGGGGAGATCGTCACTCGGTTCGATGCGACTCATACGAGAATCGGCAACAGCCACTCTCGCGACCTTGGCGGTGCATACTTATCCCGCCATTCCCCCACTCATCCTCGCCGAGGTACTCTCGTCGCCGTCGCCGAACAATGGCAACCCTCGCAGCGACAGCACCACCGCCGCCCGCCGCCACCGTCGACGTTGACCCAGAGGTACCGAGACACCCCGCCCTCGTACCGCACACCACCCGCGCCCCGCTGACCGACCGCGCAGTATGCCGATGATGCCGCCGACTCCGACTCCACCCGCGGCTCAATCGACGAACAGCTCTCCTCCTTCACGTCCTCGCTCTCCTCCAGCGTCACCGCCTACCCCATCCAGCACGGCCGCCGCTACCACGCCTACAAAGACGGCGCCTACATCCTGCCCAACGATGAGCAGGAGCAGGACCGCCTGGACGTCGCCCACGCCATGGTGACGACCCTGATCGGGGACAGACTCTTCCTTGCGCCTTTGCCCGAAGAGGGTTTCGCCGGGCGCGTCCTCGACGCAGGCTGCGGAACCGGAATATGGGCCATTTGCATGGGCGATCGCTACCCCGACGCCGACGTGCGCGGCGTGGATCTGAGTCCGATCCAGCCGTCGTGGGTGAGCGCGTCCCCCATACCTCCCTTCCTCGTCCCCCGCGCGTACCGCGGCCGCTGTCGATGCTGACCCCGGCGCGCCAGGTGCCTCCGAACGTGCACTTTGAAGTCGACGACATCGAGCGTCCCTGGGCCTACGGCGCCGCCCGTTTCGACTTCGTCTTCACCCGCTACCTCATGTCTTCGATCCGCGACTGGCCCGCCCTCATCGCGTCCGCCTTCTCGTCGCTCAAGCCCGGCGGCTGGGCCGAGTTCCAAGACTACGACGCTGTCGTCTACTCGGACGACGGCTCCTTCCGCCCCGAGCACGCTTTCCACCAGTGGAGTACCACCTTCAACGACGCCGCCGCCTCGTGGGGGCGCGATCCGTCGCCGGGACCCAAGCTCGAGAGATGGGCCAAGGAGGCGGGCTTTGTGAATGTGAGGCATGAGGTGTTCAAGCTGCCCATTGGCGGCTGGCCGCGCGACAAGAGGAAAAAGGAGGCGGGCATGTTCAATTTGATTCAGGTCTTGGATGGCCTGGAGGGGTTTACCATGAGATTGTTCACAGGTTATCTTGGGTGGAAAGAGGATGAGGTAAAGGTTTTCGTGGCCAAGGCGAGGGAGAACCTGAAGGATAGAAGTGTGCATATGTTGTACGATTATCATGTTGTTTATGGACAGAAGCCGGATAGTGCTTCACAGGAGGGTTCGCGGACATGACCGAAGTAGTCAATGCAAGCGGGAATAAGAAGGGAAGCTGACAAGCAGCACAAGTCTCCGTTTCGTAACCCTTCCCATGCAGCATTCCCCATGGCATACCCCAACTACGCCACGGAGCCGTCATGCTGCTTAGCCAGCACACCATTGCTCCCTCTCCCTCCATGATCTCGCTCTACCCGCAACCAACTTGACGCGCATGCACGCGTCCCACGTTTCGACCCCACACCCACCGAAGACATCGACGCAACCCCGCCTCGTCTCGCCTCCGCTCACTGCCGTCAACGTCGCCTCCCACTTCCGACAAGTACCACTGAGCCCGACACCCGCAACCGCCCCGGCCGAGCCCATACACAACTGCACCGCCAACTCCACTCTCACGCCTCGCTCTCCCGCCACGACTACGCCATGCTCCCTCCCCTCCCACGCCCCCCGCTCCGACCCGTCCTGCGTCGCAGTCCCGGTGACCACTCGATAGGTCTTCACAGCTGTCTTTCTCTCTCACACACACAATTTCCCTCGGCCCGTTGCCGCACCCACGACGCAGCGACGGGCAGCAGAAACACACTCCACGTACATAATAAAACACAATCTGCCATCGTACACGCAATCAACGAACAACAGCGGAAGAGGGGACCGCCAGACACGCGCGCGCGCCCAAGTCACGTCGGCGGTGGTGGCTGCGGCCCGGTCGCCCGCATCGTCTCTGATCCCACGTCGGCAGGATCGCGGGGTCAGATGTCAAGTTGGTCTACGGGAGAGGAAGCCTACCTTGGACCGCGGCGGACTGGGAATCGGACGGTGGCGCTCTGTTTCTATGCTTCGAATGTGGCGGCTGTGGTTATCTGGAGGAAGAGGGGTTTTTGTTGGCGTGGATCGCGAGTTGCTGGGCTTGGGTGTGGTGGGCGCTCTGTGGTTCGTTCGGCTGTTGCTGTTGCGGGGTGGGTGAAGTGGGTTTGCTCAAGAATGATTTGCTTGGGACCTGTGGGCGTTTGTCACGCTTTCGGGCGTGAGTTGAGGAGAGGGGATCGAAGATGGTAAGTGGACACTTCACTCACGTGGGAGCGAAGGAGGACAGAAAGATGAAATCATGGGATAATACAGCAAGAAGTATCGATTTGTGTGCGAATCACCGTAGACTATCTTGCAAACTTGTGTAGAGTCCGTACCCAAACATAAAAGCTAAAAACTACCACCAAAGCTGCGGATGTTCCTCCAACCCATTCGTGTGACGCCATGTAACAATGAGTAGGTTGGGCCGCGGCGTCTGGCTCGTTGAATGGGTGAAACCGGTGTCGACAATGGCAGGTCCTGTTGCACATTTTCTCTGGACATTGGCCGTGGATTCGTTCTGGCTGGCAAGCGCGGGAAGCTCTCCATCTCGTCGGGTACTCTCGAGGTGTAGCATGCGCTTCAACGACTGATGCCAGCATTGAAGCGAGGATGGTTCCGGAATGCTCACGAGGAGTGGCATACTGATTCGCTACCCATCGAGCGTGAAGTTTGAGATTTGGTTGTCTGGGAACAAGGCCTGACTTCTATTGGCATTCACCGGTGATAAGCGAGGAACGTTCGACCCCCCATTCGGGCTGTTCCTGGCTTGGAGAATGTTCTTGCAGAGGTTCAGGTGGCTACGTCGGAGTTGTCTTAATTCGTAGTACTTGGCGTCGTGCTGGATGACTTTGGAGATGCGTTTGGTGTTGTATCCCTCCATTTTGATAGCTTCGCCGATGACGACTGAGGTTCTGCAATGGAAGGAGCTTGCGAAGGAGCTTGAGAAGGAGTTTGAGAGAGAGCTTGGATAGGACAGATCACGCCGGCAGCTGGCTGTTATGTTGGCCATTTATGAGTTTCTCGGTCATTGATCCTACCGCGTGACGCAACTTTCGATGTTTGCCTGACCACAAAGTCGTAGTGTCACGCATGAGCGGCGCCTGAGGTGCCAAGCCTTCGGCCCATGAGGACGTTGTGGGGTTGTCTCGGCCTGGATTTGGGGGGTGTCACCCTTACATGTTGCTTTTTCGTCTCTGCAGCTGCTTACGCATCGCACCTGCAGGTCTGGCCAGTTCTTGTATGCAAATTAGGTTGGACAGATCCAAGCGACGAGGCCTAATTGATTGCTCGAATTCCTCTTGGTTCATAGAGACCGTTTAAGGAAAGTTATACACGTCGAGATTGGGGACTGCAAGCAGGCTCTGGACAGCGAATTGCATCAACCTCACCTATGCGTACCGCTCCATGAGCCTTTGCGGCAATTTGAGAAAGCCAGCGTATTTTGCAGCGGTTTTTAAAACCTACCGTGTTTGTTTCTCCACGTATCTGTGTTCTTGTAACAAGAGACCAAAAGAAAAGAACATGAATAATAACACGATAACTTTGAGATGACTGAAATTTGTAGCTGAAAAATAGATGATTTCTGCCATGGCGAAGGACTGCAGAGTAGTGGACGCCGTCAATTTCAGGTCTTCCCCGCGGTTCTTGCTGTACGGATTGAGAGGAAGCGCATACGAGTGGTGACGGGAGAAGAGGAACTTGAAGGGCAATCAAAGGGAAATGAGACCCTTGATATGCATGCTCCTTCCGCTGGATCTTAGACTTGGCAAGAAGTGAGAGCGCTGGACTCCAATAGTGTAGAGGGGGAGAGGTTTACATGGAAAGAGTTGAAGGCGTGGACGCGAAAAGATGAGCCGGGATTACGAGCGAAATGTAAGCTATCAGTCATTGGGTCTGATGGAGGAAGCAATGAACCTCCTGGGCGGAGTGGCCGGGACCGGTCAATGGCTGGTCGTCAATTGGGTGGATCCACCTGCGGAGCTCGTGCTTTCTGCAGAACCGGTAAATGTCTGTGCGGAATACTGACCGGCTCTTGGTATGCGATCAGCTGGGAGGATGTTTTAATATCAGGAGACTTTTTGCCCATCATTCGGCCATGGGTCAGTACTAAATGTCTGCTTCATGACTTCTCATCATCCGTTATGGGAGTAGGCGTCACGACAATTGGGAAATTATTTATGATTGAGAAACACCTTGGGAGTTTAAAGTTTCTTGTCTGTTCCTGGTTCATTTTACTTCTTCTTCTTACTGGCAAGAGCAGCAGTGATGTTCTTTTCTTTGATTTCCATGAGAAGCCCTACTTTTCACTACTGTTTGCTTTCCACGTTCTGGCATGAAACCTAGGGAACTGGATTGTGGAGCTTGGATCACCCGAGCGGGCCGACATGACTCTGCACAAGGAACCTCGGACCGTCGGAAAGAGGTCTGCATTGCTTCCAATCAATCACATGGCCCAAATGGATACTAGAGCCGGCCGCGACTGCTCATGTTGGGGCGTGTCCTTATCTTCGCATCAGTGCAAGCGCCGAGAAGGGTATGCGTGCGCAAAGCAGACGCCGCCACTTGGAGCGTAGGAATTAACAGCGCTGACGTTTCTGTCCCACGTTCCCCCGCGTCAGCACACCACAATAACTGGCAGGCTGGTAGCTATCGCCCAGACATACAACTGCAGATGTACTGGCTGGCGCCACCTTTGAGTGTGTACGTGCAGGGCCGATCGGCCGTCTTGCGATTTTTCGAACACCATGCAGATCAGGTGAGCAGCGAACGACCTGACAGACTGCTCCGCACCGGACATAGGACCCTGTCTACCCTGTTTCAGACCCTGTCGCGGGGAAGGCGGAACCAACCTTAGCGGCTGTGGCCGGGCCGGTGTGCGGCCTGAACACATGCTCTTCCTGGGTGCTGTTGCACGGAAAGCATGCAAGGGCGCGACCAGCTTCCTCGTCTGCCTGGGGGAGGCATGTGAAGGACGCGCACACTGATCTGTAGGAGGACTTGTCTAGAGCACCCGTCGTCCCACCGCACCGGTCCGCTGTTCGCCTGCGCAGCATACCGAGCGCTGATCGCTGCCGTTGGTGAGGACTTGTGCGGTGCATGGCATTGAGAGTGACTTGTTTCATTTTGCTTCTTTTGCTAGCCATCAGTTGCCTGCTGCTGCCTGGCAGAGACTGTTATCAGGCGTCCACTGAGGCAGCTACCCGCCTTGCCGCCCCTTGCCATTCTGATCGCCTCCTCCCAGCATACCTTTGCCCACGAACGTCATTGTGTAATAGTCATAGCAGCCCTACAGCTAGCAATACTCCACAAAGTGATGCCTCAAGCCTGCTGTCGTACCTCGAGTCGAGCGAGCGGGACGTAAATGGCGGGCTGCGCAGATACAACTCTTGGCCCACTTGTTTGAGGAGCTTCTGAGGAGCTACCCTGTCTGTAACACGAATGCGCTCTGATGTTCCAGCCTTGATCATCCCGGTATTCCACAACTTCGCTCTCATTGGCGCATCGAATTGCCGGAAGAGTATCCGGGTTAGTAGCAGTATCGTGGAGAGTAGCCCTGTACGTGTCTTTTGACAATCAGGGCTCATTTCCAGCATGGGTACTATTGAAAGAGTGGGTATCTCTAGAGAGTATCGCTCTAACACAATGTATGCAAGCTGTTTAACAGCTCGGGAAAATGCTTTCTGGGGTTAGGTGGCAACAGTCCAGACTCGGGGGTTCAGCGCAGGTTGCCGCTCGGCCTACCGTACTTTATGTCAGTCCTACCGGCTGTACAGCCAGGCCAGTCTCTTGGTATGCGTACTGTCCCGCACTGCGGTACAACACCAAAACACCACCACACGTCTACGTATAAGCAAGGAATTGAAGACCGAGCCTAGCGGCCGCTCCTGCAGACCAAAAACTGGGTATTTCCAACAACACCAACAGCAACAACACAATCCAAAAGGCCACCAATCCCTCCCACCCACCCTCCCTCCTCACCCCCCAACCCACCACGCCTCCCTAAACCCCAGCCCCTTCCCCGCGACAACCCCACCCCCACCTTCCCGCCCCTTTTCCTTGCGTCCCTCCACCCACTCCTTCTTCGTCTCCCCCACCACCCCCCAGTACATCCGCTCCCCCGACCCGGCCCCCACCGTCATCTCCTCCCCATCCACCCCGGCAACACTCCTCCCCTTGCTGCTGCTCCTCTGCACCCGCGGCGCCACGTTCTCCCACGCACGCTCCATGCCGAGCGCTAGCACCGTGGCGCGGTCAGTCGGTGTGGGAGGGTGCGTGCGGAGGGGGTGGGGGTGCGGCCGGGAGTCGTTTTGCGTGGATGCGTCCGAGGCGGCGTCAAGGGTGCTGCGGGGGAGGAGGAGGAGCGAAGGTGCGGTGATGGTTGTGTCGATGCTGTCGATGCTGTCGATACTGTCGATGCTCTCGATGCGGTCGATTGGTGTTGGTGGCGGGGTTGGCGGCGCCGGCGGCACCGGCGGATGGGGGGTGGTGGGGGAATGGACGAGTCTCTTTATGGCGCGAGTGAAGGCAGCGGTTCCGGTCGATGATGCCGCGGAGGCTTTGTGGGTGGAGCTGTGGCGGAAGATCGTCTGGGCGGAGTTGCGGAGGCCTGTCGATGAGCGACGAACAGCGTTGCGGACGGAGGAGGAAGAGGCGCGGTAGACGGTCGTGGTTGTTGTCCAGATGTCCGAGCTGGCGCGGCCACAGCACGAGGCCCTCTCGACGCTATCGCTGTCTGCGGGTTGTTTGTCCCGGAGAAAGAGCGACATAGCTCGACGTCTCTTTAGGGAGGAGCCGCCCCAGGAGCTTTGGTCGTTGTCTGCGGCGAAGCTTTGATGGCGAAGACCAGAACCCTCCATTCTGCGTTCCTTGTAATCTTTGCATCCGGAGTTTTCGACGGGCTTGCAGAGTGGGGAAACAACTGCTATGCTGATGCTGATGGAGTGCATGGTCGAAAGGCGGCTGTGATTTTGGACTTGAGAATGGACTGGAGAGCACTGAGCACTTTCTGCTCGTTTGTGCAGGTGAAGAGGATGATACGTCATGGCCGGGTTGTGAAAAACCATGGAATGTCCATACGCGGGACGGTGTTGGGGATGCGAGAGGTCAATAAGCGCCTAAGCATTTGGCGCTAATGACATGAGATGCGGGTGGAGGACATAGGGGGTGGTTACAGGGCCACCTACCGGGGTCCGCACTAGATAAATTGCAGCGTTTAATAACGCTGCAGGGACATGGAGAGTCTTCGGACCAGCCTCGACGTGAAACTTTGCGGGTGACTGCGTGTGCCCAGTCCGCACCCATTCTCTTTTCCAAAATCAATCGAAGATAGTCGGGTTGAGTTTGAAGATCAAGAATGAGTTCGGGGCGCTCTGATTTCACGTTAAGCACTTGAAGTACATGGGCATGCTCAGTACGACGGTGGATGCAGTTTTTCACGCTAGTAACGTATGCACGCAACGACATCTCTTTGGCTCTACTTGGACCCTGAGTGGTTAGTGTATTTATCAGCGAAGACTGTGCTTGGACATAGCCAGTCCATATTCCAAGAATTTGATTCCTATGGAGCTTGGATAATGTGTGGTTGTATTGCGGACATACAAAGAGAACCTTTTTGATGTTAATAGTGGCCGTGAGCTTAATGCGAATTTGCATCGAGATTGTAGATTTGGAATGTTTGTAGGTATCATCTAGGATTCCTAATTAACCGTGTGCTGGGGACCTTACGCGAAGGCGAGTTTAGGTCTGAAGTATACGTGCATAACCTTAATAGCTTTTAATAGGATGCTATATATTCCTTATAATCTCATCTTATCCCGTTTACAATAAATACAGCGAGCATAGCGCAGCTTTAGGTACTTAGCAGCCTCTAACTTGTTTAGTGCTTTATTGCATCTTCTCCGCCACACCGCATCCTTTGCGCAAAGCAGATCGGGTATTGGAGTACAGGCATCGTCGGGGAGTTGCGGCGTGCGGGGGTTTTGATTGGTAGGCTCTGATGACAACAAAGACGAACGGTTTGCCGGCAGCATGGTTGTCTCACTGGTCCCAAAAGTAGTTGAGAAGCCCGGTAAGTGTGGTTGTTCTTCGCTGTCCATTTACAAATTTCAACCAGATCAACGGTTGGGGGACTTGGACTTGCCCATCTTAGCCAATTCGACGGCCATGCATAGCCGTCACTGACGCAGTATTGGATGACGTGGCTTGCTTTGAAAAACGTGCAAATTACATCATGACGCCGTTGAGAGCGTGTGACTGGGTGGATATTGCGGGGAGGTGCTTCCGGCTGACAGCCATTCGGTTGACCGCAACGATACTTATCGAGATTACAGCATCTTTAAGCTTGATGCTGAGGGACCGGAGATGTTACGTGACTTACTCCGTGCGAGACCGGGGGTATGGGGGTGCTGGGAAAAAGCAAGCGGCCAAGTCTCATCGTTCACAGCGTTGGCCAAGGCAATGCATTGGCTCCAGATAATCCCCGCATGAAAGCAAAAGTATGTTGGGCTCCCAATCAATGCGATGTCAGTGCCTCCAATTACAACTCGAGAATTCAAGGAAGTGGCAGGTCACAGGCTCCGCTTTTGCCAAGGGGTGCAGGGATTCCCCAAGATGATACAGAAAAACGAAAGCCACTTGCGACACTTTGCAGTCGCACGGTTTTGAGTTCAGCGACACCTTGGCCACTCCAAGACTTGCAGCGTCCTCTAGCCGACCGCTCTGTATTCGCATCGGACATGCCATTTTCGGATTTCTGGCATATATGTATCTGCGGTTGCCCGCCGACATGCATTGCATACCACATGTTGAGTGGATGAACTGGACTAGCGGAGCTACCCCACCTTATCCTTCTGCCTGATGGAATGGCAGCGAAAGTTTGTGCAAGGCTCAAGCTTGCAGGCTCATGCCCGCGGCTCTGTAAAGAGTTCAACGTATGTATATTCTTTTTTTTTCGTGTTACCGCGGGGTGGCTGAACGGAGAAGTTGCACGGAGCCGGCTGCCTTGTTCCGGGCTCTCGCAGATGAGAAGCACAGCAAAGAAAGCATAGAAATGATCAGCGAAAAGGCAGCGAGGCAAATGCTTGGCAAGCAGATGATCAAGCGCAGAGTGAACATACTTAGCGTTTGCTGCGTAACGCGAGTTTCGGGCAGATGGCTTGGTGAGCAAGTCTGCATGGATGCGGGGCGCAATGAAATGTCTGCCTGGGGCGCGTTGGCCGCCGTCTCGTGGCTTCGATCTGCAAACCGTCGCAACGGAAATGAGATACCAGCGAGCAGGAAACCGGGTTATAGTGAGGATGCAAATTGCGAACTCTTCTCACCATTCACTTTGCTAGTGCGGCCGCCGGCACTGGTTGCGACAAGCGAGCTTTGGGCGATCGAGATTGGGGCTTCCACATTGACGGCCAGGCCTGATGATGTAGGGGATCTGAACAGGGAATGCTGACGAATCTTGCCTTTCGTCTCTGCAACCCGATCAATCAAGACCCTCCCGTTGGGGATGCTCACACCATCGCTGCGATCCTAATGCGGAGAATTGCGCGTATGCAGACTACTTTCTCACTTGCGTCAAGATAGCATGAAGAACAAGGGAGCGCCGAGTCCAGGCCTTTTCTGCACGCTCGCGAACTCACTGCACACTCTCGCGCTCAGCACCGCATGTGCCGACATAGGTAGCATCGCAGCGCGCTCGCAGCTACTTAAGCCTCGCGCAACGTGCTGTACTGAGACCTGCTTTTTCCTCCATCCCCAGAGCAGGTTCGGCCAGACGTCCTGCAACCATTTTTGTCTCGCACATTTTTTTCTCCCACACTACAGCCCGTTTGCTCGGCTTTCCCGCGGCTAGTGCAGCACCTTCTCCGCTTCCACTTTGGCACGCGCGGCCAATCCATCCACACGCCACATCCGCCCACCACCAACCAGCTTCCGCCGAAAAAAAAAAAACCCTCACCGCCCCACGACCCCCCCCCCCCCACCCTCACCGTCTCACGACCCCCCCCCCCCCCAAACAATGGGCGTAAGCCAACACCTCCCCGCCGCCGCCGCCGCCGCCGCCAGCACCACCACCGCCGCCGCCCCTCCCCCCAGTACCGTCCCAGCCATCTTCCACCCCCCCGAACAACCCGCCACCGACCACCAGCAGCACCCCTGCCACGACCCTTCCTACGTCGCCGCCCTCTTCGCCGTCTGGCGCGCCGAGTCCGCCGCCCACGAAGACCGCCGCGAGCGGCGGAAGGAGGAGCGGAAGGCGGCCAAGAGGGCGAAGGAGTCGGAAGCGAGCGACGGCGCGCGGGTCGCTGATCTGCGGCGCGAAGAGGAGGAGCGGCGGCAGCAGTTGCAGGAGGGGGGGCAAGGGGCGAAGGCGTGGAAGGAAGGGAGGGCGGAGAGGAAGAAGATGAGGGCGGAGAGGAGGCGGGCGGGGAGGTGTGGTGGGGGGGTGGGGGATGGGGTGTTGGGAGGTGAGGGGGAGGTCGGTTTGGGGGTGGGGGAATTGTAAGTTGATTTGTTCTTTTTTGTTTTGTTGTGTTGTGTTTTGTGTTTGCTTGGTATTGTGTGTTGGGGGTTGCTTGGGACGGTGGATGAGGCGTTTGTGGTAGCTGACACGGCCTGCGTTCGTGTACTGACGTTTTTCGGATCCCAATACAGATTTGATGATTCGACGGAATGACCCCGAGGTCTGAAAAGGAAGAGGGGGAGGTTTTCGGTTTGTCATGAGAAGACGGACGGACTGCGTGTTCTTACGGTTGTTTGGATGATACATCTGCATATGCACTTAATGTTTGATTCCGGATTAGTTTTGGCTCAAGGGATCGACGGCACTGGTAGCATCATGCTTTCAGTCATACCTTGTCGTTGAAGATACAGAAAGCTCGGCACTTGCTGTTACACTTAGATACCACACACAACGCATAATGCAAACAGCAAATTGACTATCACTGAGTCACTTACAGGCAGTAGGCATTCAGACAAGACACTGCGTCGATGCATCGCATGACCCCCGCCACCATGTCAGCTCAATTCGGCAGCCAATTCCGGCTTTACAGAAGGCAACACTTGGCTTGAAAGACATGTTCAGACGTTCTCGAAGATGCCTGCGTCGGCATCGTCCCTCTCGCAGCACTGCTGTGACAGGTGGTCAGCATTGCAGAGAAGCTACGGCAGTTCAACCAATGGCTGGCATGGAAAGGGGAGTGTGGTATTACAAGCATCTGCGAGCAAGGGATCGAGTACTGCATATTAATGGAACCCTTATGGATGTGCATACATCCTTGCAAGAGCAGGAGATGCATTGCCCTGTACCCGCATCCTAATTAGATATCAGGACTGTACGCATAATCCGAAATGTGCAAACCCGGGTGAATGCAACCAGATGACCTGCGAGCGGCGGCTCTATCCTCAAAGGTCAAGGTATTGGTGGTCAAAGGCAAGCTTGGTCACTCGTTTCCATGATAATGGGAATATAAAAGCAGCCCTTTTGTAGTAAACAATGTTTTGATTCGTGTCCATGCTTTAAGAATCACAATGCTTGCTATTTCTTGACCATGTTGAACGCCTACCTCGTGGAGCCACGCTACGAAAACTGACGAGGCAAGGTCTACCCAGCTCGTTTTTCGCGTTTTACTATCCAAGATTGCGACATCTAGCTGTACAGTAAGAAGACGTTGGGAGAAGAGTCAGATCTGGAGCGGAGATGTTTCCGAGAAGGCAACCGCTGAACGGTTCGCGAACCACGACGATGATCTGAAGAAGGTTAAGTTCGATAGCTCTGTGCGCGTTAAGGCTCGGACCGAACGGGGGTGCAGGATACATGAATGATCCGCGAGCTTAAATCCACGACCGAGTATCGTCGGTCCCCTTGGTGTCGTGAATCAGGACTTCCGACCGCGCAAATCGACCGACGTGAAAAACGAGTGTCATGTCCTTGAGCAAGCAGCGCGCCCGGCAAAACGCTATGACTACGCGGCTCCTCGCTACAAGGTCTAGCGAAACGGTCTACTTCTCCGGGGGCCCGTTGCAGTCTCCAGCAAATCGAGCTCGAGAGACGTACGTGTTGACGGCAAGGCCAGAACGGGCCTGTGTACACGCTCGACTTGCGGACGGGACACCGGCCGAGGAGCCGAGCCCTGGTCGGTTGTCGCGCCACCGCCAGCCGAGTAGCCCCTCCTTTCCTGGCCCCCGGCCGCATCTATTGGCCGCATCACTTCCGAGCACTTCTCCAAACTTCGCTCTTGGATCTGACGACAAGCGAGACCAGCATGGGTCGGCTGCAGATGTTCATCACGCCACCACTGCATCCGGCCAGTTTAGGAAATGGATACATGCACACAGAACGCAAGGCTCCGTCGATGCGCACAAGGGGGCTATCTAGGCATGGCACGGGACCGCTGTCTCACTAGAATGATGAAGAGTAGGCCCTCGCCTTACGGTAAGAGCAGACGGCAGTTCTGTTGCGGGTGGTCGACGCAGTGCCATGCCGCAAACTGCTTCATTCTCTACTTGAAATAGCAGCTCGCCGAGTCTCCGAGGTGGCAGAGCGGTCGGGAGTCACACATGCTCCACCAACTAAGCTGACAGGCCGGTGCTTCCATCTCTGCTGCCGCTGCCTGACTTACCTCCGCCCCCTCTTCCCAAGCTGCAGCTTAGCGAGCGTATGAGATAAGCCGGGCAGAGCCGCGAGAGCCTTTTGCACCTCCTGCATCGTCATCAAACGTAGGTAATGGCGAACGCTAGTAGTAGTACAGCCATATCCATGAGAGGCGGCGTCGCTAGTGATGCAGCTCGTCCGCAGCCTGACGTATCGGGAATGAGATCCGAGTTGTCCATGAGGCCAGGCCCCGCCCGGCAGGCAGAGGACGGTGCGAAGCGAAGGCAGCCAATCTAGACCTTGGGACGCTGGCGTAGAGTGGCTAGCTGGTGAACAGGCCACCTCGGCCGTTGCTGCTGCTGCTGCCGCCTCCGCCATCTCCACTTTTGCTCTGATACTGTGAGTTAGAGGCGAAATATGCCAGACGTTACTGTTTGAGGCAAAATTTAACAGTGTAGGCGACCGCCGCGGCGAAACACCCCATCTCTACTTTCATCGACGGGAATGTGTCTGGACCCCCGGTATCCCATGCATGCCAGGTCGCATCTCGAGCTTCCTAACACTAGCCTCCGTGCAAAGCGTCCTTGTGCTCTATGCAACTGCAACGCAAGTGAAGTGGCCACTAAAGACTCAAAATACGAACACGATCACGGCGCCAGCGCGAGCAGCGACGTCAAGAAAAGCACCCGGGAGACCAGCAGCCCTGCTAACAACACCAATTTGAGCGCACGGTCGACTTTTCAGCTCCATAGGTCGCCTCCTAAATACCCGCCAAGCTGGTACCCCCACCTTGCGACTGCCCCGTGCGCCACCGAAGATTATCTCGACTCCGCTATCACCGAGCAAGCGGATGGGCGATTCTGCCGTTTGACATTCATCTGTAGTGTAAACAGGCTGTTGTGGCTCTGCGATGGGAGCCCAACCGGGGCCGCGGATTGGTCTGAAGGGAGGAAAGTGTGAGGTTGGGCGATTCGAAGGAGTGAGGTTGGAAGGGCTGAGTGATTCGATGTTGTCCACTGTTCCTTCAAATTGACCAGGACGTCTCGCGCTCTTAGCGCTCCGTCATACCCGCTGTGTCGGTCGATTGAACAGTCCCAGGCCATTCTGAGATATCGCACTGATTAAAAGTCATCTTTACCTTGCTCATCACACCGAGAGAGCGTACGGGTTTAGGATTTTCGACAACAATCCACACCATCCAGCGGCCCCGGCATCGCGGCCGAGGACAGTCAGGCGCGGAGGTCGTCACGTAGGCACTGGGCACCACAATCGCGCTGCCGCTGCCGCTGCCGCCGCCGTCGCCGCCTACCGAGTCTCGCCAGTGCAGTCATAAAGTACTTTCTTTCATGGTCACCAACTACGGTGGGCGCAGCGGCCACTCATGCCGAACCTCCGAGAATCGCTGCGTCGATGGCTACTTACGGAGCCACTAGTTCTCGCACCACATCAGGCTCGCTTTCGCCAGTGCTGGTAAGTAGGAACCAGCTACCACAGCTGGTGGGGGAATCGCAACAGCCTGTGTTGATACTGGCGATCTTTATGAAGCAACGTATCGTCGGTTCGAGGCCATGGTTCTCGAGACTACCGAATTCAATGGAAAGATCATAGTTCGACTGTGATCTTGAGTACGTCGGCTATGGTTCTTTAGTGAGACCATACTACCGTCGGAGGCGCAGCGGAAGATGTCACAGCCTCCTTTCCCCCAGCGGCGTCCTATTTGTGCCGTCCGCAAATCTGTCAATACGATGCCCACACTTGGGACAGATACACTGTGTGGGGCCGCAGCATGGAGTCAATCAGCGAGTCTAGCAATAGCAGAGGAAACAATGAAGACGATGGAGAGCTACATGTTGGCTGGTTGAGGAAGATTTGGTGGAAAGATAAAGTGGACTTGATGGTTGGCCGACAAACACTTCACAGGCGACGCCTTTTGGCTATATAATTTTGAGCTGGCAGTCATTGGCTCAGGGCGAAGGGGAAGATCCGTTGCTTGCTGCTTGATGAAATTGAACTCATGGTTGTGCGGGTCGGTGGAGAGGTGTAGGTTGTTCGTGTTCCTGTGGGCACATGATTGCGGACCAGATCACCGCTGAGGAATTTCAACTTGTCGGCAAGCATCCGACGGAGCCTTCCAAGCCGGTTGGTCTCCAAGAACAGTTCAAGCTTATTAAGCCACACATTGACTTATAAATCCGCTCTACGCCGTATAGTTCAACTAAACGAGCGAATCGATGCCGTACCATGCTAGCCTTGGCCTTGGAGAATCACCCAGGTCTCGTGAACATGACGCACCTACACTACTACTAGTAGGATGTTGGTCATCACAGCAAATGGCAACGCGACCAAGCCGCTGTCTCGCTAATTCGCGCAACTCGCATAAGGCTGCACATACGTACCGTTGTCTTTTGTGTTCGGCTAGCGGTGTTGGGGAGACGAATGGAAGGGCTACCCTGGAGACTACGCATGCTCATCATGCTTGGTCTGTGAAAGTGGGCCGATGATTTCGTAAGAAGCCAAACCTACCTTTCGCGATGGCTGTGGAGGTAAACTTCATGTGCTGGCGGAAGGGATGGGAGATTAGCGAAGGATTGGCCGCTTGCGGGATGGAAGGGAGCCGTGAGGCTGAAACCAGCGCTATCAATTCGCGCTAATGGCCGCCCTTGGGACCAGCCTCTCGAAGCCAGCGATTCCACTGTGTATGCATGCACATGTGAAAGATTATCGGGAGCTTATCTGCCCTTGATTCGAGGGAGGCTAGCCGTTCCTGTGTCCGGAATGCGGGGTGTTTCATCAGTATCTACGCGGTTTATTTATTATCAACATGGTCTGTCTGTTTGCTTGCTTGATCCAAGCTGGCTCCTGTTCTTGATTCGTTTTGAAAAGCTATTGTACAACCTCGATTTATTTCGTCGATTGGCACCACATTCATCAAATTCTCAACTCACGGGCAACCGCGAAGTCACCGGATTGTACCGCAACCATGGCGTTTGGTTTCGGGATGTTGGGCAGTGCTGTGGAAAGGACGGTGAAAAAGACCACAGAGCTTGCTGTAAATGCCGGTAGTAAAGCGGTGGACATGGCCATTGGGGAAGACCGCAAGAATCGCATGGTGGCTGACTTTCTTAACACGCTCGCCGAGGCCCCTGGAGCAGCGGACCTGTTGACCAACGCCGCGGCAGCACTGGTCCAAAAGGTTACCCCAGCCCCAATGGCAAGGCTCCTCGAATCTCTTTGCGGGGCCTTGGACCTTCTCAAGCCCGAGGTCCTGCTGACTACCATGGTGAAAATGACACGGACGGTTGTAAAGGCAATTCTCAAGGATGCGACTCACGTCTTCACCATCCGGAAGGGAGTACTGAGTAACGAGCTCACCGGAGCCACCATCCAATTTCTGTGGGACCAACGGCACGAGGTGGTGAATTTCCTGGTCGACGTAATCGAATGCGCCAAGGGTTACGTCAAGTCCGACTCATTGACCGGGAAGCGCCATCAGCTGGATGAACACGGCCTTGACAATGAACTGGACCTCCGAGACCCGATGAACCGACACGCTCTGCTGTGCCAAGTCCAGAGGTTGGTGAAGTCCGTCGTCTACATCCTGACTCAACTGCCGCAACCGCTGAAGTTCGAGGAAATCAACATGACGGCCGAAACCCAACTGCTCACCGACTCCATACACTCTGGGGCGATCGTGAAAGTCACTCCGTCGGGCTCTCAGATCCTACAGGCAATTCCTGATGCATCGGTCAAAGATTTGAGAAGGGACTCAGCAGTAGGAGAAATGATGGCCAACGGGAACGGAGTCCAGAAAAAGATGGTCAACGGAGAACCCAGAAGAGCAGTCAACGGAGTCGCCGATCCTTCGAACCCTTCGCCGGCAGATCATAGTGACGCAAAGGTCACAGACGAGAAGTGGATATTCGTCAATGGCATCGGCACCGAGCTCTACTGGCTGCACCTCGCCTGCAAGAAACTGGCCAAGCGCTACTCGCGCGACGTGACAGGCGTCTACAACAGAGGCGATGGCATCCTATGGGACCTCATCGAGTGCGCAGGCCAAAGGAACCGTGACGGCGACCGGAACACTCAGAGCCAGGAAAACATGGTGCAAACGACAGCGAGCAGCAAAGCGGCCCAGAAGGAGTTGGTCAACCAGCTGGAGAACGCCCTGATGCAGGCCGAAGTTGGGAACAAGTACAAGTACGTTGTCATGATCGCGCATTCCCAAGGTTGCCTTGTCCTCCGCCTCGCACTCGAGACCCTGCTCCACCGCAATTCGAGCATGGTGAGGGATGCCATGCGCAATCGGCTTTGCGTCTTCACCTTTGGCAACCCCAGCGTCGATTGGCACGGCAAGCTCGACGATGTGCTCCGCACCGAGCATTTCGCAAATGAGAAGGACTTTGTCGCGAAGCTTGGAGTGCTCAAGGACGACAAGCAGTCACCGACGGAGAGAGGCTTCGACAATGTCTTCGTCAACAGAGAGAAAGAGTGGGTCGGCCACTTATTTGGCACGCAGTATAGCCTGAAGACCGAGCACTACACAGACGATCTCGACACTAAAGGTAGTAAGAGATCGTGGCTGCTCAACTGTCGGGAGGGCGAGTCTCTGGATGCAGCGAGAGTAAGTCATATTTGAACCATGATGATTGTGCTCGATAATCTAACGCGTTCCTTGTGTAGAAGCGATTGGTAGCGTGATCGTAGAAGAGTTCGGACAATGAGGATGGAGCTCACTGTAGGGTGGGATAGCAGATGGATTCAGTGCTCTATGAGGGGATGATTCGGGGTGGTAGTGGTGCAAAAAGGTCTCCGTTGATATGGGGGTAATTTCCAGCAGAGGGAACGCATAGTTTAGACTGATTGAATATATAAGGTTTTGCAAGCTCTTTGATGCATGATGTAGCCATTTTTATTCCAGTAAACACAATACCGTGCAGAAATCTGTCCGGTTATAGTGGTGGGGTGGGCACGCACTTTATCGTTGGCCGAGTTACGCACAGCATGGCAAGCGCCCTTCACATCCCAGCTTGCCGCCAGCTTCTGTAAATATCCTTCCTCTTATAGCGTGACAGCGACCTTCTGGGCGGAGATGCCCTCTTTTGAATGAACTTTCTCTAGAGTCCATGGCGGGATCCGGCTATTATGTTGCTGAGTCCCCATGACATAGTACCTACAGCTGTCCACCATAGATCCTGACATATCGGCCGGCTACGGTTTGGCTGGAATTCATTTTAAATCGCCGATACGGGGACCCTTTCAACGGCTGGTAGAGACTGAGGTCATGGTGTAGCCAATGGCGCAATGTGTCGTGGGCCGAGGCAATTCTTTGGAAAGAGTCTCCGGTGCAGCAACTCGACCACTGACGATCAGCGCTTGTTTCAACCTTTTCTCGCCATGATGGATTGTTGTTTCAGCCTTGTTGGTGGCCAATATGGTCCAAGTCATCAAATTTGTCTAGTATTCTCGTTTGCTCCTCATGTCGGATTCAACACCAGAGTTGAAAAGTGTGCGGACTCTTTGGTTGGGTTGGGATAGTAATACGAACAGACGGCAATGATGAGGTACGCCACGAGGCAGAGAAAGCCCCGAAGATAGTCGCTCTTACCGTCTCGCAAAAAGCCGCCGACCACCAAAATGGCAAGGATGAGAACAATTGCCTGGAAAGGCTCAAAAGCCAAGGTCATGTCTTTCCCAACACCCCAACCGATAAAGATGATGATGGGAGTGATGAGCATCACAGTCTGGATGCAAGATCCAATGACGTGAAACAGTGCGAAGTTCATGCGATTATCAGACGCGTCTCCGACTGCCGTCAGATGCTCGGCGGCCTTTTCGATGACTGGCACGAGAATCAGACCAACGAATGCGTCCTTGACGTGACGCTCCTCAACGATAAAGTGAATCTGATCCACGAGCAGGTAAGCAATGCAGCAGACGCAGGTGATTGAAATGACCAGAGCCAAAAGGCATTCGCTTAAGCTCAGCTTCTCCTCCTCGACGGCTTTGTCGTGGTTGTCGCCCACAAGCAAATCATGATTGAACACGTCCGAGTACAGGCTGCGGTGCGAGTTTGTTTGGTACCAGAGGTAGCTGAGGAGGTCAGTAGCTGAGCGGAACAGTTGCCGTCCATTTGACTTACACCATGTAGGAGGCCAGGAGAATGAAGGCGGTCCCACGGCTGATCTTAAGACCATCCACATCAAAATCTCCGGTCCCGCCATACTCGGTATCTTGAAGGGTGTTGATGTATGCAGAAGGAAGGATCAAAGCCACTTTGGTTAGTCAAAATCAGCCAGCTTCTTGTCAAATTCAGAACGGGGGGATGCTTACTTCCAGCAACCAGGATGAGCCCACCGCCGACCTCACCAATGGCGGCATGGAACTGCTGCTCTTCGCGCTTCATGCCGCCAATAAAGAAACACAGGCCAATGCAGAACAACAAATTTGCAAGAACAGAACCTAGAATCGCTGCCTGGATGATCTGAATCGGATCGAATGTGTCCGTCGCGGTCCGAGTGATCAGAATTGTAAAGACAACCATCTCAACAATGGAGCCTAGGGTGGTTTCAATGATCAGCCCAACCACGTTGTAGACTTTGCGGACGATCTGCTCGCCGCCGAACCCAATCAAGTTCGCTGCTGGCACCATGGCGACATAGTTGAGGATGAAGATTGCGAGGTGCCAGCTGCCCGACTCGTCGTGGCGCTTCACGAAGCCCTGTAATCATCAGCAAGCCTGGAAAACTTGAGTCTAGTCTTGCCGGGGTGACGTACAATTACAATGGCTGCTGGTACGACCACCCAGAGGATATTAAAATATCTGCACGGCGCCGAATGGTTGAAGCAGGTGCGAACAAAGTGCTGGAAATGGATGCCATGATGGCCACTTTCGCCGTAATTGTGGATGCCGAAAGCAGTGCCGGTTCTCGTGCCCGTTCTCGTGCCGCCTGCCTCAAGCGTACTCAGATCCGAAGCGTCGAAGCGCTCTTCACTCATGTCTTGACAGGTCGCCATCAGTCTGGCGCTTGGTAAGACGCGAACCGTGACGGATTCTGGATGAGGCAGCGCAAGTTTAAAAGCATGATCCGGCTAAAGCGGGATCAGGGTGTTGAAAAGCAGCCGAGGCTGCACCGGATCTACATCCAAGGCGGTGTCGACTTCAGCGTGATGTGGCAAGCTTGCATCACGGCGAGCTGTCGTGGGAAATCTGAAGTACGTTCAACGGCCACTGGCGACGGAAATAGTGGGGTAGTAAAGGGGGAGACGGATATTCGGTCCGACTTAACCGTGAGCTGGGGCTTGTGGGGTTAATCGGCATGCCGGTCACCCGCGAATGCGTGGACACAAGTCCACTTTTATTTGACGTCAGCAGACAATCCGTCGAGGAATCCAGGGGCTCGACGTGCTTGGTCTCGAGCCACTGTAGTCACACAGCTACATGCTCACATCTCTTCTTTCGGCCGTCCTTTTCAGTGAGGATTTCCACATACTCAACTACTGCAGAACGGAAGTGATTCATTCAGAGGAGGATTTTGGAAGCCACAAACATCATGCAACATCTTTGGAAACTAAAATCCATCCGGGATCCTTGGAGTCGTACTTCGACTAGGCTACAGGCAAATATTGACGAGATCCAGTACATCGGCTACTCGCACAGCGCATGACAAGCCTTGCTAAGACTTTGCCAAGGGAGGCTCATCCAGCGATCTCGTAAACTACGGCCTAGCTCTGATCAGTCTCTCCGATCTCTGCCTAACATTCTCTTTTCAGCTCTCCCAGTCCACACCAAGCACCCTGCCCTCGTCTTTGACCACGCGGCGCCCGTGCGAGAAGAGCAGGTCCGCCCCCACTCCCCAGCAGCCTGTGGCCGATGCGAGTGATCGTAGCGGGACGCCAAATATGTACCCGCACGCGATACGCAGGGCTTATGGAACCCCACCTTGGGTATTGCGAAAGGTTCTGATTGCGGACGAGGCGGAACACGTCAGCTGGCGTACCAAAGTGCTTAATGATAATGCCCTCCCATCCTCCATGACTTTCACGGCACACACACATAGCTGAATGCGCGTGCCACAGGCTGTAGCCCTAATCCAGACATGCTGCTCTGAGCTCTCCCCTGCGATCATAAGGCTGTAATTGCGGTTATTAAACAGTATTGTATGCCCCGTAACGGTCGGACAGGGGATGATTGGAGTATGTGCTACCCATATCACAGAGCCAATGGTATAAGAGATGATGCACAATATTATACACCTCGTGGTAGAGCGGAAAGTCGGTTTGCTACACTGTTCATAGTAACGCTCTACTATGCTAGTAGGCGTAACGAAATTGATGAATGGACACATCGGTCAGGCCACCGCATACAACTTGTGACATTTCCGACATCTCATCAGTGCAAAGACTCGGTGATCCATACTCACGGTCCCGCCTCTTGTTTTCCAAGACACACAAGCCGTAGTACAAACCACCTGTAGTCGCCATCACTGCAAAGCAGCACAGCATGGCACCCATGCCGAGATTATAGTGTGGCGCCTGGCCTTCCAAGAAGAAATGGGGCCCCACGATATTGCCGATCGCTTTTACATGTCAGCGAAAACAACGAAATCGACCTGGGTAGCGCATAATGCTTACCATAAAACGCTGCGGCAGAAACGGAGACGAAGCTCTTCTTTGTCGTACCCACGACGTTAGAGGACTGAAGACTCAACACCATAACCCAGGGGACATTCCAAAACCCCATGAGGTAGACACCGGCAAGAGAAGCATGACGATGGGCAACCGGATCGAGAACCTTAACCGTGGCGGCGCCGGCCATGGCAACGCAGCTCGCCAAGACCCAGAATACGCATCTGAGGTTGGGCACCCAGAACGTAATTGCTGTCAGGATTGCCTGCGCTACCATGGCGATGGCCGCTTGTGGGGTGGCCATCAAGACCGTTTTAGCCCTGGAGAAACCGTAGCCTGAGATTATCAGCGGGTTGAATTGCGTGATACCGGCATTCGTGATGGCCTGCGTGATGAAGAACGTTGAGATGCACCAGTACTTCGGATCTCTCAATGCTTCCAGGATTTGTCTCCATTTCATGCCATTGTGAGATGCATCTTCGGTCTGGCTCATCGCGACTCTGCGCACTGCAATGCGTCTCTCCTCCTCGGTCAGGAACCAGGCCGTAGAGGGAGAGTTTGGTAAAGCTATGAACATGAGCAATCCCATGCTGATGGTGGCGGAACCGTAGATGAGGAAAATGTACTGCGGCAGTATCAGCAGTTTCTGGCCTTCAATTAAGTGAAGAGTGGTCAAACTTACCCTCCATGTTGACAGTGGACCGCCGATGTTTCCAATGGCGTAACTAAGAATGCCAGTGAATGTTCCAGCAAAGGTGTTTGCCCAGAGAGCCGTCCGCAAAGGCTGCTCCTCGCGACGATACCATGCAGAGTTGATGAAAAGAAGACAGGGAAGCATAGCCGCCTCAAAGGCACCTTGCAGAAATCGGAGGGCTGCAAGACCGGCGAAGCTGTGGCATGCGGCTAGTAGGGAGAAGCAAGTGCCCATGGCACAAAAACAAGCTCCCATGTATTTTCCCACCGGGAACTTGGAAATGATCCACAAGTTTGGAAACTCCATGAAGAGATACCCAAAGTAAAATGTACTCCCAAGCCAACTGTAAAGTTGGTTATGCAGATGCGTGTCGTCGACCAATCCGTAGACTGCAGCGTAGGGAAGGACGTTCTGGCAACGCTCGTCAGCATCATACACCGGCAAAATCTTCTTCCCTTTCGAGTGGATAGACTTCATCAAGGAATGCCAGCGTCATGCCAAAAGTCACGACCGGCATAATCACGAGGTCGATCTTCCATAGAACTCTTCGGCTTCTCGGAGCGTCGAGCTCGTCAGGGATTCCCCCCTTGCAGGATGAGTCCGAAATGGCGATGGTCGCATCATCGGGCACCTTCTCGCGGTCAGGCGTGACACTTTCCATGGTGAAAACAAAGGGAAATGGCCCGATTTGGAGATTTTATTTCGATCGGACCTCCTACCCGGATATATATGTTCGAGAGGCAAGTCTCTCTAACCAGCCTTCTCCGGATGTGAGGTTGCAATCCAGGATCTGCAGACATTCCGACAACGCATGACGCCGCAAGATATGTCAGTTGTCATACCCACTGAACCTTAACCCAATTAAAGCTTCTCGAAAATCTACCAGTAATAATGGCAATGGCAAAAGAAGGACATCCCTTGAGAACTCCTGCATAGATACTTTACTCTTCAAGGTAAGCTGAATGCGTAGAGATACAACAGTGGTAGCGACACTTGTTGCACTGGAAGCCAAGAATTTGCTTAGCGGATGTCTTTTACGCAAGGTCCAGCCACCTGAAGCTCGTGCGGTCATCGACGAAATCTCGAAAGCGAAGATAATGCCCGGAATGCGTCATCCCCCAAAGTTCCTTGTATACCAGGGTCATGTCAAGCAGCCCATCTGCACTTTGCAAGGCAGCCATGTGCATGGTTGGGCGAGCATCTGAGCCACAGGAGCCGTAGAAGAATGTGTGGCCGGGTATGACAGCAAGTGGCGGCGCCGGTAAGTAGTACCCTGTTGGTTTCAACGGCATCCATATGCCGTTTCCCAGCCAACGCCAAACTGTGCTCTGCGGCGGAGACGCTTCCGCTATTGATAGAAGGACGACGGGCGCTCAGTACAACCCGGAATCCACATTGAGATTGGGTTGTCATGGTACCACCTACAGTCTGAAACCTGTTCCCTTTGCTCAGGCAGAATTGACCAATTGGCTAGAACTCTTACCGTAAATCTGAATCTGCTACGCACACCCGATGGGATCCGCCAACCTCCATCGCCTCCCCCCACGAGTCAGATTCCGCCAAGCTTATCAGCTGCCAGGGCCATGCGAGGCGACGCTGATCCAAGGCCGTACGTATACTGCCATGAGAAGGACTGAAGCCAATGAGATTCTGAGTCTTTCTAAGCCACGAGATGGAGTATTCTAAAAGATGATGAAACTGATGAAGGCGCGCGCGATGATCAGGCTCGATGCCATCATCCACGCCCTCGTCATCCCTCTCTAGTAGCATTCCACCACGTGTTTTCCAAGGTGGCTGGAGGAGCACAAAACCTGGTCCAGAAGATGGTGGAGAAGATCGCATGACCACTCTAAACAGCAGCTTCGTCGACGATGTAGACCACTGCCCGGATCCTTGGTTTCGGAAACACCCGACAGGGAATTTCCCAAGCCCATTCGCCTATGTGAACGCCCCTCGCCTACCGGTCCTGCCCCCGCCAGCATTCTTCTCCCTTGGCGGATCAGGGAGAATGCTCTTTTCTCAGTCAAGCAAGACAGTGGTAGGATGCAGGGAGCGGTTGTGGTGGCGGATGGGGGAGAGGATGCACAACAACAAAGTGACCTTGCCCGCAGCCTCCCTCTTCTTCTTAGTCTTCTCTACTCTACGTGACCCGGCGCACTCTTTTCATAGCTGCTACTACCAACAGTCCGGCGTTAATGCGTGAGTACGTGCCTGAGAGGAGGGACGAATAACACAGGGAGTTACAATATCTCGTTACTCGTAGGATATGGAATGGTAGATGTGTGAAGAAAAGACATAGAACTTTTCCCTGTCCAAGCAAATTGAGATGGGAAGCTCGTACTAACGACAAGACAAGATTCTACAGCTTCGATGCGACGCCTCGGTGTGTCGGCCGATTGTACTCGCTCTCGTCGCGAAATCGATAGACGACGTTCTCCATCTTGCTCTCAGGAAACACGTACAGCCATTGCAGCTCGCTCTGCTCACCACAGAACACACCGTGTTCTGCATCCCCGGGGATCCAGACAACGGTGTCCTTTACCACCCTCTGCCTTTCCCCCTCAATTTCCACCTCGCCGGTACCAGAGAGGATATAGTAGATCTCGGCTTGTTTGTGTCGATGCAGAGCGAGTGACCCGTTCGGAGGACAGGTTGCGATACCGGTGGTGAGCGAATCAGTTGGCGTGTTAGGAGCGGACAGTAGAGTATGCCAGGTAGTGGTTCCGCGAGTTGGCTCGGCAAATGAGGACGGTTGGTTTTGCAGAACTGGTCCGGATGGAAGGAAAACTGGCTTTTGAGGTGATTCGGACATGGTGGAGAAGATGGTGGATAAAGGTGAGATGGGAGGCGACAGATGGTTTTAAGATGGGCCAGTAGCCAAAAGTCATTGCTACTCGACCGTGGACTGTTCTTCCCCACTGGGTATGTACACGCTTTGCGTGACGTCACTTGCTTCAATTCAGGAGTCCTGTCGGCACGGTGGGCAATGACCCCGCACCCCGCCCCCGATAGCCTTATCCATCACCACCAACTAACATCTGTCGTGCATTGATGACGTCATCAAACATTCTCCCACTCTTGCACATGCGCCAATGTCTGCATTTGAACTTATTACTTCCGGAAATGGGGATCAACATGAAGCTCTTGGCTCTTTCCTTCTGTTCTATTTACTAAACTAGTTGGTCTACGGCATAGACCGTGAGATGGTCCCAGTAATTACCAAATATAGTTATGTCGGAGTAGTGTTTCCCTTGGGGGGACCGATCCTTCTGACCTAGCAAGTCACCCTACAGCAGCCTGTTCTGGTAAACCTCGGCATACCTCCCCACCGCCTCCTTAGCATCTGTCAACGCCCCCAACCCCACCCTCGGCTGCACGCTATACAAATCCTCTGTCTTGTAATCAAACACACTCAGAACGTTCCGCATAAACGGCACCCCCATGATACTATCCGCAAATGTCCTGCTCCACGTGCCCAGCGCCGACTTGCACATCACCGTCCCATTGACAACACCATGATCACTCGGGATAATGAGATCAAGCGGATCGACGGCGAACCAGCGGTCGTCACCGTGGTATTTGAGTTCCAGAAGCTGCGGGATGCTGCAGTCAAAGAAGACGGCGTATCCGTCCTGCACGATGGTCGGGCCGTGGAAGAGGGCGGCGACGGCGGTGAATTCTTGGTAGCGGAGGAGGATCGTCTGCGCGCCCGAGTCGAAGAGGGAGAGATAGCGGCCTTCGGCGTCAATGGCTGCGGTGGATAGCGTCAGTGATGGCTCGTGGGAGATGGCATTGGGGCAGGGCAGAGCTTACAGCTCCGCGTGAGGTTGATCTCGACGCCGTTCATGCGCACGCCGAGCAGCTGGGAGGTCCAGGACTGCGGTGAGAGACGGCCGTCTTCGTAGCCGTAGCTGCGGTTTCGGGTTGTCAGCTGCTCAGTTCATATTGCGGGTCTGTGACGGCGGGCGGAAGCCTACTTTGGCGTGTCAATGATGTCGTTGTAAGAAATGTCTCCGATGGTGGCAACGTCCTCGATGGCGCCAAATGTCAATTTACCGGTCGTGGGGGAAGCGGGATCGCCCAGCCGCGGCAACGTCAGTGACATGACAGGCTTTTCCAAGAGGCCTTTTGTAATCATGGCCTCGACCGGGGGAAGGCGCTCGAAGAAGTAGTAATTGCGAGAGACGTTGCGTGGGGCGAGACCGAAGATTCCGCCAAAGGAACCGTTTTGGAACTCGCCCTGACCAGCATAAAAGAGGAGAGCTGCTTCTGTTAGACCACAAACGGAAAGATGCGGGAGAGGTTGAAGCCTACGGGTGGCCAGATCAGGGACCGTAACGCCTCCAAAATCCACTGGCATGATGGACTGGTTGCCAATAACGCCGGCAACGCCGACGACGGTTCCAAATGTCTCATTTGCAATGATTGTGGTTTGGTTCTATAGGGCTCTGTCAGCACTGTGCAAACAAACAAGAGCCGAGAAAGGTCATTGGTCATACGTCGATCTGGTAAACGGGGCTGCGGTAGCATCCACTAGTTGAGTTGGTCGTGCTGCATTGATTTGACCCAACGAAAAGATCCCCTGAAGCGGTGTCAATGAGGACCGGAATGGTCTGACCATTAAAATCAAGGTTGGCGACGTAGTATTGGTCATCGTGCCTGTTGGACGGAATCGAAATGTCAACGACGCCGACCTTGCCGTTCCCACCCACTGTGGGAAGGGCCAAGGACAGACATGATGTCAGGAGGCTGGCCAAAGACAACAGAACAAAGAAAGTCATGGTGGGCATGGCTTCAGATTCTGATCGAGCAAGAAAACAAACAATGGAGCGGGTGCACTTTATCCAGTCGATGAGCACTATATTTATCTCTCACGCTTGTTTGGATCGTCGGGCTACGAAATACGAGGTGCAGGGTATGTACGAAGCAATTAACCGAGAAGGGAAGGTCCGTTCGCGTTGGAAACGAAGTCAAAGTGGGGATTTCCAGGGATCCCATCACAATAATGCCATGTCTCTTCGACGTATCCATCCATGATCACCGTTCAATGCGAAGCTGCCATCCCATTTTAAGGTGATGTCCGCTGATCTTTGCCTCTACTATAAATCCGCGAGGGCAAAGATGCGCCCGAGAGTTCAAGTACGGTCTCAATGGACTGGCGTCACAGCACCTCCATATCTTCGATCACACGAGCGGACTTCTGAACACGAGCATCGGCTGGCTGGTCGGCAGATTTGTTTTGTACACCGAGGTTTCTGGCTGAGCTCCGCTGCTTTCATCGTCAAGACAGCATGTTGACGCTGAGTTTGTCGATGATCTCCATGCGGAGTTTTCACTTGACGTGGAAACAAACGCGCATACTGCGAGAATCAAGAATGGCTAATGAATGGTGAACGGACATTAACACGGTTCCTAGATTCCAGAGTCTGCAACGCTTGACGACGTACTCGTGCGGATGAGTATTTGTCCTGTTCTCTTTCTGCTCAAACCTCATCCGCTGTAGAAATGCATCTGTCAGAAGGAATACTCCCATCCTCATCAAGGACTGGCTGTGGACAAAGGTTTTGCGAGAAGTAGCAATCGTTTTCTTTAAATAACATCAGAGGTTCCGGATAGCGTATATCACGAAAGGATCGTTGCTAGATAACTGATGCCATAACTACAGGGATATGCCTCTATGACGAAGAAACTATCCAGACGCTCGAATAATGCAAACCGCTTTTTTTTTTCACTTCCCACGGAAGGAATAGCTACGGCCGTCACGCACCACTAATCCTTCCACATCATCGATTCACGCAACCTCTGTCTGCTAGCTGCTCACTCATTTCTGCACCGTAGCGAGCGCAATTCCTTGACAAACAAGACAGAAAAATAACAAATGGTTACAGGGAAGGGGACGCAAGTATGGCCAACCGAATAGCTTACGCTCTACTCTTTTCAATCATTTGACTGCAATTGCGTGGTGTCCGACCGATCCTACGGAGTAGACTCTCTTGTTGGGTTCAGCTACCTATCCCATTGACCAACCAGTCACTCTAAGCCTAGGACGTCACGTAGACGAGGAAGTTAGCCGGATTCGACGGGGCTGATCCGCCAGTGCATCATTTCACTTTGCCGCTGTCAGAGTGCTGCGCCACTTTGGTGTCTAAATTCACAGCCGTTCTTTCTCTTCACCGTAGAGCATTCATTGAAGCCGCACAGCACTCCGCTGCCTGGCGTTGGAAGCAACCGATGTGAAGTTTCTCTAGAGGGGAAGAACTTTAAACAGCACATCTTCAGTGAAGGGTATGCCCACAAGACTTGGCAATACTAAATAAGCTAAAATAACTTCACACATGCTCCTCGACAGCTTACTATCCTCATAACGTATGTACAAGGAGACACCGAGCCACTCCAACATAGCCCAACCACTCCTCCCAGTTCCGTTCTCGAAGGCGCTGCAACCCAATACCTGGCCCCACCCCCGCATCCCTCCGAGAACGCAAGCCAAAACCCGCTCACTCAAACCTCAATAAAGTCCCAAATCATCTCATCAGCCTCCCAATTCTCAATAACCGCCAACTTGTCCACCCAGTCCACCTCCTTCACCCCGACAGGCCTCAGCGACCACCAATGATCCATCAGCAAAACACTTCCCGCTCCCCTCTCCCTCAAGCGAAACCGCTCCCACCCCTGATGCCACCCCGCAACGCAACACATCCTCAAACCGAAATCGCGGCCCAGAACCGCCCCTGACACCCCGTTCCGGAATCCCAGCCAGCCGGCGGTTTCGACGCACTCCCACTGCGACGCGCGGCCGTCGGGCGGGGAGAGGATGACGTCGCCGCCGCGCAGGGTTATGACGTGCCCGGACGAGGTGTCTCTGATCATGAAAGTGCGGCCGGGGTGGGGTCTTGGCAAGGCCGGCGGTTGTTGGATCGCAGGAAGGTGGCGGTCGTCGTCGGGGTCGTCGTCGAGGCCGCTGGCGACGCTTTCTGGGGGGGTTGTGGCTGTGTAGGTGGTTGATTTGTCGTCGTCGTCATCGGCGGCGGCGGCGGCGTCGGCGGCGGCGGCGTCGTGCGCGAGTGGTGGGGCGGAGAAGCGGGTCATGGTGTGTGGGAGGGGTTAGATAAGTGTGCTGCCTCAGTGCTGTGCTGTTGAGGCCAGAGTTGACGGTTTGGGTGATTGGTGGGTTGGCAGGCAATGCCTGCGCGGATTGAAGGAGTCGAGGGGGGGTGCGAGAAGCGGGTGGATAGATTGGAGTAGTAGGTTAGACGAGGTTCGGAAGGGAAGACGAGTACAGGCATGCCGGCTATAAGTATTTTGCCATGCCAGACATTCAAGCAGTTCCTGTCGTGCTGTCGAGTAGCCGCCAGCAAACTACGCGCCCCCCTACAGACGTGAAACTAGCGGCTATATATGCAAGGGATGAGCAGGGGTCTGTTATCTATAAAAATGTTCCTGCAACGAGCCCGGCAAGGAGTCATACAAAGGAGGCGAAAAGTTGCGCCTCTCAAGTGGCGAAGGGACGAAGCGATTAGATCATGTCATTGAGATTGCACAACCCTTGCAGTGAATGTTCCATCAGCTGCGCTCTCATATATCCGCCGCATACCGCTGTTTTCGGTGAGCGGCGCAGCTAGCTAACTGTGCCACCGCAGATCAGCCACTGGGTGGGGAATCACGGTTCAAGTTTAAGCGCCAGGAGTGTGATGGCGCTAAAAACTATTTGCGGGTATTCTCCACCCAGTCGGGACCCTTACTACTGTCTCCATGAGTCTCGTTTGTTGGATCGACCTTCTCATCCAATAACGTGCGATCCATGACTTCGCAGATCGAATCCCCGCTTTCTACGCTGTTAAGAAGAAAAAAGTGCAATGACCGTCTTGATCGCTTTTCTATAGGCTTAAGTCAACTTTCGTCGCCGCTATAAGGTTGTTAGTCAGCTATGCGTAGTAGAAATGTCATTTAACTCCGTGGACGTACCTCCCGCTAGCACTTTGGTAGCCCGGATGGGGAAAACAAGACCAAGAAACCTTCCCACCCACCTCCTCAACCCTATCAATCGCAAGCAACCCCCAAGCCAGCAACACTACGCATATCCAGCCCTCCATCGGCGTCAGAGATTTGCAAGAAGCTACTGCACTGCGTCGCTCCTCCCCCCAGCAAACTTCCACCTCGGCCCCTCACCCACCCCCATCCCTCCCAACCTCAACTTTCCACCAACCTCTCCCCCCCGGCATGCATGCCTCCACACCGCCCCCAAAAGCGCTCCTCATCGCTACCAACAACACCACCCTCTCCGGCGGCCCCGTCGCAACCATCCCGCACATCGCGGTCAGCACCGGAACGGAAGCCGCTCATCTCAACGGTGGCGCAGATGCAATGATAATGAGACTTTGCGGTAACAGTTGGCTGTGGGCGGGTCGAGGGTGGGGTTTGTTATATTGACGGCGGCGAAGGTCGTGGCGTTTAAGACTGGCGGTCGGGAGGGCATGTATACGGCTAGATGGAGGGGATTGTTGTTGGCTCCGCGATGGTCGCGGCTGGGGCGGCGGGTGTGCCTGAGACTACTTTTACGGGGTGAAGCTTTGTGAAAGGTATCGCAGGGATTGAAGACAGTGGTTGCGCAGAGGAGACCATCACGGCTGGCAAGGATGCTGTTACTGCTGCTGGAGAGATGCTAAATTTCGGGCCTTGTGGGAGGGTTGTAGATGAAAGTACGGTTGCGTTTAGGGACGGGACACCAACAACAGCGAATGTCACTGTCACTATTAGTAGTCTTACCTACAAGTCGAAAGAGGGAGAAAATACAGTCGTGGCTGGGTCAGAGACATTGACGGTTGGGGGTTCAGCGACAACTGTCTCAGGAGCGATGAAAAGCCTGGAGTCAAGCTGCGTCTTTGTCGGCAGTGGAAGCACAGCTCGCACGGATTTCGGTGCTGGAGTTGGACGACGATACCAGTACAGCACACAGGAAGTGGGGGGGAGTAAGGTTTACAGCTACCACGGATTATGAACCATTGCAATTGACCACTGCTGCTGTGGAATTCGAATGAGTAACAGGAGAGTTTAGAAAATATAAGGTAATGCGCAGGCTACCTTCAAGACTGCTCAAAGCTAGGCATCCTGGACGTTACCATGTGCCAACTCTTCTTTCCGACCCGAAACAGAGCTCTCTCGGGCTCCTCATCCAGATTACTTGACACGACACTCTTAACGAGTACCAACCTTGTACCGTAATTCTCACCAGATCCGGTTCCCCTCTTAAACAGTGCTGGTGAGATTGTCAACTCAAACTCCACAGGGCTCGCCTTGTTGTCGATTGCTTCCATGGTAGACTCGTTGAATTGTTTGGACGTCCTCCTTTGTGTCCAAGCCACTTGGTAACCCCAAGAGCAGTAGAAAAAAGCTTTCTCACCGTGAAACTCCCTATCAAGCTGGATCGCTCGCGCCACAATTTTCTGAAGCTCTTGCTTGAAGCTCATTTCCCCTTCGCAGACGTAACGACCGAGCAAACCCTTGACTTTCTTGCATACAATCCTCACCGCATTGGAGCTATCCATCGGCTGCTCGGCGTAGAAGGTTTCCGTCGTCAAGGACATCCATGCTTGATATTTTCGAAAGCTTTCTTCGTTCTGACTGCTCGACGATGGATCTTCATATGCACAAATTAGTCACCCTCGTTGGCTCAAGAGGTCGGAGTGCTCCGAAACTTACTAGGTCGGTGTTCATTTCGCAGGTGGCGTAGAGCATTACAATCATTACCAGCCCACAGGAACCCGCCGTCGCGAACCTGTCCAAAGACAAGTTCCATAAAAACGCCCCATACGACAGCTTGGGCGATGTCAACACGCCTGGAGGGACTTCTGAGAAAATCCAAACAGTGGGACGTGTCTGTGAGTCGAATGATCTCGTAGGGAATGTCATCGCCCATGCGCAACGACAGCCGTGCTGCTTTCGACTTTGGCTTGCCTTGAAAGTGGCAGTCTGCCCAGTTTCGTACATCGTATTGGAGCCCCCACCAAGCTTTTCTGATGTACTCGTCGTCGACTTTGTTCCCTCGTGCTGCACGGAGTTCTCTCAGCTCTGCGGCTGCTTGCTTCCAAGCTTCGAGAATGCTCTCTTTCTCTCTCTCAATGTCTTCGTTTCGCTCTCTCTCCCGTTGTAGGTCTCGTCTGTATCGTTCCAGATCTTGGCGCATGCATTCGCCGTCCTGGAGCCTTTCGTTGAATAAGTTCAACTCTATCCCAGGTGACGTGTGTGTTGGCAAAGATGGCAAAGGTCTCTCGGTGATGTTGGGCGCGGGCAATTGTGGAGACGGGACCCTGGTTTGATGGCCTTGAGTCCGTTTCAACGATCCCGCTCGCTTGACTCGGTGGAGAAAAGAACTTCGGTGTTGATCCTGCTCAGTGGTAGTCGAAGCTACACTGTTTCTGCCGTAAGCAAGGCTGGTCTGGCTTTCACTGTCCAGTGTACCCTTCATCACCAACGCAGAATGAGCTGAAGATGATGTATAAGGCCTCGGTACCTCGGCAACCTTGCCGAATGCTGGGAGAGCTTCGTTTCTGAGGGTGCAATCCTGTCTCGGATAAGCTGAAGGTGTTGTATAAGGTACCACGGCCTGTGTGTTGTCAGTAGTAGGTGGCATGGGTTCATTATTGATGGTGCAGCTTGTTTCAAAAGCTGCGTTCTCTTGTGACAATTTGGGGTCGGCTTCAGGATCGTGTTGGTCCGGGCATGACCGGGGAGACATGATTTCGAGGTCGAACCAACAAGGCAGATCTTTTCCGTCAGTTGGGAAGCCGGACTGATCGTTCGCAATCACGAGTTAAATACGCCATATTGGGAACTGATTCGGCCACAGGCGACGCGCCAATGTATGACTCTTATCCAAGCATGCATGTGTTAAAATGGCAGCAGCTTGCGCTGATTCTCCGCCAGGCAGCAGGCAAGGCTATGGGATTTGACGCATGCAAGGCTGAGCGGCTTCGATCGCGCGACACGCATGGCTTACTGCTAAGCCTTGCTATGGCGTGGCGTGCTTAACGCACTCTCGCTTCACTTTCAAGCCACGGCGTATATCGATGCAACATCGGCCAGGATTTATGCTCGTATTGTTCTACTTGGAGTGGGGCTACATCCGGGTGGGGCCGTCGAGCACTCCTCATGTTTCCGGGCACTTTCACATGGAGAAGGCCGGAAGCATGTCGTCGAGACGATCGTCTACCCCAATTAGATAATGCTTGGTAACTTTGGCAATCACAAGAAACAGTTCTTGGAACATACAGCCCTAATACACACCAAGGAACGGAAGGAGATTCACGAAGATCGAGATCGACAAGCCAGCAACCGTCGCCAAAACCTGGAAGCCGCTTTTCCACATGGACTTCTTGACCTTTGCAATCTTCTCAGCTGCCTCAGAGTGAACATTCGTCTTGAGCTCTTCCAGATCCCTCTTCTCTCTCTTCATCTTCTTCAGCGTATCCCTCTTTTTCTCCTCGTATCTGATGCGCTCTTCTTGACGTCCCGCAGAATTCGCAATCGATATTTCTTTATCGAGTTCGTCAAGTTCTCTGGCCGTGATTTCAAGCTGATGCTTGACGTTGGGTAGAACCAGACGGCCAGCAGAAGTCTGTCCGAGCAGGCATCGCGAATCATCCAACTCGTTCTGCACCTGCAACACAACGTCCTCTTTAGCCAACAGCTGCATTATAAACCCTTCGGCCATGGGCGCGCTACCGTCGAAAGGCGCAATGGTTGATCCCCGGTCCTCCAGCGTATTCCAAAACTCCTCACGAAGTTGTTGCTGTCGCTTGCGCCCTTCCGACTCAGGTACTCGATCCCACATTGTGGTGAGCAGTATGACGTTTGAGAATGCCTGCTCGCCACAGATTTGCTGAAACATTTCGAAGTAGCGGACTGAGCTGCCGCGCATACGAACTTCGTTGATGGATTGGAGGTAGATGATTCCCTTCAACCGTATCCCGAGTTGATGTTGGGTGCTCAGGAAGCGGGTGATTTCATGAAGCACTTCGGCGTCAGACCGAACCGTATCGTCGAACCCTGGAGTGTCTACAATAGCCACGGACATGTCCTCGCCGACATCGCTGTATGCAATCTGGCAATGCTGTGTCTCTGCACGGTTCGAATCTCGTCAGTCGAATCCGCCCGCATGGAACCAAGGAGAGGGGAGGTTCCCTGGGTAAAAGAATCAGTAAATACCTGACCGCAGCCCAGACTGCTCTCTCGTAGCATTTTCCACTAACTTGTTGACAAAGTGACTCTTTCCAGCTCCTGTCACTCCCATGACTAGCACCATGCACTCTTCCCTGGGGCTGATCGTCGTCATAGCGAATTAGAAGAGGATACTTCCTTCAGAAGATAACTAGCATATGTGCTATGGAAGCGTGGTAGTGAGGCTGAATACAAATTCCCAAGCAAAGACTAAGAGTGCTTGTATCGGGGCAATGTCAGCGGCCGGCTTGGCGTGCGGGGCAATCTTTTCAGCCTCGTCCTCCGCCCCCTCCTCAGTCAGCCACAGAGACATTCCCTGTCATTATCGACATCTGCTGTAGCAGCTCTGATCAATCATGGCGCAGCACTGCCCCGCGCGCTTGGAAAGCCGACGTCAGCCACGGCGTGGTCTAGAAGCACCGACAACCAATTGTTCCAACGCCATCACTTGAGCAGCAAGCAGCTTGCTGCAGAGTCGCATTATGCAGTCGCAGAGGAATGCAGTCTGGCCCCCGTGCTGTCTGCAGTACTATTTTGGGGGACTTTCTCGATGTGTCACATCTCTCGCTACGCGAAGGAAGGCTTGCGAACAAGTCAGGGCACAACTTATTATCTTCTACCGCTTTGAGATTGTGTGCCAATCGTTATCGAAGATTCCTCAGCTGTATCCACTCTACGCGAACATCACCATGGAGAGCTCAGATCCATGCTTGGTGATTGGAATTGATTTTGGGACAACGTGAGAAGTACCCAACCCGACACTAGTCCTTGAGTCTAACGATTCTAGCTTCTCCGGCTTTGCGTATGCCTTTTCAGAGCAGCTGGACCGCGAAGAACCGACTGTGCTCACCAGCTGGAGAACAACCGGTACTTTCAACTCGGACGATGCGAAGGTACCCTCGAAAATTTGTTACGATGACGACAAAATCCTCTGGGGTTTTGAAGACTCGCCAGAGGAAGAAACGCTGCGATGGTTCAAACTTCTGCTGGTTGATGAGACCGACCTGCGACACGAGCTGCGCGATAGCAAGTACCTCAAGCGAGCGCGCGAGCTGATGGAGCGAAACCGCAAAACTCCGGTGCAGGTTGCCGCCGACTATCTCCAGTGCCTCTGGGCTCACGCAGAAGAACGCATGGAGCGCGAGCAAGGCTACAGTGCGGTGACTTCTTTGCCTTTCAAGATCGTGCTCACGGTACCAGCGATCTGGCCCGAGAAATCCAAGGGAAGGATGATCCAAGCGGCCAAGATGGCGGGACTCAACAAGAAGCGCCTTGCGGGAGAAACGACAATAAGTCTTGTTTCGGAGCCTGAAGCCGCGGCGTTGGCAACCCTGGCAGACTTCAGAGGACGATCGGACGTGAAGGTAAGCGGCTGCTTCTGCCTGAAACAGTCAGATTTGCTCTAGCTAACTCAGAAAGTCGGACGACATCTACATTGTCTGCGACGCTGGGGGCGGAACAGTGGTAAGTCATCTGAAGCCACGCATGTATAGCTCGCTCACACTGTACCAGGACATAATAACCTACCAAATCGAACGCACTGAGCCGATGGTGATGGAAGAGTACGTGCGGGGAGAAGGTATTGTTTGAGCATTCTACATGGTGACCAAACACTAATCTATTACAGGAAAGCTTTGTGGTGCCGTTCTGCTGGATGAAGCTTTCGAAAACACAATGAAATTGAGTTTGGGGAAGAAGTGGGGAAATTTGGATCCGGACGTCGTCAAGCAGTTCATGGAAACCGAATGGGAGAGGGGTGTAAAGCGAGCCTACCGTGGTACGGCCCAGTCGTTTACCGTCAGGCTGCCAGTTGAGGCCTTCGCCGTGAAAAGGCTCAATCTTCACAAGCCAATGACAGACAAGAAGAAAGACATTACTGATGGGAAAATCCGTCTCGAAAGGTCAGCTGGCCCCCAGCAAGGAAAAGCACATGCACTAATCATTTCGGTGTTACAGCGGTCACATGAAATCTATTTTCGACCCAGTGATCCAAAAGATACACAGCCTGGTGGACCAGCAAGTTTCCGAGATTGAGAAGAAAGGATATAGGAAGCCAAAGGTTTGCGGTCGCCCTCTTCCGTCCGAGAACAATAGCTAATTCCGTCGTCAGGCTATTATTCTTGTTGGTGGCTTTGGCGGCTCTGACTTCCTTTACCAGCAACTGAGGCGTGAGCAATGTGGAAGGGGAATCGAAATTCTACAACCAAGCGGATCAAAGCCGTTAGTAAACGAAGTTTCCTCATCTCAGCGCCTCGACTGACTACTGCAGGTGGACTGCTATCTGCCGGGGAGCTGCTCTTCGAGCTGGAACAAGCTTCCATGGAAGCCACGTGGCGTCCCGCATATCCCGTATTAGCTATGGGGTCAGGTATAACACGCGCTTTGTGGAGGGCAAACATCTCGAGGGCGACAAGTATTGGTGCAAGGTAGAAGGAGCTTACTTTGCTCAACAACAGATGGAATGGTATCTAAAGCGGGTAAGTCTCTTGAAAAGTTGGGAGCCTGTCTTCTTTTCGGCTAAAACCATGCAGGGGACAAGACTAGACGATCAAAGGGCCGTGAAGCTGACCTGGATTCGGCACGTCGCAGAACTGCCCGATCAACTGTTCTCAACGACAGTGTTCGGATGTAGCGAATCCGACCCACCCGATAGGTGCGAGCGGACCGTCAATGCTTTGTGTGAAGTCAGTTGCCGTCTTCCCTTGGCCTTCGAATCCTTGCCTGTTGTCATCGGTTGGGACAATCGACCGTATCGAAGGATCTCGTACGTCATAGAAATGACCCCGACAGACTCGGGCCTTGAGTGGGCAGTTTCAATGGACGGTGTACGGATTGGTCAGGAAAATGTTGAGGTCGAATACGAATAGAGAAGTTTTTCATCGGGTCAGGAGTTTGTGTATGGAATTTGTAACTAGTGAGAGAACCTCGTAGTAAATTCAATATGAAAATGGCACCAATGAAACCTTCCTAGTGCATGGCGAGTTCCCGCGCGTGTTCTCCCTTCCCATTGCGTTGCTTTTGCTTTCGTAACATGAGTGCCAACACGACGACAGCCCCAAGCGCAATGGCAGCAATGGACCCAATCACACCGCCAACAACTGAAGTTGTTCGTTCTTCATCATTGCATGCGCCTGTAGTTGCTCCTGGTGCCTCGCTTTGTGACGTTGAACTGTTTGAGCTGCTTGAACCGCTTGAGCTGCCTGTCCTCGACTGAGGGGGAGTAGTCGCCGCCGCCTTCGTGGTCTCCACCGGCAAACGGACGATCGAGCCATTGCTTCCTTCCAGAGTTGCAATTTTCCCTGATCTAGAGTCGCAGATGTAATTTGTTCCGATGATGACCTCGGCATCGTCGGTGTAGTGAATGATGTTCGTAAAACAATAGGGTTTAGCTGAATTGAAGGTGCTGTAATTTCCCATCAGCCACAGGCGTGCCTTGACCATTATTATCATACATACCACATCAAATTAGTGGATGCGCAGTCACCCTTGCAGGACCCCGCAGCAGTGTGATCGACACAGGCTGGATAGAAGGCAGTGGTGTCCGGCCAGTGGTAACAGCCCATGATCGTACCGCTCAGTACACATCTGCCGGGGAGTGAGCAGATAAAGATATTGCCGTTGCCCACGTAGGTCCCACAAGTGTCTACCGTCGCCGCGGTCTGTCGCTTTTTCAATTCTGCTAGCGACGGCGGGGTCGTTATCTGCGCTCGCAAATTCTCTCTCCCAAGAGAAGCCGGAAAAGCGTTCGTGTGTGTGTGCTCTGGATGCAATGCATGGCAGAACACCAGGAAAAAGACAGTTGACGGAAGAATGAAGAAGATCATGTTGAGGAGATAGCTAGCACGATTCAAGATGCGGGTTTGATGGTGGCGACGTCCTTTAGTAGCTTAGACTATCTATTTTCGAATGCTTCTTTGCACATATCCCACTCCGAATTGTGGCTGCTTACCGTGCATTGCTCATTGAGGCGAAGATAGCTTACGTATGTAAGCTGGGTATATACCGCAGCCACGGGAAGAAAAGGCTATCATGCATGCTACAGAGCAATGCAACTACATGGGTCTTCTTTGCCTGCTTCGTCTTCTTATCAAGCGTGATTCAGTCTACTTTTGCCTCCACCATGACCAGCAAATCTGATCATGATGAACCCAACACTGACACCCGCAAGTTCTGGCATCGTTGCGACCCCAGCAGCATTCATCAATACCTCTTTGCCTGTCTTTGAGTTCGAACACGCCAGTCAGCAACCGCACGATTTATCGGAAATTCTTGACCGCCTGCAGGCAGCATTGCGAGACCTTCAACGACTACAATGCCAGGCATCCAGACCACCGGGAAGTTTCGAACCGCATTGGCTCGACAGCGCAATCAGTAACGTCGGACATGCAATCCATGGCCTTGTCGCGACCGGCGGCCCCGCAGACTTTGAAAAGGAAGCACAATGTAACACGCCCCAATGCAACAGCAATTCTCCTCGTTCCGATATTCTAGCAGGAAGCACCTGCATACCATCTCCCGATCCCAAGGCCCGGAGCGTGCACAGTCCTACAGCCAGCCTCGTCGCCTACGAAGATAACGCCTTCCTGCACCGCAAACGTCAGTCATATCCATCCGAGTCATTATTGCACACAGCCTCGCGGATCCGACTCCCCGACCGCCGCACTGCCTCGTGTCCGACGCTTACTCCCATCCTTCAGCCTGGTCCGGATGCAGATGGGTTGCAATTGTGCGAAGATAGTTCTCAGCTGCAAGCGACACAGCCTTGCGTTGAGCAGGGGCCGGAGCAGCAGCCACAAGCGGAGTCCATGGCGCCGATTGGTCGGAGTGGAGCCAGGTTACGGAGGCGGGCTTGGCTTGCACGGCAGGCTTTGGGTGAATGAAAGGGATTGGTCGGGCTAGGCGACGGGACGCACGTGGCATGGATTCAGTGTTGGGTTTACAGCCTTGCAGCCCTGTGTGTGATATTGTTGTGGTGATTTGTCTTCGCCATGCAGCATGTGTCTTCCAAATACGCCCTTTTTATTTTCAGTACTTATGAGTAATTTGACACGTTATCGTAGCTTCAACATTTCATCACCGCCCGGTCATTTTCCAAAAAAAAAAAGGAGAAAAAGATTTTGCTTATTCGACATTGAACGGCTGAACTACAGACCCAAAGCTGATCGAGATATATCTCTCAAAATAAGAAGACGAGTAGGAAAGGAACGGCGATGTGCATCGGGGCGTCAAAGCCGGTCCACCACCTGCGGAATCAAAGCCAACGGCGAATGCAGCAGAACGCCATTCTCATCACTCAGCCTGACCAGGCTAGGCAGCACAACCACACTCCCGGACTGTGGTGGCGTCCAGCGGAACTCGAAGGCTGCTGGCTGCGAAAAAAGTAATAACGCCATGTTGGTGGCGTTCTGAAAGACAGCATCCAGATTGGCTTGCCAGAGCGCATCGTTCGTGTTCCGCTGCCAGGGGGCAAATGCAACAGCGAATTGTCGTGTAGCCTCGTCGATAGCTGTTTTCTGGACAGCCTTGAAGTCGTCGTCATCACCGGGCGGCGGGTGCAGGTAAGTGGTCAGGCGTCGCCAGCGCCCAAGCACCTGTGTAACAGATGGATCTTGGGACTGGCCCACGAGGTGCGGCAGGCGGTCCATTGAAGCTGGGAGGAGTGGTACAATGGAATCGCCGAGCAGGATTCGCGCGAGGCAGTGCTTCATCAGCAATGTTGGCCTTGCTGACCGGCGAAGCAGTGTCTGCAGGGGTGCTGGGAGATGTGGGGAATTTACGACGCGTAGCGCTTGCTCGTCAATGTCCAAGCTCTTTCGATCGGTGTAGTGGTTCTCGATGTGGACTTCGGCCAGGTCCAGCACCGTCTTAACGAGTTGCCGTATCGTCCGGTCATCTGCTTGCTCTAGAAGCTGTTGCTCCCATGTCTCCTCGATGGTGCTGTCAGGATCCCTTGGCCCACCAACCTTGGTCTTCCCGCTGAACTCTTCAGGCTTGGGCGGAGCCGTTCGTCGCTTGCTGCGCAGAAGAACGAATGTGACCAGAAATGTGATAGCAGCTGCAGCGACTATTGACCCAACAACTGATCCAGCAAGTGTTGCTGGGGATATTGTGGATCTCGTTGGAGTTTGGCTTGTAGTGGCTACTGTAACCGTCGTAGTAGCGGTATAGCATGCGTTGTTCGGTGTGGTCGATGTTGGTACGCCTCCGTTCACTTCAGATGGCCCCGTTGAAGGACTTGTAGCTGAGGAAGTCACTGTCGTTGCGGTTGTTGGTAGAGAAGTACCAATTGCCTGATTCTCTGGCGGGGAATTGGAGTCTGGCATGTTTGAAAATTGATTTTGGGCAAACGGGCTCACGGATTCGAAGGCCATCGATTCACATACATATATTTCTATCAATTTTGATTCCGTGCGTAAGCCGCGACAGGCCACAGTTTCGCTAGCCAGGGTATCTATGCAGGATCAGCTGCGCCACTCAATATCTCACCTGCAGATCATGCTCGCATTTTGCCCTCTAAATGCATGTTCCAGACGCCAGGCGTAGTTAGAACGCTACGTGGTCACTTGGAGCGCCCAGGTAGCCTTGTAGAAACAAGCAGAATTAGGATAAGCCCCGCCATCTGTACCTGCGGGCGTGTGCAGTTCGCGCTTATATCTACGATGTGTTTCAACATTACTCTGACAGTCACGAACGGAAATTCCGCGCGCGAAAGACATCAAACACCATGGGCTCAACAGAATGGACTCCTGATTTTGTCATTGGAATAGACTTTGGGATGACTTGCACGGGTACGCCCCTATCCCAATTGCCAACGCTGCCCCAGCCTGACCGAATGTGCACCCGCAGGCGTGTCATACTCGATGGGGCCCGCGTGGCCCTCACCTAAGACCATCCAGAGCTGGCCAGGCAAGATTGGCACCGAACTCGCCAACAAAGTCATGACAGCTGTTGCCTACCACAGTCACAGCCATCAGGCGCAGGCTTGGGGTTTCCTTTGCGACACTATCTCCGAGAGCAACCGTGACATCCGCATCGAAGAACTGTTCAAGTTGTATCTCGATCCAACCTACGTAGATACTGATCCACAGTCGCCCTCGGTCCAAGACGCTCAGATATGGTTCCAGGCTTACATGCGGTTCTTGCACGAATACCTCGAGGACTATTTTTTCACCCGCTTCCCACGCTGGCGCAACCAGAGAGCAGAGTTCGTGTTTAGCGTGCCCACAACATGGAAGAACCCAGCCATGATCGCCGAACTATCACGGCTGATCAAACGAGCCGGATTTGGGGAAAATCTGGATCACGTGGTGCGCATATCGTTGACTGAAGCCGAAGCTGCAGCAGTGTACGTGGCCAAGAATACCTACCAGAAGGATGACGTTTTCCTCATCTGTGATGCTGGCGGTGGGACAACCGACATCAATCTTCTCAAGCTGTTGTCGTCGAGCAGCTCAACTCAGCTACTTCCACTGAGTAGCGTGGAGGGCATAGCCGCAGGCTCTTCATTGCTAGACTTCAAAATGGCTCAGATAATTGCAGGCCGTTTGGAGCTGATCAAGCAACACCTCGTCGGAGCTCCAGCAGATATTGCCGAACGCATGTTGTCCGAGCGGTTCGAAACTTTCAAGTGCTCGTTCGGTTCTCCGGTAATGAACGTCGAGCAACTTCCTTTGCCGGTTCCTGGACTCGGTATCGGCCAGAGCTTTCCCTCTGCCGGTATCGTCGACTCCAACATGGTGATTCACAGGTACGTTGAATGGGATAGCGCACTTCGCGCGCTGACAGACGAACAGGGAGGAACTCAAGGTCCTTTTCGATGGTCAGATCGACAAGATCTGCAATCTTATCGATACACAGCTTTTGTATCTGCAAGAAAACTACCCGGCCGAACAACTAGTTGAGTCGATCCGCAGAGGGCAGGACCGAAAGTATGCCTCGCTGACAATCATCAGTCGTACATCGTCGCATCCGGGGGACTCGGCAGCTCTCCTTACTTACTACAGCAATTGAAGAATCGATATGAGCTATCCCACCGCATGAAGCACTCCAACGCACAACGTGTCCGAATCCTTTGCGCGCCGGAACCGTAAGCCACCCACAAATCTCCACGTCTCTTCAACAGATACTGACCATGAGGCAAGCCAATTGGCCGTCTGTCACGGCCTGGTGATGGAGCGTATACAGGAGATCGTCTCGAAGAGCGTGGTCTTCAAAGTGCGACGTTGCCGCGTGAGCTACGGGATCCTTTGCCGCGAGCTGTATGACTCGAAGAAGCACACCGGCCGGGCGCCGACGGTAGATCCTCGTGATGGAAAGCGGTGGGTGGAGGACCAAATACATTGGATCATCAAGCAAGTGTGTTCGCCACATCAAAACGGCTCTCTCTGGCAATGTATTGACCGTGCTCCCAGGGCGAGTCAATCGATACAACCCAGGGTGTGAGGTACAAGTACCGCGTGAAGCGTGACTTGGGGGCCGAGACACTCCCATGGCGGGCAACCGTTGTCATGTCGCAGCTCCCACCCAATCAGTTACCACGCAGCCTAAAAGCCTATGGCGTCACACCCGTGTGCGTGCTTCATGCTTCTCTCATGGCCTCCGAGGTTCATCGTAAAAACCGGCGCTGGTACGCCTGGGCCCGCGAACATTGGTCGGCCGAGCTGGAACTGCGCGTCTTCGTGGGCCCAGCGGACCTGCGCTTCGAGCTTTGGGGTCAGAACGGTCCGTTGAATATGGGCGATGGTGTTGTTTCCGTGGACTGGGAAGCGCCGAGTCAGATGGATAGCGCGCATGAGATTCAGGGGAGGTCCGAGTTGGAGGGTAAAACGCATGCCGCGTTTGGCTCGTTCACATCTTAGAGGCAGGCATACGACGACGCAAATCTTACTTCCCACGTGCAACCATATATACGTGAAATTCATGTGATATGTTCCTTCCAAGCAGCTGCGTTCCTCGCCATTAGCCTCGTCTGAACAAGCGTGAGACTTCAGTTGGCTTCGTCATCATCATCTCTTGCTCTGAAATGTTCAACAACATTGGACTTGGTTCTTCCGCGGAAGAGCCTTGATCGCCATGCCAGTACTCCTCGAGCTCAGGACGGGCAACGAAAAGTTGTTTGCCAAAGTATGTTGCTAGAGCGAAACTTGCTTTGAGCAAACTACGACGCGTTAGTATACGGTCATGGAAGACTGGAGTGATCACCAGGACGTACCACGAGGAGCCGATCGGCGCAGCCAGGTCTCTTTTGTATTTCTCTGACCCCTTACCTGGAGGGCAGAATGCCGAAAGATCGAGCGAGGGAGCCTTTTCGGCGAGATCGTACAGTGGTAACAGTACGAGGAGGCTAGGACTAGCGGAACCGAGAAGCAGGTGAAAGATCCTTCCGTGTTTAAGGTACGCTTCTAGATCTCCCTTGGCTGCGTGACGACTGTTTTCGTCTTGCTCCATAGAGCGTAAGATCTCGTTCTTTACAATAGCTCGAACTTGGACGGGGCGGAGCGGGCTTGTGCACGCTGGAGTCGACGTTCCTCTGCTCTGTCGTTTCTTGAGATTTCTTCGTTCATCCGATGCCAGTTTCGTTGCAGCCTTCCTTTGCGCGACTACTGCTTCGAAAAGCTGGAAGTACTCCATCTTTTGTGCAGCAATTTGGTAACAGGTCAAGAAAGATACAGCTTGGAGGGTGCTGATGTTTTGATGGAGATGTACTAGCCCACGGACACCTTGGCAAAAACGTCCATCCTTGGTGTTCCTGTATGAAGCTTTGCCGGGTGTCTGGAGGTGTGACTTGATTTGCAGGAGTAATGGTATGTTGGCAATCTCGCAGATGCACTGCAACGTTCTCAACACTTTAATGCAGGACTGGTCATTGGGTGCGTTTCGGAGAGCCTGAAGGACTCCATCGACACAAAATCCGCCAGCACGTGCAGCCTGAGAAACGCTTTCTCTCCAATGGTCAATCTCAAGTGGCGTTGAGACGTCGGGTGAGTGAGATAACGTCGCACACTGACCGGGCAATCCTACGGCTTGGAATTCGACAGACGAACTCCCGAAGTCTTCACTCCCGCTGACGTCGCTATCACTTTCGCGAACATCGGCGGTGAAAGTGGATGGACGTTTTCGAGGGTTTTTTAAGTTATTTACCATGAGCTGAGACAACGTTCGAGAGGTGTGGAGAACGGCCGGAGCCATCGTATGGTCCAGGGAAGTCCAAGAATCGAAATCGTCTTCTGGCTTGCGTACCGCATTTGGTCCACTGTACTTCTCTGAACACATTGCTACTTCATCTTTTGATCCCACTTGGATGTCATCTCTGACTCCGTCTGCAACACGTTCATGTCGATGGTCTTTCTGTGCCTCCTCACTTTCGTCCTCTCCTTCCTGGAACCGAAAGTGTGCGGCGGTGGGTGGGTCCCACAGCGGACAGTTCGGCCCACAGAAACTGTAGCCCTCAGGCGGCCCCGACCAGCCTGGCGGTGCAAAGTTGATTGCCTGAGCATAGTTGGGTCCGGCATTGGCGACCTGGTGATAGGCTCCGGGCAGTGTTACGACCATCTCTCCGGCTCGGCATGTAACAATATGGTAGGGCACCTTCCATTCCTCAAGCAGCCTCGGCGACAGCAGGGCGTCCATATGGCGGACAAATTGGGAGCAAGGACGTGCAAAGCGTAGCGGGTCCGTCAGGGCCTTTTTTACCTTGGCCTCGAGCAACCCAAGAGCACTCGGCGGAACTATGAGCCAGACCTTGGGTGCTCCGGTAAAGAGGATATTGATAGACCCCAACAAGGCATCCTCGACATGCATGCCAGTAGCGGAGGACGCAGCCGAGCTGATGTATTCGTACGGTGTATGGACGCCCGCAACCTTGCCTGCAGTGCGTGCCAGCCGGCTGCCGCAGTGCACATACGGTTCTGCCGGCAGGCCTGCAGATAGTCTCCAATCGGAGGTACAGTCGGTCGGGATGACAAGATACGGCTTGTGGCTGCCCTCGGCGGCAGCCTCGACAGTGGAACAGAACAAGGCGCGTCCGTCCAGATGTACGCTCCCTGCTTCTGCCTCGGCGGCTTGCATGTCTCGAAAATCGAAGCTTGAAATGGGCGTCTCTTCTTCGCTGTTGGCGATGAAGAGGGAGCATACCAATCCAACAAGCTCATCCCGGCCGCCCCATTCCTCGATTGCCACGGCGGCGGATTGGCAACCGTCCAGCTCTTTGACAGTGTAAGAACCTATCCTGTCGCGGTCGACGGTTCGTATGACATCTTCGCCGACGCGGACCTTGCAGTAGCCGAGCTCGTTGCAATCTGGGAAGTCGTCGAGCATTTCGTAAATGGCCGGCACGAGCCGACGATCGCTCTGCCCGAGGCCAAACGTGACGGTTCCATTGTAGAGACCAGGACAAGACGGTTCTTCGTTTGGCGTCGTGTCTACGGTTGGGGAATCGCCGGTGGGAAGGCGGTTGCGCCGGCGCTGCTCTTGTTCGATTGCCTTGGAAAGCTTGGTAATATGGCGTGATATGGAGCCGACGCTGCGTTTTAGGAGCTGGATTTGTTTTTTTGCAGTAGCGAGGTCCACGGTCGAAGCATGCGGAACCGGCGCAGAGGATAAGTCCTAATGTATTGAGGGTTAGCGGACACAGGTCCGGGGAGGTGGCCGTGTGATTGATCTTCATACCGCTAGTTGTGCCGACAGACTGGTCAGTTTGCGTCTTAGCGTCAGCAGACTACTGCCGGATCCCATGGCATGGCGCGTGTCTCTGACTTTGGTCCTGCCCATGATGCGCGTGCGACGTTACCTTTGTGCGTGCGCTGTTTATGCGATAGCTGATGCGGATGATGCCTGGGTTGCAGAAGGAGGTTGGATTGCAAGGCTGGTATTACTCCAAGACCTTCAACCCCCACTTTCTGTGTCCCTCAGCCGCTCCGTTGTTACACAGTGGCACAATGGCCAGAGCCTCGCGGAAACGGATGCTGTGCCGCTACGCCTTAACTGGTCTAGTGGCACAGTGTTCATGCTCAGGAATCTCTGGACCTTGTGCCGCTAGCGTCCATCCGGAAACGCCTGCCTAATGCGACTCGTGCATCGCTTGATGATTCGATGGCCAATCGTTCTGGCTCACCCTTTTGAGAGCTGTAGCGTTATTTACACCGATGTCAGCCGTAATCTGCTGGCCCAATTCGATGGTCTACTTTCCTTACCGTAATTACCGCCGGATACTCCCGCCTTAGCACTCTTGGCACAACCTCCCAACTCTATTTGTGCGACTCACATGCAAACTGACTGATGAGGGTTCAGCGCCACTCATAACAGGCAGAGACTAGCCTGAAGACTGCAAGTCGCCATTAACATTTCCCTTTGTGGAGCTGACCGCCATGCGCCATGAACAAATGGCAAAACGTTCATAGATGCTGGGAATTGCGTAGCATTCATTATATATATTCCTACGCCTTGAAAGTTGTATATCTGTGCTAATCTCCTTTTTCGGGTGTTTACTCTTGCGATAATTCATGCGCCAAGGACTCGCCACCTGTTCCATATCTGTCTCGTGTCCCCTTCAGTGCTAAACATAATCGACAGCTGAAAAGCAATGTGCCGTGAAACAAGGCTACATAAGACTGGCGGATCCGGCCGATTGATTGCTCTTACTCACTTTTCGACATTTCATCCTGCCTGTCGTATTGCTCATGATCCAGCGAACCTTTCTTATCATCTTCGCCCACGCGATAATTGATCGCGTCGCTGCTACATCCTGCGATTATAGCGGTGGCTATGCTGTTCGTGTTCCGGATTCCTCCTGCCCCTCCGACGCACCGAGCTCGTGCGGCACGGGTAAGCAGGTCAGATGCTGTCCAAGTGGTCAGGACTGTGGCACCGATCCTGAAGATCAATTCTGCTGTGCCACTGGTGCGTGGCAACATGAGTCGGCTATCACAGTGGACAAAGGCTAACACCCCGACACAGGAGCCAATTGCACAACTGAATTCTATAACAGACCCAAAGTATGCACTCTACTCTATAGGCTCGACCATTGCTGACGTCTTTGCTTCCTCCGGCATAGTGCGCGGATGACTCATGGTCATTCTGGGGAGCCGATGGGACACTGAAGGTTGGCGGGTGGTGCTGTCAGAGCGGGCTCGGCGGAGTGGTCGTGTATGCAAATGACAACACAGCGGGTGGATTCGCATGCTCTCCAGTGGGACAGGTGCTGGGCACGTCTGAAAGCTGGGCAACAAGGGTCACTGCCGTCACCAGCCAATGCAGTAAGGCGAGCAGCACATCCATGACCACGACCCGATCCTCCCTCATGACAGCAACCCAAGGCAGCTCTGATGCTGCCGCGACGGCAACCCGAGGTACCTCTGTTCCCTCAGCCTCACGAACGCAGCAAACATCGGCGTCGAAAGTATCCAGTGGTTCCATAGCAGGGATTGTGGTTGGGTGCATTGCCCTCGTTGCACTCATTTTCATTGGTGGATGTTGCTATGGGAGAAGAATGGCGAAAGGGAGTGACGGAATGCAACATACGGCCGGATCACCAGGACCTGCGTATGCACAGCAAACCACCCTGGAACTCCAAAACGAAGGGCGGCATGAAGCTCCAGTAAAGTCTCCGACCTACGAATTGGATGAAAGAAGACAGGCGCATGAGCTCGGTGGTTCATGATTGCACGGCGCGGCGAATTGGCTTCGTCCAACGCTCCACCTGTCGTCATAAACAGGATTTTCAGGCATTGAATTACACATATCCGCCCCAAGCTTCTCCAAGGTCTCACCATATTATAACCCACCGCATCATTCAACTACCCCAGCCACTAAAGTTAAAGAAATGACGTCGCGAATTGGTCAGTTGCGTGGACGCTGATCCCGGCGGGACTACTCTGCTTTCCATCGCTACCAACACCACCACACTAAACACTCCCGTGTACCAACACAGCTCAGCCCTCTCCCACCTCCCCCCCTTCAACATCAATACCGAACCTCCTCTTCCCCTCCTCTCCCCACCATCCCAAACTCAACACCAACCCCTCCATCACCTCCCTCTCAAGCGCTTCCTCCTCCAACTCCTCCCCCCGCCCCTCCAGCGCCCCCACCCGCTCCCTAATGACAGCCAGCCACTCCGACCCCTCCACCAGCCCCGCAAACCCCGCAATACTACACGGACACCTCGGCACCACCCTCTCCGCGCTCGTCACCACACACGCCGCAACAACGCACGCCGCCACCGCCGCCAGCACTGCCTGCAGCACCCGCGTCGACACCTCATCCTGCCTCAGCCGCAAGCGATCGGGATCCACCAGCACCCCATCCAGCAGGGGCCGCCGCTGCTCCGTGTCGTCGTCGTCGTGATCGTCATCGACAAACGCCCGCCGCTGCGTCGCGAGCACCTGCGCCATGTACAAGCCGTAGGCGTGGTCGATGGCGGCGACGAGCTTGTCCACATTCTGCGGGTCGACGAGTTCGGCGACGGGCGTCCCGCCGAGGCCGTATGCCACCAGCAGCGCGAAGTCGGCGAAGTCGGCGCGCTGCGCGGCGGCGAGGGCGGAGAACGAGGCTGGGATCGACCATTCGTCGCCGCTTTGCAGCGACATGTATGAGTCGTGCGAGAAGACCGTTTCGACATGTTCTTCCTCTTCGAGCAGCGGGGACCCCGCGTCGAGGTCGAAGTCTGGCAGCAGGAACTGCGCGGTTAGCGTCGTTCGTGCGAGGTAGGGCGTGCAGTAGAGCGGGGTGACGCTCGAGGTGGTGTTTGCGTGGACGGTGCCGAAGGCTGCGAGGGCGCGCGGGAAGGCGGCCGGGAGCGCGCTCCAGGACGGACTGTAGCTGCCGTCGGGGTGGTAGTCGAAGTCGTCGAAGCGCAGCTCGTCCGTGTACCAGTAGCCGAAGTAGCCGTCGCCCGCTGCATCGCTGGTCCAGGGTTTGTCGTCGTCGCTGCTGCCTTGGAATTTGGGGTTGCTGGCGTTGCTGGGGACGGGGAGTGGCGAGGTGGCGTTGGGTATGTACCACTGTATGAGCTTTTCCAACCTAGTGCGGTTGCTTGTTACGGAATCGTCGATGGTGGAAGGTAGCAGGGTGCAGTTTGCGCGGGCACGGATGGCGGGGATTTGTGCCTTTAGCACTCGATCTGTCATGTTGGGGACGGATGAAGAGTTCTGGTCAGTCGACGGGGCTATTTCCACTTGCGGAAATGCGTACACGCCGTGGGTCCACCTTGGATAGCTGAGGTTCGAAGTCATGATGAATCCTGCAGTCATGCGACCTCGACCTGGATCACCCATTGTGCTGGGGGTGAAAGATAATGCGTCAAGTTCCGATACGTTGGCAGGAGAGAACTCGTCCAGCTGCGATAGTCTGATCGGGGTGCTTTGGGGGACCTTGACGGTGGAGAAGACACCCGCTACAACGACTGTCAAGAACGGCGCCAGTATGGATGCTGCAGATATCATGAAGACGACGAGCTGACTAGTCCGTAGCGCGGAAGCAGCCGCATGCAGCGGTACTTTAGCAAGGAAGTCCTCTGATGTGACTGACTGGGCCGAGACTGGCTTGCGCCGCAGGGTGTGGTAAGGAGCAAGTAGTCTGATGGAGAAGTCCAATCCAGAGCATGATATGCCAATGATAGCCATAACCAGAGCAGGAATGTAACTCCAAGCGTAGTGAGCGAAGGCTCCATCGCTGACATCTGAAATGCCCTTATGCGTTGTGGAATAACGATATGTCGCTTCCAGAATAACAATAACTATCAGGGGCATACCGCCGACGAAAGCTCGCCAACCCCAAGAAAGGATAGATGGTCTATACCAAGGATGTCCATCTTCTGGTGACTCAGTTGCAAGTTCAGAAACATCTTGATCCTCTGCGGAAGTGCGTGACTCATTGGTCTGTGAGGGATCGGCCCTTGCGGGGTCATGTAGGCACGATGCTTCAGGCTCAGAGAGAATCTGCATCATCGATGGGCTGGAAAGCGCTCTGGCGAGAGAGTTGACAGAGCTGGAAGTGGGCGCGAGCGAAAGCGAGTTCCTTTGGCCCACCAGTACAAGGGAAAACATGGCAATGAGTAGAAGAATGGCTTCCGTTGCCCAGAACGCGGGGCCTCGGAGGAACAGACGTGGGACGACTGAAACTGTAGTTCCGGTAATTTCGTCTTGTGCCGACATCATGAAGTATTTTTTCGCCACTTGTATCGAGATCAGGCCGTGCACTTCGCGGAAGACGTTTGCCACAGTAGGTGGGTCATAATCGCTTGGTCGCCACATTTTCGTCCAGTTCGTCTCTGGTGCAATTACTGGGAAGACGGAAAACAAATTTAGCCACGTAGTACCATTACTCAGAAGAGGTTCCCAGGCCGACGACCAAGACTTAAATACGGCTTGGCCAAACTCTGCAACGGGAACTTCAGGCAGGTGCATCTCAGCTCCGAGAATGGGCGTGATTTGGTGAGGCTCATTGCGGCTGATCGACTCCGGTGTCAAAGAGACAGTTGCTTCTTCAAGCTGGTATTGGGGCTTGCAGCTCAAAGCGAATGAACTATCAACTCTCAGAGGTAGATCGCTGTCAGAAATGTTCACCACTGCGAGGGCAAATCTCCACTCTGTGGCTGAATCGCTATCGCAACGAGAAAACCGTTCGCAGGTATATAATGCGTAATCACCTTGGGAGGTGGAACCGCAATCCGAGGCCAAGGGAAACGTCATGTTGCAGGAGGATGTAGCAAGTGTAACGTGGCGCTTTCCGTCAATATCCAGACCGTTTAGGCTGGCAGACTCACACTCAACGTCTGTGTCGAAGACGGTTACATTACCAGCGATGAGCGAAGTGTGGGAACCTGTTGGTAGGCGTCAGAAATTTGATTATGGGTACTGAGTCAACAGAAAACACGACGACTACGGCAAATCGTAGCAGAAGGCAGAAGCTCTTGCCGTGGAAAGAGAAGAGGAGTATGGAAACGACCACACTCGGACTGCTCGGCCATTGCACGCATCCTCCTTTTACACAGCAAACACCTCAACGGTGAAAGCACTCACCAGTAGTCGCTTCAAATCTCTGATAGGCGTACTCCTTCGTAGTTCCAAATGGCAAGGGAGAGCCATAAGCGTATAGATTATTGACAATTATAGCTGTGGCGTCATCGACTGAGTTCAGCCCGGTTCCGTTTGGGAGAAAATCGTCCAGGGTTCGTAGAGCCGCGTGCTCATCAGACAAAGGGATGTTTGCGGCCGCAAAGAGGCCGGTAGAAAGAATGATCATAAGCTTGATGAGGATGGTGCCGGCCACAGCGGTACTAACTAGGAAATGCGATTTCTTCAGCGAGGACCAGAGTGCATCGAACGATGACAATGATATGTAGTCCATCAGAGCGCCCTCTTCCGGAGTGGATGCGCCGCTGGCTATCTGTCTCCATGGCATGACCTAAGCCATATATCAGCGTTGACAGCTCTCAAGGAGCTCTGATAAGAACCTACGCGTTTGACCTGATACTCGACCTGGCCCCAGAAAACAGCAAAGAGGGTAAAGACCGCAGTCGGACCGTATTTCCACGCGTAATACACAGGGCTGGTACGCTGTGTGCCGGACTTCGAGTTTCCGATTGATGAGTAATAGAACTGGTCATCAAGGGACACTAGACCCTGATTGCTCTGGGAGATGCTGAAAAGAACGGCAAGAGTGATGGCAAAGAGGATGCAGCAAATGCTATACACAGCGAGGCTCCGCTGGTGAAGCGCGAAGTGAAGCCGACGCGAAGGCAAAGCATTGCATGGAAGAGTCGAATCTTGCTCTTGGACTTTAGCGCCTTTGCGTAGTGCGTCGAAGCTTGAGTTTGGTTTCTGTTTGCCCACAATCGTGTACCGGAACGATTTTAGCGTCATTTGACCTCGTGAACCGAAGATCGTGGAGCTTAGGGCATTCGGTGAAGGAACAGCGTCGCCCTGCTTGGGAAAGGACAAGTTTGCAGAACGCTCTACTCGCAAGGGTCTTATAGTGAAGCTGCAGACAGTGCAATTATGAAAATCCCGAATGGAAGATTGGGGGTAGGGAGGGGGAGGGGAGGAATCAGCTATATGAACGGGCTTATGAATAAATATGGCATGGCACTGCGCCGCATAGCCCCTGTGCGACAGGTACGCTTTCGTGGGGGCCAGGGCTTTTGTGTCACAATAACGGACTAGATCTGCAACACTTGGCCGAAACCTGCGAGCGGCGTTTCGCATGGTTCAAGGCTGTAGTTAAGGCTGAGTTTTTTTTATGATGTATTTATAGTAGATAGTAAGTCCTCTATTAGTCTGTCTAGTAGTGCAGTGTTGCCTGTGCCGACTGCTCTTACGGTAGCGTAGCTGCATCATGGTGCGAGTAGTTTCGGTTTCGGCCCCCACATCTCGCACGAGATGAGAGGGCCACATTATTGACATCACCACGCAGTTAGCCCCCACTCTCGCGTAGTCTCTAACCGGGTGAGATGCCAGTTATATGTGGGCGAGCAGCTAATAACACGCGAATGACGGGGATATTGCTACGCCATTGCCAGCAAACCGCTTACTCGTATAGCTGTAACATTCGAATCTACAATCGAACATCTGCTTGAGCTGCGCATACGTAATTCATCTCACAACTTAACGTGAGGAATACGGGAGCCCCCTTTGCTGCGTCCCTTGACTATACAAACAACCATTTGCACCCCCCTGAAGGCAAATTCTGCATGACGCAGGATGCGCTGCCAGAAAGTGCTCGTAAGTCTTCTGGGATACATCTGCTAACTTGTCATGGCGAAACACCATTAGGAGAGGGGTGGTATACTTAAAACAACTGAACCCATTCGTGGTTCACATGTACGTCAAAATTTCCACTTTCCCCATCTACGCGGAGATGGAGAACGGTGTGCCCTCATCTAGTCTCCCTCCTCCTCCTCCCTTACCACCTCGCCCCCCTCCGTCCCCATTGCCTCTCCGTCCTCCCTAGTCACCGCCTTCTGGCTCTCCCTTCTTGCCTTCTTCGATGCGCGACGCCGCGCAGCGTGCAGGCCGGATGATCAACGAATGGTGCACTGAAATGCGGTGGGGATGATGCGCGTTGTATTTGTATTATTTTGATGCGGAGGCGAAGGTGGTGAGGAGGGTGAGGAAGGGAACGTGGGGAGGGTGGGTTGTCTGAGATGGTGTAGACGGGCAGCAGTTTGTTTATGGAGGAGGGCGGGTCGCGGCGTTTCTTTGATCTGGGGTTCTGCTGAGTTCTGCTGGGCACTGCGGTCCCGAATGCCTGGCTGGCAGTTTGACTGGGCTGGGAGGCGTGAAGGGCATGGCTGGTCTGTTTATTTCCCGGTGAGGAGGAGTTGCGACGTTTCTCGACGAAGAATTACTTATCTCGACCACCGGTCCGGCAAATAGCTGGAACATATCTTCCGTCGAGTCTGGTACTCGGCGCCGAAACATTAGCTTTTACCGCAACCGAAGCTCTGCCAAGATGATCAGCCAGCATGGTGTTTACCGGGGAAGTAGTTGGGTTGTCACGTGATTTATAGCCGTGGCTCGGCTTCATGTCGCATCGTTTCCTAGTTATACATGAAGTGATTGCACGCCGTGCATTTGCAATGCGCCTCCCATAAGTCTCTGCTCTGCAACCGACTGCCGGATCGTAGCTGCCTTTTCTTGAAAAGTCACGAGACTGGCTTCTCCTACCATCAAAACGAACGTAAAGCTCCGGAATTGACATATTATTATGTCCCTCAAGCAAGCCTCAGTGCTGGACATCTGCCGCATGAAGGGGCCTTACGTGCCATCCGCTACCATTTCTCTTCGTCACATGTCGAGGTAGTTTGCTTCCAACGACGCTAGTCCCCTTCCAGCGAAAGCAATGTCCGGGGTTGCGCTGGGGTTGGGCACCACGTATAAAGTGAGAGCCTACAGGTGGAAGCGGAGTGCAAGCATTATTGCTGCTACGTCACAGCGCAGCAATACTGGCAGGCCCTCGCATGTTCCCTCAAGTGCCGCACTGGTCCGCCTATTGCCGTGGGCCCTGCGTGGTTGATGCAGCCTACTAGAGGCGTCTCAGACCCGCCCAATTCCACAAAAGCATCGAACGTGCAATCTCTTTGGATGAATCCACCCTTAGCTCCATATTTCACACAATATTCCCGACTCATGACGTGCCTATGGCCTGTCGGATCGCCACCGCGGAGTCGACTCCGACCCCAGCACTCCCGTACAAAAATCAAGGCACAGTCCCTCTGAACCGTCGCCAGAACTGCCAGCAGCGGTTCTCCGCCCAGAGAACGTTCCAAAGAAAATAAAATGCGTCGATCTTCGCAAGAAACGATTTCGTCGGTCGAATCCGCCGAAACTGGCGGCGGCCACCACCCACCAGCGCTCGCGGCACCGCAACCCGATCGCAGCGCAGGCGTGCGAGACGTGCCGCACGCGCAAAACACGCTGCAACGAGCGCCGGCCGCGGTGCGGGCTATGCGAACGGCTTGATCTACCGTGCGTGTACCGCGAGCCGCGGCCAACCAAGTAAGCATAAACGAACAGTTCATTAGAAAGTCACATGTCATTCCGTCGGCCCTGACCGAGGTCCCAGCTGCACCATAACACACATGAGAGAGAGAGAGATCACGTAAGAAAGAAGACAGTGAGAAAGAGACGAACAAACATTAACTTTAGGGGCGTCTGCTCCCGGCCGTGCACCTGTAGGAAGGACAAAACGGCGGAAATGATTCTGGTTGCCATGCAACGCATTGACGAGAAGCTGGACCGCGTATTGCAGGACCAGCAGCAGCAGCAACAGCAGCAGCAGCAGCAGCAGCAGCAGCAACAACAACAACAACAACAACAACAACTTGGCTCCGAGCAGCTCCTGCCGTCCATCACGGCGCTGAGGAAGGAGGCCTACCTCGCCGCCATGCCCGACCCGATGAACGTGGATCCCGCCGTCACGGGCGACCTGCCTCCGCCCCAGTCCCAGAAGAAGCATCAGCGTCCCGGCACGGCGGAGTTGCTGGACGAATCGGACTTGCGAGGCGCCTTGTCCGTGTTCTCGTGGCCGGCGGTGCAGACGCTGCTCGTGGACGGAGGCCCCACCAACGACCTTAAAGCCATCTTGGCCGAAGGCTCGGCATGGTTACTGCGCCACGAGATGCTCAATGCCCCCGGCGTCTTGTCCTGCGACAGTTTCTTGGCCAGGTCCAATATGCATGTCATCAGAGGGGATAAAGAGCAGTCGAGGACTGTGTTCCCTAGCTTGACGGCGGCGCTGATGGACGAGTATACGAATGCATTTTTCGGGTCGTATAACTTGATATACCCGGTGTTGGATCGTCAGGACTTTGTGAATGGCGCGCTGCCGGCGGTCAAGAGGCACGGGTTTGCCGAGGGGTGCCTTGAGTCTTTGCTAGCTTTGCTAGTGTTTGCTCTGGGCTCGCTGGCATGTGAGGGGGCACAGGGAAAGCCGATAGCTAAAGGGAGCGGAGTCCGTGGGGGAACGGCTGACAGACCTCCTGCACTTTGCATATTCAACGAAGCGAGATCGAGAACTGGTTTTGTGTCGGGCTCGTGCACTGTTGAATATGTCCAGGCTATGGTACTAATGGCGTGAGTATCGCCGCGTAAATCCTGGGCTCTGTCACATGCTAATGGTTTTCAGTTTATATTACGAGTCCTGCTCTAAGCATATCGTAAGGCACCATCCGGCCGGAGCACTTGACTAGGTCTGATTCATCTATAGGAACACTGGCGCTTGACCATGATCGCCTCAGAGGCTGTGAAGGTCGTCTTGCGGTCAGTAGGACAAACACCTTGCGCTGTTAACTTCACTGATAGTTTTCACCAGCATCGACCGCGATTGGGACTCCCACAGCATAGACATGATTCGACGAGCATACTGGACGTGCAACGTCATAGAATCGTACGAGCAAACCAAATGTAGCGTCCTCATCAGCTTTGCTGACATATGACAGCTGGTACTATCTGGATCTGAACCTTCCCCGAAGCGATGGAGTGAGCTTCCAGGACTTCATCGCCCTCCCCGACTTTGACGACCATCTCGATTTCGGTGACGAACCCAGCATCGAAAAGAAATACCCCTACAGCTTCCTCAGCATGATCTCCCTCCGCCGGCACATCCACCGTGCCTCGGACGAGCTCTACGCCCGTGAGCCCAGCCATCCACCTCCCCTAAACCGCGCCCCCATCCCAGCTAACTCCCAGCCCCTCCCAGCAGGCCGCACCCGCTCCTCGGACCAACCGCTCATCATCGCCGAGCTCTCCCGCCAACTCGACGTCTGGCGGGCCCTCCTCCCTCCCGAGCTCCGCTGGGACGACAACAACCGCGCCGCCTTCCCGCCAAACCCGGCCCACGCGCACATCGACATCCTCCTCGCCCAGCTGCGCTGCCGCTACTACTACGCGCGCTTCATGATCCTCCGCCCCTATCTCTACACCGCGCTCCACCACGCCCACGCCCACCAAACCCTCCCCCCGGACATCTCCACCGGCGCCATCGACTGCATAGACGCCATGCTGCAGTGGCCCATCGCGTACTCACCCGTCTGCGATAAGAAACGTCTCATACCGAATATGTTTGCTTGGACGCAGAGTTTTTGTTCGTTTCTCCTAGTGTTGAGGGCGGTGGAGGCGAATGAGGGACTCAGGGCGGCAGTAGAGGAGAAGGTGGGGTTGGAGAGAGTGGGGGAGAGTGTGAGGGTCATGGAAGCATGGATTGGGGATCTCAGGGGCGTGGATGGCGTGGCTGGTTGGGCATGGGGGTTGCTGAGGGGGAGGACTGTGTGACGGGCGAGCAGGGTTGGGATGAAGGATGAGGTAGTCGTGCTTACTGGCTTGTGGAGGGGGTTGTCGCTGCTGGAGGTAGTGGGATGATAATGAACTGCGATTGTTTTTTTTCTGTCTGACGATTTGCTGAAAGAAAGCGTACGAGGTGCGTTATATTAAGATCTTTTCTGCTATAATAATATATTACGCAATCAGCGTAGTCATGACGAGCGGGGTATAAAGCACCCGCCATGCCGCCTCGTAGTGCCAATATACGCTCCTTGCCATGATCATCACCTACTGCATCATCTTCGAGATAAGCCCAAGCCTCACCATGCTAGAGACAATATCACTTTCCGCACATCGACTGTGCCCCGGGTTGCTCTGATGAGATAAATGTGGCATTCAGAGACCATCTGATGTTAATTTACACTTCGGGGTGCATTGGAAAAAGTTGTTTAGTCTCAAGCTTTCTGCTGACAGTAAAGACAAAAAGTCCCAGACGACAGTACTCATCACACGCTAGCTGGAACACCGCAGTTCCAGACACCGCCATTTTTCCGTTTTGGTGTCCTGACAACTAACAGTCGTTCTTCCCATAAGTGCTTAAGACACACAATGCCCTCCCAGGGGCTCTTAATGCAAGTGCATAGTCAAAAAGAATATATCTCTCGGCTGCCATATTCCATTTTTGGAGGCACAAGCTTTTTCCGTATAGGAAAACATCCCTTGACAGGAAAGGGGGGGTCTTCAGCACGCATCTGATCAGAAAGAGGCAACTACCACAGCAGTTCGCCGTGCATGTCAGGCGGGATTTTGTAAAACAAAAAGGCGTCCAGCGTGATGCTCCCTGGATCGGATCAAGAGCTTGTCAAGGTCCAGCATTCCCAGTCGAACTGCTCCCGACCAAAGCAGAACGCTCTCTGAGACAGCAGCTGCTCTTGAAACACCCAGGCTCGTGTCGTCACCGAAGCCTGCTCAAAGTAACGCCCCCAGGTAACTCTACCCCCTTTCGGGAGACAGCAGGGTTTGTCATGTGGATGCCACATCGCCAGCTGAAACGTGGTCGGCGAGACTTTCGTCATGTCTCGGGAGAAGATGCATCCTTCCGACTCGTCGGATGCCTAGTGTGCGTATCTCGTAATCTAAGTGTTGGCACAGACCTTCTGCATAAGCAACGATTCGTTGAGCTAGTCTTCCGTCGAGTTCTGAATAATTCGCAGGCGAAGCGAGCTAGCGAGTAAGCGGGCGTGCCGGATTGAGGAGCGAGTGGCACATGATGAGGGATCCGATTATTGAGTTGGAACAAATAATTGGGCCAACGAGCGAATGTCAGTGCAGCCAATTCGGAATGTCCAACGCACCAAATATTCTATGGTTACTTGATAGGCATTTTTGATCCACGGTTTCCCCACATACTGCAACTTCATTCATCATGGTCCTTATGAGCAACCCAGTGTCAATTAGATATCAACCGCTTCCTTGACGTTTTCCATACAAGACGTGGAATAAGCGGTGCTCATATTAGAGGACTATCAGAACTGTAGAGCAGACATGGTAGTATTGGCAATACTACAGTGTGAGGTATTCACTTTGTTGTCCCGCGAAACTATGTAGACTGTTGCAATGCGGATGATACCGAAGCCCGGAAGATCAGAGTGGCGTTCTGTCTAGAGCATCGGACGGAGAGGTGCTCCACGGGCAAGGAGAATCCGTCGGCCGAGTCATTAATTCTTAGCTCTGCTCAATCGCTTGGAGTTCACATTGCAAGTCTCGGATGATGTGAGCCATGGTGTGAATGATTTGATCGGGAATGGACGGGCCAAGGCAGAGTTCTTCGCCGTCCGTGTTGCCTAGAGGGTTCTCGATGTGGGTGGTGGTCGAGATATTGGTAGCGACGCCCATCAGCCCAGTACGGCGGGATTCAGAAGAATTGCAGACAGCAGCATGATGGAGACTATAAAGTAACCAATCGGGGCGTGCCGGGTACTTGGTAGTGGCAATAGAAGGAACATGGGCAGCGATTTTCGGAAAGTTCCCAAGGCGGTTGATTTTGTCCGATAAGGCAAAAGGCGGTCCAGACCGAGTTGCGATGGATGGTTGCACCTTGGTGTTGATGATGACCGGACGGACGGTAAGTGTTGTCCGACCCCGAAATAGCTGGAGCTAGCCGGAACAGGAAATTCGCGTGGGACTTGGCCCCATCAAGCCACCAATCAGCCGCCCTGCGCCCCATGCCGGCAACTCGCGGACGGACGTTATACCCTGCGCCACTGCAGCAGCCACGATCAGATGCCAGATCGCTGTTGCTGTCCGCATTGCTCGCGGCACCCCCACGAAACCCCGAACTCACGCGATTGTTGGACCGCCTCCGTCGCTTTTCCGGCTTCGCCAGTTGCTAACGGAGTTGGGTGGACTTTCAAGCTCATCGTGAGAAGCTCTTCGGCCCCCTCCGTGTTTCATCCTGCCATCCGTCTGCAGAACTCAGTTGTTGCTGTTATAAGGCCGCGCGGCGCTTTCCCTCGCCACACCACTCACCTCCGTCAACAGCAACATCATCAACATCGTCATCACACATGTTCACCGCTCTGCTTGCCTCCGTCCGAGCCTTCCTGCTCCCCGTCTACCGCACCCTCCCCACCCAGCGCCGCGTCTTCCACGCCCACCGCGCCCTCCCCCGCATCATCACCATCCGCTAAATGTGCATCTTCTGCCCCCCGCCCCTCGACGACTTCGAGGACGTCACCACCGCGCACAGCAACCCACAATGGCCCACGACGCCCCGCCTCATCGACCGGCTCCCGGACCCTCCGCACCCACAAGAAATGCAGCTCCTCATCCTCGGCCTCCCGCGCACGGGGCTCGTGTCCCTCCGCCACGCCCTCACCCACCTCGGCTACAACCCCTTCTCGGCCGCCACCCTCTCCGCCACCCCCTCCCTCTACGCCTACTGGGAAGAAGCGCTGCGGGCCAAATACCTCGACGACGGCGCGCCCTTTGGCGCGCGGGAATACGCCAAGCTGCTGGCGGCGCACGACGCGTGCATCGACGCGCCGGCGTCGCTGCTGGCATCCGACCTCATCGCCGCGTACCCGCGCGCCAAGGTGGTGCTGACGACGTGCGACGCCGACGCGTGGGCGCGCTACACGCTGCACCACCACCAGATGGTGGACTCGTCGCTCGACTCGCGCGGCTGGGGCTCGGCGTGGAACCCGTTCGCGGCGGGCGGCGCGTGGGAGAAGTGGCGGCGCTTCGAGCGGTTTTTGCGCCCGCTGCTGGCGCCGAGGGGGGAGAAGGACGCGTTTTGCAGGCATGAGGACGAGATTTTGCGGCTGGTGCCTGAGGACAGGCTGTTGGTGTATAGTGTGGCGGAGGGGTGGGGCCCGCTGTGCGAGTTTCTTGGGAGGGAGGTGCCTGATGTGCCGTTTCCGCATGTCGGCGATGGTGGGGCGGGTGAGGAGGGGTCGGATGAGTATGTCTTGGAGCGGTGGTGGAGGGGCGTTGGGTCGGCGGTGCGACGGGCTGTGCTTCCGTCTGTGGGTGCGGTGGTGGGGAGTGCTGCGTGGTGGTTGAGAGGGGGGAGCTCTTGGGTTTTCTTTCACTGACTTCAGTGATGGTGTTTGGGGCTTGGAAATGCATGACATAGGGCTTTATATCTGGAAATTTGGATGGGCCGGAGTTTTGTAGTACCCGTTGTTTATATGGTATATGGGGTTGGAGTAACGAATATGAATTTTGGTATTCACGAAGTGTCTTAGTGGTGTACCTCTATCTTATGAAAGCAGTTGAGCATGTGAGCCTGTACGAGCATTGATGGTTCACAGTCAAATTGTGTACAAGTTTTCAGTAAGAAAATAAAGCCCGACTTTCCAATACATACTTCGAATGTAAACATGTTGCTGAACCAGTACTCACAATGATTATTCTGTCAGGTGTTGAGTCTGGACAGAATACTGTCCCTGTAAGGCACAAGGTGAAGACAGTCAGGTCGTGTCAGCGCATCGATAACATCCCTGGAGAAAATTTCAGTGGCAAATATGGAACAAGCCGGAGCTTGTCGGGCGCTCCACATCACGATGCAGGCTCTGCGGGATGGATGCAAGACATGATGAGCAATATGCTGACAATGGTCTCATTTCGCCAACTCAGCCCTGCGCGTAGCGAATGCGACTCCTACCTTGATGCCGTTTTCCCGGGACGGAGCCTCGATAATTGCGGACGGTCAAACCAGCTTGACGGGTCGGAGTTAAGTGTACGCCCGACTGCGCTATTTGCAAGGGGTTATCTCCAGGCATAGTGAGCACTAAAGCCGAAAGAGTCGACAGGGTATGGTGAATCCATCCAACAGATGGTTTCAGCATTTCAGCTCCAACAGTGGCAATGCTCGCTTGCGAAACGGGACGAGACGGGAATTCTAGAAGGATTCCATAAGCAGAAGGATCGCAGATACGGGGTTGACTGCCTTATCTTGTTGAACCAACATGGGGCCGGCCCGTCTCGGCTGCAGGTGCAGGGGTGTACCAGTCGTGCGGGAAGTCTCGGCCGCTTAGGCTAAGTCTTTCTGCCGACTTGGCTGAAGATAAGGTAATGGTCACCTTTCACCTCCCGATGTGTGCATAAAGTTATGACTACGACTGTGCTGCGGCCAATGCGAGGAATGGTCCACGATGTCTCTATCGGGAACAAGGAACGGACTTTTGCCGACTAGCGGGCTTGGACACCGAAGTTCATCACCCTATCTCGATAACGCCATGTCCCATACCCCAGCGGTTGTCGATTCATCACTGCTGCCCAACTCCTCTTCTCTTGGCACAATTCGGGCATCTGAATACGTGAAGAAGTAAGAATCAATCATCGATTTTATGAGTGTTTAGTTTAATTCATCACAATTTCGAGAAATGGCTGGTGACAGCATGTAGAAGGACTATATGTCTTTGTACTTTGAGTTATAGAAAGTTGATCACTTTCCTTGGATCAATCACAGAAAATGCTCTGGTACTATACTATTACAGGCAGTACGACAATCAAGCGCGAAAATATGGTATTGTCTTGAAAAAATCATCCTCCTCACAATTCCCGAACGCCATATCTAGCTGTTTTTTTTGTACGCTCAATGTCCTATTGACAGTGAAACAAATCAAACCAAAGCCAAAAAAGGACATGACCCATGTATTTCCCATTCCATCCCATGCCACCCGCCCCCAAGTCAACGACGCAAAAAAGCTCGAAAAACCAAAAAACCGCTAAAGGATCATCAGCTCCTCCCGATACCGGCAACCGACTCGAAACTCCCGTCATCCACCGTCTTCGCCCTCACCCTTTCCATCTCCAAGACCTCATCGTTAGTCTTTCCCTTGCCGGGCTTCGCCTCGGCCCAGCGGCCGGCGAAGGCCAAACCAGGATGGAAGACGGTCAGCACGAGCACGGCACCGATGATCATCGGGCCCTCGAGGATCATGAACAGCAGCTCATCGTTGGCGAGCTCGCCGTTGAAGCCCTCTTTCAGCTCCGCAACGCGGTAAACGCAGCGGACAAAGATGAGCACAGTGGCGGTGGCAATGGCTATTAAAAAAAGATTTTAATCAGCATCGGCAGAGAGAGAGAGAGAGAAAAAAAGAGAAACTCACCGCCCATCATCCCCCGAAACACGAGGCCCCTCCTCAACGCCGCGAAACCAGCATCCAGCGCCCCCTCACCCGCGCTGCGCACCCGAAACGCGTACTCGACGCACAGGGCCATGAAGACGGCCAAGCTGGCGACCTGGGAGGCGAGGCCGGCGATCATGATGTCGATGCCCATCTGGTTCTTGTCGGGCTCGTCGCGGTCGGCGGTGGCGGTGATGGCGCCGCCGGCGGCCTGCAGGACGAGCGAGAGCAGGTCGCACAGGACGAAGATGACGGTGTAGGTCTTGGGGCGGAAGCGCGAGATGGCGGGCGAGTAGGCGACGATGATGCGGCCGAGGCAGATGTAGATGGCGGCCGAGAGGAAGGCCGGGCCGATGGTGAGGCAGATGAGTTGGCTGGCGCGGGGGGCGGCGGTCAGCGGTGCTGCTGTGGTCGGGCGGCAGGTGATGACCCGAGGGGGGGGGATGGTGGACTTACATGAGGAAGGGGTTGAACTTGAAAGGGTTGTAGTGCATCTGGAGGCGGCCGACGTATCCCACAATCTCCAGCACGACGCCGCCGAGCATGCCGACCAAAAAGGACCAGGTCTTGAAGCGGATGGAGAGGCCGATCTGCAAGATCAACAGCACGCCGAGGATGGCCAGGTAGGTCAGGTTTCCGGCGAAAGTCGGGACATAGGTGAAATGTGCCAGGTCGAGTGGGCAGGTGCCCAGGGTGCAGTAATCGCCCGGGTCGAACTTGGGGTCACTCATGTTGACACCGGGGATGGTGAAGTTGGACTGAGTCATGATGGGCGGTAGATCAGAAGTGTGGGTGTTGTTGGTGTTCTGCTACCTTTGCGGGGTGGATGTCGGAATGGATGTCAGACGGAACCGAAGACGAGGAAGCAGCGAGTGATGACTAGACTGAGCCAGAAAAAGAGGTGGACAGCGAGGGATAGGATTGTTATACGGACAGCGTGTCATCGTAGACAGCAGCCGTCAAGATAGGCGGCTGTTGTGACAGCGGACAAGGACGGACACGGAGCTTGGCGCAGCTTACTCCGACCGACGAGGAGCGGAGCGGGCGGGGTGGGGGCCAAGCTCAGGTGCGCAGCAGAGCAGCAGAGGGCTGTGCAAGACGAAAGCGGCAGCAGAGGTGAGTGAGCGAGTGAGGGTGGTTACTCCGTAGCCGCGGGCGATGCCAAGGCGGGCGCAGCAATGCTTGGCAAGACCAGCATTCCGGCACAGCGGGTGTTGTGTTAGTTCTTGGCGTCCGGCCCGCTCTCGTCGCACTCGCCAGCCTGCGCCCTGGCCCACCCGAGCTGCGAGTATTTTTAAAGTTCCAGCCGCTAGTCCGTAGACTCCACCACCCTCGTGCAGCCCAAGTCGTACAGTTGATGTGCACATCTGCTTCGCCTGACCCCGCGCAGACGCCGTGCCGCGAGTGTCTTGCGTGGCCAGAAGGGATGGCCCTGCAGCCGTCTCTACTGCGCCCCCTAGCCAAGACGGGCGGAACAGGACGGAGTCGGAGTCGGACTACTGGATGACGTCGGTCGCGCAGGACAAGTCCAACAAATATGAAAGCAGCGCCCGGCTGGCGGCGGCCGCTCGCTTGCAAAGCTTGTCGCTCCTATTTCGCTTCGAAACCACCCACGCCAGAGCTCCCCCCACCACAACAGAACGCCGCAATCCAGCCACACCCGCTGCAACCATGCCCTGTTCCGCCCGTCTCCTGTAGCAACCGCCTTCTCCGCTCCGCCCGCCTCGCCCCGCCTGTCGTCGTTGTTGCAACCGTTGGTCGGGAGAGATGGCGAGCTGTGGTCCAGCCGGCGCCGGTCGGCTTGCCCTGTCGGGTTGGTGAGTGACGGTCGCCACGTCGTCGCAGCAGTCGCCCGACGGTGTCGCTGCTAATCGTCGAGATTCCGTGGTAAACGTGCCCTCTCTCCCTCCCACCCGGTCAGTAGTAATGGGAGGAGCAGGTAGGTGGTAGTCTTCTTGGACCAATTTCTGTTTCCTTGGCGGCCTCTCCCCCGCTCTCTACCAAACTTTCGCTTCTGTATTTCGCTCAATTTCTTCACCCGTCACACTATCATTGGTCGTTACATAGTTGATTTCCTTCTGCCCTTATGGAAAAAAAAAAACTTCCGCTCTATATTTCCTTTTCTAGAAAGTCGAGTCTCCTTTCTTCCAATGTTTCTCTCTTTTCACTGCGGGGTGAACAATCACGTGCTCATCCCCGCCCCTGGCTTCCTTTCGCGAGTCCCGATGTTCCTGGTGAACCTGCTGCCGGTTCGCGCACGCGCCAGCACGAAAAAAGAAAAAGAAACACGAAAAGGCCTCCCCCACACGATCGCCTGGCCAAAGCATAACGCTGATCGTCAACCACTGATGAATCATGACGGGATCTGTCCCTTCTTTTCCACCATCCTCCCCCCCTGCCGGCCCCCTTCTCTACCACAACTCCACGGTCACACGAACACCCCCCCACACACCCAAAAAAAGAAAAAGACAGCAGGAAGAGCAAAGCAAGCAAGGGAGAGCGGGGCCGAGTGATGAAGCCTCCCTACCCAGCCTGACGCGTTCCGGACTGGAAACAATGGAATTAACCTACGGAAGGAAACGGGTCGGGCGGTCCGTCAGACCGGCTAATCGGCAGGAACCTATGGAAAGAACGGAATGGACCTAACCTGACCCCCTCCCCCATCAGCCCACAGATAAGCGAGCAACGAACCAAGAAATGGCTTGTGTGATCTGGTGTTGTTCGGTGGGGCTGCTTCCGAATGGCTGCTTGCCTGGTAGGATGAATAATGGATGGGGGATGCATGTAAGCAACATCGAATTCGGTCTGGACCGTGTTCTTGTCCCTCTCTCTACCTTGCCACCTGCGTTTTCCTCACCTTTCGTGCCGTGTGCAAGAAAACCATGATTTTTTTTATTTTTTTTTTTGGCACACACGCCCTTTCGCATGGTCGACGAGTCTGGAAATCGGCACTTTCTACCTCTCGATACGCAAACCTCTATAGACGAATAATAACAAGACAGCCAGGTACTCTGTTTCTGTTTGAGAAGGAGACAAGAAGCAAAGAACAACAACGTTGTAGAAACAAAAAACCCCGCCCCACACATCTACAGGCCCAACCCGCGCTGTACGTATGTACCACCGCCCAGATCTACACCCATCATCATCATACATGGACACATTATACTATACCTACGCCGTCGCACTCCCATAAAAACTCCACCGCTCCATCCCGTTTTCCCATGCCCCACTAGCCCCGAATCGGCCCATGTCCCGTTCGCGTATACATGTTGGCCGCGCGTCGTGGTCCGATCTCGCCCACCCAGAAAAACAAAACACCAGGTGAATCCCGCCGCAAAAAAAAAATCAAAAAAAAAATCAGATCAACCAATCGGTGCCACCATTGGCGACATTGGCATACAGCCAATCGCCATTATTATCGCCGCATCCCTGCCCGGCGCCGGCGCCATTGCCGTTGCCGTTGCCATGGCCGAGCAGGAAGTCGAGCGGGAAATCAGGCAGCAGCGACTGCGATTGCGAGGTGGTACCAGCTGCCGTCTGCTCTGCCGACGGGGGCGGGAACGACATGGCCCCCAAATGGTGATGATGGTGCTGCTGCTGCCCGTGGTGGGGGTCGGCCGCGGTCGGCGCGAAGTCCAGGCTCATTGGCAGCGAGTCCGCCGCTGCTGCATGGCCATGCGACGGCTGCAGATACGACGAGCCCGACGACGATGACGAAGACGGGTGCGACTGGTGATGATGACTCGGTGGCTGCTGCTGGGGCGGACTGTGGCTGCGGCTGCGGCTGCGGCTGCGGTAATGGCTGACGTTGCTGCTGCTGCGCGTGCGGTTGAGCTGCTGCAGCTGCTCTCGTCTGGCGGGTGCGCTCAGCACGTCGAACCACTGCTGGATCCGTCGGACGCGCTGCTCGTACTGGGCGAACACGTTGCCGCTCGCGCCCGCCTCGGCCTGCTGCCCCGCGTCCGTTTGGCTGTTCGTCGCGCTGGCCAATGCCCCCACGCGCTGTGCGATCGCCCGCAGGGCGTTCGAGATGCTCAGCGCGGCGCGGAGCTGGCTCATGGTGGAGACGGCCTGCTTCTGCTGGTCGGTGATGACGGCATTGGGGCCGGTGATGCTGCCGGCCGTGGTCGACGCGACGGCAAGCCGAGCGGCGACGGTAAGTCCGAAGCTGAGCTGGATCCACTCGGAGTTGTTGAAGGCCGTCTCGGCGCGGGCGGGCAGGGCGAGGTACGCGTCGAGCAGGGACTTGGCTGCGGATAGGCCCGCGCAGAGCACTTCCAAGTGCAGCGCGCTACCGGCCGAAGAGGAAGGTGTTCCAGAAGAAGCGGCGGAAGGAAGCGCCAAGAGGTTCCAATCGAGCAGGGCGGCTTGGCAGAGAAACAACTCCGCCGTGTGGAACTGCATGAGTAGGGATGCTGTTTGGCCCCCAGGTCGCGTCAGCCAATGGCAATCACGGCCGGGTGGCGAGATAACAAACAATAAAGGTGTGCGGGAGCAGGGGACAGGGATGTGCTGAAAAATAGGTCAGAACTTACTGCATTCGTTTAGCTCAAACGGTAGGCTAGCCCTTAGAGCGCTCAGCTCGGTGCGCACGGCGTACACGGCCGCTTTGGTGGCCGCCTCGTCCTCGACCACGGCCTGCTGTTGCTGCTGCACAGACATGAAGTCGATGCTTTCCATGATGTGCTGCAGCCGCACCATGGGATACAGGTACTTGTCCGTCGGCGTTTCAGCGAGGCCGGCCAGTGACAGGCAGCAGTTGGCCATGTAGTCTGTATACGGGATCGTGTTCAGCTTCTGGAGCAGATTCGCTATTCTGCACGGTGTCAGTGTGATATGCTGGAAGAGGCGGGTGCCAGACGCACGTCGAAGACAGGTAGAAGCACCCGGCGGCGGCGCGCTGCTCGTCTGCGGACCGGGAAGACGAGGCAGGTCCGTTGAGTGGGTTCCGATGACTGCCGGCATACGTCTTCCAGGCCGCGACGGGTTCACGGTCGAGACGCAGGTCGATGACAATGCTCACAGCAAGCTGGAGATATTGCGAATACAGGCGAGGGCGGTTGTGGTAGTGGCTCCTGCATCCATGTCAGCACCAGCAAGCGAAGGGGGAGGCAGCGGGGGAGACGCACCATGCCAGATAGACCAGCAGGCCCTGCAACACTTCGAAGGTCAGGCCGCCGGCGGCGAGGATGCGCTCACTGACGGCCTGCTTGAGCAGTCTGCCGAGCTGGCGCTGCACGGGCATCTCGTCGAACGAGGCGGCGGCGAGGACGGCGAGGAACAAAAACGGCTTCTCATGGCGCAGCTGGGCAGCCGAGACGTGGGCGGGCAGCACGACGAAGGGAAAGTGCGGCGTCATGCGCGTCTTGAAGACGTTGATGCAGACATCGGCCTGCTGCATGGACAGCAGGCCTTGGTCGACTGCATCGTGGTCGGGGTCTGAGGGTGCGGCTTGTGGCTCGGGCGACATGGAATTGCCGGCCGAGGGGCTGGTGCGGCCGCTGCCGAGCAGCTCGCGGACCTGGGCCTCGAGAGCCTCGATGCGGCTGCAAGGTGGTGAGTGGGGAGCGAGTGGGGACGGTGGGCGCCGTCGGGAGTCCGCGACTCGGGAGGGCGTGCACTGACCTGTCGCGCATCTGCGAGTTGTAGCGGCGGGTCGAGGGCCGGAACAGACACTGCTTGCGCAGGCGGTGGCAGCGGTCGCAGGCCTCGTTGCTCTGGGTGCGATCGCAGCGGATCTTGGCGCGAAAGCAGTTCTGGCACGTTTTGGTCAAGGACATGGCGGGCTGCATGGGTGCAGTGCGACGCAGAAAGCAAGGTGGAGATGAGGTCGGGATCGATCGCCTTGCAGCCGGGGTGGCCGGTACCTAAAGTACTCGCCAGGCGGGTTGGCGACGAAGACGGCGAGCTGGGGTGGTACAAAATAGAACAGCATGCTGGTGGTGTCGCGCATTGCCAAGCGGCGGGCTGCTGGGGGCTGAGCAGCGGCGGTTGTGGGCGGCGGCGGGAGTGCAAGGGCGGCGTCGTGGGCGCGCGGGCGGTGGCTGCCTGCAACGCCTGCAACGCCTGCCGCGCCTGCAACGCCTGCAGCCCGTGGGCGGCCCCTGCCTCGGCGGCACGGGCAGCCGCCGGATCGGTCAGGCCAAGCTTCCTTCACTTGGCGCCAAGTCGCTCTGAATCGCACTCGCGCCGCGGCGTCACATTGGTGGAACGGAGATGGGTAGTAGCAGAAGAATAATACGCGGAGCATAGCCCTACCATTACTGTCTAAAAGAAACCGTTACACGCCCCACTCTACCTATGAATCCAGGCCCGAAATAAACACCCGCCCGTGCGCCGCCATCTCCCGCAAGCCCTGAAAGCCCTGACGGAAGCCCTGAAATCCCAGAAAGCACAACCCAACCGTCCCAGCCACCGCTCTGTTTCTGCCTAGACGCTGCCTGTCAGGCCGAGAGTCACGCTATCGCCCCACTACTGCGCCGCTGAGCCCGTAAAGACCTGCAGCGGCCGCCAGAGCATGGGCGTCTGGTGCATGGCCTCGCGCCAGTGCGCCATGACGCCCGCCGTGCGCGACAGGCTGGCCATGGGGATGATGATGTCCGTCTCGAACCCCATGGCCGTGTACAGGAAGCAGCCGTACAGGTCGGCGTTGGCCTTGAGGTTGCGGCTGGTGAAGTAGGCGTCGCTGTTGGCCACGCGGTCCACCTCGAGCGCGATGCGCAGCAGCGGGTTCTGCTCCATCAGCTCGCTGTGCTCGTCCATCATGGCGCGGATGAACTTGGCGCGCGGGTCCACCGTCTTGTAGATGCGGTGCCCGTAGCCGAACAGCCGCTGCTTCTTGGCCTTGACGTCGCTGATCAAAAGGTGCACGTTCTCGGGCGCGCCCACCTCCTCGAAGCCCTTGTAGGCCAGGTCGATGGCGCCGCCGTGGAGCGGCCCGTACGCCGACACGATGCCCGTGATGCTGCACGAAATCGGGTCCGTGAGCGTCGATGCCGCGTGCAGGAACGACGCCGTCGAGTTGGTCATCTCGTGGTCGGCGTACAGCACCCACAGCTTCTCGAAGCACTCTTCGATCTTCTGGTTCGGCTTCTTCTGGCCCGGCTCGTGGAAGCCCATCATCAGGAGCACGTTGCCAATGTACGACCCGTTGGGGTCCGCCGGAGTGAAGGCCTTGCCCCGCTTGTGGCAGTAGACCAGCGCGATGGTGGTGGCGAGCGCTGCCAGCGTGCGGATGATGGCGGCATCGACGGCCTCCGTCTTGCCCAGGTAGGCCGGACGGCCGGACGTGTGCACCTCCTTGGTGCCCTCGTCGACGGCCGCAAACGCCGAAAGGCCGGCCAGGAGCATGGACATGGTGATGGCGTCGCGGCTGGCAGCACGTCAGCAGCTGAGTCAGAGAGGGAAGTGGCACCGTGGCCGGATCGGGACGTACTCGAATGCATGGATGACATCCACGACGCTTTGCGGCGGCACCATGGCCGCGGCCAGCGAGCGGCGCAGCTTACGCTTCTCCACGGCAGAGGGCAGGTGGCCCCAGATCAGCAGGTGCATGACCTCTTCGTAGTCGTTGTCGCGGAACAGGTCGTCGATGGAGGTATCCCGGTACTGGATGCATCCTCTCTTGCCGTCACTGGGCGTCGCTGTCAGCAGCTGCGACCTTCGGAAGCGCGAGGCGACACTCACATGTAGGTGACGGACGACTCCATGCAGGCCGTGTTCAGGAAGCCCTTGTCGATGATGCGCAGGCCGGACTCGACCTGGTCGACGGGGTCGGCGGCGATGCCGGCGGCCGAGATCTGGCGGAAGTCGGTGGCCTTGATGGCGTTGTGGTGGATGTCGATGTTGTAGCTCCGGTTGGTGCGGTTATCCACAACCGTCAGCGAGCCCGACGACTCGCCCATCTCGGTGGCACCGGCAGCCTTGAGGGCCAAGCGACCCACCAGCGTCGACGAGGCATAGTAAGCCAGCACGCGCTGCCAGGCGGTGATGCGCTCGGGACTGAGGACAAACATGGTGCTGAATGGAATCGACGAGATGAGAACAAGAAAGCGGTTGAGAAGCAAATGCTGGAGCACGATTGAAGCAGGGTGCTGGAGGCTGGTGTTGAGGAAGACGATGGAGAAGCTGATGATGGCAACGACAGTCGTCGATGGGAGCCATTTTATACAGGGCACTCGCCGCATCTGCAGCGTGGTGGTGAAGAAGGAATCCTTTTTTTGGAAGTGTGCACTGGCACCGCGGCCGGCGAGGCTCTGCACATGCATCGGGCTCACGAGAATCCGACGGGGAGTTGCACGCCGATCAAGAGATGCGGACGATGAATGTCCGTTTTAAGGTGTGGGTTGGGTTGTGCTGATTGCCAGGGGCCTGGGCCGCGGCACCGGCCGTGTCCCTTCGCCCACCGGCCGGGGAAGCCGCAGCCCGTCGGCGCTGGAACTGCGCTACCACGGCACTGTCGCATCCCAACAAGGGACTGCGGGAGAAGGGGTGTGACGGAGAGCAGACTGCGGGGAGTGGTGCGCCGTTGTTTGGCGGCCAACTGCACGGGCCTGTGTGGCTTGGACTGGGCTGGGGCTGACTGCGCCCGAGTGCAACACCACAACTCCCGCCCATGATCTGCACCTTGTCCGTCCGTTCGTCGGCGAGTCGGCCAAACCGCCGCGACACGTTAATACCGGCGACCGCCGCGCCCGAACTGCAGCTTTGCCTCTGAATGCCAAGCACCATGAAAGGCAGACGCGGCCACTCCCCATACTCTGCCGCCAACTCACGGGCGGCTGCCACCAGCGCAACCCTCGTCGGCTCAGAGCGCCAGTCCGTTGCGAAATCCATCCAGCACGACGACCCGTCTGCTGCCGACCCCGCGCGCTCGCTGCACTCACCGCGCCCGTCATGGTACCGCCGACTGAACCCTCTCAACCGGGGCCCCGTGCCCCCGGTCCCCGCCGAACGCACCGTGTGCCCCGAGCACAAGGCCGGCTTCTTCAGTCGCCTCACCTTTTCTTGGTTGACTCCCATCATGGCCGCCGGCTATCGACGTCCGCTGGAAACTAACGACATCTGGCTCGTCAACCCCGACCGCGGCCTAGCCTCTCTCTCACTCAAGTTCAACGCCGCCTTCACCAACCGCGTGCGCGGCCGCCACAGCGCACCCCTTGCCGCCGCCCTGCACGACACCTTCAAGCGCGAGTTCTGGATCGGCGGCGCCTGCGTCGTCGTCGCCTCCATATGCCAGGTCATGGTGCCCTTCATCCTGCGCTATCTGCTCGACTACGTCGAAAAGGCCTACTATGCTGCCGAGGACGACGACGGCGAGATCGACGGTCCGCCTCTGAGCAGAGGCCTCGGCCTGGTCCTGGCTATCCTGGCCATGCAGATGATGCAGAGCACCGGCACAAACCATTTCATGTACCGCGGCTTCATGGTTGGCGCCCAGTGCCGCGGTGTGCTTGTTGCCGCAATCTTTGACAAGACACTGACCATTTCCTCGCGAGCCCGCGCCGGCACCACCCCCGATCAAACACGGACCAGCGAAGAGGAGAGACAGCGACTCGCCACCGGCTTCTTTGGCGGTGAGAAGGATCCGTCTACCGGCGGCATCAAGCTGCCCTCGCACCCCCACACTCCCGCACCCGTGCCCAAGGGTGGTTACAACAACGGACGCATCATGAACCTCATGTCAACCGACACGGCACGCATCGACAACGCCGCCAACATGTTCCACCTCGCGTGGACCGCCCCAATCGCCATCCTGCTCGCACTCGCCATCCTGTTGGTCAACCTGACCTACTCAGCCGTGACCGGCTTCAGCTTAGTCCTTTTCGGCATCCCGGCCCTGATCCTGGCCGTCAAGTCTCTCATGTCGCGCCGCGAGCAAATCAACGTCATCACCGATCAGCGCGTGTCGTGGACACAGGAGGTGCTGCGGTCCATCCGCTTCGTCAAGTACCACGCATGGGAGCCAGCATTCCTCGACCGGCTGCGTACCCTGCGCAAGACGGAGACGGCCATGGTGGCCAAGCTGTTGACCACCAAAAACGCCATCAACGCCATCAGTGTCAGCTTGCCCATCTTCGCCGCCATGCTGTCGTTCATCGTCTACAGCGTCACTGGCCACTCACTAAAAGCAGCCCCCGTCTTCTCCAGTTTAGCGTTGTTCAACGCGCTGCGGGTGCCTTTCACACTGCTCCCCATTGTTATCAGCCAGTGCGGCGATGCACGGGAGTCGATGAAGCGTATCCAGGACTTCCTCCTAGCCGAGGACCATCAAGACGGCATCATATGGGACAACAATGCCGAGTACGGCGTGGATGTGCGCGACGCTAACTTTACCTGGGAGAAGGCGTCAGGGCTGGAGGACGAGGAGGAGGGGAAGACGGGGAAGAAGGGCAAGAAGGCCGAGAAGCGGCCCCGTTCGGCCGACTCTGCCAACCAGCCGCCGTTTGGCATGCAAGGCGTCAACCTTTCAGTGGGCCGCGGCGAGCTGTTGGCAATTATCGGATCCGTCGGCTCCGGCAAGACATCGCTCTTGTCCGCTCTGGCGGGCGAGATGCGGAAGACGCGTGGGTCGTTCGTCATGGGCGGCTCTCGTGCCTTCTGCCCACAGGACGCATGGATCCAGAACACAACGCTGCGGGACAACATCTTGTTCGGCAACGAGATGCGCCCTGAGTGGTACGAGCGCGTAGTGGGTGCCTGTTCTCTCAAAGCGGACATCGAGCGCATGCCGGCCGGAGAGGACACGGAGATTGGCGAGCGCGGCGTCAACGTCAGCGGCGGCCAGCGCCAGCGCATGAGTCTTGCCCGGGCCATCTACTCTGACAGCGACATTGTCATAATGGACGACCCACTCTCCGCCGTGGACGCTCACGTCGGCCGCCACATGTTCGAGCAGGCCATCTGCGGCCTACTGAAGGGCCGCTGTCGCATCCTGGCCACCCACCAGCTGCACGTCCTCGATCGCTGCGACCGCATTCTCTGGCTCGAAGAGGGCCGCATCAAGACCATAGACACGTATGACAACCTCATCAAGCATGATTCCGACTTCCGTGCCCTTCTCGTGTCCACCATGTCCGAAAATGGCGCCGAGAAGTCCAAGTTGCAGCGACAGCCCACGGTCAAAGCGAAGCAGGAACAGCAGAGCCAGACTGAGGAAGGCGGAGACAAGAAAGAGCAGGGCACGCTGACCTCTGAAGAAGATCGGGCTGAGGGCAGCGTGCCGTGGAGCGTCTACAAAGCCTACATCCGCGCCTCGGGCTACCTCTTCTTCGGTCTCATCCCCATCATCCTTCTCGTAATGGCCCAGGGCGCCAACACCTTGACCAGCCTGTGGCTCTCCTGGTGGACTTCAAAACGCTTCGATATCTCACGCCGCCAGTACATAGGCATCTATGTGGCGCTGGGTCTCTTGCAAGCGATGCTCATCTTCGCTTTCTCGGCCGCCGTCTCGCTGCTGGGAGCGCGAGCCTCTCGCACCATGCTCGATCAGGCGACGACCAAAGTCATTGCCGCTCCACAGTCCTTCCATGATGCGCAGCCGCTGGGCCGCCTGGTGAACCGCTTCTCTAAAGACGTCGACGTTATGGACAACGAGCTGCCGGATGCACTACGCATGTTCCTGTATACGCTCGCCATCATCCTCAGCGTCTTCGCCCTGCTAATCTTCTACTTCCACTGGTTCGCCGTCGCTCTGGGCCCGCTAGCCTTCCTGTTCCTGCTGGCCACGGCTTACTACCGAGCCTCGGGACGCCACATCAAGCGCCATGAGGCCGTCCTACGCGGCGTCCTGTTCTCCCGCTTCTCCGAAAGCGTCAGCGGCATCTCGAGCATCCGCGCCTATGCCGCGCAGCCGCGCTTCGCCCAAGTAGTGCGCGACTCAGTGGACAACATGAACGCAGCGTACTACCTCACCTTTGCCAATCAGCGGTGGCTGGCGACGCGCGTCGACATCGTGGCGTCAGCAGTGGTCCTGACGGTCGGGCTGCTGGTGGTGTTGATGCGCGACGAGGTCGACCCCAGCACATCCGGCGTCGTCCTCTCCTACGTCCTCTCCATCGTGCAAATGATGCAGCTCCTCGTCCGCCAACTCGCCGAGGTCGAAAACGCAATGAACTCGACCGAGCGCCTCCACTCCTTCGGCGACGCCGTCACCCCGGAAGAACGAACCAACAACCCCTGCACCTCGCCCTGCTGCGCCGTCACCGAGCCGCCGCCCAGCTGGCCCCACGCCGGCGCCATCGCCCTCAACTCCGTCTCCATGCGCTACCGCCCCGACCTCCCCCTCGTCCTCCGCGACCTCACCCTCTCCATCACCGGCGGCGAGCGCATCGCCATCGTCGGCCGCACCGGCGCCGGCAAGTCCTCCATCACCTCCGCCCTCTTCCGGCTCGTCTCCCCCCTCGCCGCGGGCACCATCACCATCGACGGCCTCGACATCTCGCGCGTGCCCCTCCGCACCCTCCGCTCCCGCCTCGGCATCATCCCGCAGGACCCCACCCTCTTCGCCGGCACCGTCCGCTCCAACCTCGACCCCTTCCTCCAGCACCCCGACCTCGCCCTCTGGCGCGCCCTCGGCCAGGCGGGCCTGCAATCCACAAACGTGCGCCTCGACGACCCCGTCGAGGAGGAGGGCGCCAACTTCAGCGCCGGCCAGCGCCAGATGCTCGCGCTGGCTCGCGCCCTCGTCCGCGACGCCCGCATCGTCGTGTGCGACGAGGCCACCAGCTCCGTCGACCTCGAGACCGACCGCCGCATCCAGGCCGCCATGGCCGACGCCTTCCGCGGCAAGACCGTCGTCACCATCGCCCATCGCCTGCGCACCGTCCTCGGCTTCGACCGCGTCGTCGTCATGGATAGGGGGTCCATTGCCGAGGTCGGCCCGCCGGTGGAGTTGTGGCGGCGCGGTGGCATCTTCAGGGGTATGTGCGACAAGAGTGGGATTGAGAAGTCGGATTTCGAGTGGGCGAGGGAGGAGATGGCGAGGGGGATGGCGGCGGGCGCCGGGGATGAGGCTGCAGAGGCGCGGGCGGATGATGGGGTGGTGAGGCGGCCGCCGAGGGCGAGGGGGAGGGATGAGAGGGTCAGGTGGAGTAGGCAGTTGACCATGGGGGAGGCCGGGGGGCAGACGGCGAACTTGCATGAGCTGTTGGATGGCGTGTTTAGGACGGGGTGGCGCATTTGAGTGGCGTTTTCTTTTTTCTTTTTTTTTGGCAGCGCGGCGCGGGGGGATGATACCTGTATATATTGGGATATTGACGTGATATGACACGATTTACTAGTAGTATAGAGAGATAATCACTTCTCACCAAGGTCCTGACGTGAGCTGGATTAGTACCGCGCTAGGATGAATGATGCATGGCTATCATGACGAGTAGCTATCTGTGTGAAAACCCTGCCTTCCGCCTTCTACCCCAATCGTCCCGAGGACTCATGAGGATACTATACTCTGTGCAGCAAGGCACGACACCGAACTCGTAGCTTGTCTTACAGCCACTTCTTACGGTCTCAGCTTGTTCACGGTCCCTTCTCCGAAGACCTTGTTTCAAAACTGACCGACCAGATACGCCAAGCGATGGCCGACAAAACTCAGCTGGCATCTGATTGGACACCCCAAAGCCCGGCGAAAAATCATCATTCTCGAGGAACTCAGCAGTGCATACCATAAATCTGCCTTGGGGAGCATATTACTTTTAGATTGGGCTCTGCCATGCGGCTGAGGGGGGGTGACGAGTTCCCCGCTTTGATGCATGGTACGCGCATCCACACAGGAATCGGCGTTAAGTAGCCAATGGCATTGTCCTTTCCTCATGCAAAAGTGATATCAGCTGCCCATTAAGTACCACCCCCTGCTACTCCAGCTCTGCTTCCACCAGTGGCGCAATCGCTTGAGCTGAAGGGTGGAACACTTCTGCTATCGGCACGCTTTCCGAAGGGCGGACATATGAAGACATGGCTCCGGCGTCTTTGATCCTACTCGCTTAATACTCTGCCGAGTATCCGACCAGAATCGGCTTTGTTGCCCAATATAGAGAACGATCCATATTTGATACCAACAGGTCTAATTGGATACTACATTTTCCTTTGATCGAATAGACAATTATCTACCGTACATAGACAGAGAGTGGTTTGAGTAGATAACCAGTGGCTGCAAGATGAGAAGTTCGACGTTGACAAAAAGCAAAGGCAACGTAAAAATAAAACTGAGCGACTATCCCTGCTGATGCCAATCCCTGGTCGGAACCCTACCACAACTCCCTGCATAGCGATGCTTGATAGCCAACCATATGCCGCTTTTTATTTGGAACGAAGCCACGCTGAGACTAGCCCCTGTAGTTTCTCAAGAGTGCCTTGTGAACGCCTTTCGGGATATCAATAATCGTTGCGCTCGCGACCTACTTTACAAGGGTACTGTCGAATAGCAAAATGGCGGATATGGAGCCTACATTATCAATAAATCCTTGAGAGCTCACAACGACTGCTCAGTAAATTTTTCTGGGCTATAAGTGCAGGCTGTCACCTCTTGCCAGAATCTTCAATATCCGATTGTCAGTACACTTACACACTAAGGAGAGGAGATTGCGCACAGTCCTCGGACCGGCTCCCCGCGTCTCTCCCAGGGTGCTCTGTCAATACTCTGTGAAGAGAGGCGTTCTCGAAGGGTGTTATCCAGCTTGCGCAATTCTTTCTGCCAGACGTACGCAACCCTACCAGGTACGAATACCCAAAAGTACGATAAAACTTGCTATTTCTGACATTTGTTGAAAGCACCTCGCCCAGCCCTCCTCAAGCTCGATTACCTGACACGATGCACGCTCGAACGCTCCTACAAACGCTTCTACGAAGCCTTAAACTACTATCGATGACGTTGTTGAGCCCCTGGAAAGCACTACAAGAGGCACCGAAGATTGCTTTCAGTCGGCGGAGGTCTGTCGCCATAGTGGGGCTCGGCATCCATGTGATCCCCCTGTCAACTGCACTTTGCTTGATTTCCCTTAACCTTTCAACCTGGTATCCGAGAAACCCACCCTCAACCACGGCTTTACAGTTTCTCGCTAAATTCCTTGAACTAATGACGCAAGCATCTATTACGAGTAACGTCCTGGACTTCGTGCGGCATCACGCTCTCGGGCAGGAAGCGCTACCCTTTGGTGCTCTTTTTGCTGGCCTCCAGACAACAAGCATCAGCTACCTGTGGTCTCTCGAATATATTGGAGCACTCACATCAAACTGGATGCCCGGCCGCCGTCGATGCATTGTGGGCTTCTTTATTGCTTTCAATGTCGTCCTTGCGGCTGGCGTTGGACCTTCGATTGCCATCTTACTCATTCCCCGGAGACAAGCCTTCCCATTCGGGACATCAACCTCGTGGGTGAAGGGAATGGAGGACGAGCTCTTTCCTTCGCACTTGAACAAGAGCCACATTCCCACCTCATGCTATTCCACGACTGAGACGGATATCGACACAACAGCATACGTGGAATGCCCATGGCGTGCGCTGCCCACTGTGCTCGAGATGGTCAAAAGTCGTTCTTCTGTTGACCTTCCTAGTTTTCTCCGACAGGTAAATGGAGGAAACATGGAAGTCCTTGGAGAAACCGATCTGGACGGAGGCAACAGGTCCTTACCTCTGGCACTCGATGAGCACGGCAGCCCCTACGTGTCTTTCCTAAAAGAGTATGGGGGCAATAGCGAGATAGCGACCGCAACAACCAAGGGCATCATGCAGACTTTCTTCGCGACCTGGTTTCAGATTGCGAATGGACCACGCGGCGCAATGCCGGACGTATTTACAGTAAACAGTTTCAACCGCGTCATGACAACACACAGCAAACAAGCACTTGCATGGACCCAATGCAAGGAATCCCTCGATCCATTCGATCCCCTCCACATCGATTTCCCCGGCATTCCCGACGCTTCAACCGCACAATACTCCCCCTTCAACGCGTCATCCCACTGGCAGCTCATCTGGGCCGACCTCAACACCACCGACCTCCCCGTCTCCATCGGCGCCATCGTCGTCCCCCCAGCATCTCTGATGCTCACGACCCCCAACCCACCCCCATCTCCCCAGAACACCACCACCAACCACCCCTCCTTCCCCACCTACGCCTGCACCGTCTCCGCGTCCTGGACCCCCAGCAGCCTCACCATCTCCGGCAGCTACAGCCACACCCTCTCCGCCGCCAGCACCGTCCTCTCCTGGCCCACGACCTCGACCGCCCTCTCCTCCACCTGGGCCAGCACGCTCCTCTCGCGCTGGCCGTCCGCCAACGACCCGTCCACCACCCTCCTCGACATCATGATGCTGCCCGCGACGCAAGAAGCCTCGAGCGCGCTGCAGAGCACGCAGACGCTCCTGTCGGGCCTCGTCGTGGCGGGCATGTCGCAGACATTGACGCCGGCGTGGGCCGTGGTCGGGAACCCCAACAGCTTCACCGCGCAGCTGCAGACCTTCAGCAACTGGACCGGCTACGTCGTCGTCGGGAACGGGACGAAGGGGGATCCGTGGGGGGTGGCGGGGCTGGAGGCGGCGAGGCGGGGGACTGCGTTGCGGACGGCGCTGGCGGCCGAGGGGCTGGCGTATTCGGCGCGGGGGGCGTCGGTCGTGGTGGCGGTGGTGGTGTTGGTGGTGTATGCGGTTTATGTGGTGGCGTTTGTGGCGTACGTCGTTGGGTGGAGGCCCGAGACGAGCGCTGCGTGGGATTCGATTTCGGAATTGACCGCGCTGGCGGTGTCGTCGAGGCGGACGGAGAGGCTGAGGCATGCGGGGGCCGGGATCGAGACGGTGGGGGTTTATCGGGAGCCGGTCAATGTCAGGGTGGTGCGGGGAGCTGAGAGATTGGAGATTGTGTTTGAAAGGGATTCGAGGGGGTCGGATGTGGATGCTGTGGAACCGGACAAGGCGTATTGAGGATGTGTTGGATAAGCGCGGAGTGTGCGAATCTCACGTAGGCATGTTTGTAGCGTCCGCATGATTTTTTGCCGGGGGTGTAGCTGGATGTGTTTGTATGGTCGCCGGCCAAGTTGACTAGTTTAGCTGCGGCGCAAACCCCTGCAAACTCTTATCAGCACGGCTGCCCGATCTTCCCTCCTTGAGTGTCCCAGACGCCTTTTTTGATCCTCCTCAGCGTTCCCGTAATGGTTGATAGTATTGATTTTGCCATCTTTGATAATTGGATCAGCGTCCAACGGATACAGCACCAACTTTCAGTTCACGCTGTAGCAGATAGCCGAAGTAGAAGTGCAGATGTTTGGTGAGACCTGATCGCTATGTAGATGGATGCGGGTCTAGGGGTCTAGGTAGGAGTAGATGGCGAGGCAAGACCAACTCCGCAGTCTCACCCTCTCTGCAAGCCCGGTCGAGAAGCCAGTCAGCCTTGATATGTGGAATCTCCTCACGCAATCGTTTCTGGCAAGAAATCCCCTTTGCGGCCACTTGCATGCTCGGGATCATCGCTGCTGATGCTGCAATGCAGCTCGGTGACTGTGCACGACGCGCTTCTTCTGTCCCTGCCGCACGTGAGCTTTTGGCACTGACAATTGAATGAAGTATCAATGAACATTTCGTAGATTCTAAGATCCGAAACGGCCGTCTGCGTTGCTGATGACTTTAACTTTTCGAGGCTAAAGGGCTGTACACATACTTTCCCTGGCCTCCTCGAGCATTATTCAGGGTTGAAAGGCCGTCTATCAAAGTGTAGTTAAAGTTGTGTATATTATAAGGAAAAATGTCTAATAACTAGTCTTATTGTCATTAAGCGAGTCGGTTATAGATGGTACGAGTTAGTTGTCTAATTTATAATACAAATCGTGCCCAAATACACTATAGAATAGTATCCTCTCCATTATCTTTAGGGAGCGAATACAGTAGACTCTCTCAAGCCCGAGTACTCAGCCACCGCATCAAAGGCCTCCCTCCACTTCTCAAGTCCGAACCTGCCAACGACGCTCAGCCCACCCTTCTTCCCGAGTGGCAAGACTCCGGCATTATCCATCTGCGGAAGCCTCCCCATTTGCTCTCTGGTGTACATCCAGGTCCCCCTAATAGTGATGTTCCGATGCATAATACTCCGATAATTGAACGAAAATTCCTCGGGCACCCCTCCCATCAAGCTCACCCTCCCCCCTCTCCTCAACACCCCCATCATGCTCCTCAAATGACTGGATCCAGCCGCCATTGGTGGCGAACCTGATCCCCGTGGTGGCCTGGTAGACAGCTTGGATTAGTACCGCCTGTCGTTAGTGCTCGACCCCGTGATTGCTGGGGCCTCTCGAGTCGCGGACAGCCCGGATTGTAGCGCTGGAGAGTCCCACGCCATTGATTCCGAAAGGTACGAAATAAACACAGCTTAGATGATCTTTACGGTAGGAAAGAGTTGAGGCTTGCTTACGGTAATGTGGCAAATTGGGGTCGTCTACTTTACCCATGCAACCCCGAGCTTTGAGACAATTCTTTTCTTCGAAATAACGCTCGGAACAGATTTGGTAAGCTACAACATTAAGTTGAAAAGCCGTGTACCGTCTCAGAGGTCCGATTAACTCACTGAGGTTCTGGATAGCGCTCAGGATTTCGTCTCACCCATATTCTCTGAGTTCAGCCCACTCCATGCTGTACATATTGCTTATCCGCCCAAGTGAAGACTAGCTATAGACTTTACTCAGGCTACCGGTTTAATGTCCACGTTCTTCTTGAAAACATTCGTGGGATCGTATTTCGCCTTCAACTTGGTGAGCCGCTCGTAGTTCGGACCGTACACAACCTCTGGGCCAGAACCATTGCCTACACGAGTCAGCACTCGACCCGTTTGGCAGGGTCAATGATAACTCACCATCATAATTCACATACTCAAAGTTCTCTCTCCCCTCGTCCGCCTTGCCCGGCTCGTTCACCACGGCGGCAATCCTCCTCCCCCACCGCCTCACCGCCTCGTCGTGCTCTTCGCCCTCCCACGCACACATGATGGCACACTGCAGCCTCCCACTGCGATGCGGCATGGCCATTGCATCCACGGCCGGCTCACATATCTTGTCCGGATTCATATTCTCAAACGCGACCAAGCTCCTCGCCGCGGCCGGGACTTCCCTCACAAACGCCTGAAACTCGTCCATCGTCTTCAAAAACTTGGCCTCGTCCAACGGCCGCGGGAACGAGGCGCCCTTGATCGACTTCCTCCCGCCGCGCGGGGCGGCAGCCGCCAGCACGCCGTTGACGGCGCTATACGGCATCGCGGCCGTGGTGTCGAGCAAGGGGCCGGACTCGAGCAGCGGTGCGAGGACGCGGCGCGCCTCGGCCTCGGGCCCGCAGTGGAAGACGACGGCGGTGACGGCGACGGCGTTGTCGCTGTCGGGGCTGCCGGGCGGCACCATGAGGGCGGCGTGGACGACCGTCTTGCCGTCGGTGCCGCTGGCGACGCAGGTGGCGTTGACGAAGGCGACGAGGGCGGGCGCGAAGCCGGGCGGCCACGCCAGCATGCCCATGAAGACGGCGGGCGGGACGGGGTGCGCGCGGTAGGTGAAGCTCGTGGCGACGCCGAAGGCGGCGCCCGCGCCGCGCGCCGCCCAGAAGAGGTCCGCGTGCGAGGTGGCAGACGCGGTGACGAAGGCGCCAGACGCGAGCACGAGGTCGACGGCGAGCAGGTTGTCGACGGTCAGGCCGTGCAGGCCCGACAGGAAGCCGTAGCCGCCGCCCAAGGTCAGGCCGCCGATGCCCGTGTGGTTGACGGTGCCGCCGACGGTGGCGAGGCAGTGCGGGGCGCCGGCGGCGTCGACGTCGGCCCAGGTGCAGCCGCCTTGGGCGGTTATGGTGCGGGCGTCGGGGTCGACGGTGACGCGGCGCATCTTGGCCAGGTCGATGACGAGGCCCGAGGTGATGGACGAGTCGCCGCTGGTCGAGTGCTGGCCGCCGCTGACGACGAGCGGCATGCCGTGCGCGGTGCAGAGCTGCACCGTTGTCGACACTTCGGCCGCGGTGGTGGGGTAGACGACGATGGCCTGCGGTGGTGGGGTTGATGGAATGCATGATAGAACACGTGACAGGTCTTGGTGCTTACCGCTTCCTTTACCGATGCTTCCGACCACCGCTCGATGCTCTTCCGGTAGTTGGCGGATTGTGGCGTGACGACCTCGACATCCTTGAGCGCGGAGCGGAGCTCGCTGACCAGGTCGTGAGATCCCATGGTGTGTGTGCGTATGTAGTTAGGAGAGGGAGATGGAGGGAACCTGAAGGCTCATAAATACCGAGTGAGAAGCGGAAGGATTCATGGTGGGGCACTAGTGCTGATAGGTAACTCTCCGCATAAGCTTACCCCGGCAGTGCTGCGATCGACATTATGTAAGCCGGTCTCGCCCAAATAGAGACCGATCCGATTTAGGCTTATGCTGAGTCACTCAGCCAAGCTACTGTAGAGTCCTGTAATGGAATTTCGGTGTGTGCAATAACAAGAGCTTATTGTTGAGCCCCTTTCTCGCGGCAGCTTGGAATTGCCCACAACAACCCCCCTAAGACATAACATCCTATTGCACTTAAAACAATGTACGACACAGCACTTGCTTTCAGTGCTGGCTAAAGGCCTTATATTGTCTGACACCTGACATATCCTTAGTCGGACCTGCTAAGTATCAGCCGAGCTGACCATCCGGGATATCATAGGCAGCTTCTGTAGATAGGCGATGACGCCAAAATACGGCAACTTTCAATCAGATCACGATGCGAAAAGGATACAATCTAGGTTACGCGTGTGACTTGAGAGCGAAACTTTTATGCCTTGGCTCCAAAACAGTAGCGGTACGCGTTCAAACACGAAGTTCGTAACGTGCCACATTAGACTCAATACATGGCAAACAATGGGCTCATGAAGCCCCACTTAGCCTACTAGGATCCAGCCAACTGAAAAATCGATAAGCCTGGTTGTTGTAGAGGCGGGTGTAGATGAAATGAGACTTACTGTTGGCACAGGTTTCTAAACAGTATAGCCTCCTCAGGCTTGTACAGGGAAGCGCAGCCAGGCAGCGAGGGGTTTGTAGATAACAAGGGTGAGTTGAGGCGTATCGTTCGCTATCTTAACGTAGGATTGCGAAATGAGGTCGCCTCGACGTTGAAACTTTCGCATGACGTTTCGCAGCTCACATAGTCATGGAATAGTCTAGAACATAGACTTGGACTGGTTTTGCGTACAACTCCAAAGCCATGTTCGGACAGCAAGGCATAATTAGGCAGCAGGATTAAGCATTGCGAAGACTCATCGTCATTAGGCCGGCGTTTAGTACCTCGTATCTGATTCGTGGCGCACTTCAAGCCACGCCGTTCTTTACCGCGCGCACGCAAGCACATGGCGGTCCACCTGCCCGAATCGGATGGGTACCGAATCCTTCCCGCCTATTTTCCGCCAACCAGTGCACATGTAGCACCAACTCCGATGGCTAGACCTCAACACCATTGGCTCAACTCGAACACCGTATGTAAGCCGGAATTCGCCAAATTCATCTGCCCTCTCCATCTACCGCTCCTTTCCCGCCACGATGTAACCCCGGCCCCGCCGCAAACAGGCAGCACCGCACATAAATATAACGCCATCTCCACACCACCCGGCAAACACCCACAGCATCAAACGAACCATCCGCCCCGCCATCATCCAACTCCGCCCCCTCAACCACACCCAAACGACAAGGGAAAAAAAAAAAAAGAAACCCACCCACCCACCATGCCAGCCGCCACCCCCCACCACACCCTCCACCCCGTCACGCCCTCCGACACCCCCGCCCTCATGGCCGTCGGCGCCGCCGCCTTCGAGCACGACCTCCTCCGCCTCGCGACCTGGCCGGCGCTCTCTCCCACCGCGCCGCCCTCCGCCCACGCCGCCGAATACGAGTTCCGGCGGCGGCGCCAGCTCAAGCGGCTGGCCACGCCGGGCGTCGTCATGCACAAGGTGCTGGCGGACGACGGCACCAGCGTCGCGGGCTTCTCGGCGTGGGTGGCGCCGAAGAAGAGTGAAGACGCGGCGGCGCAGCTGCAGGGTGGTAGCACCGTTGCTGAGGCGGTGAATCCGGGGGGCGAGGTGCCTGAGGGTGCGAACAGGGCGATTTTTGAGGCGCAGCCGCGGCTGATGGAGGAGGCGAAGAGGAGGGTTTTGGGGGAGAGGTCGGATTTCTGGTGTGAGTGTGACATTCCTATCTGTGCCTGATGCCTGGTGCCTGGGCTGGCTGGCGTGGGTGTGGGCCGGTTTGGAGCGCGGAGAGAGTGCTGATGTTGTGCTGCTTGGTGTAGATTTGACGTCCCTGGCGACGCATCCGGATCATCAGGGGAAAGGGGTGGGAGCGGCGCTTGTGCGGTGGGGGATCGAGCAGGGAGAGAGGGACGGCGTGCCGGTGTATTTGGAGGCGACGCCGGATGGGTATTTCTTGTATAAGAAGTTGGGGTTTGAGCAGGTGGATGAGATTGATGTGTCGGAGCTTGTTCCAAACTGCGGGAGTTATAAGATAGTCTGCATGCTGAAGAGGCCAAGTTCGGAGACGCAGACGCAGACGCAGTAGTATGAGGCGGAGGGGGCACGGAGACATGCACAGAGCTCCCTCTTTGAGTTGTTCTTGAGAGGCTTTTTTGAACATCTTCCGTCTCGCTCATACTGAAGACACGATTAAGACAGAGCTGGTGGGGATGTTATCGAGACTAGAGTGGTCAGAAATAGACGGAGTGATCGACGCACTTTTTGCAAATCCACATATTTAGTTTGAAAATTAAGCTTCGCTGCGTGCATCACCATCGACGCTGTAACACTATTTGAAAGCTACGAGCAAGCATAAACTCAGGCTTCCACGTTAACATGTAAAGTCTCTGGGCTTGACCTTATTTTAATAGCTACTGCCTGCTTGTAGATGTAGCGGCTGCTGGAACTTCTATTAGTAAGTCTTACGGCTATGTGGTGAAGTATATAGAAATCTTGCTGGGAAGGGGATACTGGGATCAAGTAAATATCTGTTAATCTAGTCCAATCAGCATGCTTTGGGTTGCGTCGAAGCTACTAGTTAGGAGTTAGTCCGTTACGTGGTTGAAAGTGAACCCGGTATCCAGGTAAATTAAAGCGTTGCATATTCGGAGCTCTGCTCCCTTCCACTGCCCTTGCCAAAGGACCAGATCTTTTACAATCAACGGCGTTATAGCTATCCTTTCACACCCGAGTAGCAGCGTACTAAAACAGTACCGAAAGTCGCGGGACGATATATTCCAATGGCTGTGTAATATAGCTCTGTGGTTTTATATGCGGGAATACCCTGTACGGGTTTGATCTAATGTAGTTCATATCATGGCGTTCATCGGGATGCCAGGGATGTGCGGTGAATTGTTGAAGGCGGTTAAGGGCTCAGGATAAAGGATAGGGGCGAAGGTAAATTTGAAGTATTCCAGGTTGAGAAGAAAATGGCATTTGAGGCGTGGAATGTTTGGTGGACAAAGAGGATGTAAAGTTTGGTGGACGGACGGGACGGACGAGAAGGAGGCCATAACGGGAGAAGTGGAAACCGCGTGTGCATGTCTTTCTTTGGATTAGCGTAGCAAATTCTTGCTGTATCCGGTCTAGCTTGGTCCGACTCTTGCTCCGCCCGCACTGGCTGGGGGATGCCGACAGATTAATCACCTTGCTTATCAGCACTATGGATGACATTGCACGAGACGATTCTCGCAATGAGAGTTCTTGACTCGACGGGAAATATAGATGGCTCGGGCTGTGCAAATCTACCAATCAATTGCAATCCTGGGGAGATTCCAGCACCATGACGTGTCATTAATGTTGACGACGACGGTTATCCAGTTCTGGTGCCATGCAGTGTGCAGGCAAGGGCGGGAAAGTATTGGGGTTAGATCTGCAATCAGGTGAGTCGGCTCTATTGGAGCGAAGGAGGTACGGGAGGGACAATGTCAATGTTGTGTGGTGAAGGGGCGTGCGGCGAAGATTGCCGAGATCGAGGATCTGAGTTTTCTCTCGCGAGATAGGCTACAATCAAGGAGGTGGATAAGCATGTAAAGGATGACAACTTAAGCCCAATCCCCTTTGGCCGTCACAACCACACAGAAAGTGCACACGGTGGCATATATATGAAATTGAACTTTCTAATCATAGACCCCTATGTGACGCTACTTCTTTAGACTTTTACTGGCGTCAACGTCTTCGACTTCATCGACGTTGTCAACCTCTACGCCGTCAAACACCTGGTTTGCCCTCCGCTTTTCACGAGTGTGGAGGAACGCAATTACAAGCACAGCGATAACCTGAACAAGATTGTTCGCCATGACCCAGTACCAACCAAACTGTCAAACGTCACTTGTCAGCAAACGTACCGCAAAGATTCCAACAGAATGCGTACCTTGAACCTCGGAGCCTCGGGGGTGGGAAAAGTAACAATATTCAACCCCGCCAAAAGCGCCTGTCCGAAAGCATTCATGCTCGCGACTACCACAGTCCGCTCTTCGGCCGAACCCACAGTCTGCGAGTGCATCGGTCAGCCGCGTTCCAACATGGCAGGTATCACACCCAGACTTACCACTTCACTCGCCCAACTCATAAACAGCGGATTCAGCGCCCCTCCCAGCCCCGCGACGTAAAACGCAAACAACTTCAACCCAACCGGGATATACCACACGGCCATACAGATACTCCCAAACACCATCCACGCGCAAATGACCAACGAGGGCACCCACCTCACCCCCGTCGCATCGGCCCAATAACAGAAGCCCAGCGCGGCCACGATGGACACGGCGCTCTGGCCGGTCGGGATGTTGTTGATCTGGCTGGGCGAGTAGATGTCCGAGTGGGCCTTGAGATACAAGCTGAAGGGCTGGCCGTTCGTGATCATGGCCTGGTTGAAGACGATGTAGAGCAGCACGAAGGCGTACCAGTGCCACGACTTGAAGACAGAAGCCACGACCGACTTGGTGAGGTTGACGGCGGGCGCCTCGTTGCCGTCGGCGGCCAGCCGCGCGCGCGCCATGGCGATCTCGTCGGCCCGCAGCCACCGGCTGGGTGTGGGCGAGTCGGGGCGCGCGGGGAAGACGAGGGCGCCGAAGACGGCGATGGGGATGGTGAGACAGCCGCAGCTGCGGGTGCGTGAGCTTGCAGTGTCTGTGTGAGAGGAGGGGAGCGGGCTTACACGATGAAGAGCCAGCGCCAGCCGGCGAGGCCGTGCACGCCGTTCAGGTTGGTGTAGCATGCGGATTGGAAGTAGCCGGCGAACATGGTGCCGAGCGGGCCGGCGATGTAGAAGAGGGACAGGCGGCGCGAGATCTCGGACCTCTTGTACCAGGACCCGATGCAGTAGATGACGCCCGGGTAGGCGACGGTTTCGAAGACGCCGCTGAAGAAGCGGATCACGTAGACGTGGTCGACTGTGTCGACAAAGGCGGTGGCGAGGGTGAGGCAGCCCCAGATGGCCTCGCAGATGGGGATGAAGATGTTTGGTCTGAGGGAGGGTTTGTCAACATCTCTCATGCCCTGGTCTGGAAGGTCTGTACTTACGAGACTCGTGTGAGGAGGAAATTGGCTGGAATCATCATGGCGCAGTATCCGGCCTGGAAGACTCCAGTCGTGTACTGGAGGTCATTGCCCTCCATGCCGACGTCTTCCTTCATCCCGGTGACGTAGGCATTCTGGAATGCCTGGAGGTCGAGAAACTGAGGGTTTTGTCAGTTGCAGCCGCAGGAACAGTGCAAAGGAGGCGCAAATACCTTGGTGAAGAAAGTGAGGCATCCGAATGTCAGGATCATGAAGTCCTGCTTCAGGAGCAGTCTCCTTTCTTCCTTGGATGCATTCGGGTCATACCATGCCCACTTGTGGTACCAGGGCTGTGGAGAGGTCGACATGTTGGCACGAGAATCACGCGATGAAGGATAATGCGATTGCGTATGGAAAAGGAGGTGGTGCGGACGAGGTGGAGTATTTGACTCGACGGTTATCGGAGCTCCAATCAGTCGGCCTGTGTTTACGCGTCGGCCACCCTATCGTTATCATCGGCTGTCCGGCCCAGCCCCCCAGTTTTAGCCGTCGGGAGCTCCACCTCGACGCTGCACCCCACTCCTCGCAGTCTAGCCATTTGCAGGAGCTCCGCACTGCCTGGCGATAGCGCCAGCACTCGGCTGCGGAGTGCCGAGTTGATGCAGGCGTGTGATCGCTGCTGCCATTGTCCATTCCGTCCTCTACGGTGTGGTCGCCGTTGAGCAATATTAATATGACCTTTGGCCGTCCGTTCCAACACAATTCCAACACAACAACAATCAACATCCATCACCACCTGCAATATCTTCTCAAGTTTCAGACATGGCCACCAGCCACCGCATCCCGAAATTCGTTCCGGCAGAGCCGACCAAGGAGAAGCGTGCGTACAAACGTCCACTCATCCTTATCTTTGCACCTGCTGATAGGTGAATCAGTGGACTGGATCGAACTCGTCAACGTCGACTTTGCCAAGTACGATGACCCCAGCACAAGGAAAGAGCTGGCGCAGGACCTGCTCAAGGCAGTTACCGAGCATGGCTTCCTTACCATTTCCAATCACGGCATCTCGGACGAGCTGTACGAGTCTCAGATGAGCCTCGCCCATGCGGTCATGACTCTGTCTCCGGAGGAGAAGCAGCCGTATGAAGCATCGCCAGAAGAGGATGCGAGTGGTCTGTACGTCGGCTTCAAGCCGTCGGGGGAGCGTGGCATCAAAGGCGGCTTCCACAAAACCGTAAGTCTGGCGTGCACAGTTTCAGACGGCTGAGGTACTGAGTCTTCTCCAAAGCTGGACCACTACAACGTCCTCGTGCACGACCCCCAGAACCACAAGCACCCCGACATCCTGGAGCCGCACATGGACGAAGTGAACCAAACCATGCACATCATCCGCAACAACGTGCTGAAGAAGCTCCTCGTTCTCGTCGCCATGATCCTCGAAGTTCCCGAGGAAGCCGTGCTGCGCACCCACGCCTTCGGCAAAGACAGCACCGAATACCTGCGCTACATGATATACAACCCGCGGACCGAAGAAGACAACCAGCGCTACCGTGACCTCTACCTCGCCGGCCACACCGACTGGGGCACCTTCACTTTCCTCTTCTCTCAACCCATCGCCGCCCTTCAGATCCTCGACAACAACGGCGCGTGGAAATGGGTGCAGTACCTCCCCAACGCGCTCGTCGTCAACGTCGGCGAGGCACTCGAGCTGCTCACTGGAGGCTTCTTCAAGGCGACCATCCACCGCGTCGTCAAGCCACCGCAAGACCAGGCCATGAAGAAGCGCGTCGGTGTCATCTACTTCTCGCGGCCGGTCAACGATGTCCCGCTGCAGCCGATTGAGTCGCCGCTGCTGAAGAGGCTCGGCGCGGACAAGCCGCTGGATCCGGTGGTGTACACGATGCCCGAGTATTTGAATGCGAGAAAGCACGGGTATAAGAGGCTGGACTTCGATAGTGATAGGCCGCGCCAGCTGGGGCTGCACGAAGATCCGTTCCATGGGGAGTATAATGATCCGCAGGGGTTCAAGGCGTTAGGGAAGGAGGCGATCCAGCCGTCAGGGGTGGCTGTTTGAGCGAGGATTCAAGTAGATTGCCTATTGCTATGACCAAACTGATTTTTGAGCCTTTGTCATCCTCGCATGCCTTTGCTCCCAGTGATGATCGTTCGTTGCTGGTTCTGTACCAGAGATTCAAAACACCCAAACGAATGGCAAACGGACTGCTCCAGAGTAAAGAGAATGATTGCTGGTGGTTCAGCGAAGAACGGTGCCCACATCTCAGCGGTCGTTCCATTCCACCGCGACCGATGTGGATCGAGCTCCCCTCTTCGTAGTGAAGCTTGCCACCAGTGGCAAGAGATTGCGGACAAAAGCGACCGATGCGGAGACATGTCGCTCCCAACATCAATTCGAGCGGGGCGCATAAGTCTCTCGTAACAGCCGGAAGGTGTGAGCCCGAAACAGAGCGTCTTGGCTGCGATCGGCACGAGTGTGGTGGACAAAACACCCCTGGGTGGAGCTCCACCTTCGGCCCGTCCACCACGTCCATCCCCGCATTCCGGCGATCCACCCCACCGACCCACCAAACACCCAAACGTCCACTGCTATCTCACGGCACAAGAGCTCAAACACCGAGCCCTGCAGCCCTCGGAGCAGCCACAAAATGCCAACACAAGCATCTCCAACGCCCAACATCCTCTCCCTACCACACCACTAGCCAAGCCCCCCTGCACCCTCCTACCAATCGATCACTTGCACCCTTCAACCAATCATCTCTCCACAGCCAACCACCGCCATGTCTTTCGGCACCCTCTACACGTACCCCAACGCGCCCCGGGCGACAATGTGCCTCTACGTCGCGGCGCTCAACAACATCGACGTCAAGATCGCCGAGGCGTGGCCGATCAAGGTGCGCCCGGACAAGGGCGGCGTCGGCGCCGCCTACCTGTCCAAGTTCCCGACGGGCAAAGTCCCCGCCCTCGAGCGCCCCGACGGCTTCGTCGTGTACGAGTGCATCGCCGTCACGTGGTATCGTGAGTAATCCATCCGTCCCCCTTAGCGGGTTGTTCGAGGCCTGGGAGCTGACTGGATGGGACCGCAGTCGCCAAGCAGAACCCCAACACCACGCTCCTCGGCGCGTCGGTGGAGGACGAGGCGTCCATCCTGCGGTGGTCGTCGTTCGCGAACAGCGAGCTGCTGCCGCCGATCATGGGGTGGATTAATCCCGTGATTGGCAAGGCGGCGACCAGTCCGGAGATTTTGGCCAAGGCGGAGGAGGGGTGCGAGGGCATGTTGGAGGTGGTGGCGAGGGAGCTGAAGGCAGGGAAGAAGTTCCTTGTGGGCGACAAGCTGACGATGGCGGATTTGTTTGTCGTGGCGGCGTTGGCGAGGGGGTATCAGTTTGTGAGTTTGCTCCTTTTCTTTTTCGTTCCTTTCCTTTTTTTGCTGACGGTGGGCGATAGGTTTTTGCAAAGGGGTGGACTGAGAAGCACCCGGAGATTCATGAGTACTACTGGAGGATCAAGTCGGATCCGGTTTATGTCAAGGTGGATGGTGAGCCGTATGTTTTGGCGAATGTGGGAGACAAGCCGCCGGCGTAAGATAGAGTCGAGCGTCTGCTGCCTCGCGCAAGCCAGGATCAGGATGAATATATGACTACACTTCCACGCGAATCATGACTAGACCATTTCTCACATGACGCCACCACACTCCCTCACCCCAGCCGCATACTCGACCGCCCCCGTCAGCGCCTCCTCCACAATCGCCGCCTCCCACCGCCCCACGGGCCAAACACTCCTCTTCATCAGCGCCTCCCTCACCCAGCGCAGATACACCACCTCAGCCTCCAGAACATCCCCGCCGTCCCCTCCCTCCCCAGCCCCGTCCAACCCATCCTCCTTCCCAATCGCCGCCATGATGCTCTGCAGCACGAACCGCGACGGATTATACCGCGCCAACCCCTCGCCCCTGCCCCCCTTCCCCGCCGCCTCCCCCATAGTCAACCGCACAATCCGCCACCCGACCAAACAAATCTTAAACGCCAACAACGTCACAAACGGATTCTCCCCCCGCTCCCGCTCCTGCCCTTCCTCCCCTCCCCCCAACAGCCTCCCCAACCCCCCCTCCAAATCCCTCAGTATGCGAAACACGTCCCGATCCTCATAAACGTCGCGATTCGCCTTCCGGCCCCGCGGCCGCGCCAGGTGGCCCGCGGTGGCGATGGCCGCGGGCAGGTTCGGCTCGACGATGCCGGTCACGAGCAGCGCGTCCGGGTGCGACAGCGTCATCGACGTGTGGTGCAGCGCCACGTGCACAGAGTGCCACAGCGCCTCGAACGGGCCGGCGACGCCGCCACCTCCACTGCCACCACCACCGTTGGTAGGAGTAGCAGCAGTGGCGTCTCGCCCCCCGGCAGCGGCTGCGTCGCCGCGCGTCCCTGTCGCCGTCCTGGCCGGCGCCGGCGGCGGTGGCGGCACCAGCTCTGCGATCGACCGCAGCGCTTGCGATATCTGCCCGTGCTGGGCCTCGGTCAGGATGGACAGCGGGCGTTGGCCGCGGTGGCGGTGGGCGGCGCCGGGTCCGGCGGATGCGCCCGCGGACGCCGGCCGCGAGAGCAGGCACGAGGCGTGGGTCAGCTCGCGGGCGGTCATGTGCAGCTGGGTGACGAGGACGAGGGCGGCGAAGGGCGAGTACCAGAGGAGGCGGAGCGGGGTGGCGGTTGCGTCGTCGGGGGTGGGGTGCTCGGGCGGGGAGGACGCGCTGTTGTGGGCTAGGAGGAGGAGGTCCTGGGTGCTGCCGTGGAGGGAGCCCTCGGACGGCTTGGCCTCGTCGGCGGCGAAGGCGTCGTCGCGCTCGTTGAAGGAGGTGAAGTGGTGGGTGCGGGTGCGGTGCCAGGCGGTGGGGGTGGGCGCGCTCCAGAGGTCGTCGGCCGAGGGGAGGGCGTATTTGATTTCGAGGGCGGAGATTTGCGGGCGCAGGTTGCAGGCGATGGAGAGCTGGGAGTCGAGGAGGTAGATGGAGTAGATGCTTCTGGGTGGGGGTTAGTTCTTCTTCTTTTGGGAAGAGAGTTAGGGTATGGCACACCTCTTGCGGGACTCTTCGCGGATGAAGTCCAGCCATCGTTTTTGGAGTGTTCCTGCGTCGTTCTCGGAGAGGGCGGAGACGGGCGAGGGCGAGGCTGGGGATCCTAGACGGGATGCGTGGCCGTCGTGGGTCATCTGCAGTTCTCTGATGGCGCTGACCAGGGTTTGATGGATGTTCTGGGCTTTGGACAGGAGCGAGTCGTCGCATATGTAGATTCCGTAGGTTTCGAGCAAAACGTATGCCTGGAGCACCCATGTTTCCTGGAATCTGCTGCGGTCTTCCCTGGTCTGGATTATGTCAGTACGAATTTCCTTTTGGTGAGGGGGGATGAAGGTACATACATATTCTTCCAGCTCATAGTATCCATCTTCGAAAAACTTCCTGCTGGCAGCGAATCTGGACTCGGCAGAGCCATACAGAGAACCAATGCATCTGACAGCGGTGAGCAATGGCTTCGGTGCCTTGGCCACTTCGAAAGTAGGTTCATGCATTATCGGCATGGTGGGGTGAAACTTCCGGAAGAAGGCTTCACAATGCTGACAATCTCTGGGCACGCAGTAAGACGAGTGCACTAGCATAGCGTAGGGTGGCTTACGGTGTTACTCGCTTGACTGGCAAAGCATTGAGACCCAGATACAGATCCGCATCGTCAGTGTCCAGAATCTGGGTGGACGGCAGACAAAACTCATCCTCGATGGACTGCCAAGGAACGGCGGGCAAGATCATCTCAATCGAGGGGTGGCAATTCCGGATATGTCGCTTCCTCAGGTCGCTGGGATCTCATATTAGGCCGGCCACTACATATGTGTTGCACACGTGACAGTACCTTCTGGAGAATCGGGCGTCGCATTGCGGGCACGGGTAGGATCGCGAAATGGCGCTGGGATGATCTGGGAAGGGCGATTAGAAATTTTCCCGACTGGCGAGATGACAGAAGATCTCACGAGTCTGAACATGTCGTTTCAAATTCTCCTGTTGGGAGAGACAAAAGTCAGTGCTCGGCGCAGCACTCTCTGGTGTCGGGAGGGCGCGGTACCTGTCGCGTAAAGGGCCGCGAGCAGACGGAGCATTTGAAAGGGCGCACGCAAGATTTGGACATTTGGATGTAGGGAAGATGATGTTTGGTTGTGGTAGGTAATCCGTACTACCTATCGGGGGTGATATTGAGATTGTGCGGGGAGACGCTAGCTGAGATGGCTTATCAGCCTGTCCCCCCACTCTTCGGGTCCGGCAACCGATCGCTCGTCAACACCATTACTTGTGCATCACGGGTAATTGTTTTTCGAGGATGCAACGGTATGCTTAGTCGGAGAGCAAATAGTAAGAAGATGGATTGTCATGCGTCGATGCGATGGCGTCGCGGGCAGAAAGGGAGACAGGGCGGGAGGAAAAGCTGCGAATGGAAATAAAAGGGAGACAGAGAATAACAAGAAGTCGGATCGACAGGCGGACCGGCGGGGCGGGCAGACCAGGGTGGGTTGGCGGAGCGGGGTGGGAAGGCGGGGCGGGAAAGTCCCCGAACCAAGAGGCCGAGTGGATTGCAATCTCACGATCCCCTCAATTTTTACCAGTGTCAAAGTGACGCCGTCTTGTGCTGTCGGGGTGGAGGAGTGGCGAGCGGCGGTTGAAATGGACCGTGTGCCAGGCAGCCGTCAGCTCAGCCACAGGGGCAGCTGGGGGCAGTGCATCCCGCAACCAACGTCGCTCTAGCCAGCGCATGTCGTGAATCCAACACTCTGTCGTCAGCTGCATGCTGCCATCTCCGCAATTCTCCATGGACCTCTACGACCTGGACTCGACTCTTGGCCATATCCCGTTAATGACCCATATTTGTTGCTGCCTTCGAATCCTGTAGGATGAAACGTGTGGAGTTTTGCGCTGCATTGGGCCTGGAACACGACACCGACTTCCCGGCAGAGTCACCGTTTCGGAACCGGGCCGAGCTTGCACCTCACCGCTGTGCCGCTGCGCTTCTGCCTGCCGCTGCACGGCCCGCCCGGCGCAACCAACTACATGCGCGAACTACGCGGGGTCGCTGCGAAGGTGGTGGCTGAGGCTTCCTCTGCCGCCTGGCTAGCCGCTGAAGCCTAGCCACTGATCCAATGCTTATAGTCGCCAGCTTCCGCTGAGCTCTCTCACCATCCAACACTTCTCTCTCTCCAACAACATTCAGCGTTCGTTCCTTGATACCCAGCTTTCACCACAAACAAGCACCATGGCCGACTCCAACCCTGCACCCGTCCCGGCCGCGGCCACGGCACCCGCCGCCGAGGTCGCCCAAAAAGTGTCGCCCAAGATCAGGTACAAGGTCGAGTGCGAGGACCAGTACGGCCCCAAGTTCGACTGCATGCAGGACGATGCACCTTTCGACCTGCAGCTCACCAAAGGCCCGACCGCCATCGACGAGACCATGCCCGTCTTCGAGATCATCACCTCGTTAAAAGTCGCCTCCAAGCGGCCCAAATACGCAGACTACATGAAGATGTTCAGTGCAGAGGGCCCCCTGAACCTCGACGACGACGACGACAGCGACGACGAGAAAGAGGCCGACGCTAAGCCCAAGGAGAAGCCCAAGCAGACGCTGGAGGGCAAGCGCATCCTCGACGTCCTCGACACGAGGATGGTCATCCACTCGCCCTTGCTGCTGGACGCCATCCGGGACGTCGTCCACTACTACCCGAGCCAGAACCTGACCGGCGACACCGTCACCGTCCACGAGCCCTACCGCGCCCTCGTCCACCACATCACCGAGCTCCGCAACCTCAGCAACAGCCTCGCTCTCGAGCGTACCCCCGCCGAGTCGGACGAGACGGAGAAGACGGACGCCGACGTCAAGTACGACCACCTCCAGATCCTCCTCGACTTCCTCGACCCGCACGTCGAGAAGACGGTGCTGCCCGCACGCCGCCGTCTGAAGAAGGACGCCGCCACCGTCACCTACGACGACATCTGGTACCTGATGCGCCCCGGCTCGCTCGCCTACGCCCTGCACGACGACGTCTGGCTGGGCGTCATGATCAAAGAGGCCGAGTCCATCCCCGCCGACAACGACGGCAACCCGCCCAAGTGGAAGCTCACCGGCTGGGTCATTGACAACTCCTGGCACATGCACACCCTCGGCACCGCCGAGGTCAGCGTCGACGTCCCGTACTTCGAGGGCGAGAAGCTCGTCACCACCCTCCCCATATACCCGCGCGCCTACTTCGACAAGACCGACGCCAACGCCCGCCGCGACAAGTTCATCGCCCGCGGCCGCAAGGTGCGCGACATCCTCTGGCATGGCCACTCCTACGTCATGTACGAGGGCGAGTGCATGGACGAGAAGAAGCGCGTGTACAAGGGGCCGCTGATGGCCGACGCCTCCGTCCCGAGCGGCGAGTCGGTGCCGGACCACAAGTGGAGTCTGGGCTGGGACTACAGCCTCGACGAGGGCCTCGTCTCGCCCAGGCAGCGCCCGGGCTTCCCGCAGCCGCTCGCCCTCAACACCGAGGTGCACGACCGCTCCATGCTGACCGACGACCACCTGTTCCTGATGGTCCCCGTCCTGCCCGGCTTCGCCCTGGCCGAGAAGTTCTGGTCGCCCGTGCACGTCGACTACATGCGCCCCGTCGAGGAGCCCAAGTTCGCCGTGCCCGACGCCAACATCGGCGAGGAGAACTCGGAGATCATCAAGGCCCTGGCCCACCGCCAGCTCAAGTCCAAGGTCAAGTGGACCGCCGACTTCGTCCAGCACAAGGGCGCCGGCGTCGCCGTGCTGCTCTACGGGCCCCCCGGCGTCGGCAAGACGTACACGGTCGAGCTCACCGCCCTGCACACCCGCCGCCCCATGGTGAGCCTGACCATCGGCGACCTCGGCACCAACGAGGAGAGCATCGAGAGCGAGATCACCAAGTGGTTCGACCTCGCCCACCGCTGGAAGGCCGTGCTGCTGATCGACGAGGCCGACATCTTCCTCGAGCGCCGCAGCACCGACCTGGCCCGCAACGGCATCGTCACCGCCTTCCTGCGGAAGATGGAGTACTTTGGCGGCCTGCTGTTCCTGACCACCAATCGCGTCGAGCACATCGACGACGCCTTCATGTCGCGCGTGCACGTCGCCATCGGCTTCGAGAAGCTCGATGTCGCCAAGCGGCGCGGCATCTGGGCCTCGTTCTTCGACAAGCTGGAGCGCGAGGCCAAGGGCCAGATCGCCGTGAGCGCCGACGCGAGGACCTTTGTCCTCGAGAGCGACGACATGGCCGAGAACGAGTGGAATGGACGCGAGATCAGGAACGCCTTCCAGTCGGCTATTGCCATTGCCGAGTACGAGGCTTCCAAGGATCCCGAGTTCAACGACGAGGAGGATGAGATTGTCGTCAGTGTTGAGCATTTCCGCAGGGTGATGATGATGAGCAAGAAGTTCCGCGATCATGTGGAGAAGGCGAGGAAGGACAACGAGAGCGAGTGGAGTGACTTGTAAGCCGAGAGATTGGCATGGCTGGCGTTTGGGAGCAATGAACTGCGATGATGAGTACATGACTTTTCCGGTTGATATATAATCACAAAATGACACGACTGATTCCATACCGTTATTGGCTTTTCTCGCTTTCATCAAGCTCCATCTTCTATGTAAAAGGTGCAATACTTGTTCGGTGTTATGACGGACAGCCACGAAACACAATAGGTGCGGAGAATGGTCAATGGACTAGGGCAGTGTTGCTTGTCATCTATTCCACACGAAAAACCCAAGTCGGACCTGCTCAAAAGTCCAGTCCAGACGAGAACTGCAATGTGGCGAGAGATTAGTCGTACGAATCGAGGACGGACATGGCATTCTTTGCAAAGGTCAAAGGCCGAGACGCTTGCATAAAGTTCCATCCATGAAAATTGTCCCGGGGACCTTCCTTCCCATCACCAACGCAAACAAACCGCCCTCCATCAAGCCCCGCCCCCTCCCCACACACCAACCAACCACTCACTCCCCAAGCTCCACCCTCTCCCCGCCATCCGGGTACGCATCCACATAATCCTCCCTCCCCTCCAACAAGCGCTCAAAATTCCCCTTGACGCTCCACCTCACATTCCTCGTAAACGCCCTCTCCCTCCACCCCACCCTCACATTAACATCGCTCTCCGCCCTCCTCTCCCCCCTCTCCCTCCGATGCCCAAACACCGCCGGCTGCACCGTCACGCACTCCAGCGGCGGCGTCACCACCTCCCTCCCCTCCTCCTCGCCCCCACTCCCCCCCTCACACGCGCCCCTCACCATCAAATCCGCCGGCGCCGACACATTCCCGCTTACCCCCAACCCAAACAACAGCCTCCGCGCCCCACCCCGCGACACCGCATACCCCAACGAACACGTGTTCCCCCACGCGCGATGCACGACGCGCGTGTGCGCGGGATACTCCGTCAGCAATTCCCACCCGCCGTTCTCGACGTCCAGGTGCTGCTGCTCGGGCACGCTGGGGTCGTCGCGCAGCACGGCGCGGCCGAGCGGGGCCGCGTGCGGGGTGTCGTCGGAGCGCGGGAAACGCGTGCCGCAGTGCCCGAGCCAGAGGACGTCCCAGCGGGAGAGGTCGCCGTAGGGGGAGCTGCTGGGGGGGAGGGTGAGGCCGGTGAAGGATGGGACGGCGATGTTGGAGGGGTGCTCGGAGGGGAGGATGGGGAGGGGCAGGGAGGGGTCGATGTAGGTGGATGTGGTGCCGCTGAGGGGTTGGAGGAGGAGGTGCGTGGCGAGGGCGGTGGAGTGGAGGATGGACTTGAGGCGGATGTCCCAGTCTGTGTCGGGCTCGAGGATGAGGGCGGAGGAGAGGTTGCGTTCGACGATGCTGGTGGGGGGGTGGGTGGTTAGTGGGTGGGGTTGCGGTGGTGATGGGATGGGACGTACGTTCTGAGAACGTTTACGTGGGCTCGCCAGGCGAGCAGGCTTCCCTTGGCGAGGTTGACTTCTTTGGCGCCGGGAGGGATGGCTTTGTCGTCGATCTCGGTGACGCCGTCGACGTACTCGATGTCGATGCCGGTCAAAGCTGCGGCCAGTGACATGGAATCGCGGAGGTCAGTGCGCGAGGGGAGATTGATGACAAAGATCTTTTGGAACTGCTTGCAGTTAGCGGGAGCTTGCACCGCCAAAGACGCCGACGGCACTGACTCCGAGGGTTGAATTGAAGATGTCGTCGAGATTCGCAGCACGCGTTCCTGTCAGGGGCTCGATGCCGATGCACACGAAGAGCACCAGCAACACCAGGCCTGACGCCGCTATTGACGCATCGCGGAAACGAAATGAGGATATGGTCACCATTACTTAGGTCAAGTAGATGGGAGTTGCCATTCGGCGATCACCTATTAGAACGGTGGGTGTTGTAGTCGTGGTGCAGCGTCGGCAGCAGCGTTAGGGGGGATTTACGAATTTAGCGTACCCGAAGACGCGCTACACCAACTTCGGCCCCACTTTACGAACTCACTTATGGAAAAGGCGAGTTGATCGAGAGCACTTCTAACTGGTTTCGCATGCATGACTCAGAATAATACAGTCGTCCGTCATATAGGCACCCCGTTAAATTATGCTTGTCCGGGAGCGTGTCTCGGCTGGACTCCAAGTCTACTGAAGCCATTTATGAAGCTAGATCCTGAAAGAGAACAATTGGAGTGGGAACGCGTCTCATTAAAAGAACACCCCGAGCGTCAAAATGCCGAGAAGTTAGGGAGCAGAAGGAACATCAGGTGGCGGTCTAGAGGGATCGATGGAAGTATAACTATTTTATGAGACGGTGGGCTCTCAGAAGCCACTAATGTCGGAATACCAGAGCACAGGGTCTTGCTGAATGGTTATAGCATCAAATTCGGATGGACAAAAGGCGGTCATACTTTATACCGTGGGACTCAAGGTGAGAATTTTGATCCATATCGATATTCAATTTTGTAACATATGACCGTGTGGTAAGAATTGGAAAAAAAAAAAAAAAAGAAACAAAGCGTCTCTATAGGCCGTGATCCATCTTTTCGCTCTCGAGCCTTTTTGTCTAGATATTATCTGACCATGACATCCCCCACAGACTGCATCTCCGAATCTGACTCGGACTTGGATTCCTTCTTGGATGAACGAGGCTCGCCGCATCTTTTGAAATGACGGAAGTCCAGAATAGCGACGACTGCGGTTTGGAAATAGAGCATACTATATGACACAGGTATATCAGCACACATTCCAGAATGGTCGGAGCACAGAAGCGGCAAGGGGACATACTGCAGAATCAAGGCCAGCACAGCGACGACCCAGCTCAGGGCACAGCTGGCGCCCGAGCAGGAAGTCAAGTTTGCTTTGAAGATCAAGAACATGACGGCGGCCCAGAAGACGACCTCGAGGGAGTTGAGGATTGCATTTGCTTTGAGGCTGTGCCATCTCCGAAACTTGGCCACGCGTTCGGTCAAGAGCTCGTAGCTGATGATGACCAGCGACTTCATACCCTGCATTGTTGTCAGAAAACTGCAGCGCCAATGGTACACGGCTGAAACACTGACCATGGACAAAGCCATCGTGTTTGCTCGAGTCGTCGGGACCTTCATCGTCATCCGTACAAGAGTGAGAATGACGGCGACGACTATCAGCACGACCTGGATAGCGTGCATCCAGACGGTGGATCGAGGATCGAAGAGGGGAGAGTTGTTGAAGAAGGTCTTGAGTGCCTGCATGTTGCCGGATTTGGAATTTTGAAATTTGATCTGGAATGCGGCTGCTGGTTGCTTTCGAGATGGAAGACGGAGGACGAGGCTGGGAGCTCAGGATGATTTGGATCACAGCGACGAGAAAGGACGCTGGTTTTCTATCCAAAAATCGTCGCTCAGGCATGGTCTTGGCTTATCGGGGCGGAGCGCGTCGATCCGGCGGAGTAGTTCGTTATTCGTATCTCGCATCGGGTTGGGCAAGACGCACGGCACGGACGAATCCGAAGACTCGGTTTCCACATGGACTAAGTCTGAAACATCCAGTCACAGTGTAGGCTGCGGTAGTAGCGTAAGGCTGAGGCGTTGGGCGCAGCGAGATTGGCGTGAGGCGTCGGATAGATGGCCTTTGCGGAGCGTCACCGCCCAGTCCCCACCACAACCCTTTACTCATGTAGCGCGCACGCTGCCGGTCTCCTTCGGATTGGCTCTACGTGCTCCGCCCCTGATCAAGCATCTTGCGTCTTTAAAACCTTGAGTCTTACTAGTGAAGCTTAAAAATAAAACACGCCCACCGAGTCGGTGAGCCTCAGCCAGAGCCAAGATGTCGGAAAGCAGATGGACGGTTTCGGAACGCTCTTGACTCTGGGTCGAGCCGACACCTTAGCATGGCTACCTATTATTAAGCTTTAGAAGCGGATCTGCGGCAAGTTTAAGCCCCTCGAAGGATTCGGATTCTCGGGACCACCTTCGCTTTGCAATCAATCCGTTGCCGTGCCGTTGATCTGCCTCTTAAGGATTTATGATACCATGCCGCAACCGTCGACGACTCGGCGTGACCAATCATTCCCATTATTCCCCCCTTCGCTACTCTTGCTACCCCTCCCCTGGGGCACACTTGAAGCAAGCGAGGGTGACGTCGTGTTTGTGAGTATGAGGCTCCCGTGTGCTGCCCACCACATGACGTTCGATCGGGGACGGATGGTATGCATCACGTTGTCGACGACAGGAACGAGCCACCAAATGAAGGAGTCGATGTTATCCAATCGTTTGAACATAGCGATCAATGTCTCAGTAATGTTGCCATTGTGATGCGCCCATGGCAACTACGTGCGGGGCAAAGTACGGAAGTGCAGAGAGGGTAGAGAGCCTAACTGTTTACGCTACTCTAATAGAGCGGGCGGGGTCAATCTCAACACACGCTTCCCCGCCACAATGTTGGCGGCAGCACAGCCCAGCCGAGTCATGGAACGAAAGGTAGAGGTGGCCTAAAGCCTCAACAAGCCGGATCCATTCCCCCCCCCCAGACACGCCTCTCAAAGGCCGACGCCGGCGACAAAGGCGAGCCTCAAGCCGAAGCCAAACCAGGTCAGGCCCTGGTTCCCCCAATCCTGCCACCTCGTCCAGGCGCGGGGATCGTAAAAGGCGTCGGGCTGGCCGGCGGCGTCGGCAGCCAGCTTCAGGGCCCAGAGATGGCCGGCGTCGGACGAGACGATGATGGCGGCGAGCACGAGGCGCCAGATGTCGCGGCGCTGGGGGCCGACGTAGCGCAGGACGACGAGCTCGATGAGGGCGAAGAGGACGTACATGGAGGCGACCTGCCACAGGAGCATCGTCTCGATGGGGGTTTGGCGCAGCGTCTGGGCATGCAGGCCCGGCGGGGTGATGATCTGCAGTGTTTCGGTCGGGGATGCCACGTAGAGGTAGGCGCCGTTGAGGGCGAAGATGGGCTCCAGGAAGGTGAAGAAGGCCCGGTAGAGGAGCGGGATTTGCTTCGGGTGGTTGTTGGTGGGCGCCATTGTGAGGGTTGTTGACGGGAGGATTTTCAGGCGAGATGGGCCGGGTGCGATGGAATATATACGGCGTGTTGGGTCAAGCTTCTGACGGGGCGGATGATGCGGAAGCCGAATAGCCTAAAACTCGGGCAACGAAAGCTGATTGGCAAATCAACAGATTGCGACACCGTATAAGAAGGTTTTGACTTTACAAAGCGCTCCTGTTCGGCGAACATGACTGAGGTGCGGCGCATGCGAGGATCAGTGCGTCTACTTTGCTAGTCGTGTTCCAACAAGGGACTCTTCGCAGTGCATATGGGCTGTCTCTGGGGCGAGAAGATGGAAACTGGGACGAGGTCACATCGACTGCACACTGGGCCGCGGGCGCTGTGGGAATCCGGGACGCCTCGTGGCATCATCGCGCCGGACCGGCTCACAGGCGCGGGCGGAAAGAAGCGACGCCGTCTTAGCCGGCTCTCATGATTGCGGAGAAAACAGCACCATGGGCGCTCTGGATGGGTGCCGGGGGGTAGACGCCAGCCCACGGTCACAATGCCAGCCTTCCGCAGTATGCCAATCGTTTGTGCGATGCGCGATGGCGACAATGCGCACGTACAGGTCAGGACGGATTCTCATGCGGCGGGCTCGTAAAACGGAACGGCTCCGGGAGTGGCTGGTATGCGACAGCGGCAGTGTCGGTAACGCAGGCGGCGTGTGGAGGAGTCTCACGACCGAAGCGGCCGGGCACGACAGGCAACACACAAATCGGTCGGATCGGTGTGCGACTGTCACGGCGAGGGAGGACGTCTGTGCAGGTTGTGGCCGTGACCGGAGGGCCTGCGCTTCTGCCGGGGCATCATCTCGTCAGAGCTGGACGACGACGTGGAGTAGACGGGGGTGCTGCGGGGTGCTGCGGCGTGGTGGTGGAGCGAGTTTGTGCGGCGGCGGCGGCGATGACACGATGGGCGGCGAGCGAAGACGTGGCCGCACTGTCAAGCCTTCGCCGGCGCCTTCTCTTCCCTCGCACATCCAACCCCGGCTTCTCACAACGCTCGAATCCGCCCCTCGAGCAATCGACCGCCCACCACGGCCACGCTACAATCGGATTGGCGAATCTCCGTCGCCCGCCCTGAACCCGCAGCGTCGCAGCCGGGCCCCGCCCAAGACCACCTGCCCGTGACGTCACCCCACCGCCTGAGGTCCGATCCAAGCCTCGATGCCTTGCACTCACGCCGCGGATTTGTTGGCCATGTCTCTTTCGCCGGCACTGTGCATCGCCCACGAGATCATTGGTTCTGTAAATACTCTGCTGATCAGTGCAATCTATACGATGCACAACATCACCTGCGCCATGGTTCTACGGGAAGCGACCAATCTACCAGGATGATCTGGATCGACACACTCTGCATTGACCAGCAGGACAACACGGATTATGGGCGGCATCCATGCCAGTGCCAGCCGCCTTCTCGTGTGTCTGGCCAAGGCTAACAGCTTCACCAATATCGCATTCGACACATTCACAGAGTTCACCGTCAGTGATGGGACCAAAGATGCCAAAATTACCTCTCACAAACTCCAAACCACCATAGCAGAGGACAGAGCAACGACAAACTTCTTTCCGGCGTCGAGCGAGTCTCTAGAGTCTCGCAGCAAAAAGTCCAAGGACGATCGAGATAGGATATATGCTCGGAGAGCGATTGGCAGCAAGTCGTTTGCTAATGGGATTAATGTCGACTACGATAAGGCTGTCGAAGATGCCCATGCCGATTGCGCCATAAACCTTATACAGAGCCGCACAGACTTTCCGGGGAAGCTTACTGGAAAGCCTTGTTTCGAACCCTGACGGCAGATCGGTCGGGGGTTTCAGGCAGTTAACGATGAATACAAAGAGAAGTATTTCTCTTATCGTGGAGACTATGGATTGAACGAGGATAACTTGATAGGCGACCTACCTGACGCGGTAAGGGAGGAGATTTCGAAATCAATATGTGACATGATTGACGAAATAGACATGTTCCTCGCAAAGTGCGGCTACCTTAGGGGTATTCAGGTAGGAGATCTGGTCTGCGTCTTTTTTGGTGGCAAAGTTCCTTTCCTTCTTCGACAACTTGACCTATGCGAGAGACCTCAGTTTGAGTTCCTGTGTGAAAGTTTCATCCATGGCATCATGGATGGAGAGGCTATTCTGAAAGCGGACGAGGACGGCATGTTGGAATTGTTTCATGTCAGGTAGATGGCTGAAGATTCTTCCGGTATGCGAGCCGTCAAGGACCGATGCTGACAGACTTCTCAAAGTGTATGTAAGGTTATTGGATCAAGATAGACAATATGAATCGTATCAGAGTCAGAAAAGAGACGAATCGTTATCGATTCATCCTTACGTTCCTCTGGCATTCTTATAGCTAGCTAGTTCTATGTAATGTGCGTGATTGACTAGCCTTGCTTTCCTATGCTTGGCCTTGAGCTTCAATGGGTCCCAATGTTTGTCAATGAGGCTAGCAGTCCGTCTCTTAACAGTGTAAGTGTAAGTGATAGAGGCTTTGGTTAGCGTTCACACTTAAAGAGGTATGTGTTATGCGTCGTAGAACGAGTCCTGCTGTAGGATCTTAAGGGGCTGCCCATCTACAAACTAAATATCCGGTAGGTCTCGGATTGGTCTCTAACGAACATCGATGATGTAATATACTCAGCGAAGCTAGTCCTTATCTTGGCGAACAAGCTCACGCAGGGTACCAGCACCGTGACCAGCCTTATTACCCAAATCGTAGATAGGCAAAGATCGGTTGGAATAGAGCGGTATTGGGCGCGGTATCCGCCGTTAAATTCAGGCACAGGTCACGAATTGACTAAAGCCAGGGCCTGGCTGTGGGATCAGGTTATGATCGAATCTTCTCGTTACGATGCAGCCGGAGCCCGACTGGTAATGCGCCAATCCGCCTCTAGACCATGACATGATGCAATCCGACTGGTCCTACCCCGCACCAAATCAACATAACTACTTGATGCCCATGCTTTTTCGTCGGAATAGAAGTCATCTTCAATACTAAGCGGCTGTGGGTTATAATAACGGTGTTTAGACCCTTGACACTCGATGAAATCAATCCGTGGTAGTAATTATGGCTTTTGCCTAACAAGGTGATGTCTCGAGTGTAGAGACTTGAATTCCTTTCCCAAGCCTCGCGGCTGTTTCATCTACCCTCAACCGGTGAGTGTCACACGTGAAGTTCCTCTCAAGCGGACCAACGGTGGCGTATTCATTTAGGAAAACAAGATTTAAAGGCTCACATAAGCACCACCCAAGATCCTACCGGTCTAAAAGCTATTTGAAGACCAGGCTGGCTTTTGAAGCTGAAGTTGTGTGGGCCAGTAATATTCCGATCTGAAGACAAGCCGATAAGAAACCCTGGCTCATGGCCAATAAGTGGCTGGTCGCATGATAAGCTGACCTTCTCCATTCAGCTGTTAAGAGGAAGCCACAGAATACCATGCGGCTTCTGATTTACTGGAAGCTCCCGGTAGGAATTCCCTTGTTTCAGGCGAGGGCCTGCTATATATGGTGGTTTAGGCAGCAGCGGCGTATATGTTCTACGCGTGCCTGCTATTCTTCTACGGGCCATCCGGTTGCATCCTTCAGAACTTCTTTGAAATTTCACGTTGCAAAAGCAGCCCTAAACTACAATGTCGCTGCGCCAAGCCCCTCAGCGGGGCATGCTCAGTGGATTGGGTGGTTCGTCCAAGGTACCTCGACAACCAGCATCATCGCATCAACCACGGCATCAGCCACAGAACCAGGGCTTGCACCACACAGCCAAAGAAGTGCACCAAGACCATCCAACGACTGGAGCAAGCAAACCGAAGCAGATGAACAATCCAGTGGCGGGAGCAGCCGGAGAAGCACACCGACATAACGCACCAGCTACGAAAGAGCACCATGTGCAAGACCTGCATCTACATGGCGAAGGAAGGCACCATCAGCCGCACAGCCAATCCAACGCCGCAGGGCATGAATCCAACAAGCTGCCGCACAACCAACAGTTCCCAGCTTCAAATATCCATGGAACGAATGTACCGCGTTCGCAACAGAGCAGTTCTCAGCAAGCGAAGACGGATGATTTCTCGAAGAAGCCGGAGCCATCGAAGACGGGTGCTTTCTCGAAGAAGCCGGAGCCATCGAAGACGGGTGATTTCTCGAAGAAGTCGAAGCCATCAAAGACGCATGATCTCCCCAAGAAACCGAAGCCATCGAAGACGCATGATCTCCCGAAGATGCCGAAGCCATCGAAGCCGGATGCTTTCTCTAACAAGCCAAAGCCATCGAAGACATCAAAAACAGAAATGCTCAAGCGAGCGCAAAGCTTCTCTGACAAAGCCGCCAAGATAATGGAAAACGCCACCGGGCTCATTACCAATGGAGAGACAGTGGGGAGCGTCGTGAAGAGCCTGTTTTCCAATCGTCCTTTGCGGCGTGGGGATAAAGTCAAGTTCCTCAAAAATACTGGCGGCCACAATGGTGACCTTGGGCCCTTCAGGATAAGAGCAGAAAAGGAGAACAATCTATATGATGTTGAGGATATGGATGGTGAGCTTGTGAGGGAGAACGTTAGTGGAAATGATCTGAAGAAGTGTTGATCTTTTGATAAACGAGTGAGGTTTGATTAACGCATACAACTGTTGTAGTTATTCCGCATATTTCTGACCTGAATCATTAAGCTAATGTGTGCTCACAGGCGGATGGAAAATTTGACAATGAGCATGTATTAGACGGTGATCGCAGACGGCCACAAGCAGAAGCTGGCCAATCTGGATGTTTTATTATACGCTGCTGCTATCTGGGGTTTATATAGATGAACGAAAGAAGGGGCAGCGCTCACAAGGCTCTACAAGGGTGTTGATGAAGATGACACGTTGCTGAAGAGGACCCTGTTGGATTGATGATGACGATTATGTTTATGATAAGGAGCCTTAACGTTATTGAATACACGTGATTGTCTAACAGTATGTTTCTTTCTTTCTTTCAAGCAGCGTGCGGTAGTTAGGAATGTTAAAAATGTTTCCGAAATATGCTCTGCTAGTGCTTTGGCGAATTAAACCGCTACTCTCTCAGCTCTAAGTACCTGCTAAAATTGTTTGATCTTCTGCGACCAGTGAAACTCATCGGCCGATGCCGCCCAGTCTCCTGGAATTTTACGAGGTGAAGGCTAATGCTGTATGACTACTATTAGCACTTCTGATAGCCTCATTCTATCTTTCGGCTGCTGGAAGATGTAGTGAGTGATTCTTGATTTCGAAGCAATTCATGTGAAAATAAAAAGATTCCATTTTTTAACGTCGGAACTTGCGTAAAACAGTATCTATTCTATAAACGCTCGCAGTAGATGCTCATGCATTTTATGGACCGAGGCCTATCACCATTTTACGGCTCGTACGGCACGAAGCACAAGACCCCTCACTCTAGTTCAGCCAGCCCTTGGGGCCGCCCCAGGTGCCCTTGACCATGGACTTGTAGTAGACCCAAGGGAAGAAGTCTTTCTTCAGATGATAGAAGGCGCGGCGCGGCTCGGCCTGATCGATGCCAAGAGCCTTGCCAAACGTCTCCTTGGGCACGCCACCATACTTGAACTCAGCAAGCAGCACCTTGCCGTACTCGGTCAGCAGCGGGCACGAGGTGTAGCCGTCGTACTCTGCGTCAAGGTCCTTGCCGTCGAGAGACTGCAGCAAGTTGCGGACCAGGACGGGCGTCTCAGAGGTGATGGCGGCAGCGGTCTTGGAGGTAGGCAGGCTGGAGGCGTCGCCGGCGGACCAGACGTTCTGGAACTTTTTGTGGCGGGTGGTGGCGTTGTCGACGTCGACGAAGCCGGCAGCGTCGGCCAGTGGGCTCTCCTTGACGAAAGCGTGGGGGCCCATCTTGGGGACGACGTGCAGCAGGTCGAAATGCTTCTTGACCTGGTCCTGGCCGTCCGGGCGGGCAAAGGTGGCGGTGTTGCCGTCGATGGCGACGAGGTCGTGCTGGAAAAGGCCCTCGACGCCGCGCTCCTTGCGCAGCTCGTCGAGCTTGGCGCTGTACTTGGGCACGCCGAACATGACGGGCAGGCCGGTGGCGAAGCTGATGTTGATGGCGGACTTTTGGGGGTCGGTGGGGTTGTACAGGCCGGCGCGCTTCCAGTGGTCCAGGCCGAGCCACATGATCTTCTGCGGGGCGCCGGCGCACTTGAGGACGCCGGCGGGCTGGGAGAAGATGGCGGTGCCCTTGGTCAGCTTCTGGATGGTGCCGAAGACCTTGTCGCAGTGGTCGTAGCCGTAGATGGAGGAGACGAGGGAGTCCTTGTTGGCGAGGGCCTCGGGCAGGCCCTTGATGCTGGCGAAGTTGACGTTGATGCCCGGGGCGACGACGAGCTGGTCGTAGTTGAGCTTGTCGCCGTTGGCGAGGGTGACGAGGTTCTCTCCCGGGGCGAAGGTGCCGACGCCGTGGTTGTAGAACTTGAGCTTGGGGTCCATCAGGCTGGCCATGGGCCTGCGCAGCTCCTCCTTGGTCTTCAGGCCACCGCCGACCAGGGTCCATCCGGGCTGGTAGTGGTGCCACTCGGCGGGATCGACGACGGCGATGTCATCCTGGGCGAACCTGCCAGAGCGCAGCAGCTGGTGGCTGATGTTGACACCGGCGGAGCCACCACCAATGACGACGACCTTGTGGCTCCGGGCAGCAGAGGTCACGGGGGAGACGGTCGCAAAGGCGCGGTGGGCAGTGGCGGCGGAGCGCGCGGCGGCCCAAGCTGCCGAGTTTGCGCGGGTGAAGAACATGGTGGTGCGATAGGGCTGACGAGCAAGACAAGACACGCGACGGAGTCGAGAAAAACTAGAAGAAAAAGGGACGGGCGCCGTGTTGAGTCATCGCCGGGTGCGGTTAGCGCTCCGGCTGCTCGCCGCCGGCGTCTTGGCGCTGCCCGGTCGGCCGCTGGTCGGCGATCGGACCGGCGAGCTGATCGGCGACCCGAACCTCCGCCTCTTAAATCAACCTCTCACTTCACTTCTCCATCATCACACCATGAACGCACTTCGACCCCGCCTCACGCGTCTGATTGAGCGCCCAGCCACGGCAATTTGCACAACCACTCTCCATGGCCGTCAGCTTCACCGGCGGGCAGGGATCAAAGCAGGGACCAAGCCAGTCTCCGAACCGCCCACAGCAAAGACGTCATTCCGCCACCCCATCCCAAGCAGACCTTGTGTGCAATCGCCCCCCAAAGCACCTTGTAGCCAAAGAAATGGTCGCGCTTTGTACAGCACTGAAGCCGCCGTGAGCGGCGAACCAACCATCCACCATGTCTTTGAACATACAACGGGGACATGGCAGTACCTTGTGGCCGATCCATCCACCCTAGCTGCCGCCATCATCGACCCGGTCTTGGACTACAATCCAGTCACTCAGGACATTACTACAGCCACCGCCAACGCCCTGCTCTCGTTGGTCAAGCAGAAGGGCTACAGAGTCGACTGGATCCTCGAGACCCACGCCCATGCAGACCACCTGACCGCCGCATTCTACCTCCAAACCCGCCTCGCCAAAGTCCAAGACCACAAGCCTTCCGTCGGCATCGGCAAGCGCATCGGCCAGGTACAGACCATGTTCGGTCAGCGATACCACGTCGCAGCCGACGAGTATGACGGAGTCTTCGACCACCTCTTCGACGACGACGAGACATTCAACATCGGCAACCTGAACGCCACCGCCCTCCACCTCCCCGGCCACACCCCCGACCATCTCGGCTACAAAATCGGAGGTATTTCCATCGTCATTCTCACTACATTGCCCCATGATTAATGTGCATCCCAGACAACGTCTTCTGCGGCGACTCCCTCTTCCACCCCGACGTCGGCACCGCCCGCACAGATTTCCCCGGCGGCAGCGCCGACGACCTCTTCCTTTCCGGCCGCAGGCTGCTGTCCCTCCCCGACACGGTCAAAATCTGGACCGGCCACGACTACCCGCCCGAAGGTCGCACCGAGCCCATCTCGTGCGTGACCGTCCGGGATCACAGGATCCAGAACAAGCATCTCAAAGACGGCGTCACACACGATGCCTTCGTGGCTCAGCGCAAAGAACGCGATGCGCAGTTGGCGGCACCGAGGCTGCTTCATCAGTCGTTGCAGGTGAATATCCGGGGTGGACACCTGCCCAGGCCGACCGAATCGGGCCATCGGTTTTTGCACCTTCCGGTGAAGTTGAACGGGTGGGAGTGATGAGTGTGAACAAGCAGGTTTGTTACTGTAGGGCTATGGGTAGTGATCCTTCTCTCTCGTATATAATTGTGTTGGCTTGCAATTGAGCCGATATGCTACATCTGTACTTGCAGGTCGACACCACGGTTGCCTTCGGCCTTTTCGGTCATATAACTCGGTCATATCGTCCCCTCAAGACACCCGATGCGACATCAGCGTGGGACATGGAGGATCAGCCCATCGGGATCGTAACGTTGTACCAGCGTCATCAGCCGAGGGCATTCCTGAACCAGGCAATCAAGAATCACCCCCGAACGCCGCAATACAATAATTCATCGAGATCGATCCCACCTTTTTCTTTTGTTCCCTTGCCCCCGGGGCTAACTCCGCCTTAGCCGACGTGGATGACGGCAAGGCCCGTCGAGCTATCCGGGAATCCCGGGTATGGCTGATCAATAAGAGCCAAGCTTCGCACAAGCGAGTTGCTTAGCTTGGGGGCCGAGATCCAGTGCTGTTGGTGGTGCAACATGATTGGTTCAGACAAATTCAGGCCAAGTGGTTCCTGACATGACCGGTGGATCCATCGCGTGCGACGCGAGCTTCGTACACTGGAGCCAAAAGGAAGCCTAGGAACGAGACTCTGAGATCGAACATATAGCTCACCTTTCGCGGCTGTTTCCATCTTGAGCTTTCCACTAGACGGATTGAACCTATCTGTACAACTTTCCATCTCCTGCATCATACGAAGCTCGGACAACTGCACACTGCTCGGCATCACAGAAATTCCCCCAAGCAGGCAAAGAAAGTGATTTGATCAGGATGCTCCACACCAGTGGAAAAACCGCCTTGCTGCTGTCGCTTGCCGCTTGCGGCGCAGCAAAGGTCCAATTGGGTACGCAAGCTCCAACTCACATTCAACATCCAGCGTTGACGCATCACAGCCGGCGTAAACATCGGTGAGTTCCTCCAACCCGGCTCCCACCCTCCGTAGCTTATCCCCACAGCCGGCTTCGACTTCACCTGCACGACCGACGGCAGCTGCGACCTCAGCAAGCTCTACCCGCCCCTAACCCAGTACGGCGGGCCCGACGGCGCGGGGCAGATGCAACATCTCGCCAAGGACCTCGGCCTCAACGTCTTCCGCCTGCCCGTCGCGTGGCAGTACCTCGCCGACAACACGCTCGGCGTCGACTTCAACGCGGCGAACTTCGCCAAATATGACGCCCTGGTCCGCGCGTGCCTCGACACCGGTGCTAAGTGCATCGTCGACCTACACAACTACGCGCGCTGGAACGGGAACATCGTCGGCCAGTCGGGCGGTGCGGTGACGAATGAGCATTTGACGAACGCGTGGTGGCAGCTGTAAGAGAGAAAACAAAAAAAATCGATTCCCCCATCACCGGGACGCGCGGAAGTATGACCAGACCAACCCGCTGACGACGGGACGGTGCGCGACCACAGAGCGACAAAGTACAAGAACGAAGCCAACGTCATCTTCGGCCTCATGAACGAAGTAAGTAACCAGCGGGACACACGCACACGTCCAACGGCCGCACTCGGCTTCCTCCCTCCCCCAGCTACGTGCTCAACTAAACCCTCGCATCACAGCCGCACCACCTCGACGTCCCCACCTGGGCCACCACCCTCCAATGGGTCGTCAACACCATCCGCAGCGCGGGCGCGACGACGCAAACCATCCTGCTCGCGGGCACCGACTTCGCGGCCGCCGGCTCCTTCGCCAGCACGTCCGCGGCCGCCCTCGCCGCCATCGCCGACCCCGATGGCTCCACCGACAAGCTGGTCTTCGACGTGCACCAGTACCTCGACGCGAGCTACTCGGGCACCACGACTGAGTGCGTTCGCGACGGGGTGGACGACGGGCTGGCGCCGCTGGCGGAGTGGTTGAGGGCGAGGGGGAGGAGGGCGTGAGTTCTTGTGCTCCCGGGACATGTACCACTGATGTGCTTGGTTGGCTGACGTGATGGGGTGCATGCAGGTTTTTGACGGAGACGGGGGGCGGGAATACCGCGTCGTGCAGTCAGCATGTTTGCGCCGAGTTGGATTGGATGAAGTGAGTTACCGGAGCGGGAGGGGTGGTGGGAGTGTTTGAGGAAGCGTGCTAACGGTGTTTTTGGTAGTTATAATAGCGATGTGTTTCTCGGTTGGGTCGGGTGGGCTGCTGGGTCGTTTGATAGGTCGTATGAGCTTAGCCTGACGCCGGTGAAGAACGGGGGCGTGTGGGAGGACACGAGCTTGATGACGGACTGCGTGGCTGGGAAGTTTAAGTAGGTGTAGTCGACTGGTGTCTTGTCTACAGCGAAGAAGATTTACGCTGCCTCCCGTTGCAGCTTCTACCCTTGAGCTAAATCGCGCTATCGACAGTCGGAAAAGGTGGATTGCTTACAAGCTAGGCTTGTAGGATATGTGGCTTTTATACATTGCTAAGTAGGGTGTAATATCTCACTGTCATCTCTCCCCCTCACGTCGGGTGATGGCGTAGGGAGGGACGGGCCCCACTTCGCGATCGGTTGGCTGGCACTTGCGGTGAGGCTTCGGGCCAATGATGCAACGAGACTCGTAATTTCGATCAGCTATGGGCCCATATATCGAGGGTACTTGTAAAGCAGAGTGCAATGGTTTCAGGCATCAACAATGTTGGCTCGGCGCTTTGTGGACATGATTGACGGGCCCGTTCGCCGTGTAACGTACATGTTCTGGCCAATCCACGCCCCTTGTTTGGCCTCACTCACCGACATTCGTCTGTTTTGTCTTTGAACAGACAAAGATTACGTGGCTCGCACAGATATTGCGCTGATATTACTCATGCCTGCAACCGTATAGAGCAGCACCGCTACGATCTTCAACGCATCATGCGAACTGACTGGTGGCATAAATATATCTTCCATCCCCCCTCACGTCGGCGGCCTCCAGTTTTGTCCTTTCCTGGAACGTCGTCTTTTTTGCCTTTTGCCTCGCGGATATGGGACATTCCCATTTCTCTGAGCCCAACCCCTATCATTCGTTATCCAGTCTAAATAGCCATGAACGTCCAGATAAGAAGTGGCCAGTGCGTCGTGCACTCGAGTGGTACATGTTCATGGTACATCTCTTGGTTATGCTCATCGTAGCCATGGAGATCCTTTTTCATCTCGATGGCAAGGTTTTTCCTTCCGGTGGGGACTCTGTGCTAGACAATCTTTCTGGTTCGAAGACATTGTCTCAAGCAGATATAAGCACTTTAATATCCGCTGGGCTCGTAATTGAGCGGTGGGCAACCACTTCCTGCGCCGTACTTGCGGCGCAGAGGTGCATGTTCATCCTGCTTGAGAAGCACGGAATGACCTTCCAATCCGTCGATCGGCTACTCAGCCTTGGACTGGTACCATTGGGGAGGACATGGCATCAGATCAGCTGTGTGTGTGTACTCATGCTTCTCTTCCCGGCCCAATGGAGCACTCCCCTGGCATCTGGAGCTATCTCTTGGCTACCTGCTCTAAATCTTCAGCCTTCCAACATTACAGCCTCCCTACCTGTGGCTGGATTTGGACCCCCTCTTGTCTGGTTCAATCTGTATGGCGAAGCCCGCGAAACAGTCAAGCAGCGTGCACAAGGAGTTGCAGTAACACTCAACTATCCCTCGTCTTTCTACAGACCAGTCGACGGAAGCGCCACTCCATCCCGCCGCCGCGTGGACTCTTTGAGACAGGAGCTTCAAGATGGCAACGCTGACTCGCAACAAATTCCCCTCGAATCCAGAATATCGAACGCGACCCTACCATATTTTCGCATGGAAAGCATTGAATGGCTTGACGATCAGCCTGCTTTTCATGATTTCTTCAACAGCTCACGATCCCTCGGCTCTTTCACCAACCTAGAATCCTCCCCCTACAACGTCTTAATGTACGGCATCCGCACCGAAACCGCCATCCTCGACTGGAACCTCCGCCTGAACCTGGGCGACCTGCCCACCTGGCCCTCCCCCACAACCATCAACGCCACCTACACCCTCGCCGTCATGGTCAGCCGCCGCGAAAACCAACCGGAAGAAGGAACATGCCTATCCGTCAGCCCGACATACGGCCACCTGCCCCCGAAACAGCAATTCCGCCTCACCTTCTACAACGAAAAGACGGGCATCCGCGACGAAAACTGCTACATGTTCGCCAACGTCACCGTCGCCGCCGGCGTCGTCCACGGCCAGCAATGCCCCCTCGTCTCCTCCGGCGTCATCGAGCACCGCGCAGCCGACGCATCCGCCGTCGACATCCATCCCCACCCGCTCGTCGCCCCGGCCTTCCGCATCCTCCCCGAGATCCTCTTCGGGCTCGCCGAGATGAACGCCACAAACGGTCCCACGTGGGACAACCTGTCCGGCCACGTGGTCGGGTCGTGGTCGCTGGCGTTCCAGGCGACGTGGAACGCGCTGAACGACTGGTGCGAGACGGGCGCGGCGGCGGCGGCGGTCCGCGTGCCGGTGCCGTCGGTGCGGGCGCAGGTGGCGCGCGAGAGGATGTATGTGTGGGTGGGGCTGCAGTGCCTCGTGACGGTCGCGGGGGCGCTGTTGGTCGTGCTGCAGATGGGGTGCGAGGGGAGTGCGGTGAGGGGGTTTGCGGCCGCGTGTTTGTTGGTGGATCCGTGCGAGTTTGTGGGGGAGGAGTTGGTCGGGGGGAGGCGGAGGTTGGTGGAGGAGGATTATCGGGGGTTGGGGAGCGTGGAGGTGGTGCATCGCTCGGATGAAGGGCCGCAAGGCTGTGGGTATAGGGCTTTGCGTGGGAAGGCAGGCCGTGGTCGGAGGCGGCGGGGTGTTGAGGCTGGAAGTGTTGGTTCGGATTGCCTTGCGGAGTCGCAGGATGAGTCGGGTGGAGGGCAAGAGGGACATGAAATGACTTCTCGCGTGGTGGTAGAAAGTGACCCTGATTTTCACAGTGGGGGCAAAAAGAAATCCACCCGCTTAAGCCAGCTTCATGGAGAGTAGGGTCCTATATCTACGTGCACTTACGTCGTTTGAACATATATACACATATGCATCCGCATATCTTGTTCACCCTTAAAAAAAAAAAGGCTGCCAACGTATATCCACATCGAGATATTGCTTCGACTGCTCACATAAAGGATTGATGTAGATTGCTTTTGTTTTCCCCCACATTATTGTTAGACAGGAGGCAATGCATAATAAAATCGTGCAATATCCGTATTTAAGCTCGTTAGTCGGCTGTAGGCCGTTTGGGCTATTGACGAAAGTTCCATAGTTGCTCCACGATTCTCTTCGAATACTGGTCATAAAGCGGCGCTAATAGGCGCAATAGTAAGCCGCCGAGCACGGTAAAACTTCTGCATAAAAGGAAATCTGCATTTTCCACCAGGACTTACACTGCTTTAACGAATAAGAAGTATCTCCAACCTAGCCAATGCCACTACCCCCCTATACACAAGCTGACCTAGCTTGACCACCCGGGTGGCATTAGCAAATGCAGCTTGTGTTCGTCCGCCTGCATGATCCTCGCATTCCCCACCAAATGGCGGGCTTAGCGAAGACTGCTAAGCGTCTCAAGGCATTCCACGTTGGAGGGAAGATCGACGGCTGGACAAAGGGGTAGAAGCAAGGGCGGCGAAATCCGAAAGCATGCCGAGAGGAGAGTATATAAACCGATTATGAAGCGGTGGGCAAAGAAAAAGGCACATCACTCTTGGCTAATTAAGCGGATCAGTGTCGGCTCTTTCGCCCTCAATGATCGCCAGTGATAGTTTAATCGCACGGAGTCTGTGTTATTTCCTTGGTCTGGACCTTGTGCGCGACCCATCCCAGCAAGCATGAAACGATACGAGATCCCCTGCTTACTTGATGACAGGGACGCAAACTATCATTGGATGACTCACCATTATGAGGATCAAAAGGAAAGATGACAGTGCTTCAAATGACTCGCCAGCTGTCGGGAAAATTAAAGGGAATAAAAGAAGTCGCAAACAATGACAACAACAGTACATGTTCGATTCAAAGTCTCCTGCTCCGAATGAACGAGAAACCAACTCTGAGACAGTGCCCCTCCGATCTCACGAAAATACACAAGCAGCTCCTCCGCTCAATACGGCCAACCAATCGTCTCGGCCCACCATCCCTTCAGACCACCCAGCCTCTGCAGCTCCGCCCTACGCCTCTCCCTCTCCTCCACTCTCAACCCCTCATCCATGCTCCTCACCCACTTCACCTTCTCCCTCTGCGTCATACACTCAAAAGCGGCACTCTCCTCTGCCACCCGAATAACCTCCTTCACCACCGCCCTCTGCGCCCCCGTCATCACCCTCACCATGACCCCCTCCTCTCCCCCAGTGAACCCATCATCGAATAACTCCTTCATCCGCTCCCCACCCTTCAGAACAGCCTCCTTACACCTCTGCAACCTCCTCTCCCTCCCCACCCCCTCCGCAACCTCCCCCACTTCCTTCTCATCCTCACTCAACCCACCACCCACCCCGCCCTCCTTCCAGCCCTTGCCGTCATCCTCCCCATGCGGCCCCAGCCCCTCCGCCCCAAAAACTCCCAACTCCCTCCCAGGGACTTCGTCAAGCGCCGGCAGCCGATCCAGCACGGTGCTGTCCGCCCAACACAGCGACGGGACGAACGATATCCACGCGAGGTGTTGGGGCGTGATGAAGGACTGCGGTCTCGTCCTGGGGGCACCGTGACCGGTGGCAGATCTATTGGATAAGCTGGTCGGCAGATACGGCGAGGGGATAGACGTCAATTCTGGCGCGATGGTACGGGCGAGGCCGCATGCGATCGCGCCGAGGATTAAGCCGAGTGCGAAGGTGAGCCGGGTGGAGCGGTCTGCGCACTGGAGGTGTTGGCGGCTGTGGCTGCGGTGGGGGGTGGTTGGCGAGGTGGGCGAGGGTGAGGGCGAGGGTGCGTAGACGCGGATGATGGGGTTGGCTGGGATTGTCGTTCGGGTGCTGGTGCGTGGGGTGGAGGCGTAGGAGGTGGAGTGCGGCTGCTGTGGAGAGGGGTCCGGGATGTTGCTGGCGGAGTCGGGCGTGATTTTCCGGGAGGTGGTGTTGGCGCGGCTGCGGCTACGGGTGCGGGCGCCGTCGAATTTGGGCATGGTGATGCAAGTCAATTACGACTTGAGGGTGCTAGTAGTCGCGATATGCACGGGAAGAATTGCTTTTCTTTTTCTTCATAGGTTGCGATGATGAGAATAGCGTGGTGGTAGAGAAGTGGGTGGAAATGATTTTATTTTGCTGGGCAATGGATGAATGCGGAGCATGAAAGACATGCTTGGCAGCCGTGTCCAGCGACAGCGCGGACTGGTGTACAGAACAGGCGGGACAAACCAAAAAGTACCAATGGTGAAGACGGCAAGACGCAACAGACGCAGAAAACCGGTAGGAACAAGGTAGACTATGCGAGAAGACAGTATATACCTTCGTACGTGCCTTAATTCGAGATTGATACGCTCCATGTGGAATAGAGGGAGATCAACCAATATGTTCATAGTCCGGATGCATCAATGCCCAGCGTTGGCATTATCCCGAATGCGGCTGCCAAGTAGGGCCTTGTGCTCAGGAGCATCATGGTCATGAGAAATATTATCTATGAGCCCACCGTGATACACGAAAATCAGTCAAAATCCAAAAATGAAAAGATATACGGAGATGCGCCCATGGGAATTGGCGGGTGACGGATGGCGGCGCTCACATGCGTCTGCATGTATGACTTCGCTATGCTCGGGCCCAAGCTGATAATGTGGACATGTCTGGAGCGCAATGGCTGCGGCCTCCTTGAGTGACTCAGCACCAATGATAGTAACTCCTTTGTTTCTTGTTGTCATTATCAGAAGACAACTGTTCCAGCTGTATATCGCTTCTTTCTGGCTTGGAAGACCTTTGCAATTGGAGTGGCCCTTACGTGGCTCAGCAGTAATCTGATCGACACACTTAGTTTCCCCTTTGAAGACATTCCGAGCCTACGGCCGCCGTATATGCTTGGAAAAAAGCGAAACAGGAGAAATCAAAAAGGCGGCCGTTTCCCACCCACGTTGACCCGAGCTCTCTCGCCACTGGGACATTCATGTGTCTGACGCTTCTTTCCGAAACCCACCGATCCTTTGTTCCAAGCCTGCGTTTTGCTGCACAGACCGCGGGCGAGCCTCCGCACAACCAAGCCTCTTTGATGCCTGGATTAAAGCCTTCGGGAAACTGCCGCCGCGGTGCGTGGGCTCAACCTCAATTCAGGAGCAATTGAGCAGTGTGAGCAATGGGCAAGTTCTGAAATGAGTGTGCTTGGAACTTCGAGGCTATTTCACGATGTTCGTTATCATGAAGAGTCGGAGCGACGTCAAGCAGGTCTCACAATGCCCATTCCGCGTCATCTCTTCTGGCATCTAGCGAACAATGAAGCCTTCTATAGCGCTGTTCTCTTTTTCCGCTACTAGCGTTGCCCCGCGGCAAACGTTGCGGCTGAAACTCGAACGAACATCTCACATCCTGGGTCAGCTGGATTGTGAGGGCGGCTGTACCGACGGCATTCACTCAACCTGAGACATTTCGATCCAGCACCCAGACCATCGCCTACCCTGTGCGCGAAAACCGGTACGCTCGTAGAGAACCTCGCCGCCCCGCCGCTTAAAAGTCTGGTCTCACGCCCACGTCATTTCCTTCACATCATCAGCTTTACCTCCCCTTTCCATCACCACCGCCATGATTGAAAGCTGCAAGGGAATCACCACCAAAGGCGTGTCGTGCACGGCTAACGCGGTGAAAAATGGCTACTGTATCCTTCACTCCAAGCGCCATGCGCAGGCCATTCGACACCCTATTCTCTTATCCCCGCATCCAGACACTGACGCTGCCTGCAACAAACCTCTCCCGCATCTCCCTTCCTCTAATGACAGTCTGTCTTTTCCTCGCCGCAGACGCTGCAGCAGAACAAAAGCAATCAAATCTCCCAAGCATAAAGGCTGCGACCTAAGTGACCATCCTACCTCTCGATGGGACACCATCTCCCCGCTGGATGCAGACTTTTCCGAGGGCGAGGAGATTACGATTCAGCTCGTACCGAGCGAGGAAGTTTGGCTGTCTTTATCAGAAAGCGATAGTGCCTATGGCAGCGACGACAGTACCGGCAGCATTCACAGCCATAGAAGCACCGCGAGCAGCCGTAAGCATGAACTCTCTTCTTTCTCTATGTTTCCATCCCACTCAACGTTCCACCCGCAGACTCCATACAAGATTCTCCTGTCAAGTTTGAGCCCTATTACATGGGTGCACTCTGGCGGGGTAATCCACCCGACGGCGTTATAGTCGTCGGAGACAAAGACAGTAACCGCATTCGTAAGTGACCTCGTTCACCCAATCGCTTCCAGCTAACCATTGTCTCTCCCATATCAGGGCGCTCCATTCGTCAAGATGCCCGCAGACGCCATGCCAAAAATAAGCATGGCAAAATGGAGCTCGAACAAGAGCACAGCGAGGACGGGCAGGACAACAACAGCTATTACCCATCGCCGATGCGATGGCCGTTTTCCTCCCCAACCAGTGTCTACTTCGCCCACCGCAGCGAGCAGAATGAAGAGGAGGGGTCGTATGTAGAGAACCAAACCCCTCTCTACCGCCGCCGTCGCGGCATCATCTCAGAGATAAATATCGCCATCGACAGCCTAGCCAACCACGACGACAGGGGCACCCCCTTCCCTTTCCTCGCCAAAGTCCCATGCACCCACTCCATTCAGCCCAAAACTAAGAAGATAAAGAAACTCGAGCCCTCCACACTCACCGCACCCATACTCAGTCCCTACCGCTTCCAGCCCCTCCGCTCCGCTCCACTCCCCCCGCCAGGCGGGTCCGCCACCGCCACAGCCCTCGGTATTCTCTCCACGAACACAAGCCCCCTTCTCCTATCCAGCAGTATCCACTCCTCGCGCCACAAACTACCTGTCCTCATTTCCCCGCCCTCCCTCCCGTCTCCCCATTCTGCGTCGCTATGCTGTGCCACTCCCAGCGCCCAGGACGAGTCCGACGAGTTCGATGAATTCGACTCCGGCTCCGACGAGACGGCCATCCCCCAACCGAATGCTGGTCCGGGCGATCAACCACTCCCAACTCTAAACACCCGCGCCGAACTCGAATATATCTGCAACACCTTGCTTGCGCTCCGGCTGCAGTGGGTGGATAATGATAATCTCGCGCTCGATGGGCTTTATAGGCTCGCGTGGCAGCATATACGGATGGTGGGGGATACGCATGGAGTTATGGAGATGGAGGAGCGGAAGGGACTAGAGGAGCAGGGGGTAATAGGGGGGCTGGGGCTGGACGTGGGGCAGACGTGGTGATGGTTGTGATTTTCTATTTTTTTTTTGAAGGGAAGTTTGAGTTGGTTGGACTGGGTATGGTGTTGGGCTGGATTAGATGCCGTGCGGGCCAGTGGGCTGCTGTGTGATCAGAGACCTTAATTTTTGTTGTGGGTGTCGTGGAATTACATTTGTATGAGTGTCGTTTTCGCGGCTCTGGTCTCCAGTTACCTGCATTCTTGCCCGTTTATGTGTAAAGCTTTTGCTGCTCTAAGGAATAAATAGTAAAGTTAGCACAGCATAAACACATGGAACTGCTGCGCTATGTCATCGACCATACAGGTTCTTCCGCTGCGTAAGGTGACATTTCAATATTTTGTTCTTTCTTAATTGTGCATGTATGTACCTGACGATTTGGGCACACCTTTACGGATGTCTCTTTACTCGCTAACCTTACTGTTACATTGGCCACATGATTTACTTCCATGAATGCTAATGAAGATATTCGGACTCGGTCTACGCTTATATAGCTTTGGACTACACTTAGGTATGCCTAAAGCCATTCTCATCCCCACCGCCACCCACCTGCCTCGCCCGAGCCAAGTTCGTCAAATGCGCCAAAAACCCCTCATACATCCCACCAGCTGGGGGCCTGTAGCCGCTGTAGCTCTGATTGCTTCCTGGCATGGGTTGAGGTGAAGGGTGTTCGGTCTGGAGGTCGGCGTCCAATGCGGCCTGCATGTATGGGAGCAGGGGGGCGGGCCTCTTGTTGGCGGGTGTGTTATCGTCGGAGTTTTCAGCTGCGGCGTCGCGCTTGCGTTTCTGTCCCACAGTGCTGGGGGGTGCGAGAGGTTGTTGTGAGGGGGTATTACTTGGGGTTGTGCTGGTCTGTTGGGAGAGCGTAGGCCGCTTGCTTGCGGGAGCGCCGGAGGAGGAGGAGAAAGAGGATGATGATGAAGCGCGGCGTTTGCGCTTTTGTGTCGATGCTGCGTCGGGGTGAGGGGAGCGACTTGCTTGACGTCCGACTTCGTGCAGTGAGAGGTTGTCAAACGTGGCTAGATGGTGAGCGGACATTGAAGATTGATCGAGTTCCGATGTCGTCAGCTTCTCGGGTACTGTTTGACTGGCCTGAACGATCGTCGTGTTTGCTTCGGCAGGAAACGTACGGAAAGGCCGGTGCGCTTCGGTGTTCCAATTCTGTCACCGTTGGTGTGGACGAAGGGCTTGTGGATTATAGAAGCTTCGAGTTCAGTCTATAGTGTACTGTAGATATAAGGTTGGAAAGAGAAGGGACGTGTCTTTGTTAGTTGAGTATTCCACCCGTTGTGTTATTGGAGCTGAGACACAAACGAGATTTGACTCATGAGCTAGACATAGTGATTTTCTTTTTTGACAAGACCTACGCATACGTGCCTTTCGAGTTTTTGAAATGTTACTCTTTGAGCAGTCACATTGAATCCGAAAGCAGCTGCCGTGTATTGAATCGGGTTTGGTCAGACATCTAAAACTGAAGGCGAGTGTGAAAGAGCCGTACAGATTCACGTCTTAGTTGGAACCATTGATAAGTGGCACATGCTTGTGACCAAACAACACTGTCTCGGTGCCACATGATATCGCGACAAGTAAGATACCCTAACGACCTCGCACTCTCAACTACAACACTTTTATTACCACACTCCATATATTTCGAGGACAATGATATACGTTCGATCCTCTACTTGAATTCATTAGTGAATGCAACAAAGCTCCGTCGGTACTATTGTCTAACCTGTACGGGAGAGGGTGAAGCCAGCAAAAGTATTAAACACATGTACAAGGACACCAAATACATTTCATGTATCATTATCAACGAGATCAACCACTCCGATTAGTTCTCCCAACTTTTGATTTTCATTTCTCGGTTGCTGCTCTGTCGCATCTTCGAAAACGATACAATGTTCGGCCAGAAATATGATCAAGACTCTGCTCATTTATAACACATCGGTGGGGGGGAAGGATCTGTCGTACGTTGACTACCATGTGTTAGCTGAGCGCACGTCTGCCTAAACAAAGTTAGAGACATACCACAGCAACCTATATCCATCTAACGGCTGTGCTTGGGGCAGCGCCACGGGCTGAGATTCGTATCAACCGTATATTCCGTACACTGTTCGCCATTAGACGTCACACCCAGGCAACGCTTCATGATAGGGAAATCTAGCACAGTGACGTGGCGGGGACTATCGTCCGGCGAGCACGCCGTACGAGAACTGAGAAAGTGCAAGATCATGATGATGAATGCGAGGTGAACAACTCAAAGGTCGCAGCCGAGGACCCCGTGAAAAAGGATATTGGAGAGGAGTAGGACGAGGGTGGTCAAAATCTTAGAGACCGAGGTGGAGGAAGTAGTTAGCTAGGCAGAAGGTTGCAGTGCTCTAAGCGGCGGTGACGGCGGCTATATAAATGAGCGTGGGCATAGTAAGGTTGAGGGAAAGGGAAAGGGAGTGGACAGAGTGGGTGACCTTTATAGAAGCGTTCTTCGACAGCGTGCTGTTTGCTGCACTAGGAAGTATGATCCCACAAAGATAGCTGGGCTTGTCGTGTTAATGTTTAGCAATCCACGAAAAAGACATCATCGTACCGGAGTGAGCACGGGCACTTTTGCATAACTTCGAACGTCTGAAAAAGTCGCCGCCTAAAGTCACACAACAGAAACGTGCCACCACCCAATCAAGAGGGCACAATCTTCCACAATGGCGTAAACGACGCCCGAACATGCTGGCACACAGTTTTCATCGTAACGCCTTGGGTTTTGACTAAGTCTTAAAGCTTTTCTGGGAACGAAGAATCTTGTATATAAGAGAACTTTGTTAAGTAATTTACAAGAAGAAACATAGCTCTTCCTTCCAAATTCAATCATATTGCCAACTGCGAACACCGTCGGCTCAGTCGCCAAGGCAACCCACGACACTTCTCCCAAGTCTACTCGGTAGATCTTGTTCAAGTGCAAACACACGACCAATTACTACGGCGGTGCAACCATCGTTTCAGCAACTTCATCCGACTTGAAAGCTTTGTTCGCTGTTGACTCACCCGTTGACCACACAGTTCGCCGCTTTCCCCCGCTTACGGCACTCAGCCGCGCACGTGCTGCTCGCTGCACACGACACAGCGCACATTTCGGCGTAACTAACATTCGCCAATTACAGCCTCCCGTCAGTAAGGGTTTAACGATGTTTGTACCACGATGGTATGACGTACCCAGTGTCGGTTGCCACGACGCAGTACTGGCCCTTGCTCCGACAGGCATTGGCACCACCAGGTGCGCAGTTCTTGTTGCCTAGCGACAGGGAGTAAGCGGCGGTGCCGTGGCCAAGGGCCAGAAGGAAGAGTGAGACGGTGTGAGCAATATGCATGGTGGCGGATAGGATGACAGGTTAGACTGCAGGATGAAAGATGATGTTTGAGTAGAAGAGCGGGTGGAGCTGCCGTTTTATATCAAGGGCTGACACTTATATTTGGCGCACTGTATGTATGTGCGCGCCTTCAATGGGTTGGATGATAAAGTTCGATACAGGAAGGAAATGGCCAATAGAAATGTAAAGCGAAGTGACGCTAATAATAAAAGATGTAATTTTGGTCATGCTCATAAGACATTGAGTCATGATTTTACACTAGTCGATGCGTTCAAATGACAACACGAGTCAAAAAGTGTCTTCTAACGCTTCGCTGACCTACGCCACCGTTTCAGGCCTTCCATCTCCCGGTGCCTCCGGATACGAAGTCGGGAAACTAGTGATCGACCGAGCAGGCACCACTCCACCCCCGGTATCCCTCGCCATCCACCATCCCCAACGGAAACTGTTCCAAGTGCTCCTGACTCTCCCAAGAGCTTATTTCGCAGTAATGGTTGTGCACATGGTTGCTCGTCACGCTGTTCCAACTGTTCCGTCCGGGAGGAGTAGCCACAGGCACGGGGCGGAGCCTCCTCTACCTGTAGTTGATCACTTACTCTCCAGCCTTTTCTCGTCATGATTTTTCTCCGCCCTTTCAATTCCTTTCCATTCTTGGCTAGCGGGCCTCGCGTATCGTAGTACATTAGACGATGACGAAGAATGGAGTGCGGAACACGATTTTGACCACGGGGAGCGCATGATGGATGAGATAAGATACCGATCACCTTTTGATATTAGTTGCCGTCTCAGAACTTGCATCCATCAGCAAGTGATTGGGCAGAAGTCTGGCGGCAAGGGGCCTTGTCTCACAAGCGTACTGTGGTGATTCCTGCAAGTTTCGTCTCCAACAGGTTATATCATGTATTCGACATATCCAGAAGACCATCTTGGAGAATGGATTAATCATGTCAGAACAAGCATCGAAAAAGGGTATAGTACTGCTCATAGCTCCTCCAGTTTCGCCAGCCCCTCTCGAAGTGTTTCGGGCAGTTCCATGTCAATGAGACCCAGATGGTGCTGTGAGCCATGGACATCATTCTCCATAAAACCACCGGCTGCCGACTTTTTCCCATCTCTCACCCGCGGCACAGTTACCTTGAAGGCGCGAGCTGGATCAAAGAATCCACACCAGACGATGTCTTCCTGAGGAAATCCCAGCGCCTCGGAAGCCGTCTTAGGGCTCAGCAAACCCGATTGGCGAACCAGGCGGTATACCGACTCAGAGCTGAACATGACGTCGAAGGTGATCTCGTACGGGCCGGCATTTTTGGATCTCAGGACGCTCGCCAACTGCCCCAGCTTCGTGCACGAGGCTAGTCCCTCGGCACGGAAAGCCTTGTCGTCCGTGTGCTCCTCCTCCGTCCGTGTTACGTTCTGTGTTGTAGTAACCTGGGCCGGACGAACTGGCATGTCCAGCCGTAGATGCTGTCGGACCTCTCCTCCGCCCAGTATGGACACACTGTGCGTAAATATAGGGACAGCAGCAGCTTCGCAGCCATCCTTTGAGGCACCTGGCCAAAGGCGCTCCTCCCCAGGTTGAAGGTCCATGAGATGGTAGATCGAGAACTGCGGGCAGGCTCCCAACTCAATTTCATTCTGTCCGCCAATACCGAACCCAAGGTTGCCCGAGGTTGCTTTCTGGCCCGGATACGGCGCGTGCTGTTCGAACCATCAGCGGATATGCTCCTTAAGACCGCGAGTAAACTCACATTGGTGGCGATCCGGGCGGTGCAGGCCACACTGGTGGCAAGCTGCTGCGACGAGGCAAGAGCCTCGCCGACGATGAAAGCTCCGGATTCGCGATCCTCCCTGCCGTACACATGGAACCCCAGCTCCCACTCGCCATCCTTATCGCGGTGCTGCCCAGCAACATACGCCTTAACGCGCTCGAACAAATCGTCTAGCTGCGCGACGAGAATAGCTGCCGCAAACAACGTTAGCCAAAAACATCCCTCCCATCCACACAAACACCAAACATTCGCACTCACGATCTCTCACACGTCCCATAAACGCCGACCGCCACCCCACCGTCGTCGCCCCCTCCAGCTTCACGCGATACGGCGCCGCCTCCTCGGACCCGCTCCCCCACCTGAACTCGCTGCCACGCACACGCACACTGCGTCCATCCCGCAGCGCGCGGTACGTGGCGCCGCGCACGTCGACGGACCCGCCAGGCCCGTTCAGGACGTCCGGCGCGCTCTTCTCGTACATGGAGTGCGCGGCTACGGTCAGCGGGACGCAGCGGGCGCGCGGGTCCAGCGGCGCAATGTCGAAGCTGCCGTCGGCGTAGGCCGTCGCGGTGGCGCCGCGCGACTTGGGCGTCGCGCAGAGGCCGCCGCACTCGAGCACCTGGCCCATGTGGGCGAAGCCGCCGGCGAGGAGGGCGTCGCGCGGCACGGATGGGTGCTTGGGGTTGGCGTTGGCGTTGGCGTTGGCGTTGGCTCCTCCCGCGCCCTGCTGGTGCGAGGCGTGGATGAAGGAGGCCCAGGCGATGTGGGGGGCGGGGTCGTGGGCGCGGCCGGCGACGATGATGTCGAAGTCGGGGTGGGCGGCCATGGCGTCGAGGAAGGGTTCGGGGCCCATTTGGGCGACGATGGTGGGGGTGGCGTCGATGTCGGAGGGTGTGAGTGGGGGGACGCAGGGCCCGCAGCCGGTGATGGCGTTGGCGGCGAGGCGGGAGTGGACGAGGGCGCGGGGGATTTCGGAGAAGAGGGCGATGGTTTTGAAGCGGTAGTGTCTGCGGTGGAGGTCAGGGACGTGGTCGTGCGCGAACTGGCGGAGAGACTGGCTCACTCGTTTCCCTTTTGCTCGGTGATTTCCTTGATGACGGCGAGCATCTCGCGCACGTGCGAGTCGCTGCCGGACCCGCCCGCCGAGGAGAAGATGAGCGGCACGTGGAAGGTGTGGACCAGGGACAGCAGCTTCGCGAGGTCTTGCACGTACGCCGACCGCGGGCAGGACATGACCCCCAGAGCCAGCTTCGACGGCCCGCTGTCGGTGGAGCCCGAGTCGAGGATGATGGCCGCCGGGATGTCGGTGGCGACGAACGACGCCAGAGCGTCTGCTGTCTGCGTCTCGTCGAAGCCGCAGCCCAGCATGCCGACCGGAGTCACGATGTGGCAGAGGGGCGTCGGGCCCCCCTCGTCGCGGACATCGGTGACCGCCATGGTGTAGCGATCAAGCTTCAACCTGGCGATACTGCGTTAGGCATGCGAGTTTTATACTCAGGTGATGGATTTTCACCATGGTGTTGAACTCTGGGTCGGACACGGACTTCCGTGTCCGACCCCGACGGACGTCCGTACGTTCCCCGCATCTTGGCCTACGGAAACCCCCTTGGCACCATGCTGGATTCCACAAACATACGGAATTCTGTGGCTACCGTTGGCCATACTTGCAATGCCTGCCTGCAGCTTGCAGGCCCTTCCGTCTCGGATGCGTTCCTGTGACGATCCCTTTGACGCTACGTGCCAGGTGTTTCGCAGTCCTGCACAGGACATGGCTATAAGGAGAAGTGACCATCTCCCGTGTGCCATTTGCCTTCACAATCGCCTTTCCGGCTTACGCCCACTACAATGGACGGTTCCAAGGAGACGCCACTTTCCAGCCACCTGGTCGAGGAGGAGGACGAAGAAATACGGAAGTTGGAGAGGCGCGTCAGATGGAAGACAGACTTTGCCATCCTTCCGCTGCTGGCTTCGGTCTATTTCCTGGCCCAGATGGTAAGCCCGTGTTCCTCCTTCGGAGAAGCAATGTTAACCAGAGGATCCAGGGACGTTCTGACCTGGCCAATGCCAAAATTGCCGGCATGGATGGCGACCTTGGCCTCACCGCCCAGATGTACTCCAACGTCTCGAGCATCTTTCTAGTCGGCTACATACTGTTCCAGCTCCCTGGAACCCTCTTGCTGCGCAAGATCGGGCCGCCGACTCAAGTAAGCCACTCATCCTCGACCCATCGAGTATATAGCTGACCTCGTCACAGTTCGCCGGCGCCATGATGGCCTGGGGCGTCGTCACAGCATGCACCGTCGCGGCAGACGGCTACCCGACACTCATGGTCCTTCGCGCCCTCGTCGGCGCCGCCGAAGCCTTCATCCAGGGCGCCATCCTCTACCTCTCCTTCTGGTACCGCTACTCGGAGCTGGCCACCCGCGGCGCCATCCTCTACTCGACCGTCGCGCTCGCCGGCTCCTTCAACGGCCTCCTCGCCTACGCCATCACCCGCACCCTCTCCAACGCCCGCGGCTGGACCGCGTGGCAATGGATCTTCCTCATCGAAGGCGTCGTGCCCATCGCCTGGGCCTTCGTCGTCTTCGCGCTGCTCCCCAGCACGCCGGAGCGCATCCGGCTGGGCTTCAGCCCCGCGGAGAAGGACCTCGTCATCCGCCGCAGCCGGGCGTCGCACAACTCGGGCGACGGCACCATCCGGCCGCGCCTCATCCTCAAGCTGCTGGCCGACCCCAAGATGTGGATGGTCACGGCCGTCGACGCCGGCGCCCACTTTTGCACGAGCTCGCTGTCCAACTTCATCCCGGCCATCCTGCAGGGGCTCGGCTACGCCGGCGTCGACGCCCAGCTCATGGCCGTCGTCGTCTACGCCGCCTCCTTCGTCGGCATCCTCACCTCGTGCTTCATCTCCGACGCGCTGCGCAAGCGCGGCATCGTCATCGTCGTCGACGCCGCCATCGCGGCCGTGGGCTACGTCCTGCTGCTGGTCTTGACTGACAACACCGCGAGGCTGGCCGCCACCTGTGTCGTTGCCGCCGCTGCGTACCCGCTTGTTGTCCTGAGCCTCGCGTGGACGGCGAGCAACAATGTTGGCTACACGTTTCGTGCGAGTGCGGCGGCGATTATCAATATCTCTGCCCAGCTGGTGGCCATCGGTGGCAACCAGGCGTTTAACGATCCGCCGTACTATAGGCAGGGGTTAGGGGCATCGCTGGGCATGATTTGCATGTCCGGTACCGTTGCGGGGCTGCTAATGGTGTATTTGAGGGTATTGAACAAGAGGAAGGTGGAGGAGAGGGAAGGGGAGAAGGCGGCACGGTTAAGGGAGTGCGGTGTGGATGAGGTAGGGAATGAGCATCCGGATTTCTTTTTTTCGTTTTAAGAGTGAATTGGAAAGAGGGTTGTGGAGGTATGTGGATGTGTCTTGAGCCTGGAATTCAGCTGGACGTGGATGATATCTGACAGCGTTTGGGCTTCGGCGTGGCATGGTCCGCCGCCATCCTTGGCCACAGCCCCCGAACTCTCTCTATCCTTACGATCCGCTCAGACTACGACCATAATTAATTCACCGAGTGCGCACCGTACCGCACCATTCGTCGTTCCATTCATTCCGCGTGGATCCCACCCCGACGAAAACCTTCTCCTCTTTCAGCACGCACGAATGTAGCTTAGTCATAGCCGTCGATGCGTCTTCTCCGTCTCCGCACTCCAGGTCCACTACCTGTAAGTATCTAAATTGCCTGCGGAGCCTTATCCGAGGTGAGGCGCTCGACCGCATGGAGGACTTGATCTGGGGCAACGTCCCAGGGAATTTTTTCTCCTCGTGGGTAGATGCATCTCGCGATTTCTATCGATTGGCTTGGATGTTTAGTTCCATGAAAAAATAAGAAAGCCAAGCACAGGCGCAGATATCATTTTGCCTGGATAGCGGTCCAAAGCTATCTACCACTCGAGCGTGACAGAAAGGCAATATGACCGGCACTGCTCAGGGTCTTGACTCTTCGTCATTCGCACAGTCTCCAGACCTGAGAACTAAAGGTCGATAAGATGCCCAACGGCTTCGAGACGTCTATCGATGACGACACAGATAGGTTGGGATGGTTGCACAGGGCGCCACTGACGCTATTCCCATGTGTGGCCTGTGTGGTTAATGCGACAAATGTCCGTACAGCTACGTCACTAATATATCATGCCCTCAGGCAAGATGCTGTAGCGCTCCGCTCACAGTTGCTCAAGCGGCACATCGTTTTCGGTGGCAGCGGTAAAGGCATCCTCCTCGTGCCTTCTTCCCAACGCCCCGATCCCTGGCTACAGCCTCCCACGAGAGTTTTGTGGAGTGAAGTGCTACCTTTCTCGCATTGTTAGCACCATTGTCTGCTCTCGTCTTGATCAAACGATTTGATCCGTGTCTAGTCTTCGCAGAAACTGCCGCCCTACGCACAGCTCTCTTTCTTCCCAGTGATTGGCTGTCAGAGTTCTGCATCGAATCAGCATCCTCGAAACTTTTGATAGGCCACGCCATCCTCGTCCGTACACAACCCCCAATTTGCCCACGCCTCTTCCAATCACTCACATCCCGCTTCAATCTACCTGCCCGACTCGAGCAACAATTCAACAACAGTGCCGCACGCTCCACCTTGACGCAGCCATACAGCCAGCCGGGCAGACAGCCAAATCGCATTATCCCACCCTCGTCCATCCGCATGCTGCTTCAGCACTAGCCACCTCTCTGCCCCTTGCACCGTATCCACGCCAACAGCTTGCGAATGAGGTCGGCGGCGTGATGACGCCTCCCGCGCGCGTCTCCGTCCTCTCCGCATCCCACAGCAATCTGAAATTTAAGTACAGCGTGCCGCACTCCGCAAAATACCGCACCGAAATTTCAGTAGTACATAGTCCGTGACCCGCGTGACTGGTTAACGTTACATGATATCCATCTACCGTCGGGCCCCCGCATGGTGGCTGCCGGACGTCCAGAGGGGCTAAAACGGCGGTCAATCCCTTTCGGGTAATTCGCTTACCCTATGCAAACTAGTTGCAGCCCCCACGGTATTTTGGGAACCATGGCTACCTACCAGTAGAAACAAAGATCCAACGCGAGGCAATCCTACGGGCACAGGGCCCTATTATGACCAAGCTTCGCCAACAGCCCGCCGTCAACCATCAGCGCAAGCGCCAAAATTTAGAAAGAATTATATAAATTTTCAAGACGAGGCAGAGTAGTGTTATATATATGAGTGTGAGCTTTTTCATTGCGGTTTGCGGGATAGTGGCCTGTGGCAAGCCTGAATTTATTCGAGCCCGACGGCCCCCATGACGCCCCGATTGGTCCTCCGATTTATCTGAATGATAGCCCCCAAACGTGGCTTGGGTGACGCGCCCTCGCGGATCACGCCAGCTACCATAAATACACTCACTCCCCGCATCTATAGCGTCTCATCATCACATACACGGCATCAAAATGGCTACCCACTACGACGGTGAGGGGTATGGAACGCACCCTATCGAGGGTTTGACGTCTCAATCGTCCCACTTACTACAGGACAGTTCACCAGCAGCAGTTGGACGGAACGAAGATGAAAAAACACCTTACGCGTCTACGGTCTCAAAGTCCCAGCCACCGGGCATCCAGAAATCGTCGGCCCGCACATGGTCAGCTGGGGCCGTGTCCCTGACTGCAGCTGCGCCGCTTATCGCCCTCATCGCATGGCTCGCACGCATCCGAGTGGACAAACACACATTCGACACATTCGCCGGCGAGAAGATAGGCGGTCGCTTCACACAGGCAGAGGCAAAGGCCATCGACATCGTTGTCGGAGCGATACTGGCGCCCATTTTCATGACCATCGTCAACTTTGTCTGGTTCGGCAGCGCTCGCGTTTCCGCTGTGAACGAGCAGCAAAAGAAGGCAATTCCACTCCGGTCCCTTGTTACCGCAAGCGGAACGTGTTCCGGGAGCTACGACCTGATAAGCCTGCGGGATCTGCTGCAGGGAAAAACGTGGCGGCTATTCCTATTGGGTCTGCTGACGCTGCTGTCGGCAGTTGCAAGATCATCGCTGACGAACATCATCGCATACGAGGCATATTCAGTGGAAGTGCCTTCGAACTCGAACACCTTACGGCTACAGAGGGATGCTGCCATCGAGAGTGCTTTTGTTGAACCGTACGGTTATTTTTACCCATCCAACACCCTGACACTGGACATCTACAACTTTTCCACCTCACAGCAAGCCGACGTGGCCAAGCAAATATCTGCCCTTCTCACTGAGCTCACATTTCAGAGTGCATCATCCAAACTGACTGATGGCACGTACATTGGAGTCAACGCAACGGCCCAATCGCTGGACGCCCTTCCACAGACTGTCGTTGCCCTCCACAACGTTCCCGCATACCGACTGTCGGTCGATTGCAGCCCTGACCTACCCAACTCGATCGGTGTGCTGCAGCCCCAGGGGCCATACAACACCGAGATCAGTCTGATGACGAACACGACCGCAACATCCAACAACACCATCTTCCAAGCCTTTTACCCGGGCGTCGTGGAGGACATCCAGACGGGGGACGGCGACGGCTATAGCTATGTCGCCTTCAGCATGGGCTCGAAAGAGGTGTATCTGGGCCACCTGAACCGCTTCAACCTGACCAACGACACCATACCCTCCACCTACGGGGACGTCGGCTACCGCGCCTTCAACATGTCCCAACTGGGCTTCACCGGCACTCAGATCATCATGTCTGTCAGCGGCATCCGCTGCTCCCTCTACCGCGAAGACGGCACCCTCAACTACACCCGCCGCGCCAACTCCTCCACCAGCGACGACAGCAGCAGCAGCAGCAGCAGCAGCACCTCATGGACGATAACCGGCACCGACTTCCCCGCCACGACCAACCACACCACCAAAACCAACATCGCCTCCATGCTCGCACAATGGCAATACCGCAGCCTCAACTACCACGCCCCGTCCTCCAACATCCCCGGCATCGGCCCCGCCCTCTCCAGCGGCACCGACCCCACCTACGGCGTCAGCCAGTCCGACTCCTTCACCGACTTCGCCCTCAACTACCTCTACGCGTCAGGCGAGGCCCAGCGCATCGCCTACGAGGTCGCCGCCGCCAGCAGCAACGCATCGTCGTCCTCATCAACAGACGCGGCCGACTTCTTCACCACCGTCCCCGGCATCGCATCCGAGCAGCGCTACCGCATCACGTACGTGCCGAGCATCCTGCTGCTCGCGCTGCTGTGCCTGCTGCTCGCCGCTGGCGTCACGGGGGCCATGGCGCTGTATGCGGCGCGCTCGGCGTCCGGGCGGGCGTTCAGGCAGATGGCTCCGGTGAGGTTGCTTGTTGATGGCGTGGCGGGGTTGCGGGAGGATGCGGAGGAGATGGCGAGGCTGGCGGCGGGGGGCAATAAGGAGTTGGAGGCTTGGGCGGCGGGGTATATGGTTAGGTATGCGAAGGTGGTGGGGGAGGACGGGGGTGCCGGTGGCGGTGGCGGTGGCGGGGAGGTGAGGATTGTGTTGGAGAAGCGGTAGTAGGGGGGTTGGGGGTGGGGTGGAGGTTTGGGAAATGGAGAGGAGAGGGAGAGGGAGAGGGAGAGGGAGAGAGAGAGAGAGGAATATGCTTGTAAAATGTAGATTGTAATGTATCTGTTAAACTAAGAGCTCGGATCAATTGAACTCTTGTATAGTCGGATAGGTGAGCCAAGTAGGTGCTTGCAAGGACTTTACCCCGTGTTGGGTTACTTCATCAGGCCAGGTAGACAAGATGTTTTTGTTCTTTGGGAGGAACAAGCGACACTCATTTGCAGCCCCGAGAGCTTTGACGTGGCTGCCCGAATTATAGCTTTGGGTGCACTCTCGTCCACAATGTCGTCCGCTCCGCAAGCTACCTACCTATCTATCTCCATAACAGGCTCTTCCTTCCCTCCCACGCTACCGTCACCAAAGACAAAGCTTCCAGAGCCCGTTAAGGACTGGTTGGACACGTCAGACCAGGTCGACCGCCCGCACCCACCGTCCCCAGCACACGTCGCAGCGTGGTGCGACATTGCAATCGCAGTGGTGGTTTTGCATCCGCCACCGAAGGCGAACGACTCTGGGGGATAGCGTCCGGCACGATGGCTTGGAAGCGCTCCTCCGTAGTCATCTGGGGCAAAGACCTGGCAAGCTGGTCAGAGTCTGGAACTGCTACACTAGATGATGAAGACAAATCGTGTTGGGTGCACTGAATGATTTGCATAAGCAGGTAAGGGGTAGGTAGTTAGATTCATAGGTTGTCTCCGCCGATGTCTTGCCCGTCAGTGACCGGTCTAGTCTAATCTATCGACTAGTAGACGGTACAATGAATAGAATATAGAGGAAATCTTTGAAACCAGGCTCCTTGGTTTCGGTTTTCCATGTGTGATTGTTCTGCCATTTTTAGTGACCCTTGTACAAGTCAGGGCAGAGGAGTGAAGTGGAGGCAGTCCGATAGGTGCTTTGTGCCCTGCTCTAATGATAAGCTATCTACGCACATGAAGCAGTTCATATTGCAACAGAAACCGTTAGGAGGGAGGGTGGTAGTGAATACGGACACGTCAAAGGCGGAGATTTGGAGAAAAGGAAGCGGAAGCGCGTGAAAGCTCTAAGTAACGTGACCGACTTGCCAGGCTCGTTGCTACTGACGCATTTGGGAGGCACGAGAAACGCTCCTGTCTACTCGTCTTCTACAGACTATTCCATCGGCATAGAATCGTCACTTAAGATATTTCATCCGCAAGGGCCTTTGGCTATTTTGTCGTCTGTGGCGGCCCAGGAGTCTCGAAATTCATGGATCATCCAGGTATTTGTTCTTTCTGAGGCTGTTAAGTGCGTGTGAAACACTATTTCAGTCGGAATGTTCTGTTTGCTCATGCACTCAAAAGAAAAAAAAAAAAAGGTCAGGCAAATCGCACGGGTTTCGTTTCGAGCACAGCCAGTACTAGAGTCTCATACGTCGATGTGTCCTATTCGAAAAGCGCTTTCAACGCATACGTTCTTTTTCCCCGCCCTCGATGATTTAGACCAATGTAGCTAAACTCTTGGTTGTAGAACTTCCTTCTCTTCTGCAAATTGAGTGTGCGTTGAGTTCTCATGCAGCCGCCGGGCGGATGTACACCACATCCAGGGTCAGGCACGCTTTCGAGAGCATTCTTTCATAGAAAAAAATTTCAAATAGCTCGTCAAACCCTCTAGCTTCCAAAAGCCTCCTTTCTGGGTAATCAAAAAAAGGGTGAAGTACTCGGAGTGCTTTGCCTCTCGGCCACTCTGGGCCTTCAGAAAGCGACGGATTATTTTCGACTCCCTCTGGTACGTGCAAATGTGAAAGTTCCGAAGCCTATCCAGAAAAGAAAAAAGAAAACCTCCAGCGCGTTCAAGGAGCGTGATACTGCTCCCTTCCTTTGACATATTGCAACGAGCATTCAATTTGATGTACGTGACCGGTCACAGAATGAAATTAGCATCTGTCCGGCTGTTTGCGACTCCAGTGTCCCAATCTAATCCGCGTGTGTGACGATATGCGTGAGTGTTAGGGTTGGATCTAGATGAGAGTAGCAATTCCAGAATGTCTATCGAATCAGGAAGTTGCCTCAATGACCGGAAATGTAGTTTCATCCGTATGATTATGCAGTTCCGATATTTCCTGTGTGTACGTAGTGCCACGCCCACCCTGCTCGCATTCAACAGGCTTGCACATGCGACCCCTTTCCACGTCCGCAATCTCAAGTGTGATCACTCTGACGACCGTCTGCAAGGATTATAGGAGAGCGAAAAAGCGACGGCTGTTGGGCAATCTGAGGCTAGCGGCGGACGAGGCAAGGGATGATCGGCTTCTGCAAACGTCGATCTGGTTCAAGTGCTTCTGTCGAGGCTGATGAAGCTTCTAAAGCCGTGAGGAATAATGCAGTTTTGGCATTTAATTCCGGAGCTATGCTAATTGAGCGGCTTGTCAGCCAATGGGCCTCAAGTCATTAGTGCTTCAACACTAGCGTAACAAGTGAGCTCTTTGACGATCTAATTGGCATGTAACTGCGCCACAATCCGCGCTCAGCTCCGGCATGGGTGGTGGCTGGCGCGCAGCACCATCACTACGGTTTGGAAATCTGAACTAAGAAGTTCCCGTCCAGCACGACGTAGACGTGTGAGTTTGTTCGCCGGGTGCGTGGGGCAATAGGAAACCGCTTCCCCACACCCCGCAGAACAGCCGCCTCGGGCCAGATAGATGAAAGAAGGGAAGATGATGGTGGTGAGATGAAAAAAGGCTAGTTGTGGAGAGCTTCAGAGAGCATTGATCCTTGATTCTTCTTCGCGCATCCGACAACTGGTCTTGCCAGTGAAATTTCGTGAGGCGATTGACCTGGCGAAGTCGGCTAGCATGTTACCCTGAATCCCGCCGTCGCTGGAGATCTACTGTAGCGCCACCGCCGCGCCCAGGAGGCGAATGGCATTAGTGACAGCGACGATGTCCCTGACGAGGAGTCCAGGCCGCGGGCGTGGACAGTGGCGCGGTACATGCGGATGATCTCGACGGCGCGGGAGTACCAGTCGGTGTAGACTTCTGACGACGCGTTTGGCGCCAGCGGACGGCACAGGGGTGGTACCGGCTGTTGTTGAGGTGGGACCGACACTGCGGCTAAAGACGCGCCTCACATCCGCCCATTCCATGGCGCCACCGGGGCAGCGACTAGCGCCAGACGACGTTAGCGGAGGCGGCGATAACGGAAACGCGAATGGACCATGGTAGTCGAAACCGCCCTCAGACAACCCAGCTCTATCTCCGACCCTTATTATTCCAACCTTTCCCCTTTAACGTCGCTAGCCGGGGTTCCATCGCCTCTACCCCACTCCCGTCGTCTCGGCCTTTAAGAAATCATTTCGTCCGTCGCCTACACCGCTGCGTCCGCCGTACCAGGCATCCGCGCTCTCCAAATGCCGCCTTCTCCGTTGCCGATCTTGGTAGCGGTAATACGCGTGATCCGAACGTCAGGCACCTCGGCCGACGATTAGGTAATAGAACGAATGGAAAGGCCGATGTTGGCCGTCCTACCGAATAACAGTGAGGAACCTATAGGTAGTGACAGCCATTCCCCTTCAAGAAGTCAAACCGAATAAGAAAAAGAAAAAGTTGGATCCGCACTTGGTATTTCACATTGGCGCTTCGCGGACGCGCCTCAAAGCGCGACGGCCCCGGTGCGACGATCGACATCTTGTGAACCCGAACTGCTGGGCACCAGTGGTGTGGTTCGGGACACTTTAATTGGTGACAGAAGGAGGCGCGACGTCTGTGCTGCAGCATATCCCCATCTTGCTTTTCGTAAAGACGGAGCCTTCCACTCACACGGACCCCGTGTCTTGCCGCATGGTCCTCCAGTCCTTCCGGGACCCACTTGCCGCGATACGCGTGTAGGTCCAATCAATCAGCTGTTATTTAAAAAAGATTACGCGGTGGAAAAAGAAGAAAGTCGAGTCCATAATTTGCTACTGGTAACGGGAGGAGGACGAAGGAAGCGAAGGAAGTGCACGCTTCTTTCTTTTTCTAGACTGAACTCGGAAAAAGGGGACTTAACCGAAGATTTTGCGTTTGAAGAAACGGGGAAGGATGCTCGCGCCGCGCCTCCATGGACCCTGGTTTTATACTAATCTACGGGCCGGGTCGAAAGACGTACGCACATCCGCGATGATCTTTCGATAGCGTTTACCAGATCTCGAATGATGCAGCGAGTGGCTTGAGTTCCTGCCGATTGGCGTTTTAGCGCTTCGCGAAGAGTGCGGCCCTCGTTCATTCGCAGTGGGAGAGCTGAGGCTGTGTCAATCACGAGTAAAGGAGAGGTTTTTGATATCATGATACGAACGCTTGAATCTATGTATAGACTGAAAATGGTATCAAAACACACGACGATAGGAAATTATGCATATTACACCGCGTGCGCTCCATAGATTGCACTCTCACAGCCCGCCGCCCGCCGCTCGCCGCTATACAGCCGACCTGCTATCCACATGGTACTGTTTGATCACGCGAATCTCCGACGGTCCGAGGATGCTGCGGTTGCTTTCGTTGTCGGTGAAACTGGCACCGCCGTCGCTCGTCGCCACGGCGCCCGACGACACTTGGCCGTGGTCGACGGTAGAGTGGATGACGCCGTTCTTGCTCCGTAGTTCGTACCCGGTGCCGTTGCGGAAACTCGTCGTCTGCCGTCCTGTGCTCTTCATGCTGCCGCCGAGGCATGAGACGCAGAGCGGGCGGAGTGTCTGTGGGAAAAAGGCCGTGTCAGTCATCTCCGGTTGGTGAAACGCCGCCATCATCAAACACGGGGGGAGGGGAATCCTTACGCTGAGGCAGCCAACTGTCAATGCGACGCCAACTTCGGCAACTGTTTTGGCGTAAAGATTAGCATGCTGGAAGTATTGTGCGGGGCTTTGGGCGGCGGATACGTACAGCACCAGACCGTCACGCCGTAGACATGGAAGAGATAATCTTCGGTGGAATTCAATGCCAGGGTATATGAAAGCCGAACGATGGCACAAATGCACGCGCTATGGCCGGATCGTTAGACTGGACGCAAGCCGGTTCTTTTCGGGGGATGATGTACGTACAACAAGCCGAGGGAGAGAAGGAAGCCGGCGGCAAACTTGGCAGATCTGTTGATCTGAACATTCCAGAGCAGGGGAATCGGGCTGTTGCACCATGAGCATTCGGTCAGAAGCTTGAGAAAAAGCCAGCCAACTTACAGCGCGGCGATGATGAGATCGCTGATGATGCTGCAGACGGTAACCGTCATGCTAAGGGATGCGAGAATATTGGCGGGTTCACAGTATCCTTCGATCGTAGGATCCCAACTCTTACTGCTCCGTCGTCAGCTTCCTTTCGATCCAGTGGCGACGAGGGATGAACATACGCGATGGGGCGGCATTGGAACATGCAGTAAATAGCAACGGAGAGAGTAACGGATACGAAGATTGCAATGGTGATTCTAAGGACCCATAGCATGATGGTCTGGTCGGTCATGATGCGGACAAAGGTGAGTGCGATGCTGATCTTGATGAGGATGATGGATATGCAGTAGGCGACTTGGAACAGAACAAAAGCCTTGTAGGCCTGTAGCTGCATGGCGGGTGTGATGTGCTCGGCATGAGCGCCGAGCCCATTGTTGGCTGCAATGATGGTTTCGGCGCACAGCCATGCGAACGGGACCTAGTCTCGGAGTCAGATTGGGCGCCATGGTTGAGCGGACGACGGTGTGCCTACCGAGGAGATGACTGCAACTGTGTCGTCCCAGCCCCAAGCGTTTTTCTTGAGCCGCACATAGACGCGCAGGATCAGAGAAGAGTAGCCAGAGGCAAGGAGGATGATGACGCACAGCGCCAAGAAACGAGAGTTGTCGTACAGCATCTCTGCTCGATGTCAAGGTGTGCGCCGAATAGGTGGGAAAGCAGGTGGGGACGGGGTCCATTTTGGCTTCGAGAAAAATATACTTTTCGATACGGGCTGAAGAAACGGGCTGGGCTGCAGCCTGAGACGGAGGCTGCTAGACTCTGTGCCAAGACGGGACGCATCAGACTGTGCGGCGTTGGCCTCTTCCTTCCCGACGCCGATCTCCAGCGCGCTCAGCGCCGATTCGTTGCCATGCCAGGGGCGTCGGTTATTTGAAGCTAGCGTAGGATTCTGCAGCCACGTCCCGCCCCGTTTCTGGTCCTGGGTCCGATGCAAGCCTCAAGGGGGATGGCCTAACCGGTTACACGTATTGCTCCCCACTGTGGCGCACTTGCTCCATCGCATAATGGGCATACGGCCAAAGGGGCATCGATCCGGACCACAAAAGAAAATTAGAGCCGGCGCGCAGCTGAAACAGCATCGCCGGAGGGAAGTCCGGCCTGACGGATTCGCTACGTACGAGCATATAGGAGCCGTGGAGACGGGGAGGGCGGCATGGCGCAACCCTGTCATCAGGGGCTTAGCGAGGCGATTGCCCATGGCGTGGAAGCTGATGTGCCGCGCCAAATCCGCTGCCAATCTGGAGTGCAGATGGGCCGGGGCCGCGTGTTTGCAGGAGACGGTGGGCCGAGTTCTGAGTCGTTCACCGCGAGCTCGTCCTGCACCCTCAACAACTCACCTCTGGTTCCCGGGACAACTCTCCAAATACTGCCAGCAATCCGCTTGGACCTTCTCTGTTGGCCCCACGGGCCTCGTCGAGAAAAGGGCTGCATGTGGTCGATCCACTCGGTTCAGCATCAGTGTGTGTGCCCGAAAGGTCACGCACAAAACCTACCTGGAACGAACCCCATCTTCGAGTCATAGAAAGACGGAGCGATCACAACCCCGCAGCAAGAGAGGTGCGTCTCCAGGCCGCCCAGCAGCAGGGATATGCCAGGGACCTCGAAGCGACACTCGGCTAGGGAAACCGTTTCAAACATGGCATGCTGAGCGTCGAGACGCTGCGGTCAAGGCTCCATGCAACTGTTCGTCGAGAAATTAAGCACCCAGGACGGGACGTTCTGGTGCACTGTTTCTCGTTGGCTTGCACGCGGCGTGTTCGATGGAGGAACTTGGTCAACGGCTTCAAGTATAGAACCTATTTTTATATGTCGAGTTCACCTGCCTCGACTCCCGCAAAATCTCGCGCGCGCTCTCGTTGTCGTTGTCCTCCCGGTTAATGTCCTCGTCGGTCGTGCGCGCGTCGCGTCCACCATTAACCGCGGGCTTCACGCGGTAGGGGCTGGCGTCGCAGGAGTCATCGAGCTCGATGGCGCCCTCGCGTCGGGAGCGCGACTTGGAACAACAGCCGTAGTCGCTGGACGACAGGCTTGTTGTGTCATCGCCGGCGGACCTGCCGAAGCTGCTGCCGAGCTTGAGAATCCTCTTGAAGACGGGTCGCAGCGTCTGGACAGGGAATCAGTCTTCTGGTGTACGCTCACGTGGCAGCTGCGGATCAGGGGTGCCCTTACACTACAGTTCGCGGCCGTCATGCCGACGCCGACCTCGGCATACGCCCACAGCATCACGGACGAGATGTGGAACAAGTAGTCCTCGGTCGCACTCAAACCGACCGTGTACTGCAGCCTGATGATGGCGCAGGCGCTGGCGAAGACGCCGAAGCTAAGGAGGCAGCCCGCGGCGATCTTGGAGTTGCGGTTCATCTCGAGGTTCCAGAGGAGGGGGATGGGCAGGAGCGCACAAGTCCAATCCGTCAGGATGTTGGTGGCCGACAAGGCGAAACTCATGGCGGTAAGGATGCGAGCATCCTTGCACTTGCCGTCGGGGATGCTCTTGTCCCACGCGTATCTGGGGGTGAGTGGTCAGTGTCTCTTTGGTGATGGGTTTGGGATGCTGGAGGGGCTTTCGTACTGGATGGGCCGGCACTCTGTCAGAACGTACATCAACACGATGACGGTGACGACGGTAAAGAGGGCGATGGTGGCCCGGATGATCCACGCGTAAACACGCCTGCCCGAGGCAATACGCAGCAGGGTCAAGGCGATGCTGAGCTTGACGAGGAGGACGGAGGAGCAGTAGGCTACCATGAACATGAACCAGTCCTGTGGTCGGTCAGTGGGCGGGTTCATATGCGGACTCTCCACCTTGCCTTGAGTGCTGCCGAGTACTGCTCGGTTCCCCCGTACAGGTGGTCGTCGGTGGCGCCTATGCCATGCCAGGCGCCGCTGAGGCAGGTTGCTGACAGCCAGGCGAAGAAGGGCTGCGGGGAGGGGTGTTAGCGGCGGGTGTCAGAGGCGGGAAGGACCGAGCCTACGACAGCAAGCGCCATGCAGGTATCGTCAACACCCCATGCTTTCCGAGAGATGCGCACGCCGCATCGGAGGGTGAAGGAGACGAACGCAGGCGCCACCAAGGTGAAGACGCACGTCACAATGGCTTTGCTTGCATCGTAGAGCATGCTGAGGCCAAGAGACGACGGGCTGTGCACAGAAGTAGGCACCAGGGACCAGGCGCCATAGACGGGTTATAGTAGTTATAGTAGGGGATGGTGGATTAGGCGGCACGAAGCTGGGGATCCTCAGTGTAGGGCCGACGGCAAAACAGCTACTCAAGCACGCGCGTCCAGCGGCCCACGTTCGAGATACTTTCACCGTCCGGGCCCCGTAGCTGGTGGCAGTTCGTTCTCATGGAGACGCACGGGTGGCTGTGCCGCAGGAACTACCTCATCGGTGTAGGTGTACACAGTACTACACAGTAAGCATCCTGGCCCGACTCGACCCGAGTTGGCGCCATATGAGAGCACAGTATCATGTACGCGAGCATGGGCGAGCTGGCAGATGATTCGGCAAGTAAAGTGAGGCAAGGTGATGCAGAGCCAACGCGAGTAATGAGGCTCTGGCAAGGCCTCCACAGCCGACTGACTCGGCGCGGCACGAGCGGGGAAGCGATAACGTACCACCCTCGAAATCTTAACGTACCACCCCGCCCCGCTTAAGTGGTATTAGGCGTAGAACGCTCAGTAATAACGAAGTAGTAATTAGTATACTCTCGTAGTCACAACACCCTCTCGCAGCAGTAGTACCCTCTAATAGTAGTACCCTCTTGCAGCCGGCCTCTCGCAGCCCTCTCGCAGCCGGCCTCTCGTAGCAGCCCTTTCGCAGCCGACCTCTCGTAGCCGACCTCTCGTAGCCGACCTCTCGCAGCCGACCTCTCGTAGCCAATCTCTCGTAGCCGGGCCTTTCGCCGTAGTAGCCCTTTCGTAGTAGCCCTCTCGTAGCTAACGGCTAGCGTTAAGAAACCGCTAAGACCCTAGTACGAAAGGGCTACTACGGCGAAAGGCCCGGCTACAAGAGGTCGGCTGCGAGAGGTCGGCTGCGAAAGGGCTACGAAAGGCCGGCTGCGAGAGGGCTACTACTAGAGGGTGCTATATTAGGTGTTATTAGAAGATTACGGGTAGTGTTACTTAACGACTATTCGTTCTTACCGAGCGTTCTACGCCAATTACCACTTAAGTGGGTCGGGGTGGTACGTTAAGGTTTTGAGGGTGGTACGTTATCGCTTCCCCAAGTCAGTCCTCTTGCGCGCGCGCGCGCGCGGACGGACCAGGGTTGCCCTGGCGGAATGACGCCCGCTGGCTGGCCGGGTGCTGCCGAGCCAGAGATCAGAGCTGAGCTGTGAGCACACCTTGGCGCTGGGGTTTGCTGCGGGTTTCTGCTTCCACTGTCATTGTCGCGCGGGGAGGTTTTCTCTCTTCTCTTCGTTTTCCCCGAGCTAGACAAGGAAGGTATGCCTCCGTCCCTCTTTTCTGTCCTTTCACCATGAGCGTTCCCTCGACTGCTACCGCCGCCGCCGCCGCCGCCGCCGCCGCCGCCGCAATCAATGCCGCGCCCTTGTCCGACCGCAAAATCCCCGTCGTGCTCCTCAAGACCAAATCCACGCCCACGGATGGCTACGAGGAGTTTTTCGCCGCCGCGGGCGACGGCCGCTACGACCCGGTCTTCGTGCCCGTCCTCGAACACCGCTTCCGGTCGGACGCGCTGAAGCAATTGCGCGCAGACATCGCGCACGGCGGCTTCACCGGCAGCGCGCCGCACGCCAAGTATGGCGCCATCATATTCACGTCGCAGCGCGCCGTCGAGGCCTTCACGCAGGTCGTGCAGGACCTGCAGCGCGAGAGCACCGCTCAGCAGCAGCAGCAGCAGCAGCAGCAGCAGCAGCAGCAGCACGACATGGATGCCCTGCTGCCGCCGACGCTGCCGCTCTACGTCGTCGGCCCCGCGACGGCCCGGGGCCTGCGCGCGCTGGGCCTGCAGTGCCCCATCCTCGGCGAGGAGAGCGGCACCGGCGAGGTCCTGGCGCAGATCATACTGGACGATTACAACGGCCGGATGCTCCAGCTCGGCGGCGGTGCGAATAAGCAAAGGGAAGGGCATGGCGGTAAAGATAACAAGCTGCCCGTTCTGTTTCTCGTCGGCGAGCAGCGCCGCGACATCATCCCAAAGACGCTGCAGGCGCCGGACCTCGTGCTGACGGGCCGCTACACGGCCGTCGATGAGGTCGTCGTCTACGAGACGGCGGAGATGCAGTCGTTTCGCCACGACTTTGCAGCCGTCGTTGAGGGAAATAGGCGCGTGGGCGCGGAGCAGCAGTGGGTCGTCGTGTTCTCGCCTACGGGCGGGAAGGCGATGTTGGAGACGTTGGGGAAGGGTGAGGCGGTGGCGGGGGGAAGCTCCGGGAAGATGGCTGCGCCTGCGCTGGAGGGTGAGGGGTTTAGGACGTGGATTGCGACCATCGGACCGACGACGAGAGATTATCTTCTGAAGTGCGGGTATGTACCTGATGTGTGCGCGAAGAAGCCGAGCCCGGAGGGTGTGGGCAATGGCATCGAGGACTTCATGCATGGATTTGCCGCCAATTGAAATCTAGGTGCGGTATGCGGTGGGAAGAACTTTCCCGGTGAGAGCGGTTCCTCATTGTGGTATGCAGGAGCGTTTCGCTCCGCAAAGTATATGCACCTCCTGACAGTCATGTTGTGGGTAATAAGATTGGACTAAAAAGTCAAGATATTCGCAGACAGGTTTAGGTTCGGTTACGCAAAATTTACGCTTTTACGGCATACTAGATACTTTAGAATTACAGTCAACTTCCTCAACATGATGGGCTGGAGTGGTTGAGGAGGCCGAGTGACATGAGTCGACTTGTGAGCGGGGATCGGATAAGCCAGCTACCATGCAGCCATTATAGCTGAGCATCTGGACTTCGTATAGACCCTCACGTGTGTCCATGGATCGAGGCTGGCTGGAACCAGCAGGCGCCCGAGACGCGGGGAGACGCGTTGCGATTGGATGACGTCAGTGACGCGCCAGAGCTAAAATGAGCGCGTCACGGTACAGCTCCTCTTCACACCTCCAACCACTCGTGCTCTCCCAGTCCTCTTCTAAAACCCTTACACCTTCGTCAATCTCATTGCCCCATCACAGTACAGCTTTCAGAAGCTTCAGTTCATCATTGCAACACAAGACCAAGAGGCAATTGAGCCCAGCAACTTTAGCATAGTTCAAATCTCCACTTCCTTGCACGTTACGAAGCTCTGTCGCTATGGTTTCCTCCACAAGGCAGTCTACTCGTCTCGCCGAGAAGGGTGAGAACGAGCCAACGGTCGAACAGGAACAGACTTCACCCAAGGGCACAAAGCGCAAGGCTGACGCCGCGTCGCCCAAAAAGGGCCGTGGCAGCAAGAAGGCTGAGCCGGAGAAAAAGCAAAAGACGCTGGAAGAAACAATCGAGGATGCCGGCGCTCCCGATGACGTCGACATGATTCAGGCTGGAAAGGCAGTCGAGACCACAAACAAGAACGCTGAGAGCAAGGGTGAGGAGGCGGCTCAGGATAGCAAGCAGGAAAGTACAGAGCAAGAATCTGCTCAAAAAGAGGATCAGAAGGTCGAAGAAATAGAGTCAAGCACCACAGACACGGGTAAGTTCACCCTAAGCGGTAGCGAAGCTGTCACAACCTGACAGCATCTCTAGGTGGTGCCGTCAAACACGACTCGGAGCGCGAGCAAAAGGTCCCGACCAACATTGTTGAAAAGGGCGTCATCTACTTCTTCACCCGCAAGCGTGTTGGCGTCGAAGACGCAGAGGGCCCTGAGGACTTGCAGCGGACATTCTTCGTCCTTCGGCCTATTCCCAAGGATGCCAAGCTTGGAGCAGGACCGATGGAAGACAGTGAGAATAACAGACTGTTCGCTCTTCCGAAGAAGGTGCTTCCGAAGAGCCACAGTGATAGGTTCATGGCATTCGTCGAGAAGGGCCAGACGACTATCAAGAGTCTTAAGGATACTTTCTTCGCCGGCTCCACTCACGAGACAAAGACGCAGGGGACTCGTGAGGTTCCGCAAGCCACTCCGATCGGTGAGGGTGTCTACGCGATTACGGAGGCCGGAAGAAGCTCCCACCTCGTCTACATGCTCACAATTCCGACCGAGATGGGTGAAGTTCAGACGGAGATGGGTCTTCGCAACCAGGGCAGCTTTGTCATGAGTGTCAAGAACCCGGCGAGGAAAGGTCCGGCCAGCGCTCGGCTTCCGCAGGGCCCTGACTTGCCAAAGGAGTGGGTGTTGCTTTCCGGGACTTTACGCGAATCGGCACTGACTCAGCTTGTAGAATGATTGATGAGTTCCGTGGCCTTGCGTGGGTTTCTGTGAAGCCGCAGTATCTGAACTACGATAATGTCCAGATCCTGCTCATTGGGGAGGGTGTGGATGACAATCTCGGACAGGCGGTCGAGCCCAGGTCTAAGGACCAGAAGGATGGTAGGGAAGAACCGCAGGAGGAGCTCGAGAAGCTGGAACACGAGGACGAGCTTCGGGTGGAGCATCTTCACGGCAACGACACGGTCTTCGATGACTTGAAGCTCAGCAAGAGCGAGTACCCCCAGGTTCCGACCACTTGGTAAATAACGAATTGCTCCAGCCACTCGATCATCTGGATGGAGCTGGAAGACGGCATTATGACCGACGGTTCGTATAGAAACAGCATATTCATGGAGGCTCGGATCCTGTTTGAGCGATCGGCGTTCAACAGCAGGATCCACACGGGTTGCTTTGGCTGGATGCATGTTCCCAGTCTGAGTATTTGTCAGGGATATGGCTACTCGCAGTCGGTAACCTCACGACAAATATGAAAAACGAAAAAAAAAAATCATTAGATTATTGTGTTGCATCCTGGTGGTCGGATTTCGGATAGCATGAAGTGTTGCCGTAGAAGGCAAGTGGGGAAGTTGCATTTTTTTTCATGTGACTTTTGGTTTCCTTTTTCGGACATGCGACCAGCACTCCCTGCTCCCACGGCAATCGATAAGTTGGGCGGCATGCAAGCTGATAGGCGGCGGGTCGAATGATCAACGGAAGCGTCCGCGTAATCAGCGCATGTGAACAGGTGCTTCGTGCTTGATGCTCTTGCGAGTTTCCCAATCGTTCGGAGGCTGCCAGGCTTGACGTCGGACTTAGCGGGACCGTACGAATGAGAGCACGGTCTAGACGCACGCCGGCCGTCCAGCTCCAAGGCATAAGCCGTTGCACGCATGCCCAAGGGCCCAAGGGTAGAGCTGCACTGCCAAGGATCGTGGCTCCCGTAGCCATCTGTGGTTCTCACACGAGGCGGAAGAGGGGGACGAATGGGAGCCGCATTCTGCCACAAGGCTGAATCCCTGGACCGTCTGTCGACTTTTGCTGGCTCAAAAAAGGGAGGCTGGGGCCAATCGGGCATGCTGGCGACGGCTCTTTTGAAGATCTTGCAGGGGTGACGTGGCAGGGGAGGCCGGTCGCAGGTGCGGACAGTCAGTCGCCATTGACACAGAGACAGTCGTGGGCCATGAGACATGCGGTTTCTCCACCGGCCTGGAGCGCACTATTGTCGCTGGGGATGGGTATCCGCATGCCTACGTCAGCCGGCAAGCAATAGATCGCCCGGCCAGACGGCGGGAATTCCGAGCTACGCGTTTAGGCACGCATGCCGACCCTGCGCTACGGACTTCTTTTTAACTGTTGAGACAGACACCGTCTTTCCTTGTCGCCGCCCTTTACCTGCCGCCTGCGCAGCCACCCGCGCCGTCTCTGGCCTACGCAGGTCCGTCCCTCCACCAGCTGACAGGCAGCTAGCTTTGTTTTTCTCCCAGCGGGCTGGGCCCAGCGCAGCGCAGCGAAAACCACTGGCCTCAGGCGACGCGCCCGCTACTCAGCACTAATAAATAAGCGGATCCCTCGTATCCCGCGCACGTGTTGGCTATATATATCTTTGAGCCCCGGGCGCGCGGCTGCTGGCGCATCGCTCCATCAATGTTCAAACCACAGACGAAGTCGGAGTGGGCCTTTCTGGGCACCGCTGCCGCTCAAGCCGGCGTGAACACCGCGCTCCAGCTGTCAGTCCGCCGCGATCGTCGTTTTCGCCTCCCTTTGCTCACCTCTCTTGCAGCTACGTCCTGGACCGCTACCTGCGCTGGGTGAATCCGAACGTCTATGAGGTCGCGCGGTCCTACACCATCCCAGTCACCTTTGCCATCTTCGTCTTCGGCGTCGTCTACCAGTTTTTGCTGTCGTGGGACTCGCTCACCAGCAAGAACAACATCCAGCTGTTTGCCCAGGCAATCTGTAATGTCTGCCTGTTCGCATCCGCCATCCTGCAGTACGAGCAGGTCCAGGATGTCGTCAAGACCCTGCCCCCGAACCATGACGGGAACAACAAGCCGCTCGTCAAGCTGGACGTCGACATATGGACCCAGATCCACCCCGCCCTGATCGCCTCCATCGCAGTCTTCGCCGCCTGCAGTCTGGCCATGTGTGGTCTGGCCTACAAGCTCCACAAGCAATTTGCCTGGGCGTTGTATAAGGACATCAACGCCGATACGAGTCTGAGGTCCCGTTATTTGATCTATCAGGTATGCTATCCCGACCGCTTGGCCGACTTTCATGCTCACACGGCCACACGGCCGCAGGTATTCCTGGTCATGCTGAAGCTGTCCTTCTACTTCCTTGTTTCGTTCGTCATCATTTACGGTTTCGTGAACGTGCACTACGAACAACCCGAATTCGCCCTCACCATGGCCGTCATTCCCATCGCCATGCTCCAGATCCTCCTCTCCGCCTACGCTGCCAGGAACGAAAACAGGTTTTGGATGCTGCTCACCGTCGTACGTTGCTCAACGCTCCACCCAGGAAAGAGGTTATTTGCTGACCCAACTTCGCAGCTGGTATACGCCGGAGGCGTCGCCTACATAGTCAGCAGGATCGTCCTCCTTCTCGGCAACGGCCTGCGTTCCAAGACCATCATGAAGGACGAGATGCTCTTCTTCGCCTTCGTTTCGCTGGTCCTCATCTCCTTCACCCTCGTCTCGTCCATCCTGACCATGATCAACTTCGGCCACGGCCTGAAGCCGCACCACCTCGGCCAGACGGCCAAGAAGGCCCCGCGCGACCCGGAAGATGCGTATCGGTTCGAAAGGCTGTCCCACACCGCTCCGCCCCCAGAGTTCCTCACCCCTCGCCGCTTCGCCTTGGATTGAAAACGGGGGTAAGTAGGCAGGGTTGCCCCCAACCAACGAGTCTATGGACCAATAAACCGCCCAGCACCAATACGTCTACGAACGCACCTTGGCCCCGAAGAACCTACGCGCCATTCCTCCGACTCGGACCTCGGTTCCTTCTCATCCGTATCTACAATCTTCTCCAAATCCGACCATCGTCCCTTTTCCACCTCTTAACGAGCAGCCTCGCCTCGTTTCCCTCTAGATCAAGACAACAATACAATGCTTTTTCAGCGGGAGAGAAACCCCATCTCCAACCACCCAGCCCCCAATTTGGTTGGCTGTTGTACGCTGTACGCATCACGGCGGCCCCTCGCGCGAAGGAAATCGATGGCACCCCACCCGACGGTCGAGGACGGAGAGCGGAGTTGATGATCATGGGTGTATGGCAGGCCGGTTTGGAGTTGTCATACGCGTGGCCGGTGATGAGGAGGGGGAGGGGCGAGGGAAGAAGAAAAAGTATGTGGAGACGTACAACTTGCCCGGATGTGGTTGCTTGAGAGGCTTGCGATGAGGATGTCAACGCCGCTGGAACGCTCCTGCCTTTGGTTTCCGGGGGTCTTGAGGGGTTTCGACTTCTCTGGCTCCTTGTAGATCTGAAGGGATCAGCGAGGTGAGACGAGGCTGGCCTTGATCATTGGAGAGGATTCGCCTGTTTGATGAGATGTTTTGTTGCTCTACGGTTGAGCCTGACAAGAACATCATTGGTCTTGACGTGGTGGAATACGCACATATATCGTATAGATAGAGATTGCATTTGGCTCTACAAGGCCTTGAAGCGGCTAATACAGCAGCACTTTACTTGTTCAGTTTGCATGCTGCCTTGTGAATAACCTTTCAAAAGAGTTGGGGGGAAAGTAGAAACCATAATAGGGAGATTACAACCCTCTCGACAAACCCGTGGCTGAGCATAATCACCAAAGATACGTATTACAGTATTCTTATGTTGGATGAGACGGTTCCGCATTGCTTGGTAGTGACGGCTCTGTCGGCTGAGAGAGTATACTGTGTCCCGATTAGCTAGTATATGCCCGGGTCCCTCAGAACTATCTTGTTACAATGATGACTTCCCGGCACTATGGTTAATCGAAGGTGCCATCAACCCGCTTTTTCAGAGGAACATGCATCAGGATCGATTCTTTGAGGATAACAGTAGTGCTAATTGCAATTTTCAACGCACTATTTCCGTGGTCATTCGCCCCAGTGAAGCGTACGGAGATCTTCGCTGTATCCGCAGCGTTCGCGACCCGCATACGTCGCCTTCGTCCAAGTTGGAACAGATGGTACAGCATGACACAGAGCGTACCTCGGCCAGATCCACTCGTAAGATCAAACTGGTATGAAGTGAAGGCTAATCTTTTTTACAAATGATGTCTAATCACTTTTCGCTCAGGCTCTCGGCCATCGGTCAGCGCGGCTCAATGTCCGGGAGGAACTGAACTTTCTCAAGAACCGGGCTCTTGCATAAAAGCAAGAGTTCGTGTGCTGCTGCCTGTCTACTGGATTTCAACCATAATCACTTTCCAATTCGACATACCCACTCCCCGTGTCTTCCCTCGACATGGGATATAAATAAAGACACCGACCTCATTTTCCTAGCTGCTTGAATGTTTCATAGTAGACATCTATCTCATGGGCTGGGTCCGAAGTACGATCATGGTGCAAATCCTCAAGTCAAAAGGAATACAAAAAGAAGTACCGCAAACGACTACAACAGGATATTTCTCTTTGACATTTCACCAAATCAACTATGCACAGCTTTCGAGGGTAATTAAATCTACAAACTAAAGATGTTGTAGATTTCTAAAGTCTTCTTCTACGTTTGGTCTTTGCTCCAACTTACCGTGAAAACAAAGTGGGTTTTGTCACGGATGGAACAAGGGTTATAAAACCTTCCGTTACTCAATGCTACCAACAACAGAATCTATAAATGCGAGATAATCCGTAAACACTCCGTAAAAGTGAAAGGTCTCGTGTGGGTTAAGGAGAGAGTCCCGGGCTGTAGTTGTCGAAGCTCGCGAATCCTTATTCCCAACCCTATCATGCGTTGGTTTAAGATCTTCATGAGAGATATTTAAGAATGATAGAATCGCCTGTAATATTTTGTGTGCCACCATCGCCAATATCGGTGGTGCTTGTAACGATTCGAACCTATCCGCTGTATCATCCCGCCGTGTATGCCTCTTGAAGTCTTGATCGATCTCCTGTAGCAAATTCAAGCCGGAAAATCGTCTAAACCTTGTCGCTCGAGACTCACTGAGTGATCGAAATCCAGCCTAGCACGCACACTACAGAAAAATAGAGACGATGAATATGAGTTTTTGCTAATTTTCAGCCCGAGGTTTCCGGACTCGAACCAGCATAATCTGGTCTGGTTGCAACGCTGGCGGCCGTTAGTGACCGCCCGCTCCGCGGCAAGGTTTAGCGCCGTGCATGTCATGAAGCAAGCCGTTCAAACTTAAACACCAGGCAAGCGTCTTGGCATAACCGAGACGGGACGTCGCAAAAGCCCCATGATAGTCCGTCACATTCCCTAAAGCGGTAAGCAACCATTCCATTGCCCTGCGCCCCCAGAAGCCGCTAAAAAAGTATCTATCTACCATCCTGGTTGACGATCCCACCGTTCTCTCGGCCCTCGGTAAGTAGATCTGCTTCTCGAGTCACTACAATCAAATACAAGCCACCAACGACAAGACAGTCCACTTTCCGCGATGAGCCCCTCTTGGGGCCCTTCATTCTCGAGCGCGTGGAGAATAGCGCAAGCGCAGCACTCACGCATACATCACGAGCAAGACCAGCAGCGCTATCTACAAATTAACCTCTAATCGCCCGACCGGCCCACGAAAAAGAGATGTGAAAATGGTACGCCAAAGAAATTTCCAATAGCGCATTGTCTGCTCCACTCTCGCATCGCTCCCTGTCGCCTTACGGAACAAAGCGAGAAGGAAAGAAAAAAAGCAAAAAAAGACGTTAGAAGGAATGAGCGAAAAAAAAAAAAAGGGAAGGAAGAGACAGTGCGTCAAAGGGGGCCCGGCCGGCCATGCATCATGTATGTTGGCACCCACCCGCGCCGCAGGGGGGCAAGCCACATAGACACACCATGGGCGGAGCATCCTCCGCTGCCAACGTTGTTTTCGGATGCTTCCAACCGTCAGTGCGCCTCAGCATCATCCTTCCAGCGGTCAACACCAAAACCCCGGGGCGCTACCTGTGTCCCTCCCTCCAACATTTCCCTCCCCCCCCCCTTTTTTTTTTTTAAATCCCTCGTCACCAATCCAATGCTAGATACTACCGCGGATCAATCCAACCGAGAACGGCGAGGCACAACAACAAACTTCTCCACCCTACGTGCGCGCGCAATTAAAGTGTGTTGGCGGCAACCCCCGTTATGATCAGCTCGGAAGTCGGATCGGAAGGAAAGGGTAGGTAGAGAGAGATACTAGTAAAAAAGCGGGAGGATCATCATCCTTCCCTTCCCTTCCCCCCACCCCCCCAATTTATTATCCTCCTCATATTTCACGGTGAATCGAGACTCGTATAAATAGGACAGGGCACCAAAGAGAAAAGGCACCGTGCGCGGGAGACAAGGTACCTACGCAGCATGCATGTATGCCAACAATACTCTAAAAGGCGCTCCGGTCCGGGCGACGTGATTGGGTGGTTCGTCGTCGGTGTCGTCCAACAAGTACCTACCTACCGCCTCAGCCCCCCCTTCCCCCCATCAGGCACAGCCACATGAGAGTGTGACGACGTGGATACGCGCGGAACGGACGCGGCAGATAGATTGGACGGGCTAACTGATTGCGTTCGCTGCTCCGTCCCCGCAAAATATGGTGTGTGAATCCTCCCCTTAGTGGCCCCCACCCCCTTGGTAGGCCTGAGCGTTCTCCTTTAACATGACATCAGGAAGGCCGGGGGAGGGCAGTGTGGCCGAAATGTGTATGTGTGACAATGTCTCGGATATTGCACCCCATCGTAGGCGCGATGAACGGTTGGCAAAGAAGAAAAAAGCTTTCGCGCGGCTGAGACATGCTGCCGCGGCGGCCCGTTGATGACGACGGCGAATTATTAAGGGTTCAAGAGAACGCGCAAGCGGTCGTTTGAACAATAGTATCATCATGAGAGACAGAAGCCCCTCCTTCTGGACTGTTGCGTATTCCAAATGCCGTAGCACTTCTATTCGGCGGGGTTTGGGGAGAGGAGGCTTTACACACAATGCACAAGACACTCGATAACCAGCCTCATATTCCCGTGTTCTCCGACCCCCAGCCAATCGTTCACCTAATCCCTGCCTTGGGCTCTGTTCCCCGTGCAATCCTTCCGGGGTTCTCCGCTTCCAGTATAGTTCCAAACCTCTGAATAGTAAAAAGAAATTTTTGTGTAAAGAAGCCAACGATAAGGGCCCTTAGGCCACCCCAAGCAAATCAGATAAAGATACAAGTATAGTCTCCGAGTGAGGAAGAAGATCCGCCCCTTAAAGAAACGACAGATAGGAACAAAGGCGCAGATCGAAGAATTAACACTAGACACTAATTGCCTGCTATATCGGTCTGATAAACATTGCGGGTATAGAACGGGCAAGTAAGAGTCGCGAGTAGATAGAAGCGAATTAAGCAAGATGTTCAGACGTATCTGGACAGATCGAATGAGGTTGGAACTGAGACGGCAGTGGTGGAAGGTGTCTGACAGATGAGACATTGAAAGAGCGTGAAGCGGCAAGAAGAAGAAAAATTGAGAAACCCGCCTTGTGGTCTTTTTTCGTTTTTTTGGAGGTGCAAGTTGTGCGATCCATATCGCCATGAAGTCGTCGCATACCGTAGGACAATTGCAGCCGTTTGGCCCCTATTGCAGCCGTCTACGGTCCAGACCAGAGATCAACACTGGTGAGCCGTTCCGAAACTGGGAAAAGAGAGAGAGAGAGAGAGAGAGAGAGAGACAAGATTGAGCGTCAATTGCATCACCGAGCGTCGTTTCAGAGCATTCGGTACGCATGGGATGATATATAGGAGAACATTTGCCGTAAATGAGAGTGGTATGCCGTAATGGTGGTGGAGCCGTCCGATTCATGTCGGTCGCCTGCTGCTGTCCCATTCCTGGATTGTGTAGGCAGTGTTGTTGTCTGCCGAAGTCTACTGTGTAGAGTGGAGTCCATGTAATGAAGATCCAAGACATCGTCGGACATTTCATTCTTTATCAGCCGCAAATAGACTTTTGTTTACTCAAAGCCCCTGAACAGATCGCTTCCGTGTTCGCTCGAGTACTTGCCACTCGCTTGGCTCGGGGCTCTGCTCGCCACGTCCGAACCCGTCATTCCGCTTTTCACGGAATATTGGCTGTTTTTGCGGTACTGTCGCGCAGCGGATTTCTCCCTGAAACTCGGCGCCAGTCCCGGGAACCCGCCACCTGGGATCTGGCTAAGGCTGAGGCGCGGCTCGACGAACGCCTCCATGCGCACCGTGCCTAAGGATGGATCGTAGAGCTCACGGCGCGTTCCGGCCGCTGTGGCCGCACTGCTGCTGGCTTCCGAAGTGCGACGGCTCGGGTTGTAGATGCTGCTTGGCACCGAGGGAGGAATGTTGGTACCTCCTGGCGAGTACAGATCGGACATGCCGACGCTGGAAGCTGCCGACGAGTATGAACCAGTGGGAATCGGCGGTGGCACAGCCGATGTCGAGTGCACGCTTTTCCCAGAGTACACGCTGTTCGCCGAAAAGCTACGCGTGAAAGGGTTGCCAGGAATAGGGGGCGGAATGGCGGCTTGTCTCGGAGATGTCATGCTCCTCTTGCGGCCGTGGCGATGTATGACCGGCGGGGTTGCGGCCTCAGAAACAGGCGACTGAGCGGCCTGGCCCTCGTATATCGGCTCTGCGCGGTTGACATAACCCTTCAACCCCCCTTGATTTTGTTTGGCGAGGCGGACGGAGTTCGTGATCGGGCGGCGGCCTAGAGCTGCGGTGGAGCGCTTGGTTTGCGGAGACTCCTCGGTAGGCGCGGCCGGAAGTTGGTTCAGGTCGGGGACGGCTTGCGAGGAGTGTGCGAGGAATGAGAGGGCGGTAAGCCACAAGTAATGGCGCTCAGCTGAAGTCGCGGTGAACTTCAGAGCTCGCGCAGGAGTTAGGATGAGGATGGATCGGTTAAAGATTGGCTGGGCGCCAACGCCCTTTGGTGCAGGAGTATCGTCCTTGACGTCGAGAACGGATTGGATTTGCACTGAAAAGTCAGTATGGACAAGTCAAGTCTTGCAACGGCCACTTACATTTCCGACCTGTCTTACCCATCAGAGCAGTACCAGAGGTGGGCTGTTTACTGCTCCACATGATAGCACGCTCATAGGGCGAGATCCAAACCCAGCGCTTGTGTCTGACGCTGCTTCCGCCGGTCCCATCATCCTTCCCGAACTCCGGTGTTACAGCATCAGCCACCCCAAAGGATTTGCGACCGCGAACATATTTCCAAAGCCACTCGCCCACCATCGCCCCCGCGATGGCGTCAACGACACTGACCGATTGGACAGAGCTCGCCGATTGGTTGCTGTTGACCGCAGAACTGACCGCCGTGCTGACGGCTGTGCTAACCGACGGGTGGCGGCCATGGTGTCGGGGTGCATATGCCTGGTACGGCGAAGTAACGCGATCCCGAGGCAGCGGCGGCGCATCCGCTGGCTCGTCTGGGGAAGTCAAAGAAGACTGGGGCGGAGGCGGGGATCTACTTCGTTGGCGACCGTCGCGGCGGATGACGGCTGCGGAGCGGACCTTGCGCAGGCTGTCTTGCCTGGCGTGTTGCTGCTGGCGCGAGCGCCGGTTCGTAAACATGTTGCTGCGTGGTGTCGGGCTGCTCGAGCCTTCGCTCTTGCTGAGCGGCGCCTTCCTGGAGCTTGATCTGGTCGGCACAGGGAACGGAGGCGGTTTAGGCTTCGAAAATGGGTTGCTGGAGCTGGCTTCTCCAGGCGCCGTCCGGTCGTGTGCGGTGATGCCACTCTGCAGCAGCGCGGAGCGACGCACGCTCGGCTGCTTGCGAATCGATCCAGCCCTGATGGGTTTTTCCACCTTGGCCGGCTTTTCGTAAGACGACCGTTTCTCGACCGAAGAGCGTTTTTCGTACGAGGACCGTTTGGAGTTGGGTTCCTTCTCCTCTGGCACTGGCGTGGGAGGCTTGTTGAACATGCGACCGTATTTGACTGCTCTGACCACCACTGCGTGACCGCTGTATCCCTCTTCATCGCTCGAGGCGTCTTGGTCGGCTGCAGCATCCTCATCGGAACTTTCTCCGTCAAAGCCAGCGAACAGGCTGCTGGTCCGGAATGGCCGCCTTATGCCGTCAGTGCTCTCCTGTGTGAGGGGACCATTATCGTTATTGCCAGGATATTTGTCTTGAGTGGCCTGGATGGACATGGTCCGCATTGATTTGAGCAACTCCTGTGTGGACGGATGCAAGGGAGATTTCCCTTTCTCTTCAAAGGGCCTAGCGAGCACGGGCTGAGCCTTCGGATCCTCCTTGATGGGCGTTCCTGGCTTCGAAGAGATAGCCGAAGGCAGCAGATGAGGTGGGAGTTTGGAAATCCGCTGCTCGATCAAGATAGGATCGGTCTGTACTTCGGAATCACGCATGTTGCTGGGTAACTCAGAAGTAGTCTGGGAACCAGCGCTCTTGGTATTGGGGGGAAGCACAGCATGTTTAGGAGAACCAGGAGTAGATCCTGGGGGGTGGATGGCGATTTGCGGAATGGGAATCGGCGCAGGAATTTCCGTCCGAGGCGGGGACTGGGGAGGCTCGACTATGACTTCAGGCACCGACGCTGGCTGAGGATCCACCCGCGATTCCGTCTGCGTAGACGTTGAAGCCATTCGCGGCGCATTAACGGAGGCTTCAGACTCAGTCGGGGACTGCGGAAGCACGACCGTTGGCGTTTCAGGCGGGCTCAACGGCTGGCTCAGGGTCTGACACGATGTTGAGACCATCAGTCCGGATTTTCGTTGAGTTGTCGCCAGCTCCTTCTCCCTCATAGCCTCGGAAGGAGGTGCAGAGACACGCTTCTTCCTCTGGTTCGCTTCGACATCCATAGCAGCCATAATATGACCACTGCTTCTTGCAGCCACGATCTGTTGCGCAGTTACTCTGGGAGACGGTGGAGGAGACGGTTGAACCCCGGTATCGACGTATTCGACGCGCCTCCGCTCAACCTTCACTACGTCATCCGGCTCAATCCTCGGCTCGAACTGTGGCGGGACAATAGTGTCGAAAGACTGCTGGTGCCTCGGGCGGTGGATTTCGGGAATGGTGTCGTCAAGACAGTAAGACATATCCCTATCGGGCTCGCTAGGTGTCGGCGTGGTCCTGTCCTTGTCCATCATTATGCCGAGCATCTTGCGCGCCTTTTCGTCAGGAACGGAAGATGCTCTGGCCTCCATCAGCTTGCGAGCGCGAATCTCGTGCTCGGTATAGTCTTCAGAATCGGTTTCCAGGTCTTCGAAATCTTCATCCTCTTCGTCAAAAGAAAGCTCGTCCGCAAGGCTAAGGCCGTTTGAGAGCTTTGCGTGTGCTTCAGAGCCAATGGTGAGGATTGATGCACGGTACCCACGAGGGCCGAAGCTTCGCACACTTCTTGCGCTACCGCTGCTCTGGTTTCGCCTGTGCCGGCCTTTCTTGGGTGAGGATTGGATGCTGGCTGTGTCACTCTCGTGTCCATTTGGCGCGTCCTTGGCACCGGCGAAGTCTCCCGGAGCTTGAGCCTCGACTGCTGCCTGTTGCGTTGCCAGCTCATCAAGCACAACTTTCAATCGAGTCTCAGTGACGTGGAGCCGACGTTCCAGAGATCGCTTGTCGTTGTCCCAGGCCTCTTTGTCCTTCTGCCAGAGGTCTTGTGTACGATCTGATGCGTCAACTTCACTCCTTGCCTTCTTCTGGGACGCTTCGAGTTTGCTTTTCAGATGTTCATTGTCGGACCTGATTTGATCTCGTTCCTTGACCAGCTCTTCGAGAGCGGAAAGCGTTCCAGACTCCAATTGCTGGATTTGGCGCTTGGCGACCCGGCTCTCCCTCAGACTGGTCGACAGCTTGTCATTGAGAAGCTCATTCTCCTCTTGTGTCGAGTGCAAGTTGGTCTCGAGATCCTCAATCACCCGGTGCTTGGAGTCGAGTTCTCGCCGTAAGTTGAGGATCTCGGCCACGAGGTTAGCTTGCAGAGTTGGTGTGAAGCGGCGAGGGTCCAACTGAGAGATGTTCTCATCATTTGCGGAGTCGCCCGAGGTGCAATCGGAAGCTGGCGGCGCCGGTGATGCCTGGGATGCGTCACCGAAGGATGAAGGGGTCCCGTGTCGAGAAGAGCGCCGTGACCTCGACGGCTGTGGAGTCATGAATGGAGTTTCGGTGGGCGTTGACAGCGAACGTGCGGCAGTTGAAGACTCCTGGTCGGAGAAGTATTCGGTCGCCATGACGACCACGGGGTCCTAACACTATCAAGACGACCACGCTCCTCTGTAGGTGAAATTTGAACTTTCCAAAGCTTTAACGAGCCTGAAACATGACTGCTCGCCAGGTTAGCACGGTCAACCCTATACCTCAGGGAGTCCCTGTGGATGAACAATGGCGCCTGCTTCACATACTTTTGCGAGCAAAGCTTATCTGTACAAAAAGCCCTTTCAATGCAAGATGAAACGGCGGGCAGCCAGGATTGAAATTTGCCGGATTGCGGGCGGCTCCTTGCCGTGGTAGACCGGACTCTTTTGAAGTGATATGGCGGCGTTTGCAGCAATGAGTGGAGAGACAGAAGCGCCAATCATGCAGAGCGGAAGTGAATGCTGTGCTACCTCGGGACTGTCAGCAGGCGCCACTGGCAGAGCGGAGATCGGCGGCGGGGTGAGTGGTGTGAGACTCGGCGGGAGAGTTGCACGCGTGAAGATGCGGCGCGGACTTGGTGGGACAGGGCGTACAAGTAACAATCCGTGGCTGTTGCGTACCTATGCGGGCAGACGAGGCTACTGGGCCGGAGCGACTAAACGAAGGGAAACACGCTAAGGACGGCAGTGCATTGGAGCAGGCGCGGAAAGGGACGTGGAGCAGAGGGTTGGCGAGGGAGTGTGACGCAGATGTGAAAGAGAGGGTCGTGCAGGCTTAAGGTCGGATGGCGGCGGCGTGGGAGCGTGAGGAGGACGGCGGGCATGACGGGCATGAGCGGGCTGATCCATGGCGGTTTATTGGGGGTTCCCGGGCGCAGCGCTGGCAGGGCAGGGGAGCTTGCTTCTCGCATCGGCGGACGTGCACGCGCGAATGGGGGGCGTGGCCGAATCGAAATTGCGGCGAGCAGCGCGGCACCCGGTAGGCTGAAGAGCAGTGAGTGAAGATTCCCGTCAGGGGCAGCCTAGCATCCGGCTGCCGCGCCGCCGCAGCACAAGGCAGACCAGCGCCGGACCCCGTCGCTAGCCCCACCAGCCTGGCGGGCGGCGGGCTGGGGGCTCTGCTGCCGCGGTCTAAGACACGGCCGACGGGGCGCGCCGCCGTTGGTGCCTTTCCCCTGTCGACGCGCTCCTCGCGCGCGGTGCTGTGGCGCGCCAGTATCGCGGTGCGTGGCGTGCGGCGAGCGGCGAGCGGGCGTGCGGGCGTGGTGCGTGACGCCGAGGCGATCGCCAGCCCGGCAGCGGAGACGGCGACGGCGATACGACTGCTGCGGTGCCTCTGGCCGAGCACCTGCAGCCGCAGCGCGTCCCAGCCGGCCGGGAGAGCTCGAGCGTTGAGATGGCCGATGCACCTCCGTCACAGTCACTATCAGATGCAAATGCCCTCGCTTGCCCTGCCGCATACTGCTGTCAGTAGCGACGCCGTATTTCCATGAGATTGCGCGCCCACCCGGCCTGCAGATCACGCCAAGTCGCCCGTCCAACCGCCGCTGTCGTGACGAAGCCCCGGCACGCCCGCACAGTCCAGACCTCTCCACGCCCGCCAGTCCTGCCTCCCCGCATTTGCGATGCGGCTGACAAGAACGAAATTGCTCTGTGTCACCATGAGACGCGCCATCTTGGCGCCGCAAGCACCTGGCTGCCGTCTCGCCAAGGCACAGATCCGCGGGCCCCAATTTGCTGTTGACAAATTCTCTAGTTGCTGCCCCGGCTGCGTCGTGGATGCCGTCCCTCCAAGAGCACCGCAAGCCAGCACCCGCGAGCCCGGCACCCGTGCTCTCGCGATCGACCGTAGCGTAATGCAGTGTGCGTTGGCGGGACTGCGACGCGGAGGGTATAACAAGAATCATATGGCCAAAGGGCGCCGGGTGCCTGGGCTGCTGGGAAGCCCTATCGGCATACGCGAGATAGCACGTCGCGCCTAATTTATGCCGCGCGCCCCGTTGGTGCGAGAGAGGCTATGCTGCACACACAATACAGCAATGCTCGAGAATGACGCGTTAGAGTGCCGTGGTCCGCCTCGAAAGCGCACCTCTTCCGGGCCCCTTCCGGGCCCCTTCCGAACCCCCCATGGTGTCTCCAGCAGTAGTGGCCCTTGGGCATCAGATGGATCCACCCGCGGCCCTAGCGGCAGGTTATCCGCTGAGAACGGCGTGACGACAGGGAGCGGCCGTCCAGATCTGTTTGCGCCGGTAGTGAATCCCTAGGGCTCTACCGTCGACGATCAGCCGGACTGACATTGGCACGAGGGAGGATCGAGCGTTGGGGGCATCCTAGGACGTTGTTATGCAGGGGCGGCTGGTGGGTGTTGAAGTCCGGAAAAAAGAAATAACAACGAGCCAATCTTTGCAGCAGGCGCCCTTCCCCGGTCGGATAGCTGCTTCCGGAATCCCTCGCGCGGCATCCGCCGCACAGTGTGACAGGGCCATGGGCGCCCGAGGCCGAAGTGCTATCGATAACGAAATTTCGTCCTCTGGCCCTCTCTGCCCCACCGGCTGCATCCCATCTCTGTCCCTCCTGCGCCTCGTCTGAGCCTGGAGCTGCTGCTGCTTCAGACTACCTTACCGCAATCCCTCGCGCCACCAAATCGCAGCCTTTCCCCCGAGACCGCTACCATGGGCAAGATCGAGGAGCTGCCCGACGACTTCGACGAATCACTCAACCTTAATGACCATGCCGTAAACCCGCCTCCCAAGCCTTCCGACCTTCCCAGTGGCCCCGGTCCAAGCGGAGTACCTTCGCTCGAATCCCTCCTCAACAATGCTACCCAAACCAAGGGCTCGTCTACGGCCGAGGAGCCTTCCGACGGAAAGGCGTCGGCTGCAAAGCCCCCGGCCATGACGGAGACCGCATCCAAGACTGCTGACGAGTTGCTGGCCGAGCTCAATCGCACGCCGCTTTTTATGACATCACTAGACGAGAGCGATGGGCAAGGCGGTGAGAATGCGGCTCTGGAAGGATTGAAGGCGCTCGCATACGAAGGAACCAAGGCTGAGGTCGCCGGTAATTTCCGTGAACAAGGAAATGAGTGCGCCCGCGCAAAGCAGTGGGTTGATGCACGGGAGTTCTATGACAAGGCTCTTGGCGTGCTCAAGGGTGTGGGGAAAGAGCTGAACGAGGATCCGGACATGGATCTTGCGGATGGACAGAAACTGGACCCGGACGAGGAGGCGCGGAAGGAAAGGCAGATCGAGGAAGCCTCTCTCGTCAACAAGGCGTTGTGCAACCTGGAGATGAGTATGTCGGCCCTGTTCGTGATCAAGCCAGCAAATCGATTGCCCCTCTATTGGTGGTACAAGTGACAACAGGCTGACTGCATCTCCGAACAGAGAACTACCGCTCTTGCATACAAAATTGCAAGGCAACTCTTCTTATCAACCCGTTGAATGTGAAGGCCTGGTACCGCAGCGCCACGGCTCTTCTTGCTTTGGACAAGATCCCGGAAGCCGAGGACTCATGTGAGCGTGGTCTGGCAATTGATGCCAGCAATGCCTCCCTCAAGACTCTCAAAAGCAAGATTGCAACACGCAAGAAGCATCTCAAGGAGACCGAACGGAAGCGCGAGGAGCGGGAGACTAAAAAGCGGAATGAGGAGAACGCACTTCAATTAGCCCTCAGAGCACGCAACATCAAGACACGGTCTACTGGCGCAGACCCAGACACTGGTGACGCGAAGATTGCGCTGACAGAGCCTCTGGACCCTTCATCGGTCCTTTCATTTCCCCTCATCCTTCTCTACCCGCTGGACGCACAGAGCGACTTCATTCAGGCGTGCGCCGAGACGGACAGCCTTGGCCAGCACCTCGAGTACATCCTGCCTGTGCCCTGGGACGCGAAGAGCGAATACACACATGCGGGTACTGAGTGCTACTTGGAGACGTCATCCGGTGGCCTGATCAAGGCGGGCAAGAAAGTTCCGCTGGGCAAGCTGTTGGCCGGGGGCACAGTGGAGATCTTGGACGGACTGGTCAAGGTGAATGTTGTGCCCAAAACCAGGGCGCAAGAGTGGATCGCAGAATTCAAGAAGAGAAAAGGTCTCTGAGATGGATAGCACAAATCAGTCCGATGACTCCGGCGAATGGGACAATTCATTTCGTGTTTCTGGGAGGAATGAGGCAATGACGTCCGGCTGAGAAAGCCGAATACAACCGCATCCAAGACGGCCGGCCAATTGCAAGCATCGGGCGGCAAGACATTCAACCACGTCCAAACAAGCCCTTCTCCACACGGTGTCCTGAAACAACGCATCACCATCTCCAAGTCCGCGCGCACCGCGCGCTCGAACCAATTATTCCCCACCGCTGAGGGACAAATCCGATTGCTAGGCTGGAGCTCCACCATGTCACAGACGTCACCCATTTTTTCTCCGCAATCCTGGTCTCAGATCATTCAGCCCAATCACTCCAACCCCCAGAATCACATCGACAAACGCATGCAGGGTCTCCACTTCATGTTCTCCTCCAGACCGTTCTGCCAACCAGCGAAGGCGTAACGACACCGCTCAGCACAACTTCCTAACAGGTGTAGGCGCGCGCGTGCGCAAAACGTGACGGCACCTCCCGCTTATCCCAATTACCACCCACAAGTACCGGTAACCGGTCAAAGCATCACACCATCATCGCCGCCATCCCACGTGCGCAGACCCTATTGCTACACTGATCTCCCACGTAACCTTCACCCACCAGCAACTGCCCCTTCTCCACAGTGAAATTTGCCGAAGCAGCCGGGCCGATTCCGCAATTCACACAGATCTGCCCTTCGACAGCCACGACTCCCAAAGGCCCAAGCGCATGCGCAAGAAATACCCCACCAGAGATCGGATGCTTCATCCGTGGGTCGCCAATAATTGAGATAGACAAAATCCACAAGGGCCACATGATTGGCCACTTCAACACACTCATCAACGATTACTCACCACCATCACCACCCATTTTCCCCACATATCGCCAACCACACCCCTGCCCAGCTGAACAAACAAATGACAAGGAAGAAATCTCGCCCGTATGTTCCGCGCCGAGCACGACTCAAGAAAAAAACAAGAGATTCACGTACGTGTCATTGCACGACCGAATACACAGTACCAACCAAACCATCGACCGCCCTTTACCATTTTCTCACTCGGCGCCTCGTCAACGCACGTGGCCGCCCAGACCAATCGATGAGCCCGACGCCTGTGAGCAGGCCCAAAAACCAACACCAAAATGACCGTGCCGCAAGCGTACAAAAACGGCCAATGCGCCTTCCAACCCATTTCCGAAAGAGGTAGGTGACATTTCAGCCACTTTTCCAACACCGGGCGCCGGGCCCACGGGCCAGCCCTAAGAAAGGGAGGAGCAAGAGCCGCAACGAGGACAGCGACGACGAGCACGGGGTAGTGTGAGCCTAGGTACATACAAGCCATGAATCAGCACCCTGAGAAAAAAAAAGAAAAAAGAATAAAAACAAGGCCAAAGCCAAAGCCAAAGCCAAAGCCGAACGTGCTTGGCCCGAACCCGGCGTCTTTTTTCGATAGTCCAAAAAAAGATGAATCGACGCCGTTATCTGTCATCAATCGTTAGCTAGCGACAGCCTTTTGCCTTGTTTTTTTTAGCCCTCTCGTTCATGGCAGGGCGGGCGGGCGCGGCCCTTCGCGCGCGCGCGCGAGGCGAGGCGGGGGGTGGGAGGAGGAGGAGGACCGAGGATCTCGGACATCATCGCATCATCACTCGACGCACGTCTAGTTCGCGATTCTGATGAGCTCTTTCGTCCGATTCGCGACGACGAGGAGAAGGCGCGCAGATCGATCGGGGGGGGGGGGGCTGCCGTCATGAGCGAGCGTGCCAAAAGTTGGAAGAAGAGTAGAGAAACGAAACAGATCTGGCCTTTTTTCACCTCCATCCCCCAAGTGTGCTGTGCGGCGCATATTCGTTTTGTAGAGCAGAATAGAAAAAGACGTAGCGTCGCTGTTCATCTCTCTCGCTTACATACTAATGTGTGACGTGGAGGAGCTATGTGGTTGAAGTTGGGCCCCTCTTTTTTGTTGTGCGGCGGCGACAGGGCTGACCGAGACGTTATAGTTGCGCTGTGTGTTATAAGTGGTGTTTCATCTGTGTGTACTGGCCTGGTGGTGTACCCCAGGTTTTGAGGTGCATGCAGCAGCCGCTTTATTCATTATCAGCAAGGCCTGTTCGATGTAGGAACGAGCGTAGAAATAGAATGCGTAGTGAGATTAACATGGCGCTCTGTAGACCGGCGATAGAATTTATAGAGGTTTCAACGCGACTGCAATCGATGTCAAAGAGGCTGATTGATCAAGTTATAGGACATATGGCCCATGGGTAGATTCTTGATTTTTCCGTTCAGTTGCTTAGCTGATCTTCGGACTCTAATGCTCATGTATATGGTTTGCTTTTGCTATTTTACAGTGCTTCTCTATTAATCATGCTGGAATTACTTGATCAGACTGTGTCAAAAAGCCATCCGGAATTGTGATATCGAACACAGGTACAACGCTTTCTCCATCTATAGAAAAACTTGTTTTTGAGAAAGGATGCCCGCAGCCAAAGCAATTCTGCTCTTTTTCTTTTACTTTTCCCGATTCTGTTGTGTGATTAATGTCCTTGTTCTTCTTTGTTCCACGCCGAAAGCATCGGACTGAAGATGCAAATGCAGAAATGCCAAGCTCCATGCTCGACAGTATGATGATAAAGGAACCGTGAGCCCCATCAAGTGAGAAAGGTTGCCACAACTACCGGGATTAAGTTGGGGGACTGGATTTTGCTGTCAAAGTATCCGAAGGTGGTCATTCCTTCTTGTAGATCTTGGTAGGGCGGACCATCGAGTCAAGGAGTGCTACCTTCACGAGATAGTCGACCTTTGAAGGATACCAGAGGTGTTCGGGCGGTTCAAAGCGAACCTCATCAGCCTTGATCTCCCTCAAGGCATCAAGAAAACGGTAATCTGTTCGACAGAGGCACTTTCGTCCGTAGAACGAAAGCTCGATATCTTTCAGTTTGCCATGCTTCGAAATCTGGCGAAAGCAGTTGATGATATGCTCATCACGGACAAAGCGACGTCCTTCTGTTATATCTTGTCAGCTTTGCTTGCTACTCAGCAGAGTCTCTGATCCATCTTACCATGGTCCAAGTAAGGAGCACTCGATGGGGACGCGTCAGTGAGTACAATCGAGATGGACCTAAGCAGCTTGATGCTGGTGAGTGAGATATCCAGGCTTACCTGGTCCAATGAACCACTTACAGATATGTTGGTAGGTCCAATTGAGTTGAGGAAGACTCTCATGTCTTGATAGCCGACCTCTCTCTCTTGAGCACTCCAGTAGGGTGCGCGGGAATGGGTGTTTCGTGAGAAGGCGAATCGGTTCTCGGAATAGAGAACACTGCGTCCTTCCTTGTATATCTGTTGGCAGGTTCGCAGCAAAGCTCCAGAGCGGCTAAAGTTCACGGGGCGTGAGAAGCTGACGTCCTCCTTGGTGACAAACAACAGACGGTATATCTGGTTTCGAAGCTCCGCCGGAAGATCAGCGAAGGTCTTCTTCGTGGGATCCTCGCGGGTATCGGAACCAAAGTATCCGCGTTGGCGAATGGATGTCTTGCGAGGGGCAACCGAGATAGTGTTTCCGGTGCTGAGCTTCGACGAATTCACACGGGCACTGGGCAGATGCTGGCGCTTGGCCGGGGGTTCTGACTGTCCGTTTATGAATAAGGCTCGGTCGATCTTCAGAGTCAGAGGACCACTGAAGCCTTTCGGAACGTTGACGGTCAAGTTGATAGAGCCGACCCCCTCATCGTCCAGTGAATGCGGAGTTGGCTCGCGCGATGGAACGTCGTCTGGGTAGAGTGGCAGCGGATCGACATCTGGCAATGGTGGAGAAGGAGTTCGCTTCCTCTTGGGGTGCTTTTTCTTGACGCCTTCCTCGTCCTCTGATCCAGATTCGCTGTCTAGGCCCTCGTCATCGATGACTTCAGTGGTGTCGAGGTACGAAGGGTCAAGCGACTTGCGGCCAGCATTGTCGCGAATGGGTCGTCCCGTGCGGGTGTTGTAGCGGACTTGAAGGTCACCATCACCAAGCTCTGAGCTCGGTTTCTGCGCGCTTGCCGGCTTGGAGGTCCTCGATTTCGGAGGCGCCTTGCGCGCCATGTCGCGAGACCCTAGAGCGCCGAGTGTCTTCGACACCGTGTATGCGGCTTGGTGGCAAGTGACGTAAGCTTGCAGGAGCGGGGTGCTGGTGACCCGTGTGCCTGTGGTGGCGTGGAGTGGAGGAAGAGGTTCAGAGAAGATCTGGCGGTTGGTTTTTCTCAGGGTCGCCGGACGGTGATGTAAGGCGAAGCTTGGTGGGAAAGAGCGACCCGTACCTAAACATGCACCTGCCGAACCAAACGGACAGAAGGGTCCAAACGAAGGGCCTCAGCGACACGTGCCCTAGACGCACATGCGCAATCCTCCGGCACCATTGTCGGACGCCACTCCCTCCAGTCATCACGAGGTTGTATACAAGCTCATGATCGAGCAATGGGCAGCCAAGCGGGTGTTGACAGGCAAGCATCACGTGCCTAGCTGCTACCTGTCAACAGCGTCGACAGTACTCACAAAACTTCGCCAGAGCCATAAAGAAATTAGAGAACTCGGGGAATAGATCGCTTTACCTATATACTTCTATACAAGCTCGGGCTACTCTGCGAACTTCCAACGAGCAGTGAAGCCGACAATTGCATCGGCTGCCACCTTCGAGCTCCTCGAAAGGCCGCACGCCCAAGCTAGACCGCCTCTTTGCCCCCCTTGAACATCTAGCGAGCGCTTTAGTGTATCGTTGAGGAAGAATGCCAACGCCGTCGAAGGGCATTTCATCACACAGGAATCCAATCAGAAAGTTTCAAATTGTTCCTCTAAGGTGGTGAGGTGGGCCCGGAACATCTCAACAGCACCCACGCCGCCGTGCTTGCGCGCGGCAGGTGAGGATGCGCTGCCATGAAGGCCAGCTCATCATCTTGGATTTAGTTGTGTGATGAAGAGGAAAGGAACGAGACGCGTGGCGCGACAGAGGAAAAAAAGGCTGCCTCGCGTGGGTTTCCCAATCCGGCCTAGCTCCTCTTCGGCGACTTCGGCGCATCGATCCATCACCTCACCACCGCGCCGAGATCATCCCAGCTTCTCCGCGCCCCATTGCTGAGTTCCCCAGGCTGGCAATGATGTCGTCTCTCCGCTACACCTGCCGGGCCTCGCGCGCCCTGCTGGCGACCACTGCCCGCCGGCCAATCCTCCAGAGATGCCTGCGGCCTCAAGTGGCGCGAGGCTACGCCGTCTCGCTGGACGACCAGCACAAGGTACGCCGCCGTCTTTCCTGTCGCGCGCGCCGGTTATGCTAATCTGCCCCCAGCTCCTCTCCTCGAACCTTGCCCAAGCCGATCCCGTCGTGTACGATATTGTAGAGAAGGTAATTGCGCCAATGCGCCCTCCGCTCTTGTTCGGCACATTGCTAACGTGCCGATGAAACTTGCAGGAGAAACGGCGGCAAAAGCACTTCATTAACCTGATCCCCTCGGAGAACTTCACCTCCCAGGCCGTCCTCGATGCTCTAGGAAGTGTTATGCAGAGTACGCATGTCGAATCCTCTTGCCGGAGCGAATGCTGAGCCGAACTGCAGACAAGTACTCGGAGGGTTACCCGGGTGCGCGTTACTACGGAGGAAACGAGTTCATTGATGAGGCGGAGAGATTATGCCAGCTGCGTGCTCTGCAGGCCTTCGGATTGAAGGAGAGCGAATGGGGCGTTAATGTCCAGCGTGCGTTGCTTGCGACCCTGATACCTGACATTTGACTCATCCGTTGCAGCTCTTTCCGGCTCGCCCGCCAACCTTTACGCATACTCTGCCCTCCTCAACGCACACGACCGAATCATGGGCCTTGATCTGCCCCACGGCGGTCATCTTTCCCACGGCTACCAGACTCCCACTAAAAAGATCTCGGCCATCTCGAAATACTTTGAGACTCTACCTTACAGGCTGAACGAGAAGACCGGCCTGATCGACTACGACAAGCTGGAAGAACTGGCTCTCCTTTACCGACCGAAGATCATCGTTGCCGGCACTTCCGCCTACAGCAGGCTACTCGATTACGAGCGCTTCAGGGCAATTGCCGACAAGGTTGGCGCCTACCTGCTTGCCGATATGGCCCACATCTCTGGCCTTGTCGCCGCTGGTGTCATCCCTTCTCCGTTCAACGAGTCCGACGTTGTGACGACCACTACTCACAAGTCTCTCCGTGGGCCTCGTGGTGCTATGATTTTCTACCGCAAGGGTACCCGTCGTGTGGACAAGAAGGGCGTTGAGGAGAAATGGGACTTGGAGGAGAAGATCAACGCATCGGTTTTCCCTGGACACCAGGGCGGTCCTCATAACCACACCATCACTGCGCTCGCTGTTGCTCTGCAACAGGCTCAGTCCAACGAGTTCAGGGACTACCAGAGGCAAGTTCTTTCCAACGCCAAGGCCCTGGCCGATAGACTAGGCAACTCCAAGGACAAGGGTGGCCTTGGCTACAACATCGTCTCTGGAGGTACCGACAACCACCTGGTCCTGATCGATTTGAAGGACCGTGGCGTCGACGGCGCCCGTGTCGAGCGTGTCCTTGAACTGGTTGGCGTTGCCAGCAACAAGAACACGGTTCCTGGTGACAAGTCGGCATTGAAGCCCGGCGGTCTTCGTATGGGTACCCCGGCCATGACCACTCGCGGCTTCACGCCCGATGACTTTGTCCGCGTCGCCGACATTGTGCACCGTGCGGTGACCATCACGCAGAAGCTGGACAAATCTGCAAAGGAGGCGGCAGAGTCCAAGGGCAGGAAGAACCCTGGCAGCGTCAATGCGTTCAGGGAACACGTTGGTGAGGGTGAGAACGTGACGGACATCATCCAGCTAAGGAAGGAGGTTGAGGATTGGGTTGGTACTTTCAGTCTTCCCTGGATCAAGAACGGCTCGTGAAGAGCACATGTATAGCGCAGCAATGAAGGGACAGCAACATTGGCCGGGCACGAAGTTTTCGTCCGTAAATATTACTTCATTCATCCATGGGGAGTTGAAGCATGCGTCTGAACGTAGTATTTGTGCCTATTCGTACTTCGCGTCCAGGCGCATGCTTCAGCTCCCCATGCTCTTTCACGATGTGTCCTATGCTTTAGCACGTCATCCCCCTACTATACCCGATATACATTGACTTTCACGCAGCGTGCTTACGACCCACCCTCCAGATTTGTCGCTAAGTCGCGTGCACAACAGCGAGTCAATCTTTTGCAGAATCTGGTGCCCGCATGCTCAAAAGGCGTGGTAGTAGCATCTCACAGCAGATTCCTTGCTCAGCGGTTCACACACGCAAGGGAGCAAACGCCAGAACCCAATCAAACGAGGCTTACGGTATCAGATGGTACATACCAGTCGCCAATGTCCTGCGGAGCACATCTGCAAGGGAAGTTCGGCTTGAGAGGAGGATCGCCAGTGCCACGGCTCCTCGAGTAAAGTTGGGAGGGCCAATCCGGGGCCAGTTTCCCCCTTGCACGCTGACGCAGGGGCCCGTGGGGGCGCCTTTGCGCGGCTGTACAACCTTAACACAACTACATGCTTTCGCTTTTCTCTCCCACCTTCCATCGCGCTAGAGCCCCTGAACGGGTTGCATGCAGTTCGGCCACGAGCCAGTAGTCTTTCATATCACGGTTGAGCATCGCGCCAGACCACACGATCAGTCGATGCGAGCGGGCGGCTAGGTAGGAAAAATGCGCGACCAATATCCTAAACCCCGCGCGTTCTTCTCCGCAGATTGCCCCGTCGGGAAGGCTCCCGACTTTCACTTGCCTGATGCGAGCAGCTGATCCTCCCTGCACGCACGTTGATAGGCCGCTACGGCGAGGGTGCCGACTCTGTTTACAACTTGACTGGACCGAAAGCCTGACCAATGGTTTTGTTCCATTGCTTTGCCGGGGTAGGTATGTACACCAGGAGCGAAGACTTTCAAGAATGAAGATATCTCATTCTTCTGCCTGCCAGCTGCATGAAGTACCCTTTAATGCAAGACCGCAGGTGTCTGGACCGCTAGACCAACAGCCCTATCCTGAAGCAATAAAAATCCAACCATGAATAACCTAACCATTCACGAAACAACCATAACGCCCCCGGTATGATGGAGCCACGCACTTGGAGTTGGCCGGCCTCTCATCAATCTGAACACCATGACTACTCCTCGCCGTGTTTGGCGAACCTGGCCATCCTCTTCTCCCTGACATGATCGAGCGATATGTCCACCGCCTCCATTGCTCTCGTTACTTCAGTCGCTGGGTCCATGATGGTGGATACGTCGTCGTCGTCGTCTTTCTCTTGTTCCTTCTCAACGACGCCTTCGAACGACCATGTCGCCGGGCGATCTGGTTCCGATTCTTCATCCTCGACAGTTGGCGGCGGAGGGTAAGCCCTGCGTTGAGCAGGTGTGTGTACCACATGCCTCCTGGATGCCGGGGTGGGATTCGAGTGAACCCGAGGACTGAAGTCGGCGTACGGCCCCTGAACTGCTCGATCTTCTTCGAAGTGGTTGGATTCCGAAACCAAAGGTGCAGTCCAGGCAGCCGTCTTCTTACCGCATCCAGCATCACAGTCAGAACCAACACCCCGTCCCTGGCGCCTATCCATCTGCCGACGAAGCCCCCAACCCTCAGCCACCCCTCCCCGCCCCGCCTCCCCCCTCACACCTCCTCGCCCCCCACCCTCAACAACAACCTCCTCCCGCTCCTCCCCACTCCCCCGCCCCATCCGCCTCCGCACCTCCTCCCGCCACGTCCCCAAACTCCTCCCCACCACCTCCCTCTGCACCTCCTCCTCCGCCCTCTTCCTTTCCCCCTCCGCCTCGGCCACCGACTCGCCCATCGCCCTCTCCAGCGCCGCGCGCTCCGCCTCCTCACACGCGCGCTCGCACTCATCCGCCGACTCCCGCATCGCCCTCTCCAGCGCCGCGCTCTCCGCCGCCTCCGCCGCCTCCGCGTACTCGCGGGCGCTGCGCTCGAGCGCCGAGCGCAGCTGTTTGGTTTCTTCTTCTTCTTCGTTTTCTTCAAAGGAGGAGGAGGAGGACTCGTTTTCTTCGTCGGCGCTATCACCGCCACCGCCGCGCAAGTGACACACGTTGTGTGGGGAGCGGTAACCTGAGAACTCGGAGGACGACGACGACGGCGGCGGCGGTGGCAACGGCGGCGATGGGGAGTAAGGGCGGAAGCTCGGCAGCGAGGGGTTCCGCGTCGCGCGCGCCGTGGGGTGCTGGCGGAAGCGGCGGCGAAGTGGTGGGTTGTGTCTGGGGGGCCGGGGCTCGCGCCCGAAGCGGCGGCCGGTCGTCGGGCGCTCTACGCGCACGAAGCCGTCGTCGTCCTCTTCGCCGCTCGGCTCCGTGCTGGGAGGTCCGTCGAAGTTGTCGGGGTGGCGGCGGTGGTGGTGGTGATGATGTTCTCGTTCGTCTTCTGCTATGGTGACGAGGGGACCGCCGCGGAATGGGGGAGGAGGAGGAGGTGGTGGCGGTGGGGGCATGCCGCTGTTCCATGCTTCTTCTTCTTCTTGTTGTTGGCGGTGAGCAGCAGCAGCAGCATAGCCGCTGGGGTACTCACCGAGCTGCTGCTGCTGCTGCCACTGCCGCTGCTCCAGAGAGCCGGGCAGTTGTTGCGCGATGGTGTCGATGAGCGGCCAGTCTATGCGCGCGCCGGGGACACCGGTCGGTATGGCAGGTCCAGAGTACGGGGTATCTTCGTGAGTGTGTTCGTCAGTGCCCAGGTACGGTGGGTTCACGGGCCCGGGCAGGATCGTTGGCGGGCGCGGCACGATTGGCGGTGGATAAACGGGAGTCGACGACAGCCCGGAGAGGAGGCGCTGATTGTGAAGGGTGGCGGGGTCAACTTCGTAGTCGTCTTCGACGTCGTTGTCGTGGGTGAGATTGTAGGGGGTGTTGTATGCGGCACGGTCGGCGTAGAAACAGGATTGGCAGGCGGCGCCGGGCATGTGTTGCTCGTAAAACATGTGGCGTGGCGGGCCGGGGGCGCAGACCCGGATGCCCCAGAGATGGGCAGCGTAGCACTGCTCAGTGCGCGTTCGGCGGGTGAGGTGCTCGGCCCGGCAGGCGTGGTCGACGACTGTCAGGATTGTGCGGCACATTGTGGTGGTTGGTTGTTGGAGAAATGGAGTGGTCAGTTGAAAGGTTTGGAGAGGCCCAAATCAGTTGGCGAGGATGGGGGAAGTTTTTGTGCCTGGGCGCCGATGGAGAAGTGGATTGGTTATGGCGCAATAGAAGAGTGTACGCAGAGAAGAGGGGTTTTGGGTTGAGGCAAGAACTTGAAGTGATGGGGATAAGATGCTCGTGTCTGCATATCACAGTTTGGTTGACAGTCGTTACGCAGATTCAAAGCTTCAGCTCGACCATTGTTCTAAGCCGATGCGTTGGCGAGCAGTAGGTGCGACACATGCTCGAATGGTAGTCACGGCGCTCTCACACTCTGCGACTTCCTATTCTGGTCATGAACAAAACAACAACAGCAAGATTCAACGCCTACACGAAAGCATACTCTTTGAGGGCCTTCTATTCATTTTCTATTATACTAATTCAATGGTGCCCCAGCGTTGGCAATGAGACACTCGCAAACACCCCGACTTGGGTGAGTGGGACCGAGCCCTGCAGCCCGACCGGCAGAGAGTTGTCTGTAAGAGCCCATACTGAGCAATCAGTCTAGCTGATTAGATAGCAAGACACCTCTTCCCGGTTCAAGCTCTGAATGTGGCGAATGTTAACCATTTCTCAGCACAATGCGGAGGGCAATAGCCCAGTCACCCTGAAGAAGTTGCGCACCAAAGACATTGTCATAACTCTCGCGTTCACAATGATTGCCTAGGCGTTGACAGTAGGGATTACAGAATAAGTGAGAAGGCGCTAGTTAACAACAGGACGTTTCAGATGTTGGACAAATTTTCCATTGAGATTTTTGCAACCGCCGTCCAATGTCACAGCGTCCACGATAAAAAATATCCACCCATCTTTAAATTGTAGGGAATGGTGTAGGTCGATCGACTGGAAATGACTGCCAAATGCACTTGTGAATGAGCGGGTATTTCATGTTTCCCACATATTAAGTAACTGGGATGGAGCTATGGTGATTGAAAAAGCATAGATTAATGACGCAAGCATTGACGTAAACTTGAATTGAAACTGAGGTGAACAGACACAACTGATGACGGCCAAAAGAACGGTCATTGCAAAGAGACCACCGAACAGCTGAAACATGTACGCAGTGGCCCGAGCCATCACCGACAAGGTTCAGAAGTGCTGAAGCCACGTATTTCCGTCATCTTATATTGCGGAGTTTCCCATGATGCACGCAGGGATAAAGTTAGTAAGATCTCGGAACCTCTGATCCGAGTTCGCTCATAATAACTACTGGTTAGAGTTTTGCTGTTTGAATTCGTATCGCACCGCCCACAACAGTAGCAAGAGTGGAGTAGGGACGTTGTTTGGACTATTCTGTCTGTTGCCTTGGAAATGATAACTTGGGCCACGCGAGCCTAGCGCACAACCTTCGACATCAAAATTGAGCAACTGACATTATAGTAGAACAGTATCACGTCGAAAGCCACGAGAGCTTGGGGGAATGAGGTCGTCTGATGTGATGTAATAAAAGTAGGAGGCATTCCAAATACGGGCAATCGCGACCTTGATATGGGCATGAAGCGTACGATAGCGTCTGGACCAAATCAACGTCTGGGCGATGGTTTCACCTTCCCCAATCTTGATGCAATATCACGCGAACCGAGTCCGTGTTGTGGCGGTACGTACGAAAAGGGGAAAAAAAGGCAAAGGCTTGCCGGAGAAGAAGAAATCTGGACCAACTAAATGGCTTTGCGTTTGGCGGCGAGACGCCGTTGAGCAATCTACTCAACGCAACCAACAGGACCCTGGGGGCTTCATTCGCCTGGGACATCATACGGCCTTGCGCCTTCGGTGCAAAAAAGCACAAGCACAGACCCGGAGCCCAGGCCAAGTGTGCTCTTGATGGTGGAGTCACCGCTCAGCTTACGCAGGGTCGCCAGGGGAGCGGCGCCGCAAGGCCCACCGGCGACTCCACCCGCGCGTAGAGTTTGAACTGCCTCATGGGCTTCCAAATCCGTCACCATCACACTTGCATCAACCCCGTTACGGAGGACCGGCCACGCCAATGATGAGACAGTTCCGCAGTTCATGCCACACATGATCGTGTCTGCCGTCTGGATGGGTACGATCTTGCCGGCTTTGAGACTGGTCTGCAGACACGCGGCTGTGGTGGGTTCGGTTGCTACAACAGTAGCGGAGGGCGTCTTGCTTTTGTAGTGCAGGGTAACCGCCTGCGCCCAGGAGCCTACGCCAACTGAGGCTATCGCGCACGTCGCATGACGGCCTGTAAGCTCAACGACTTGGCGGTCAGTTTCTCGGAGCATTGTATAATAGCCTTCGATTACCCAAGTTGGAATTGTCTCGTAGCCGGGCCATGAGGTGTCCATGACTAGGAGACCGTTGCTCTTCTCCGCTTCTTCCTGCGCGGCCCTGATCGACGCGTCGTAGTCGCCCTGCACCGCAGACACCTCGGCACCTTCGCTTCTGATGTTGTCGCGTGTGGCCTGATCCATGTTCTGAGGGACAAAGATGCGTGCCGGCACGCCGAGGTACCTTGCCATGCGTGCAACTGCCCTGCCCCAATTGCCGTCTGTGCAGGTGACGAAGCGAACGCCGTTGGCCCGGACGGCATCTCCAAGCTCTTCGAGTGGCACGCTGGATGGCAGCTTTGTGCGCGCAGCAGCGGCCCGATACACGGCCCAGGCGGCACCCAGAATCTTAAAGGCGGGCAGGCCGAACCGGTGCGACTCGTCCTTGATCAACACGTGGGCCAGTCCGAGCTCTCTGGCGACGTGTGGCAGAGACACAAGCGGCGTTTCACGGTACTCGGGCAGACGGCGATGGAACGATTCGACCTCGACGGGGTCAGCTGCAACGGGTGAGGTCCAGCTGCTCGCGGAGGGGTTCAGGTAGAGCCAATCGGCAGCAGGGGGGTTGTGCAGGGACATGGCTGGTATTCGTGCCCGAGGAAGTCTCGATGCGGGATCTGACAACGGCGGCCGGCGCGCGGACTCGCTGCTCGACGGCGCTGAGGGGCGGGAAGAGCTGCAGCTGCGCGTTTGGGGCGAGACGATCTGCAGTCCCCCCTTCTCGATGCCCAAACGCCTGGCCCAGCTCCCCCGCGAACGGCCCTTTGGCTAGCGGTGCACCGGTGGTGGGTGTGGGTTGGTCGCAGCGGCAGGAAGCGTGAGGCAGTGTGGCAGCGATGGGAGCAGATCTCGGGCAGCAGTGCTGCAGCCGGGGATCTCAGCGGGCTGGGTCCGGCAGAGCAGCGGTGGGTGATGGTTCGCGCTAGGGGCGATCACGGTGGCGCAAGGAAGAAAGACTTTGGAGGTGACGGGCGGCGGGCTTCTCGAAGGCTGCGGAAAGCCTATCGGCGCCGTCGCCTCCACACGTCGGTCCCAGGCGCGGCCGGCGATGGGCCCGGAAGCAGCAACTGGGCCGCGTCGCACCCATCGAGCCACGTGCGGCAGCGCGCGACGCGGCTGCTAGCCGTGTGGTGGCCTGGAGGGCTGGTGCGCTGGGGCGCTGGTGCGCAGGCTGGCGCTGCAGTCGTTGCTGGAGGGCGATATCAGGGCAGCCAGGCGAGTGCTCGCCGCAGGGAGGGCGCACGGACGCGGTGCATGATGCGTCGACGGCGTCTGTAGCTGCTAGTCCGTTCGTGCAGCCGTGCAGCCGTGCAGCTCTTGCAGCCGGCTCGATTGGGCGGCGGCGGGCTGGCCGGGGTTGCGGACAGGCTTCCACGCTTGCTTTCTCTCACGCACGCACGGCGAGCAGCCCTCCAGCTCCCGCCAGCGCTGCAGGCTCAACGTCCGCGCATGAACGTCGGCCAGATCTGCCGCGCCGTGCTGCCAGCGTAATTGCTCAATTACCGACTGGGCCAGGGCACGGTTCGTATATCTCATCTCGCGCTGGGCAAGCCACCGAACCACGCTCAACCTGGTCCAGACTTCCTTGACGTCGTCGGCCGTGCTTCTCTCTTCGCCCTCCCTCCTCGCCTCTCAGACAACCTTCCGGCGACATGCACGCCCGCTCAGCTCGTCGATAGCTGTCTCCGCCCCTCCTCGACGTGCTCCAGCATGCATGACGATGGCAACGTCCGCGCCAGCGCAGGACGCCGGCCCGCGGTGGCCGGGCCAACCAGCAGCAGCCCATATCCCAGCAGCGCAGAGGCCTCATAGCGCGAAACAGCGGCCGGCGGACTTCCGAAGGAACAGGCAGAACTCGCTGCAGCGCGCAAAGAACAGCACCGAGCAGCTGCGCGCCCGCACCCGTGGCGGCAGCAACAGCAGCACTGTGAGGACCGACGACGGCGCCCAGAGCCGCTCTGGCGGCGGCCGCTTCGCTGTGGGAAACGTCGGCAGCAACGGCCTCATCTACCTACGGTAACGACACACCCACCCTGGCGCCCGAGCAAGCGCCTCCGAATAATTTCTCTGCGCGAGTGAGGCGCCGCGCCGCGACGACTGCCAGCTAACCAATGTCCTCGCTTTAGGCCCGTCGCTCGCACAGGCACGCCGCGGACACGCCCACCGCCCGCGCCCTTCGTCTTCCCGCCCATCACTCCTCCCGACAGCCTTGCGCCCGATGCCCGCGTTCCTCGACGACCCAGCAATGGCTGGCACGACAGCGCTCCCTCTGGATCGCGCACTCCCACTCCAGCACGCACGCCCGCTCGCAGTCCCACCCCGGCGGTGAAGGCCAACGGCGTCACCAAGTCCACGTCGAAGGCCCGCCGCCCCTCGCACCACGCTCGCTCGCATTCCTTCTCCACCATCAATGACCACGCTCGCTCGCAGAGCATCGACTCGAACACGTTCAAGGTCGTCATTGACCGCCCCAAGACGTCGCGACCGCGGACCGCAGACACGTCGTCGTTCCCGGTTTTGGACGTTCCAATTCCCCACTACCGCCTAGGCAATCCCCGATTCAGCACCCAAGGCACCGCCATCCTGCGCAGCTCCGCCTACACTCGCACCTCCGCCACCGACGACTTTCGCTCTTCGCTCTTCTCCAACAAGCTCACCCCGACCCTCGGCACCCTGTTCCCCGCTCCAGGCCCGATGCTGAACCGGAACTCGCAGCGGTACTCCGACATCTCGTCGAGAACACGCTTCTACGACCGACCCATCACGTACATCGAGCCCTCGACCCAGGGCTCCTCGAGTCCCTTGACGCCCATCGTTCCGACGGTACCCATTTCTCCCAAGATTTACGATTCCTTCACGAAGAATGCCGATGAGCCCGCCGTCGTTCGATATGCTATAACCGGCGAAATAACCGCAGCGACCCCGGCTCGACTGATAGCTCATATCACATCCCCCAGCTTCCTGGACTATGAACTTCTGTCTGATTTCTTTCTAACCTTCCGATCTTACCTGACCACCGGCGATCTGGTAGCCTACTTGATAGCTCGCCTTCGATGGGCTGTAGAGCGCTCCGATGATTTTGGACGAATAGTCCGAGTACGCACCTTCGTTGCCCTCCGTCACTGGATTCTCAATTATTTTACCGAGGACTTCCTACCTTTCTTGAATCTCCGGGAACACTTCTGCAAGCTTGTCAACGACCTGTACCATGACCTGCAGATGCGCGAGGATGGAGGAGGTGGAGACTTGAAAATCATCGGGGAACTGAAAAAGTGCTGGAGGAGGACCTGTGCGCTCTTCTGGGACGATATAGAGGCAATCGGCAGGGATACACCGGATGAGGATATCCGTCCAGGCGGCCAGGCTGAACCGGAACCACCCGTGGAACCAGCGAGGCTGTCCGACCTTGCACCAGCAGCACCGGCCCCGGTCGAGACCCATTCCCCAGAACCAACGACTCCGCCAAGGAAGGTAAACCGATACGCTCAGCCTCCCCATGTGCACTCAATCTCTCCGCCCGGAAGGCCTTCGGAACGGACAAAGAGTTCTCGTCACGTCCCTCAGAGCTCAATGACAGCATCACCGGGGGGGATTCATGACAACAGTACCATACCACTCTCCCCCGCTAGCGAGTTTAGCATGCATGTCATGTCTTGCTCGATTCCACTGAAGTCTCTTTATCGCAACGAGAATGCGACAGAAATGCCTCTGTACCCTCACCCTGTACCTGTAGGCTCAGCCACCACCCCTTCCCTTCCGACCTCACAACGTCGACGGCCCATGCTTCATTGCCACAAGCGCAGTGGAAGTTTCTCGGATGCTCTAAGGGATCATCGAGCGCATTCGTCCATGTCGAGAGGACGTCCAGAATCGCAAGATTCAGCTACGAAACAGCTCACCCTTGAGCAGTTCCCTGGGAGCATCATCAGGGGTGCATTGTTCCAGCCAGACTCCCCATACATCAATTTGCGATCGACAGGTGAAATACGACCGATGAAGTCACACTTTGATCTTGTTCTCAACATATCCGGCACACCTCCCGCGACATCGAAATCGAACGTGGCGAATCCGGGAATGAAAAAAATACTCGGCAGCGTGCGGCGAGCGCTGAGTAGCAGGCAAGGTGGTGGATCGCAAGGCCAAAATCCGAGCGAGGCATCAAATCAGACCACGCAAAGAGACTCGCTGAGTACGACAACATTTACGCAAACAACCCACGGAGGCGTTCAGAAGAGGCGACAGATTCGGGCCAGACAGCAGACTCGTGTGGATCTACTTTCCCAGCGTGTTGCTGAGAGCTTCAACAAAGCCCTTGAGCTCGAGCTAGAGAAGGAAAGAAAAAACCGGGAAAGTGGAGTGTCCCCTCTTCATCGAAGCCCGGTGCGTCCCGTGAGCGCGTCCACCAGAGCGGATATGCATCCTGTGAGCGATGGCTCACGAGAGGCTCGTCCTGGCGTCGAGCGAGGTCTCAGCAAGGTTACCATGCGCAGCGGCTCAATCCTCATATTTGACGATACCGGGGCTCCTCCTCCTCCTCTTCCTCTGGTCATGTCTGGCGCCCTCCCTGCCGACGGTAGTGCAGTGTCTGAGCGATCTGTGGCGGCAGCTACCGACACTTCACGTCTTGATGATGCCGTCAGTCAGAGCGGCAACAAGCTCGGAAAGGACAGTTTGGAGGCTGATTCCCGGCGCGGTGAGCCGGTCGTCTCTCTTCCCCCGGTCACTATGCATCCCGACGTCATAATTCAGTCAGCGACCCCAACTGCGAATGCAGTCTCATTCTATCACGATGAAGACGAGTCTTATGAGACGGAAGCGGTACCCAGTCTGCGCCCGTCCTTACTCAGACACTCGAGGTCGATGTATACAGGCCACACACTTTCGGGATCACATTCTTTACGGAAATTTGCATCGTTTCAAAGTGGAATGACCAGACACAGGCCCGGGTACAGCATCGACTCCGACGCCATGACCAGATCGTCTGATAATGATCCATTTCATTTGGATCTTGCACCAGCCCCTGCCCCCGCACGCATGCTTCGTAGACGCCCTGGTGGAGATCTCCGTGGAGCTGCGAACTTGAACGAGCTGGGCCCCAACGATCGTCCTCGATCAACTGGTTCAGTTTCCAATTTCGCCCACTCGGTGACGAACTCTGTGGCATATCCTCCTCTTACAGCTGGCTGGAATGAACTTTGGAGCAATGCACCGGATCCTAATGAAAGCGCTGAAGAATATGAGCGGCGGCCTACCAGCAGGAAGTCTTTGTCACTCATTGGTACAGATTCTACACAGCCAGTGCTTAGGGCCTCTTTTGAGAGAGAAGTCGCACGCCTGGCTGCATTGCCTGATGACGATGACGATGACGGAGGCATTGAGGCTGCCTTGCTAAAGCTTGAGGGCCGGTATGAAAAGAAGAGCCCAGATCCATCGCCGCAGGCTGCGGAGTTTTATATTCCCCAAGGAGCTCCGGGTCGGTCCATGAAACGAGAGGACTCCCACGGGGGACAAGAGGATGCCTCGAGAGGTGTGGGACGCAAGACTCAGTCTACTGGATTACATCGGGAGCAAACGGTATCTGGCGCGTTCGTGGTGTCGCCGTCGTCTGAGCAGCACACATCTCCGACATTCATGCCAGACAGTTCCGTCCCGCAGTCCGAGTACTCGTATTCCGGTGTCCCCCTCCTCGATCGTGGACACAGTGACGTTGCTGCCGCTACGCGCCGAAAAATCAACGAACAGTCCATGGATTCTGCTCGCCCTGCCGCCTTATCGCCACAGGCGTGGCGCGCTGCCCAACTGGATCAACAAAATCCCTCGGCTGGCTCTTCAATAGAGCATATCGAGGAGACAGAAAGCATGCGCAGGATTCCACGTGGTTCAACGTTCCCCAGATCGCCGAAGTCCTCCAAGTCTCCAAACTCGGTGAAAACGCATCAGTCTTTCCTTCTGGACCCTGAAGAGGAATTTGATGACATCTCGTCGGACATCTCGACCAGCGTTCCAAACGACTCTAGGCGCGAGAGCCATGGAGTGAGGAGTTTCTTTGACGATCAGCCTGCGGACCTTGAGTTTGGAGATGAACTAGTCCCTCGTCCACTGCGCCATCCTCCTACGCCACCAACAAGTGACAACGTGCTGGATAGGACGATTCCGAACAACATGGACTCGACGGTTTTCCACAAGGGCCTCCCAACCCCGGGTCTGACGCCTCCTCTGCATGGCCTTCAGACAGTTCCGCTTTCTCAAAACGGTTTCCATCAAGTGCAAGACTTCCAGGCGAACCACCACAGCAAGAAATCAGATTCGCAGATTGATCCGAGCAAGCTAGAGTTGAACGATCGGCCTAGAAAGCAGTCAATTCCGGAGCGGGAGCGACACATCCCCTTCGTTCTGGCTTATGACTCTGAGACTCTTGCTGAGCAGTTGACCATTGTCGAGAAGGATGCGCTCGATGAGATCGATTGGAAGGAGTTGATCGAGCTGCGCTGGAAGCAATCTTCGCCTCAGATCCGTGACTGGGTGGAGTATTTGCGCACGCAAGAACCTCGCGGTGTTGACGTCGTCATTGCTCGCTTCAACATCATGGTCAAATGGGCGGTGTCCGAGATCGTACTCACGGAAGATCTGGAAGAGCGTGTACGATGCATTATCAAATACGTCCACATTGCCGACCACGCTCGTCGTCTGCGCAACTACGCCACGATGTACCAGCTCACAGTCGCACTTCTATCGGCTGACTGCGCACGTCTGACCAAAACCTGGGAACTTGTTCCGGCCGCAGAGCGTTCCACTCTTCGCGAGTTGGAGGGCTTGGTGCAGCCGGTGAAGAACTTTCACAACCTCCGCCTTGAGATGGAAACGATCAACCTCGATGATGGATGCATTCCGTTCATTGGAATCTACACGCGCGACTTGATCTATAACGCACAGAAGCCGGCGACTGTGGCCGCCGGAGAGAACGACAGCCGTGAGCCGCTTATCAACTTTGAGCGTCACCAGACTTCGGCTACGATTGTGAAGAACCTGTTACGACTGCTGGAGGCGAGCACCCATTACGATCTCAAGCCTCATTCGGACATTATCCCCAAGTGCGTCTGGATGGCCGCTCTGACGGATGAGGAGATTTCGACGCGGAGTCGCATGTTGGAGTGAACAACTCCGTTTCCATGTCCTACAGGTTGACCGAGAATTTCTCTTTTTTTCTCGTCTTATCTAACACCACATACGCCTCCATGCGTTGAGACATTTCCTAATCTGTCAACAACATACAGACCCAAAGTCTGTGGAGTTTTGGAAGGTGGAGGACAAACTTTCTCGTGTCCATCCACAATTACCGTTACGATTTGACGACCATATACCTCTTGGGGGACTTGCATTTAACCAACGGAGAGAGCGCATTTTGTGCATACGGATTTACATATTATTTCTTTCTCTCTCTCTCTCACTGTCTCTCCTTCCATACCGATCGGAAACGAGTCAACCCGCTCGTCCTGTCGTGCATGGCCGATAGACCGACCGATGCCACACACACCTCTCGCAGCATTCTCTATATCTCAATCTCGACATATATCTTCTCTTCATCATCATCGTAACATTCGCTGTATATACGATTGTAAATTCTTTTTTCTTTTCTGAAAGAGATTGGATTGTGTACATGTTGGGAAGGAAATTCAGGAACGAGTCAAAGGGAGTGGTAGATTTTTGGTGCGATGAATCGTGTGTTTTGGATGAAAGGGACACACACACCTAGGAGTTAGGTGGCTGTTTTGATGTTTTCCAGCTCTCTCTCTCCGTCTATCTCTTCGTGTGCGCTTTTAGGCGCGCATACACACACATGCACATGCACATACGCATACACGCCATTTGTTTAGCAGTAGGAAATGTGCGACGGATAAGGGATGGTTTGGGATGAAGGGGGAATGTGGGTCTGAGTTGGGTTTTTCTGTACACAGTCTCTCTCCCGTTTGGCTTTGTTTTGGTTTTTTTGCTGTTGGGTTGTTCGTCAAGGTATTGCAGCTATCTTCATGGATGGATGGGCATTGGAGCGGCGATTGTGTAATGCGTTCTACATATTTTTGGGATTTTGCAAGCAAGCGTGGTTGGGTGGTTACCTGGGTTGGTGGGACTCTTTGTTTTTTGGGATCCTGGGATTTGGGTATCTATCTTGCGAATTCAACTACGCATCTAGTTCGAACTGTTTCTGTTTGGCTCCTGAGTGATATCTTGAACATGGTAACGGACTGAGTGGACGACAGGAAGGTTGGTTTCCAAAAGGCAAGTCCCATTCATCTAAGGGTGTTGGCTTTGATATGTGTATGCTATCGGCTCGCTACCTGAGCGAGGATCATAAAGAGACAGGTATGTTTTCTTTTCATCCTTCAAATATTGCAGTGTCCATGTATTTTCCACTTCTGCATAACTGTTTTTTTTTTCAAGTCCGTTGGAAACTTTCGAATACCAGGTTGCTAATTCAAACTCGCCTTCATGCCCAACCCGTTCCTGACCTTGTCCTCCTGGCGCACGACGTGCAGCGGGACGGCCTTGCCGATGCCGAAGAGCACGAAGGCGGCCCATTTCCAGCGGAAGGGGTTGACGACGATGGTGAAGACGAACCAGTAGACGAGCTCGGAGTAGGTGAAGAAGTCGAAGGCGCCGGTGGGGGCGCGGGACTTGATCCAGCGGGTCATGTCGATCCAGCGCTTCATCCAGCGCTCCTGGGGGCGGGTGAGGGGGTCGACGAGGTACATGAGCAGGAAGCGCGTGTAGATGCCGATGTGGTAGTTGCCAACGGAGCCGATGGCGTTGACGTAGGTGCAGTTGTTGGCGCAGATGTCGACGTGGGCGGGAGGGAAGACCTGAAGGTACCAGTTCGGCGGGTCGTACGGCTCGTCGAAGCACTCGTCGGGCAGGAAGGAGAGGGACGGCCGCTGGAAGCCCGTCGCGAGGATGCAAATGTCGGCTTCGATGAGCTTTTCGCGGCCCGGTCCGCCCTTGGGCGTGCCTTGCGAGCGGTGGTTGAAGCGGATGCCGTTCTCTTCGAAGCCGACTATGTCGCCGCGGAGCCAGTCGGCCTTGCCGTCGCGGATGAGATCGAGGACTTCGTCGTTGACCATAGGGGTCTCCTCAAAGACACCCTTGCTGCCCTTGGGAGGGGACAGGTCTTTGAGGTCGCGGTAGAAGAGGAGACGGAGTAGGCTCTCGGGGATCCAGGAAAACATGGTTTCTTGACCGAAGATGTTAAAAGCCAGGAGGATGTCCACGATGGGGTTGCGAGGAATAATCCATTTCTCAGACTGTGTTCAGGTTAGCATCGAAGTACAGTCAAGTTTTGATCCCCAGTATTCACTTACCCTGGCAAGCACGTGTGTTATTTCGGCATTCTCGCCTGCGACAAACTCCAAAGCCTCGACGGCACTTGCTCCTCCGCCGATGACCAGGACCTTCTTGTCCTTGGCTTGCTTGCCGTCCAGATCGGAAGAGTGGTAGATTTCTCCCTTGAACTTCTCCTGGCCGGGGATGTGGGGCACCTTGGGGTCTCCGCAGGTTCCAACGGCGGCAATGACGCCGTCGAAGCGGCCATTTGACGTGTCGTTGATGACCCAGCGACCGTTATTGTCCTTGTAGACCTTGTCGACATGGGTGTTGAATTTGGTCCGCTTCTCCAGGCCGTACGTCTCCCAAAGCTCGGTGATCTGGCTGACAATCTGTTGACGGTCGGGATATCCGCCGCGCCACTTGACGGAGGGGTGAAAGCGGTACATAATGCTGTGGATCTGCAGGCCTGAGGTATTGTTTACTTTCTGGAAGCCGATTAGCTGGAGTTCAGGACGGTGGTAGGCATAGACGAGCTTACACTCCAGATTCCACCAAGACTCTTGCGGTCCCCGGCTTCAAAGATGGTACAGTCGAAGCCATGGCCAACGCAGTGGGATGCGGCGGAGACACCAGTCAGACCAGCACCAATGATGGCGATCTTAGGCCTGCTAAGTTCAGCGTTGGGCGGCGGGGGTGTCGGCGACAGAACTTTGTCAAGGACCCATTGCATAAGCTGGTAGATGAAGATGATGGGGTTGTGGATGAAGTACGAGAGAAGGCCCTGGAGATCCATTGCGGCGGGAGAGCTCTCGCTGAGCGGCTGAAGAAACTGCAATGGTAGCGGGGCCGTGACAAGCTTTTGAGGAGAAGCGCCGTGGCTTGACCTTGGGGGTTAATATGCCGACCCGGGTTGAATCCATGCTGAGCAACGTGCAGACCCGACGCGCTTGCGTCGCGGTGACGTAGCGATTAATGAGCGAGCCGGGCAACTGGAAGCGCGTCTTTTGCATGTGAAAGGGTGCGCTTCGGTTTGCTCCCACGGTCATCACAAGGGCAGCAAACAATGGCAACCGAGCAACAAAGACTGCCGTTCCGTCCGCATCGGCTTGCGGTCTCAGCGATTATGAAGTCGCCATTGCTCGAAAGCTCAACATCATGGCGAACGGTGGGCGCGGCGCGAGGGCCACCAGCGGGCGGCTGAAGATCGGCGGGCCGACGACAGAGCGCGGGCGCGTCAGACTCGCCGCAAACCGACCCTCGTCACCGCCCCAGTCTCCGCACCCCGGCACCACCAACCCTCAATTCGCGGCCTTCCTGCACGACGCCGGCGGAGACCCCGTCGAGGGATTCCTTGCCGTACTTGCTCAGAATCCCCATCTCACTCTCGACCGCGACGGGCTCCGTTCCGTCTTCAATAGCGTCTGGCAGGCCACCGCGCCGGACCATCCCTACGACTGGACCCTTCCTGCCCGCCTGCGCAACGACCTCTTCAAGAGCGTATTGTACCTGGAGACTGGCCAAGAACTTGACTCCGCCTCCATCAGCATGGCCATCACCCCTACCGTCGACCAATTCCTCGCCGAGATCGCCGCTATCCTGCAGGCCAAGGATGGCACGAAGCTGCAAGACTACCTGGTCTTCGAGCCAACCGGCGGCTCGTACCCACCCTTGTACACACAGATGATCATCGAGATCAGAGCGGCGTTTCCGAAGGGTACGGATGACGCGCTGGAGGAAAAGTGCCACCACGCACTTCCCGGCTTGCAGGAGCTCGACGACGGTTCTTCTTGGTCAGCGTTCGTTCGCTTCGTCGCCCAATACTTTGCCTTCTTGAGAGACCTCGACGTTGAGAACCTCTCAACAAAACAATTGGAAGCATACAACCTTCTGGCAGAATTAGCCGCGTGAGCCCGCATCGCCTCCGACAGGGGCCGGAGAATGGCTAACGGACATCTCCCAGAAAATGCAACAGCGCGTTAGCTCACCCATCCATGGGAATAGTCATTCTACCTACCGTCATAAATTGCGCTCGAATGCTGGCCGCGCTCGCAATCATCCTCGACAAGCGTCCGGATCTCATAGTCAATGTTCAACCACAAGGGGGTGACGATGGGGGAGAAAAGCAGACGCTGGGTGAAAAAGCCGTGGAGATTATAAGAAACGCCTTCGTCACCTGCTTGAACGATCGAACAGGGAACTTGTCTGGCGTCCGTGATGGCAGGCCCGATGGGAAGAGAGTGGGAATCTACAAGCTTGCCAACCTCTGTCTCAAGATTCTCTTCCAGGGCAGTAAATCTCGCAGCGCGGATACCATCTTCACCAACATCGACAACGCCTCCCCTCCTTTGGCCATATTCCCCTGGCCGGAGCGAGTAACCTATCTGTATTACCTGGGTCGCTTCCACTTTTCAAACAATCACTTTTACCGCGCTCAGCTGGCCCTCCAGTCTGCGTACGATCAGTGCAACCAGGAGCGCCTCAACCAGCGGCGCTTGATTCTCATTTATCTAGCTGCATCCAACATAATTCTTGGGCGCTTCCCCTCGCAACACCTATACCAGCAACCGGAAGCCGTTGGACTCCGGGAAAGGTTTGGACCAATATGCCGAGCAATCGTGAAGGGAGACCTTGCCAGATTCCGGACGCTGCTGGACGTCGAGAAGGGCGAGCACGTCGAATGGTTCCTTTTCCACCGCATCTTGTTCCAGCTGCGCAACCGTTGCGAAGTCCTGGTTTGGCGCTCTTTGGTGCGCCGGACGTTCCTCATCAATGGAGATCAGGGAGACCCAACGTCAAGGAAAGCACCCACGCTTGGTCTGCAGGATCTCGTTGTCTTGGCGCAGTTCCTGGAGAAAAAGGCGCTATCTCCAGAGGCAGCGACGTACCGTGGCCCGGCGCAAAGGCATCCCAATTGGGCGTTCTTTACGATGGAGCCGTCGAGGAGCCAACTCTACATGGATCCCGACTTCGAGGGCGCGGATGAGGTCGGGCCTGAGTTCGTGGCGCCGGATGTGGATGAGATCGAGAGCATCGTAGCCTCATTGATCGATCAAGGTCTGTTGGGAGGGTTCATCTCGCACAGGCAGCTGCGATTTGCGATTACTGGCGCAAAGCGAAAAGGTGCGTTGGCAGCGGGATTCCCCAAGCCATGGCATGTGATCAGGGCGAAGTTCAGCAACGAGGTTCCTGGTTGGAAGGCGGACGCACCGACAGCGCGGACGGGTGGGGCATTCAGTGCGGGGAGGGTCATCAATCTGAGCGGTGCGAGACCAGTGGGTGCGGCAGGGGCATAGCTGTTGGGCTTGAATCAAAGCAGCAATTGGAGGTTACAGATAGTTGGATGATACCCCGGATAGCACTTGACACATCAAAAGAAGGAATTTGGTCCGTCATCGAAGAACAACGTCATGCGGTGGCAGGGGAGTGATGATGCGGAATGCGCCCGCGGAGGCGAGCATCCCGGCTGCAGGTAAACACGATGAGCAGCTTCTGGACCCGCAGAACCCACCTGCCAAGCCGGGGTAGCGATCGAAGCGCAGCCGGGGCCCTGGCTGATCGTACGCAAGTCCCGCGATCCTATCAAATCGATGTCACAAGTGAGGGGCTTGCAGCGCCGCAATGGACTAAAGAAGGAAGGGGCCGTCGGATGTGGTGGGCATCCGCTGACGGCGAGTCTGGCGCATGTTCATGACGTCAGTATATCCGCACCACTACTAGGTAGGTATTCAAAGGCGGCGCCGCAGCTGTGTGAAAGCTACCCCTCCATCAAACCAATTCCTCGCCCTCACTGTAAGTCGTCCTGCTCCCTTCGCGACCATGTCTGGTGGCATGATGATGCGGCTCGACGCCATTGTCCTGCGGCAGGCGCGTTCGAGACTCTTTCCGAAACCGGCAATTTGTCAAGCAGCAGCACTCACGTCGCGTTACAGCAGCATTGCACCTCCCCGTACCTCAATCAAGCGAACACCTTACCTTCCAACACCTATCCAAAACATAATCACAGCCAACATGTCGACCTTCAGCAACGCCGACACCGGCAGCAAGACCGCCGACCCCTATGTCGCCAAGAATTTGCAGGAGCCTGACCTCAAGACCAAGGTCACGGATCTGCTTAATTTCGCCGACAAGCAGAAGTTCTGCATGATGACTACTGTCACACACAGCGGACTGCTGGCAAGCAGATGCATGGCCCTCGCCGGCAAGGTTGGTGGCAGTCCCATTCCAGCCTGCGTTCCCCTTGCGTCGAAATGATGTGCATGCTGACAGGGATCATAGGAGGCGAACGGTCTCGACCTTCTGTTCCACACAAACACTGAGTCGGGCAAGACGGACGACCTGAAAGACGATGCACACATCAATCTCTCGTTCCTGTCGTCGGCGGGCGAGTGGGCGTCGATCAGTGGCAATGCATCCATCGAGACGGACCGCGCAGTCGTCAAGAAGTACTACTCGGCCGGTCTGAAGGCGTGGCTCGGCGACCTCGGAGACGGCACCCACGACGGCGGCCCGGATGACCCGCGCATTGCTGTCATCCGAGTCAAGGCGGTGACGGCCCAGTACGCCATCTCCAGCAAGACGTCGGTCGGCCAGTTCGTGGAATTCGCCAAGGGCGTTGCCACGGGCGAGACGCCGGCAATCAACAAGCTGAGGAAGCTCGACGAGTCGGAGGTTCAGCAGTGTAAGTTAGGCCGTTGGCGTGATGAAGGAACGTTGTGGCTGACAAGGACCAGGGCGCACGAGTGGGCAGTAGAGGCGGAAAGGCCCGCAGGACGGAGACGATATGGCGATAGGGGGTGATATTGACAGGCGTGGAAGAACTATGGGCTTGTAATACTACTACCTTGGCATGGTCATGAGCAATGAACATTTCCTGCTTCGCATCGGCGACGATGACTGCGTTTGCTCGGTGCCCACGCGTAACTGACGGGCGGCTGGCCGGGGTCGTTTCGAAGTTTTATGACCTGGCCGAGGCGCAGAGGGCACGCGCTCTCAGCCCAGGCTCACGTGCTCATTCCATGCATCCACGGATCCTTCGTGCAGTTGTTGTGGTTGCCACGGCCCCGGGCGGGCACGCTGAAGGCATGGTAGCCGCAGCCACTCCCCTCATGCTAGCGAACAGAGTTGTTTCGGGTTGACTAGAAGTGCGGGCAAGGCTGAGCGGCGGGCGAGAGCGGTGCGAGCGCGCTCCTGCTCGCGGCCACAGCTCCGCTGGCCGGCTTCCGCGGCTCGAGCACAGCGCCCACGCCGATCTTTTTTGATTGCACCGGCCTGGTCGCGCATCATCGACCGCCACTCGCCGAGCAGGCTGCCGCTGCAATGACGCGGGACAGCCAATTGCGCAGGCCAGGCTGGCTCTGGCAGGCGGCTGCCCGGGTCCATTTATAGCGAAGCGACATCGTGCCGCGGCAGTGGTGGTACCTGGCGCGCCTATCGCAGCGGGCAGCGATGTGCAATCCCGCGAGTCCCATCCCCGAGCGGCGGGCTGGTCGCGACCAGGGCTGGCGGGTGCGCGCCAATCAGACGCTCGCCGTCCCTGGCGACCTCATTTCCAACCCCGGCGCCGCTTGGCCATAGCACCACCGCCTCCGCGCCCTGACCCCCATTACCACGCGTGCCGCCCATCTCACGCTGTGCGCCCTTCTTTCCTTCTTCTTCACCACCGTCGCCAAGCCTCGCGACCGTACGGTGCTTCCGCTCTCTTCGCCTCCGCGTGCGACCCGGCAGTCGACGTCCTTCTTTTATCGTCGGCAGGCCCTCACATTCACTCCCTCCGCACCCGCGCCGAACCCGCGCCCAAGCGCAGCGAGCGTCTCCCCAGCATTCCGCACCCACAACAGTCTGGACGACCTCGCATCCCTTCATTCCGACCCTGCCCGCTGCAGCTCTGCAGAAATACCCCGCCGCACGCAATCCCTGTCGTAGCCGTTTTCCGTCTCCGCAAAACGACCGTCGAGCCGACCCGCCTCCCTCGTCGCAGATAGAATATCTTAACCGCTAGACTACCATCGCGATTGTCGCAAGGATGCCGGCCCACCACTTCCACGCCCGCCATCCTCACCCCCAGCCGGACCACCCCGGCATGGAATTGGACGAGCGCGATGCCAGCCCCGAGCTGAAGACGGTCATCTCCGTCGTCTACTACACGGCGCCCAAGACCTTCGATGGCCCCGCCGTTTATGTCACCGACTCACCCAGCGAGGCTTCCGCTACTGAGGACTCCGTCAACGTTGCAGCGAACACTGCCGAAGCCACCAGCGCCACCAGCGACGAAGATGCAACCAGTACCAAGGCGACCGCTAAGAGCACCGGCACCACGCTTGCTACACAGACACGGGCGTCGGCCTCCAGGACCACTGAGGATGCCTCCAGCTCTGCCTCGTCCAGCTCTGCCTCGTCGCAGCTCACCTCTTCCGCCGGCATGTCAAGCTCGGCCTCAATCAAGATCTCCCAGGCCACCGCTTCCATCTCGTCTGTTGCTGCCGCCGCTGCCAGCGCCTCCAGCACCTCTTCGTCAAGTTCCTCTTCTGACAGCGGTGTTTCAAGCGGTGCCAAGGCCGGTATGGCTTTTGCAGTCATTTGCTTCATTGCGCTTGTCGCCTTCCTGGTATTCTTCTGGAGGAAGAGGCAGCAGGATCACAAGAAGGTTCAGCAGGCTGCTATGAACGAGAAGTACGATGAGAAGAGCGTCCCTCCGCAGGCCAGCAACCCCTTCAACGATCCTCCCATCTCGTTCCCTGTTGCCGCCTTGAAGAACGAGAGCAGGAACAGCACCAGCTCTGGAAGACCTGGCACTGCTGCATCCCGTGCACCCAGTGTCAAGGCCGTCAAGACTCCAGGCAACGCTCCCCGCCTGAGTCTGCGCCCGATGAGCCAGTTCAAGCCAATCTCCAAGGGCGAGGGTGATATTCTGGACACGCCTGTTGGTGTTAGCCCTTGGGAGAAGCGCGGTGCTGCCAATGCTGCCAACGATCCCAGCAATCCTTTCGGCAACCATGCCGAAGTCGATACTGCTACCGCTCGTGATGCCGTTGAACTCGGTCCCGAACTTGGTACCCCGACGACTCCGCTCACCCCGGCTCTTGAATTCCCCTTCCCGGCAACAGCCAAGATCGCGCCCACATCTGCTCCCACGTCTGCTCCCACTTCGGCTCCTACTTCGGCTCCCACGTCTGCGCCTACCTCGGCCCCGCCGCCGGCTCTTCGCTCAGTCATTCCGAAACCTATCAACACTACTTCTAACATGACTGACTCCACTGCGGCTGGTGGTGCCCAGGGCCCCAATCCTTTTGCTGACAAGGACGTTCCGATGTCCCCTGGTCCCGCTCCTACCGGTGCTCTCCCGGCTGCCCCTGGTGCCAATGGTAAAGCTTACGCTGTGCACCGCTGCCACATGGACTTCACGCCGTCTATGGCCGACGAACTTGGTGTCAAGAACGGTCAATTGGTCAGGATCATGCACGAGTACGACGATGGATGGGTAAGTTTCCCCCGACTAGGACAAGTTGCTACATATATTGATTTTACAATTTTCACAGGCTCTCTGCCAGAAGATGGATGGTTCCTCGCAGGGTGTCGTGCCGCGGTCCTGCTTGTCTAAGCAGTGCCTCAAGCCTCGTCCCGGTCCTCCCACTGGCAGTCCTCCCGGCGCTCGTGCTCGTGCCGCTTCTAATGCTAGCTCCATCAACGCTCCCGCCCATGGCCAGCCTCGTCCTCTGTCTCCTGCTACCGGTCGCAACTCTCCTGGTCCCCAGCGTCTGCCACCTCAAGGGCCTCCTCCGCAGAGTCCGCTCCCGCAGAGTCCCCCGCAGGGTCGCGCGCGCGCCGGAAGCAATGCCTCCTTCGCTGGTCAGCCCCGTCCGATGTCGCCCGCCGGTGGTCGCAACTCCCCTGGTCCTCGTGCCATGTCGCCCATGAACCCAACCGGTGCTCGTGAGAGGTCTCAGAGCAACGCTTCTTTCTCTGCACCTCGTCCTCAGTTCGCCCAGGATGCCAAGCGCCCTCGCTCGAGCTCTACCGGTGCGGCCGGCCGCGGAAACGCCCCTGGCCCGAGCCCTCTCGCCCCTGCCCCGGCTCCGGTTCTGGCTGTGGATACCCCTCAGCGCAAGCCCGTTCCCGGACAGGCCATGTGATTTGCGAAAACAGCACTCTAGCGATACCGTGAATTGAACTCACCCGATGCTAGGCAACTAGATGGGTGGTGGGGGTTGTACGCTTTCTTACGACGGTCACGGAGTCTGAGTTCATTATTGCTTTTACGTTTGCGCGCAATGCTGGACTGCGAATCAGCTGCCTCCTCGCTTGATGCTGCCTGTACAGCATCGTCGCCCACTTCACCCTCCTCTTACGATTATCATTTCCTTTATGCCTCATTTTCGATATCTGGTCCGACGACGAACAACGTGGCTTACGCATGGCGCTTCTAATGTCTTCGGCAGCATAGTCTCATTTCGACACAGGTTTGACCTGAAACATGGGATAACTTGGGTCGATCTGGCATGCTGCAGCGCGAGGTCATGCGTTTCTCGCCTTCGACGATTGGACCGTCCTGCTCTTTATTCCCCTGTGTCGATACCCCGGCACACAAACTCCATGACTGAGAAAGCCAACACCACCATCCAGTCAATGGACGAGGAGAAGGGAAACCACTCGACCGACAATTATCCAACAATCTTCTCCTCACAACATAACGTAAATAAGTGTATAATGTGTTTGCGGCAGCAGCAGACATTGGGAGGGTCACCTGAGCACTCTTTTTGAAAATTTTTTGCTTTCTATTTGCTAATTTCTTTCTCCTTGATCCTTGGAGTCTGCCATATCCAACTCAGACTCCATGCGGTCGACCCACTCTTTACTTTTCATGCACCTATTTAAACACGGATGTCTCGACAAGGGCCCGAGACTCTGACGATCCCAGCGGGTCGTTGCCAATCTCGACAGAGACAAGATTTTGTCTATTTTGATTCTCGTCTATTATCAACTCTCCGCACCGAGGTGCGGACAAGGCGAACATCGAGAAATATTTCTTCCTTTCTTCTTTTTAGAGGAGAACTCGGGGAAGCTGTGGTGGTATTAGGGGTGCAGGACTAGCCAAGATAGTTTTTTTTCTCTCCCTGCAGCTTTTCCCTCCCATTCGGGGGGTTTTTCCAATCACACAACCATCATCACCATGTCTTCCCCCCACCCCTTTCTTGCGAGCGTGCAAGCGAGCGACACTTTACTGGATTCAAAAGCGAAGTGGGAGGCTAGGGATTCTTGCATCTTTTGCAGAATTCTTCCTTTTTTTTGAGATTTAAACTTGATCCCCCCCCAACTGCGTTTCTTGTTTTCCTCGACTCCTAATTTTTTGCATAGAAAGCCCATGCGTCCGCACGTTCTCTCTTGATATCTCCAACAGGCCCGTGGCTTATCTACGGTGTACTGGAGATGAGAAGGGAGAAAGAAAATCTAAGCACGGGTGTCGTTTTCTTGCGCAGAACTTGTCGTGAATGGTCTTTGGTGATGTAACAGAAAACGCATGTGACCTGTGTCGATGGGTATTTTGGAGGCATAAACTTTGCGGGGATCATCATCACGGGTGCATGAATGATGAACGACATCTGTTACGGCGCTAGCATGGAACCTCCCTCCTCTCTCTCCTTCAATATTGCGTCACTGATGAACAACATGCAACTCCTGATTTTCCACCCGACCCACCGACCCCACCGCTTATGCTTATTCCAACCCAAGCTCATATACCTATTCGGGACTCGCCGAGCTCCCGGCTCCCAGCCACTACTATAGATGGAGCCTTTGCGTGAAAACAACAACGTCATCTTCTACTATTACGATACCTTGGTAACCCAACCACGTAGAACCTTTTTCTTTTTTTTTCCAGATCAAGGACGCTCAAGACATGCTTGTCTTACATAATCTCACGGTGAGGTGGCCGAGTTGGTTATGGCGCCAGGTTAAGGTGTACTCTTAACAACGATTCCTGGTGGGGCAACCCGCGCGAGTTCGAGTCTCGTCCTCATCATTATCTTTTTGTTTTTCCTTTTTTGTTTTGAGTCTACGTCTCTATTGCGGGTGGTGGAGGATGAGATCTTCTCCTTTTTTGTTTTTGGGATGCATGGACGCAGGGTTGGTTGGTCGGTTTGGCCGGCTCGTGGTGCTTTTGGATTGATTCTCTTTCTCAATAATATGTTTTTGTGTGCGTCTGCTGTTTTTTTCTTCTTTCTGGATTGGTTCAGCATCCCCTGGTTCCGTCGTCGGTTGGCTTCGTTGGGACAGGGGGGGAGGGGCGGGAAATGCTGTTTGGCTCCTAGATGGTAGAGAGAGGAGGGAAGACGAGAACGACCACGAGGGCACTGCAAATTGTGGTGCCATCATGGACGGTGATCAGGACTTCGGGGGGCCATTGATTCGCAGGCTCTGTGTGCAAGGGCGATATTGCCGGGGGTGTTGCCCAACAAAAGCTATCTGGAGGGAAACGGGTGATGTCAAGATAGGGACAAGAGCGATCCGTAGCGTCAATTGGGTCGATCTTTTCAAGCAGCTCGATGGTCTGGGGTGCTACATCCTTGTTTATCTCCTGTTCAACGCGTCGATTAGCATCTGATGCCAAGATGGCGATGCAAAAGTCAGGGCCATGCAGGGGAAAAAAACAGGAGGTGCGCGTGCTGCAATGCAGTGTTAGGTCGTGGAGGGGGGACGAGCTGGGAGGAGACGGCTCCGAGTCAGACTCAAGTAGGACCAAAGGGAATTGTGGTGTAAGGAATTAGATTAATTGATCTGCAGCTCGGGCACTTGTAGAATTGTTTTACTCTAAAGGCACCCACGGTAAATTTGGCAGTGAAGCATTAAGGTATTCGCCGCGCAAGTAACGAGAATAAGAGGATCGGACACCTAGCAAAGGTGGCAGAACGACAGCGTCGAGCGGCGTGGCGGATGGTACCCAGGGATACTTTTAATGCGGGGCGTCGCGAGGCATCATCGATCCATGTTCTGACGCACTGACGCCATCATGAATCCTTTGTGCCTCCATAGAGAGGATGGGCGGAGACTCTCCCGCTGCCTGTGTTTTGGTGGTGGGCCTTGGAGGGGCACGTCATGCATGATCGGGGAAGGCGCTCGGCTGCAGGGCCTCATCGGATTCGGCCGATGTGAAAAGGGTCAGCTGCATTGAAAATCCCGGCGGGTGGATGGAAGTGAGCTGTTCTCGCGGTCCTGAGAAATGGCATGCTGGCAGGCCCTTTCGGTGTGGTTGGCTCGATCACCATAAATGATCCGGAATGCGATGCCCCGCACCCCGGTCTGGGGGCTGTGCCCTGCGTCTGGAAACAGCAAAAGGAACGGCGTTCCGGTGCGTTGTCGCTGCAAATTTGACATGCTGTTATGTAGGGTCGTCATCTCCCGCAGCAAGATCAACAATGATGCAGAGGACTTGGCCATGCTCGGTTTAGCCACGCTATCCTACGTCACGGCTTAGAATTGTGGATTCCACCACGTTAACTCGGATAGTATCCGTAGATAAAAGAGGCGGGGCGTATGTAGCTCCAACCAGACAGCTGAATAAAGACGAGGCAAGAAGAATGAGGCGGGCGGCTATTGAACTTCATCAACCGCCTGCAAAATATTGAGAAACACGTCTCCCGTGATAGTAAGTGCGTGATCTATGCTACGGATAAATGGTCATAAAGACGCTCGAATAAAATCCACCGACGCGGTACATCCAGAACACGCAGCACGCATGCTTGAAACTCGACATGGCAAAAGAAATGCCAACTCATTGACGACGGGAAGCAGCCTGTTCCATCTGGCGGAGTAGGGTGAGGGTCTCGCATCCGCGGCACTGGGTACCAGAAACGGAGCTGACATGATCCTTGCGGCTTGCACAGTCGCGGTTATCTGATCCGGACGTGTTGACATGGTGGCAGGGCGTGGATGCAAAGCCATTCGGATGCGCCTTTCCACAGCATGCGTAGACGTAGTGTGTGAACCAGCACATCAACAGGGCACAGGGCAACAGGCAAGTCAACTTTGAGAATGATGTATTGTCGAAGACTGAATTGCTGCAGATTCTGCCTACTGAAAAGGGGAGAAGGGATACCAATCTAGCCGAGGACACTAGACTGACTGTTGAGAATCTGTCTGGGGGTTAGTTGTTAGAGCCTGGGGCATTCGCTTCGACGGGAACCAGCTTACTCGTACCGAGCTCTCTGCGTTCTTTGGGGATGGTGCTGTGTCAAAACTGCTGTCTTGAGTAAAGGGAAGAAATATGGCGGCCAAGTCTATTCTTTTATATGAGAGATGACGGTAAAAGTAATGCGTGTAGGCCCACAGCTAAGACAGCGCCGCAGTGGCACAGCTGCCCCAAAACCAGCGAGGCGGGTCCGATTTGCTTCCCTGACTTGTCGTATCGGCTAATTGGCTGGGCGTGGGAGCAGCGCCTCGGATTCGCCGAATGTATGGAAGAGGAGAAGAGTCCGTGGCGGTTCTCACTGCCTCCCTCCTCAGACAGCCTGGAAGATGGGAAGGCCGACGGATACGGGGGCTTGAGCTAGCGGAAGAGACATGCGCGCCAATCAGAAGAATGTCGCTAGCTCAAGGCGAGATGGATCGGAGACGTGTGTCAGCACAAGGTGTGAACATCTGTCATGGCCGGTCCATTGTAAACAGCGGGCCGTCCAGGGTCTGGGATAGCGGCAGATGACTAGAGACGCATTTCGCCGAGGATGAGTTCCGTGTTTTCGTATTCGAACGAGGCGCCTTGCTCTTTCCTAGAACAACTAGCCGCATGCCCGGGGTTGGACGGACTAGGAAAGGCCGAGTGGGAGACTTTGTTCTCTACACTACTACACACGCGCTTGTCCTGCCGCCCTGCGCTGGTCTTGCACAAGCACAAGCACGTTAGGCCGACGACATGGATAAAGAAGACCAAAATCGCACCCACCGCCAATCTCGACACACCCACGGTCGGAGCACCAGCCTGAGAGCTGCTCCGGCACAATGCACCAAAGTCTCCATGTTTCCCCCCGCAAGTCCAGTGTTCAATGGGGTTGGAGACGATGGGCCGGGATGGGCTCGGAGAAAAGGTACATCAGTCACGTGATGGTTGCCTTTCCCAGGAAAGCCTCGGTCCCAGGGCGGCGGCGCGGGCCAAGGCCACAAGGCTTTCGACGCATCCCGCCATCAGCCCGACTGCACGCCTGTACCACCACCACGTCCGACCATCACGACCACGCCCATGTCTGCCGACTTCTGGGCCGGCTATATCAGCGGTGCCGCTGGAATCATCATTGGCAATCCGTTGGACCTCGTCAAGACCCGGCTGCAAGCAGGTCCTGCAGCTGCCCAAGCCAGCATCAATGCCGCTCCAACCGTCGACGCCATCAATTGGCGCAATGCTGGAAATTACGTACGTGGTATGTATGCCCCTCTACACCGCCCGCTCCGCCGACTCTTGCCTTGGTTCTTTTTTCACCGCCTACACCAAACACTTGCCCGACCAATGACACGCTCCCGATTACATTCCTGCCCATGTCTGAGTATGCATGAACCACGGCGTTGGCTGCGCGTCACACAGCGCAAGCTACGCATTCAAACATGCATGCGCCACCAAGCATACACAATCAGGACTACAGCACCCCGCTACCCCTCCCCGAAGCTCTGTCGAGCCCTAGTATCACCATCATCAAAACCGCCACCTACAATCCATATACCCATGAGCAAAAAAAAGAAGAAAAAAAAGAACAAGACCCCAAACCGTCCACCACACACACACAGCCCCCCCAGAAGAGAAGCAAGACTGACCCCATCGACCAACCGCCGGTGGTGGTGGTGGTGGGGTCTCCTCTCCTCCCCCCTCCCCCATCCTCCCTCCTTCCCCACCACCCCCAAACCAACCCCATGCTGAAACGCCAAATCAATCACACAAAACAGGTGCCACCGCCCCGATCCTCGGCTACGGCGCCCTCAACGCCATCCTCTTCGTCTCCTACAACCGCACCCTCGCCCTCTTGGGCGATCAGCCCGACTCGTCGTCGCAACATCCGCGCACCAGCCTCGCCCGCGTCTTCTGGGCCGGCGCCGTCAGCGGCTTCGCCACCTTCGTCGTCAGCGCCCCGACCGAGCTGGTGAAGTGCCGCGCGCAGGTGTACGACGCGATGCCGGCGCGTGGTGGTAACGGCGGCAGTGGTGGTGGTGGTGTCAGTTCGTGGGCTGTTGCGAGGGAGACGTGGAGGGCCGAGGGGTTGAAGGGCTTCTACCACGGGGGTGTGGTGACGGGCGTGAGGGACGCGGTGGGTTATGCGTTTTAGTATGTGCACGAGTTTTTCTTTTTTTGGGAATTCCCGACTCCCCCGTTTTCTTTTCTTCTCTCTCCTTCCTTTCGTCCTTCTTCTTCCCTCTTACTCTTCGGAAACGGAGGAGGCCTGAGTAGGTATACAAGAAAAAAAAAAAGAGAGAGAGAGAGAGAGAGAGAGAGAGAGAGAGAGAGAGAGAGAGAGAGAGAAGAGGAACGAAGAACGAAGAAGCCCCTCCTAAGGCCAAAACCACTAACCACACGAACCTCTCTCCCTCTCCCGCTCAAACAGTTTCTGGTCCTATGAGCTGAGCAAACGCCTCATCACCTCCCCAGAGGAAGACACGCAGCGCCAAGCCGCCCTCAAGGTCCTTCTCTGCGGCGGCATCGCCGGCGTCGTGACTTGGGCTTCCATTTTCCCTCTAGGTGAGTGAGGCTGCCCTTTATATATATATATATATATATATATATAAATCACCCAACCGACCAACCAACCAACCCCACCAACCAACCAACTAACCACACACCCTCAAACCAAAACAAAAAGACGTCATCAAAACCCGCGTCCAAACCCAACAAGCCTGGACCCCGACCCCCCCTCGATCGAGCAACAACAACAACAATCCCCAATCCCCACTCCTGCCACGTACATCATCGTCATCAACATCATCGTCGTCGTCGTCGGAGCAGACCAGGCAGAGGCAGACCAGGCCGAGCCAGAGCCAGACACGAATGGGAGCGTGGGAAGTCGCCAAGCACGCCTACCGCACCGAAGGCGCCGCCGTCTTCTTCCGCGGCCTGGGCGTCTGCAGCGCGCGCGCCTTCGTCGTCAACGCCGTCCAGTGGGCCGTCTACGAGTGGGTCATGGCGCGCTTGATGATGATGAGGGGGGATGAGAACGAGAACGAGGGGGCTGCTGCTGCTGCTGCTGCTGCTGGGGCTGGGGCTGGGGCTGGGGCTGGGGCTGGGTTGCAATTGGCAGCAGCAGCCCGTCCTGGCAGTATGGCTGCTTAGCGATTGGAAAACGGACATCAAAGCTGGTTTGGGGGGGAGGGGGACCGAGAAATCGAAAGAGAGAAAAAAGCAGAGCATTAGACTAGACGAATCTTCACAGAGCTGTCAACCAAAGTAGAAACGCCTTTTTTGTTGTGATTAGCCTATGGAAAGGAGACGTTATCCTCAGTCTGAGTGGATGATACTACATGGAAACTTTTTTTTGAGTCGAAAATAGCCCGCACCAAGCAGATGGGTATGCTGCCTCTCAATTTCCACGGCCATAGTAAAGTCGTCTGAGGCCTTCGTGAAAGAAACCTTAATCGAAAAAGTCCTGGTCATTTGCCCGACCGTGCTGGCTGAACGCACGCCCGCAATGAAACTGAAAAGCCACCCGCAACCCTAAGCGATAGAACTAGTCCATACCGCTCACATGATCTGGTCCTGAGTGAGGCCCTGGGTCACCTCGGTCTCCATGGCGTCCGTGGGGCCCTGTAGGTTGGTGTACTTGACGAAAGAAAGGCCAAGAGGACGACCACCGTACTGGTAACCGGTGAACTTGGCTACGGGAGAGTCAATCTTCTGTTATACTAGGCCGAGGGGGGGTCCTGAATCTTACAGATAGCAGTCTCAGCGTTCTCAGCGGTGTCGAACTCAACCACGCCGGTGCCACGGGAACGGCCGTTCGGCTCGTACTGGATCTCCGCACGCTCGACCTTTCCGATGGTGGTGAAGAGTTCCACAAGGTCCTCGTTGCTAGTCGACCAGGGCAGCTGAAACAAATTAGTGACGAACCGCCATGACATGGAATTCGCCAACTTACGTTGCGGACGTAGATGACGTTGCTGCGCTCACCACCCGAGGTGGCGTAATCAGTGAACGGGTTGGGAGGGCCAGCGGGAATGGCCTGAGGGAATTCGCCGCCAGCAGCACCAGCACCAGCACCGGCACCGGCACCCATGCCGCCACCGTAGGGAGCACCGCCACCGAATCCGCCGCGGCCGCCATAGCCGAAACCACCCCTGGCGCCAAATCCGCCACGACCGAAACCGCCGCGGCCGCCAAATCCGCCACCAAAACCACCACGACCGTAGCCGGGCGGACCAGCGAAACGGTCCTCCTTCACCTCCAGAATGCGACCTTGCCAATCGTATCCGTTGAATTGCTGGATGGCGGTGCGCGCATCGTCGGGCGTCTCGAAAACGACAATGCCGGATCCCTTCATGCGGCCGTCGGGGGTCTGATGGACGTCGGCGCGGAGAACGGAACCTGCGTGAGCTGTTATTGCAGATGAGCGATAGCTCGTTGAACGAGGCCCAATGGCAGCATTGCTTCTGTACTCACCAGCCTGGCGGAACAGGTCCTTGAGATCCTGCCAGCCAACGTTGTACGGGAGCTAGTGACATGAGTCAACGAACCGATTCCTTGCGTACAGTTAGCAGAAAGCAAAGGTGGGGATAACATACGTTGGAGACGTAGAGCTGGCGTCCACCGCCTCCATAGCCTCCACCACCGCCGCCGGCGCCGGCGCCGGCACCGCCTCCGTAGGCATCAAAGCCGCCGCGGCCTCCGCCCATGGCTCCGTAGCCTCCACGACCGATCGAAGGAGGTGCGGTGAACCGGGGCTCAGCCTCACGGTCCTGTCGTTGCAGGTGATTTATTAGTGTCATACCGTTCTTGCGCAGGAAGAGTGGGATATCAGAAAAATTGTCATGAGCTTACCTCGCGCACGTAGACGAGACGGCCCATAAGGTTCTGGTTCGAAAGGGTCTGAACAGCCTGCTGGGCCTGCTCCCTGGTGGCGTATTCCACAATCCTAGGTGGATTAGCGCATGCTCGGCAGCCGGTGGTGTCGCAGTGTCGCTTACCCGCATCCCTACATCAACCCGAGGACACCGTCCCATCCGTCAATCCAATGTTCCAAAATAACCAGAGAAAACCAGAAAGACCAGCCATAGTCAGCCCACCTTCGACATTCCATTGGGAAGTAAAAGCACATCGGCGAACAGGACCTCTCCGGCTGCGGTGGTGATTTTGCGTTAGCGATGCACGAGGCTGGGGCGGGCGACGGCGCGCTTACCCTGTCTCATGAAGTCCTTGAGGTGATGCCACTTGACATCGTACGACAGGTTGCCGACGTAGACACGACGGTCCTGTTGGGAAGACTCGCGCAGAGATGCCATCATCTGTTCCTTTGCTACTGCCTTTTCCTCAGCGCTGCGAACCGGCGGCGCACCACGCGAAGCAGCGTATGAACCTGAATATCCACCAGCTGCAGAGGCAGCACCAGTCATAGGCGAGCGCGAGCGGCGATCGCTGCGGCGATAGTCGTCACGGCTGCGCGAGCGACTGCGCGGGGAGTAGGAGCGTCGGCTGCGGCGCGGGCTACGCGATCGGCGGCGCGGCGAGCGGGACCTTTCGCGCTGGTGGTTGGGGTAAGCGTCAGTAGTTGCGGCGTCCATGGTGCACGCGAGGCTTGTGTGGCGCTTTGTGTGCGTGCGATAGGCCGCCTGATGTGATCGGTTGGGTGCGCTTGATGGGGGTGCGTGTGTCGTGGGTGAGGCAGGAAGCTGCAGGGCAGGTCGCTCGCGCGCAACGGTCGGCTAGGGGAAGTTCCGTCACTCAACCGCGCGCGCGCCGTGGGCCGTGAGGGCGAAGTGGCCACAGCCAATTCCGACGACACGGTGTCCACGGTTTTGTTGGCGGCGCCGAGACTGCCTGCGAAGGGTGCAACGGTGCAAGGTGGCCTCGGCCGTCGACGATGTACCCTGATGGAGGGGAGGCGTTGGGCAAGCAGAGGGCAATGGGGGAGCACGACTTACCGTGGCAGGGCGGTAGGAATCGGAGGTGTCTGTTCGGGGCGCCGTGAGCAAGTCTGTCTCGCGGCAAGGCTTCGTGTGAAGAATTGGAAGGGTCTGCGGCGAGGAGGGAGACCGCGGGGGTTGAAAAGGCGCAGGCACAGGCAGGCTAACGAGACTTACCCATAATAGCGCTGGATGGATAAGGGCAATTGAATGGGAGCTGCAGCTGGGGGCAGGTATGACAGGGATTCGAGGATAGATTTGGCAAAGCAGCGACCAGTCGGATCGGACGTTCGACGTCAAGTGCGATCGAGCGGGCAGAGCAGAGCAGCTGAGCGTGCGGCAGGCGGGCAGGCGGGTCTCGGGAGCGCGTGGGCACGCGTTGCCTGCTTTTGCCTTGCAGTCACGGTCGAGGCTTGCTCTATCACGCCTGCCAATGGGGCGGAGCGTGCAGCAGCGACTCACGCAGAAAGCGACCGAAGCGGGCAAGAGCGCGTTGCGAGTACGGCGCCCGGGGATGCGGTCGAGGCTTGTCGCTGGGTTTTGCCGTGGGTACGCGATTTTGCACCTTGAAGGACGTGGACCGAAGTTGTCAGATGCTGCCGGTGCGGAGACGGCGACGATGCGACGTTGTCTCAGCCGCCGCGCGCGGGCCCAGCGGCCCAGCTCCAGCGCTGCGCAGGCCTGGCAATCTGCCCGCCCGCGCTGCTTCACGTTGAGGCCCGGCAACAACACGCCCCCGACGGTGGCAGCAGTGGCAGCAGCCTGTTCCCGCTGCCGCCCGCCCGCCGCCCGCCCGCGCCTGGCTAATGCGCGCAACACCTGATAAAGCAGCGCGATCGAGGCAGAGCTGACGGTACGCAGACCAGCCGGCTGGGCGGCCGTCGCACACTGTACAGACGCAGTCAACGCCAGCCAATCCCGCCATCACAGCCTCCTCCGCAGCGCAGCCGACGTCGCCAATATATGCCCGGACAAGGGCGGGCGAGCACCGTTCTGGAGCTCCGTCCAGCGCGCGCGCCTGGAGCCGTGAATCCTCGCGGCCGCGCAGACTCCTATGCCGCTTCCGTCCAAGGGACTGCTCGCATCCTTGCCCCCGGCGTGCGCCAGTACCCGTCGTCGCCGCAGCGGTTTGTGCGGCAATGCACGAACTCCACCCATCGGCTTGGCTGTGCGTATCATGAGCATCGTGGCCGCCGCCATGGCACAATCGCCGCCAGCTCGTGTCAGCGGGGGCCGACCTCGAGCTCTGCCCGCACGGCCGCCGGCGGCGCTCAAGCGCTCAAGCGGGCCTGGCTCCCGGATCCCCGCCGATCTGTCGTGAGGCAGGTGCTGCGTAGCGATGGCACAATGGCTGTGAGGTGACCCCCCGGACGGGCGTTTGTGCGCTGCCCAAGCGATCACATGCGGAACCGAAGGCTTTTATGCACAGCGGCAAGCGTGCATGGCGGTGCGGGTTGCGTTTGGCCAGACCCTATTCCCCGCGTTTTCCCTCGAGGTTCTTCAGGATCACTCATGATTGCACAACCTGCATTGCATGATATCAGCTTGACGCCCGCAGCAACGCGTGCTGCATGACTCGCCTGGGCCCTGCCCCAACGCCGCTCGCTCTTACATCAAAGTCCACCACGTCCACCGCGCCAGGAGCCCACACATTGCACGCGCTGCGCGCTTCCGCGTCTCCGGATCGGCCTGCTACGTCGCTACGTCTTCCTGCCGTGGCTAAGTCATGCGACAGCTCGACAATGGATGGGCGTGCTCAGTCGCCGGGGGCCGCAGGAAACTCGGCCGGGGTCCAAGGAAACATCTGCGACTGCGGAGACGGCTGGGATGGGGAAGCACTCAGCACCCACTGCCTGGAACGTCAGCCGAGCCACGGGGCGGGAGCTAGTAGGAGACTTGGTGCACGTCAGAGCCTGACTTGCGCCGGCCGTCGACTCTTTATCTCTGGGCTGCCATCCAAAACTCGGCGAAAGAGGCTTGGCACGGAGTACGCTCGGGGCCTTGCCACTGGCATGTCCTAGATCGGATCGTTCCTCTTTGCGCAAGTCCCTAAACGCAGCAAAATGTCTCAGGATCAGGGCCTTAAGATTTGTGGCTGCGTCAATTGTTGTCATACGGTCCCGAGAGAAAACCGGTAGCCCGTAGGGCTGTCCGAGCGAACCAGTGCTCTCTGCCCGCATATAAACAACCTTGACCGCTCCTGGGTTCCGTGAACTCAGCACAGATATTTCCAATCAGACTTCCCTAAGACGTCTCAGAATCATGGCAGATGCTGAGAGCAACCACAAGCGTGACTCGAGCTCCGACAGCTCGAGCACCAAGCTGGATGATACCCATGCCCAGGACTTCGCCCAAACGGGCTTCCAGCCCATCGCCATCAGTCACACCAGGACCACATCACACCCCACCGGAGAGGATCTTGTCAACCTTCCTTCCCGTACCTTGAGCCATGATGCCAACCTGGAAGAATACACCCAGGAGACCAATTCAGGACACATTCTCAAGACCGTCAAGTCCAACAAGACGGGAAACTTCGAGCGCTATGAGCTGGTTACGTGGAAGATCAACGACCCCGAGAACCCCAAGAACTGGAGCAAGGCGTACAAGTGGTGGTGCACCATGTGTGTCGCATTTACCTGTTTCGTCGTTGCATTGAACAGTTCGGTCATTACCGCCGATATTGAGGGTCCGGCAAAGGAGTTCGGTGCCTCGAGAGAAGTATCCCTCCTAGCTATCACCCTTTTCGTTGTCGGCTTCGGTATCGGTAAGCAGACCCCTTGCCCGGTAGATGATGGTGGCATGCTAACAGTGGACTACTGTAGGCCCCATGGCTTTCGCTCCCCTTAGTGAGGTCGTCGGCAGGAGGCCAATCTACGCCTCTACCTTGCTCGTTGCCTTCCTATTCGTTCTGCCCGGTGCTCTTTCGAAGAACATGGCAACTCTCCTTGTTGGCCGAGCCATCGACGGAATCGCCTTCAGCGCCCCCATGACCTTGGTCGGTGGTACACTTGCGGATCTGTGGAAGAATGAAGAGAGAGGTGTTCCGATGGCAGCCTTCAGTGCCGCACCGTACGTTGCACCATCCAGATCATGGAAATTAGCAAACTGACACCACTTGGTAGATTCGTTGGCCCCGCAATCGGCCCCTTGATTGGCGGTTTCCTTTCTGACAACCTCGGCTGGAGATGGCTATACTGGATTCAGTTGATCCTCTCCGGCGTAGCTTGGATCCTCATTACGTTCACTGTGCCCGAAACCTACACGCCCAGCCTGCTTTCCAAGCGTGCGAAGAAAATGAGGAAGGAGACTGGCGATGACAAATACGTCACTGAAGAGGATCTGGACAAGCGCTCGTTCACTGAACGCATGTCCATCTTCTTGCTCCGCCCATTCCAACTATTGTTCCTCGAGCCCATTGTGTTCTTCATCTCTCTCTACATGAGTGTCTTGTACGGATTACTGTACATGTTCTTCGTTGCGTAAGTCGTCCTCATTCAAACCAGGGCGAGCCACAGTCGCTAACCATTCTACAGATACCCAATCGTCTTCCAATCGGGCAAGGGCTACAGTGCGTCGACCACCGGTCTTATGTTCATTCCTCTTGCTATTGGTGTCATTGCTAGCGCTGTGTGCTCTCCGCTCGTCAACAAGCACTACCTCTATCTCTCCGCCAAGCACGACGGCAAGCCCCCGGCCGAGGCCCGCTTGTGGCCGATGATGATGTCTTGTTGGCTCATTCCAATTGGACTGTTCATCTTCGCCTGGACCTCGTATCCCCGCATCAGCTGGTGGGGCCCGGCAATGGGCGGCTTCCCCGTCGGCTTCGGTTTCATTTTCTTGTACAACGCCGCCAACAACTACCTCGTCGACTCGTACCAGCACCAAGCCGCCTCTGCGCTGGCTTCCAAGACTTTCATCCGGTCATTCTGGGGCGCGGCTGTCGTTCTGTTCACGGAACAGATGTACGACCGCCTAGGATACCAGTGGGCGTCGACGCTTCTGGCGTTCATCGGTCTCGCTTGCTGCGCTATCCCCTTTGTTTTCTTCTTCAAGGGCGCCGCCATCCGCCGCCATTCGAAGTTCGCGTACAGCGGAGACGACGCGGAAAACCAGAACGAGAAGGGTGCGGCCGTCGACATTGCTCATTAAACGATCCCCCCAAAGCCGCGAATTTCAACAACAATTTCCCCTACAACCTCTCAGCTGATTCTGCTTGTTTCCTTCGGTTTTTTGAAGTGACATCGGTTTCGGGAGCCGCAAAAATCGACCTCGTTTTTTTCCTTTGTTGGAAGAAGACATTTCTTCGAGCTGAGACAAAATAGACCCTAGACTTATACCACTAGACGGTGAGACCTTCAGACAAGGTTTGCATTGGCGCTGGCTGTCAAAAGATTGAGATATCAAAGGGGGCGTTCTTTCTCTCTTTTTTTTTCGGAGGGGGTTTGATCATATTTATGGATTTAATGATGGGCTTAAGATACCAGGCATTGGGCCGTTGAGATGATAAGGATAGGAGATATGCTGTATCAGATAATACGATTGATAAAGTTAGACCAGATGTGCTCGTCCGAAGACCGGTGATAGGGAAATTTGCTTTGATGCAAGCTGTATTGTTGCGAGATATTTCCGTGTCAGCTGGGTAGCTGAAGCTTCCGTCCGGGTGCTCTCGTACACATTTTCAACCCATACCTGCGGCCGTACGCCTGCTTCAACCGCGTACCGTGTAAGGAGCGCAACGTGCCCCGCAGAACAACATGTCAGGGTGAGGTGTTTTGCAACCCACTATGGTCAGGGGTTCAAGTGTCTCCCTAGCAAAGGAGTTTTGGGGGGTGCACAACGAAGTCAACGGGCGGGAGCTTGATGTTGCCGTGCAGTCCCTCGGGTAGGCCAAATGGATCCCGTTGTCCGGCAGCCAGGCTCGGCTCTCCTTTTATACGTGGGTGGTGGTCAATGAGCTGGTATCTACTGAGCGGGCGAGGCATGGCTGCGGGTCGAGCGGAACCGGGCACAACCCCCACAGCGGTGAGGATGCAATTGAAAGGAGGCGCGGTGCGGCTCCGATTCGCGAGGCAAAGCTCGATGCAAAAAGTGCGCATCACGCACTCGTGACAGAGAAGGCTTTTGAGGGTGGCCAAAAATGGAGATGAGCCATTAGACAGTGCGTGATTATGTGCACCATGCGTCCGGCAGCGGCCGGCAGCCAGCCGCGGGCGCCAGGAAGGGGTTCCGAGGGACGACTCGAGGCGGCTGCCGGGTCGGCATGTCATCATGGCATGGTAGATTAATGGCGCTGTAGGGCTGAGGATGACGGTGCGGCGGCGGCGAAGGCCAAGCTCTCCAAGCCGGACGCGATCGCCCGCCTCGGTGGCCAGCGTCGGCCGGTGCGCAGGACTCGAAGCTTCTGCCGCGGCCAGCGCATGGGAAATTTCTCTCGTTGGCGGCGGCGGGTCCGTGCCGGATGGGCGCCCGACGCTCGATGACGGCGCATCAAGCGAGGATTCATCAGCGACGCGCCCCTGCGCTATTTTGTCGCGCTGGCCGGCCGGGTGGCATCCTGGAATCCTGGAGCAGATCTGTGCCGGCACCGCGCGCGGCGGCCTCAGGCGCCCCGGCGTCGATTGCTGCGGGCGCGCACCAATCCGCGCGCGAAACGCGAGAGCTGGAATAAGTGGTTCCGGCCGTTGGTGTTCGTCCCGCGCGGGCAGCGGCTAGCAGCCAGTGACGAAAAGTCACGGCCTGCCGAGCTCCCATTACTCGCGCCTCTCTCTCGCATCACCCTGCCCGCCCGCTCATCAAGACCACCACCGGCTCTCTGCCTGCCGCCGAGTTGCAGCATGCCCGCCGCGCCCCGCTGATCCAGCCGCCGTCCAATGTTCAAGTCAGAGCCCGAGCCCGGCATGGAGTCGCAGAGCCCCAGCACCCAGCACTCGCAGTCGCAGTCGCAGTTCAATCCCGCCGAGGCGTCGCGCTCAGACGTCGACGAGATACTGCGCCGCAAGAGAAAGGCCCGCGAGTACAAGGCCTGCTACCCGTGCCGCCAGCGCAAGGTCAAGTGCGACCAGGCCGTTCCGTGCAAGACGTGCATCGGTACGCTCTCCGCCGCCTCTCCGCTGGCACCCCCGCCCAACGCCGGCATGCTAACTGTCTGCAGCAAGAGAGCATCCCGAGCTTTGCACCTACCACCCGCCTGCTGAGTCGCATCCACCCGCGAAGCGCATGAACCATGGCAGCCAGCCGCCCGAAGCGTCCAACGGCCTCGGCTCCGGCATCCAGTACAACGGCAATGGGACAGTCACCATCGGCCGCGAGGACTGGGAGCGCCTGTGCTCCAAGCTCAACACCGTCGAGCGCTCCCTAATCGACCTCAAGAGCACCATCAAGCAAGCTTCCGAGATCTCGCCTGAGCCGCTGCAGAATGGCCACCATCACCACCACCACGTCATCCCCGACTCCGCCGTGAGCACGCCCTCAAAGCAGCCTGATGGCCAACTCACCGCCCAGGGCATTCACACCACCAACAGCATCACCGGCCAGACGGTCCATCTGGGCAGCAGCTCTGTGCCTGCGTTGGTCATGTCCCTGGGCAAGGGCGAGGGCAGCAGCGCTCCCGTCCAGGAATTGCTCGGCAAGAACGTCCTCCCGCTCTTTGGTTTGGACAACGAATCCGCCACGTACCCGTTCGTTGATCTCTGGGGCTTGCCACATGGTTCGATGAACCGGATCTACGAGCTCTGCAACGCCCTCCCGAATGACTCGGACTGCTGGAACCTGCTCAAGTACCACAAGGAGACGGCCCACACCGTGTTCCCGGCCATCGCGGACATCGAGAAGCTCGAGTCCGAGTTGCTTCGATTTCTCATCGCTCGTGGGGGCTCGCAGACAAGCGAAGATGGTAGCATCAGTGGGGTCACGGAGCAGACTATTTTCGGAAAAGATCTCCATTGGGTTGGCTTGCTCTTCGCCGTCCTGGCCTCGGGCTGCCAGTGTTCAGCTCTACCGCGCAAGGAGCGCGAACTGACTTCACAGGTCTACATCTGCTGCAGCTTCGAGTGTCTCCGGATCACCAACTTTCTGTCTCATTCGAACCTGGAGACGATCCAGACGCTTCTGATTCTCGGCAATGTCATGTCGAACAACATGAATGCTGGCGTCGCCTGGTCGCTCCTCGGCCTGACCATTCGGCTGGCGCAGAGCCAAGGATTGCACCGGACCTGCCCATCGAATGCAACGGAGGAGATGAGGCTCACACGAAAGAAGATATGGTGGTCCGTATTGTGGCAGGACAGCTTACTCTCTATCACGTTTGACCGGGCATCTTCGATGGGCACCAGTGAGCCTGTTCCGTTAAGCCCCGAGTCTAGCCCAGGGAACCGACCGTACATGGAGTGCATGTATCGCCTCTGCAAGGTCGGACTCGACATTGTCAGCGAGCGAGCTCTGAGTCATACCCAACAGGAGACATTAGCAAGGATAGCACAACGACGACAAGAGATTCAGGAAATCATGTTCGATGCGGCCGACTATCTCCGCGACTCCCGCAAGTGCCGATCGATGCGGAACCAGCTCGAGCATTGGGCGCTGTACTTGCACATGTCCTACATTACGTCTGAACTGTGCCGGCCAGCATTAAGTCCTTCAGTGACTGAGCACGATTTGGCCCGGCCTTTGAGAAAAGCATGCATCGACAGCCTGGCCAACACGGTCGAGGCTTTTCTAGGCCTGCAGAACATGACGGTCTTTGCAAGCCGTTCGTGGGCTGCCGTGCACCGTTCCTTGAGCTGCGCCCTTCTCCTGGGCATACTCAAGGAGCCGGAGCGCAACGAGCGCGCCCGCATGCTTCTGGAGAAGTTGATCTCCGTCCTCACTGACATAACGTCCAAGGTCGACCCAACCGAACTGTCCACTCCCGTGACCCGCTCGATGATTGCGCTCAGGAAGCTGCTGAACCTGCAGGACGCGAGGATGCAGCAGCAGGTGGCCAACAGTTCGTCGTCGCAGAGCATAATCCCCAACACGGCAACAGCGTCAAGCACACCGAACATGACGGGCTATAGCATTGACGACATCAACGGCGCATTGATCGGCGATGACGCGATGTTCGGGGTGGGTCAAAGCCCGTTGATGGCGGACTTGGACAGCGAGGCGAGCCCTTACGCGCTGATGGACAGCATCATCTGGGGCGTCAAGAAGTCACCGCCTGGATGAATGATGCGCCGGGGAGGAGGCCATGGCTGATCACGGAGTGATGGTCAGGCCGTGGCCACGACACAGTGGGATACAGGAGATTTGCACACCTACTCACGTGGGTAGCTGAAGACAACATCTGGACGTTGTGATTCTGGTACCGACAGAGCTGTCCGGATGGTTGCTTCATCTACCGATGTGGAATGAGTGGAACGTCTTTCGCGGCATACGCGACGATGAAGTCTCTTGTGCCTCACTGTGACAACGGTAGTTCGTGAGCCAACAGAGCGATTGCGAACATGCAGATGACTTGGAATATAGCACTGTGGTGAGAAAGCAACAGGCGATCAGCAAGGCCACGATGGTGGGGATCGAGGAGAGAGGGTACTACTATCCGGGAGAATTGCGTAGTTCGACGTCGTCCAGAAGTTTGAGGCGCTCGGATAAGGAAAAAGCATTGGCCGTCGGACGGCTTGAAAATGGCTTTGAAAGGTCCGTCCGGAACCAACGGAATAGACAGCGGCGGGAGGGCATAGAGGATTCGGATTTCCATCTCCGGGAAGGATCATTCCGAGGGGACGTAAGCGGGGGAGCGATGGCGGCGTCTCTGGGAGTAACTGGGGCGGGAGGAGTACAGGTCTATGTTTTGCAGATGGCTAGTCTTTTGGCTGTTGAGGAATCATCACTACGGGGCCCGGGAAGGTATTAAAAAGCTAAAAATACTATTGTTGAATGCTCTCAAAATGATTTCATACGCCTCCACTTTACGGGATCTGCGTGGAGACGAACGAGCGACCGCATTCGGACGGTTCTTGGACGGAGTTCGGGTGCGGTGTAGTAGGGCGTAGGTGGTTTCTTTGGTGGAAGGATGCGCCCAACATTCCTTTTCGGGAAGGCAGCTGGCTGGCAGCGATGTCGCAGCTCGTCACGGCTACCAATTGCCCAGCTACGAGGGGCTCGTATAATGGTTCGCGGGGTATGTTGGCCAGACGGGGAACCGGCCGCATCGACCTCGGACGAACGAGAAAGATGCGGGACGAAACGGGCAAGCTTCTGATGAGGAAGAAGGCTCATCAGCCCGTGAGACCGCCTTCTGCTGCTGCTGTGGTCAGAGCCCATCCGCGCTTCGGGCACCGGGTAGCTGCCGGCCGCAATCGGGAGAAGACTTAGCCGAGGATGTGCGCCGGGAGAAGACTATCGCTGCACGCGTCGTGCGTCGTGCAGGCGGCACTTGCCAGCTGCATGTCCACTCCAGACGGTCGTCGCTGCAATCAGCCCAGCATCAAGCCGTGAAGCCGGGGCAGAGTAGGAGAGGAAGGCGACGCGCAGAAGGGGCCGCCGGCCGGCAAAGGTGCGGAAAGCGACGCGACTCCGGCGGTCGAGGGTGGACGTTCCGACGCCTGGCGGGCACAGTTCCGCGGGCGTGTGGGGGATACCCGTCGCTCTTAGCCGAAGACAGCTCCCCAAGCTTGACCCCCCCTCCGCTGGCTACGAGCTTTGCCAGCTGCAGGGTCAAGGCCGCCAATTACCGCGACAGCTTCCGGCGGAGTCAGGCCAAAATACAACGCCGCCGCCCTTTACTTCTTGCTTTTCCCCTTCTTCTTTCCACTTTGATCCTCACTCCCTACCGCCTCTTCCTTGGTCTGCTCCCTCGCGTGCAGAGACCCAAGCCTTGTATACGCTGCGAAGAGCAATTGCTTCGATCCGCCGCTTCCGCCCGCTTCCTCAGCCACGATGCCGTCGATAGCCATGAGCATGCGCACTGCGCGCTTCTTCGCGTCCTCCAATTCCTCCAAGGTGAGTCTTCCCGCGGCCTGCGACAGCCCCGACCATGCAGCAGCAGCAGCAGCAGCAGCAGCTTGCTGACGAAGAGAAAACACACACCCCGCTCAGGCCACTCTCCTCGCACGCACCTTCGCCTCGTCGGCACGGCGCTTCGAGATCAACAAGGTGCTCCCGTCGGCCGAGGCGGCGATCGCGGACATGAAGTCGGACAGCACGCTCCTGTGCGGCGGCTTCGGGCTCTGCGGCGTGCCGGACACGCTGATCAACCAGGTGCACAAGACGCCGACGATCACGGGCATCACGGCGGTGTCGAACAACGCGGGCGTGGTGGGGTCGGGGCTGGGGCTGCTGCTCGAGTCGGGCCAGATCCGCAAGATGATCGCGTCGTACGTGGGCGAGAACAAGGTGTTTGAGCAAAAGTACCTCAAGGGCGAGATCGAGCTGGAGCTCACGCCGCAGGGCACGCTGGCGGAGCGGTGCCGCGCGGGCGGGCACGGCATCCCGGCCTTCTTCACGCCCGCCGCCTTCGGCACCGTCGTGCAGACGGGCGAGCTGCCGCTCAAGTTCAACCCGGACGGCACCATCGCCCAGTACTCGGCCCCGCGCGACGTCAAGACGTTCGACGGCAAGAGCTACGTCATGGAGGAGGCCATCCGCGGCGACTACGCCTTCATCAAGGCGTGGAAGGCCGACAAGCTGGGCAACGTGCAGTTCCGGTTCGCGGCGCAGAACTTCAACGGCGCCATGGCGCGCAACGCAAAGGTGACGATCGTCGAGGCCGAGCACATCGTCGAGCCGGGCGACATCGACCCGGCCGCCGTCCACGTGCCCGGCATCTACGTCAAGCGCGTCATCCAGGCGACGCAGCCCAAGAACATCGAGAAGGTGGTCAACGCCAAGGACCCGGCCGACGCCATGTCGAGCCTGGGCTCGGGCGACGCGGCGGGCAAGCGCGAGCGCATCGTGCGCCGCGCGGCCAAGGAGTTCAAGAACGGCATGTACGCCAACCTGGGCATCGGCATGCCCATGCTGGCGCCGTCGTTCGTCGACGAGTCGGTCGAGGTGCAGCTGCAGTCGGAGAACGGCATCCTCGGGCTGGGCCCGTACCCGGCCAAGGGCCACGAGGACCCGGACCTGATCAACGCGGGCAAGGAGACGGTGACGCTGCGGCCCGGCGCCGCGTGCTTCGGCAGCGACGAGTCGTTCGGCATGATCCGCTCCGGCCGCATCGACCTCACCATCCTCGGCGCCATGCAGGTCTCGGCCAAGGGCGACCTCGCCAACTGGATGCTGCCCGGCAAGATCAAGGGCTTCGGCGGCGCCATGGACCTCGTCAGCAACCCCCAGAACACAAAGGTCGTCGTCACCATGGAGCACACGGACAAGAAGGGCCGCCCCAAGATCCTCAAGCAGTGCGAGTTCCCCCTCACCGGCAGGACTTGCGTCAGCAGGATCATCACTGAACTCGTAAGTCTCCCCCCAACCCCCCTCCCTTTTTAATTTTCCTGTCCATCTTCCCCTCCCTCGCCCTCATCGAAAAAGAAGGGGGTTGATGAAGCTGTGTATGTGTGGCTAACGTGGGATGTCCCTTTTTGCACACAGTGCGTCTTCGACGTCGACTTCACCAACGGCCTGACTCTCATCGAGCTCGCCGACGGCGTCACCGTCGACGAGATCAAGGCCAAGACCGAGGCCCCCTTCGCCGTCGCCGACGACATCAAGCCCATGCTCTAAATCAATCAATCAAAACATTTGGAGAGACGAGAAGAAGAAAAAGACTTGAAAAATGAGGGGATGGGAGAAGAAGGGGGAACGAGTTCCCCCCCTCCCTGTCCAATCACGTTCTCGGGGTAGAAAAGGGAAGATTTTTTTTTTGGAACTGATGAAAAGTGTTCTCAAAACAAGATGTGTGAGTATTATTGAGTACTACGAAGAGGCGGGAAAAAGGAAATCAAGGAGAAGAGAAAGAGCGAATGGAAGTAAACCAACAAGACGATGACCCCCGTCGTTCTCCGGGGGGGGACAAGATTATTATCGTCGATAATGAGAAAGAAGAGACACGCTACCCCGCAGCACCCGCCGCCCTCCCCCCCTCTCATTTGAGTTTTGGGACGCGGCGAGTGGGCGGTGCGGTGAGGCTTGAGGAGGAGGAAGAGGAGGAAGAGGAGAAGGAGGAGAAGGAGAAGAAGGATGAGAAGAAAGGGGAAGAGATGGATGAGAGTGGTGTGAATACCGTGGATTTTTCTGTAATGTTTTGACCATCCGATGTAGATACTGATACCTACGAAATTTGATTGAATTGCTTCATTTTTTTTTTTTTGGTTGATGGGACTCGACGGCGACTACACGGGACTGACTGATCGAGTCGAGACCTAAAATGTAAACATACGCCTCCACTCCATTACGCTGCTTGTACAGTTGGTCCAATTGAACATTCATCGAGTATCATCAATCCGGATGAGAGGCTCTTAGGCGAGAATTACAATCGCTTGAGCTGTATAGTTTTAGCAGGCACAACCGCTGCTGCTAGCATCTCTACTTCTCTACGCGTGAATTAACAAGAAAGAATAACTACACCTCCAGGGTCACTAGGTATGTCTCCTTCTCTCGCCTTTCCATTACCGGCTGATTTTCCTCAGAAGGTTTGTGTGTATGTGCGCGGTGTTCGGTGATCGGATCGGTTCCGTCCGTGTGTATTTAGAAAACTTCCCGCCAAGCGTATATCCACAGGTGATTCCATTCTCCCCCTCCTCTTGTCAATGAATTAGGATAAGTGCGGTAAGAGACGCCGGGTCTCCAATTTCCCCCCTCCTCCCCTTCGTATGGTGACAAATCCCCTCCATCCAACTAATCACATAAACAATCGTCGTGCCAAAACCCCATTAATCGTTATTGAAACAAGAACATCAGAATGAGTCAAACGTAAGCAGAAGCAAAAAAAAAAACCAAAAGACCACGCATGCATCAATCGGCCAAAACGCGCGGACTACTACAATCCCATCCACAGGGCAGCCCCTAGCGCGACGACCAAGCCAAACACACCACTCTTGCTGGGTGCATGCACGGGGCCCGCGGCGGCGCTGTCGCCGTGGATGCCGAGTAGCTCGTCCTGGGTCCCGAAGGTGACGTTCTGCGGGATGGACGCGTTGTAACAGCGGCCGTTCGCGATGTCGAGGTTGGTCAGGTCGTCGGGCACCTTGAAAAACATGTACATCTGCTGGTTGAGGTCCTTGAAGCCCGACGTGTCGTAGGGGAACTTGTCGTCGTCCGTGGCCGACGTGTTGCGCAAGAAGATGCATTGCACCTGGCTCGGGTACTCATGGGCTAGCGCCGGGTAGTCTTTCATGATATCCGAGTTAGACGTGTCGGCCATGAGGATGAACTTGCGCTCCGGGAACGTCTGGAAGATCTTGTCCAGCAGGTATTTGCGGATGCTGAGTGTGGCCGAGACGTCGGAGAAGTTGAGTGGCCCTGGCGCGAATGTTAGTGCGAGCCCATTGACGTGCATTTGTGGATTGACTTACGAGTGTCAAAGCTACCACCTGGGTAGGTCTTGTAGATGAAGTCCATGTAGTTCCTCGTGACCTGCTCTGGAGTAGTGGTCAGGTAGTGGAAATGCATGTCCGGCAGAGACTTGGACCAGTTGGCATAGATGTCCGGCATGTTCATCCACTGCGTAAATGGCCGAGCGAAGGAGTTCAACAGGCCTTCCTTCGGCTGGTAAATCTTGGTGACGCGCAGGATATCGTCAATATCGCTGATGATAGTCAATCCTGTCGGAGGCACCAGATATGCGGTTGCGTTGCCAAGAGTGGCATTGTCGGCATACACATTAAGGCGTTGGATTTTGCTCGTCTCGTTGCCGGCAGCGAGGCCCCCCGTGGTGTTGGCAATGGGCAGGAAGACGTCGAAATCGCCTTCAGCGGTAGTATTGTAGGGCAGGGTAAGCGTCTGATTCCCGCCTGAGGGCGTCACAGCGCCGCCACCGCCAGGTTCGCCATCACCGCCGGCGTTCGGTGCGGGCTCTAGCGACACCTTCACCGTCTTATTCGGTTGCTGCACGATGAATATCTCGGCAGTCAAGTTGCGAGCCTGATCCTGCTGCGAGGCGGGGAGATCCTCGATATCGGTGCCGATGAGGAAGACATTGGCCAAATCGTTCAACTTTTCCGTCGACGTGTTTGGTTGCTTGTAAACATTGCCGTGGAACCGAACGTTCCAGCCCTGGTCGGTCCAGTTTGCATAAGGAGGAATGTTGAGGACTTGGGTCGGCAGCGCGGCCAGCTGGCTGTCGTTTAGACCGAGCGAGCTCTGCACAGCGGAGCCGGAGGGGAAGCCTTGGAAGAAATTGGCGACACCTGCAGCGTTGTCAGTATTGTGCAGATAAGCCAATGGCAGGACAGCGGACCGTCGGTAACATAGCTGGGAATATCGGAGCCCAGGGCAGTGAGAGCCGAGTCTACGCCACTTTTGATATCGTCCAGCAAATTGCGACGCTCGAGATAAGTGCGAGTAGCTTCGTTGAGAGCGGGCGAGGGAGTGATGAGCGGATCGGCGACATCGATTGGCCGCTGGCGTAGGGGAGCGGGTGGCCCTCCAGTAGCGGCCGGGGCTGGGGCTGGGACGGCAGCAGCGAGTGCATACGCGTCCAGGGCGGCGAGCAGCAGGGTTGAAATGCGGATCATGGTGTAAGGCTGGGTGCGCAGGCCAGGCTGCTACGCTTGAATGGAGTAGGGCGGTGGAGATCGTCAAGAAGCGCGCAGCGAGTGCACAGCAAAGGCAGCCGCACGACAGAACCCGCGCTCGACAGCAGCGGAAACGGGAGAATGGCGACAAAGAAAGTGAGATTGCAAACGAGAGGAGTTTGTTGCGCAGGAGGTGCCCGGGCGAGAGCAGCCCGGCGGGTGGCAGGGTCCACAGCAGGCGCCGGCCTCCCCTTCCACGCGCATTCAAAACTGGGCCACCGCAGCTGAAGCCGTGACGTCACCGCAGAGTGGACGCCCTCAACCGTATGCGCCCCCACGCCCATTGGCTGCGCTACTCAGCCCCCGCTGACGGCCTGGCGCAGCTGCCAGCCTGCTCTGGCCCTTCCCGCTCCCTTTGCAGCCTCGAACGGCTGCGGTTCCGCAGCCCTTGGTGAGCCGTCTGCGGCGGGGGTTTGCAGCGCTGGCCGGATCGACGGCCAGAGTGGGGCCACGATCAGCGCTGTTGCCGTTTTGCCCGCCGCTCGACAGCCCCCCGCTGCTTCCCTTGGACTCCGTCGTCTGCTCCTGGTACCCAGTACTGACTGTGCCCTTCCAACTACTGCACCGGACTGCATCCCACTTCGCCCTCTGTTCTATGTCTCGCCCTGTTGCTCCGGGAACTCATCAAGTTGTGCTACAAGCCGACGTTTCAGCCGCCGAAGCTTAATTTATCCCTCACTCTACTTACCGCACGCGGACAAATCTCGCAGCAAGCACTTCGTCGTTGAAGGACATGAGGAGGTCGGCCTTCCAAATCATCGGATCGCTCCGGATTGCAGGGCGACAGTAGCCGCCATCATCGCCCTCGGCTCTCGGAGTTCCCCGCTTCTCCGTCCTGATTGAACGCCCTACGAAACCAAGGCAGCCCGCCAGCAGCCTCTCAGTCCTGGATTTATATCCAGTACTAGCTAAGCACGCAGTACGGTGCTAGCCTCATTAACCAACATGCGTCTGAACACTCGATATATGCTAGACACAGGGTCGTCACAAGTTCTGCAGGAGGCGCATTTCATTTCATTGCATCACCGTTCCATTCCATACTAGATACAAAGAACAGTAACAGAGGGAAAAGACCGATCGGCACTGAGCGTATCAAAAGAGAAACCATTAAGTTAGACAAGCACACACGAATCAACCCGGGGGGCGCAGAACAGACTTCCAGCTCGCCGGAAGAAGAGAAACGAGACATCATCAGTCTCAACTCACAGCCTGGAGAGATGGGTGATCTCCCTCGGGGCGTGGTAGGTTGGCACCTTCATATCGAGGGCGGAGCCACTATAGCCCAGGTCCTCGCCGGTGAGCACGGCGCACTTCTCGCCGATGAGCAGCGCGGTCGAGTAGGTGTTGCAGCCGACGTTGTCCGGGCAGATGGACAGGTCTGCCACCTTGAGGCCGCGCACGCCGTGCACGTTGAGCCGCTCGTCGACGACGCCGTGCTTGATGACGCTGTTGCCGCCGCGGGGGCCCATCGAGCAGGTGCCCAGCGAGTGCCAGGTCGTCTCGACGTGGCGCTTGACCCACTCCTCGATGGCCTCGATGTCCTCCTTGCTGTACTCGAGGTCGTCGCGCAGGCCCTGGCACGCCGAGTTGATGTAGTTGGGCGCCGTTTCTTTCGCCGCCTCGAGCGGACGACTCCACGACCCGTGCTGGATGCCCGCCGAGATGTGGTCCGGCCCCGCGTACGCCTTGGTGTTGGCGAGGTCGAGGTCCTGCGCCCGCGCCGCCGAGTCGTACGCGTAGAACGGGTGCATCGCCGTCACCTCGCCCGCGTATGCCTTCATGCGCCGCGCCGTCTCGCGCGACTTGATGTAGCCCCAGATCATGGGCGCCATGTCGCGCCGGTCGTTCATGAAGCCCGCGTCGAAGTCGGGCGCCTCGTACGCGTTGGGCGACACAATGTGCGTCGACCCTCGCGAGAAGGGGTACTCGAGGAAGTGGAACATGGTGAAGAACTTGCCCGGCGGCATCAGCATGTGGTCGCCGAACCACCCCGAGATGACCGAGTAGTGCATCACCGGCTTGTCCGGCTTGTCCTTGAAGTAGCTCTCCCACCCGGACCGGAACTCCGGGCACGGCCAGGTGTCCATCCATCTGAGCTCCTCCTCTGTGGGCCGAATCTTGACGCCCGCATCGATTCCGTTGGTCGCCAGCGGACCCGTGCCATTGATGTTCCTGGAGACTGTGTTAGTTGCGCGCATGGGGGAGATTGGATGTGCGACCATGAGACGAACCATTGGTCCATGACCTTCTGCTGGACAATGGGATTGCCGCGGATGAAGTCGTCGAACGACTCGGTCTCGGGGGTTGCCCGGTAGGGTGCGAATGTCAAGTAGTGGTCTTGGAAGTTCAGACCCACACCAGGCAGGTTCACGAGGGGCTTGACGCCAGCCTTGCGGAGCTTCTCAGGGTCACCTAATGCACTGTCAGTGGTCTTGGACTCCGGGGAGAGCGAACATGGTATGCATTACCGATGCCAGAGCGCTGCAAGATGAGCGGCGAGCTCAAGGTGCCGCCGCTGATGATGATTTGTTTACGAGCCTTGTAGATCTTGGGCTCGTGCTTCTGCTGGGGGTGCAATGGCTTGGCAGGGAGGGTCTTGACGCCCACTGCCTGGTCCCCATCCAGGATGACCTTGTCGATCTTGGTGTTGCAGACAAGATGCAGGTTCTGGTGGACAGACCGAGTGCTGTGGATGTATGCGTGGGCCGAGTCAGACCGGCGACCAGTGTCACTGCGATCAATCAGTATTGGGTCAAGCTATGAAGTGCGGGGTCATCTTACCGGTTAATCCACTTCAGCCAATGTTCAGCACCGTGGCCGGTCACTAGATCTTGAAGATCGTCGGTGGTAGGAATGCCTTGGGACTCGGTGGCGCGCAGGAAGTCCTGCATGATCGGATAGGTGTAGTTGCCAAAAGAAACCTTGATTGGGCCCTCGAATCCGTGCAGATCCCGGTTCTGGGCTGGGGACGTTGTCAGCACGAGTTTCAACGGGAGGTTCCGGAGGAGACCTTACAAGCTCGCTGGTACGTCTCGTGCTTCTTCATCAACGGAATCAGCTCCTTGGTGGTCCAGCCCTTAGCCTGGAAGTCGTCATAATCCGAGGCGGAGGCACGCGTGTACATCATGAAGTTGATACTGCTGCCGCCACCCAGAATGTTGGCGCAAGGAACGATGGCACGACGGCCAGACAGCCACTCCGAAGGCCGCGAGTAATAGAAAGAAGCATTCTTGCTGTCCAGCTTCATATTCCTCGGGTAAATTCCAGGCCGGAACACCCTGCAGAGGTCAGGAAACTGTTCACAGTTGTACAGGATTGTCAAGTGGAGCACTTACCATGGATCATTTAGATTGCTCTCGCCACCCTCAATCAGCATCACCTGGAGGCCGTGGTCGAGATTGGCCAGACGGCCAGCGACAACACAGCTGTGAGAAGGGTGTCAGCAGTTAAAATCTCCCTCAAAGTACGAAGTCTTCAACGTACCCGCATGAACCACCACCGCACACAATGATATCAACCTCATCGGGAACCGTCATCTTGACCAAAGGGCCAATGGGCCAGTCCGAGAACACAATGTGGAAATAGAGAAAGGCGGGACCACAGACTCAGACGAGGAAGTGTTGGACCCAGCGCCGCAAGATGGTTGTGGAGGACAGTACAGAGGAGAGGACGGTCATATTTATCCCCTCCCTGACCCCGCATCACCAATCTTCGGCACAGTGGAAGGAAGCAGTGGCTGACGAGTCTCCGGTTTCGAGGCTTGTGGATACTTGGGGCCGTTGCCCGCAAGCCCCCAGCGGTCTGGGCAACAGCGCCCGACGCGTGGGGTTCCTGCAAGTGTCATGGGTGCTGATAGTGGTATGGGCAGTGCACTCCCCGCTTGGGATGCAAGGCTAGTGCCGGGTCTAAGCAAGGCGATCCCTAATTGGAGAGGGCTGGGAATAGGAGCAGTCGGATGGCGATACGCTTGAAGTATGACGATACGTACCCGCCGTGAAGTGGCCGGCATGTTGCGGTTGGTGGACGCTGAGTGATTTTCTCAGCGGCTGGCTTGGGGACACAGAGGTGGAGCCGGAACAGGCATCCAGCTGGAAAAATAGCTCCGTCTTGCTCTGTTCCCATGCCGCCCCTTTGGAGGTCCAGGACGGAAAACATGTACATTTCCGCATGGCTTGGCCGCTTTTTCGGAAGGGCCGAGCACGTCAACGGAATGCATGAAACTGGCAAAAAAAGCCCCTAGAGGGCTCAAGGAGAGAGACAGCTGCATGTCTGTGTTTCAGTACCGAGGTGGCGACTGGGGATTCGAGCAGCGCCCAGACAGATAAGACGTGGGGCAATGGTCATGTTGAAGTGGCCAGGGTACCACCCCCGCCCGAGGTACTTACGGGATACATGGCTTCAACCGTGTTATGCAGCGTGCAGTGATGGCCATTCCCGACACGCGTCACTACGTGCTAGTGCGTCAACGTGGGAGGCCGCCGCCAGCCACCCGTCCCCGCTTACTTTATTTCCCCGCAAAACGCTAGGGCCGCCGATACTTGGGTGTCCATTTTTGGAGAACACCAAAAAAAAAGGGCGGCTCGACCTCGTTGTGCCGCCCGTTAGGGTCGATTGGGGGAGCTCTTTGATGGCATCAGGGGAGCGCCTCGCGCGGAGCTTGCAAGTTCGCGGGCGGGACACTCGATACAGTGGCTCGATGCCGAAGTGTGGGGTAGAGGTCAATGCCTGCAGACAACGCGGGGAAGAATCCCTGTAGCTGCGCCCATATCCGCCCGTAGCGGAAGCGCAAAGGCTCCAGCCGCTGCATGCCGCATTGCTTCGAGTCAAGAGGGGGGTGGTCTCCTGCATCTTCCCTACTCCACAGCACACTTGGCGAGAGTAGTCCGCAGATCCCCAAGTCGCACCCGGAAATCGAGATGCTAGAAGAACGCGAGGGTTTGTCAGAGGGCAAGAATCATCCTGGGTTGCCGATCTCGTGATCATCGTCGCTGCCGGGGAACCGGAGGCGCGCGACTAGCCCCTTATGTTGTCCGCTGCTCTTGACTGGCTCTCGGTCAGCGCCGGATATATGAAAAGCCCTGGTTGGGAAGCGCGACTCCTCTCGTTCGTGCCGTACGGAGGCGGCCCCGGATCCAATACGTTCAGCTAGACGCAACCCCCGGATCTTCCGGATTGTACTCCCAGCTTGTCACTTGCGCTATTCGTTGTACATTGGCGGTACAAGTACAGTTGCGAACAATCTCTCCTGGTTTGCTCCGGGGTGGCACGTTGTGTATGCACATTGCCCATGGTAACGGGAACACTTCCTCTCGATCCTGGATGTCGGTCAAAAGCAGCTGTGAGCTTACGTCGACCACATTGCCTCTCTGTTCAACGGTTCTGGGCCTTTAAAGGTCGACAATCTCCACGAGTCGGCACTCTCACGGTGCTCTGCCTCGCGTCGCCTTGTTGACTGGGCTCCTCTCCGATGGCGATGTATGCAGCGATTTCGAGGTCCCCGCCCCTGCAATGAGGCACAGCCACTGTTAGAACTTCAGAAGATTGGCTGCATCCGACTGCTGGGGTATGGTTGATCCATTCACGTCTCCGCACGACACGAGTAAGCCGAGAGTTCAAGCTAGAAAGAGTAGGAGGAGCGAATCCGCGGCCTTGATACGTTCATTGTGCCAGTGATTATTAGCCGTCTTCATCAATGCATAGGTCGTTTCGATGATGTGTGTTGCTGTAAAGAGAAGCCACAATGGCAGCCGCAAATGCATGTTCTTGCAGGTGATGTGAGTATAGTGAACAGCGACGCACTTCAAGCTGAAGAATGTTCTGTGCTGAAGTGGGGCAAGTGCAGATATGGAAATGTTGCAGTGATCGCTATAGGCCTCAAAGCGGCACAAGATCCACCTTCCGGTGATGCGGTGGCTTCTTATTGGCAAGCGGATCGCTGGGCTGGTTTGCAGGCCTTCCTTACAGGAGGAAACATGCAGGCAGCGAGAGTCTCCACAGGCTATTAGGCTGCCGGCCCCATGTCAGGCAGGAGCGGGAGAACATTGTTTGTTACAATCCGGTTCCTGGATACCTGTGAGCTGTAGGGGTCACCTGCGCGAAGATCAAAACCCACTTTGAGCAGGAAAATGCTCTGACGGAGGGCGGGGACGAAGTGGCTAGACTTGGCTGGCCAATTGCCAACTTCATCGGACAACTTAAGAGCCGGGTTAATTTCTGGCCTCATGTGCAGGGCGGCAGTCCGGAAAGTGTGCCAGGCTTCATCCATGTTTGAGGCGCCCAAAGCGTGCCCGTATTCGTTCATACCTTTGTTGAGAGCATTGTATGCCTCAGGCACGCACGCAACAGGGAAATCCGTTCAAGGTTTCGGATGACGGCTACTAGCCTCACTTTCAGTTTCCGCTGTATCTTGGCTCTCGGGATTTTAGCTGCCTACCGCTATAGGCCCGCCGGGTGCCTCTGTAGGGTGTAGATGGCTTGCTGGGAAGCTGCACACACCCAATAATGCTCGCTGAGAGGAGTGCACCGGAGTCCAGATCTGGAGCCGAGACCAAAGATGACATGCACCGTGCTCCGGTAGGTCAAGCGACCATGGAAGGCAATCAAGTTCCGAGGGTGGCCTTCGAGGTATCGGCAGTTGGAGCAACAAAGAAGGGTCCAATCCAGTGTCATTGAAACCGGGGCGTGGTCGGGTCTCTGTGAGCTACACACTTGACGTGTCACGCTAGGAGGGTCCTTGAGGTAAGAGATGGAGAATTTTGGTGGTCAGTGGTTCCTAAGCATCGGCGGTGGCTGCGAGCGGGCCGAAGCAACGAGAGAGTCCAAAGTGTCTTACTCGGGTGAGCCGGGCGGTGGGCGAGTCGCGCACTCGGAGATGACGGCTGGCTTTGGAGCGTGCATCGCGCGAGACGCGGCGGCAGACAGCCGGCCCACCCGGGGCTGTCTCAGGTAGAGCAGGTGCAAACAGGCGGCGGGGAGTCCGCGGAGGCGGGACGCCACCAAGCCAGCAGCAAAGACGCGAACGGCCAGCAGCATTGGGGACGTGTTTGGGTGAAGGGAGAAGGGAGGGCGAAGGAAAGAGCCCAAGCTAAGCGGGGCGTCCAAGCGGTTGCGGCAGCCGGGCCGGGGTCGGCGGTCGGCAACCAAGGGGTCTTTAGGGCTGAGGCGGGGACCGTTTCCTGTGACGTTGATGTTCGGCCTGCCACAGGCCACCCGCATCACCGTCCCTCCTGGCCCGCGCTGAGGCCGCAGTCGTATAGCTGGCTCCTGGCTGGCGCTGCCCTTGTCAGCCGCTCCATTCTTCCACACGACCGCCGTCGAACAAGCCGTGACCTTGGCGCGCAGAGGCTTCCCCGCATACCTCCTCCATCACCTCAAGCGTCAGGCCCCCGCTGGCCCCGCTGACCAACTTGTCAAGCAGTCGCGAGCTTGGGTCGACAAGCTCCAGGGCCGCGCCGGCCCGCTTGGCACCAACATGACCGCGCCGGACGCGAGGCCTTCAGGCTCCTACCTTGCCGCAGGCATCAACGCCATCTCGCCCTGGGGTTCGCGCAACCAGACGCCCCAGACCCATCCCGCCCCCGACTCCGGCGAACCGCAGCCGCCCGAGCTCAACCTCACCCAGCAGAGCAGAGGAGCCGACCACACTGTGACCCACAGGCATCGCCTGAGTCTGAAGAAGTATCCGAGGGACTGCCCGCCGCTGAGCGTGCAGTGGTTTCATGCCGTTGACATCCCCAAGCGGAAAGCCCTGGTCTTTGCCAACAGCGCCAACAAATCGGACAAGCCGCCGCAGCCGAAGAAATGGAACCCCTTCTCGACCGGCGACTCGCGTGCCCTTGAGGCCACCTTTCAGAAAATATGTGACGAGGCCGAGGAGGCTGAGCGCAAGAAGCTGCAAGACCAAGGAGGTGGCCAGGATACCGCTGGGAACGAGGAACCTGAGCAGTGGCAGATCAAGGAGCGCAACGTTCGCTGGGAGAGATCGGAGCCGAACGGCGTGCTCAAGGCCAAAGTCCCCGTAAACGAAGACTTCCTCTTCGACGTGGACGTTGAGGACCGGGAGCTGGCTCCTGCATACTGGATCGGTGCCGTATACGAAGTGCGGAGAGGCACATGGTTCTTCCAAGGTAACGTCTTTTCGGAGAGCTGAGCGCGTGAATGCCCTAACCCTTCTGAGTAGACAGCACCACGTCTCTTCGGCCTTGCGATGAGAACCTAGCAAACCAGCTAGAGGAGGGCTACATCAAGGTAAAACCCTGGCGCTTTGCCAAGCAAGAACGACCACGCTCCGCATCACAGCCCAAATCGCGTCCCACCTCCATGCCACCCGGCGAAGATCCGAATAAGTCTATGAAGGGTATCCAACGGTCCGCGACGACTGCCTCGGCCTCAGGGGACTCCGGGCCAGACTCAGCACCCGAGAGCTCAGCACCTGAGCCCAAGGACCCCCAAGCACCGGAACCGCCCAAGACACACCGGTTGTTTGGAGCTCACATGAACTCTGTTGTCACTTATCAGGACTCTGCTACCGCATGGCTTCTCACCGATGATTTTCTTTCGCGCATGAGCAGCACTATGTACCAACGTTTCGCTGGAGGCGGCCATTTTGCAGGCGTCAAGATCGTCCGCGGTTACGTGGATCTTAAAGCTGAGAAGGAGAAGGAAAGGGAAAAGGCTAAGAAAAAGTCTACCAAGGATGAGAAGGACGACAAAGAGACCAGCGCAGACGCCAAGGCTGAGGCGTCAACCAAACAAGAAGCAAAAGCCGTGGAAACGTCGTCTGGGGAGCAGAGTGAAGTCGAAGAGACTCCTGCTAACGCTCGTCGCCGGACGCTTGAGCGCCAGATGTCGAATTTGATGGCTTCGACTGACCCCCAAGACCTCGAGAAACAAGAGGAAGAGGTCCGAAAACGCGCCGAGAGGGAGATCCGGGAGGATTACAAGGAGCAGGAGGGAGAAGAGCAAGGCCGTGAGATCGAACATCTCTTGCTTGTCACCCACGGCATTGGCCAACGCCTGGGGATGAGGATGGAGTCGGTCAACTTCGTCCACGACGTCAACACTCTTCGCAAGACTCTGAAGTCTGTATATGCCGGCTCGGCAGACCTGCAGGCTTTGAACGGGGAGGTTGATAAACTACCCAAAAACTGCCGCGTGCAGGTCTTGCCAATCGTCTGGCGCCATCTCCTTGACTTTCCCAAGCAAAGTCTGAAACATAACAGGCGGGAGTTCGACCTTGGAGACGCTCATTCGATTGAGGATGATGAGTACCCTAGTCTGGAGAACATCACGGTGGAAGGGGTTCCGGCCGTGCGGAACCTGATAACTGACCTCGCCCTGGATGTCCTTCTTTATCAAAGTCCTGCTTACAAGAGCCACATCTCCAAGATTGTTCTCCAAGAATGTAACAGAATCTACAAGCTCTTCCAAGATCGGAATCCCGAATTCAATGGCAAGGTCAGCCTTGTTGGACATTCTCTTGGATCTGCGATTATGTTCGATCTACTCTGCAACCAGAAGGAGGACAAGGCCCACGGGAAACATTACAAGCACCATCGACGAGCAGAAGACCTGAAGCTAGACTTTGACGTTGAGGATTTCTATGCCCTCGGCTCACCCATTGGTCTTTTCCAGATGCTCCATGGCAAAACCATCGCAGCTCGTATTTCGCAGAGCAAACTGCACCCGGACTCTCAAATGCAGACGGACGATCCTTTCTTAGGGGACCCGGCCCGACCTTCATCTTCAAGCCAGGAAAGCCACTTCGAAATCACTACTTCTTCACCGAAGTGCCAACGCATCTTCAACGTCTTCCATCCCACCGATCCCATCAGTTATCGGCTCGAGCCTCTGATTTCTCCAGCCATGTCGGCCTTGAAGCCTCAGCCGCTTCCTTACACCAAAAAAGGCATCTTTGGCGCTCCTGTCGCGCAGGGTCTGACCGGCATAGGTGCACGCGTGGGACAGAGTGTTTCTGGCTTGTGGTCAAGTCTCAGCTCGGGCATTGCGAGCAGCCTGCTCAACCGAAGTCTTGGGCTTACTGCGGATGATGCATCTAAACTCGGCAACCCGATTGCAAGCCAATCTCGCGGCCCTCTCTCTGCTAACACAGGCAACGGCGCGTCCAACCCAGCCGTCTCCTCAACAGCAGCCGCAGCTTCTCTACAGGAGAACAGTGGCGCCGCCACAGAAGCTGCGAACATAAACGATGACAAGAAACGCAAGTTGGCGCAAAACCAACAGGGCAGCTCTACCGACCCGACGACGACGCCGACCAAAGTCGAAAGCGGGGAAGAGGGCCAGCACCCGCCAACCCTGATCGACTCGGAGCTGGAGACGCTTTACTCGGGCTTCGCAAAGGAGCGCGGCGATGCCGATCCTCGCGATCTTGGCGAGCAGCGCGAATGGCAGGAGATTGAGGAGCGCAGCCGCAAGCTGAGGCGCGAGGAGGCTAAGGTCAGGGCGTTGAACAGCAACGGGCGAGTGGATTACAGCATTCAGGAGTAAGTCAATACATGGCCGAACCGGAACAAAAAAGGGGGACGAAGCGTGACTAACGGAACAATAGGGGCGCCTTCGACATCTCCCTGCTCGCTAGTATCGCCTCTCACCTGTCCTACTACGCCGATGAAGACGTCAGTCACTTCATGATCTCTCAGCTGCTAGCTCGGCATCGTGTGTTGAAGAAGGCGAGGAGCGCGCCGGACTTCAACAAGCAGTGAGACGCTGCCGCCACCATCATACCAAGAGCAGCAAGAGCCAGGTTGACGATCATGTCGTTGATCAGCTATTCCTTTCCCTTGTAAATACTGTATGCGCATATGCGCAAACCCGCTATCCAGATTCTTAAGCGTTCTCCTTTCTTTCCTGTTCTCATCCCTCTCTTCGCGGGATATACTCCCCTCTCCTATCTGAAGGCCGGCTTTTGGTCTGGCGTTCGCAGGTCAATGGGTTTGAAGTAGTTTCCCACTGTCCCTCACAGGATATTTTGTTTCCCCCGCACTGGCGTATTGTGGAGTTTTTAGTATACAACTGGTGTCGTTGATCTCAACTCATTGTTCCCAGCTTGACATATCGGCGTTCTTCGTGTTTCTCGTGGGAAGAGATGGGAGAAGCTCCCCTTTGGGTAATGGAGAAGAAGAAGAAGAAAAAACGAATAAATATAGAATAGACTTTCCGCCCGGGACGCGCTTTCGTTCTGGCTTGATATGCGGAAAAGGAGGTAGGCAGGCTGTTTGTCGTCGCACTGCTGGTTAGATGGCTATAAAGAGACTGGGGTGGAGGCTTGTATGAAGTGTTCGATATGGAGAGAAGACAGTTGTCGGTCGGTAGCTGTGGTTCTGATTTGGATCTAGGAATGGAGCTTTGCATTACAATCTGTTGATGTATTGCAACACAAGATCAAAACACGTCCCTTGTGCCTCAATTCCTTCAAGATTGCTTTGTCCTTCCTACGTGCGTGGGCAGTTGAAATAAATTGATAGGGATTTGGTTGCGAGTCTGAAAAGTGTACAAATACATCCATATTCCGGATTCCACTATCCACGTAAAACTCTAGTGAGCCCAATTCTCTCGCACCCCGATGTGCCGAGACCGCTAGCAAGCAACATGACCCGCTGTTAGAGAAAAAAGATCATGACTGGGTAACAAAAGAAGAAAGAAAGAAAAAAAACCAACACCAGCGTAACACAACCGCTAAAGCCGACAGACACATTTCCGCCCGGCTCCCTCAGCGACGACCATAGCAGCCCAAAAAAAGAAAAAAAACATTTCCTTCAAAAAGATAAACTACTACCACGGATACTGCCTGACCTCGTCCTCCTTGTCCAGCTCCAGGCCGGCGGCCAGCTGCTCCTCGTGGCGCTTGTCGAGGTACTCGAGCAGGACGTTCTCGAAGCGCTCGCGGCCCTTGTACGACGACACCTCGCCGTTCCAGCTGCGGATGGCGGACGCGAGGCGGCCGGGGACGTAGGGCTCGTCGCAGATGTCGGTGATGGGGTGGAAATAGGTGCGGATGGTGAAGACGACGCCGCCGGAGCGGGGGAGTCTGATCGGTTGTCAGTTTTTTGATTTTTTTTTCTTTCTTTCTTGTTTGACTCTGTGTGGAGTAATCGCGAATATGGGGATGGGAGGGAAGAAGAAGAAGGAGAAGGAGAGGAAAGACAAATTTGACGCACCTCCTCAAGCTCTGCCTCTCGCTGCGGAAGAAATGATGCTTGATGGCGCGGTCCTTCTCGGCGGAGAACCAGCCGATGGTGCCCTCCTCGCCGTCCTCGGGCCCGATGCTGTAGCTCCACGCGAGGTCGTCGTCGACCTGGATGAAGTAGTTGTTGCGCACGACGGGGTTCTCGGGCCGGACGCGGCGGAAGAAGTTCATCATGCCCTTCTCCAGCTTCGTCTTGTACTCGGGCACGCTGGCCGACGTGTGGATCTCGCTCAGCGGCATGCCCAGCTTGTCCTCGAGCCGCCAGAAGCCCGCGAGCAGGATGCAGCCCGCGAGCAGGTAGTACTGGCCGTCGGGCCGCTCGAACATGATGGCGAGGTCGTCTTGGATCTGGCGCGCGCACATGACCATCGGGTCTTCCTTGAGCGGGCGTTCGACGATGTTGAGCGACTCGCCCGTCACGACGTTGTCCATGCCGACGGGGGTTTTCTTGAACATGGTGGGGTACCGCTGCGGCAGGTACGAGCACAGCTCCTCGAGCAGCTCGACCGCGCCGTCGTATACCTCGGGCGCGGTGTGGTATAGCTTTGCGGCGCGCGGCGATGCCAGTCGTGCCGCCTTCTTTGCGTGGAAGTCGTGGTAGTGGTTGTCTAGCTCGATCCACTCGTTCCAGTCCATCGTGCGCAGGCCCATGGTCGTGTTGTATTTGGGTCCGTAGCGGAAGGGCCGGTAGGGGCGCGGTTTGCTCGTGTCGACTGACCAGTTCGGGTACGGCTCGGCGGCTGGACGCTTGAAGTCTGATGGAGGCCATACTGTTGTGCGTGGTTGAGTGTCAGTCACGTATATACATAAATGTGCATGGACCGAGGCTGTGTCGTGTAAGCTGAAGGGAACTCACCTCCAGGCGGACGATCGACCTTGAACTTGCTCGGCTTCTCAGGATCCGGTGAACCGCGTCTTGATGGTGTCTTGCTGGGCTTGAAGCGGCGAACAATCAACACTGACGCCCAGATGAAGGTCGCGACGGCGAGGGCGGTATAGATGAGCGATTGCGGGTTGTCCATGACATGATCTTGGAAGGCTTTCGATGCAGCCTGGGCGTGGGCGGACTCGATCGCTTCTCTGGCCCGCAGCTTGAGGGAGTCCATCATCGCACGACTGTGACACGCAAACACGTGCTTGGTGAGGATGGGTGGAGGATGAGAGAGGACAACAAGGCTAGGAATTGGTCCACTGCAAATCACTACGAGACCGGCAGCGGGCTATTTAGCTAACAATATATGGCTGAAGTGTTGCAGGGCCGGCGACCACTCCTACTGGGACTGTCCACTGATGTCGCGCACGATAGTAGAAAATGTTCCCTTGGCCGCAGCGATAACCCACTGTGGGGTTGGGTTTATCTCTATCCTGGAGTCGGGGTTCGTTTGCCCGATGGGGTAAAGTTGGCCCCCGCCAGTGACGTGCGCAGGGATTGGTCAAGTCTCTGGGAACCCCAACTGCTCCGCACCCTCCTAGCACGCCGTCTTGGGCAAAGTTTATACTCCGGCCCGCACCCGTGAAGAGCCTGATGAATCCATCGAGCCCTCTACGCCGAGTCGCCCGATGCTGATTTGCGGCGGAGCAAGCAGTATCTTCCCCACCTTCTGCGGTGGCGTTCTGGAACGAACGGGAGATCTGGCACCCACCCAAGCCGGCCGATAGTGCTCGTCGCCGCTGTATCAAGGAACCTTTCGCATTTCACTGCTTCCCAGGTCGCTGTGTCTCCAACATAGTCCGGCTCCAGCTCAGATGGCGTCGAGCTCGGTAGCGACGAGTCGACCATGAAGGTGCAGTGCTCGATGTCCGTCTGATACGCTGTTAGCTGGAACAACGGGAGGGGGAATCTCTGCTCACGTATTTTCCCGGGTCCTCTTTGTTCTCGTCGTTCATGCCGGACGGGATCAGCCACGCACCCGGGTACAGCCCGAAGCCAACGTTTGCCTCGCTGAACTCGCCAGGAAGAAGTCCGGTGAAAGCGCTCTTGACGAACTTGGCCTTGACACCGTCGGGCAGGAAATAAGAGGACGGAAATCGGTACCACTCTTTCCCAAGACAAACCGTGTCACCCGGCTTGGATCCTCCCGCTTCGTGCAGGGGTCCATATACCTGCAGCGGTGCCGAATACGCAGTACTCAATCCCATCGCGCGCCAGACGCCAATATCAATTGCGCCCACGACGAAGACAACGGCGACGCCCAACTTCAGCTTGGCTGGGATCCTACCGATCAGGCGGTGGGGATCCGAGGATCCAAAATACGTAAGAAGAACATGCAAAGAAATGGCAGAGTTCAACGCCAGGAAAGGGTAGACGGGATACATAAAGCGTTCCTCCTTGTGAGGCTGAAGGGTGAAGATGGTGAGCCACAGGTAGAAGGGTGACACGAAAATAATGCCTCTTAGGATGCTTGACTTGGTCGAGGGCTGCTTGCGGAAGAGCTGGCTGAACGCTTGCAACGGGAGTGCAGCAACCGCCAGAACGAACCAAACATTAAAGTTCAGGATGAGGTTCCGGACGTAGAAGTGCCAGGGCTCGGTTCCGTAGATATCGGGCCCTCTACCCGGGCCGCTGAAGACATTGTAGAGGACTATATTCAGCGGCACGCACACGAGCTTTCGGTAGAAGAACGAGTTAATCGACTCCGACACGACCTGGCAAAGCGTGAGCTAACAGTGCATGATCGATTACGGATGATGTCACGGACCAGGAGGCAGACAGATCGCACGGCTCCATCGAGGAATCTTCTAGCAGTGTCAAAGATGGAGCCGGTCTGCAGGGCAAGGAAAAGCTCCTCGGCAACGAACGGCAGAACCAGGACGGAGGCGAAGGGCCACCCGAGAATGCCGCCTACGGCAAACCAAAAGATGCCTGCAGCCGTCCTGAGGCCGCCTTTCCAGTCCATGAAGGCGGATGCAGCCAGCATGTTTGTGCACATGGCAAAGCTCGAAGGGAGGTACGAGGTCGAGGCATGGAACATGCCCGGGCTAAAGACCATGGCAATGAGGAAGAACACAGCAATGCGGGGGTTCAGGGTCCTTGCGATGGTCGAGAACAGGCGCGTCTCGCAGCAGGCGCAAAAGAAGCCCAGAGCAAGGCGGACAAAGTAGAACTGCGTGGTCTTGGTGCTGCCGGGGAGCAGCCTAGCGACGGCGGCAATGGCGGCGTGGATGCCAGCATACGCCCAGCTCCGGATGGCATATTCGGGCGAGTATTCCCATGTCTGCAGGCCGTGTTTGTGGTCCAGGTAGTGGGTGGGCTCGTAGAAGTTGAAGACCTCGTCACAGTCCTGCACTGGGGCGTAGAGGGCGGAGATGATGTGGGTGCCGCAGAAGAGGTAGAAGGCTACGACGGGGTTGAAGTCGGGCGCGGGCCTGCGCACGGGGTCAGCGGCGTGCCTGGAGCGGGCAATTGCATCGGATCGCACTTCTTGCCCTTGGGCTGAGCTTTTGGCGGCATTGTTGCGGTGGAGTTGTCGCTCTCAGAAGCTCACGCGTGGCATCGCCCAACAAATGCGTGCCGGAGCCCTGCGCCGCGCCTGGTGCCGCGTCGTCATAGGGCTGTCCAGCTCGGATCGCCCCTGCGCCCGCGCGCAAAATTTCCAGACGCTCTTCTTTTGCGCCTACCGTCCGCCGCTTCTTTCCCACACAATCCCCACTGCATGATCATGTCTTTCCAGGGCGGTATTCCTGGCCTCGGCCTACTGAGCTCTGAGCAGCAGCAGCCTGCCGCTCCTTCGCCCTCCATCACCCCCGACCCCCACGCGCAAGCGCCTCCGACCAGCGATGCGCCGCCCGCAGGTGCATCCGCAGACGCGCTGGACGAGAAACCCGCTGTCGTCGACACCAACATTCCTCCCACCGATCGCACCTCAAACATCCAAACACTAGGCCAAAAGCTCGAGGAAAGCTCCCTGCAAGCCGCCGCTCCCGTCAAGGAAGAGGCGCTCTTCATAGAAAAGACTGACCGGCCCCAAGACAAGCCGGTAAATGTCGAAGTGCAGGGCGACACAGCTGTAAATCAGGATGAGAATGGCCAGGATACTTCAATGGCTGAGAGTTCCGGTCCTTCGGCGAGCACCGCTACTGCGAATGGCGACGCTACTATGGCAGACGGCGACGACGGCATGATCGAGCGGAAGCCGAAGGCAGATCCTGAGTTTTTGCAGGCCGCCGAGGCGAACAAGGGCAATCCGAGTGCCGAGTGGCAGTTTGATTCCTCGGATGCCGAGTCGTCCGACGACTCAGACACCTCTAGCGATACATCTTCGGAAGAGGAAAGCGACGATGACGAATACCCAATGCTCGACGCTGCCGAGGCCGCCCGCATCCTGATGCAGGAAGAATATGGCGACGATGAAGGTGGAAAAGGCCCGGCGGCGCAGCTTCGCACCGCGAACGAGGTCGTCGAGGAGAAGATCGAGAAGCCCAAGGTTACTGTGACGCCGGAGATGAAGATTACCGAGCTTGGGGATGTCGAGAGCATAGTCGACAACATGATCCTCATCAGGGCGAACACGACGGGCGAGTACCAGGTGCTTGAGGGCGGGTCGGTATTGTGCAAAGATGACCGGTCCGTCATCGGCGCTGTAGCCGACACCCTTGGCAGAGTGCAAGAACCCCTCTACACTGTGGCCTTCAACAACGGCGAAGAAATCACCGAGGCTGGCCTTGTGAAGGGCCTGACCATTTACTACGTCGACAGTCACTCCACTTACGTCTTCACGCAGCCTCTGAAGAACCTGAAGGGCACGGATGCATCCAACCAGTTTGACGAAGAGGTCGGCGACAATGAGATTGAGTTCTCCGATGACGAAGCTGAGGCCGAGTACAAGCGCCAGCAGAAACAAAAGAAACGCGCTGCACATGAAGAGAAACACGGACCCCGTGGCGGCGGCAAGGCCACTCCTCAACAGGCATACACGGGTGCTTTGAGTTACGACGACGACGGAACGGACATGTACACCCCCATGAAGAGGCCGGACAATCTCCATCACCAGATGATGGACCAAGGTGGTGCTCCAGTGGAGGGACAGCCTGGTTCATACAAACCTCACCGGGGACGTGGAAAGCGTGGCGGACGTGGTGAGCGAGGCGGACGTGGCGGAGGTGGTGGTGGTGGTGCTCGTGGAGGAGGCGGACTTCAAAGCTCCGCTGGTCATCTGAAAACCCAACAGAACCCGCCTCAGACGCAAGCGCCTCCTCAGCAGGCATTCTCTTTCGTTCCGCCTCCACCGCCGCAGGTGAACCCGTCCTATCCCCAGCAGTCCTCTTCACCTTTCCAGTTCAACAGTCCTCAAGCATACGCATGGCCTCAGAGTACCCCCTCACCAGTCACCTTTGGCCAGAATACCTCACAAGCATCTTCCAACTTCCCGGCTGGTGCCTTTGTGAACCCGGCCTTCTTCCAAGGACAGCAACAGCAGCAGCAACAGCAACAGCAGCAGCAGCAGCAGTCTTACGGTACACAGGCACCGTACCAAGCTCCTCAGCAAGCTGCGTACACTTCTCAGTGGAATAACCAGCAAGCTGCCGACGCATGGCGCATGGTCCAAGCGATGGCTGCAGCTCAGGCAAACACTGGCGGCCAAGGCCAGGGCCAGGGCCAGGGCCAGATACAGAATCAAACTCAGCAAAGTTCGGCTAACAGTGCCGCTGCGATCCAGGAGATTCTAAGAAATCTCAGTAACCAAAACAACGGTGCTGGACAGCAGTAGGTTGATGCATGGTATGTATGATGAATTTTGTACAGCGCTTAGGGGCTTTCGGAATACGTCCAGAGGAGTTCTATCTCAACGTGCAGTGAGAGTCTCCTGCATCAGTCTAGTGGCTGTCCCGCAGTTGCACTCTCGACACGCATCGGAATCATCAACATATCATGTTAGCAGACATGATGACAGCGAGCGCATTGTCTGTTCGAGCAGTACTGTCTGTGTACAACCTAGTCCTGGATCTTCCCGCACCGGATCCCCACAAGGACCGTTTGTGGCACAGCTCGATGGCAGGTTCATCACTTGTTCCTAATAGCTGCAAGAGACGCCGTAAAGAGTCGTTTCTCTTGATTGGTTATTACCTATTGGATTGTTTGGGGGAGGCCCAATCCTTGCCCTAAAAGCAAAGCCGAAGGGCTATTCCGGCATTTCACGGCGCTATGGTGTTGGTCTTGGAGGGGGAAAGAGCGCATGTCCTGGAGGGCGTCAAGAGAGCTCGCAGGTATTGCTGCTGGGCGATCGAGTCTGTAACTTTGGTCGATGGCTGGCGGGCAATGCATGGGGCTGCCCTAGCTAGCTCTTTTCGCGGTCAGCAACTACGAATCCTTTGAATGCCCAGATGTTGAGAGTGGATGCAGTGCTACGTGAGCATGCGGAGTTGTAGCACGCAGTCGGACAATGCAACTGGCCGAGCGAGCTCATCACGATGGGATGCAGTGCTGGCGGGAAGCATGGTGCGCACTGCAGGTGAGACGGAGCAGCAAAGACTTTGAGACATGGCGATGGATTTGCTTGGGCGGCGGCTGAGGCTCAGGCGACTGCTGTGCCGGTCACGAGTGTGTTGCATGCAGCAGTGTGGAAGCCAAGCCCAAAGCGCCAGGATGCGAAACGCGAGCGCGAGGAACCAGATGCGGCAGCCAGGTAGGCACGGTGGCACGGCCGAAACAGCAGGGGTGGTTGCACCCGCCGCGCGACGGGGAGGAAGGCGGCCGGCCCTGCGAGCTGCCTCACCTGCTCACCAACTTAAGCTGGACCTCACAACTGCTTCTCCACACCCATCGAGCCTTCGAGCTGACCTTTATTTAGACGAGCGCTTGCCAAGCGCCGAGACCGTTAAGTCCTCCCCAATCTGCTAGCTTTCGCTCGGCGAACGCCCGGCCGGGGTGATAGACCGTGCCTGGCAGGCGCTGACCACTCAGAGGCGCAGGTAGCTGGCCGGACTTTCCATCGCCTTATGCCTCCCAGTATTATTATTATCATCCGTTCCAGTTACTGCTCCGCGTCATGCGCCGCCGACAGGGTTGGCCTCCACGCCTGCCGCTCTTCCGCCCCGCGCCCCAGCGCTGAATGGCCAGTTCTGCCACTTTTAATCTGGCCAGCCGGCGCGGGCTGGTTGGCAACCACGGCTCACGCCCGCCTTCAGCTGGCACCGCCCTGTCACTCTCCTCGCACCCTCTAGTGCTGTTCTTCTCCCACTCTGCTGCTTTTTCTTCTTCCCACCGACGCCTGAATCTGCTGTTCTACCCTCGCTCCAGGATCCCCCGCCATCCTCACGCTTTGCCAGTGTCACAGTCCCTGCATACCGTCACTCGTTTCTGCACGTCTCACTTGCATTCTGCCCATCTGATCCTTCCTGATCGGCGTCTGGCCCGACTGTTCGTTTTCGCTGGCTTTGTGATCGACTCCTCTTGTGTGATACAGACCGGGAGACGCCTCGCTCAGTCTCGTCAGCGGTACCCACCTGCTTCCGAATCTTCAGTGGAGGGGTACACTTGAGCGCTTCGTTCTCGTCCGTCATTCGTTACTTTCTCTACAAACTTCTGGCTGTGTTCAGCATGAAGACCGCCTTCCTTATCGCCAGCTGCACTGCTGCCCTCGCCCACCGCGCTCTGAGCAGCCCTCTCGACCCCTCTCTCCTCGTCACGCGCGAGAAAGAAGACTCCTCCTGCGGCTCCAATTTGCAAGTCTGCAACCCTTCCGGCGCCTCGACCGACAAGCTCCCCCCTCTCGGTCCCGAGCTGTCCGGTCTCTACCTCTCCCTCCTCGATTCCGTCCAAGGCATCAACTTCAAGCGTGACAACAACAACAACAACAGCATCCACCCCCGCGACACCCCCTCCTTCTGCTGCGCGACCGGCACCTCCTGCGTCCTCCTCTCCTCCTACAACATCCCCTTCTGCTACGACAAGTTCACGACCAACTACGTCTTCCCGGACGGCAGCTCCGGCACCATCGCCACCGGCGCCTTCTCCTCCTCCTCCGCCTCGGGCGGCGGCGGCGGCGGCACCGCCAACCTCATCTCGGGCGCCTACGCCGGCGGCAACAAGAACCTCTACGACCCCTCGGACCCGGACGCCGCCGCCGACAGGCCCGACACGGCCACGCTCAGCATCCCCCCGCAGTACACGGCCGCCGGCGTCGGCTCCGCCATCCCCCTCACCGCGCTCGGCGCCACCGGCAGCGCCGTCGTCGTGACCGCCGTCGAGACGACCGTCGTCTCCACCGTGCCCGCCAGCGTCGTCGTCGTGCCTGCGTCCACTCGGCCTGCCAGCACCGTCGTCACCGGGACGACGGTCGATGGCGTGACGACGCGCGCGGATAGCGTCGTGCCCCCGACGACGGTCCCGGCGAGCACGAGCACCGTCGCTGCGGCGCACGAGACGGTCGTGACGGTGTCGTCGGAGTCGACGGCGACGGCGACGGCGACGACGGAGGGGTCTGGTGACGCGTCGGCGTCGGCGGCGGCGTCGGCGTCGGCAACGGGTGGCGCTGGGGCGGCGGCCGAGGTTGGGGGTCGTGGGGGAGTGTTGGGTGCTGCTGCTGCGGCGGTGGCGGCGGCGCTGTTGGTGCTGAGGGGTTTGTGAATGAATGAATGAATGGATGGATGGATGGATGGATGGAGGAGGGAAGACGTTCTTTCTTCTTCTTGTGCAAACGGGGGGAGGTTTTTTTTTCTCGTATATGCTTAATTTTTTTCTTTCCTCCGTCTTTTCTGTGTAAATGTCTAATGATTGGAGAGAGGGAGGAAGAGCTCGTCGTTTCTGGGTATATTCGGAGGGGGATTGATGGAAGGGTAGGAGAGTCGGGCTCATGAAAGAGGACGTGGATGTTGTGACGGAAGGGAACGGAAATTGGAAAACGACGACCTCTTTTGATGGGGGACGGATTGGATGGGGTTCAATGGACATTTGAAAAGAAGGGGGGAAATAGGATGGAGAGCGTGGCAGCAGGATAACTAACCAATCGGGAGGAACTCACTCGTCTGAGCAAAGGCAGCCCCGCACACCAGTATGGTCCAGTTGGAATAACTCCCAACACGTAGTATTGTCTTGCATTCGCGGGTTTGGTTCGGTTTGGTTTGGGGAGGGGGACGTCCCATGACAACGTTTTAATTCAGCGGGCTGTCAAGCAGGTCCTTTGGGTTCCGGGACGCGTGCGCGCCGAAAAGCGGCGCAGGCGGGACCCAAGGCTGGAGATGAACGATCCGCAACACAGCATGCCCATCGGTATCTATCTAGATCATCACGATGTCCGCCGGCGGAGGCGGTAGTAGAGCTTAGCCTCGATTGGGGAGAGACATAATTGTGGTGCTAGCTACTGTATATCGAGACAAAACACATCAGTACCTGTAGAGAAGAGCGATTATCGTAGTATATCCAAATGGCCCCGAAAGGTTCCAGTTTAATGACCATTCCTGTAGCTGCTGCATCGCGTGCGTAGGGGCGCACTTGATAGAGATGGAGAGACCCAACAAGAGAAACAAACCATGGAGCGCGGAAGTAGTGAGGGCGGGGCAAACAGTTCGACACCCCCCTCTTCCTCCTCCCCCTCTTTCTCCTCCTCCTCCTTCTCCTCCTCCTTCTCCTCCTCCCGTACAGATAGCTCTGCGTGAATTGACAAATCTGTCCGCCCACTGAAAGGGAATCTGCACCTGCACCCGCGCTGCTCAGCAGCATTTTAGCTAGCCAGCGAGAGGAAGGAGCGGACGAAGCAGCGCTGCATGGGAGAGCCGAAAGCTGTTGAAGTAGAAAGAGGTGTGCGGTGCTACCATTATCGTTCTTTTGTCGCCGTCATAGAGCGCAGAGGAACGGTCGGTGTCTGGGTAAGAAGGTAAGAAGACGGGGGTGTGTGTGTGTGTGTGTCCCAAGGCCTTCCCTCGTTGGCCGAACTTTACGATGATAGGGTTTGGTGCGGACGTCCTTTCTGATATGAGGTTGTGGATGGCGCGGTTCCCGACGACGACGACGACGGCTTTTGTAGTGGAGAAGATTGTCGTGGGATTGGCCGGTGCGGAAGAGAGATGGAACATTGCTAACTTCTGAAGGAAAGGGAACGGAGGGTCGCGGGGTTAAAAGAAAAAGAAAACGAAACAGCGTTCAACAAGAGATTCTCGAAACCAAGACGACAGCATTGCTGGTACATACAAACACATAAACAGGAGAAGAGAGAGCTGAATTTTCACTCACCTCTACAACTAGTAGTTAGGTCTAAGACCGAAACAGGAGCAAGCTGCGGGCCAATATTCATTACCCAATAATGAGCAACTTCCAAGTGGCTTGGTTCACGCATCTGGGGCGGGGGCGTTGATCGGAAGGGAAAGGGGAGAAAAGTTGCAATTTCGTGACTTTTGATCTATGGCATCATGTCTTCTGCTCTATCGCTCGCTCGCTCGCTGCTATTCTAGCATTTCAAATAAGAATCATCGTACATGCATGTCAATCAGTGCATCCCATAATCTCCACTCTCGATCATGCTCCTCTGGCACGCTGCCAAGATGGTCGCCTGCCTAGCGACGTCGCCCAGACGACCGATGACCTTCCTGTTGCCGGCAGCGAAGCCGTACAGGCCGTAGGGGATGTTCACGTCGTCGCAAAAGTCCATGACGAGGCGCTGTGTGCGGCGCAAGTTGTGGCGGGGGATGCGGGGGTAGAGGTGGTGGATGGCCTGGAACTGGAGGCCGCCGTGGAAAAAGTCGAGCCACTCGGGGCAGTCGACGTCCATGGTGGTGCGCAGCATCTTCTGGGGGAAGCTCTCGTGGGTGCCCAGGTCGGCGGTGCTCATGGCGAAGTGCGAGAGCGTGATTTGCACGTGCACGGGCATCGTCACCATGTGGCTGACCATGACGAAGGCGAAGCGCTCCCAGCCCGTCGGGATGGACTTGGTCACAACCTCGTAGCCGAACCAGTACCAGAAGAAGATCTGGCCGGCGATCTCCAGGTAGCGGTGCCACCAGGCGGGTCCTCGGCTTGGCGCCTGGGTGCTGAGGAGGTATACCCAGCTCAGCCTGTACAGGTTGAAGCGGCCGAAGCAGAGGATGGGGTAGTAGAGCATGTCTTGGAACCTGATGAAGAACCTTGCGGCAGCGTCGTACTGCAGCACTTTGTCGTAATACGTGGACGTGAGCGATTCAAAGAAACGGTGGGAGATGGCAAAGAAAGGCAGGTGTTGGATATCAGGGTCGTGCTCGGTGTGATTCGTGACAATGTGGTGGACGTTGTGGTTGCGCTTCCACCAGCCCAGACTCAGGCCGCCGAGGAAGTCGGCAATGACGATACCGATGACCGAGTCTGTGTGGTAGTCATGGGTGATGCCCATGTGGCCAGCATCATGGGCAGTGAAGACGAGCTGGTGCCAGAAGCAGCCCAGGAAAAGGGCACTGGTGCAATACCAGCCCGCCCGCAGGAAATACAAGAACAGGCCAAAGAAGAGCGAGTATCGGGAGAGCTCGATCAGATATGACGTGTACCTGCATTGGAACAGGCCCTCGGCTTTGATTCGCTCTTCCAACGCACGATACTTGCGGACAATGTCGTCCTGCACGTCGGGCTTCAGCGGCGGGTATTTGTCCAGATCCAGCGAGATTTCCTGCTGCGTCTTGATGTCGAGGAAAGACATCTTGGGTTTCTCCCGGGCGTCGTCGAGCTCGACGGAGGAGACGGAGGTGGGCGAGGATGCGCGGGTGAAGGTGCTGTCGTTCCGGCGGCGTCTCACCGAGTCGTGGTCGGCGGGCTCGAAAATGGGCGAGCCATCAGAGCTTCCCTGGCTCGAGTCGTCGCGCTCGAGCTCTGCGTCGGCAGCGTGGGCTCTCAATGCGTCCAGCTCGGCCTTGGTCCGGAATTTCCCACCTTGGATGGGCGGCACGAAGTTGAGCCAGCGGCCGTCGACGCGGCCGATTTGGAAGGCGTTCATGCGCTGCGCTGCTTCTGGAGAGTGCAGACTGGCGGCGGCGGCGGTCAGCAAGCTCCTCGAAGGGCAATGGGCGTGTCCTGGACGCTTACACATGGACCTCGTCGGTGGCGTCTCTGCCGACCATGTGCTTGATTGCCTTGTCACCGCCGGGGTGGTACTTCATCCAGGCATCGCACTTGAGGACTTTGCCGTCGACAATCACGATATGTCGGCCATCGGCGATCAGCGCCTCGATTTCCGGACGCGTGTAGACGCGGTCCTTGCGGCTTGCGGGCGTCGACATGGAGGCCAGGGAACGCGGAGGAGCTCACGGAAGAAAGAAAACTTCACACAGCGGGCGATTGGGCGGCGGGCATGGCGGTGCGGAGGAGAGACCAGTGTTGAGGGGAGCTCGGGGTCCTTGGAGATGGCAAAGAGGCCGGATTAACGAAAGCCCAGCACAGCTGTCAGGCCATGGTAGTGCGAGCGAACGATCCACTGCAAGCACCTGCACCTGCACCTGCGGCTCCGTCGCCCATCAGCGCAGCCCAGCCCGCCGCCCAGCCCGCCCAGCCAAGCTTTTCCTCCGTTGCGCCTGCCCAGCACCGCCGGCCGGGTCCGCGATCGAGGCAGGCAGCCCACCGCGCACGTTGTGGAAGTTTCGAGCCTGCGCGTGATTGCACGCGGCATGCAACTAGCTATTTATTCGCGCCCACGGGCGACTGCCAGCCGCTATCCACCGTGCCACTGCCACCGCCTGAGGGCCACCCAAAGCTCCAAGCGTGCCCTACCGAAGACCGGCCAAGGACCCACCGTTTCCCCGCGGTCGGGACTGACAAAACACCTCCCATCCCACCCCGCTCCGAGTCCCTGGGGCTGTCGCAAAAAGCTGCGGTTCGAGCAGATCCCGTCTCCCATTCCGACCACGCCCCCGCCATGGCCCAGCCGCCGATAGAAAAGCTCGCCGAGGAGTGGCTCCGCCTGGACAAGGACCCCTCCACACGTGATGAGATTTACAAGCTCCTGGTCCATGGAGACAAGCCGGAGCTCGAGAAGCGCCTGAGGCACCGCATCGCCTTTGGCACCGCCGGCCTGCGCGCCTCGATGCAGGCCGGCTTCTCGCGCCTGAATGCCCTGACCATCATCCAGGCCTCGCAGGGGCTGGCCGCCTACCTCCTGGAGCAGAGCCCGGACGTCAAGCATCGCGGCGTCGTCATTGGCCGGGATGCCCGCCACAACTCGGACAAGTTTGCCAAGCTGACCGCCGCCGCCATGGTCGCCAAGGGCATCCGCGTGTGGTGGTATGAGGAAACTGTCCACACCCCGCTCGTCCCCTTCGGCGTCGGCGAGCTCTCCGCCGCCGCCGGCATCATGATCACCGCGAGCCATAACCCAGCCCAGGACAACGGCTACAAGGTCTACTGGGGGAACGGCTGCCAGATCATCCCTCCCCGCGATGTCGGCATTGCAGCCGCCATCGAGCAGAACCTGGAGCCCATTACCTGGGACACCTCCGTCGTCGATGAGGGGAGCTTGCTGATCGAGGGTGCTCTGGGTCTTGTCAGGGATGCATACTTCAGGGCAGTCAGGCATTCTGCTGTCCCCGAGGATGAACCCCTCCCCGAGTTCGACAGTCTCAAGTTCGTTTACACCCCCATGCACGGCGTCGGCCTGCCATACATGACGCAGGCAGTCAGGGATCTCGGTTTTGGAGACAAGATGCATGTGGTCGAGGCCCAGGCGAAGCCAGACCCAACCTTCCCAACCGTCAAGTTCCCCAATCCCGAGGAGAAGGGCGCTTTGGACCTGGCCCAGAAGAAGGCCGACCAAGTTGGCAGCACGCTCATCATTGCGAGCGACCCAGATGCTGACCGTTTAGCCGCTGCTGAGAAGGTTGACGGCAGGTGGCACCAGTTCACTGGCAACCAGGTCGGTGTGCTACTCGCCTCGCATATCTTTTCGACCTACCCCAAGGACAAGCCGCTCGAGAAGTTGGCCATGCTCGCCTCCGCCGTGTCGTCCCGCATGCTCTCCACCATGGCTGATATCGAGGGCTTCAAATTCGAGGAGACGCTCACCGGCTTCAAGTGGCTTGGCAACGTCGGGCTTGACCTCGGAGAGGATGGCTACGACGTTCGCTTTGCCTACGAGGAGGCCTTGGGCTACGAGATCCCTTCGGTCGTCCGTGACAAGGATTCTGTCAGCGCAACTGCTACCTTCCTGGTCGCCAGCGCCCGCTGGGCGAACGAGGAGGGCCTTACTCCTTACCAGAAACTCCAATCGCTCTACAAGAAATACGGCCACTTTGAAGACGCCAACACCTACCTCGTCTCACCGTCACCCGACACGACCAACACCGTCTTTGCCGCCATCCGGGCCCTGGCGGACCCATACCCCGAGACGCTGGGGTCTCGCAAGATCCTGCGCTGGCGCGATCTTACCGTCGGCTTCGACTCGGCGACGGAGGATGGCGTGCCAACGCTGCCGGTCGACAAGGGCAGCCAAATGATTACATGCGAGTTGGACGGTGATGTGCGCTTCACGGTGCGTGGGTCGGGTACGGAGCCTAAGATCAAGCTCTACATCGAGTGTCGGGCGGCGAGCTCAGAGGAAGCGAAGAAGGGTGCGGATGAGGTTCTACAGGATCTGCTGAAAGAGTGGTTCAAGCCCGAGCAAAACGGGCTGAAGCTGGCGTAGACTTGGGGTCTCTTTTGGGATGCTGGAGCAGAAAAAGGCGAACGGAGTCGTTGAAGAAGGAAGCGGATCGCGTGTTATCGTGTATGGACTCTCTTTTCAGCGCAACATGTTTTAACTGCGGGGTTCTCATCTGGAGCCAATACCCAGAGAAAAGAAGACACATAAATGCTTAGTCGGTTACTCATGCGATGGTTGTCCGATTTTCGTTGTACAATTTCAGATTGTTCCATTTGGCTGTTGCGAGCCATCGGAGCCCGCCGCAGAGACTTCGAGCATGCTTGCACCTAGAATGCATAACCAAGAGACCAATAGATGAATTTTGCCATCGAGTGAGGTCCTGCCCGCGCTTGGTTGGTCGGTGGTTTCATGCCGAAACCTCGCCTTGCTTCGCCTCATTTTCTGCCTCACGTCGTACCCGAAAGTCGCCTTCCTCGTCCCCGGCCGGGCTGTGAATAAGCAATGTCTCAGGTCCGCCGCCTTGCCGCCACCGTCAATGACTCGGCGGGCACTGAGAATAGCCTTTCTTAGCTCAGCGATCGAAACAAGCATCCCCTGATCAGCCGCCGCGCATGGAAGAGGCGGGTAAGACGGAGAGATCTTGTTTATTTTTTTTCTTTCCCATGCTCGGCAACCATATCCTCACACTTGGCAAGCAAGTCAGACGATCCCTCGAAATCGTTATTGCTGAGAAATGCTGGACTTGAAAAAGAAAGCATGACTGGCTAGAAAAAAAAAAGAAGCGGCTCTTTGCTGGGTGTGGCTATACATATCACCACTTTTCAAGCCTTGTAAGAAAAAAGGAAAAGAGGGAGGAGAGAGCACATGCTCCCGTCTTTTCTTCTGGTCCTCAAAAATTAGAGCCAACACCACCGGCTAGGGCGAGACGATTTACCTTCCTCAGTCAAAAAGGGCAGTGAGATGCTCGTCCCAGCCAGCCGGACCTAAGCGATACCGGACTCGTCCGGATGGAGGAGCATTCACCATCATCGTCATCATCATCATCACCCCATCATTGCATGAAGTCAAAAGAGAGTGCAAAAGCACGCCAGTGACGAAGAAAGACGTTAGCCTACCACCTGCCTCTCCCCGCAGCGCCAACCAAAGGAAAGGAAGAATGAAGAAAAAATAAATAAATCAAATCCACGAACTAGAAAAGAGATAAAAGGCCGGAGAGTAGTAGTGAAGCCATAGAAACCGACGGTCCTAACCGCTGATGGTTTTACCTACATTCTGCTAACCCGCTTTTGGCCTCTAGCGACGCGGCCGGCGCGATGCTACGAAAAGTACTTTGCTCACTAGCTGGCAGTCCTACATGATTAGCAGTAACAAGCCCCGGGCCTCGAAGAAGATGAAGACCGGCACCCGCTGGCCTTTCGGATCCTTCCCGGCCACATGCGAATGGGACCTTTACTTTTTAGCAGCATCTTATTTTTTTCTTTGCCGCCGTAACTTGGCGCCACCGAGTGGCTAGTGACGTGCGAGCGAGGGGAAAAAAGCAATTCAACAAAAATCCTAAGCGCGCCAGGCTGCGGCGTCTGCGGCGGCAGCTTCGACTAACAGTTCCAGACAAAACGATGCGAGCACAGAGAGGAGAGAGGTACATCGCGTGCCGCGTCTGTCCGTCCCTTCCGTTCCCCACTTAGGTGCCCTTTTTCCCCCGCTGTGGCTTGGTCATTCTCTCTGTTTGATTCCTTTTGCTGGCGCGCTGCGTGTCTTTGATTTCTTTTTTTTGCTCTGTTTCTTCCTCTTCTTCCTCTTCATAATTAGCCGCGCTGCTGCCGCATGAATTCGGAGTAACGAGGAAGATCCCGCGGCATGGATGGCACAGATGGGGGGAGGGAGAGGGGGGATGGAGACGCTGCCTGTCGTGCGGCGCGTGCGTGGGGGTCTGATCTTTGGGGGGGAAGACGGGGAACGGGGAACGGGGAAAGGGTCCGTAGCGGCCTTTTTTGTGTGGCTCCTCGCGTCTCGAGCAGATCCTTGACACCACTACTGTCCTTTAATCCTTACCCACAGACACACATGCGCGTGGGAGTGTGTGTGTAATCCATGCGAGATCTTGCCACTCCCTCACTCGACCCTGGGAAGAAGCAGCATCAAGAAGCAGAAATGTTGTGTGTGTGTATGTATGGGGTGCATCGTCCAACCACACCAGAAAATAGGAATAACGAAGAGACCGATGCGCTCCACGCGCGCTTGTCACGTCTACATGCATCCGAGACCGAATTGGACCCAAAGAGCATGCAAGACATGCTAACGTCGATAACAGAAACTTCGTCCGCTCCATAACGGCCTGTCTACTGCGGGTGAATCCGACGATGAGCTTTCTCATGTCACCTTTTGGAACCCGCCGATATGAGGCTGAGATGTGCGAGCTACGCGGTGACACCGGCCGCGCTTCTCTCACATTCTCAGCCGGGGGGGATCGGGGTTGAGGAGGAAGGTCTTGCACACGCGCGGTATGCCTATCCTACCAAGCCACGTACCAAAAATGTCTTCCCGTGTTTTGGGTTGCCCGCGCCTCCGCCGGTGCTCTACTTGCGCGTTACCCCTCTCTTTCAACCTGCGGGATACCTACGCGTCTTGGTTGAAGGATTTCCTGTGAATCTTGTCCGAAGCGGAAGGTGGCAGCTTTGTGGAGTGCGCCATCGTGGGAATGGTGCGCAGCAATAGGTCAACACGATAATTTGTCAGGCATTGACAGGAGGGGAGGCTGACGACGTGCCCTGGCTCTAGGATTCGGAGGCAGGGCCGGAGTCTGGACCGGATCTGCCATCATCTGAGCCTCATATGGGATTTACATTTCTGGCCGTTCCGAAATGGCGATGCTGCCTGACGTGCCGCTGGACGCTGCCCAACGTGATTTTGCGGGTAAGTCGCAACGAGATGCTTGTTATTCTTTTCCGTGCGCACCAATGCTGTAGTGACGGGCTGCACGGGAGCTACTGTGGACAGGGGTGTTTCTGTTTGACGTCTAGAATTTGAATCTTGGAGATTTCCCCTCGGCATGTGGGGGAGATCTGCTTTTCCATAACTTTTACCGTATCTGGCGAAGGAATAACGCCTCGTGATGCCCTCGCTTCATACAACCCCAATATACTGGGTATCATTGTACAATCATGCCTTGACCTCCTCCTTGGCGAGGTCGAGCTTTTCCAGAGCCTCCTGCGCGTTCTTACCCACGCTAACCTCCTGGGCATCCTTGCCCTCAACGCTGCCATCAGCTTGAGCCTCAACGTTCTTGGCACCGCCGGGGTAGCGGCTGCCCTTGTTCTTCACCTTCTTTTCCTTCTTCTTCTTTTCCTCAACAACCGGCGGGTAGGCCAGCTTCTCGATCTCCTGCCACTCCGGAGAAGCATTGAAGGCAGCCTGGATGGGGGCAAGCAACGTGCTGATGGCTTCAGAAACACCCGACTTGAGCAGCTGCGGAGTAAGGACATCGGCGGCATAGTCCGCCTTGATCTTCTCGGCATCGGTGTAGACAAGCGGCTCGCCCTCGCGGCGCTGAACGGTGAAGGCGGGCTTGCCACCCTCGAGAGCGCCCGCCGGCAGCAGGACGTACTCAACGAAGGACAGCAGACCGTTGCCCTCAACAGTCTTGGGCTCAGCAAACGCCTTCTTCAGCTTGCGCTTTACCGCATCCGGGCCATCGAGCAGGTCGATCTTCGAGTCCGGGTCCGACGACGACATCTTGTCTCCCTGCATCGCGTTTGTAAGTAACTTTCTGCTGTGGCGCAGGCATCGCCCTGTCAGACGGCCCCCAACGGCAAGCCACTACCCACCTGCAGACCGGGCACCATCCTGTTCATGATGTGCGCCCTCTCCTTGTAGCCCAGCTTCGGCAACGCCTCTTTCGCCAGAGCGAAGATCTTCCGCTGATCCACGCCACCAAACTGAACATCCACATCCAAGTACTGCTCGTCCAGGGCCTGCATGAGCGGGTAGAGCAGACCGGACAGCAGCGGGTTGTCCGTCTGCTTGACGACCTCGGCACCGGCCCTCTTGGCGTCGTGCTCGGTGGTCATGGTGCTCAGGCGCAGCAGGTCCATCATGTAGTCCTCGCCCTTCTGGTAGCTGCTGCCGAGCACGAACTCGAGCCGGTCGACCGACACGCCGACGGCCTTGAGCGACTCGGTGATGACGAACTTGTAGTACTTGGCGCGGTGGTTGACCAGCTCGATGGGCGCCTTGAGGTTGTCCAGGAAGGCGTGGATGTCGGCCAGCAGGATCTTGACGTGGCAGCCCGCCTGCAGGAACTGCGCGATCTTGAGCATGGGCACGAAGTAGCCGCAGTGCGGCCTGCCGGTCGTCGCGGTGCCCCAGTAGATCCTGAGCGGGCGCTCCCCCTTGTTGACCACTGCCTCCATGATCTCCGGGTTCAGCACCTCCTGGAGGTTCTCGTTGATCAGCGCCAACTTCGCCTCTGCACTCATTGTGTCGGCCATGGTGGTGGGCGTGGTGGGGCTCGTTCGACCCCGCGACGCTGCGGTTTTCAGGTGGTTCGGAGCGATTGGTGAGGCGGCGGGGCCCGGCACAGGTGCTGCGAGGAGTCGGGGACAGGAGGAATGCGTGGCAGTCGAGGTGGTGACTGTGAGCTGTGCCGATATTTTCTGGCCGTTGTCGCCGTCGCCCTGCAGCGGCCGCGATGACTGTTCCGTGGCGCGCACGTGACTGCTTTCTAGCCTAAGGCCCGCGCCCAGAGGAAAGTGGCCGCGAATGCACGGAACTGCTCCGCTACATGCTCGAGAAAGTGCTGGCCGGCACCCTGCACTGCAGCACGTCCTGCAACGCTCGCACGCACGCACTGCTTATGGTTGCTGTTGTTGGCAGCGGCGGGTTTGGCTCTGTGCTTGCTCAAGCGGGCTAAAGCTGCCGGCACTGCTTGTCGATAGCAGCTGCCTGCCGTGGAATGCCGCGCTGCTGTCGGCATGGAGCGACGTCTCATCCCTCGCTTAAAACCGTTGATCTACCGCGCATTCCTAGACGCTGCTACGTATTGTACATGCTTAACCTCTTGCGGCCAGACGCTGTGCTGACATCTCCTCCCACGTCCCTTAAACCCACCAATCGCCCCCCCAAGCACTCCAGCTCCGGCACGGGACGGCTCTGGCGCTCGCAACAAGATTCGGATCTTGCATAGAGATCTGATTCCCCTCCCCACTCCTGCTGCCAGGATGCTTGCCGAGACACTATATCCCAAACAACCCCGTGCCGAAACAGCAAGAGCAGAGACGTGTTTGGACGTCTCGCCTGCCATGGGCTGCTGCAATCATCACCTGCACACCCTTATTTTTAGCATCCTCGAGACGAGTCGCTTCACGGCGGCTAATCCCACGAGAAGCGCTCTTCTCCTCGCTTGACGACGCGCAGCGGCACGTGCCCCTTCCGCATCTGGAGGGTGATGATGGTCCCCAGCCCGTTCTTGAGCACATCCGAGCCCTTGTCAGCTGCCTTTTGCCACACCTCCCTGCGCTCCGGCCCACCACGCGGCATGGCTGCGACCGCTTCGTCGTCGGCAAATGCGTCCACCGCAAGTTCGACGCTGTGCGTGTGCATGAGCGCCGCGATGATGCTGATGCTCTCCACCTGAGCGAAACGGCGGCCCATGCAGCTGCGGTGTCCCTCGCTGAATGGGACGAACGCCCCGGGGGCCGGCTTGAACAGCTGCTCTGCCTTGCCGGACACCGCCCCGCCTCCGCCAACGAGCGGTTGGTTGCTCTCATCAACGATCCACCGTTCCGGCTTGAACTGTTCGAGCTCATCCCCAGGCGGTAGGGCCGATATATCGGGCCGAGCTGGCCAGTACCTGGGATTATTGTGGGCTCCTGGAGTGTCAATGGAGATAAGAGTGTCTTCAGGGACCACGTAGTCCTGGCCGTTCACCGTCAACGTCTGCGGGCTGCCCTTCATCGTTCTCTTTGGTATGCCAACAACGGCAGGAATCATGCGGAGCGTCTCGTTGATGACGGCCGCTGGCATCCCGTTCATAAGCTTCGGCAAGTCCTGGTCGTAGTCCCACTGTGAGATCGGACGATCGCCAACCATCTCGGAGATGGCCTTCTGTAGCCGGCGCTGGCTTTGAGGGTTCAATGCCAGCAGCACAAGGGCGAAATGCATTGCGTTCGCCGTCGTTTCATGGCCTGCAAGGATGAAGATGAATGCGTTCCCCAAAATCTCTGAGTCGCTGAGCACCTGGTTCTGGGGCTCGGCGCCACTCAGGGTCTTCTCGGTGATCCCGGCTCCCTTCATGACAGAGCCTGACGCCACAAGTTAGCTGATGGAACAGAGCTGGACGTCACATGCACAATCGTACCGAGCAGATCCAGCCCTTCCGTCGTTCGCCCCTCACGAATGTGGGTCTTCTTCATCTCATACAACTCCTTCATGTACAGGCCCCACTCGTCATACGCGACAGACGCTGTCCGAGGTCCCTCAAAGGGCACGATATCTGATAACAGAGTCAGCCCTGCAATGGAGAGAGCAAGGACCCTGCAGAGCATCGTCCAATGGGCTTACCGCGAAGCCACTTCGGCATAATTGGGATCCAGATGACGTTCTTCATGAGCTTGCTCATGGCTTCTTTGTACGACATAGTGTGACCGGGTGGTGGTTTGCTGCTTGTCAAACGTTCGTCTTGCCCGTCCACCTGCCCTACAGCCTCCTCGTGGGGCCATAGGCAACGCACGCCGAACCCTGCCTTGCTGATGAGGTTCAAGCTCAGACTCATCATGTCGGCGTCCAACTCATGCAAGCTGCCGCTCGAGACATTGCCGGCGGTCCAGTGCGTGAGGATTGCCTCGGTCTGCCTCAAGCTCTCGTCCCAGACCACGCGGTTGTTCTTCTCACTGAACGACGGGGCGGTGATCTTGCGATGCTTGCGCCAAAGCTGTCCCTCGGTGACGACAACATTCTCGCCGTACAGCTGCAGCGTCTTGTACACCTCCAGCGGCTTGGGGAAGTCCAGGCGACGGGTGGCAATGTCGGCTATGGCTTCGGGATTGGCCACGTAGAGGTGCTTCTCGCCAGGCGAGCAGACGAGCAGGATCTCGCTGCCGAAGCGCTTGAATGGCTCGTACTTGGCCTCGTATAACCATTCGATCCGAAGATACGGCAGCCAACTCTTGGTCCAGGCCTTCGGGAGCTTGTCGATGATTGGGTACAAGCGGTTACCAAGTATCAACCAGAAGACGCCGAACTTGTTCCACGGCAGCACAATGTACGGAATGCCTGACTTCTTGGCGGCCTTGACGTTTGCAGCAAGGCATCTATAGAGATTCAAGAAGTAGACAGCTGCAAGGGCGACGACGGTGACGAGGAGGGCTGATGGCATGGTGGCAAGAGAAAGGGGAAGAAAGGATCGTGATGGTGATCGACGCGGGACCAGCCCACGGCGCGCAGGACGGGCAGAGAAGAGGCTAGAGGAAATCAAGAAGGGCACGAGAGCTGGGAGAGAGCGAGTAATCGCGACGTCAACGTATTCGTGGTTGTAGACGAGAGCGCGCAGCTGGACGATCAAACGTCATGGACTGCGGTGCCTTCGTGTGCTGCGCTACTGGTGCCTCCGCGTATTGTAGCGTGCCTGCCCCGCGCTCTACGCGTTCGCGCGCCTCTATTGGGCCTCGCTGCCGACCGAGACGTGGCCTGCGGCTCACTCCAAACACCAGCGGTCATATGAGCGCGCAGCACGCCCCCGTTCGCGCAAGCGACCAGTCGACCTCTTGTAAGTACTCGCAGCGTGGTGATTATTACCTGTGTCATCGGGCTAATGCGCGGCCATGGGACGAACGTCATCCACAGAGCTGCCGCCCACCGCTGGCCCGGCGTGCACCGCGCTAGACGGTCGTACCCTGCACACCTGCACAACCTTGCGCCCCCCCCCCCCCAACCTCGGGTTGCCGGAAAGCATTGACTGGGTTGCTTCCTTCCCTCTCGTCTCAGCGAGATGTCCATGGCCAAAAAGTCGCTGCCCTGCAAGCCCGCCCGCACCCCGACTAGTCCGTTGGGGCCGCAAAACACTATTCTCCGAGGATCGTGGGAAACGTCGATGGAACGCCAACCAAACGTCAGCTCGTTGTTGCCGCCGCCCGGCCACCGGCCGCGTGTTTCGCCGGCCGCGACCACTCAGCAAGCACGGATAGGAACCGCAAGCGAGTGGCAGGCGTGCTGAGGTTGGGGGTTCCGTATCAGCTCTCCCAGGGCGCGGCGGCCGCGCCGCAAGCGACGGCGTGGACGGGAAGCTACGGCGGCATACCACCCTCTGTGACAAAAAGGGTCTGGGGTTGATTTGCTTTTGGCTGCTGGCTGCTTATGGGCGAGGGAAGGTGTGTTCTTATTCAGGACGCACGGTGCTGGCTGCCATGGTGGACCGGGGATCGTTTTGAGCGCCGCCTGCATTATTGACATTCCGACCGGACGGCACAAGCGATTCGCGGCACGCATCATGGCTGGCAGCAGCACGCGGAGGTGGTTGCACGGCGTAGCCTAAGGCAGCGACTGAGGACGTACGCTTCCAGAAACACCGTCTGCTGCTGGCCAGCGCCGACAAGGGTCCCGGCAGAGGGTGAGGCTGCGTGGCTGCGTGCGCTATAGCCGGGAATCTGGCTGCACGCCCCCAGCCTTGAAAAAAAAAAGGAACTAAAAAAACCAAAAAATAAAAAACCAAAAAAAGACCGAAGCAGCCAGAAGGCCGTTGGAAGTTGCCTTGTAGCAGTCCACGGGCCGCAACGTGCTACAGGGCGAGCTGCCGTCCACCCGTCTTCGCTCGGGGCGCACAGCAACGGCCAGCAGCAAGTTTTTCCTCGTACAATTACCGGCCGGCATCGCTGACAGCAAATCAATGACTGCCTCCCAAGCACAGCTGAAGAAGACGGTCAGTGAGCCGATTGCCACACGTAATTGGGTTTTCAAGGCCCTATGGGATCATCGTCTTCGCACGGCAACAAAAGTAAATTGCTCGGAGATAATGCTAGATGCAGCGCCGGGCACGTGACGGAGAGAGCAGGGCACCCTGCGGGCCGCGACTCACGACAGATCTCGAGGGCGCACGCGGGCTCGTCCTCAGCTGCAGCTCGGATCTGGGCGTCGGACGCTGGGGCTCGTTACGCGCGCGACTGGCGCGCAAAGCTCGCGTGGACAGGCAGCTGTCTGACATTGAGCGGCGCTGAGTCGCTGTTTTCTCGCACAATTTGCCGGCAGCTGATTCAATCTGAAGCAAGGAGGAGCGTCTCGTCTATCTGGCCGGCGTTCGCCCTTCCCCACTTCTGAACCGGGTAAGGGCGTTCGCCGAAGAGCCTCACCAGTTACACCGCAGCGCAGCGCAAACATGGCCGACTCGTCGCCCGCGTCGCCACAAAGGCGGTCGCAGCGAGCGTATGCACGGCCAGCTCAGCCGGGACTATCGAGGGTCGTGTGACGGCGGCGAGCCTGTGAAGGCCAGCAGAAGCTCACCGCGCGCGATCTGCAGCACGGCGGCCGTTGTCCATGCAGCGCGCTGTACGACCTCAGGCCGCGGGCGGCGGCGAATCAGCGGCTTGAGCGCGCGCGCGCTGCCGAGGGCGAAGGATGGCAGCGGGCGAGGGGACAACTGGGGGACAACTGGGGGACAACTGAAGGGCGGCGGAGCAGCACTGCTCATTTCTCATCAGATCCGCGTGATGCGGTGCTGCGTGGGTGGCCGCCAAGGCGAACCACAGAGAGCGTAGCTCCTAAGCTTAAGTCAACCCATCAGCTACACGCTAGACCAGCTGTGCAGGCGTGGCAGCCATGGCAGACGGGCACCGGGCCTAGCGGCAGCCGCACGTGGCGTGGCGTTGGCGGCGGCGGCGCGCGCTGCTGGGTCCGCGCCGGCGCTGGCGCTGGAGAGCTGGATCGCTTCTTCCCGAGTCCCGGCTCGCACATCAGCGTGTGGTGGCGGATCGCCTGGCGTTAGATTGTCTGGAGCCAGATGCGACGGGTGGTGATGACGAGGGCAGGCTGAGCGGATCGTCAGAGACCCCTGGAGCGGGCTTGGAGGGGGCGTTGAGCGCGATGGCCTTTGAAACGGCGGGTTTCCCTGCGCGGGCGGGCGTGCGCGGGCGGCGCATGACTGGCGAGCTCCAGGAGCGCTGCATGCAACGGGAATTGACCGGCGACGGGGTGGAGCAGGCTAGCAGCAGACGGGCAAAGGGCGCGCCTACGCCTGACAGCGTCGTGGCGGCCCAACGCGGAGCGCACGAGGGCGCCGCCACGAGACTCGAACTAGAGACGGCGAGCCAGGAACGGGCTGCTCGCCCAAAATCGGCCCGCGCGCTGCGATAGGGGCGCGCTGACCGCCGGAATAGACTTCGAGAGTCGGATGTCGTGCGCGCGTCACCGCTGTTTGCTGCCGACCAGATCCGAGGCGGTGCGGTGCAGCGCACCTGGGGTCCTGGGCAGCGCAGCGCCGCGCAGCGCAGCGACGGCGGTCGGTGTGTGCGAGACTGCCTGCGCGACTGCAAGTGCAAGCGCAGCCTCGCGGCGGGCATCGAAAGGCGAAGGCACGGCCAGCTCCCCAGCCCACGGGTCTGGGCTGGCGCAACGCCGTGCGGCCGGAGATTCGCCCACCGCGGCAGCTCTAGCGAGGCGCGCAGAGGGCCATCGCGAGCTTGAGTCGTGCGCTGCCCGCCCAACTCTCTCGCCCTCCTCACGGCTCGCGTTTGCCTGTTCCTGATCTCCGCACCGCGAGGGCGCGCGTCGTCCGGCGCTTCAGGCTCTCGCTCCCAGAACGCGCCCGCCCACGCCGCCCAGCCCGAGCACAAGCGCCGCCGCCACCCACCACTGCCGGCGCGCGCCTCTAGCTCCGCGCTCTGTCTTCGAGAAAGCCTCTGCCTCAGTTCCATGATCGCCAACCGTCTGATCGCCCCCTTGAAGCAGGCTTTTCCGGCTCCATGGTAAGAGCTGCCTCTCCCGCCTGGCATCCGGCACAACGTCTGGCCCTTCCTCGGCCCTCCCCCCTCCGCCGTTGCCCTCAGTCACACCCTACGCGTCCGCCCGCCCGCCCCAGCACAGCCTCGCCTTGCGAGTAAGAGTGCATGATTTTCTCGCCCTCGTCGCAGCTGCTCCCCTCGCTTGGCGCTGATCGAGCCAGCGCCAGATCCTTGCCCGCGACTTGCTAGCTATGACGCGCATTGGGCCTCTCATTTCCCTTCTCTAGACTGACTTGCTGGAAGCTTTCGGCAGTCTTCCTCCGTCGTCCGCACCATAGATTGTCTCTTGTCGTGTCTATCTGAACATCGGGCCTCAGCGCGCATGGCCACGACGGTTGCGCCAACATAAGCATGGAACCCGATGGTCCAGACGTCAAACGTCCCCGTTTGGATACTACTACTCACTACCCTCCTCCCTCTTCTGTGCCTCATCCACCGCCCTCCCGGTATCACGAACCTGCTCTCCCCCCCGCCTACCCTCCTCACACGCTGCCGCCACCGCCAATCCAGGGCCATCCGCCTTCCGTCCCGGGTACGCCTCTCGGCCCACGCGCTCCGCGCGCCCTGCCTGAGCCCGCAAACTTCGGCCAGCACCCGAACCAACGCCCAGGCAATGCGCCGCCCGTAAACATCCCGTCGAGGTCCTACTCCGTGGAGTCGCTGTCGCGTCCGCCGAGCAATCCCAGCCAGCCTTCGCCCATCGACACCCGGCCGCGCCAGCTCGCCGTCTCTGGCCCTCCACCTGACGGCCCTCACCAGCAACCTCCTCCAATGGACCATGGCGGCCACCATCCTGGCGCATATCCCAATCATGACCCCCACATGAACGGCGGTGCGCCCTACCCTCCCTCGGCCGGCCATCACAATCCCTACGGTGGTGGCCCGCCGCCTCCCATGGGCCCGACCCAGGGCTACCATCCCTCACCTTACGCGCAACCAGGTGTATATGGCCAAGCTGCGGACTATGTGGGCGCCGGCCGCAAGCGCCAAGTGCGCGCTGTGCAGGTATGTGCTCTCGCTCTCGCCCGTGTCGCCCTCTGCCACACTCACACTGCACGCGTAGGCCTGCAACAACTGCCGAAACCGCAAGCAGAAGTGCGACGAAGCACGCCCGTGCCAGTTCTGCCGCGAGTCTGGCTTGAAATGCGAGTACAAAGAGGTGCCACCACCCAAGTAAGCCATTTTTTTTCCCTTCTTCTTCTCGGCCTTCACCGCCCTTTTGGAGGCATGCTCATCGAGATAGCAGACAAGACCGAACGCTGCATGACATCGCGACCAAGGTCAGCGCGCTCATGGATAATTTTGCGTCCATTCCGGGCCGCCTTGAGAGAATAGAGCGGCAGCTCCGGGGCCATCAGAATGGAGAGGGTACGCTTACGACTCCATCGGACCAATTCCCTGCGCCAACACCTGTTGTAGCAGAAGAAGCTGAGGGAAGTGCCTATGATCCAGTTAGGGAGAAAACGTCGTCCGAGCCGCCGTCCACTGCGGCTAAAGCGCTGTCCGGACCCAAGTACTCTCTGCCTCCCGACGCTGGCCAGTCAATCGGCCCGAAAGGACACCCGGCGCAGGTCCCGGACTTTTTCGAGGCCGAGATCACATTACCCGCCGACCACACGACCGCCGCCCACACCATGCTGATGGATTGGTCTGCAATGCAACCGTTTTTCAAAGACGTAATCCCCGGCGGAACGAACTACCCGAGGGAGCAAGAAGAAAATCGAGGGTTGCTTAAGCTTTACGGAAGAGGCGAAGGGGAAGACCTCTATGATGGTGCACACGGAGGCAGCCCTGCGGCAGAGGGCGCCGAAGATGACGTTGTCAGCACTCCCGCGCCTTCACCTGGATCCAACAGCTGGGGCATCGGCTTTACTGCACAGCCCACCGCAGCCGATATCCATCGATCAGATCCGCAACATAACTGGGGCGGTCTGAATCCGGATGGCACCCTTAAACTGGATGTTCGGACTGTGAAGCGCTTACACCATAGCTACTTGAGCCATATGCATCCTTTGCAGCCCTTCTTGGACAAGGAGCGGCTGGCGTCCATGGTTGAGAAGTTTATACAGCGGTACAGCCCGGATGCTAGCAACCACAATGCGAGATCGCCCTTTGCCGTCCCGGACACGTATCCCGCCGTGCCTCTGAAGCGGAAGAGGTCAAATAATGGCCCAATCCCCGGACCGGAGCCCGGCACTCCGCCTACCAGAGGCAACTACATAGAGCGTACCATTGGGAACGCGATAGTCCTTCTGGTGCTCGGCCTTGGGAGAATTTGCGAACACAAGACCCACTTGCCTGGTCCTCTTGGTGGCCCGAACACGGTTGTTGGAAGCTCTCTACAGATGCCCTCCATGGATTCGCCACCCGCCACCATCAAGCCCTCGCCAGCTTCATCGCATTCAACTCTTGCTAGCATCCCATCACCAGGCATCGACGGAGCACGCCTCATGAGTAGGAGACCGTCGACAGAGCACATGCCCACATCGGATAGAAGGGACACCGCGGCACGGAACATGGACATCACGCCAGGTCTTGCCTACTATGCATATGCCGTTGAAATACTCGGTGCGGTCCATGGAGGAAACGATCTCTCCCACGGTCAAGCAGGTGTCTTGGCATGTCTTTACATGGGCCAGTTGGCTCGCGTTTTGGAGAGCTGGGGCTGGATCTGCTATGCGTGCAGAGTGTGCGGTGTCCTCATCGACAAGTAAGAAGCATTCCCGCTTCAGGCAAACCAACCCACGATGCTGACACCAGAGCAGGGACAAGGAGTCGCTTTTCCCCAACGCCCCGGAGCCCGACGTTTCGGATAGCATGGATCTGAGAAAGGTGGCCCCAGGCGTGTCCAGTGGCGTCGACAGGCGCAAGACGAACCTGATCAAGTTTCTGTACTGGACATGCTTACAGCTTGAAAGGTTGGTTCAAGGATTTATTTGGATGGCTCGGGGTAAGATGCTAATTCTTTAGTGACATCCTTGCGGAAATGAGCCACCTTAGGCCGAGCGGCATCTCCAAGGACGAAGAACGCATAGGTCTCCCGAGCCAGATATACCCCGAGCTGCCATTGGATCCGCCCGAGGAGATGAACTGGCTGTACTACTCAGCCCAGATTCAACTCCGCAAGATCCTCAACAGAACCCATCTGGCTCTGTACAGTAAACGTAGGATGCACATGTTGCCGACAAAGAGATCACAGCTGACGGGCCACAGAAGGGCGAAAAAAGAATTTCTGGGCTGCTTTGCGCGATGACATGTTGGAAGAACAGCTTCAGGGCTGGCGGGAGACGCTTCCGGCATGGCTGGGATGGGACGATTCGGACGAACCGTCTGATGATATCAACAAGGCCCGCATGCGCGCCAAATACTACGGTGCCAGGTACATCATCACGCGGCCGATCCTCCACTGGGCGATTCACACCAACCCGGCGCCAACGTTCCTGATGAAGCAGTACGGCTTCACGCCGGTGGACGAAAACGACTCGCCGGACCCGTCGGTCAACCTGGTGTCGGACTCGCTGTCCAAGGCCAGCTGGCACAAGGTGATGATGGCGAGCAAGCGCTGCGTCGAGTCGGCCATCCAGAGCACCATCGCCTTCGACGGCATCGAGAACACCAACCAGCGGCTGATTGTCACCAACATCTTCGGCACAGCTCACGCGTAAGTACAGGCCCGGCGAGTGGTGCAGGTGGAATGCTGACGTAGCGGACGGGCAGGCAATTCGGCAACTGCCTCGTGTTGGCGGCGGTGCGCAAGTCGTGGATGCGCGACCTCATCCCGCACGCGCGCGTCATCGCGCTTGTCGAGCGCACAATCAGGTTCCTGCGGCGGCTGGTGCCCATCTCGCCAACGCTGCGCGTGGACGTCGCGATTCTCGAGAACACGCTGAAGTGCTTGAATGGCGAGAAGTCGGACCCCGCGTCGGTGGACGCCTCGTTCGGGACATAGTCTAATTCTGCAATCGGAAGAGAGCGACCTTGAGGCTGTCTCCGGCCATGCTTATCTTTTTCTGAGGCAGGGGCACGCGAAGACGATCAGTAAAGAGACTGCTGCCGTGGCGTTCCCCCGCCTCGCCTCGCCTCGCCTTCGCTCCCGTCCGGACGCCCTGCTGGGGCAACCCTGCCGCAGTTCGGGGCGCGTGCAGCCGTTGGCCGTCTGTCTGTTTCTTTTTGATGCACGCCATCATGTTCAGCAACATATACCCGATCTCCGTTCCCCAGGGGCCCCGTCGCGGCCTTCACGATCGCGCCTCGTCGTCGTCTTCAGCCTGCATAGTCGCGTGGCGCCTGGTTCCTTCTCGGCCTGTTTTGCTTTTTCGTCATTTCCATTCTGATCGCATCGTTCATGCGCCTCGTCTTTTTCACCAGCATCATTGTCCTTTTTTGTGATCTATATTCTGGGCGGGTAGCGCTGTCTTGGCATTTACTTCGGTGTTAAGTATTTTCGTCACCACTTTCCTCTCAGGGTCTCTCCTCTCGCCGTCTCCTTGGAAAAGAAACGTTTTGCGCAGCCTCTGCTGCCTCTTGCTTACTTCTGCGCCGCAACCGCGCGCCCGGGCGCCCTGTCCTGGGGCTGCCCGCATCTGCCCCGCCGTCACCGCCGCTTCAAAACGCCCATTCGACTTTTTTTCGAGCCCCCAACACAAATGCGGGTCACGGGCGACCCAGATGCAAGGGCTCGTCAGGATCCACGTGGAGAATTTTCGGACGGACATAACCCAGCCCCGGCATGTCCGGCTCATCACCTCGATCGCTGTACTGACGGCCTCTATTCGACGCATCGCTGCTACCATGACCCCGGTCCGGGCGAGGGCTTACGCACGCCCCGGCACACACACGGTACCGGATACGCCTTCTCGGCCCTCGCCGGCCGTCACTTGGACGCATCCGGGCACCGCCACCTTTGGGCAACGGTCGTCCGGCCTGCAAAACCGCGCGGCGGGACCCGTGTGTGGGGGGGAGGGAGGGCAGGACGGCGCAAAAGCAAGCGAGGCAGCAGCAGACTGCGGGACGACATTCCAGGTGAAACGGCACAGTCTGATGCAATTCCACGAAACGGCCGACAGAGACACGAAGGAGTGGAAAAAATTAAAAAGGGTCCAAGTGTGGCACAGGGGACGGGTGGCAAAAAATGGCCTCATTATACGTCGATATTCCTTTTCAGCTCTGGTCTTTATTTGGTTCCGACGGCCCTGCGTCCTATCGATTAGACGAGCGTGGCTGGGCTGCAAGAGGCTGGTTGGCCAGCTCGATTGCTGCTACATACGTGTTTGGATGCCTTGTGATTTTTTGGTTGGCAGGATGGAATGGAAATGCGTCCATGTGTTCGGATCAGGTTTACGTATCAAATGGAGAGAAAAGAACAACAACTATACGTGTATTTGGTATCCCACCTCCTGGCCACCATGTTGCGACCACCCCACGCCAATCCGTGTGAGCATTCCTCTCTCCACGGGTCATTTTTGAGAAGTTGCTGCTGCTGCTGCTGCTGCTGCTGCTGCCGCCGCCGCCGCCGCTGCTCTTGCTGCCCCGAGACAGCAGCAGCTGGCGCAATTCGACGCAGACCGCTTCGCGGTACACGCTACTGCACGCTCTTTGAGCGGCCGGTCCATCATTACACACAGTGGAGTCTTGCCTCCCGTCGGACTTGACACCGCTATCCAATAATTCGCGCACTCGGAGGGTACCTGCGCTCGTCGGAAGTTGATCGCACTCTCTTTTCCGCAAACAGGCTGACGCCGAAGTGACGATGGGAGGGGAAAAGGCAGGCAAAGGCGGTGTCCCGGGCACCAGGTTTCGGGTCCATGTCACTCTCTCTCATCAGCTCTCCGATCCTCAAGAGAACATGGCACGCATGTGGAGAGCGAGCAATAACACCAAGGAAACCACGACACGGGCTGCTATAGCTAGGCATGAAGAGAGCTGGCGCGCTGATAGGGCCCAGCTCCCCTCGCCTGCTTGGGGAGCTGGCTGCCAGCGCACGCACTATTATCATTGCTACATACCGTCCTTTCTTGCCGCACCCTCCCTCGTCGCCATACTGCCCGCGGACGGATCGAAAGCGCGGCCACCCCTCCCCCTACCTACCTACATAGGTACATGCCGACCGGCCGATTAGACCGACTGACCGACCGGCCGGCCGACCGACCGAATCGAACGACCGAATCGAGCGAACGAGCGAACGGACAAAGAGCACACGAGCCCGCCTACGTGTCTCCGATCGCCCTTCGTATAGACGCACGTCAGCAACCACTCTGCATGTCATTCTCTTAAAGGGCGACACGGACCAACCATCTCCCATCTTCTTGTTTAGGGGGAGTGGGTAGTGGGTACAAAAGAGAGGACGCTTTGGCTCCATGCCGGCTCCCTCCCCCCGCACTGGTTGCTTGTGGTACTAGTCAGTAGGACCTATTTACCCGACGACGACACCGCTCATCATGACAGGACGATGCCGATGCCGACGCCGACGCCGACGACGACTGCAACGCCGTTTTGGGGAGAAGGAATGAAAAGATAAAACACGGGACAGACACGCACGTACGCACGAACGCACGCACGAACGCACGCACGCAAGCGAGGCAAGGCGAGGTAAGGCAAGGCGAGGCGAGACGAGACGACGAGCCGGGGGGTGGTGGAGGGCAGGCAGGCTGGCTGGCAGGGACGGGCACGGCTCGTAGATACCGAACTCGAGAGGCAGGCAAATTGTACGTACACACACACGTTGCATGTGCGGGCTGCTGCAAGACGGGAGGCCGGGAAGAAGGTGAGTGAGTGAGCTGGACGGTGCTTGCTTGCTTTCTCTCAAACGCAGCGTGCGCCGCCGGAGGTGGCAGGTGGCTGACAACGCATAATCGCAGGCAGGCATGCATGAGCAACAGGTGGCAGTCACGATGTTATGGTGCTTTTCTCTCACGACTGCTGCAACCAGGGGGGGAAGGGGAGGGGTGGGGTGGGGTGAAGTGGACAGTCAGAGTCATCACGTCGATTATCTACATGTAGGTCGGTTGCTTGGGGAAGGCCAACGGGCCGGGCCGAAGAGGTAAGGGACTACTGACGATGAAGGAGGGCAGATGAGAGTGAGCACGATATCATAGTGGAGAGGGGGGATTCCCCCCGGTCGAGCATCAAGCACGCAAAGCAAAGCAAGCAAAGCAAGCAAGGTCCCCACCAGCTATCGTGGAAGAGAAAGAGAGGGAAAGAGAGGGAAAGGAAGTGCGGTGTAGGCAGCTGATGCTTGCAGGCGCGCCCGTCTCGGCCTCTCCTCCGCCACCGGCAGTAGCTGCCGCTTCCTTTGCGTTCCTGGTTTTTTGTTGCAAAGGCAAGGCGACATGGCAGAGGGGGGGCGAGGGGGAGGGGATTTGCACATGCTGCAGTAGAGAGGCCTGGCTGGTGGCAGGGAGGGAAAAGGCCGCCCACCGGGGGGAGGCCGAGCTGAGAGCGCAAAGAAGGAACAAAGGTAAGAGGAGCAAAAAAAAAGGGACTGGGGGCGGATGCTGCATTAGCTCGCGCTACCCGTCGGGCTGGAACTCGTCCGCACAGACGACGACGGCAGCCTGGATGGGGACCATGTCCCCTCCCGTACGGCAGTGCAGGACGGCTTGCTCTGTGGAACAACAGGTTGGTCGTTCTTTTCGACATGTACGTCTTTCTATTTCCCCTCGTAGCTTCGCTTGCCATGCAGCTCGGCGCGGGCTGTTTTTTCTGATGCCCTTTGACGTTGGACGGGATCCCGGCTCGAGTGTTTGATTTATTCGTTTTAATGGCCTGTCGCTTCTGACCCGTGGACAGGGGGAGGAACGGGCAACCGATTGTGCGCGACCTTCTCAGCCACAATGCCGGCGCGGCCTCCGGCGTCGAAGAACATGCTCATAGACACGAAAACATCCCTCCCCCTTTGCAAAATGCTGCCCGCGAGTAATGTCCAGAGGCCAGGCCCGGACCCAACCGCCGGCGACCGCTGAGAAAATATTGGACATGTGCCTACTTTGGGACGGTGCCATTCAAGGGGAGAGGGGCCACGTTGGTGTGCACAAGAACATGTATGTACATACATCTACGGTCGCTGTCCTCGCAAGAAAAGAAAAGCCTTGGCCGGGAGACGATAATAGAACGAAAGAGTGGTAGGCACACACGTACACATCGCTGGTTCAGAAGGAAGGAAAGAAAAAAAAAGATCACCCACAGCCAACAGTTGGCTACTCCTTATTTTCAGCGTCTCCCTTCTCCAAAGCATGATCCCCTCCACGATAAGCCGAATGAATCAGGGAAAAGAAGCAGAGAACGGAAGAGGGTACACAACAGTCCCGCTTTAGGTGGCTGCGCCGCAAGCACATACACCCGATCCCACACACGCACACACGCACACACGCACACATCCACCAAGGCACCCCGGCCCCCCCGGTCAGTCACTCCCTTCCCATCCTACGTACGGACAACACACAGGCCTTGCCTTGCCGCTGTCAACGGTTTCGTTCCCACCCCTCCCTCCCTGCCAACGCACATCCTCATCACGCATGCAACATCGGGGGCCTATCCCGGTTCAGGGCGTCAGCAAGCGGGCGGGCGCCGCGGGCGGGTGTGCAACGGCGCGGGGCGGCGTGGGGCGCGCGGCGCAGCCAAGAGAGAGAGAGAGAGAGAGAGAGAGAGATGTGCGTGCAAACAGGAAAGAAGCCCAAAAAAAAAGCAAAAATAAATAAACTAAAATCAGAGAGAGAGAGAGAGAGAGAGGGAAAAAAAAAAGACAGAGACCGGAAATCATGGCATCCGAGTGGCAGTTGGCTAATGAGCATCTTTCTCTATTGGCCGAGGTTTTTTCGCTACATATGCGGAAAAGGATCATCGTACATCGCGGTGAGATCTATCTAATTCTCCTCTAGCAACGGGAGGATGTGGGGCTGGGAGACGGAACGTAGGGCTGGATTTGGGAGGGCGGGAGAGAGCAGCAAGAGGATGGAGGAGAACGACGGGACGGGGCAGACGGGAGCGACGGCGGGGGGGGGGGGGGGGGGGGGGGGCCGGCCGCGTCAGAAGCGGGCGGCGAGTTGTCGAAGCAGGTGGTGTGGCGGCCGTCATGTCTCTCTCGTTCTCTTCACACAGCAGCGGCATGCAGTGCTCAGGAGGAGAAAGCAGGCTGACTTGCAGGTGACAATCCGATGAGCATCAGCTGTCGAGTATTGGAAGGATGGAAAAGTGGCCCGGAGATTGTCATTTGACCATGGCCGATCGGCGCCATCAGTCGTATACGAGGCTGCATGTGCGCGGGCAGGGGCGGGTGCAGGGGCGGGGCTCGCACACGGCCATCCACATCTGGTTCATCGATCTAATCTCGACGAATGCATGGAACTCGTCATAAAAATAAAACGCGGTTGAAGACGCGGCGCTACGGCCGACCGGTGGTGGGCCGGGCGTGGGCCGGGCGTGGGCCGGACGTGGGCCGGGGGCGCTAAGCAGCGGGCGGCCCGGGGCGGGAAGTCAATCTTGCGCAAACCACAACTCTACCCTTCTTTTCTCGACATGTCCGCCCGCCAGCCAGCCCGCCAGCCCGCCCACACCACGCACGCGCGCGCATGCGCTTCTCGTATGCCGCCCGCGCAGCCAAAGCCCCGCCGCAACGCTATCAGCGGCACGGCTCGCAACGCTGCCCGGACCTTTCGCCCGCTTCCTGCTCGACCGCCGGCCGCACCTTGCGATCGCGGCACTTGATCACTGCTGCATGTCCCGCATGTCCCGCATCACAATCGCCCGCCGTCTCGAGCCCTGCACCTGCCTGCCGCCCACCCTGCCCCTCCCTGCCACACTGAACTCCCCGCCCCGCCCCTCGCATTCCCCTTTCCCTTCTCTGCTACACTCCGAGCGCAGCCTCCTCGTCCGATGGATGTCGTGGCCGGAGCCGCCTGTACCCCTCTCGCAACCGTCGCGGCAGTAGCGTCGCAGCTGCTGCATGCAGAGCAGCGCCTCGTCCCGTGTGCAACCGTCCCAACTGTAGGTAAAACAAGGCCAGCGTGTTGGCAAAACGTCATCTTCAATGAATCAATCGAGTCGGAGCCATCTCCATAAGTCGGGGCCGCCTCCACAAAAAATGGAGAGAGAGAGAGAGAAAGAAGGGTCGGGGAAAAACTGGAAACTTCGCTCATACCCCATCGCCCGTGTCGTCCCCCTGCTCCTCGTCCTCCGCCACCGCTGTCTCTGCCTCTGCGCCCGCCCCGTGCTCAGCTTCGTCGTCGTGTGCCTTGGTCAGGTCCGCGCCTTGCCCCTCGGCCGCCGCCCTGGCGTTCCTGATCTCCCATTCGAATTCTCTCAGCGCGCGCAGCTCGCTTCCGACAAAGAGCCCGCCGATCAGCCCGTCGATTACGCCGGCGGCAAGACCTAGCGTGCTCACCAGCATTAAGATGAACGATACGAAGTTGCGGGGGCTCCACCAGACTGCGATGAGACATCCGATGGCCACAAGCAGCTGCCCGGCAAAATGCCCCAGCCGCAGGCGCCGCTGCCGGTACTCCCGAGCCGTATACTTGTGAATCATGGCAAGGATCTCGTCGTAAGTAGAAATAGGCAATGCCGATGTCCCCGTGTACAGGGATTGACTCGTCGACGAGCGCGGCGACGGGCCGCCAGCGCGCCTGATGGTCACTTCCACGGAAAAGTGGTCGCTAAGCGAGCAACGCAGCTCCGGGTGCCGCTGTGTCATGCCTACATCCACTTTGTCGAGCACCCAATCTGTGTCGTTGTTGGCCGAGGGGCTGTTCTCACCGCAAGAAAAGAAAACGTAATCCAGACGCTTTGCACGAGGGTCCTCAACAGTGTCCTCGACCGTCACGGGCAGACCCTTCTCCAGACGCTTCTGGTGTGCCTCGTTCCACCTCCAAGTGTTCAGCGCGCTGTCGCACGTAGCCCCGTTCTCCGTGATGTTGAACCTCGCATTCGGCATCGGTCGTCCACGAGCCTGCTCAACCGCATCACGGTGGGCACCAATCGAAGAGTCGGGATGGTGGATCCGCCAGACGTCCCGAGCAGGAGAGTGTGCCTCGATCAGGCGGTGAGCGAGTGACAGCGGGATCATGTTGAAGTCGCCCAAGCCGATGACCAGGTGGTCCCGCTCGGCGGCTCCACGCATGAGCTTCGTGATCTCCCAGGCCTGAGCAGTACGATGGCAGATGTAGGAGTCGTTGGGCTCGCTTTCGTACGGGGCGTGAAGCTGTGCGTGTCAAACCGGGCAACTGGCGGTATGGTGGCGATGAACTCACATGCGTGCAAAACACTTCGGCAACGTCCTTCTTGCCCTTGCCAAACCGAATCCTGGCACAAGCAACGCCCTTGCCGACGAACCAGTCTCCGCGGAAGAAGGCAGTGGGCCGGCCGTTCAGCGGGTAGCGGACCATGCTGGCTTCTTCGATGGGCCATCGGGAGATGATGGCCAGCCCGCCGCCGAAAATGCCACTGTTGTAGAACTTGCTGTACTGCAGCCCGATCCTCTCACGCAGAGTGTCGCGGATGGACTCGTAGTCCTGCTTGGTCCAGCACTCTTGCAGGCCAATGATGTCCGGGGGTGGAGAAATAGCAGCGAGCTGGCGGCCGATTTCAGAGAGGCGCTCGTGGCGGTACTTTGCGAGGAATTTCAGCCCCCAGCAGTTGAGGCTGACAATGCGGATCTCCTGGGGAGCATCGTGTGAGATGCGGGCGTCCATTGCGGCTTGGGTGGCGGTTGTTGAGAAGTGCAAAGGTTGACGGTGAGGGGACAGCTGGAGGGGAGCACGGAGCTCTCGCGGCTCGGTGATGTCAGGGCGGAATTGCCAGCGCGCGTGCGGACTTTCGCTCGCCTCCTCCGACCCTTTGTCCTGCGCCGTCTCGCGTCTTCCGCTCCTGCACACAACGCCGCTGCCGCAAAATGGCCGACCTCAATGGCCGCTCGCCCAAAAGGCGCCGCTCCGACGACGGCTACATCGAGTCTCCGCGCGACCGCTCGCCCTTTCCCGACGCGTCGCCCACCTACCAGCTCACCGAGCGCCCGGCCGCACATCGCTACAGAGACGACGACAGCCTCGATGCCACCCCCAGAGACCGCTTGCGAGACCGGTCGCGCTCACCACGCTCTGGCTCCCGCTCGCCCGTCGGAGACCGTTCGCCCAGCATGGACCTGCCCGAAAAGCCCGCCGAGCTGCGCTACAAGGCGAAGCTCAAGCTCTGCGGCCACAAGAAAGGCGTCTCATGCGTCAGGTTTTCGCCCGACGGCCGCTGGATCGCAAGCTCCTCCGCAGACGCCACCATCAAGATCTGGGACGCGCGGACCGGCAAGATTCAGCATACCCTCGAGGGCCACATGGCCGGCATCTCGACCTTGGCATGGGCCCCAGACTCGCGCATCCTGGCTTCAGGCTCTGACGACAAGTACATTCGACTGTGGGACGCCATCACCGGTAAAGACCTCTCGGTGCCGTTTGAGGGCCACCACAATTACATCTACTCGCTTGCCATTTCCCCCAAAGGAAACATAATCGTGAGCGGTTCTTATGACGAAGCTGTATTTTTGTGGGACATCCGTACCGCGCGCGTCATGAAATCGCTCCCTGCGCATTCGGACCCAGTTGGCGGCGTGGATTTCGTGCGGGACGGCACAATGGTCGTCAGCTGCTCCAGCGACGGGCTGATGTAAGCCACTCTCCATTCCTCGTAGCTTACCCCATGCCTTGGTATGCTGACCGTTCCACAGCCGTGTTTGGGACACCGCCACCGGCCAGTGCCTCCGCACGCTCGTTCACGAAGACAACGCCCCCGTGACCTCCGTCCGCTTCTCTCCCAACGGAAAATACATCCTTGCCTGGACCCTTGATTCCTGCATCAGGCTTTGGGACTACGTGACCGGCAAGGGCAGATGCGTCAAGACATACCAAGGACACAAGAACAGCCAGTACAGCCTGAGCGGCGCCTTTGGCGTCTACGGCACCGCCCCATACCAGTCGGCCTTTATCGCAAGCGGTAGCGAGGACGGCAGCATTTACCTTTGGGACTGTAGCAGCAAGAACGTCATGCAAAAGCTGGATGGCCACAAGGAGCCGGTCCTATGCGTTGATACGCACCCCAGTGAGCCTTGGATGGTGAGCGGGAGTCTCGACAAGACGATCATCATCTGGAGGATGGAGGACGAGCAGCCCGCTCAGAGTATCAAGCCCGAAGGTTGAAGGGGGGAAACGATGGAGTAGCCGAAAAAATTCAGGTGTTGAGCCGGTCAAAAAAAATGTGCATGGACGTCCGTTGACGGAATATGCAAGAAACAGATGAGGACGAGAGGACACTACGATACCCCATATAACTAATCTTCTACACCACGAACCCTTGGTCCTTGAAAAGAAGAACAAAGTAGACTCAGGCTTCCTAGATGTACCCAGTTTGGTCCTTAGGCGGGCCTCGCATCCGCACCAGACGAGAATGGGGTAGGTAAGTCCGAGAAATAGGATCTAAAGCAATGTCCTCGAAGAAGAAGCAGGACGATGACAAGCATTTATGAAAGATCGCCAGCTCCTCCAATCATGTGAAAATGATTATTGTTATCCAACGCAACGCTATCTATGACCAAATCTACAATCGCCGCAGCAGAGCTGCCCAATACCATTAAGTGATACCAAAGCAGGGTATATGCGAGAAACGAAGAAACACACAAAAAACGACGCCAGCACCCATCCGAAGCTCCAGGCCTCGAAACATTGGACATCAAGTCCCTCTCCCTCTCTCTCTCAAACCAACCTCCCCACATCCTCCTCCCACCCCCTCCCCTTCCCCTTCCGCCCCGCCGCCATCATCGTCATCTCCGGCGCCGACACCCCCGACACCCCCGTCGGCCCCCTCGGCCACATACTCATGCTACTCGCCGGCCGCTCATCCGCCGTCCGCGACGCGGACGACGCCGACGCCGACGGCATCAGCAGCGCCGCCGAGACGCGCGAGCGTACGCCGCCGCCGCCGCGTTGTTCGCGCACGCGGCCGTCGTCTTGGACGTCGACGTCGATGTAGGCGTCTGCTGCCCCGCGGTGGTGGTGGTGGTACTGGTGGTGGTTTCCGAACGCGCTGTTCGGCGCGGCGTGTTGTGCTGTGGTTCGCGAGGTGGTGGAGGGCTGGGACTGCGGCTGCGGCTGCGGCGGCGGCGGGGGTGTCGACGATGACGACGACGACGATGAAGAAAAAAGAGAAGACGACGTCTTTGCCGGTTGTTGTTGTTGCTGCTGCGGTCGGGCGGTAGTGGCGGCGGCGATGACGGGGTCCTCGCCGCGCTGGATGGCGGCGTAGTCGGCTTGGAAGAGGCGGGTGGCGCGGTGGCGCCAGATGAGCCAGGAGAGGAGGAGGAGGACGGTGAGGGGGATGGTGGTGGCCCAGTAGGTGCGCAGGTTTTTGGAGAGGAGGGGGTTGTTGTTGTTGTTGTTGTTTCCAGTTGTGGTGGTCGTGCCGTTGGTGTGGGTGGAGCAGGCGAATGTTGTTATGAGGGTCTTGTTGGGTTTTGTTAATCAGGTCGGTCTGATTGATGGTGGGGTTGTGGTTGGGAGGAGGAGGCGGTGGTGGTTGGTGGTGGGGGACTTACGGCTACGAAGATTGCGGGGAGGAAGAGCGTGTTGAGGAGTGCGATGGACTTGACGGAGGCGCCGTCGCGGGTGGCGGTTGCGGCGAGCTGGGCGGTGAGGAGGTTGTTTGTTTGGGTGACGGAGGTGTTGAGCTGGTGCGCAGGTCAGTCAGTCCATCATAGCCATCCCACCTTGAGGGATACAAAAGTCATAGCGGGGAAGAGGGAAGAGAGCAGAGCCTACCATATCGACCAACCACCCGGCCTTCGCCCTCAGCCTCCTAGCCTCCTCGACACCGCTCTCGGCCGCCGTCCTCAACTGCTCCACCATCTCCCTCACCTCCCAGCTCCCACCATCACCACAACCCCCATCCCCATCCCACTCCCCTCGCACCATCAACAGTCCCTCCGTCCGCTCCGCCACATCCCCCAACCACGCCGCGATCCGACTCTCCCACGCACACAGCCCCTCGACGCCGACCGCCTCATCCGCCACGGCACCGACCTCGCCCATGGTCGCCTCGACGCCGCCGGCGCCGCCGCGCTTCGCGCAACAAGACCGCAGCTCCTCGTCGGCGGCGGCGACGCGCGCAGCCAGCTCGTGCGCGCAAAACGCCTGCGTGCGCTCGACGGCGTTGGCGAGCAGCGCCGTCGGGAGGAGCAGCGGGTGCGTCCACAGCGCGTCGCTGCCGGCGCAGGCGTCGAGCAGGTCGCGCAGCTGCGGGATCAGCGGGACGGGCCGCGCGCACCACGACGTGGCGGGGCCGGAGACGGTGACGCCGGCGGGCGGCGCGGAGAGGAGGTGCGGCCCGTAGAGGAGGGCGGTCGTGATGGAGGTGTTGAGGTCGTGGCTGAGGGATAGGCGGACGCCGGAGATGGGAGAGTTTGCGGGAGGTGACGTTATGAGGACTGTGTTTTGAGGTTTTGAGGTTAGTACTTGGGTGTTGCTTCTTTTGGTGTATGAGATCGGTGGTTGGTGCAATGGATGAGAATTTACCGAGTTCGTTGCGGCCTCCAGTGGTAACGTGCCGCCAGTTATGGCTGTATCCGCTGTTCTTGAAGTACGGAAGGGTTGCAGGAGACAGGTGAAAGTGTTTCTCCACACGCAAGTAGGAATCCCGGCTGATGGGAAACGTCAGAGGATCACTTTCCCGCTGCTCGCAGATGAGAATCCTTATTCCGCCGATGACATTGTGCTCAGGACTGGGTTTTCTCAAAGCGAAGGGACCTTGTTGGTGTAACCAGTCCGAGACGTGCCCATCATGAATGATGCCGGCAAAGCAGTTGACTCCTGGTTGCGCGGCGTCGAGCTAGATGGTCGCACGTGAGCATGGAAGCGGCACAGCTGGCAGGGGCATTGAAGGCCTACATTTTCGTACTTCCAGTATTCCAAGAATTGTATATCCTCCTGTCGGGTCGATAGCTGCTCGTGTTTGATGGACTGGAGCGAAGGCAACACGTTCTCATGCTCCTTAGACCTCACAGGCTTCCACGGCTTCCAGACAGCCTCCCTGATGATCTGTTTCCTCTGTGTAGTAAACATTGCAGGTCACTTGGTTGCACACACGAGAACTGGAACGAAATGCCCTCAGAGTTAAAGGATTGCATTTGTACTATAATGCAACGTCTCAGGTTGCGAAAGGAGAGCCGAAATAGATGGTTTTCCGTGGCTTAGGCGGCAAGCAGATCAAACATGATGGCTTGACGGAGGATCCTTGCATTCATGAATTGCGGCGTACTGTTTAAGCGACGTGTCGGAGCACGCCGCGCCGCTTGGCGTGGTGGTGTGAGGATTGCGTGAAGCAGCCATGATCACGTTCCATATCGGGTTAAACGATCAGCCCCAACATGAAACAACACCACATGTTTCTCGCATCAGGCGGTTACCAAGCATTCAGCGCTGCTTGATCGGCGGCAGGGGATGGCGTTTAGTGTCCCAGCAGCCAGACTATGCCATGTCCAGGTCGAAGTCGTCCAACTGGTCGCGGTACTTGAGGATGTTGCGCTTGATCTTGGATGAGTCGACCCAAGTCACAAAGTCTTCTAGGTTCCTTGAGACCAGGAACGCTGGGTCGGTGATGACCTCGGGGCCTACGCGGACATGGCCTTGCTCGATAAATTTAATAGCGGCCTGGACTGTATCGGCCATGTGCAGGCGGGTCATAACGACGCCTAGACGGCGGCGGGCGAAGGCGGAGACGGTAACCTTTTCGACGTCGCTAAGCTTGCGCGAGCCGGTGCCAGTACTGAGAATACCTAGGTCCTCGAGCTTCTCTAATAACAACTTCTCGTGTTTTAAGCGGACGGGATCGGCGGGGTCGAGATCTGAGAGGCGGTGGGCGAGCTGGCGCAGGCTGCCGCATAGGCGGTTATACTTGGTGTAGTCTTCGGGCTTCTGGATGGCATAGCGACGGATTACGGCGGCATCGCGGTGGTTGTTGTCGGACTTGTAGGTCGTGAAATCGACCTTGTGGAACAGGTCAGATTGAGGCTGCCCAGTCCGCAACGCAAGCTGCCTACCTTTCTCAAAAGCTTGCTCTCGTGGTGCTTCAAGCGTCTGACCATGGTGGCGGTGGGCGCGACGGGCGAGCTGCGCACTCTGCGCAACCTGAAGGGCGATGAGACGAGGAGCGGCGATGATCGGGGGTGGAAGCGGAAGACGGGTTGGAGGCTGCTGCCGCGGCTGCGCAAAAGTTCTGGCGGTCCTTATCGATAAGGCCACTGCCCAAAAAGGAAACGCAGCCGCAATAAAAGAGCGAGCAACTCCGTGCCTAACTCCCAAGCAATGCCCGCTTCCGCAAATTTGCAGTATCCGAATCTCTCCATTGACCAATGCCTCAGTGTGGATCTAAGCAAGTGTCTCGGCAGCAGCAGTGCAAATGATCAGGCTAACTCGGCAGCAGTCTTGTACCGCGTGGGGGGTTGGCGAGGTTGACGAGGCTAGCTTGACGATAGGGGCCTATTTGCCGAAAGCCAGATGCCAAAACATGCAAGAGGAGGCAATCGCAAGCGGCTCAGAGATGTCGTCGCGGGGCACGACATGTCTTCCCTGTCCTGCCGAACGACGTCAGTCAGCGAGGCCGCGGCCTAGGTTAACCAGAGTTCCGCGCCGGCAAACGCACTTCATTCGTCCGGGGAAGCCCATGGCCTGGTCCCGTACGGTCGCCCGGTCGCCGGCGTCGCAGGCGTCGCAGGCGTCGCAGGCGTCGCAGGAAATCCTCGCACTGCGCACTACTGCGTACCACGGCGCTCTCCTCGCCGCTGACTGGGCGCATCGGCACGTCCATCAGCCAGCCTCGCGCGTGCACGCCCGGCTGCCGCTGCGGAAAGGCAGTAAGGGAGGGAGAGCGTGAGCAGCTACGACGAGAGCGTGACTCCCAGGCTGCGCAGGTGTTTCAGCCGCCTTGACGTGTCCGTGTCAGCGCAAGCAGCTGCCTTGAGCCTTCCGCAGGAGTTGGCTGCTGGGCACGCCGCGAGCTCGTGGCCACTGGCGGTCCGCTAAGCCTCTTCGGGGTGATGCGCTGGCATTGCATGAGGCCCTGGAGCTCTGGGCTGAAATATGTTCAATTCGTCGCGCACTGCTGCTAGCTTGGCCCACGCGATTTTTTTGCGTCTCAACACTCGCCGGCTTGCAATTGTCGTGCTGCCAATTGCCCGCTCGACTCGGCGACTGCACTGCCTTCTGGAAGCAAAAGGACCCTGTCATTCCGCGACTATGGATATCCTCGAGCTGGGAAACGGGCCCCTCCCATGACCGGCGCGCCACAGCGCCCCCCCTTTGGCTGTTTGAGCTGCCCTCTTTCGCGGAGCCGTTGCAAGAAACCATATGGAAGACATACGCAAACACACCGCTACCGAAGGCGCCTCCAGTCCTCTCGTCCCGTCGCCAGCCCCCCAGAAATAGACCAGCCGTCGGCGAGGTCGCCCTCGCAACGCGCCAAAGAAGAAAAGGTAAATAGGCGGGCAAGAAAGAAGGCAGATTTTACGCTGCTTTGCTAGGAAAAGAGCAAGAGAAGAAAATTTGGGGCGGCCATTGCTAGCCTTTGCTTTCGTCTTTCCATCATGTCGTGTCTCGTTAACGCATATCGTATAAAACTGACTGCCGTATTGATGGTAGCATAGGCATGAGGAGAATCGTCGTCATCGTCGTCAGCATCCAGCAAACGGTACCGTGGCACTGGGGGGTTATTTGCTCGACCGCGCAATCAGCCACTGCAGAACAGCGTCCAGATTGGTCTCCTCTTTTGCACTGATGCCGTAGCAGCTCACCTCCCGGTGCGACACGGAGCGCAGGTTCAGCGTCTCAATCAGCTCGTCGACCGAGACCTTGTCGGGCAGGTCTGACTTGTTGCCAAGCACGAGCAGCGGAATGCCCTCCAACGCCGGCTTTTCCAGCAGCAACTGGAGCTCCTCGCGGGCAACGGGAAGCGCCTCCTTGTCGGCCGAGTCCACGATGAATCTGCAGCCGATAAGCAAAGCGCGTGCGAAATGCGACCGACGAAGAGCCTACACGATGGCGTTTACGCCGCGGCAGTACCGCTCCCACATCGACCGAAACCTGGGCTGACCACCAAGATCCCAACTGAGGACGGCGAGAACAATCAGCAAATGGTGCCCCACGGTGCTATCTCGCGTTCGCACTGCCGCCCACACGGATGCTTTTGGGGACTGGCACATGACGATCTAAGGGAGGATCCCTGCGATACATACCACTTCAGGGTCACATGGCCCTTCTGGACTCGCTTCATGTTGAACCCCACGGTGGGAATTGAGCTGGACACACAACTGGTCAGTGCAAAATTCGCGCAAATGGACGCATCCTCGTGCGCGATGGAAAAGGCAGGACGCACTCGATGGTAAATTCGCCGCCCTGGTTACGTCAGTGTCAAGCCAGCCAGCAGGCCCAGGACTCCAGCGCGACGTTGCACGGCCGGTGCCGGAAGGGTAGAGACTCACCGCCAGAACTCGCAACAACGACGTCTTGCCGGCGTTCTGCAAGCCGATCATGGTGATGTCCATCTCGGTCGCCCTGCGGAGGCCGACACGGCCGGGTCAGCAGGGTGCTCGGCGGGTGCGCAGGAGCCGTCTCGCGCGTGAGGCAGCGGCGGAGGGGGCCGAGGCCAACAACACGCGATGCAGGCGGCGATGGTTGATGGCAGCGGGAGGGTGGAGGATGCCGGGCCCAGAGGTCGCGCACTCACCAGAACAGGCGCAACAGCCAATCGTAGATACGCCTGAAGAAGCCAGCCATGGTCGGGAGGAAGTCGTGCTGCTGCGTCCGGGTGCAAGGTGGGAGGGAGAGGGCGCTATGGATGGGCAGTGAATAGCTGCGGAAGGGCCCGAGGCGCGTGAAGAGCTCAGTCTAGGGTTCCTGGGATGCGGGGCCTTGTCTGCCTTGCGGCCGGGGCGGTTAAGCTAGGTAGAAATCAACGCGAGCAGGACCTTTGCACCGCGCACGCAGGCGAGTGGTGAGAAGCTTTGCGGCGATGGCTGCCGGGCGGGCGATGGAGGATACAAGGGCAAAAACCACGGCGCCGCATGTGCACGAGAGAGGTGGTGCAGCGCCTGGCACTCTTCTTGCGGGAAGCCGATCTGCTAGCCCGCTTCGGGCGGGCGGTCGCCCTGCGACGCCAATCCCTGCCGCCGCCGTCGGGCAGAGCTGCAGCGCCAAAGACCCGGTCCGAGCGCTGCTACCACATTTTTTCTGAGGCCTGCTCTGCCATCCTCTGCCAAACCTGCACGCCAACCTTGCTTTTGTGCTGTCGCCGCCCGTCCCGAAGCGCACGCCTCTGTGTGATGCGCACCTGCGCCCTGCAGTAGTCTCGACACGGCCCGCCCCCATTGCCCGCGCCGACAGCCGACACGCCGCCGCCGCCGCGCCCAGTACACGCCCGCCATGGCGCCCTCGCATTCCAAGAGACGGGCGAAGACCGATACCGCCTGGAGCACCGAGTTCGACACCCTGCGCCGGGAGCACCTGTTCCGGAACCCGCCCACCGACCACACCGCGTACCCCACCCTGGCCGCCGCCATCGAGCCGCACGTCAATTCGTTCAATGCCATTTTCGCGAAGAACGGAATACTGGAGCATGGGCTCAAGGACATTGGCATCAAGACCTTCCTGGACGGCGACAACCTCACCGTCGGGCCCCGCAATCGCCTTAGCGTGCGCGTCCGCGATGTCTACCTCGAGAAATCCATCCTCCCGACGAGCAACAAGTTTGCTCTGACCAACCGGAACATCCTGCCCTCGGAATGCCGTGAGAGGCATGCCACATACAGAGGGAAAATGCGCGCGCGATTGGAGTGGCGCGTCAACAATGGCGACTGGAAGGAGACGGTCCGCGAGCTGGGCCAAGTCCCAATCATGCTGAGAACGAGCAAATGTCATCTTGAAGGCCTCACGCCAGCTCAGCTGGTCAACGCCAAGGAAGAAACCGAAGAGCTGGGGGGCTACTTCATTGTGAACGGCAATGAGAAGCTCATCCGTATGCTCATTGTCGGCAAGCGGAATTTCCCCATGGCCATCATTCGGCCCTCTTTCCAAAACCGTGGACAGTCGTACACCAAGTTCGGTATCCAAACTCGCTCCGTCCGCCCTGACCAAACCTCGCAAACCAACGTGCTTCACTATCTCAGCGATGGAAACGTCACTTTCCGTTTCTCGTGGCGCAAGAACGAGTACCTCATTCCAGTCATGATGATTATCAAGGCACTCGTGGAGACTAACGACCGCGAAATCTTTGAGGGACTCGTCGGCGCTGTCGGTTCCAAAGGTCTGGCCGATAAGCAGTTCGTCACCGACCGCGTAGAACTGCTCCTCAGGACATACAAGGCGTACAACATCCACAGCAAGGCGAAGACTCGGGCATACCTGGGCAAAAAGTTCAAGGTCGTCCTGTCTCTGCCAGACGATACGCCTGACGAGGATGCTGGTACCGAGTTTTTGCGCAGAATCGTGCTTCCCCATCTGGGATCGTTTGACGTCACCGAGAGTCAGGATGCCGATAAATTCAAGATGCTTCTGTTCATGATTAGGAAACTGTATGCACTCGTTGAGGGGGAGTGCACCATTGACAACCCCGATGCGATTCAGAACCAGGAAGTCCTTCTCGGAGGCTTTCTTTACGGCATGATCATCAAGGAGAAGATCGAGGACTGGCTGATGTCAATCCGCCCCGTTGCATCCGAATGGTGCAGGAGCACTCAACAGCGCTTCACCGACCCGGACTTCGAGAAGGACTTTCTGCCAAGGATCGTTCGCCGCACAACTGAAAATATAGGAAACGCCATGGAATATTTCCTTTCTACGGGAAACCTCGTCAGTTCGTCGGGTCTCGACCTGCAACAGACCTCCGGCTATACAGTGGTCGCTGAGAAGATCAATTTCTGGAGATTCATAAGCCATTTCCGAGTAAGTTCTCACTCACCATAGCTAGATTATATTTACGCTAACATTACCTTTCTAGATGGTGCACCGCGGTAGTTTCTTTGCTGAGGTTCGTATTAAAAACCGGTCATCGTGCGAAACTAGAGCTAAAGAGTTAACCCACGTAGTTGAAAACCACGACAGTCAGAAAGCTTCTTCCTGAATCTTGGGGTTTCCTTTGTCCTAGTGAGTCTATCAACCCGAATACATTTCTGAAATATATTACTAACCTGATTGACCTACAGTGTGAGTCTGCTGCTGCCCCCAAACCCTCAGGCCTGGGCTCCCAGCCCTCAGCCGCCGCCGCCGCCGCCGCCCCCACCCCCCCTGCAACCTCACTTTCCCCCATGCGCTTTTGAGACCGTTTACTAACATGATTTACTTGCCAGTCGTACGTGATTCCACCAGCAACTGCCCGGGGATCAAGCATGCTGTGCTTCACCTCAAACAGACAACCCCGACCTACCATACTCTCCTCTTATCCATCATAGATCATTAACTGACTGTTCGCAGACACCCCTGATGGTTCGCCGTGTGGCTTGCTGAATCACTTAGCCCATAAATGCAAAATTGCTACTTCGGACGCGGATTCCTCTGCGATCCCCGGTCTTGTTGCTGAGCTTGGAATCTCAAGTGTCTCTTCAGCACAGCTCGAGGACAGCGTGGTCATCCAGCTCGACGGCCGGATCCTCGGCTATTGCTCTCCCAAGCAAGCCAAGGTAATCGCCGACACGCTTCGTTATTGGAAGGTTGAGGGCACGCACAATGTCCCGAAGGAGCTAGAGCTTGGTTATATCCCGGGCTCCAACGGCGGCCAGTATCCTGGTGTCTATATGTTCACCCAGGCCGCCAGGATGTACAGGCCTGTCAAGTACCTTCCTCTAGGCGGCCTTGATTATGTCGGCCCTCTCGAGCAACCCTACATGTCGATCGCCTGTTCCGAACCCGAAATCGCTTCGGGTGACTCTACGCACGTCGAGTTCGATGCTACCCACACCTTAAGCATATTGGCAAACCAAACACCCTTCTTCAACATGAACCAAAGTCCTAGGTGCGCCTTTTCCTGACATTCCTGTATCAATTTTGATTGAGACCTAACGGCATTTAAAGGTCCATGTACCAGTGCCAAATGGCCAAGCAGACACTGGGCTCTGCAGGAACAGCCGCTGCATACCGGACCGACAATAAGTCGTACAGGTTACAAACTGGGCAAACACCAGTTGTCCGTCCACCTCTGCACAATGTATATGGCTCCGACAACTTCCCCAACGGCACGAATGCCATTGTTGCGGTCCTCAGCTACAGCGCGTACGACATGGATGACGGCAGTAAGTTTGGTTTTGATGAAATGAGTCCTCTGGATGAAGCTGATGGAATATAGTGATCATCAATTCTCGCGCTTTGCAATACGGATTCGGGCATGGAACCATCTACAAGACCAAGAAGGTTGAGCTGAATGAGGGTTCCAGAAGCAAGGGTGCTAAGAAAGTGTCGAAGCTCTTTGGCTTCGCACCTGATGGTCTTATCAAGGCAGACTGGCGTCTCAAGCTTGATGACGATGGATTGCCGCACATTGGAACTCTGATGCAGAAGGGTGACATTCTCTGTGCGTACCACAACGTTACTTACGATGCCGCCAGAGGAGAGTACATCAACAAGGACGGCCAAACCCACTTCGAGAAGTACAAGGATGACGAAACGGGGTTCATCGAGGAGGTCCGTATCATTGGATCCGAGACGGGTGCTGAGCCGCTCCAGGCAGTCAGCATCAAGATCCGTATCCCGCGTTCTCCTGTTATTGGCGACAAGTTTTCTTCGCGTCACGGGCAGAAGGGCGTTATGTCCATGAAGATGCCAGCAGTCGATATGGGTAAGTCGCCGCCAAGTCTTCTTTCGCTCAAGGACGCGCGGACCTGACAAGAAACGTAGTTTTCAGCGAATCGGGAATCCAGCCCGATGTGCTGATCAACCCCCACGCGGTACGTTAGCTCTCTCTTCACATGGGAGCACAAATATGCTGACAAGCTCTGCCTTAGTTCCCGTCTCGTATGACGATTGGTATGTTCGTGGAGTCGCTGGCGGGTAAGGCCGGTGCAATGCACGGTCTCGCCCAGGACAGTACTCCATTCAAATTCGACGAGCGCGACACTGCCGTCGACTACTTTGGCCACCAGCTCGCGAAGGCTGGCTACAACTACTACGGAAACGAACCCATGTACTCTGGCATCACTGGCGAGGAGCTCCAAGCCGACATCTACATCGGCGTCGTCTACTACCAGCGCCTGCGTCACATGGTCAACGACAAGTACCAAGTCCGTACCACGGGTCCCAACAACGCGCTCACGGGCCAGCCCATCAAGGGTCGTAAGAAGGGCGGTGGTATCCGTATCGGAGAGATGGAGCGCGACGCCCTGCTCGCTCACGGCACCGCCCACCTGCTCCAGGACCGTCTCATGAACTGCTCCGACTACACGAAGGCCTGGATTTGCCGCGAGTGCGGTTCCTTCCTCAGCACGGCGCCGACGGTCAACGGCTACGGCCGCGGCAAGCGCGGTGGAAGCATCACCAGGTGCAGACGCTGTGCCAAGCCGGCGGAAGGGTGGGAGCCGAAGAGCGAGGTCTGGGAGGACGGTCAGGGCATGAGGTTCACCGGTGGTGACTCGTGCGGGGTCGTGGCCATCCCGGGTGTCTTGAAGTATCTGGACGTGGAACTCGCGTCAATGGGCATCAAGCTCAAGTTCAACACGGAACCGTAAGTCTGGCCTTGTGCTGGACGAATCGAACGTGGTATCTCGTCATTCGCTTTCTCATCTTGGTTGGATGATCTGGAGTTGGGGGGTCTGGGAAGTCTCAAAAGGACGGAAAAAAGTTCAAGTCGTTCCTGTGCGTGAAAGGTGGCAGTGTATATCAACAGAGGAACAAAGCTTCCAAGGTGGAGGGATTTGCATTGTTGGGCGTTGGGCTTTTCCCCTTTCCAAGAGAGTACTACTCAATACACTATGTTTTCCATCTACCTGCCGGGTTCACTATGATCTCCTAGTGACGATGTCTTCTATGAATTTTGCCTACGATGTGTCGGCAATCGCTCTTAGCTAGCTTGCCCTCAAGTTACATGAAAATATTGTCAAATGACCGCACATATAAATGTGTTGGCGTAGTGGAAGGTATGTGGACATGACACTGTTGACCCATGGTTCAGTGGCTTGGCCCTTCGATACGGCCGGCTCTCATACATTTCAGAACGAGGAATCTCTCTGAAAACACACCAGGAGCATCCGCGTAAGTAAGGGATTGGTGCGACGTGAGAGCAGGCAAGACCCTGTCGTTATTCTTACCGCCAGCCACTGCTTCCATATCGTTCGGAGCACGAAGAAAGTTTTCGAAGTTGTTACGCCCATGCTTAACACATGATGAAGCCTTGAGATTTTGTTCCCGATATACCACGAGAGGCACGAATCGCTCGGGAAACCGGACAGTTTCTTTTCTCTTTTTTCCATTTTCTTTTTCTACTTCTTTTCTTTTGTTTTGTTTTAGATATAGTGTAGCGAGTTGTTTTCTTTCTTTTTTTTTTCTCTGGGGGGACACGAGACGAGGTCAATTAATCCGAGTGTTTTCCTTCGTTTCTTTTTTTTTGCTTCGAACAGATCAAAGATGATCAAAGCGGCAACTCGGCCTGGAGAGAATTACCTTCCCTCCGTAAAATCGGTGTTCTGAAACAAATGCCGAGACAATGTCTCTGGCTTTCTCGGAGGTCCACGCCGAAATGTGCTCGGGCCGAATCGAATGCGTATAGGTATCATTCATGCCAGAAAAGGCAAGGATCCGGACCCTACGTCTCGTCATTAGATGATCGATAATCACGTTGGTGGCGGTTACGGAGTCATGTAAACGTCATTCAAACCAACTCCTACGCTAGAATCCCACCGTCCCAAGTCGCCGAAGCAAGAGTGTGAAAAAAGGGAACTAAACAAGAAACGTGAGAGTGATGAGATAGATTGAGGCTCGGCCCAGTAAGCCCCAGGTCGTGCGTCACGCTGTTATGCAGAAGTCAACATCAAGACGTGACAAGTGGATCAGGAACTGAAAATCATAATGAGAATACCTTGAGAGATATCAAAGGGAAAAAGCAAGACGAATAGGTTAACATCATCCTGGATCCTAGCTAGTTTGCGGGGGGGCGTGATCCATGACGCATAACTGCACAGACAGGATGCGCAGTGGTGAGCAGGTGGCGCCCTGTTCCAGCCACACGACCCAGGACCCCCGTCGCAACAGCTGAGACAATCAATCCTCCGGGGTCAAACGCCCAGACGCCCGTTGTGCTTTGATGTTCCGAGATAGCAGCCACGATGAGTTGAGCAGACAGCCTCTTTCGGTAACGCACTCAACGACGATAGAGATCAAGGTCCTGGTTCGCAGGTGGCGAAATCCAATGCAATGTGTATGAATCTTTGGCGGAAAAGAGAGTCAAGCTCCTCCTAGTGCCTCTGAAGAAAGAAAGGATGTTGATGAGGGCGATGCATGCCTGCTTCTATTTCATCGTGACATCGGCCACGACCAAAGGGGTATCCAACAACCCGTCCCGGACCTTTAAAAAGCACCGACGCGGGAAACCATAGCAACAGAAAAGTCATCCGAATGAGACCTCTGGATCCAAACCAACGGCGAAAACAAATAGTGCCGTAACAGATGTTAAGAGTGGGTTATCCGAAAGAAAAAAAAAAGACCAACAAGTGTAACCAAATCCAGATGATCCATTGGATTAAAAGTAGGAGGTGTGAGACTAAACATAATTGCGCTTGCCCGTTCGTCTATGTAAATAAAGGGTAATTCAATCCACGCGCCCTGGAAAAACGATTCGGGGAAACAGCTGGAAATCCTACACAAACCGCCAATCGTTGCTCTATGGGAGGTGAGATAACCAATGCTCACCCCATCCGCTCTATAGTTACCGCTCTCGCGCACAAACACACGTACGAGATACAGACAAAAAGAAACCCATCATCACGTAAGATAAGAATAAAGGAGATCTTCGTGTCTACTCTTCCTCTTGCACAGCGGCGCTAAAACATGGGGGGTGTCTTCAAACTTCGCCCCAGGTGGCGGCACTGGGCGCGCCGGCGGGCCCGCTTCCGACGCTACCGCCGAGATCCCAGTAGTTCTTACTGCTCCCGCTGCGCTTGCTCCGACGGGTGCTCTGACTCGCGCAGCTAGACCCGGCGTTCCTGTTGCTCAGGCGAGAGCGCTGCAAATTCGCCCTGCTCACGGGCACGGGGACGGGAACGGTGATGGTGGTGGTCGTCGCCGTGGCGTTCGGTGCCGGCCGCGACGACGACGACGCGAGCTGCTCCGAGTGCGCCTGTGCGGACGACGTGGGCAGGTTGCGGCTGACGAGCGGGTGGTGCTGGCGGATCAGGGCCGCGCGCTCCTGGCTGCCGGCGGTGCTGTCGGCGCCTTTCGGCTGAAAGGGATTCGCGCTGTCTCTCCGGTTGGGAGGACTCCCGTTGACCGGCGACGTCGGTCTAGAGGAGAATCGCTCCTTGAGAAAGTTGAACACCATCTTCACGTCGAGATCGCGTTCCCAGTATTCCCGCTCGTGCTGGGCTTGTGCCGAGGCTTCAGAGGCAGCAGGTTCCGGCTCGGGCTCCTCCTCGATACCCCAAAGAGAGGCCTCGCTGTAAGATGGTTGAGGAGGAACGGTAGGCGCGAAGTTGATATTAGAAATGGATTGGGATTGAGTGACGTCGGGCGTAGCGCTGGAAGAGGCGTGAAGACTTAATCGCCGGGGAGTGGTGCTGTCGGCCGATGTCGCAAGGCCAGCATAAGCCGGGGCTTCTTGCGTCCGAAGGTAGGTTGAAAACGCCCCAGGATGTTCGGAAAGCTGGTTAACTAGAACTCCAAGTTCTCGTGATATCCGCTCGAGCAACCGCTGCTCCCAGGAGTCGTGGGTAGACATATTGTCTGCGGATTCAGTGGCCGCGGCGGCCAGGACATCTTTCGGATCCGGCCCGGAAGTTGTTGAACTGGCGTCTGCCGGTAAAGATTGACCCAAAATGACGGAAAGGAGGTTCTCATCGATACCCATGAGGTCGCGGATGACGCGGCGGGTGAAGCGCTGCCAGAACGATTCACCATCTGAAGAATCGGCGGGGGAGGTGCCAAGCGGGGAGGCATCAGCCGCGGATGGTTCAGCTTCGGCAGCAGGCCTGCTGCTCTCTGCTATAGTACTGCCAGCAGTCGACTTCGCGATGGTGACGCGACTCATCCGTCTCCGCCTCCTAGTTTCTCTTTCTATCTCATCCAGCAGGGCGCGGCTTTGCTCGAGTCGCCACCGCTCAATGCGTTCTCTCCTCTCGTCGTGCTCAAGTGTTTCCCTCTCTTCAAGTACGTCTAACCTTCGCTGCACACTAGACCTCCGTCTTGCCGCCTTCGTCTTCCTGGGGCTCGCATTATATCTCTCGAATTGCCACAGCTGTTCCTGCACCGCTGCACTGCTCGATGGGAAGGTACCAAGGCCGTCGTGGGTGGGAAACACAGTTTGACTGCTCTCTCCGACTTGTGGAGCGCTCAACGACGGCTCATGGAACGCATGTAAGCCGTCATCCAAGCTGTCCAGCTCTTCGGTATCAGCCTCGTCCTCGGGGTTTGTGCCCTGGCACGTCAGATTGTCCTCATCGTCGCGCTCTTCATAGTTCTCGGATCTTGCTGCGGTGTCGAGGGAGCCAAAGTCGCTCAGCTGCGAGATTCCGACTGTGCGAGGGGTGCGCTCGGTGGAGGTGGTGTGGGTGCGACCATCAACGGAAGGCGAGAAGAGGACCCATTCCTCGGACTCGACGACGGAGTGCTTGCGGTGGGGCGAGACGGCGACGCGCTGTACGGGTTGCTGCTGGGCGGGCTGGGAGAAGGAAAGCGGGCGAGAGGGCCGCGGCCGCTGCGGCTGCTGGAAGGCCATGGGACGGTACGGGCGGGGCGAGTAGGAAGGGCGCAGGCGGCAGGCTCAGAGGTAGCGGGGCTGATGGGTGGGAGAAAAAAGTCGGTCGCGCGTAGGTGAGCAGCAGGAGGCTGAGTAGTGGAGGGCTGAATAGGGAAAGGTTGGGTGATAGTGGTATAGCAGCGGAATCGGAACAGATGAGCAAGAGATGAGTAAGGCTGAGGGGCCTCCAGGCCCAATGCGGACACAGGTGCGGCGGCAGTGGGCGGCGACAAGCAAGAGGGTGACTAGGGTGGCTGGTCGCGAGAGGATGGTGAGAGTTGGTATCCGGTGACCTGGCGGGAGCTTGCCTGGTGCACAGCTCGGGGCTAGCGACGCTAGGTCCGGCGGGAGGAGATGTAGATCTTGGTGGGACACAGAGCGAGCGCGCGGTGCGCAGGGCGGCGCTGGGCGGCGCTGGAAGATTGCGGCGCGGGGGTCAGGGTCGCGTTTCGTCGAGAGCAGCACTGGAGGGTTGGGAGCAGACAAGGCCACAGGCGGGAGGGCGAGGGTGATATGCAGCTAGCTGGACATGTCGTTGGCCTCCCTAGCATGGCGCCGCGATAATGGATAATGATGACGATAAGGCCGAGCGGCGGGCGTGCGCAATCCTGCGGCGGCCCGACCTGATCACCATCTCTCCGACCTCGCCGCCGACCACTGTGTCTGTATGACTCTCACTCGCGCGGTACGTACTTCTGCACGAGCTTTTCGCGCCAGCCGTGTCGCCGGCGCCCAGAACCACCAGCAACCCGCGCCGCAGCCGGCTCCAACGACCGGACACGCGCGCTGCCCTCTTCGCCCCGTCGCCAGTCGCCAGTTGCCAGTCGCCAGTCGCCAGTCGCCAGTTTACCCCGCATTCCAGCGCGCATCGCCTTCGCTCCCAGGGGTTTTCCATTCTTGCTTCGATGCGGCGACTGCCCGCCCCCACCGCAGCATCCCTTACTTGGAGCAAGGCGAAGCCGCCCCACTGCCGCGTTGCACGAAAATGGCACGGGTGTCGTGGTGTGAGCGGCGAATCTCTCACGACCACATAGCAAGCAACGGGCACGCGCGCCCACGGCCTGAACCCCGTCGGTCATTGCGCGTGCACCCGTGCCAGCAGGGCTGATGATGGCTCCGGCGTACGCTGCTGCCCTTCAGGGTCTGCTCTGCCCAAGGGGCCAGGCCTGCCAGCGCAACCGTTTTGAAACCGTCTCGCGCAGCCAGTGTCGCGTGCTCCTACCCTCCCTGTGTTCGCTCTCCTCGCCCTGCTACGCAATGATTGTCGGGAGCTAAGCATCGGCCGCCGAAAACGGACAGCCTGCCTTACCGCTGCTCATCAACCCCCGCCGTCGCCGCACCACCCTCGGTCGGTGGAGCTTGGTGGCCTCGTGAGTGGCGTAAAAAGACAAGCGTGGCCGGGGAAAAATTAAAACAAATAAAACGGCAACGCCTACGCAGCAATAATAAATCCGGATGCCAACGCCGGCGCCGTCAGTGCGGCTTTGCGCTGGCCTTCCGCTACGTCCACCCGCCACTATCAATTACCTAAGTCGGCGGCACGTCTCGCCTCACGCCTTCTCATCCTGCCGCCCGGCCCTGCTGCAGACTACCCCTCGCTCTGCGCCCCCCCTTCCCTTCGAAGCTTTCTCGGAGACAGGCCGGGGCTACTGCATTCTGCTCACGCAATCGCCTTGCCGCGACATGTAATATGCAGGCTGCACTTAGCTGAGTCAAGCGCTTGCGCCTTTCTGGGCCACGGTTGCATAAGCACGTGTCAAGTCACTGCGTGCCCTTCATCCGACTCCTTCCTCGCCCAACGGCGAGCTCGGCTATCTCCAATCCGTAGACTACCTAAACCCAAAGACAAACCTTATCACGCCGTGACTTCCTGTTGCTAGCTCGTCGGAGTTACTTTCTCCCCTCTCCCCGCCCGCTCGGGAATTAACGGACGGCGTCATCTCGCGCCAAGTGATGCGAATACGAAAAGAGTAGGAGCCTATTATTTCCCGGCGCGTCTTGACTTCAGAAGTAGCAAGTAAATGAACAGAAACGACTGACATCATCCTATGTCGAGACAACACCCTATTTGTCGTCCCCCCGGTCGCTCGCACTTCTTCCCGAGCGACATCGCAACACCGTCTTCACTACTGCCGCGACCACCGCAAAGCTTTTTTGCACCGGCCAAGCGGAATGGAAAGAGGAGGGAAACCAAAGTCCTAGGTGCGCAAGCGGGACTATTGGAGGCAGATGCAAGAGAAAGGCGGCAGCAGTAGTAGGAGTCATGGTGGCTTGAGAAGTGCCATATGGCTCTTGCTCGCTCGCCTGCTTTAGTCCATTTCCCCGCACGACGTAGATGCGACATACATACAACTTGCACGTCTGTAGCTGCCGCGCGCTATCATCTCTACCTGCCACGGCAATAGCCGAACCAAGGTAGTCTGGCATGTCAGACACGGAACGGTACTACTTCCACTGCTCGGTATTCGCTACCATGGATGGTCGCACCGGTACGCTAACCAAATCCTTTTACCGCACGATCTTGTCCCAGCCTGACGTACTTTTCTTCTCATGGCCATTGACTTCTAATCTGTATGTATATGTATCTCAAAGTTTCGCATCTGTAGTAATCTTATATCCATGGGACCTTATTGGTCTCTAGGTCTGACAAGTATTCGAAACGTGCTCATTCCGTATGGAAAAGGGAGAGGAGGTACCGTCCACTATTGGTGTGGCGCGAGATCCCGTCCAATAATGGCATCCCGTCAACGGGATCATCTTTCGTGTCTCCGCGAGCAGAGATTCCCCAAAGGTGACAGTGTGATCCAAAAACCTGCTTACCCAAACTCCGACCGTTTCCAAGGTCAATCCCCAAAAAAATCTGCAAAGGAGTGGCTGTGGTATCTGTGCAGGGAACGACAAATGTGCGTATTTCGTGACCGTCATCATCTCATCTTACCTTCCAACAAAGAGGCGGGGCCATCTCTTTCAGTTTTTCACCCTCTTCTTTATCTTCGTTCAAAGACCGGCGCCTATTCCAGTCCAAGCCGGGCAATATCCTCAGGGCTTATCTCCTCCCCCTCGCCAGCGCCCGTCCACCTCTTGGCCCTCCTTCCGCCAACAAATTCCTTAATGATGCAATCCCCGTTGCCCTGGCAAACCTTCTTCCGCCCCAGATTCTTGAATCTCGGTCCATACGGGCCATTGACATAGTGATACTGACCAGCAAAACGGTATTGACGCGGGTCAGACAGAGGGTAAAATTTGTCACCCCAATGGCCGACAAAGTAAAACCATTCAATCGGCGCATGCGGCGTCTTCGTGGATGATCTAAGAGTGTCGTTCTGGTAATCATAAGTGTAGCTGTGGACGTTCAACGCCGGATCCCAAAGTGGACCACGATCCGTGATGTCGTGTAGGAGGCCCCAAGGAAGGATGTATGAGTGGGTCCCCGGAGTAGCGTACATGGCATGAGTGCCTGTTGCAATGTAGCCGACAGGCTGCTCAGTGGTCAGCATCAGTGGCCGACCTAAGGGGACGTAATGATACGTCACTACAGGAAGTATAGGAGTCACTTACCCTTTTACCAATCTTCTCAACTGCATCCCACGCGTACGCCTCGCCAAAGCTATGCTCACTGAAGAACACTGCCTTCGGCTTTCCGTGATGGAAACGGACGACAGTGTGCTCCCAATCACCGACGTGATTGCCAAAGCGCACGTTGAGTACAACGTTGCCAAGATTGTAGCTGTAGAAAAAGAACCAGAACGCATCGACAACCCCATCGCCTTTGTCAATCGTGACCAATACAGCCGGAGCATCGCTACGTCCACCAGGGCTGTGGTGCTTTTTACCTGCAGTCCAGTCCAGCGTACGTCGAATCATACGAGGCTCATGATCGATCGGTGCTCCGGATCCATCTTCGTAAACGACCTCTTCTCCCTCTGGCGTATCGGTAGGAGTAGCGTCCACAAGAGCCGTTGGATCGGGTCGTTCACCGCCCTTCTCCTTGATGTCACCAATGCCCGCTTCATACCAAGTGTCATAGTCATCCGTTGGGTCGTCATCTATGCTCCCATCTCCACCAGGGTGCTGTTCCCAGCCATCGTCATCATAACGCCCACCTGACTTTGTGGGGACGTTGGATTCCCCACTGAGCCATGCTGGGCGCTCTTCCACGTTATCGTCGCTCTGGAGGTACACAGAGTAACCAAACTCGTTGAGCTCGTCAAGATCGGTAAGGTTAGGGTGATCCGATTTGGCCTGAATCGGAGTGTAGTTGAGGTGCGGAGTTGTGTGAATGAGGTGGTCGGCGATATCACACGGCCAGAACTTTTCACCAGAGAAAAGGTGCATCAACGGCGCATGGTCGAGCACGTACTTGGGAATCTCGCGGAGAGCGCGTTCGTCGTCGGACCAATCCTCTGGCCTCGACTTGCCGCTTGTCCAAAACTCGCTGAAATCAAGGAGATGTTCGTCGGTGAGAGCTGCCTGAGCTGCATCACCATCTTTTCTGTGGGATTTGTTCACCCACTTGGAGCGGTTTAGATGTGTTATGCCGCAGAAGCCAAACCACTGGCAGGTTTTCCGCTCAATCCACGACCGTGAGCTGGCAATCCATTCGGCTTCCTCCAATCCCTCGGCGCCAGCTTGGTGATGGGTATTTTGGTACAGTTGAGAAATCGAGAAGAGACTGAGGAAAGTCGAGGCAAGCGCAACGGAGATGCGTTTGCCCCTCTTCATTTGTGTCTCGGTGGTTTCTACGAGCTCTTTACTGCTCGTAGTGGACAGGTCGGGAGGATGGCAAGCTTCAGATATGGGGGTGTTTGTATCTTCGTGGGGAGGAGAATGGCAACGCTGTTGCGGAACGTCTACCAGAGGCGTGGGAATATCAACAAAAGGCGCGGTAGGGCTGGCTACCGACTGTGGGCTGAACGAGTGGAAGGCGGCGGAAGAGTGAGGAACGAGAGGGAGGGCAGGCGGCAAGGCATGATGAAGTACGAGCGGTGCCTGGCCGGCATGGTCTAAAAGCACGGGCACTAAGAGAGAAGACACACTTGTGTTAGCCGTTTCTGGAGCGAGAGTGCAAGTGACGATGGGCTGTCTTACTGGTGTGAGGTCAGAGATCCGGCTTGGCGTGATGCTTCTCGGGCGTCCGAAGATGCCGGACGACGGTTACCAGCTCGGGGCTGGATCGGACGGTAGGCTGCGGGACCAGTTGCGATGCTAATGGAAGGCTTCGGATGATCGGCAGCAAGCATGGCCAGCAGGCCACAATGTGAGTGGGCAGCGGGGCGCGTGAGGTGAGCGCGGCGGACTTAAGCAGGCGGCGGGGGTGCGATGGCGGGACTCAGGGCCGAGAGCGAGAGGGGCAGGAAGGCGGATGGCTGTGCTGACACATCAACTCAGGCGCTGCTTATCGCGGCCGGGCCGGCTGGGAAGGGACGGTGGACGGTAATGCGGGGCAAAGGGCGACGGAGGATGGGAGGGCAGCCGCGAGCATCCGCAGCGCAGCGCCGGAGCAGGAGGGGGCATGCATGACCAGCGGGCGGATGAGACGGATCAGCCCTACCCTACTCCCCGGGCTACGTCACGGCGGCGGCGTGCGGCTCTGGCCCGCTCCCGGCCTCTGCTCGAGCCACTGGCGATCGGCGCTAAGCACTTGGTCGTAGCTTGTCGCGACTTGCAACCACCACGCGCCTCCGCGATCCACTCTCCGCGCGGCTTTGCATCGCCCAGAGTACAGCCTGTGTTTGTCGCGAGCGGTCGCTGCCCAAGCCGCCGCAGCCTCGAGCATCGCGCCTCGACGGGGAGCACTTGCATCGGCGCGTTGACGGCGCGTTGACAGCTCGCCTTGTAAATTTTCCGACCGCGCCGTGCCGGCCGCGCATGATGAGTAACAGCCGCACACTCACATCTGCCCACGATCCTGCTTTACCGTCGTGAACCACCGGCCACAGCACCCGCCATGGCGCCCGCGCAGAACGGCGCCGACCCGGATGAGTGGGAGTACGAATACAGCACCACCGAGACCCAGGTGTGAATCCAGAAAAGCCATGTGGCACCGTTGGACCGGCTCCTGACATGTCTGCTGCAGGACTTTTTCGTGACGCTCGATCTCACCTCACGCATCATGTCCATGCAGTCCAAGAAGGGCTACGTCCGCTTGGAGCACGACATTTTTGCTGCCGACGACGCGGACAAGGACGGGGAGCACGAGCAAGACGACGCCGCCGATCCGGCCGAAGGAAACGCTACCCCACACAAGCCGCCGTCACCCGAGCCCGGAGAGTACGACCGCATTCAGATAGTGGGGCTTGAAGACGACAATCCCATTGTATCCTACCAGGGCCATATATACAGCTGCCAATGGGCATCGACAATCGGCACCGACCTTCTCTTCACCAGAGCCGTCGCGCCAGAAGACGGCGAAGACCAGGCCGCAGAGCCGTTGCGCAAGCTTGGCACCTTCGACCTGCTGGGAGCAAGTTCAGCACGCCTCGTTGCTACCACGGCAAGACTGAGGCCAAGGATCGGTCCAAGGGGGCCAACGCAACCCCAGCCTGCTCCCGCCGCCCACCCTTTCGCACCTATCGAGAATACAGACAGCACAGAGGTCGTCAAGTTCCCCCTCCCGGAATATGCGACACGCGCGCAAAGGCGTCAGGCAACTTTCCTCGAGCAGCTGAGTGCTATCAAAACCCGGCTCGGGGAGAAAGACAAGGTAAAGCCGTCGGCATATACAAGCCGCGGAGCCAACATCAAGCCCGGCGAGGACGATGGCACCCAGGGTCAGCGCATTTTCGTCACTTCCCCAAGCCCTCCTCGTGTTGGCGATTTCACCTTCATCACTGAAGATGGAAGCGACCCACCAAGCCCGAAAAGTCCACGGCAGAGCCCCAAGCGGAAACCGTCCCCAGCCCAGGATCGGTCTCCGAACAAGCGAGCGCGTCGTGGAGGGGCTAGATTGGGCTCGCCTTCCCGTGCAAGAGCAGCACATGCGCTACAGGAAACCAGCCCCTTGAGGAATGAGCTATCTGGCGCTGCTGGTCTCAGTGCGGAAAGAGCCACACCTGCTACCTGGGACGAGCTCGACCTAGGTAACGACGCAGCCTGAACCTCTTCATCTCTACACATTCAAGTGACACTACACTCTATGAGCGCTGACGATTCTCGGTTTCCGTGTTCGGTAAGGCAGCGCTCCCGCATCCTGATCCCCGCCTAGACTTTCCCCAGGGCTGATGACGAGCCGTAACAGGCCCTTACCTGAACCTCACTTCCAACCGCCATCTCTCACGCATCCGCCACCCCAATATCACCATGCCCGAGCCGTCGGCCTTCAGAGCCTTCCTCATCGTCATCGCCGCTCTGATGTGCCTCCGCAACATCGACGACCACCCTCACTCCGACGACGAGTCTATTTCCAGCTACGACTCCTGCTCCGACGACGACACCACCCGCTCGCTGGCCGACTACCCCCGTCATGGATCCTCACGCGTCCACCACCACCACCGCCAGCACCACCACGAAGACCACATTCCGTACGCTCCCCGACTCATCTCTCGGCACATTGCGTGAGAGACGGCGGACCATGATCCTCTGACCTTTCCCCGAGAAACAACATCTTGGCCTGCGACTGGGACGGGGCCTGTGCATTTCAAAATCATCAGATATGGCGCATGGAGTCTGGGCAAATTTGATCATGTGCTTGCTACCGAACCGGGCTCTCCTTCGTCCCTACCTCGCTATCCAGAAGATTGGCAAATTGTGTTCATCGAAACAAAGGGCCGCGGTAACCCGCCGGAAGCTTTTGGTTGGCGAAGGCTGTTGCAAATCAGCAAGCAAGGCGGCTTTTGCAAGTGACTTCGTAGTGGGTAGCTAAATACCCTGACTTTTTTTTTTCTTTCATCTTATCTCTGACTCTACGGCATGTTGCATACGTCTCTTGGTGACCAATGGTGAAAAAAAGAAAAAAGAGCGAGGATCTGACGAGATATATCATGTTTGACGTCTCTCAGCACCCCGCACCCCCCAAGCAGTTGGCCCAATTAATGAATCCAAGAGTAGTTTGGCGTAGCCCACAGCCCTCACAAGTGCCACACTCCGTGTAGGCCATTAGAGAGAGGACAATCCATTGAGTTCAAACGTCAAGAACATCTCGAGACATCTCACTCGTGCACGCGCGGAAAGCTCAACACGGATAAGGTTCCAAAACGAAACCCCCTTCCAACACCAAGACTTTGTCACACATGAGCTTGTAGAAGGCTTCTGAAGAGGACTAAGGGCCTTCTAGATTGCGGTAGAAAACGGTTTCTTGATGGCAAAGCATGCCTCGCAGCCTGGGCTTGCCTACTGTTGTAGTACACTTCACCCAACTGAGGTTCTACCACTTCCCGCACGACCCACATGTGCCTCGGTTTGCAGACGTAGTCCACGCGAGGTCTCGGTTGCAGATACATACATAATACGTACGTACCTTCGAAAAATACGTCCCTCAAACAGCAGCGCGGGCTTCCTCATAGAGAATGTAGCCAAACTTGAAGCATCATCATCTCCAGTAGCGCAACAATCCTAAATTTTGTGTCTCATACGCTCCATGCAAGGGCAAAAAAACAAGTTCAAAAAAACAAAAAGACGATCGAAGAAAAAAAACATGAATCCTATCTTTTTCTACCTCACGAAGATAAGAGACTCTCCCCTCTCCCCTACCCTCCCCTTCACAGCGCACACACAAAAGTACGAGCTTTCAACACCAGCAACGCGGCCATGTGCAGCGCCCGCCTCCAGAGTCATTGCGTCATTTCTTCGAGACCGTCGTCCGCTCAATCCCTTAAAAAACCCACCCCCGCCACCATAACCGCCCACCCACCTCCATTACTCTTTTTGTACCAAACATGGATAGCTTACTTCACCTCCCCCCCTCCCACTTCACAAACACAGCCTCAGGCCGCTCGCCGGCGCACCGAGCTGGCACACCTCGCAGACCTTGCAGACGGTGCCCTTGAACTTGGCCTGGTACTTGACGCCGCAGTACTGGCAAGCGACGCTGGGCGAGCCCGTGTAGATGGGCGTGTAGCTCGCCGCGCAGATCTCAAAGTCGGCGAACGTGTCGAAGTCGATTTCGACCGCGTCGTTGGGGTTGCGCTCGCAGACGGCCTTGATCTTGCGCGCGCTCTCCTTGAACCTGGCGTTCGTCGACCCGCGGTCCAGCAGGGTGTTGGCGAACGACAGCGCGCTGTTGTGCTGCCTGTTCTTGTGGGAGAAGTTCATCGCGGCGAAGAGGGCCAGCGCCTTGTGCGCCGGCTCGATTTCCGGCACGGTGAAGTAGGCGGCCAGCTCGAACGCGCGTTTTCTTGCCTCTTCGTCGAGTGCCGAAATGTCCTGGCTGCTGTTGGTCAGACGGCGGCGCTCGAGCTCGATGCTCATGGCCAGTGTGTACTGGCCAGCAGTTGCGATGAGCCTCTTGGCCTCTGCAACCTCGGCCTGAGTGGTGACGGCATTGAGCAGCATCAAGTGCAGGATCTTCTTCCAGGTCTGGACACCATCTTCCAGCTTGTTGGTGCGCATCGCGTTCTTGCCCGCAGCAAACTCCGCAGCAGTGATGGATTCCAGGTCCCGAGGAATAATGGGAAGAACCTTTCTGGAGTCGGTCTCATCAACTGTCCTTCGCACGTAGTTCACAAGCGGAGGCAGGCCAACGCTTGCAGGCAAGAATGTCCTTGAGGCCTGGTAAATCTCCTGGAATCTCCACTCGATCGGCTTGAAGTTGACGGCGCCGACTTGCCTGTTGAGAAGCTGCATTGCGCTCTCAAACGAACCACCAGCAACGTGATCGGCCGCAATGGGGGAATTCCTTGTCCACATATCGGCCTCGCTGCTGCCAGCACCAGCCTCGACACTTTCGACATTAACGAAGTCGTCTTCGACCTCAATGTCATCGTCGCCTCCCATATCCCAGCCAGCCGCGTCTTCATCTTCCTCAGCATCCTCAAATCCACCATCGCGCTGAGCGTCTTCAGTCTCGATGAGATCCTCGTCACCATAGCCGTTGGTGGCTGGCGCCAATTCGTCCGCATCCAGCTCCTCACCCATCAATGCCTTCTCGAAGACGGAAGCGCCAGAGCTCTTGACAGGCCAGTTGGCGGTGTAAGTAGGGACGACAGGCTTAGGAGGGGCCAGGGGCTGGCCAATCTCCGGAACAGAAATTTGGTCCTCGGTCAACCCGCTGGCTTCGAGAATATTTTGGCATTCTTCCTCCAGCCCATTTGACTTGGCCAGCATGTACGCCAGGGGGTCTAAAATGCAATCAGTCTCATCGAATACAGATACATGATCTCTCCCGAGCGGTACTCACATTGGTCAATCTCCTTGAACATCTCGATCCGGCTCTCGACGTCGCCAAGATAGATAGCGTTCTGGAATCGAGAAGTCATGTCACCCCGGTGCTCCGCAATCTTGGCCATGCGGGTGAGCTTTTCTCTGTCACCTGTGGAGAGGTACAAGAAGGAGAGTTTGTCGAATGTGCGCAGCTTTTGGTAGGTCATCTCGACGACCTTGTGGTTTCCATGAGCGAGAGCCTCGGCGCTGAGACGGGTCCACAGCTTGGGCCTGTCAAGCTGCTTGGCCATCTCGACCGCAACATCGAGGTTGCCGCACTCAATCGCGAGCTCGAACCTAGTTTGTGGGTCCTGGACGAACTGAAGTGCGATCTCCGGGTAGCCCTTCTTCTGCAGGTAGGCGATAATGCTCTGGCCAACGAGACTGGAGGTCTTGATGATGTTGAGCATCTCGTCATAGTTGCGCTTGATCAGAGCGAGCTTGAAGCGGTATTCGGTCGGGTCAATCTGGAGAATCTTGGGCTTGGCGGAGCGGTCCAAGCAGTAGACGTTGCGGCCCTTGACTCTAACGAGGTAAACAGTATGCTCCAGAGTACGTACGATACCGTTGTCACCGTTCATGAGCGTGTACTTGATGTGGTTCAAGGTGGAGTAGAGAAGGACGCCGGCATCATCCCACGTGGCACTCTTAATCCTGATGGTCTCGTGCAGAGTGCTGACCTGCTCGAGGCTCTTCGTGACAATCGTGACATTGTGTTTGCTCAGGAGCGCAGCATGAAGGCCATCGTTGGACCAAACGACGTACTTGACGCCGTTGACGGAGAGTTCGGCGAGGTGCTTCTTCTGCTGAATGTCGTAGAGAACCACAGAAGTGGGAGTGATCAGAAGAAGGCAGCCGGTACCACCAAAGTAAATGTCAGTAGTGCCGTGAGGCGGCTTGATCGTCTTAGTCGTAGAGTTGGCCAGATCCTTAATGTCGATTTGCTGGTTGGCCTGGTTGAAGACGGCGAACCTGTTGCGAGCAACGAATACCGCAGAGTTGCCGGATCCACGCTTGGTGTCCGTTGGCTCAACGGCACCGCTAGCATCGCGGGGCAAGCTAATGAGCTCGTAACAACCTCCATCGGCGGGTGAGGTTACCAGAATCGCGCGTTCGGCAGGATTGTATGATAACGTTCTCGGAGGGACCCATGGGCTGCCCAGCTTCTTCAGCGACAGCATCGACGGCGATTCAAGGTTCTTGGTGAAATCGTAAGAGCGCACGTGTTTCTCCTTGGTGATGTAGAAGAGCTGGTTCTGGTAGACGGCAGAAGCAGGCCTTTCACGTTCGAGCTTGAAAACCATCACACCGTTGTCGTGGCCAGCAGCGAACAGGTTGATCTCCGGGTGGGCGGCAATGACCCAGAAGCGGTCATTTTCCCTCTTGAAAGACTGCACAGAGGTGCGCTTGTTCAAATCCCAAACCCGAATGGACTTGTCCTCGCCGACGGAAAGAATCAGGTCCTGGTGCGGGTGGAACAAGCAGGCAGAGACGTTCTGGAAATGCCCTCTGCAGGTGTCCACCTCCCAAGCCTTGGTTTCGCTCATCCTCCACAACTTGACCAGCCTGTCATCGCCGGCAGAGACGATCAATGGAAGCGTGGGGTGGAACGAAACCCAATTGACACCACGGTCGTGTCCCTCCAGCACAAACTTCACAACGGCATCAGTGTTGCCAAACATGTCCGCTTGGTTCGCATTGGCGCGTGCCATCTGGTCTTCGAACGTCATCGAGGTCGGCGCAGAGTGTTTCTTGCGGAGGCCGGAAATGTCCCAGACGCGGACGGACTGATCGAGCGAGGCGGAGACGACGAGATCGTCCTTGGGATGGAACTGCGCGCACATTGTATAATGGTTGTGGCCAGTCATGGTGCAAACTGGAGAGCTTTGTCAGTCTCACAATTACGTGGCTTCAGCGCAATGGCGACGTACTGAGAGAGCGGTTCTGCCAGTTCCATATCCTGATGGTCTGGTCATCCGAGGAGGACAGAATCCACGGGAGTTCATGGTGGAAGAAGACGGTGCGCACATAGTCCAAGTGGCCGTTGAGGGTAAACAGGCAGCGGCGCGTCTGATACGACCACACCTTGATCTTGTAGTCGTCTCCTCCTGAGACGAAGAGGGGCTGGGTCTTGTGGAAGTCGATGCCGCGGACAGGACCATCGTGTTCCTCGAATCGGTCGATGAGGGTGCCCATGCGGTAGTCCCAGAGCTGGATCGTGGACGAATGCAGGGAGACGAGGATCCATGGCCTGTCAGACGTCAGTGGGCAGCGGGACGGCGGGACAGTGTTGCAAAGCGCACCGCTTGGGGTGGAAGGCAATGCCCTTCGCCCTGGACGACTTGGACTCGAACTGAGAGGCAGTCAGCGCAGCTGTTGGGGGACGACGGCGCAGCGCGACTTGCCTTGGTTAGCATGTTCGGGGTGGACATGATGGGCGTTCAGGGAGAAGCCGCAGCTTCACGCAAGGCAGAGGAAGTCGCGCAGGGCCAATCGGTTCGCAGGCAGCCGGCGAGAGGTAGAGAGCGACGGCGGGGGGCGGAGGAGGGAAAGGAGAGCTGGCGTTGAGGGTATGGGGAGGTTCGGCACCCGGCCAGCTTGAGCTTCGCCAGAACACAATGCGTGCCTACCGTGGACGGTGAAGTGTCCAGTATGCTGCGGCGCCGCCGATGTTTTTCCGGAGCCCTGCCAAGGCCGCCGCGGAGGAGGAGGAAGCGGCCGCGCAAGACACACGTGCCCCGCCCGGCGGACACGGCTGCGGCCTGAGGGCTGAGGGCTGATGAGGCGCTGTGCTTGCGCCTCCGCCGCCGGGTCATTGCGCCTCGCGTGACGGCATCGCAGCGCCAGCCCAGCGCCCCCCGCACGTGCAAGCTCGCCGCTGCAGCGCCTGGACGACGCAGCCCCGCCAAAAAAAATAAGAGCGATCATCCATTGACCAGGCATGGGCATCCCTGACGTCTGCGGTGCGGCAGATCCACTTGCGGCTTTCACACGGCGTTGAGGGCAGCCCGGCGTGCTGATCGTGGCTCTTGATGGCGGCGAGCAGGACCTCTTCGTCATGCATGCGCAGACTGCATCTAGCCACCGTCCAGCCTGTGATACCCCAATCCGCTCCTGTCGCCGCCTGTCGCCGCCTGTCCAGCCCTGTTCCTCAGCGGCTGCCGCCCCGCCAGCTGGTCTACAAAAGCAGCTCCCCGCCATTGCGCCCTCCTCGCAAGAGACGAGAAGCGCTCTGCCTGCTCAACCCGCCTCCGACGTCCCGGCCTGCGACCGAGAGCGGCCAATTCCAGCCCCCTTGCTCTATCCCGCCGTCAGCGACGAAGTACCTCAGCGCCACTGCTCCTCCCGTCCGAGCCGGCCTGTTCTGACCGGTTCTCTCCCGCGCACACAAACGGCTTGCCCCTCTAGTGCCCTCTACCCCTCGTCCGCCTAGTCTTGGGAGGAAGCTGCCTCTGCTGCCTGGCGCTCGGTGCCGCTGCCATCCCACGATAAGAGGGGCCGGCGCATTGCCCGTCAGTCAATGAGGCGCATCGGCTTTCCCGCTCTGCCATCGTCGCCCTAGCAGTGCAGTCCTCCGCATCGTATCGCCTGGAGAAGATGGTCCTATCGCGAGTCCCACTCCACATCGGAAAAGGGCCTTGCAGCATAGCTCGAACGTCCAAGTGCAAAGCTACGTCATTGCTGCGGGAAAAAAGCCAAGATCGTCGACCACGCGTGGGCTCATTGTGAGCGGAGCGGTGGAGATTATGGAGGGACCGAGATATCCTCCGGTGTTTGATGCGCCGCTGAACCCACCAGCCAGTCCTCCAACCCCGCGTTGCCCGTACTTGGCTGCGTCCCACTACATACATCTCCACGACCCGCCACCACCGTACGAGCAGCACGTCGACTCGGCACATCCGGCGCCCTCGCCGCCGCAGGAAAGCGCTGAGCGAAAGGCTCCCGCTTACAAATTTTTTTTTCCTCAGACCCAAGGCTACACCTCCTCGGCCGACTCGTCCGATATCTCGAGCCCGTCCGCAATGGAGGACGATTCGTCGGCAGACGACTCAGACTCACTACTGAGCGAGCTGCCGCACCAGGAAGACAAGCCCATCATCACCGTCAAGGATGGTGATTTCGATGTTGAGGAAATCACCGAGGACGACATCGGATATGACAGCGACGTCGAAGTCGTCCGTCCCGATGGGTTTGAGGAGGCAACCGGAGCAAAGAATTTAGCTGGATGCACCGGCGACGACGCCGGTATCTCGGAGAGCTTCGAAGAACTCAACTGTGACGATGAGTCTGTCAACACCGACGAGGAACTGCGCCGGCGGATGGAGCGTAAGAAGCGGCGTTGGAGCACTCGGCCATTCAAGCGCACACACAGTCAGATCGTTGGCAGCGATACCGACGACGCTGATCTCGACGGACTTGGCACCTATGGCGCAGGATCTGGGGCGCGTCGATTGAGACGCAAACTGAACGGTGGACGGCGGGAGAGGTCATCGCTAATATTCGAAGACGTCGGCGAAGGAGATGACGAAGAAGAGCACGCCAGCAGCGCGTCGATGCCACCCGACACAGAAGGACTACAGTCCCTTCCCTTTTGGGTGCTGCAAGAGAATCGCATGGAGCTAGATTCCGGCTCCAGCGGGCCGCCTTCGGTGGCATAAGCGTCGTTGAAGAGTGAGTTTCGAGCGTTTGGTTGGGCGGTTGTGCTCAGCCGCCGCCGTCCACCACAGCCTCGATTTGGCGCCCAATCACAACGCCGGCCAGCATTCCACCCTGGCTTCGGCATCTGCGCATCCGAGAAACGCTCTGTTTCGGCACCCAGGCATTCCTGCGAGTTGGACGCCCGCTTCTGGCTGGTCGCAAGAGCTGGCGCACCGAAGGCGTTTCCAGGGCTTTGTTCCATGTTTCCCACGACTGTAACGACAGCGCATAGAATCCCGTCCTTTCAGCACTGCTATTGGCTTAATTGTGGTTGGTTACGAATCTCGTTTCGTCTCGGTGTGGCAGTCTACGGCGAATTTGGAATTTGGAGAGGGTTCGTACTATTTCTAGACCTGCTTACAATGTATCGTCGAGCGAACGACCCGCTTATGCGGTTGTGGCTGCCATCTAGCTTGTCCCGCAACTATATTCGACATCGCGTCCTGCGCAGCATCCTGCGCAGCTGTGCCACACTGTTCGCGCTGCCCTTTGGCCATTCATGTCCTCAGCTATGTCTAGACCGCTGCCGATACCAACGCCCAGTATAAGCTTATGATTTTGAGTGCGAATCTGAGTAGAGCGCTAGCTCCACTGCCCTCGTACTTACCCTGTCCGGAAGATGGAGCATCCGAAAAGGCTGCAGCTCGTGCGCAGCATTGTGGCTGGCACCACGAGGGCGTTTCGTGCGCGGAGGTGGTTAGTATGCTGGAAGGGCCGTGAGCGCAGGTGATATAAAGCTGCCGGGTGGTACGCAAGCAATGTCCTTTTCATCATCAACAACAACAACAGCAACACGAAAGTGAACTAAGAACGTTTTCTTTTTCTTTATTTCCATCATCTTTTTATCTCCTCCTCTTGTCTCCTTGAGTCTTTCTCTAACCAGCAATCCGTACACATCAAGAGCGATCCACCACCGCGACATATCAAAAATGCCTTCCAACATCTCCAAGATCCTCGTCGCTGCCCTCGCTGCCGGCGTCTCCGCCCTCCCCTACGACTCTAATTCCTCAAGCTGGGCCACTTCGACCACATCCGCCGTCGCCGCGGCTGCGACGGTCGATAACACTGCCCTGATCGAGAAGCTCAAGGACGCGCCTCGTGCCATCGACCGCTTCAAGCTCCTGCTCACCAAAGACGGGGCAGGCAACGAGCTGCTGCCGGCGGACGAGCTGCAGAAGGTCATCGCCTTCGACTTCACGGCCGACGTCGACCCGGGCCAGGGCAAGGGCGGCGCGGCCAAGGCGGCGCAGATCAACAACTTCCCCATCCTCACCGACCTGGGCATCTCGACGACCGTCGGCTTCCTGGGACCGTGCGGGCTCAACACGCCGCACACCCACCCGCGCGCGACCGAGTTCCTCACGCTGGTCGAGGGCTCGAAGCTGGACTTCGGCTTCATCGTCGAGAACGGGCTCGTCGCCGAGGGCAACAACGCCGAGGTCGCGGGGACCCTGGACAGGCTCGCCGGCGCCGTGTTCCCCATCGGCTCCATCCACTACCAGTTCAACCCCACGTGCGACAACGCCACCTTCGTCGCCACCCTCAACAGCGTGGACCCCGGCACCAGCCAGGTTGCGCAGAACTTTTTTGGCTTGAACGGCGACATCGTCCAGGCCACGCTTGGCTTCCCGGAGCAGCTGGACGGCGCGGACCTCGAGGCTTTCAAGGCGAAGATCCCGGCGAATGTGGCTCTCGGCGTAGAGCAGTGCCTGCAGACCTGCAACATCCCTAAGAACTAAGTGAACCGGAACGGCAATGTATATAGATAGACGGGAGTGTTTGTATATGTCGATACGGGGACTGTTATAGATCGAGATGCTGGTTTGTCTGGCTGGCTTCTTTCTTTTGCTTTCTTTTTCTTCCACCTAAATGATGCTAGAATCACGATTGATACACTCGGTATATAGACCTGTCGTTACTGTTTGCAAATAGATGAATAATGGCCAAACCCCTTTTTGAGACCTTTGAGTCCCATGGCTTTCGAGGTCCAGTATGTCCCACGAAGTTCTCAAAGATAAGATGTTGGGCGGCGCCGCTGTGGGTAGTGTTAGTACGGTGGGACAACGCTACTCTGCGTATTAACTTAGACAGAAAGCGAGCGCTTCGAAATGGGATCAAGGCATACTGCTAAGCGATGAAAAGTATGCTATTCTCATGGACGCTTCTGCCAAGCCCAGCGTCGATGAAGTTGTGAAGAGTGGTGATGGTGGTGGTGAGGGAGTAGCGATCGGCCACTTTTTTGTTCCGAGCGCACAGACCATGTCGTCCGGGCAGCGACTCCATCGCAGCCGTCACCATTCGCTCGACACCATTGCTTGCCAATCGCTGTCCACCTCTGCACCGCCCGCTCCTCGCCGTCGCCGACAGCTCCTCCGCACTCGTTCATACCCGTCCTACTCCGCTCGTCCCCGCTCGTTCCGCAATGGCCGACCCGCAAGAGACGTGGCGCAACCTGCAGCGCCGCCTGGTGCAGGCACAGCAACAAGGTCGCCGGTTCGGCGGCAGTGGCGGCCCTGGTAAGGGCGCCTTCGCTGGCATGGGCCTGTTGCTCACCCTCGGCGGTGCTGCCGTGGTCATCAACAACTCGCTGTTCAACGGTGCGCGCTCTTCCCACCAGGTCATTGCGTCGTGAAGCTGACGCCTGCATTCAGTCGACGGAGGTCACCGCGCGATCAAGTATACCAGAATAGGAGGTGTCAGCAAGGAGATCTACAACGAAGGTACATACAGCAGCTCTTTCCCAGCAGACTATTTGCTGCGTCAATGTTGCAACAAAGCTGATCGGTTGTTTGCCGCCGTCTCACAGGCACCCACTTCCGCATTCCGTGGTTCGAGACGCCCATCACCTACGACGTCCGCGCAAAGCCGCGCAATGTTGCCTCCTTGACCGGCACCAAGGACCTGCAGATGGTCAATATCACCTGCCGTGTGCTATCGAGACCCCGCGTCGACGCTCTGCCCCAGATCTACCGCACGCTGGGTTCCGACTACGACGAGCGCGTGCTGCCTTCGATCGTGAACGAGGTGCTCAAGAGCGTCGTCGCTCAGTTCAATGCCAGCCAGCTCATCACCCAGCGTGAGAATGTCAGCAGGCTCGTGAGGGACAACCTGGTGCGGAGAGCGGCGCGGTTCAACATCATGCTGGACGATGTGTCGTTGACGGTAAGCATGTGACCTTGGATGCATGCTCAGATGCTAACGATGGCACCGTAGCACCTTGCCTTCTCTCCCGAATTCACCGCCGCCGTTGAGGCCAAGCAGGTCGCCCAGCAGGAGGCTCAGCGTGCCGCCTTCGTCGTTGACAAGGCCCGCCAGGAGAAGCAGGCTGCCATTGTCCGCGCCCAGGGTGAGGCTCGCTCTGCTGAGCTCATTGGTGATGCTATCAAGAAGTCGCGCAGCTACGTCGACCTGAGGGAGTTCGAGAACGCCAGGACGGTTGCCGGCATTCTGCAGAACAGCGCCAACAAGGTCTACCTCGACTCGGCTGGCCTCGGCCTGAACGTCACTAAGACTGGTCCGGACTCGAAGTAAACGGTTTGATGCATGGGAATTCAGAAAAAGAAAAGAAAATGGAGTGGAGTGAATTATACGGCATAATCTCCTTTCAAGGCTATTGTATAAAAGAATCTTTTTGTGTGGACTAAGTCGGAGCTGGTTTATTTTATTCTTTTCGTGGCGGGGATTCAGCTTTCCCTGCTCACAGTACGGGACCATTCCGCTCTTAGCCAATTTCTTGTGGCATAAAAGGCACGTATTCCATGCATGATCAGTCACGAGCATGTCGATGAAATATAAATAATTGAACGATGGCCACACGCGCACTGCACACTTGTATCCGTGACTGTCTGTTTGTTACTTGTGTATGGTTCAGGAGGGCTAGAATCAACCCGTCTGATGGATATACTGGCCTCCAGGTGCAGGAACGGGACATAACTGCGTAGTGTTGAAACGGCACCGTAAAGACTTAGTGCAGATCGGGCGGGGTTGAGGTGTCGTTGCAATAGACACCGTCAAAGCACCAAGCGAGCGACAGCCGCTAAACTGGTTGAGGGAATGGTAGAAATTTGAGGAAACGAGCAACAACAACCGTCGTATCCGCCGTCCGTGATCGACATTACAACACACAACGTCGGAACCGACAAGGACAAAAGCGATATCGACGTTGCTGGCTGCTTGCTTGGAAATAAATGGCGTCCATCAAGTCAATCCGCTCTCTGACTCTGGACATCCCGCCGAGCTGCATAGAGTTTGTGCCTGGCCATCCCGAGCTTTTCGTGGTTGGCACCTACTATCTCGAGAAAAAGCAAGACGAAGAAGCTACCGCGGAATCGACCAACGGCCAGCCGCAGCAGAGAACAGGAAGCCTGCTGCTTTTTAGACTCGACGGTGATGAAGTGTAAGAAACCCTGATTTGCTCGACTGGCTACATAACTTCGTAACATTGCGTTACTCCTTCTAATCTCGGCCACTGCACACACTATCTCCAGTTTGGCTGCATGATCTATTCCTCGTCTCTGTGACGAAGTGGACCGCCCTGACATTCTCGCAGAACGCTCAAACACACGCTCTCGACCCCCTTCGCCATTTTCGACATCCACTTTGCCCCTCCATCAACAGCAGCATCCACCCTCCCTCTCCTCGGCGCCGCCACATCCACCGGATCGCTCGCCCTGTACCAAGTCTCCGCCTCCACCCTCTCCATCGCGACGCTCTCCGTCCTCCAAATCTTCCCCACCACCTCCCTCATCACCCACTTCACCTGGCACCCATCCATCCCCTCCCTGGCCGCGCTCGCCCTCTCCTCGGGCTCCATCTACCTCTGCGACACCGCCGCCAGCAACACGGACCCAATCGACGACGGCGACACGACGCCCACCGCCGCGTACCTGCACGCTCACTCCCTCGAGGCCTGGTTCGTCGCCTTCACCCCCGACGGCACCGGCCTCCTCTCCGGCGGCGACGACAGCACCCTCGCGTCGCTGGCCCTGCCATTCCTTCCCTCCTCCACCACCACCACCTCCTCCTCCACCACCTCGCCACCACCTTCAGCGCAGAAGCTACTACTCCTCTCCGCCATCGCAGACGACCACCCGCCCCCGCCCCAATGGCAAGACCGACGGACGCACCAAGCGGGCGTGACAGCCCTCCTGCCGCTATCGCCACCTCCACCACCATCCAACCAGGACAAGAAGAAGGAGCCGCCGCTCCTCCTCCTCACCGGCAGCTACGACGACCGCATCCGCCTCCTCGCTCTACCGACGCCTGCGTCGTCGTTTCGCCGCCCTAAACTCCTCGCCGAGCTGGACCTCGGCGGCGGCGTGTGGCGGCTGAAGGACATCACCGACATCACCGCCGTTCCCGCTCACGACACTGGAAGGACTGGCAGTGAAGGGCGGGCGCGGCGGGCGCGGCGTGAATACATCATCCTCGCCAGCTGCATGCACGCGGGTGCGCGGGTGCTGCGGCTTGAGGGTCGGCGGGCGTCGGCCGAGGAGGAGGAAGAAGGAGGAGAAGGAGGAGACGAAGGAGAAGGAGAAAGCGAAGACGAAGAAGACTTGGAGTGGTCGTTCGACGTGCTGGCTGCCTTCGAGGAGCACGAGAGCATGAACTACGCGAGCGACGTGCGGCCCGGCGGCGTCGAGGGAGGGAAGGGGCGGGGGACGGTGGTCAGCACGAGCTTCTATGACCGGCTGTTGGCCGTGTGGAGGTGGTGAGATGGAGGGGTACGGAGGGAAAGGGAAGGGATGAGAGGCGGACAAACGGGCAACAGCTGCTGAGAGGCAGAAAGCAACAACGGTATGTATGTACACATAGGAACCGGACGGACAATGCAGTATCATCATCACTGTAAGCGATTGCGGGCGAATAAATTTGTCTGTCTTTCACTACTTCTTCTACTGATATTATCTGGTTAACTATCACCCATATCTAAGCGCCTACCCGGCCGGGCAATTGGTCCGCCGGATTTGTGCCCATGCACGAGAACCATGGCCTTTGAACACTCAGTACTAGGGAAAACAACCAAATGAACAGTCTGAACGCGAATCCGAGAGACGGACGCAACGGGCCATCTTGCGTGCATTGACAAGAGGCCGGGGCCGTAAGAAGCATGTTCTTGTGGCATGGCAGAACTCATGTTTTGCGCCTCGTGCTCAGGCTGGGTCGAGAGGCCAGTCTACAACTGGGTACACCTTGAGCTCGAATTGAGTGCGCACCCGGAGGTCGAGTGAATGGGCATAGGTTGCTCTTCGCTTATCGTGAGCACACGAGGCGTAGTGACGTGTACACACTCGACTAGATGTTCCTAAGAGCGCCAAAATGAAACAAAAGGCTTGACAAAGCCCTTCGGTGATGCATTCCCACTGCTATAGGGGGCGTGGAAACGGCGGCCTGTGGAAATTTACTTGAATGTTAGCACGTGTAGGGAGGACCCACCAGAAGCAGAGCGTAAGCTGATGACCGGGTACGAAGGGCGCAATTTGTGGGACGAGATCTTAAAAATAGCGTAGGGTGGTGAGGTGGGGTGCTCGTGAACCCGGATAGATAGCGGTGGACGGGGCGTAGGCACAGGAGCTGCGGGTAGGTGTATGTCGGGACAAAGGCGTATCGGACGGTGAAAGGAAATTGGCGGTCACACGGGCTGAATCGAATCGAAGTTTTGGGCTTTCCAGATACGCAGACATGGAGGAGGTTAAGGAGGGTCTCAGGATCGCGAAGCGGAGCCTGTATAATCATGAGTGATCACATCCATTTTGGGCACCGAGGTCAGAACATGGAAGATCTCATATCACTCTGTAGTTACTAGCAGGTATTGCCAACGGGAAATAGGATCGGTCAACTCGCATCGTATGGCGCCGGGGTGCTGAGTGTTTTGAAGCAGGCAAAAAGAAACCCGGGTCGTCCGCCGAGGGCGATTCCGTTCAGGACAGTCGGTGAACCGTAAATTCCGTACCGCTCGATCGAAACTAAGGTGCATCAATTTTGAGGGGACGCCGTAGATTGTGATAAGGAAAAGCCAACGGCCGCAGTTTCCCGCAAACGAGACCTGAAAAAATTATCAGGTAGAACTTTTCAACCCACCCATAGAAATTGCCAAAAGTTAGTTACCGGGGTATAACCGATGCTTGATCTGTTTACTCGGCAGTGTCGAGGTCGTCGTGGGCAGGAGGGGGAGGCGTCTCCTCGCCTACTGAGTACGTTAGCGGTTTCGCTCGAATTGAGCCGTCTTCACTATAGGTGCCTTACGCTTCTCGCCGCCATTGGTACCATTCTCGCGGTCGCGGTCGCGCTCACGGTCGCGGTCCTCCTCCTCGCGGTCGCGGATGTCCTTCATGTCGCGGTCACGGTCATCGGGGCTGCGAGAGCGGTCGCGGTCGCGGCGGTCGTAGTCGCGGTCACGACGGTCATCCTTACGGGGGGAGTAGTCACCACGGCTGCGGCGGGGAGGGCTGACGCTGCGACCACGGCGGGGCGAGGCATCGCGCCTGCGGGGGCGGTCACGACCGGAGTCGAAGCGCCACGAAGCGGACGGTGGGGTGCGGGCCCACTACAGCTTGGTTAGTCGTGGACGACATGGGTGGTGGCGGTGGACATACCTCGATCTTCAGAAGGTCATCGCGGCCGATGCGCTTGTTGTGCATCTCGTGGTAGGCGTCGTCAGCATCACGGCGAGACTCATACTCAACGAACGCGAAGCTATGACGTTATTAGCTTCGAACCAAATGCATCATCCCTGGGAGCTCTCTATGGGATACTTACAGACGGCTGGAGGCCGAACGCGGAGCAGGAATGTCACAGCGAACAAGACGACCATACCTTCGGGTGGATGTTAGACTGGCTATTCATTGTCGTGTCGCGGAGGAACGAAAAGCAGAACGAGGTCGATGGTCCGACGGCGCCGGGGGTAGAGCGAGGGCTATCTACAGGAGGGCACGGTGCAGGATCGGTCGATCGACTCGGTTCGTAGGGGCATACGGGAGGAAGGATGCTGAAGCCGAGGAACCGATACGCTCGAGGGGCGGGCGACGATGACCGGTCGAGTTCACGGATCGTGGTAGACGTACCGTTCGAATTCGTAGGCAAGGTCGCGGGCGCGCGTGCCGTGGCCGAAGCCAGTGACGTAGAGGGTGGTGCCGCCGCGGCCAGACATCTTGGGCAAGCTCGAGCGGTGTCGAATACAGCAGGAGAGCGGTGCGCGCAGATGCAGTCGATGTGGCGTCGGGGGTACCGGCAGTTGGATGACGAGGGTGATGAGGCGGTTGAACAGGAATCGAAGGGCTGGAGGAAACGCGAAGCGCTTATGTAACCCGCACTAGCGCGTGCCAAGCCCCCGTCGCCGTGCCCCAGGCGCAGCTTTGTCTGCCGCGCCTGCCCGTTGCTGCACTTCACGCCCGCAAGCTCACCTCAAGGCAACGCCGTCGCTGCCCCCCACCACCCTCGCGCCGCTGCTGGTCCCGCTTCGACACTGCGGACGACGCAATTTTCTCTGCTGCTATAGCTGCGACAAGCTTTCCCGCCTGCGCCGCCACGTCCCCCCGCCCGTACGTCACCTCTACCTACGCCCGCCACCCCAGTGAAGCCGCGGCGCCCTCGACGTCCTTTGTCTCACCCGCCTCACCCGCCGCCCGCAATGACCGCAGAAGTCCAGATGGGCACGCCTCTGGCAGAGGCCATCCAGAGCGTCGTCCAGCCCAAGCTCGCGGAAGTGGGCTGGTCGACCGGAGGCTCTGACGACACCGCTCTGTCGGAATACATCATCCTCATGCTGGTGAACGGCAAGACCCAGGAACAGATCGCATCCGAGCTCGCCAGTGACCTTCTGAGTCTGTCTCCCGACGACCCTGCACCAAGGGACTTCTCGCGATGGCTTTTTGAGCAAGTCGATGCGCTCAACGCCCAGATCAACGGCGTTGGTTCCGCGCAAGGCACCGGCCAGGCTGTCTCATCGCAGGCAATGGATGCTCAAGGGTCGACAGAAATGATGGGGATGGACGCTGAAATGGGTGACGCTTCGCAGTCCACAATGTTGGTGTTCACCTAAACCTTGAGTTCTTTACATCGTACATTGCTAACGTTCTTACTCAGACCCACTGGCCCAAAAGCCATGCGCAACGGTCATCAGAATCCGCGCGACAAGCGCATGCTTGGCCACCTCAACAAGGCCATGGACCGCTCAACTGACGCCGCTCTACACCGCGTAAGAGGAGGTGGAGGTGTTGGTCGTGCCAACGCGCATGGCGGTCGTGAACCGCCCAAGGGACCTCGTCATCAACAGAACCGCAGCATGGCCATCATGAACGGCCTGAACGGCATGCAACACAACGGCATGGGCATGCCGCCCGGCTCGGGCAACATGAACATGACAGGAAACCCGAATCAGATGATGGACGCCTTCAAAATGTATGAGAACATGTCTGCACAAATGGCGCAGATGAGCCAGATGCTAGCGACGGCGGGATACGCTCAGCCACAGCAACCCTTCATCAACCCGGCATTCCAGAAGAACCAGCGCGGAAATGGCAAGTCGCTGTTTGACCGCGTAGACAACTCGGGACGCAGGAATAACAGGCCTCAGCAAAGCAAGAGGCCACAACCGCAAGACATGGAGATGGGAGGTGGCGAACAATCGGCTGCGAACGGCGAAGGAGGCGATTCCATGGATGTGGAGAACAAATCCGAGACCAAGGCCGCGTGGGACACGATGTGCAAATTCAACACTTATTGCAAGAACCCGGAGTGCCCCTACGCGCACCAGACGCCGGCTGGTAACCCGGGCATCACGGTCGACCTCAGCGATGAATGCACCTTCGACGTCAGCTGCAAAAACCACAAGTGCACAGCCAAGCACCATTCCCCGGCGAGGAAGGCAGCGTTCCAGTCAGAGGTGCCATGCCGATTTGGTGTCAACTGCAAGAACCCTCACTGTGCCTTCCAGCACCCGCCGCCTCCTTGCCGTTTCGGCGATAACTGCAAGAACCCAGAATGCAAGTTCACGCACTTGGAAGTCAAGTGCAAGTTCAACCCGTGCAAGAACCCTCACTGCGCCTACAAGCATGATGAGGGCCAGAGGGCAGTCAACGGATCCGGGAATGAGCACGTTAGTGAGAGGAAATTTGTTGATGAGACCGAGGAGGAAGAGCTCATCGTTCCCGGGAAGTCGGATGGAATGTCCGAAGGGCAGGAGACTCAGTCTCAGGACGTCGATGTGGTGACGTAAGGGGGTCAAAACTGGAGAAGGGTTTCTTTTCACGAGTTAATTGGATGGGTTTGATGGCCATTGAAAAACGGGGATAGGGTTCAAGGCGTGGCAGCAGCGACGAGACCATGGCACAACGACTCAAGGTTTTGGGCTTAGTGGCGATTGAGTTCAGGAGATACCGCTGTGGGTGCATAGAGCACTACGGTTGCTAAACGGCGTTTTGGGTAATGCTGAGGCTGGCGGCAGGCTGCTGCTTTCCAGAAATGCGGTCGGATCATGTTAGTTGTAAAATAAGATCACTTTTCTTGCGGACAGGAGTGCTTCTCCGGTCCTAGTTCATACAGCTGCTCCGGCTTAACCAGTGACAATCAAATCGTGTGGGATGTCAGCAAAACGATGTCGGCTAAGATGTCAGCCCTAGCCTTGGACGATCTGCGGGGGCGTCACGGCGACTGCTCATGCCTCTCTTATCCGACCTGCGACGCTCATACTACCCGTTCCTGGATGCCATTTCCAAGCCTCGGGGTCTGCAGCGCTGGCAGAGCTGGGTCGGACCCATGACCTTTCAGATAATGTAATTGAAGGTAAATTGGCTGCGTATCAAATTGCAAAAAAAACTGGCGGCTCGTCCGAGCATCACGTCACTACTTTCGGCGTCGGCAGGGTCCAACACCATCAAACTTCCGGCGGGTTCGCTCGCAAGAGCACCCCCTCCCACTCCGCATCACGGCTGCTGCTCCCAAAGCAATGCAATTCCGAAGCCATGCGCTCCCCCGTCGCTTCCACGCCCTGCGCGCTCCATTGAGCCCCGCCGCCGTACATGCGTGCCCCGTCAGCGCTTCTTACAGCCCGCCGCGTCGCCTCTACTCGCGCCGTCTCGACTCCCTCGGAGAGCAACAGAACATCGCCATCCTCGGCGGCGGCATCACCGGACTCGCCAGCGCGCATTACCTAAGGAAGACGCTACGCAATGCCAAAATAACAGTATACGAGGCGAGCCCGCGGCTGGGCGGCTGGCTGCAATCCCAGCGTGTCGAGGTGCCTGGCGGGAGCGTGCTGTTTGAGCAGGGCCCGCGCACGATTCGCCAGGCCAACAGCTCGTTAGTGACCACACACCTGGTAAATACACCGTTGCCCTGCCGTCTGGCGACGTACGGCCATCGCCTGCTAACGTGCGGGCAAACTCGCAGGTCCAAGACCTCGGTCTCATCGATGAAGTCGTGTACACGTCGAATACGTCCGCCGCCGCCAGGAACCGCTATGTATATTACCCAGACCACCTCGTGAAGATGCCAGGCCCGGGAATGGGTCTCTTCGAGCTGCTCCGCACCGTGCTCTTCGAACCAGCCATGGCCGGCGCTATCCCCGCCTTCATGGGCGAGATTTTCCGCCCGCCACGCGACAGCGACGTCACCGACGAGAGCTTGGGCACGTTCCTGGAGCGCCGTCTGGGCTCGCGCCAGGTTGCTGACAACCTGGCCTCGGCCGTGATGCATGGGATCTACGCCGGTGACATCTACCAGCTGAGCGCCAAGTCTTTAATGCCTTTCCAATGGTATATGGAAGGCAAGTACGGGAGTGTCCTGAAGGGGCTTTACGTCGTCCAACAGGATAGCTCCGGCACCGTTCCAGTCCCTCAGAGGGAAGCCGATTTCATTAAAAGCTTCATGGATGCGCCGGCCCTAGAGCGCGACTTTTTGCAGAAGCTTCGCTCAGCCAGCGTCTTTTCTTTCAGGAATGGAATCCAAACGCTTGTGAACAGACTCCATGACAGCTTGCTAGACAAGGAAAACGTCGAGATCAAGACAGCGACCGAGATCACTCGATTGGAGAAGGATGAGGAGACAGGAAAGATCAGGGTCAGTTGGTTCTCACCCGGCCGGCAGGGGGTTTCTAATCATCTTCCCTGCAGATTCACAACCAAAACGACTCGTCCCCTCAAACGAGCGATCTGGTTATCTCTGCCCTGCCTGCCAAGGCTTTGGCGAAGATTGCAACGGCTGGCCAAACATCGACCAATCCTACCAGCTTCTCGGCTTTGTCTAGCATATCGTCTGTCAACGTAATGGTGGTGAATCTCTTCTTCTCAGACCCGCACATCCTTCCCACCTCTGGTTTTGGCTACCTGCTTCCCCGCAGCATACCGTTCGAGCAGAACCCAGAGCGTGCGCTGGGCGTCATCTTCGACTCAGACGCGGTAGGAGGGCAGGACACAGCCAACGGAACCAAGGTCACGGTGATGCTTGGCGGCCATTGGTGGGATGGATGGGCGCCCGAAGATTTGTGCAGCCCGGCAGAAGGCGTGGAGATGGCGCGCACCGTGCTGGCACGGCACCTGGGCATCGTGGCCGAGCCGACGGCGACGAACGTCCGCTTGCATCGGGACGCGATCCCGCAGTATAAGGTGGGCCACGAGCAGCGCATGAAGGACACCCACTACGCGCTCAAGCGCGCGTTCGGCGGCCGGGTGCGCGCGGTGGGCAACTCGTACACGGGCGTTGGCGTCAACGACTGCCTCCGCGCAGCACGGGATATAGCGCGCCAGCTGGGCGATGAGGGGATCATGAATGATAAGACGGGTCTTGAGCAGTTTGTGGAGCCGACAAAGTGGGTGAGGATGGGTACGACGGTCCAGTTGGGGCAAAAGAAACAGCTCAACACGGAAGACGAGGGCAAAAGGTAGAAGATGGACGAATAAAGACGAAGTATATAGACTTGGCCTGCTCCAGATCCGAGTCAACGCTGGCTTCAGGTGAAGAGTAATGATGCAGCAAACGCTTGGAGGCGCAGGTGGATTACACGTGATGATGGAGCAGCTGCAGTGGGAAGAGGATGATGGGGCTCTTGCCGAAGTCAGGCACGCTGGCGTTTGTTGGCTTACGGGGCCGTCCGCAGCGTTGGCCGAAAGACCAACAGAGCACAGAGTCCGAGAGGCACAGCACGGGAACATCGGACAGCGGACAGCAGACAGCGGACAGCCACCGTAGCGAGCGCGAGAGTTCTAGGTCGCAAGCCTATACGCGGATTCGGCCGATGGTAAGCAGAACGTGACGTCTGGTGGGATGGCCGGATGGCAGTCTCGCGACGGGACGCGCGCCCAAGGGAGCTCGCATGCGCCGGCGCCAGCTCAGCCACGCTTGGCCGCCGCCGCCGCCAGCAGCGTCTTTGTGCCGCGCTTCCTGGCGACGTCCTGAGGGTGCAAACGTCGCGGCGACCGGGAGCCAGCCAAGGGTTTGGCCTGCGTGCTCGACGGAAATAATGCTCACGGACGGGTCGACAGCTGCGGGCGTCTGGGGAACGAGGCGGGGCGGACGTCACGTCTCGAGCGCTGGCCATGTCGCCGCCGCGCCGCGGCCAAGCCGTCCGTCGCTGCGCCTCGCCCGTGCGTCATGCACGCCTGGCCTTCGCCTGCCGCCGCCGCTTTCCTGTCTGGCGAGGCACGGGTACTACTTACATGGACTGACGCCTGCTTCACACGCTGCTCCGTTTGCAACACTGTGCCTCAACAAGGCTTGGCTCCAATTCCTAGCATTCGCGCCCGCATCCTAAAAGCCACCAACCTCAACTGCTCACCCACGCCCAACAACTCCTCGCCCGCGCCTGCATCAGCCGCGACTCTCTGCACTCCTCCATAGCAACATGCCCGTCATATTCAAGCGCGAGTAAGTTCGACCGCTCTCCCCGCCCGCCCGTGTACCTATTTCGCCGCACACGTCAGTCCGCATGCGTGCACTCCTCCCTACCCTTTCCCCACAATCCCCAGATGCGCCCGCCCGCCTACTACTTCGGAAACTAATGCCGTCTCCAGTTGCTGGCGCGAAAATGGCTACCAGTACTGCACCCGCTCGCCCTGGAAAGACTGGGTGCGCTGGGTAGTCGCCGTCATCATCGTCGTCCTTTTCTTCCTCCTCTTCGTCGTAAGTAGTCACCCACCATGATCGTTCCCGCTCGCGCTTCGGTGGCCTTGCCTCATGCTTGCCTTTGTTGCTTTCTGTTCTCTACATCCCAAGTTTCAACTGGCGCCATCCAAGTCCCCACCGCCCTGTCTTGACAAAGACCGCAACCCGTTCAATCCTCAAACAAAGCACCATCTAACCACGCACCTCTTTACCAGTTCTGCGCCTGCGTCACCGCACGTCGCCGCCGCCGCGCCGGCCAGCGACCCATGTGGGGAACGGGCTGGGCGACACGCAACGGCCACGGCGAGCCCCAGTTCTACGGTTCTCAACCAGGCGGCCAGCATCAGCAGCAGCAGCCTCCCTACCAGACCGCCGCGCCGTACTACTACCCGCAGCAGGGCGGCGCAGCCCCCGCTCCGCCCTACACGCCGCCGCCCGCCGGCGGCTACTACGCCAACGCCGGTTACGACCCGAGCTCGCCATACCCGCAGCAGCCCCAGCCGGCGTACACGCACGACAACTCGCGCGCCGCGGAGAACGTGTACGAGCCGCCGCCTGGACCGCCTCCTGGAAAGGTGGAGAATGGCGTCATCCGGTAAAGAAAATTGGAAACCTCGAGAAAAAAAAATTGAACGACCGGAATGCGGAGGGAGGTTGGAGCTAATGATGCGCGACCTTACGGGATACGAATGGAATTGTTTCCCTGCGGGTTCTTTCGACCACGCTTTTGAACGACAACTTTTTATTGGAATATTTTCTCTTCTTTTTCTCCCTCTGGCTTTTGGTACCCATACGTTCTCCTTGTTTCCTTCTTCTGGGGCTTCTCAAAACCGGAATGGTGGAGGCGTTTTATTCTCTTGCCTCTTTTCTATGGGGTCGGTGGGGGGATATACCAGAAAGGCTCTACGCCACTATTATTGCTGATTGGTTTTTGGTTGTTTTCCCCGGAAGGAACGGAGAACCTTCCGAACGTTAAGAACAGACGTCTTCTGCCTCTAGGGGGGTCAATGTATAAGATACTTGATTTTTCCTTGTCGTGAACACTTTCCCCATTCGTGTTGGCCTGATCTTTGCTTGATACCTACGACATGGAACTGTGATGTCATTCTGTAAGGGTCTGTCTTCGACTAGGTAATAATGTTCGCATGCGTCCGTCTATCGTGGGCGGGATCTCTTGTTCCGATTATTGATAGCGATGATGATGATGGCGACGGTGCTCACAGCTATAGATCATATCCATTATCCAAATTTCCTCTAACACATACATACATAGAGCTCCCCAAACCAGCGTGCAACATCCCACTAGAGAGGGTGGTCCTGCAGGATACATTGTCGAGCACAGGCCTGAACTTGCAACCCTTCAAGCCTAGAGGCTGAGTGACTGCGGGGTTGGCTCCTCCAAAGCCGGTTCCACTCAGATTGGGCCATTCTCTACTTCACTTTGCTCATGGCAATGTTGGAAATCCCATGTCCAGCGTGTCATTTCAGCATGTTTGATGTTCATGAAAGCTGATGCCACTGGCTGGACGAGAGTGAAAGTAGTATGGATTTTAGTCAAGTCAATAAACTTACGCACCGTAATGAGCAACAGCATTGGCCATCACTGTGAGAAGGGACTGCTTTGAGGCTAAGCGCAGATCTTATTCAGGCAGGGTTCTTTAGGGTCGATGGAGCAGCAGCTAAGCTTGTACATACAAATGGATTTAAGGATCTAAGTCCGGGTAACCCGGAAAGCTACGGATGTGTTTTTGATAATGGGAAGATGCCCATAAGTTCACGTCATCGGTGTTTCCGTGATCAGAATGACGCCCGGCATAGAAAGCGTTCACTGCTGGTTTCTTGCCGTGTGATACTGCTAGTCACATTTGCTCATGCACTTCTCGACATTTTGGGCTGCCAGGGAGAGTCTCATGCCTCAGATTCTTGCTCTACAGTACGGCCTGTTACGCTAGCAGGCCACCAGAGCTGGAAAAAGACCAGATTTGAACGCCCGGAGCCCATGAAGATATCCCTTTTCCCTTTTCATCCATCCATCACCGGAACTGAGAGGACATCTAAGCCTCGGTCTCCTGCGAGAAGGCGGTAGGGAAGCGGCGAATGTTGTCCGCGATCTTGCCGTGCTTGCTGAGGAACTGGACGTAGGCACCATCGACCTTGACCTCGCCGGCCTGGCGCTTGGCGATGTACTCATCGCGGCGGAGGGGAGTGAAGCCCCAGTTCTTGGAGACGATGATCTTCTGGCGACCAGGGAACTTGTACTGGGAGCGGCGGAGAGCCTCGATGGCGGTAGCACGGTCTGTAGAACGCTGGTCAGCGGATGTTCTTCTCAAACCAAAAGGACCGGGGCGAACGTACTGTTGTCCTTGGTGCGGACGGACAGAAGGATCTGGCCGATGTTGACACGGGCAACGGTACCGTTGGGCTTGCCGAAGGCACCACGCATACCGGTCTGGAGACGATCGGCACCAGCGCACGACAACATCTTGTTGATACGGATGACGTGGTAGGGGTGGGCGCGGACACGGAGATGGAAGGACTCCTTGCCACCGGTCTTGACCATGTACTTGTTGGCGCAAATACGGGCGGCCTCGAGGGCCTCGGAGCTCAGCTGCTCATACTCGTTGGAGACGAGGTGAACGCAGCAGGGGAACTCGTCGACGTTCGCACGCTTACGGCCAAGATCGAAGATGCGAATCTTGGGGTCGGGGACACCACGGTTGAAGCGCGACTTAGGGTACGGCTGTAGGCGCAAATTAGTCCATGTTCCTTCGCACAAAAGCACCCGCTGGCAGGCCGCTGCCCCAGCATCCACTCAGTTCGTTTTTCGCGCGAAAATGCTGGTGCGCGCTGAGGATGCAGGGAGCGCTGTCGGTCGGTCGTGGTGCGGGCAAAGTCGACGAACCTTGTTCTTGCAGTAGCGGTAACTGCTCTTCAGTATTAGCAATCGTACACTCATTTCGTGGAAGACAAAACTCAACATCTGGCGGGACGACGAGCCATGATCCTTGTGTTGCTGGCGTTGCCGCGAAATACCGTAGGATGGGGTGTTATGGATTGTCGTGGGGTGGTGTGCCAATGTCGCGGTCGGGGGGGTCGAGGTTTTGAGGTGACCAAGTTGAATTTCTAAGCAGCGGAGATTCGCTAAGCGAGCGCTTTGTGCGCTTTGCCACAATCGTCACAGCCTCAGCCTCAGGCACGAGACAATCACCATAGATGCGTCGAAAGTTCAATGTCTCAGCTTTCTAATCGTTTCCAACATTTGTATTGCTAATACTCATTGTTTTGTCAGCTCGTCGTTGCTGTTGCAGTTGCTGCCGCATCGTTGCCACTTCGACTGCCTGAGCAAAGGAGGCAGTGCATCTGTCGAGAGCAAGACTGACGCCATTGCTAACCAGTAACCAGCTCCTCACGCATCTTGCAGTTTGCAGAGATAATTCCCAACCATAGAACGTGCATTACTATCTGGCGTACATCACGTTCCCAGATTGCTCCGCTCCACGCCTCCGCGACCTTTTGACATTTCGACTCTCGCCATACGCACTTCAGCGTTGGCGTTGGAGGCTAGGATGTCGGAATCGCCGGTGTCCAAAATGGCCATAGTAGAGCAACGGAAAAGCTTGCCGCAAGCCAAGTTCGACCAGAATTAATTAGCATAGAGTTGTCCCTCCAAAGCCCTCCATAGGGGCTTTTTCACAGGGAGCGCTCTCAAACGAGAGCCGATTCACGAAAGAAAAACAAAACCAAACCCGGGTTGGTCACTGTTGTGGCCGCTGAAGTGGTGCACGTTGAGCTTGACCAGCCTGTTTCGTAGTCAGCAAGTGTCAAAAAAGAATCGGTTGGTAGCTATCCGGCGCCAGGAAGGTGCTCCAAAGATCCGTCGCTGCGTCGCAGAAAAGTTGACTTACATGGCGACGTACTCTAGCTCAGACTTGCGGAGGAGAGGGGTGTTAATGCCGACAATGGTGACGAGGTTCGCCTTGGCAGATTCTGTACTTACCCTTGCCGGACTCCATAGCAAGTGCCAGGCGCGACTTCAATAAAATGGCACAGGAGGATCGTGGAGCCCAATCGAGAGGTGTGTGGGCGAAGACGGGCGAAATAAATGTACGTACGTTAATGGATCTTGTTCTTCTTGAGTTTTCTCGAACGCAGGGGCGCCACGGGCGTGCGGGCCTCCGGGGCTAGGCCGAGAGCGGCGAGATAGGCGATCGAATCGGAGAGCGACAGGTCGACCTGGGCACAATCGGGGCTGCACGCCTCGCACGCCCCCGCCAGCATGACCGCTCTTTGCGATGGGGCCAGGGTGCGCAGCCCCGGGCGGCGGCTTGGACCCAGTCGCTGCCAGCAATTGCGGGCTTCGCGCGGCGATGATGCAGCTGCGCGGCCGCAGGGCCAGTCGTGCAGGCGGGCGATGACGAAAGCGAGGCTGGCGATGGAGGCCCCGCGGCGCTTTCGGCTCCTCCGCGTTCCAGCCCTACCACGGCAGCGTGCCCTTTGCGATCCGCCGGTGAGCGCGTGCGCAGGGGCTCAGGCTCGGTGCAGGTGGGCGTGAAGAGGTCCCCGTCTCCATGGCAGCAGCGCTACCCAGGCTGCCGACTATGCTCTCTATATTATGAAACGCCCGAGCATCGCTCCCTAAATCTTGCTGGATCTGCCGTTATTTCCCGCCCGACTCCTGGAGTCAAAGCACGCCCAAAAGTCGCCAGTCAACACCGCGCCGCCGCCCGCCTGCTTCCATAGGCTCTACTGCGCCGATCCGCAGCACCGCAGCACCGCATAGCCTCAGACAGCCACAGCCACTATCTTTAGCACCCGCCCGACGGCAACCTTGCTCACGCCCGCCACGCCGTCGTTTTTGTGCCCTGCAGCCCGGCGCCGGCCAGCTCCTCCGACCCACGTCAGCCATGTCGACCGCCGTCAAGAAACCCTCCCCGCCCGGCCACGCCCAGCGCCCGTCGGCCACGTCCTCGCCATCAGGAACCAATCGCACGCCCTCGAGGTCGTCCACCTCCATTCCCACCGTCGCCAGCAGCACGAGACGACCGACCTCCACCCGCACAAACTCCACTGGCAGTCCGCTGTCTGCCCGCGCCTCTGTCAGGAGGCCCACTCACTCCTCGTCCATGAGCAGGGACATGTCCGCGTCCGCACCCGTCGATAACAGCGCCGAGGAGGATGCGAAGGCCGAGACTGCCGCTCTGATCAAGGAGCTCAAAGAGCAGCTGCAGAAGGCCGAGACCAGCGGCGAGGACTTCAAGGTGCGTTGTCGCACGCCATCTAGATCCACAGTCAGAATGCCATTGCTAATCGCTCCCGCAGAAACAAGTTGAAGTGCTCAAGACACGGCTCGACGATGCGCTCAAGGACCAGGCCAAGCTCGAGGAGCGCACCCACGAAGAAGAGGAACGCGTGGAAATTCTCGAGAATGAGAAGCGCGAGACCGTTCGGCAGCGCCGCGAGCTCGAGGCCATCTACGAGGCGGAGCGCGCCGCGGCCATGAAGGAGAAGGAGCAGGCCCAAGCCCGCGAGGACGAGCTGCAGGAGGTCATTCGGAGACTCAAGGACACAATGGCCGAGCGCGAGCGCGAAGGCGTGAGCGCTGTTGAGGAGCGCCGGAATTCTAAGATCTGTATGTGCTCACCCTCTACTCATCTGCTGTCGATGCCCCTTGACCCCTAACCAGCATTACAGCTTTTCCCAACTCGCGGTCGAACTCGTCGCAGAACCTCGAGAATGGCCATTTCGCTCCGCCATCCTCGCTGCAGCGCAGCAATTCGCAGAATAGCTCCAAGCTACTCCTTCAGAAGGACAAGCTCATCGAATCGCTACGTCTGGAGCTTGCCGAGGCACAGATCAAGGCTATTGAGATGGAGAATGCCGGTGGCGGACGCATGCAAGAGCTTGAGAAGGTCCTCTTGGAGACCAGGATGGCCAATGCCCGTTTGATGGAGGACAACGAAAGCTTCCAGCTTTTGCTTAGCGAGAAGACGCTGAACGGCGACTTTATGCGCAGCCTTGGTGCAGGCGCTTCCCGTCCGCCCTCGCAGGGTGAGAGACCCAGTACCAGTCTCGCGGACGAACTTGGTGCCGCTGCCGACGAAGAATCCAACGAGCGCCGCCTGGAATCTGAGATCAACTCGCTCAAGGACCAGAACAAAGCTCTCACCTTGTACATCAACAAGATTATCGAGCGTCTTCTGCAGCACCAGGGTTTCGAAGCCGTTCTGAGCCACGATCAAGAGCCGCCACCGAAGCCTCCTGTTGCTAAGGAGAACGCTCCCGCCCCGCCGCCCAAGGACAAGTCTCAAGGACAGTCTTTCCTGCAGCGGGCCAAGTCTGTTGCTCTCAGCTCTGGTCCTTCTAACCAACCGCAAGAGAAGCGGCCCCGGCCTATGAGCGTGATGCCCCCTCCTCCGCCTAAGCCGGAAGAGAACAGCATCACCTCCGATCCCTCGACTGCTCCGAGCATTCCCCTCCGTCACAGTTCTGGCCAGCACCGTCGCGCCAACTCTGAGTGGAGCAATGGTGCGGCTACCGTGGTCAACAACATGTATCGGAACTCGGCCAGATCCCCCGGGATTGTCTCTCCGCGCAACTCGGTCTTCCACTTCCCGCCCAGCGAAGGACCCGCATCGAACCGTAGCTCCCGCGTCGTGTCTGGCAGCAGCATGCCACGCCAGAGCGTTGACGGCAATGGCGACGCTTCCGCCCAGGACACCATCAGCAACACTGACAGTGGTGTTGCCGTCGACACGCCTTCTCCTCCCCGGAGCATTGCCAGCAGCTTCGACCGTCCCAGCGGCAACGTCATGACCGGTAACAAGCCACGTCCTCTCAGACTTGTGCAGGAATCCGAGGAGGCGGAGAAGGAACGCAAGGCCGCAAACCGGCAGAGCTGGATCGGCGCCTGGTTCTCCAAGAGCCCTAACCCGAACGGCGAGAACTAAATGCTTTCTGGCAATGTCCATGACTCAGTATTCGATGCGCATTCTACTCGACAAACGAGATTCACCAGCTTGCCCGGCATGGTACTTGACAATAATTTTAACGCGTGCGAAGCTCCCCAGCTATTGGCGCGTCTTTGAAAGACGGCCATGTATCAACTTCGCTTTACGCCAGACATGGGTTAAAGCATGAATGAAATGGAATGCCAGTAACGATGAGGCCAAGGTGGTCAAGTTTTTTTTTGTTGTTTTCATTGCTTTTTGGTTTATTTTTTCTTCTCTTCCTTTGGCTTCTGAGTTACTCTGACAGCCCCCCTCGCCCATGACTCAATGAGAAGAAGGCGAAGAAGAATATCTCTCAACGATTGCAAGCAATACCCCAAAGACCGTTTGTTTGGTTAGGCAGGCACACACGGTTTTCCTCTCGGTTCGATATGACCATTATGGAGTCCAATGCGGATAGGGCCTCAAAGATTGAAGGACGAGGTTGACATATCACCAGCCTACGTCGTCAGCTCACCGTGTATGCTTAGAAGTTTTGTCTTTGTTGGGCCTTAACCCTGACAAGTTTTCCTTATTTCCGTTCCGATGTAACTTTCTTCATGTATTGATTTCTCTCGCACTTTCTACATCCAGAAACCATGTGAAAAGGATCTCATACTCAATAGATGGATCGGCGTTATGTTGGCCACGCTGCCGCTTGGAATTTCAAATACCCTTTCCTCACGAAGTTTCGACTTCTTTTCCCCCTTTTTTTCTCCCGCCGCTTTTTACCGCAGGCGGGATTCACGCATTCTCTTTCCGGAACCCAGTCACTCACGGATGAGCCGGCAAACTGTAGGCTAGCTAGCGACGTATGTAGCATCGACAAACATAGGTTGCCTTACAACCACTTCCGTGATGGGGATCGTCATCCCTTTTCCTTTCTCCCCAGCCTCCGGAATGAGATCTTCTCCACGCGGCCCGCATCAGAAAGGCCTTGGAGTACGTACTACTTCCGCATGACCCTCTGTACTTTCTGCACGGGTGGCATCTCCTTGTTCTTGAATCGACCAATGACGGAAACAAATCGAGTCCGCAACTCTTTTCCAAGAGCAACCAACCCCTGACATGGATGGGAGTCACGAGCAAAAAGAAAGGTGAACAGATTGGCCGAAAACGCGCAAGCTTCACTGATAAACATTCACTTGGAAATCACCATCAAAAAAAAAGAAAAAGAAAAAAAAGAAAAGGCGACCTTTTTCCGGACCACCCAGCAAAGGGCCCCGCTCCGCCCCGCCCTGCCCCCCGCCCCCGGGGCGTGTAGGTTGGTTGGTTGGTACCTAGACCTGGCCCGCCCCAGCCAACAACCACCAACTCGCTCCGGCGAACGGTCTTTCCCGTCAAGAAGACGGCCAGCCAGTCATCAGCCAGCCAGCCAGCCAGCTAGCTAGTCAGCCCAAATAAAACATAAAAAGGTCATGGCAGCTTCCCCTCGCTTTTTTTTTTTTTACCACCAATCGCCTTCGACCAACCGTTATCGCCACAGGCAGTACAACATACACTTCTGTTTAAGAAATTTTATTTGAGGCCGGAAGAAAGGATCAACAATGGCAGAGAAGGATGGGAGGGGTGAAGGATGAGGCGGTGGCGCGGTTAACGGTGGCGGCGGCGGCGGGGCTCCGGCGCCGTTGCTGTCTCTTCCATCCATGGGCGGCGCGGGCGCCGGCGCGGGGCTGTGCGGCCGGACCGTAGAGAGAGAAAAAGCGCCACAAGTGTGCGTGGATGTGTGTCTACTACTATGTGTAGCGGCGGCCGCCATTAGTGGCCGGCGGGGGGCTGTGGGCGGCGACGACGGACGGACAGACGGACGGACGGCTACGCCTCGAACTAGTGACTAGTTGCTTGCGACGGCGGCGACGACGACGACGACTTCCCTGAGGGCGGTAACGAAATGGAGAGAGTGTGTGTGGTCGCGGAAAGAGGTAGGTGGGTAGGTAGGTCCGTCGTGGGACGTATGTACCTTGTACGAGGAGGTCAAGGATGCCGAAACGTTCAATGTCCAGTGACCGAGAAGAGTGGAAGAGAGTCTTGTTGGAGGGGGAGAAATCCGCCTCTTTGTCGCATAATCTGCGTCGTGCAACGCATACTAGTTTATGGATACCGTCTCAGCTCATTCGATCCTCCGCGAAAAGAATCGATTGGGTTGTATTGGCAAAGAGACACGAGTGACAGGTAGACGAAAAGACGAGCAAAGAGAAATGATAATGAGTCTATACCTCCCATCTTCCACCCCATCAAACATCGTCCTCCGTATCCTACATAAGAAAATATGCACAAGTGGTAGTCGCGGCTTATCATTATGTGTTTTCTGCATCTTCTTTTTTTCTCAATTCTTCGAACGCCATTCGTTCATCGACGCCACCAAGACGGAGGAGACTAGACATCCAATCACCAATGGATTGGCGATGTGGCTCTGAAACTCGCACCCTCTCGCTCGCTCGCTCACTCATGCCAAGTAGACCAGAGAGGAAGAAACCCACCATTTTCCCACTGCACCATTGTCCCTACCGTTGATGAACCCAATGGTGCATGCCGCCCACGCCGCGACTCGTCTAGTAGTGGATAGCCTTGTCGTAGGTGTTGAGAGCGGCCTCCTTGAAGCTGTCGTCGAAGTTAGCAATGAAGACGAATAGTCCTAAATTAACAAGGGTAACTTACGCTTCGCTGAGCGTCGGGTGAGCGTGGCACACCCGCGCAACATCTTCGGACGAGGCGCCGTATTCGATAGCAAGACCGGCCTCGGCAATCATCTCACCGGCGTTGGGGCCGATGATGTGGACACCGAGGACGCGGTCGGTCTCGGCGTCGGCGATGAACTTGACCAGACCCTCGGTGTCGAGGTTGGTCTTCGCACGCGAGTTGGCCGAGAAGGGGAAGGTGCCGACCTTGTACTTGATGTTGGAGGCCTTCAGCTCAGACTCGTTCTGGCCAACCCAGGCGACCTCGGGGTGGGTGTACATGACCGAGGGAATGACGCCGTAGTTGACGTGACCGTAGCCCTTGGAGATGTACTCGATAGCAGCAACGGCCTCCTCCTCAGCCTTGTGGGCAAGCATAGGGCCGAAGGTGCAGTCACCAATCACACGGATGTGGGGGATCTTGGTGCGGTACTCGTGGTCGATGATCAGACGTCCCTTGTCGTCGGTCTCGAGGCCAATGTTCTCGACGCCGAGGCCGGCGGTGTAAGGACGACGGCCAATGGCGACGAGGACAACGTCGGCGTCAAGCTGAGGGTCGGGGTTAGCAGTGGCCAGTAAGCGGGAAAGGAGTGAAGCCTACAGTCTCCTCCTTGCCACCCTTGGCAGCCTCCACGGCAACCTTGACACCCTCACCCGCGGCATCGCCGCTCGAGACCTTGGTGCCGGTCTTGAACTTGATGCCCTGCTTCGAGAGGATCTTCTGGATGCCCTTGGCGATCTCGGCGTCCATGCCGGGGCCACCAATCTGGCCCAGGAACTCGACGACGGTAACCTCGGACCCCAGACGCGACCAAACGGAAGCCTACTCCAGTTATTACGTGCAGCTCGCAGCAATTGCAATCGGACCCACCATCTCAAGACCAATGATACCACCGCCAATGACCACCATCTTGTTGGGGACCTGCTTGAGGGCAATGGCGCCGGTCGAGGTGATGACCTTCTCCTCGTCAATGGTCATGCCGGGGAAGGGCGTGGCCTCGGAACCGGTGGCGATGATGATGTTCTTGCCGCGGACGGAGGTCTCGCCGCCGTCGATGAGGTTGACCTTGACCGTGTGCTCGTCGGCGAAGGCGCCGGTGCCCTTGATGTACTCGACGTTGTTCTTCTTGAACAGGAACTCGATGCCCTTGGTCAGGCCGGAGACGGACGTCTCCTTGGCCTTCATCATCTGCTCGAGGTTGAGCTTGACATCGCCGACCTCGATGCCGCGGTTCTTGGTGTCGTGGAGGATCTGGTGGTAGAGGTGCGAGTTGTTGAGCAGCGACTTGGAGGGGATGCAGCCGACGTTCAGACAGGTGCCGCCCAGGGAGCCGCGCTTCTCGATGCAGGCGACGTTCAGGCCGGCCTGGCCGGCCTTGATGGCGGCAACGTAGCCAGCGACACCGCCGCCGATGATGACCAGGTCCTTCTCCGCCGCCTCGGTGGCATATGTCCGCAGTGACCGGTCAACGAGCGGGAATGTTGAGGAGACGGGGCGGAAGGCGCTGCGGCGCGCAGCGAGGGCGAACGGCCGGGCGGACGTCTTGGGTATCAGTTGCTTGAACATGGCGGCGACGCGGGATGCACGCGGAGGGTGGGGGAGTGGGAGGTGAGGGCTTTGCAGCTGGCGATGTCTGACAATGGGCGGCAGGCGAAAACACTCGGGGCGTCGGAGCGCGAGGCGGCAAAATGCGGCAATTCGCGCGCTTGGCACGTGTGGGTGATATCAGCACCCGACTGACTGGTTAATCGCGCAGCACCATGTCTCCTATTATTCTACCTCCTACAAAACCACGCCTATTCCGCTGCAATGCGCTGCGTCGCCAGCACCGTGAGCCCGTCCGCCGCCACGCTTGCGCCCCAGCGCACCGTCTCCCGCTCCGACTTGCTCCCCGCCGCCTCTGCCCGCCGCACCACTTTCTTGAAGAAGTACTGCAGGCCCCGTGCCATTTGGGGCGCGTCCTTTGCCAGCATGACCACGTCTAGCAGCGCCTCTTCGTTCCGTTGATCTGCCGTCTTCTTCTGAGACCGCAGAATTGCCGTCGACAACAGCACTTCGACAAAAGCCTCAGTCTTTGGTTGAAGGAAGCCGAAATTGAGCGTCTGCAGTAGTACGTTAGCCAATTGCCCCGCCATCAGCAGCTTTCGTGCTGCCGATTTCGTCGAGTGGAGAGCGTTATCCGAAAGTGTCGGGAACAGACGGCGGCTTTCACTTCATGATAATCATCGACGTACCTTGAGCACAGCAATGGAGAGCCCGCCCTCCGCGATCAACGTGCCGAACATCTTTGCCAGATTGACAATCGAACGCGTTGTTAGACCCTCTTCCCCATCTTCTTCGTCAAAGTCCGCATCATCCATTTCGTCCTTCTCGCCCATGCGCTTGAAGAGGTCCCAGAGGCTGAACTGGAACGCCTTTTTCAGCGGCTTGTCCGAGCACAAGCGCTTGGCAATCAATGTGTAGTACGGATTGTAGCTTTGCTCGGCACCTGCGCAACGGATAAGCACCCGTGGGATCTCGAGCTCCTGGGTTTTCTTCAGCCGAAGCTTCATCAGCCGCAAATGTGCGTCCTTGAAATCAGACGCAGACATAATGCTAATGAAAATGGAACGCCGAATGTCCGTATTCATGCGCTGCTCCTTTGCCAGCTGCAGCAAATCGGTAGTGCCGCTCACGATGAATTCCTCGGCCGTTACCTCCTTGCCCTTCGTAGTCTTCAACGTTTTCTCTTGCGCCGCTGGCTCGTCTGCCATGTCGTTTCGCCAGCTTGCACCAACAAGCCACCATTTTCCTTTCTTCTCCGTATCCTGCAGATCCTTGAGACCAATACGCAGAGGCTCGCTTGCCTTGATCGATCTCGAGTTCAGAGAACCAAGTGTCTTCTTCATGCGAGTCGTATGCTCCGAGGTGATGGCCGACGCAGCCACGCCCGTCTTCATCCGGTTGTTCTTGAGGTTCTGGATGGTCTCCATCATGAATTTTGTCCGAACTGATAGCGCCTCGCCAGCCTTCACGACCGACTTCTGGAGGAGAGCGACGATATCCTTCAAGGCTGTCGGATCGTCCTGCCGCAGCTGAGGGCCGGACATTCGAACAATGCGGAGCAGCAGCTCGGTATTGATCTCTTTGAGCTCCTCCAGGAAAATCCGAATATAGTCAAAGACAAGATTGCAGCCGACGACCTGGAAGTTGTACATTTGTGCCAACAGCGAGATCAAGTTGGTGGTCTCTTTCCCGCTCGAGCCATCGTTGTAGCTGCCGTAGAACTTGTCGAATTCCGTAGCGAAGCGTTCGACAATCTGTGCTCCAAAGTCCATGCCCACGACCTTGTAGACTGCTGCTATGAAACCAGCGTGAAGGATCAAAAAGGTATCCTGAAGGCTTGATGGATCGCATGCAAGCCCGAGGAGGAGGTCTATAAGAGTTGTTGTGACGTATTGGCGTGGGTTGGTTTGGTACAGCTTCTCAATGTCCTTGAGAATGGAAAGGAGGTTTGCTTCGGATAGACGATTGAGAAGACCTTGCGTCTGCCGTTTTAATCTTGTCATGGCCTCTGCATCGGAGGATGGCGGGCCCCGTAATGAAGGTGGGATGTACTTTCCGGCCGGCGCTGCGTCTGCGGACACGGGAGGCTTATACGGGTTTTCTCGAACCCTTGGCTGCTCCACTTCCTGCTCGGACTCATCTTCATCGAAGTCATCTTCCTCGAGCCCATCCAAATCATCCTCGAAACCCTCCGCATCCTCATCTTCTGAGAAGCCACCAAAGCCATCGTCTGCACCTTCTACCTCCTCTTCCCCGTCCGACTGTTCCAGCTCTTCGTCGTCTTCCTCGCCATCAGATCCCAAGGACTCGTCATCCTCCCAGCCTTCTTCCCCCTCCTCACTATCGTCTTCGCTGAAGCTCTCCTCCGCCGTCAGACCCGTAGCTTTCCGCCGCTTGCTGTCCAGCCACGCCTGATCCTCCGACGACCGTTTCCGCTTTCCTGTCACAGCGAAGTCGAGTTCATCATCCAGGCCGTCCAGAAGGTCCGCCAGGCCATCTTCGTCGAAGGCCTTTGGCAACTTCTTCTTGTCCTTCATGCCCAGCTTCTTCTCCAGCGCCGCAATCTCCGCGTCGTCGTCGTCAAGCCGCGCCTGTACCTTTTTCGGTACCGCCGGTGGCGGCGACGGAGACGGGGTCCGCTTCCTCTTTTCCTTCTTCTTGGACTCCTTCGCCTTCTCCTTGGCCTCTTTGTCCTTGGCGGCGCTTTTCTTCGGCGCGGTTTCTGCGGGCACATCGGCGCGCTTGGGCGCAGACTTCAACGGCTTTTCCGGTTTCGCGGGCGGAGGAGAAACCGCATCTTCGTCGTCGCTCTCGAAATCGTCCTGCGGAGCAGTGCGCTGCTGGAATTTCCGGGGCTGTGAGCGATGCGACCTTTTCTGCTCGCGCTCGGCCTTGCGGCGGTCTTTGCGACCTAGAACCCGTCCGCGAGCACGACCATTGCCTTGAGAAGCGCCAGAGGCTGTGAAGAAGAAAAGATCGAATTAGCAAAGCGCGAGACGAGAGCGCAGAAAGGTGAGATTACCCCCAAGCTGGTCAAGGAGGTCGCGGGGCAGTTTTGGCCCTCCATGATTATTTTGGCGCATGGTTGCGAGACAGCGCTTGGTTTCCCGTTCGCAAAGGGCAAAAAAAAATGTCGAGAACAAAAAAGAAAAGGCACTGGACCCCGGAATGATTTACGGGCGGTAAAGCGTTAGTGGCCGCGGGCAACTGGCTGCAGGGCGGTGAGGAATGACTCGCGTCGACACACCCCCGGCCGCGCGCCGCACTCGACCCGCGACGTCAGTCCAAAGCCAACGAAAGAACCACCCGATGCCCGCGGCTCCTCGACAACATGGCTGACAAGCACCTCAGCAATGAGGAGGTGCGCAATCACCCTTTCCGCTGCGCCCTCTCACCGGGTGCGACGGTGCTAACTCGTGCTCCCATTCACACAGTTCTTCGCGCAGCTCAAAGAGCTGTTCGATGCGCGGCGCACCAAAGACCACGGCACCGTCTACCTGACGCAAAAACGCCGTACGTCTCCTCCCAAAAAAGCCAAAACGGGCCCCCATCCCTCGAGAAATAATCCATCCCGAGAAAAGAGCTCACGCCCCGCCACGCAGTGACCTTCGACCTCGAGTCGCGCGCGTCGACGCCGGCCAAGGTCGCCGACGACCCGCTGTGGGACACGCATCCGCCCAGCCCGCTCCCCATCATCGTGCGCGCCACCAACGGCAAGTCCAAGGACAAGCGCGACCGCAAGGTCAAGCTGTCGACCGTCGTCCCGCCCGACCGCCTCGAGGGCTTCTACGCCCGCTACGCCGACGTCTGCAAGGCCGGCATGGCCGCGCTGAAGCCGCGCGATCGCAGCAAGCGGAAGAAGGACAAGCGGAACAAGAAGAAGAATGCCGCCACCGCCGGTGGTGCTGAGGGTGAGAAGAAGGCGTGAGCGAGGGCGGCGGCGGCTTGGGCTCCGAGCGAGAAAATGAAATAAAATCGTAAATGGCAGGAATTCGCGATGCGGAAAATGCGAAAAGAGTACGTCGATGCTGAACGAGAAATGAACGTATCTTGTGGGTTTCATGAGATTGTGACTGTGTTATTGTACGGTGAAAAGCTATGGTACTATCATCCAATGATACCGGGAGGTCACATTGGCGATCCTCATGGGAAAGTCTAGATTGTGTTGCTGATTGCAATCATGAACGACAGTACCTCTAGCTAAATCTCAGCCGAATGTTCGGGCTCACGCTTGCGCCCACTTTAGTCTATTCTCACATGCATCTTGGATACATCGCTGCCTTCACGCGCCGTAGAATGTAGAGAAAAAGTGGATCATACAGTCATCGTATCAGGATGCAGTTTTTCCCTTCTCTAAAAGCCCTACCTTCCCAAACCACGCAACGGTTATGGTCTCTTGATCGGGGAACCACAGTATCGCAATGTCGTTATCCCTCGGTTGAGTTACCCCGAAGAATTTCTAGTCTGCTTGGTTGTTGGTACTCTATTTTCATATGCCAAGCCCACTTCCTTGGGTATCCGATATCCCTGGACTCCACTAGTAGCCTGTGACGGTTTGCGATCTTTATCACGTATCACAACATCCGGAGCAGCAGGTAGACAGGGCATGAAACAGAAGGCAATGCAGCATGGATAGACTATTCCCGAGGCGACCAATAAAATATCCCAGTGCCCCTCCTACATGCCGGAGCCCTGGGATGCGGATGCACGGGAGTGCCTGCGAGTGATTGGCTAATATATCGGACTTGGTTAATTGGCAAGGATCCACGGCAGACGAAGCTGTGATCAACAGCACAGGTTTAAACCTGGCCGTCACAGTGGGTGACGAAAGAAATTGACCCGCCTACATGGGCAGCGGAATCCCATATCTCGATGCATTTGTATTGTTTTAATCCTCGCATCTGCGTCCGGACATCTGATTCAGCTACCGATGAAGAAAGGTCGTTCAACTTACATCTACGTCGGCATACTTGCTTCAACTGCCGACACGAAGGATCGCCGCAGGTCAACTTCTTTTGTCGTCCACTGTGCCGGGAGACCTGGTGTTTGAAGATATGATAAGCTTCATGTGATTGGCTCTTACGACAATGCAGTATGCACCTGTTCATCTGACGTCTACGTGTTGTCTGCTCGAACGATCTACAACATCTGTTTGCTTGATACTGCAACTAGATCGACGAAATCGGAATTGATGTCAGGATGACCTTGCCCACCGACATGTTGTGCTTCCATGTCCGGATGGGTGCTTCAACCGCCCATCGTCTTCGCAGCAGCACTAAGCGAGGTAACCGTGTACCTTGCAACCCGGTCCTCTGGGTATTCCTGCCCAACGGCCCTGTCTGAGCTAGCAGGCGATAGCGGGCAATTGGCGATCAGGGCGTGAACCAATGTTGAATGATGCATGTTCCTCCCGAAGGCATTCTCCGCCTAAGAAACCGAGGCAACCAAGGCCCGTAAAGCACGCCCCAGACCAACCGCAGACCAGAAGCGAACGACCTCACAGAGTTTGGCATTCGCTGAGTCAGCTTGCCCAGCCTATACAAACTATCGAAGAGCATGGGTATGCGGAGGAACCGAGAAGGCAGCTGGTAATCCAATCCGGTTGCGCCAGTCCCGCCAAATTCAAGGAAGTGATCTAGCTCCACCGCCAAAGAGAGCCAAAGATTTTTGCATGAAGATTATAAAACGGGATTTTTCTCGCCAGCGCCTTCTTTTGATGAAGCAAATCAATGTGAACCTCCTCTCGAACGAACCCCGGAGAAAAAAGAAAAAGACCGAATCCAAGCATAATTATCACGAAGAGGAAACCAAAGGAGAGCCCGACACAACTCGTACAGAGAGAACCTACATGGTAGCAACTCAGCCCTGGGGGTGAGCCTGCGGGGACTGTTGCTGCTGCTGAGGCATGCCTGGTCTTTGCGGGCTGCCCTGGCCGGGAGCGCCGCCGGGCTTCAGCAGTTGGCCCTTCCAGCCGGGGAAGAGGGCCTGAAGCCTCGTGTACATCTCACTCAGCGCCGGCGGGGCGGCCGGGACGGTCATTATGGCGGGTCCGGGTGGTACTTGCTTATTCGGGTTGGTGTTGCGGTCGGCAAAGGTTGCGAGGTACGACAAATTGGCCTGCAACCGGCGCATGCAGCTGTTGGAAGCAGAAATCTCAGTCAGCAAACAGGAAACGGCGGCGCGCCAAGAATCGCACATGTATCACGTACTCGATGTACTCCTTCGACGCCACCTGCTTAGGCGCGTCGCCCTCTTTATTGCCGTCCTGGCCGGGGGCAGGCTGGTTGCCCATGATGCCGCCCTTCCCTTGCTCCTGTAGGCGCAGCGTCTCCTGGAGCAGCTCGCGGTTGATGTCGAGCAGCAGCGTGACCTGCTCGCGCTCGCGCTGCAGCTGGCCGGGCGACGAAGGCGTGGCGGCCATGCTCTTTTGCGGCTGGCCCTGGGGCTGGGGCTTGGGCGCGGCGGAATGCGACGGCAGGCTCACGGGGGCAGCCATGGGCTGGGATGAGTCTGGCAACGACTGGGCTTGGTGGCTCGGGAAGTGGTGCTGCTTCGTCGGGGTGGCCGCATACGGCGAGACGTGGCGGGAGGGCGAAATGTTCTGGTTGAAGGATTGGAAGTGGTGGGCCTGGGACTGGTGGGGGGCTTGGACGGGGGTGGAGAAGGGCGCGGTGGTGAAGGGACTCTGCGGGACTGCGGGCCAGACGTCAATCTCTGAGCTTGTTGGGTTTGGGGCGTGTGAGACAGGCAGCGCGACGGATTAGGCGAAGGCAGAAGGGGGTGCGTCCACTCACCTCGCGGCGACTGCTGCTGCTGCATCGCGCCTGGCTGCATCATGACCCCACCGGCGCTGGCTTGGGCGCTACCCATGCCCATGCTCGAGGCCAGCGGGAAGCCACCGCCGCCCGCTGCAGCGGCGCCATTGCTGAAGGCCGGATGGTGAGGCGGCTGGATGCCCTGTGCAAACTGCGGGGGCGGCGGGCCGTGGGCGGGCTGGGCATGGGCGGGCGAGCTGCCGAACTGCTGGCGAGCACTGGTCTGATTAAAGAAGGACGGGTTATAGGAGTCCATCTGATTCATGGCTGCGTTCGGGGTGGTCGTCGCCTGGGTATGGTTGAGATGCGATCTTCAGCGCAGCCGCAGCGCTAATTCGGGCCCGCGCCACCGGGGCCCCAGTGCTCTAGGGCGCCGCCGGGCAGCGCTCGCGCTCAGCAGCAGCGCAGCAGCATCCAGCACAGCATTCAGCGCCGCGCCGCGAGCAGTCTGCGCGACGGCCATCCAGCAGCCGCGCAGAGCAGCCACGCAGCAGGCCCGCCCACCGCCTGCGCGTGTCGACGGAGCAGCCGCGCGCGCGGCCAGGGCCGGGATTGGGTGACGCATGGCCGTGGCCCACCGCCCTGGCTCTGCCTTGGTCCGTCCTCTGGATCTTAGTGTCACAACGACGGGTAGAGCGCATGCCGCCACGGCACGGCGGGTAACGGCTAGAGCAGCCTTGCGTGCCCGCGGCCGGGGTCCGCTGGACGAGGATGGACGAGAGGAGGGCCAATCCGCGCCGCGTGGGAGGCCAGAGCCCGCCATCCACGGCGCCGGACGCGCGACTGAGGCTGGCTAACGCAGGGCGCGCATCAATGTGGTAATCCCCGAGAGCGTATCCATGCTGATCGAAGCCATCACGCGCTGCGCCAGATTGGGCTCCCGCAAACCATGGAGATGAGGCTAATAAGAGCGCGCCCACGCCGTCCACGCCGCTGACATGCTGCCCGTCTCCGCCAGCCCTCGAGACCCGGCCACGGGCTCCCCCAGGCATGCGTGGCGGCAGCGCTCCATTTCCCGCCAGTCAAGACTGCGCTGCAGGCAGGCACAGCATCTCCAGAGGCCAGAGGCCAGGCCCCCCAGCTAACGGTCCGACGCGAAGTGGATCCGCCCATTCAGCGCGCACCTGGGCGGGCCTCATGTGACTGCTGCGGCCCGCCTCCAACGACAACTCATGTCTCCAGCCAAGCCGTCAGCGCCAGCTTCTCCAGACGCTCCTCGTCGAGCTGAGCCAGCCCGCATGTAGTGCCACGCCGCCAAAGCCACTGGCGCCGCGCCAGCCTCTTATCTGCAGCTCGGCCCGCCAGCTGGATGCAAGCGAGCGTCCGATGCTATGTTGATCTGGAAGGTTGATCGAGGTTGGAACGTACGAGGGTCCAGCAACATCACGGCAGCATGACTCGCCGCCCTTTCCATCCGGACATGGCGACAGAAACGGAAGCCGGACACCGCCTCGGACAAGCCGGGCGACGTGCAGCCCATGCGGCTAAGGACCGCCTCCATATTGCTCGCGTATAAAGAGTGAACTCAGGATACAGATTGCAGCAGTGGCGCCAAACTCGGGTTCCTGGCTGGGGAGTGGGGGGCATCCGCCTACGACGTCGCACGGCTGTGCTTTGCGTCTCCGGCCGGCTCGCCCCTCGCAAACGAACTCACTCTTCTTCTTCTTCTTGTTTCTCGGCAAGCGCCGAGCCTCAGTCAAAATCTCGTCGCCCTTGGCTAAGCAGTCAGTGTCGTACCTGGCATACCGTGTCCGAAAGCGATATTCTCCAGACGGCAGTCTGCCCGGTCAGCCTTGCAAGGAAATTCGCCGCGAGAATACGACCTCACTCAAAGACAAGGTCGACAGAAGACATCAGGCTGAGTACAGGACCGACCTCGCGTCAGCGGTGACATTTTATTCAGGCTTGACGTGGATACGAGAATCTAGGTTAATAAGCCAAGACTAGCGTGAAGAGCGGTACCTGGCCAAGGCGAGACTTTTTCCATCCTACATCCGTCCAGATAACGGCCAAATGGTAGACGTGGCCATTTTTCGGGGTGCCTCGTCTCCGTGGAGCCAAAGCCCGGCGCAAATCTCAAGTTCTTGTGAGCGGCTGCGCAGATGCAGAAAAGCAGCTGTGTCCATGGCTTCCGAGGATATTAGAGCGATCTGTGAGGAGTCTCGGGCGTCTAATTTGCAAGATTGTGTGGTCGGGAAGCGGAGGGGCATACCTGACGAGAAGCATTGACGAAAGACAGTGGACCGTAAACCATTCCCGTTTAGGGGCTACGATGGCTCATCATTGCGGAGGATCGATGCGACCAAGGCCAACCAGCAAACACCAAGGGCTGCAGGGTGACGCAAAAAATAGAGCGATTCGGAGGAGCCGCAGCCGCGTTGGATCACCGGCGGAGCCTGGCGCGTCGCGAAGCAACGGCAGGCAATTTTTGCATGGCAGCTGACGCAGGAGAAACGGGGCTGCGAGCAATTTTCATTCAGCTGTTGTCAGCGGCTGAGGCAGCGAAGGGGCGGCCTGCCGGCTTGTTCTCGTCGCCGACCTCGCCCCGTTCCGACTCTTTCTCTTGCGCCCGCACCCGACCAATCCCCGCGCCAAGGCCCGGCCCAGCCCTATGGCTCAGACCTCTGTCCGACCTGGCCCTCCGCCGCAGCGTTGCCGTCGCAGCGTTGCCGTCGCAGCGTTGCCGTCGCAGTGGCTGACGAAAGAAACTCGGCTACGGCCATGGTGCTTTGTGTAGGCAAACGTCGAAGCAGACAGCCCGACGCAAATGTGGTTGCTGAAACCATACAAATGCATCCGGATATAGGATCCTACTCCGTATGTGAGATGGATGTAGGATGTAGGCAGGGCCAATTTCTTTCGGCACCCATTAGGCCTGGCATGGGCGGATGACTGTTGGGAGGCTGTGCGCATGCACTGCCGTGGCTAGCGCACCTGCCTGCGACCCGTTCTTTGGCTCCTTTCTGGGCTAGTCACACTTCCGGCTTGAATTCGTGCCAGCTGCTCTTTCATCCATCCATCCATATATAACATTTGCTGTCATCGTGTGTGCCTGGCGGCAGTCCACATCAATCCACAACACTTGACAACAACTCCACCCTTCACGGCCTGTCGTCTCTCCCCATGTACACCACCAGAACCGCCACTGCTTGCTCCAGGACCACCGGCCGGAGCGCCGCCCAGGCTCTCAAGGCTCTCAAGGCTCTCAATGGCTTGCCACACCAGGCAGTCATTGTGAGCCTCAGGCCCGGCCTCGTCTCCATCCAGCAGCAGCCATGGCCCGTCTCGAAGAGGACCTTCTCTTCGACCCCCACCACCCGTATCAAGGAATTCTTCCCCGAAAAGGAAACAGAGAGCATCCGAAAGACGCCTGCCTCGTGGGAACACCCATTGTAAGCAATGCACTCTCCAGCCCCCCCTTGGTCCGAGAACAGCGAGCACTGACAGCACGAGCAGTTACACCTATGAACAGATGAACGCAGTCAAGGTTGCCCATCGAGAGGCAAAGACATGGTCGGACTGGACGGCGCTGGCCATGACGAGAGTGCTTCGCTGGGGACTGGACCTGGCTTCGGGCTACAAGCACGCCAAACCTGGCGAGAAGACCATGACGGAGCGCAAGTACATGATCAGGAACGTCTTCCTCGAGAGCGTGGCCGGCGTGCCCGGCATGGTCGCCGCCGTCATCCGCCATCTGCACTCGATGCGGCGCATGAAGCGCGACAACGGCTGGATCGAGACGCTCCTCGAGGAGTCGTACAACGAGCGCATGCACCTGCTCACCTTCCTCAAGATGGCCGAGCCGGGCTGGTTCATGCGCCTGATGGTGCTCGGCGCCCAGGGCGTCTTCTTCAACGCCATGTTCATCTCCTACCTCATCTCGCCCCGCATCTGCCACCGCTTCGTGGGATACCTGGAGGAAGAGGCCGTCATGACGTACACGCGCGAGATCGAGGACCTCGACGCCGGCCGCCTGCCCATGTGGGAGAACATGCAGGCCCCGGACATCGCCGTCGACTACTGGAAGATGCCCGAGGACCGCCGCTCCATGCGCGACCTGCTCCTGTACATCCGCGCCGACGAGTCCAAGCACCGCGAGGTCAACCACACGCTGGGCAACCTCGACCAGAAGCAGGACCCGAACCCCTACGTCAGCCAGTACAAGGACGCGACCAAGCCGCACCCCACCAAAGGCATTGAGTGGCAGCGCCCTGCTGGCTGGGAGCGCAGCGAGATCGTTTGATCGCATTCACTGAAAACATTTGTTGTCCCACGGCACTGTACTATCACATGTATTACTACTCCCCTCAGATCGGCGTTGGTATTGGGATTTTGGCGTTTTGTTCTATTTGAGAAGATACCTTAGACATGCACTTTGCAACAAGAGCGCACATCCATAATCGATGATTCTTGGCATTTATATCGCGGAGGTGTTTGCGTTGGTCGCCTGTGAGTATGACGGCTGTGAGACAGTGAATCGCAGGGAAAAATAATGGTATTCGCAACCAAAAGTCAGTCGAATCTATGGGGATGAAGGCTTCGGCTACCCTTCGCACAAAGTGTTTTATCCTCGTCGTCCTCCTGGCTGACACCTCTGACCTCCGTACCGTACAAATTGGTGTATAAGCCATATGGCTTATGGCGGTTTTGCTGGCAGAGGGGGTGGTGCAGGGTATGGCTTATACGCGGGTATGGCTTATACGCGGGTATGGCTTATGTCATGGGTATGGCTTATACACCAATTTGTACGGTATGCTATCTACTAGTGAGTGGCGTATGACAACGGCACTGACCACCAAAGATAGACGGCAGGATTGGAGAGATGTCCGGCCCGGTGTTCGCTCAAGCTCGGCTTGTTTCGGTATGGCGAACATCGATCGGTAGGGTCGTGTCGGCAAGCTGCATACCGAAAACGACCGGCACGGGAACATGCCTGCCGTACTTGCCCATGACTACCCATTTCGCCTTCAGGTCAGGATATACGAAGTTGCATAGGGCGTAAAATAGGAACGAGGTCACATGGATCTTGGACATGGGAGACTCAAGATTTACGGACTCCGTGATATCAGTCCGATCAAACCCCTTTCGCCCCCCGGATCTTGTTCCTGAACAGTGTCCAGCGCAATAGTCCCAAAGCATACCTTGCGTTGATCTGCTCTCGCATGTAATTGAGATCAGGCTGAAGCAAACCCCCTAAACTGTTCCACAATGCCGAGGGAGCTTGAGGCGAAACTGTACGATCAAGTCGTACAGAAAGTCCGGGCTCTCGTAGAGGCTGTCCCTCATGCCATCTAGTAGACGATCGTAAAGCCTTGGGATCAGTATCCTCACCAGGTCGGTGAGAAATTGGCTTCCCTCAGTAGTGGAATCATAGACGGTCACGATCAGCTGCAGCAGCGGGGCACCGAACGGCAGCCAGTCTTCGATGGGGCAGGAGGGGAATGACAGCTGTCATCTTGACACGGTAGACGTACGAACAGTACATATATCCGACCATGGCGGCTATGGTATCCCGGCCATCGTCGTGCAGCTCGATCCTGTCAGTGACAGTTTCTAGATAGGGCTGCAGGAACACCCCCTTGAACTAGTTGGACCTGAATATGTGTAAATCTTTGTGGACCTTGAGAAATATTCGCGTGGGCTCTCGGATTCAAATTTGCGTTTTGTCTTGTTCTCACCTTGAAATCACGTCCTGCACAGTGGATAGTGAAGTTCCTGGATGAACGGCTCTTGTTTTCTATGTGCAGTGTCAGCCCCTGGCAAGATTGTGAATACCCTCGTTGATCTGTACATACATACTTAGCCGATACTCACACGTGCAGAGATGCGCAGCCGTGGCCATAGATTCCTCCACTCCGACAACGTTGACAACCACACATGTGTATCTTCACCAGCCATCAAAAGATCAACATCAACAGACTTCAACCTACTCGGCTTATAACGGACGCCAGCCTCCAGGCCGCTACACCACGAGCCGCAACACAAGGGCAGATTCACACCGAGACGGTTCATAGAAGACAAAAACAAAAACGTCGTCAGCGCGCGTGCCTCATCAGCCACGCACGCGGCTGCGGCTGCGGCTGCGTCACGCACGCACGCACATAGCACCCATGAGATATGCACATGGCCCTAGGCATGTACATACATACATACTTACGGCCGCTCCCGCAGCCGCCAACAAGGAGGCGCGATGGCGCACCCTCCACCCGATGCCCCCCGCGCGCCGGTGCGATCGAGGCGCACTTTTCCGGGCATCAAACCGCCTCCCCCCCCCTCTGATCTCCCACGTGCAGGCCCACCACCGACAGCAAAAAAAAAAAAAAAAAACCAAAACATTGCAGCCCCACCTCGCGGGTCCATCCGAGCGCGCGCGCGCGCGCGCGCAGTCCAGACGGGCGCACTTGAGACGGAGGAGCTGGTTGGGCGGCGATCAGGATCACGGACGCGTGGAATATTGTGTAGGTTGCAGTGCAGGCGGGCAGGCGCGCGCGCGTCGACGACGTAGAATATGGCAGGACCGCGCGCGGGTTGTAGCAGGCCACGCGTGCGGGTGTGGGTGCGGGTGCAGCTGCTGCTGCAGCGGCGTGCGGCGACGAGAGGGTCCTACGGCGGAGAAAAGGTGGTGTTGGCGTTTGTTTGATCACCGGGATTTTTGTTTTGAGCATGTGTAGGGAGTAGCTATGGGTCGGCTAAACAACAGTGGTTTCAATGGGGAAGCGGGGCAGATCCCAATCAGAAAGCAGCAAGGCGCGGGCGCCGGGAGCATCGAGTGCCTTATACATGGCAGAGGGAGCGACGCTGGGTTTCAAGGGATCGCGCGCGAACGGCCGTAAAACGAAACGGACGCGTCGACGTCCGATTGGAGCGAAGCGCAGGGGTGGATTAGTATACAGGTGCTGTGAGACATGAAGGGGAGATCCAGGCCGTCTCAGCAAAGCAGACGGAGCCGGTAGCCGCGCGCGACCCGGGCTTCGAGAAGGGGCCCGCACCGTTAACGCCGGCGTGTCGTAGGGCTGAAGGCTCAAACGCCCGAGGCCGCGTCCGACGCGACGGGCGTCCGAGGTGTGCGGTCAGGTGAGGCAAGGCAGACGGGCGGCTGGGCGGTTCCATGGCGGTTGCTTTTTGCGTGCCATGACGTCGGGCGACGGCTTTTGGTGTGCATGCGGTTGCAGCGGAGGCCTGTAGTCATCTAGCAGGAAGCGCGGGCCGACGCAGAGGCTGGACGGAGGCTGGAGGGGTTCTTCGGCAGCCGGGCCGAGCGAGTGTGCGACGGCTGCAAGCTTTACTTGGCGCGGCGCCGTCGCCCGCCAGGACGTTTGTCGCCCGCCCGCGCTAGCAGCTACAACGTCGTCCAACAACAATATACAGACCACGCCCGCCGGTGAGTGAGGTTGGACGACTGCCCGACTGCCCGACCGGCCGACCCACCGACCCGTCCGCCGGGAGCCGCAGCCACGTGAGCCACGTGAGCCCCGGCGGCGGGGTGATTCGGCGGCTGGGCTGCAGGCTGCATGAGGCATGCGGCTGCAGGTGCAGGTGCAGGCGCAGGTTGAGCTGCACGGGCGGGCGGCGGCGGGCGGCGGCGGGCGGCGGCGGGCGGCACTCTATATTGCAGCCTATAACGGAGGCGGCAGGAAATAGAAGGCGGCTCGGGCCTGGTCTCGGATTCGGCCATGGCAGTCGTCTCTGGCAGTGCGACCCAAGGCGCGGCAGCCGTGCGCCGGCACTTGCAGCTGGCGCAAACACACATGTTTCCCGCTAGGATGCCGGCATGTTTCAGGCCTACCCCATTCGGTCGCCGTTTCCGCCCACTCAGCTTGGCCGGTCTGCGCCACCGCCAGCAGCTCGCTTAGCCATCCCGGCCCAAGTTACGCACTGAGACAGGGCCACCTGGGACTACCACCATGCTGCCAGGCCCGCGATCCACCTCAGTCTCGACGCACCCCCGGACCTGGTGCGACAAGGCCGGCCCTCCGCCCAGTCTCCAGGAGGCCTCATTTCCCATTGGCGGCATTGTTCTTCCTCGTCTCACCACGCCTTTTGAACCCGTCGCTTCCCCGCAAGGATGCACGCCTTTTCGCTTCCTCGCCCTCCAAACTTCTCCCTTCTGAGCGGCCGGCCGCATTTATCTTAAACGCTGCTGCCCCCGTCTGTCGCCCTTGCCCAGAATGTGAAGATGATCCTCCCGCGCATCCACGAAGACCCCGACGTCCACCACGACTACGTCAACCCCGAAAAGGAGCTCAATGCTGGCCTCTGGTCCCTCTACGCCGGCGCGACCGCCTTCCTCGCCCTGCGCATCTGGATCAAAGTCACCCGCCGCCACGGCCTGTGGTGGGATGACCACATCCTGCTGATTTCCTGGGTGAGCTCCGGCCGACCGCCTGCCTCCACCAATCCCGCCACTTGCTCACCGTCGTCCGACAGCTCGTCCTGACCGCCAACAACGCCATCATCACCGTCGAATACGCCACCGGCTACGTCACCGACACCTGGGACGACCGCATGCACATCCTCATCAACATTACCTCGTGCGGCACCGTCATCGGCCAGGCCTTGACCAAGACGGCCTTTGCCGTCACCCTGCTGAAGCTGACCAAGGGCTACCAGCAGTGGGGCCTGTGGTTCTGCATGGGCACCATGAATCTCTGGATGATCTTCCGCTGCATCTTCCAATGGGCCAAGGTCTGCGGCAAGTCGAGCTACGACGTGTGGTACCGCCTCAACTTCTGCCTCAACTGGACCTTTCGCGACAACTTCAAAGAGGGCGGCAACGGTGCGTCGTGCTCCCAACCCCCCCGGCTTTGGCGCCTTTAGCTGATCGACTACGTTGCCAGTGTACAACATCATCATGGACTTTGTCTTCGCAGTCTTCCCGTGGTTCATCACGTGGAACCTGGACATGCGCAAGGGCGAGAAGATCGGGCTGTGCCTGACCATGAGTCTGGTAAGCGACATCAGGCCCCCCCATCCTCGCTATCTGACTCGGGACGTGCACGACTAATTTTGGCACTCCTGCCGCACAGGGCATGATCGTCGCCGTTGTATCAGCCGTCAGGACGGGCTGGAAAGACGAGGGCAACCAGAAGGACGCCTACTACTTCGAGCGCAACGCCCACTCCAACGTCTGGTACTCGTCCGAGGTCGTCGGCACCATCATCGTGCAGTGCATCCCCATCATGCGCCCGCTGCTGCGCGACATCCACACGACACTGACGTCCAAAAAGCTGACGTCGGAGAGTGAGGAGCTGGCGCTGAACAGACTGGCGGTAAGAGCGAGTAAGCAGTAGTCGATGCAGCGTTTTTGTGTTTAATTGTAAATATTCATGACCCAAACTTAAATAAATCTTCACGGCCTCATTCCACACAAGCACAAGCACGACTGCCTGCGATCTGCGAACGGCGACCAACAAGGCAAGAAGCTTTATGTCCGCACAGACTGCAGAGCAGCACCCGGACAACGACCATGACAGAGACGACGACGACGACGACGCCGACGCCGACGACGACGCCGACGTCAGCCATCACCCCGTCTGCCATTTCCCAAACGCCCGAGGGTTCCTCCGTGAACACCCACTGACATGGAAAACCCATGCATTATTATGCGCCTTGTCGAGATTGGGCAAGTGTCATCGCCCTACGCACATGTCGGCTGGTAACTACTCGAACAGGAAAAAGATGATCTTCCCTGCCCCTCCCCCTCCTCTTCACCGGCGTTGCGGGCCTTCGGGGGCGATTGGCTCAACGACGCGGCGGCCCGATTAAACATGGTCGGCCGGTCGGTAAAAAACGGTTGCTTCCGTCGGATCTGCAAGCCCTTCCTAACCGTTAGAACCAAAAAAGAAAAGAAAAAAAAAGCTAAAGAACTAATGAAGCGGCGAAAAACGCAAAACGTACAACAGCCGGGATTCCCCAATGGTCACCCACTTGAGTACTAATCGGCCGGTTCGCAGCTTGAGTACGGCTGAGCGGACGGGAAGCCCTATATTCTGCGACCTATGGTCGTACGTGCTGAGGCCGCTTGTGGTGTTGCAATATCTAGTAGTGTGTGTGTGTAGCCCCGCACGCCCTGAGAGGGCCGCCACCCCCCCAAGAAACCGACCCCCCCGCAAAGCTTTTCCGCCAATCTCCAGGTCCCGTAACCCCACTTGACCTTTTTTCTAGTGCCACGCGCGAAGCGAGATATTCCGTTACTGTCAGAAGTGATGTCACTTTCGCATTCCGCCTCACTCTCTACTGGCCAATGCAAATCCGGAGAATTGGAAAGTGCGCCAATGGATGTACTACAACTTGCCCTTCTATCTCCTGGCAGGATATTCCATAGGATATGTTCAGACCCTGCGGTGGGCGGCCGCGTCGTGGTATCGTAACGGCGATCAAAGCCTTATAGACGTTTCCCGGATTGTCTTCCCCCCCTCCCGCGGCTATATTCTCAGGCCCTAATCTTGATCTGTCGTCCAATCTTCGTCCACATTTCCCACCAGCTCGGCGCCTACCTCAGTTGGAAAGTGTCTGTGCCACCATACTCCAAGGTCTATGCCAGTCCGGTCTCCTATCTTGCGGAGTGATGTGGTGATCTGAGCAACTCTTTGAAGGATCATTGCCTTGCCGAGGGTACGATCATCCTTAAAGACGCATATACCAGTATCTCCTTAAGGCAATACTATGAAGTACAGTTCCTTTGCGGTGGCTGACACGACAATGGCAGAGGGCGTTGGGAGAGGTTCCTGCACGTCTGTTGCAACGATCACCGATACCCCCTGCACCATGCCACTGCAAATCTCCTTGAGGTATTAAGTCTGGATGAGAACTCATCGGCGTGTAGAGTATACATATCTGTATTCGTTGACAATTATCCTTACAGACAACCTGCAAACTTCTCGACCGTCAAATAGTAGGCACTCAACACTCTTCTTGTAGCCTTTGTACCCTTCTTCTATAGGTTTTAAAGCAAAGAGAAGACGACCAGTTCGAGCATAGTCACGAAAGAGCCGGGCAAATAAGAAATTTAATAACCGGTGGCTGCGAGGTGGCACTTAGCACTGTCATGATACTGCATATCAGCTGAGTCGTGAGGCATTGGGCCAGCTGCAGGCTGCATAACCAGGCAAAAATAACATCAGTTCACGCTAAAAGGCTTGTGAAACCATGGGTAGGCATTGCCAATTCAGCCTCGCCACCGGCGCTAATCAATTCTTTCCTTGGTACTCGCTTCACTACTCTTCTCCGTCAACCTTGTAAACGCAAGCTAAAAACTCCACGTCAAGGCGATAGAACACTTCGTTACACTTGTCGCATTGAAGAACAAAACATGACTTCTATCACTCCACCAACTCTTTCGGGCTCAAATGAGGTTCCCTCCATTGCTTTTCGGCTCCTGACACTGCTGCGGAGCGGCAACGATAGCGATCGGACAAAAAGAAGTTAGACCCCGTTACGAGAATATTTCAAATTCTTCGTCGTTGACGAGTCATGGCAACAGGTCTTCCGGCCCTTGCCGCTACCTACCCAGTCATGTCCGTGTCAAGGAACCCTTCCTCGCATTCCTGCGGAGTCGCGGACTACTCTCCCTCGCTTCCGTCATCCTGTTTCTATCGAAAGCGGATTTGGAGTAAGGGAGTAACAGAAATCGGCCAAGCGCCATGGATTGAGGAAGGCGCTTGTCGAATTAATGGGCATGGATCTCATACTATTCACTACATGCACCATCCCGATTATCCTCAACATCCAGACACAATACGCGGGTACATCCGTATCCACCTCTTCAATTCTTGGCGAAGCTCTTGGAACCACTCACACCAGTGCACAGAGTTCAATTGGCCCGCCTCGAACAGCTCAATAGTGCCTGAGAACGCCTTAGACTGCGGCCATTCGAAAATCTCCCTGGACTCCCTTGAAATCCCAGCATTTGGGAAGAATCCTACCCGTGGACAATCACCAGCTGGTTTGACGCCCCCGAAGGTGCTCCGCAAGCATCGCTGAACGCAGTCATGGTTCCTTCGATACACCTGCTTAAAAAATCCACGATCGATTGCATCAATCAAACGGAGTCTCCGGTCGACTACGCGAACGAGACGTTAAAGCCAAAGCCTGCTCCATTGCCATGGGTTGGGCGACCGGCAACGTCTGGAAAAACCACAGCAATAGCAGTCCCGATCTTCTGAGTCCTGTCACGACGACTACGATGACGAAACTTCCAGAACGAACCATCAGAAGCTCCAAGGGCTGGGTATCTGCGCTCATAAACGGATGGCAAGGCGTCGAGGGAGAATCTGCTCTCAATTTTGCTATATGCGGAGTTCTTGCCTACACTCCGCGAAGGGAGTACGGCTGTCAGGGTACAAATCAGAGTTTATTCTGGCATGTCTGGCTAATATACCCGTGCACCCTGACATTGGCCTTGCTAGTAAACATCCCAACGCACGCAATGTCTCGCGTATCAGTTGATCACTGCTGGCCTCCCCTCAGCGAGTGGACATCAGAGGAAGACTTCAGGGGAACAGTGCAGGAGAAGTCCCTGGCACCCATGAACGGTCAGCGTCACCTAGATTACTACTTCCATGTCGAAGGGCTGTCATACTCTCCCGAAAGCCTCCCTGTGATTGTCTCTCCGGTGATCCTGTTCATATACCACCTTTACGTAGTACTCTTCATCACTGTCATCGCAATCAAACCCCTGGGCCCTAGCGCGTGGGAATCCATCGCCGAGTTGACGACACTAGCGATACTCTCAGCCCCAACTGACAGACTGCGCAACACAAGCGCCGGGACAGAGTCGTTGCGAACGTTTCGAGAGCCGGTCAACATCCGAGCCGCTGGGTACGATTACTCGGAGATTGCATTCCATGGCATTCCATGGCGACGAACAGAGGCGGGTCACAGACATAGTAAGGAGCAACAATGAATATTGACCTCAGAATTTTCTCCCCCACAATAGCTATGAGTGGGTCCCACCGCAGTGCATTGAAAGAAGCGGAACAAAACCAACCGGCACCTCCGAGGCAAGCATCCTCTATCTCCCTTTTCCCTTCCCTTTTTCCGGCCCCTCCCCTCTTCACATAGCATCTGCCACTATGTAAGACGTACTATGCTGTGTGTGCTGGGGATCAGCATATATCTATACTCGATCACACAGGTCACAGATTCAACCTTCTCAACTCAACCGTCTTGACAATGCTTTCTCGTATAGTGCATGTAAAAGATATCACTCACTCGCCCGAAAACCTCAAATAATATGGCAAGAAAGCGTGACACAAGCTTGCAACTCCAAAAAAAAAAAACTTTGCCATTGGTTCTACTCTAGTTTTGCTGGAACGAGAGACCCCATTCCATCGACATCAGGAGGGAAAACGGAGAAAGATGGGGAAAAAAAAGAGAGAGAGAGAACACGCTTGTCCATTAACTCATAATCCAGCCCCTAAGCAGAAAGGTATCATATCAAACATCATTACCACCCCAACTTCCTCTTCATCAACAGTGACAAGCATCCGCTTCGAGCCCGAACAGAAAGAGGCAGGCACCATGACCACCTCCCCCCACCCTCAGCTCCATCGACATGTGAAAACAGAACCACCCCCCACCCCCTCACAACTACAAACAAGAAAAAAAAAGGAAGAGAGACCGCTCTTGCCATCTTCCTGTATCCAATACCGAATCGTACACGTCAATTTCCAAGGGACATCATCGAAGCAGCAGCCCTTTTCAAAGATTCATATCCGGCTCGCCTGAAAAAAAAAAGGGACATAAGCCTACGCCGCAACGCTCGATTCCGCCTCGCTGATGGGATACGGCGGGTTCTGCTTTCTCTCGCCGCCGCCGGCCGAGCTGCCACTCACGCTACGCACCTGACTCCTATAAGCCGGATGCACGTCACCCTCGACAGGACTCTGCTGGACCTCACCGCCAGCAGCAGCATACTCCGAAGCGGTGCTGCCGATACCGATACCGCCGCCGCCGACGCTGCTGGTGGTGGGCATGGCGTTGGAGCCCAGGCTGGTGGCGTTGGAGGTGATGGGCTCGTAGCGCGGCTGCCACGCGCGCAGCTCGTCCTCGGCGTCGTTCAGGATGTCGCGGCCCGCGGATTCGCTGCCGTACGTCGGGTGCGTCTCGCCCGGCACGATGGGGCTGTCGTCGAGCAGGTTGAGTACGCGGCGCGCGTGCTTGGCTAGCATCGCCTGCTTCTCCGCGCGCTCGATGACGGCGGCGAGGTGGATGTCGTAGGCTTCCTTGAACTTCTGGCGGGTCTGGAGAAGAGAGTCAGGGGATGGTTCGGAAAAGGGGCTTTTAGGATAAAAACGTACGATGTTGGTGAGCTGGGCCTCGGCGACAAGGGACTGAGCTTCGGCACGGACGAGCTCCTGCTCCAGCTGCACGATCTTGGTGTTGGACGGCTCTTTGTACTTGAGCTTCGCGATCTCATCCGCAACCTGGCATTTTACTTCGGGTCAGCTTGCGATTCAAACACCTCCTCCAAAAAGGCTTAGCAAAAATAAAATGAGAACGCACCTTCGCCTTGTGATCGCGACTCGGCTGCACCGAACTCTCGGTGTTCCGAATCTGCTTCAAGACGCCCCTGTAATCCTCCAGGTTCTGGGCGAACATGTCCTCTTGCTCGGCCATCTCGGCCATCAGTACGCCCAGCTTGTCACTGACGTCGGACACGGCATCGTCGCCCGTGGCCTCGCCCCACTCGCTCAGCTGACCGGCGACGCTCGAGCGCTCGCGGCCGGCCGTCTCGTGGGCGCTGATGGCGTGGTTTTCCGACTTGATCAGCTTGTACAGCCGCTTGGACAGCTCGGGCTGCTGCATCCCCCGCAGCGAGGCCATGGTGAAGCGATGCTTGGGCGCGGCCGCCTTGGAAGCGCTGGCGTACGAGTCCCCGCTGCCATCCTTGTTCTTGGATGAGCGGATGGAGAGAGAGCGATTCCTGTGGCGGACCGGGAGCGGGTTCAGCGAGCGGGATCGCGAAGGGGCACGGACGGTGGAGGGCGGGGAGGAAGCATTGGTGTAGGGCGGGGGCGGGGGCGCCGAGTAGGCAAAAATAGCCATTATGTCGATGCAGCGGTGGAAAACGGCGGGAAATGACGTAGACAAGGATGCAGGAACAGAGAAAACAGCACGAAGAGGCTAGGAAAGGCGCGACAGGGCTCCTGCAGGCTGGAAACGGACGAGAGAGGAAAACGGAAGGCCAGCTTACATGTTCGCAAATGGGAGGGCGGAACGTGGCGGGCTTTTGAATGCTTCAGCGTCTGCGGTGGTGGGCGGCAGCGGTTAGCAGGGGGGCCCGGTAGGCGCCAAGGGCAGATGATGTGCATGCAGCATGCGGAGCGAGAACTGACATTCGAGGTCACAGGCGGCTGGGCAGATTGCGAGGCGTAGGGCGGTAGCACGGACGGCGAAGCTGGAGAGATGGAGGGAGCCAGAGGGAGCTGCAGGCGCTGGGGGTCGGGGGGCGCTGGAGGTGAGGTCTGGGTTATTTGAGCTGGGCAGGCGCGATTGGCAAGAAACCCTTGTCGCACACCCTGCAAGCGCCCGAGACGTCATAGCTCCCTCCGCACCCGCCAACGCCACGCTACTCCTGGCCGTGTGAATTGCATGATTCCATTGTTTTTTTTTGGTGCTACACTCCCCTTCCGCCGCCCTGCTCTGATTCTGCCGCCGCCCCCGTGGCCGTCTGTTTCACCCTCGCCGCCGCCCCGCGCCCATCCACCCTGTCAAAATACAAAATACATGCGAGCTGCACCCGCTCAACAACACTACAGCTTCTGTCCCTTTGGCATCTTCTTGTTCTCCGCCCCCAGGCCCTCCAGGTCCTTCACCTTGTGGTAGTGCGGCGCCACCTCGTTGAGCCACGCCGGCGTCGGGATGGGCATGACGTTGCGCATGTACTCTTTGCTGGTCAGCACGAGCTCGTAGTACATGACGAACCGGTGCGGGCTGTCACCCGTCTTGGTCAGCACCGACGACGGGTGTATGTACGTCGTCATGCCGTTCTTCACCGTGCGGTAGCTGTCGCCGCCGCGCTGCAGCCGCGCCGTGTTGGGGAAGAAGCCCGCCACCAGCGACTTCATGATCGGCTGCAAGTCGTTGGCCCCGCACGACGAGATGGTCACCTCGACCCGGTCGCAGAGACGCGCCAGCTGGTCCCGCACGTCGCGCGCTCGAGACAGGGACTTCTGCTGCAGGAAGTTCTCCTTGGCCCACACGAAGCTGAAGTCCGAGTCCACCCACTGGTTCCAGATGTTGAGCAGCGTGAGGTGGTCGCCGCCCTCTTTGATCGTGAAGCGTGCCCGCGCCGAATCCGCATGGATCTTCTGCTGCTTGGGTCGGAAGAAGAGCGCCGCAGATTCGCCGAGCATCGACACAATGCTCAACACCTCTTCCACGCATTGCAGCTGGTCCGCCTTGAGAATTGCCGCAGACACCATTGGATCCACCGGGAATTCTGCCATCTGTCTGCCCCTCTTCGTGAGCTCGCCCTTGTCGTTTAGAGCACCCAACGCATACAGAAGCTCCAATGACCGGATCAGCGTGTCAGCCGGAGGTGCGTCCATGAAGTCGAATCCGACCAAGTCGTTGATGCCCAAACTCTTCAACAACAGCACCGTGCTGGAGAGGTTGGTTCTCTGGATTTCCGGCGTAGTGTTGGCGTCCATCTCTGTGTGAAATCCGTAGCGCGTAAATAGACGGAAACAAAATCCGGGTCCGACTCTGCCTGCACGCCCAGCCCGCTGGTTGGCCGAAGCCCTGCTACACGGGGTGATAACGAGGGACTCCATGCCAGTCCGAGGGTTGTATACATTCTCCTTGACGTACCCAGGGTCGATGACATACACGATGCCATCAATGGTCAAGGACGTCTCAGCAATGTTGGTAGCGAGCACCACCTTCCTGGCCTTGCCCGGCGGCGTGGGCTCGAAGATTTTGGCCTGTTCTTCCTGAGGTAGGTTGGCATAAATCGGGCAGATGATAAGCTCCGGCGCAGAAGAGCCGAGCTTCCTACTTGTTTCCGCCAGATCTTCCGCCATGGTCTCAATCTCGTCCTGGCCTGTCAAGAAGACGAGCACATCACCGCGCGGTTGACTCAGGTGGATCTGGAAGACCGTGGTGACGGCTGCAGCCAGGTAGTTCGCCTCCGGCTGTGGGGTGTAGTAGATGCTGACGGGGAATCGTCGGCCGGGCACGTTGAAGATGGGAGCATCGTCAAAGTACTCGCTGAACTTTTGAGCGTCGACCGTAGCCGAAGAAATGATCAGCTTCAGATCCGGCCGGAATCTAGCAATATCCTTGAGCAGGCCAAAGAGGATGTCGGTAGCCAAGGTTCTCTCGTGGGCCTCGTCCAAGATGATGGCGCTGTAGCTCTCGAGAGACGGGTCCGTCAGGAACTCCCGCAAAAGCATACCATCCGTCATGAACTTCACAATCGTGTTCTTCGGATCTGTGTTGTCTTCGAACCGAATGCTGTAGCCCACTTCCTTGCCAAGTTTGACCCCCATTTCTTCAGCCACACGCGCGGCAACGGACATGGCGGCAACTCTTCGCGGCTGCGTGCATGCAACCATCTTCTTGGGCTTCCCGTTCTCCTCTTTTGACGTGTACCCGGCTTCGTGCAGGAACTGCGGAATCTGTGTCGTCTTTCCAGATCCGGTTTCTGCAACGACCACGACGCACTGGTAGTTTGCAATTGCGTCCATCAAACCTTCTTTCCATGTGTAGATGGGCAGACTCTTTCGAGTCTCTTCGATCGACTTGGCCTTTGCCTCAGCAACACTGATCTGCGCCGCTAGCCGTTGCTGCTCCTTGCTCATCTTTCCGGGAAGAGGTTGGTCCATGACAAAGTTGATCTTCTGTGTGTCATCAAAGACAAACTCGTAATCGCCTTCATTGACACGCTCCGGACGCAATATTTGGGCTTTGGCCTTTGCAGCCTGTTCTCGTTCCCATTCTTCTTGTTCCGTGACGTACTTCTCCCGGCCGTACTCGTCGCGGTCGACGTAGCGCTTGTAGAGAGCCTCTTCCTTTTTTTTCCGGTCGATCTTGCCCTTCTCCGTGATGTAGTCCTCGGGAAGCGCGTACCCGTCGGTATGCTCGTCGACGCGAAGCCGCTCTTCGGCCAAGCGTAAGGTTTCTCTGTTCCTCGCGAATTCGTCGAGTTCCGTCTGGGTCAACTCGCCAGGGGCCGCTCTCTGCTGTTCCTGCTCCTCCTCGGCAACCTGCTTCCTGAGCAACGCAAGCTGCTCCGCCTCTCTCTTCTTGAGGTACTCCTGCCGCGAGCGCAGCCGCAAATCACCCAGGGCGGCCTCCCTGGCCTGCTCATCGTCCGCCAGCGCTCTCCTCCGCGCCGCGTCCTTTGCCTGTGTGCGGTCCTCGACGACCTTCTTCGTATCCTTGTCATCTCTCTGCCTTAACCGCTTCTCAAACTCCTCCCTCTCCCTCTTGTCCCTCTCAGCCTCGTCAAGCTCCTCCTCCTCCTCCTGCTCCGCCGGGGGCGCGGGCGACGCTCTCCCATCATCCAGCCTCACGCGCTTCTGACTCGACTCCTCGAGCGGCTCGTCCTCTTCATAGTACTCCTCATCGCCCCACCTATCCTCCCACTCGCCGTCGCCCTTCCTCCGCACCTTCTTCTCCCTCCCTGCACCACCCCGCTCCCGACTCCTCTCCCTCTTCTCCCCCCTCTCCCTGCTCCTCTCCCTCTTCCTCTCCTTCCTCCGCTCCGACCTATCCTTCTTCTCTCCCGTCTTCGCAGACACAGGCGCCGACGGCCCACCCTCATCCTCATCCTCCATCTCCACCAACGCATATTTCTTCTTCTTCCCCACCGCCTTCCCACCCGACCCAACCGCATCCCGCGTCTCCGCACCACCGGCACCACCTGCACCACTACCACCCGATCCCTTCTTCTTCCCGGCCGTCCCCCCAGCCGTCCGCGCAAACAGCTCGTCCGCAAACCGCTGCAGCTCCGCCGGCGCCACCGCGTCCTCGAGCAGGTCGGCCAGCCTGTCGCGCAGCTGCGCGGGGCCGCGCGCCGACGTCGCCGCCGACGCCGCCGTCGCCGCGACAAAGTCGACCAGCGTCGCGTCCGTCGCGCCCGTCATGCGGATGAGCCCGTCGGAGATCCATGTGCGGTCGGCGGCCATTGTTGCGGTATGTGCGGTGGGTGGGTTTTTTCTTTCTCGCTTTCCCTTGTGTGGTGGGTAGGTTGCCTCCTCCCCCCGGACCCGATCGGTCGCGGTGTGTGGGTGTGGGCGTGGGCGTGGGCGTGGGTTTGCCGGTAAGGAAAAGAAACGGGAGGATTGAGGCGCTGGATGATGCGGCGGGTGGGGTTGGTTGGCTGGTTGGTTTGGTTTGGTTGGGTTCGTGGGGGGTCAAAACGTTGATCAGGCAGACGTGTGGTGACCGAGTTCGGCGCGTGCTGCTTTGCCTCGCGGTGCGGCGGCAGAGCGTTGAGGTGTGTGTGTGTGGATGCGGCGCTGGGGCAGGGGCGTTTGCTTGCGTGTGTGTGTGTGTGTGCGCGCGCGCAACAATCTGCCGTCTCGAGTGAAAAGTCGAGGGCGGCCAAGCCAAGCCGACGGCTGCGGGTGTCCGTCCGTGTGAAGTAGTGGGCTTGGTAGGGTGCGGTTGATGGCGACACGCGCACGCTCTCTCTCTCTCTCTCAGCGGGCGAGAGGGAAAAAGAAAGAGAAGGCAGCTGTGGCCTGGGCGGATTGCGTGTTGGCTGATTGGCTGGAGGATGACTGTGTGTCGCTCTCTCTCTCCGTCGTTGTCGGCGGCGGCGGGCGACTGGGGAGATGCAAGTAGCTTGACTAGCTCCATGCACTTTGTGCCGCCGCAGCTAGAGCCCGTTGCGGATGAACGCCGGCTAATAATCCCAGCCGCGGCTCCACCCCACGCGCCTCTCACGAAGCTAGCGGGCATTATTGTTTCTGCCACGCTCCTCTTGCCTGTTTGGTGTGATGATTCACGACTAGCTTCGGCATCAGGACGTTGTGCGCCTGTATTCCAAACTAAACCGCAATCGTGATGTCGAAAAAGCTTGACTTGCGATCGTCGCGCATTATGTAGCGTTATATCACAGGCATCAATGGGTCACACAAGACATTGTCTCAGCAAATGAACGATGACCATTCCAATCGAATTGACTCCGCGAATCCTGACTGACCGTACTTGCTCAACTCTCTTGACAAGGGCGCCGTTTCCTCCCTTCCGAATCGCAGAACGGCCACGCCAGAAAACACCAAAGCTTCAAATGCACACACAGCACCAACACCTGCGAAATCAAACCAGAAAGACAAAGAGCAAAGAACACGACCGCATCGGACAAAGCATTTTTGTACCTTTTCAGATGACCATCCCCGAGAACCCCGAACGCAAGAATGCCAAGAAATTGCAGATGCTCGCAGAGGTACAAGTACAGGATGCAAATCGAAGGAACGAAAGTCGAGAAGAGACTTTGTGAATGCAGTGGTCCCCCGAGGGAGTAGCCGGAAAGAATGACTCGAGCAATGTAAAACCTCAACTGGTAGTTTCAACTCAAGAGAAGTGAACCCGCTGGCTCAATCAAACCTCCATACCCAGGAAGACCCACGCGTCGCTGACGATGGGCGGCTTCTCGGCCCACTCGGCAAGCGTGATGGGCTCGAAGCCGATCCAGCCGAGGTCCTTCATGAAGCCCTTCATGTCCTCGGTCGGCGCCTTGCGGTCCAGGCACACGTTGAGGCGCGCGCACTCGAAGTCGTCGAGGCCACACAGCTCAATCAGCGCCATCAGGCCCGGCTTGAGGTCGCGCACCGTGGCCTCGGCGTCGAAGAAGACGAACATGGCCTTTTCGTCGCCGGTGCCGGCCACGAAGCCGCGGAAGCGCGCGCCGCCGACATAGTCCCACACCTCGATCCACTGGCCGACCTGGCCGCGCTGCTGCTGCTGCTGCGGGAAGCCGTAGTCGACAGCCAACGAGGCGCCGCTGGGCGGCGACGGCATGCCGATGCCGCTGTCGTAGGAGCCGTCCATCCTCTTCGCGTCGTCGTCGTCCATGGCGGTGGAGTAGTCGTGGTTGTTCGTGTTGTACATGCCCATTGCTAGCGAGTCCTGACGAGACATGTTCCCCTCACCAAGGAACACAGTCCGCAGCGTCTCACAGAAGAGTCTCTCACATTCTTCCGCAATGGTGCATGCTGCCCCCCCTCGGCGCGCCGCGCCGACACGACGCTTGCTTTGCGTCATGCTCAGCTCGTCACTGGTGACGGCATAGGCGGCGAGGGGGGGACTTTGTGGAGGCGATGGCATTCCCTGGAGAGCGACCGTCAGTACCTGCGCCCCGTCTGCACCACCGTTGCAAGCCTGCTGCACATACCGAGCTGACCTCAGGAACGCCACTCGGCCCCGCCGGCCCCGGTAGTGGAGTAGTGGAAGCCCTGGAGCTGCATGGAAGCAGCATCCACGGCGTAGCAGCTCGCCTTCATGGCGGCCCAATTACTACTACTACTAGATGATGTACTGGATCGTTTCGCCATAGCTGATGTCGGCCACGGTTGTTGACTTGATTGGGTTGCAGGGGGCGGACGAGGTGACGTGGTTTGGGCGGCAACGAAGGCGGAGGTTCGCAGCTTGGTGATTGTTCGGGCGACGAGGTGTGGGTGGCACACGGCGGTGACAGCGACTGGCGACGAGGTGGGAGGTGTTGGTGTGATGGATTGGCGGAGTCAGAGTCGGTACAGGAGGTGGTTGTGGACGGCTGAGGCGGAAGGAAATGAGGAGATTCTTTAGCTCGGTCGGCTACCATAGGTCGAACGCGGACCGTGTCAGGATCCGCGACGACAGAGGCTGTGTTCGCATCACGTGGTCGCCGCCATCCCAATTCCGTGGGTCGCGACTCCCTTGTCAGCCTCTCGGAAACTCGCCACCCAAGGGGCAGGCGTTTCAGGACAATCACGGCTTCTACGTGGTTCCCAGGCCATTGCCTGATGCCAATATGCACGGGCGGGAACTGTGCGCCATGTGCAGGGATGCAACACAAGTCCATTGGAATCGGTGGCAAATTTAGGCGCGATTTGCACAACACCACGAGAGCGGCACAGGGGCGTGGCGATCTGAACCGGCACTGATCCTTATCGATCGGCTCTGTTTTCATGCTCGCTTACCGCACGCTAGACGGATGCTTGAAAGGATAACTCTCGCTATTTCCGTGCTTTGCCCAAGCTTTACCAAACTATCTGATTCCATAGAAGAGCGATCGGGTATCTTCATAAACGCTAAATAAAACCCGTCATTCCTGAGTGCAACTGACCAGAACAAATGGTATAATACGACAACGCCCATGCAAACCCCCCAAAACACAGTCCTTGGCAGGTCCATCCAATCCCGTTTTTGGCCTGCTCCAAATGCTCCCAGTTTGATTCAAATCCCTAATCACTGTGACGCCTTCCCATGCACAATCATGCTGTCGCTCGTTCTCGATCTTTTCAAGCTCCCCCGGTGGATGCTGTGGCTTCCTCGACTGCTGGGTCTTCGATCTGTGCCAGCATCGTCACCGTCTCCCTTTAGAGATGCGGGGCTGTTGAATCCGCTGCCACCGCCGGCAGTGGCCGCTGAGGATCCAGCTGGAATCTCCTCAGCCAGCCTGTCCGCAATGTTGGCGTCATATTCGCGTTCCTGTACCCGGATCATCTCGGGGTCAATCTCTCTTGCCTGGGCCAGGAAGTCCAACGACCCTTCATCCTCTTCGACGTAGTCCTCGCCATCCTCTTCCTGGTCGCCACTCTCCCCAGCTTCGTCATCAGGCGTCGACATGTCGACCAGACGAGGGGCCGCCGTGGGTGGCTCGTCAAACTCGTCAAACTCGTCGTCCATCTCCGACACGTCACTCATGTCCGTATCTACATCTCCAGATGATGATTCGAACGGAAGGAGGGACGGTGGTGGTAGTGTCGACGGCGGAAGGCGCATTTGCTGCGCCGAGATGATCTCGCCGTTAACAATCGGTGTCCTCACCCGTGTGAGGCCCGACTGATCGACCTTATCCTTGGCTTTCAGAGCGCGCATGATGTTGCTTGGATAATTGACATATCGAGGAGTGTGAGATGCGTAATGAGTGGCCGGGGCAGACTCGCTCCTCACTTGCCTACACTCGACATCGATGGCAAAGTTATCCTCTGGCACTATTCCGCCAATGCCCGATGCTTCGAAATCAAGATAGGCCTTTGGAATGACATCCCCGTCCGTTGACGATGACTTGGAGAACTCCAAGTCAACGTCACTCGGATCCATGTCCATGTCGGCATCCATTTCATGGAGAGCAGCACGAGCCAAAGGGCCACGGCAATCATCATACATGGGCGGAGTCTTCTCCCTTTCCTTCTCTGGTGTAGCACCCAGAGGCATATCGATGTAGTGATTGTAGTTGGTGTAGCCTGGAGAATCATGCGTGCTACTATCACCACTCAAGTCGGTGCAGAACTTGGCCTTGTTGTAGAAGATGATGGGGCCATCATCCCGCTTCCTCTTCGACGACGAGGTCCGCATTCCAGAGCTGGCGAATCCCGAGGATGTGTTGCCGGTGGCATGAGCCGGGAGGGGAGACGCCTCTTCTTCGGAATTACGGTCCAAATTGGAACCGTCGTAATCCTCGGTGGATTCCTTGCGATAGAAAAGCGGGGTGTAGGCTAGATGGTTGGTACTTCGCTGTAGCTCGGATGATTGACCAGTGGTTTCGCTCGAAGTGTTGGTACTGCTCGGACCAAGCTTCTGTCGCTTCTTACCAATCTTGTTGACGTTTGACTTGATCAATTCCATTTGATGCTCAGGCGAGCTGTCAGTGCTGTTGAGCGAGGTGTCCTGACCGCCTTTCCAGCGAATCTTGCGTCCGTCTGGGGACAACTCCAACATGGAACTATAGTCTTCAAGTGCCTTCTTGACGAAGTCGGTCGTAACGTTGATGGTGTGCAACTGAGCCATGTTGACGAGAAGGTTGAGATAAATCCACCCGTGGTTATCGACTGGGGGTATTTCGGGGTCTGGGGGCGAAAATCCGAGGTGGCGAATGTAGTTGATGTTTTCAGTCGGAACCTGTGCTCTCTGAGGATCAAGATCCAAAGGACGTGTAGGACGCTGCTCAGGTGAGTGTTTCCCAGTAGGCTTAGCAAAGTCGTGATTCGACACGGTCTTCAGGGGTGCAGCAGCCTTGCATGCTTCGGCGCGCTCTCTGCTTCGCCCGTGGCGCTGATCAGATTTGGAATACATGATGCGCGCTTCTCTTAGACCTTCTATGCGAGCTTCTTGGCCAGTCTCCTCTTCTATTGCTGCCCTGTCAGCCTGGGCAGCAGACTGTGCAACTTCCTGCTGCTGGATTGGCTGCTGGTGGCCACCGGTGCCAGCTCCCTTGCCGGTAAAGATCTGTTCCATCCGTCGAACGACTAGTTTCTTCTTCGCAGACTCTGTCATGGCAATGGTCTTTGGCATCAAGCCTGCAGGGATGTCATGCAGATAGGATTGAATGCTGTCATGTTGGCGGTGGTAATGGGACTTGCTCTTCGGAGGGGGGTTGGCTTCGGCTTGGCCGTTGCTGCCGGAAGCGGTATTTGAATTCTGCCCCGAAGCTGACATGTAGGCCGAATCGCCAAACTGGGTGGAGGTGTAGGATGACAGGGTAGGGCGAACATGGAGGCCAGTAGCCCGGGGGTCATGAGGTCTGGCCGGCTCGTTCGCAATGCTATCCTCTAGCTCCATGGCAAACTTCCTCAGAGTCTCCTCAAGTTCCCGTTTCTTGTCTGGAGCCAGTCGGTGCACGCGCACCTCAAAGAGCTTTTCGTTTTGCAGGTGGGCATCATGCATCTTCTCGTACTTCCTCAGCTTCTTCTTCAGCTTCTTGTTCTCGATGGTAAGATCATCAATCACACTGCGGAACTCCTCGGTACTGCTGCCATCGGTGCGCATGTGCATCAAGGCAGGTCGATGAGGCATCGAAGACTGGCCCTGGATGTGCATTTGCATAGGGTTCGTCATGTCAGGGGAGGTGGAAGACGATGAGTTGCGCAAGAAGAAGGGGGGGTCATCTGCTGCGAGGGTCAGCATTGGTTACGGGTGCTGGACCCGGACAGACTTACTGTCAACGAAGCCGGTGCTGTTCTGCGAAATGTTGTTGTTGGACGTCTCAAACCACTTGCCGGCATCGCTCACTTCGCCCGAGCTTTCCTTCTTCGTGCCCGGCCTCGACGAGCCAGGCGACGAGGGGTTGGCACGATCGCTCGAAGGCACATTGGAGGAGGTGCGAGACAAGCGTGCCTCGGCGGAGTCGTCGACGAACTTGCGCTTTCCGGGAGAGTGGAGGAGAGAGACAGACTTGTGGGCGGGCGGTCTCCGGGGGTGGTTGCTCTGCGGATCCGACATGGCGGCGCGCAGGCGTCTTGGACGCGAGCGGGGTGGAGATGATACAGCGACGGCAAGTGTCGAGGGGTGTGTTCAGTTGGAACCCGGATCGGCCATGGGTGGAGATCAGGGAGCGTCCAGGGAGTTGGAGTGGGATGTGGGCTCGTGGTGTTTTCGGAGCGGGTGCAGGCGGTGGCAAAAAAACAGGAGTAGGTGGTAGGCACGGTGGGGAGCTGCGATGCGGCGTGCGATGCGGCGCAATGGAGGCTCGATGGTCGTGGCGGGTGGGGGTGCAGTTGTGGTGGTTGGTGAGTGGCGTTTGCAAGCAGATGGGCCGGTGCATCAGAGGGTAACCAGGCCGCGAGGGTCGTGTATAAGGCAGAGGCGACCGCCATGGTGGGTGCGGGTGGATGGCGATGGGCAGGTTGAACCTTTCGATCTGAGGTCACTTCGCCAGGGTCGCGGAGATCGGGCAACGCTGTATGGTTTGCAGCTCGCTTGCGCCGCCCGCCGGCGCGCCGATCGCTGCTGCAGTGCCCTCACGTGTGCCCGCAGCACCGCCGGCTCTAGACCGCACCATCGCGATTTCGCTTCCCGCCGCAACCAGGAGCGGGCTGCCAGCCGCGCCTGCGCAGCCCGCGCAGCCCGCAATCGACGATTTGGCAGCGGCGCACCCGTCTGCCGTGCACCCTCAGGCTGCGGCCGGGGCGGCACGCGGGCGGCGGGCAGCGCGCAGCGCGCAGCAGAGGCGGCGCGTGCTTGCGTCGGCAGCCGCCCGCTCGCGGCCGCAGCAGCACGGAGCAGCGCGGGCAGCGAAAGGCGGCGGCAGCAGGTGTGGCCTGACGGCGCGCGCTTCCCCAGTGCCTGGTTCTGGATTGGTGAGCCCTGCAGCTGCGCTGCATCCCTGTCGGCTTAACAGCCCGGGTAGAGCCGAGCTAGCGCGAGCCCTGCGATCTCCTTCTGTGAGCAGCATCGGTGCTTGGCGCGGGGGTTGACATCATACCCGCGCAGCCGCAACACTTCAACCTGTCCCTCTCCTGCGCCCGGAGTCATCTCCACCACGTCACCACCACTGCCCATCGAGATTGCCCACGCCGAATCCCTTCGCCTGCTGCTTCGAGCCTCTGCCCGCCGCTGCCCGCGAAACCCTGCGGCACCCCCCGCCGTGCCGCCCAGCCCCCGATCACGCCGCGTCGCCGCCTCGCTCGCCCGCCCCGTCGTCACCGCAAAGCCTCGCACCGCGCCCACACGCTGCCCGTACATATCGCTCTTGTGTGCCTGCCATGCACCTCCCGTTCGCTTCGAGGCTCCTCCAGGCTCCAGGCTCCAGGCTCCGCCCCTCTCACCTCGCCGACATGAAACGCACGCCCGCTGACCTGGATACCGCGCACGCCCCTGGTGAGATTCGCCACCCTCGACCGACGCAGACCACACTAGACCCGACACAGCCCCCTGCCAGCCAGTTACATCCGTTGGGCTGCCCGCGCGCAGTGCGGCCGTTGAGTCTTCAGGCCTTCCGAAGCATCCGATCCCGATCACGCCTTCCCTTTTCAAGCACACCTGGGACGCTGTCCCTCGCTCACCGCGCGCCCACGCACACTGATGAGCCCTCTGCCACGCGAAATCCGCACCGCTGACTGTTCGCCCATGACAGGATTCCTGCCGCCGAGGCGTGTCTCGCGCGCCGTTTGCGTGCCCCAGCTTTGTCGTGGTAGGTATACTGACAAGTATATTTCCGCCCAGGCCCAGTCACCGACGCCGCCAATTGGTCCGTTTACTCTCATCGCCGATTGCATGCCTGCGCGGCCCGAAAATCGCCCTTGTTCCGGTCTTGGCCCTACCGCTCACTCATCTCCCACGGCACCAGCCTTCATGCAGGTGGCTGCGAACGACGGCTGCGCGTTTCTTATCGAGGACGTTCCGTCTCAGGGTCTGGAGCCGCCGAAGCCTGGCCAGGCCCGAGCCTTCGACTGTGTGTAGCGTGTCGCCGCTCTCTCCCTCAGCCACCAAAGGACACCCGGGCCTACACACGATCAGCTGGTGGCGAAGATCCGAATGATGAAGGGTCTCATGCCTTCACACCGCAGCGCCTGTATACCCACTTCTCTGGCCATTCTTCGCTAAGCGCCCAAAACTACGTCACTAAGCATGAAACTCCGCTCGTCAGCGCACCGGAATCGTTCGTATTGATCCGTTGCTGGCGAACACGCCCGGAGGACCCCGTCCTACCACCCGTCCGTCCGGGTCTTTCACCATTGCCGCCCAAGCCCCTATAGCAAAACCCTGCCTACCGCTCTGGCCTGTCTGCTGCGTGGTCCCCTCTGTGTTATTGCCATAAATCTGGGTCAAGTGCTAGGCTGAAGTTAGCACATGCTTCATGGTTGCTGGGCACCCTAGGACCTGTCAACTCGGACCCGTTGGATCTGCTGAAACAGGTTCTTCTCAGCTGGCCCCACTCAGGCACCACCGGAATCTTCACCGGGCGTACGGAGTGCATCCAAGTTTTCTCAAGCACTTCGTCGCGGACTGCCTACCTTGGGTTAGCCGGCCTTGGCAGATCGAAACTGAGTGATTGGATGGACGCTGCTCTGGCCCGTTGGCGAAGGTATGCGGCGAAGTCCGAGCCCCGTGCCTTGGGGCTGGGTAAGAGCACGAGCGTGGGCGCTGCGAGGATGGCTCCGTATCACTTGAAGGTGGGACATTGAAGTGAAGCTTCCACAGATTGCTCACGTGGCACCTTTTCATTGTTGGACGCTCCATGCGGCGGACGACCTCTACCAGAATGGGTCAACGCAAGTCAGTGCCATGGCAGGCGAGAGTCAGCTACCGAGTCAGGAGGGCGCAAAGCCCCGCTCCTGGTGATGGGTCGGCTTGAAAGAGTCGTCAGCGTCCTAGCCCGGGCACGAGGGCCCATGCATCCAAACCCGCGACAAATTCTGCTTGAAGATGGCGGAAGGCAAGGAGCCTAGACCAATCTCTCGGGGCAGGCTCAGGAGCGTGAGCAAGCCGAGCACCGACACAGTGTGGTAGGTGATGAATGTTGGATGGGACCCCTAATGGAAGAGGTGTCTTAGGAGCACATTGGAACAATGCTCGGTCTCATCGGGGAATCTCCTTGATATTTCCGGGATGCGTCTCGGCAAAGCGTGAGCTAGGCTACAGCTAACACTGCAGACTGCCTGGAATGCAGCTCGAAAAAAGGGCTTTGCCCGTTCACACGACAGGGCAGCTCTCTGGCGGAGTAATTAACTCCAAAAAGTCTAGTACGTTTCTGTTCACAGCAGGATCCTCACTAGCCATCTCTTGTTGGGAATCCAGGAATCCAGCCACCAACAGACCCAAGACCGGCGGAATACTTCACTGTCCCCTTGGGCAGCCGTCCATGTCGTGTGAAGTCTGGCGACTCGAGCTTCCTCTGGGCTGGACCTGGACCCTTCAGAGGATAAGTCAAAGTCAGGACCATGAAGGTAGGTCTGTTCATTTTTCGCGTCGTGTCGGGGCAGCAGAGCAAAGTCGGTGCATCCCTTCCTCATTAGACTCTGCCCACTCTTCCCACTAGTGGAGTCTGTCGTATTGGTTTATGTCACTTTAAGCGTAAGCACCCCCGAGGCTCGTTCAATAATGCAGCAACAAGGGAGGTCATGTGAGCCGAGCGTCATGAGGCCCCGCATTCCCTGTGCAGCGTCTCAGTTCCAGCCGCACAGCATGCACAGTACACACAGCTAGTGGTTACACCAGTGTGGCTGGCTGGCGTGAGAGATCAACAGGGTCTGGAGCACCGGCTGCAGCATCCTGCCGCCTCATTCCCTCTCACTTCGACTTTTGTCGGCGCATCCCGTCCGTCGACTTTGGCGCGTTGCGCTCCCAGATTGTGCGAACATGTCAGAGATTGCAGAGCTTGGCCTTTGAGACACGGCGACTCGACGGTCCGTGGGGGCGGCGGTTGGTGACCGGGGTGCCAGTGAAGCAATCGCTGATGAATTGATTTTTTTTATTCTTCGGGTTTGGGGCCGGGATGGCGAGGGACCCTTGTAGTTGGGCATGGAAAGGCTGTTGCCGGGAGGGGGGCCTCCTGTATAGGGAGGGCATCGGGTGTTGGTGTGCCCGGCTGTCGTCACAGTTCAGCTCTTCCGGCGTGTATTGTGGGGTGAGATCGGAGATCGGTGCTGGAAGTGTGACGTTATCCGAACACTTGTCGTCACCGGGCTTCCTTTCCACCCGCCCCGTGTGCCTCATCTGCCCACTCGCCGTATCAGCCTCGATTGTTTGCTGCTCGACCCTGCGCTGACTGCGTCTCGGCCGCAGTGCCGAAGGCCGCTAAGTCCTGCCCTGCGTCTGCCTATGACGTATGCGGGAAGATCGTTGGCTGCGATCTTCATCTCGGCGGTGAGAGATAAAATGTGCCTCTGACTTGAGCATGCTGTCGACCTGGCCACTCTACAGCGAGTGCTCGTTTACGGTGCTGTGTGTTGTCAAGCAGCATCTGCTCCTCGAACTGGCCCTCCGTCGCAATAGGGGCGTCGACCGAGTACGGCGGGATGGCTGGAGCTGCTGCTACATGTCTGCGCTCTGGGGATACTTTTAGCTCACGATGGTCGAAGAACACAACCGCCTTCGCGTTCGGTTCCTTTCGGCTCGCATGCTCCCACGCGCAGCAGATGGCCTAATAAGCCCAGATCTACGAGGTAGAAGATCACATCTGATCTCTCATCTCGCATCTGAACCTCCAAGCTCCTCCGCAGTCGAGCATCATTGCTGGAACAACCGGTTGCTCAAGTGAGCACCACGTGGCGGCGTCTGTATCCCCTGAGATTTGGTTTTTGCTCGATCGCTGGAGAAAGAGTGGCACCACCGTGCCACCATCGGGGCCATCTCCGACTCAAAAACTCGGCACTACTACTACTGCTGGTTGGAAATGAGCACTCTCCCAGTAGTTAACTACTAGTAGATGGGCTTGCGCCGCGGAGCGCGCATGACAACCGGCAGTTGCGCCTTCGATCCCGCCCAAAGGAACAAGTGCAACCGTCTCCGGCATCGAAGATGGGCGGGGGGACTCGTTGTTGTCGGTGGACGTCTCACATATCGGCAGATCGAAATCCATCAACATGAGCGGCGGCGAATTTACGTCAGCCCGACGTATTCGCCTCCCTCCTCCTCCCAGCGACTTCTCTCAACCCCCCTATCCGCCCTCGCCTGAATCGTGCAATCGGTGTTCTGTTCAGAAGCAGCTCGTTCAGGTCGGTCGGTCGGTCAGTCGGTCGGCTGATGGGGAGAGAGCTTCTCGAAGCCTTCCAGCTGAATGAACTTGGCGATCTCTGAGGCCTGTGTCCCTTTTTCCCCTTCCCCCCCAACCGCGCTTCTGGGACCCCGCGTTTTGGCAAAGGATTCGAAAGCTCTGGAATAGGCATGACGCAGGCGAATGGTTAGCGGAATCCTTCTGAACTGCCGTTGACTTGGGCACTACTAGGTTAGGCAGCGTACGCCGCGACGCCATGGCCATGACCATCTGAAGATGAGGTGCAGGTGTTCCAGCGGCTAGTGTTCGGTTACAGGCCGTCCTGTTGAGAGCGCAGTATTGAGTATCCCGTTTATGCGTTCTAGCGTCTACCGATGATAGTGACGCAGGCAAGAGATCTCTTTAAGTTTCGGATTGTTGCGACGACCCGAAGGCCAACACCGCTTGCTGGGGCGCGAGGGACAGGAGGGGACGACGGTGTAAGCACTTGTCGTCACAGGCAATCGTGATTACAGCAGGTCGAAGTGGATCTTGAGACTACATATGTAGGTAAATCTAATATCTGTACGTATTTGGTCCGCATTCGAAACTCACATCTTCGTGAAGACTTCGGGTTCTACTACACATGTTGAGCTTAACTTTGCGGTCATCACTGCTTCACCTCCTCATGAAGACAGGCTTACGGTGATCCTTTGTGAAAATACAGACGTAGATGTAAGTTTAAACAACCTTTCTTCATAAGAAGGTAAAGTAAATATCCAGACATGGATGTAACTTTCATTCTTTCTCTTAAGAATGGTTTTACCACGGCATAGGGTCAACGGTAGCGAGCAGCGAACCGAATGCAAACTAGCACAGCTGTGCGTCTGAAAGGTTGATGGCGAGGGTTGTCGAGGGACTTCGTCATCGTCGTCGTTGTAGCGAAGGCGTGGTTGTCTTTTTTGGGCTGCTGTATTGGCGTTTTGCTGCTGGCTTCCGCGGCGGTATCTGTCAGTGCGTCTCTAAGGCGTCGAAGTTCCATGCGCTGTATTCATCTTCGCTATTCTCTTGGTCTTCTAGATGTACGTTTGATGAGATGTCGGTCATATCCTCCTTTACTTGCTCTTCTGCCGATAGCGTGGGGTAGATCTTCCTTCCCGATCGATATTGTGTCAGATACCTCCATAAGTACCGGAGAGCTCTAGTTGCCGGTACGTCTCACACTTTGCGTATGGTATGCGTTCGATATTGTACGTTAGTGCGGGCCGTTTCATCCATCGGCTCATGCGTTCTCCTTTTTTCAGGCAAGACGAGGACAAGAAGTTGGTGGTAATACTTATGGCCTTATTTGTATCACTTGCATCACGAAGTAAAGGTATTGGGGGGGTTTCCCAAGTCGTGGGCACTATTCGTTTCTTCTAGCGGTCTTTCACTTTGTCCCGAAAGCCCTTCGAGTTCTCCGCCAGTGATTGTTCATCCAAATGCCCAATCCTTTGGTAAGCCACGCTAAGTAGTGCCCGAGGAATATGGCTCCTCCTGACTACAACTACCAACTCCGTCAGCTTAAACTGAGTGTTTTTCAGCGGTCGTTTCCCACATCTTAGTGCTTTTCCGCGTAGTGCGGCCAACCCCTAAAGATGCTCTCCCCCTTGGGCCATGCGCGAACCCAAAAAATCAAGCAGCGTGTAGGCGGTGCAACTCATATCGAATGACTTACAACCACGCCATACTCATTGAAATGTCTATCAACAAACACGAGGAAGACCAAAACAAACTATGGCTAGGAACTTAGTAGGCTGCATGATTACGGTCCTGATAACTTCCGACCAGTACTTGATATTACGTAGTGTAACCCATCCTGCTTGGAGGTTGGTGGGATTGTGGTGGTGTAAGGAATCTCGGCCACCCGTTGAGCGAATCTTTTCTACGCCAGGGAGATACCTGCAGTTGCTCCTGCTCACTCTCCGACTGTCTTCCGCGAATATGCTCTTATCAGATTGTGTTAAGCACCTACAACTCTAATAAAAGCGCAGGGGAAGAGGGAAAGCCGTGCAACAGGTTGTCTTCCTCCTCGACTCTACAACTGTCCAGTGTCCGATGAGGAAGTCACTGATGGAAAAGCTGTAAACTTCCTGTGTATCTCTGGGGACTGCTTAACTGCATATGGCAGCGTATCTATAGAGTTCTGATTTTGATCGTGTAGTCTTAACGCCGCCAATCAGACCGAGGGAAAATCACGGTTAAACGGGAGCAAAATTTTCTTTTTGAAGTAACAAGCATTGCCGTTACCTCATTCGTATACACCACTTCCAATGATACATTGACTGAGATCCAAAAAGCGAGCGGTGTACCACCGCCATTTCCAAGATAGACTTGGTGTCGCACCGCACTTCTCAGCCCCCACCCCCAACACCAACTCACTCCATTCATATGCAACACCAACAAAAAGAAAATGCAAAAGAATCAGATGGTCACTACGAGGGTCGAACTCGCGACCTTGGCGTTATCATTGAATCCTCTGGGAGGATTGCCAATATTAGCACCACGCTCTAACCAACTGAGCTAAGCGACCTGATGAATTGTGAGACTCGGAAGTCTGCTGTCAATAAGATGTTAGAAAGACAAATTGTAATATATATATTAAATTACCTACTTGCAAAGGTAATTCCTCTATCTCGAGCATAGAAAAGGGTCAATTCTACGGGCAGCGATCTGTGGCGGGCCTGGAAAGTCAGTGCGGAGGTGGGAAACTATGCGCACTTGATAGAAATGTAATTGGCAAGACGTCCGAGCTGCCCGACTATACAACCAAGGCATGGGAGATGACTAGTAAGAAGACTTCCATGACCGAGGTAGACAATGGGAGACGTATGTAATATGAGGCCTGGTTCGAGAAAGGCGAGGAAAAGTACGAAGGTTGTGATAATGTATATAGACTCCTCGTGAGGAGAAATGGTACACTTCTGCATTTTGTTCAGCGCATACTTTGTTTGAATCTTCTTAATGCATTTCTTTCCGCATGCCAGCCTAAAATGCTAATGCTACCGATCCCAATGAATGGAAAAGAAAGGGAGAGGAAAAGAAAACCTAAAGCCCATGACTTCGTGAGAGCCATCCCGCCCTATCTCGTGATTAAACCGAGTAAGAAAAGTGTCTAACAAAAGAAAAACATCAACATCATTACAAAGAGTGGCCGTAGCCAGTGTCCATCCGCTGAGAAAACCCCAAAACAAACCAAAAAACCCTCCGTGTTCCACCCAAGTACCCCCCCAATACCCAAACCATCTCATCAGTCGTAATTCCATCCCTTTCCCAAGCTCAACACCAAATGAAAACTCCAATCACAAACCTCTGCCTCACTGCAAGGCAGAACTGACCTGGCTCGCCTCTTCCTCAGCCACACGCCTGAAGTAATCCGCACCCTCCATTGCCTCCAGCTGCGCAGTCGGGAGATCGGATCCCAGAGCACTGTCATTGGGCGTGCCTGGGCCGAAGATTTCCTTGGTAGCAGGAGGCGCCGCTAGAGGCGACAGAACGTCTTCTGCTTCCTGCAGCTCTGAAGGCGCCGGGGGCGTGGCGTCGATCTCCGTGGTGGGGGGCTCCACGTCCTTGGTACCAGCGTCTGAAACAAGATCACTCTGTTGCTGCTCGTCAATTCCAGTTGAAACCTCGCTGTCGGTCGGAGCCTCAGCGCCAGTCGCGGCCTCGCTAGCCTCCAGACCCTCAGTGACAGTCGAGTCCTCAGTAACAGTCGAGTCCTCAGTGACAGCGGAAACCTCACTAGCAGTGGGAGCCTCACTAGCAGTGGGAGCCTCGCTAGCAGTGGGAGCCTCGCTAGCAGTGGGAGCCTCGCTAGCAGTGGGGGCCTCACTAGCAGCCGGACCTTCGCCAGCAGCGGGAGCCTCACTGGCGGTGGGAGCCTCGCTGATGGTGCCGCTAGCGACCGAGCTACCAGAAACCGACTCGGCGTAGCGCGGGATCTCAGTGGCCTCGCCCTCGTCCTCCTCAGCGGCTTCGCTGTAATGGCTCTCGCCATCCTCCTCATCCGAGATGTCGTCCTCGTGGACTGTAGCCGTGCCATTGCCCATGGTGCCGATGCTGGTGCGGCGATCGGCGTGGCTGACCGTGCCGTTCAGATAGGAACCCGTGCCGTAGGTATACTCAGAGCCAGCATCCGAGCCTCTGTCGTCGTAGGTCGAGGCGAACTCCTCGCCATCGCTACCGTGCCCGCTGACGATGCTGTGGTGGCGCTCGGTACCGGCGTCGCTCATCTCATCAATCTCTTCTTCCTCGGACTCCTCGCCCAGAATATCGTTCTCCTTGTTGGCGTCGGAAACAGTGCGCTTAGAGCTCCAGGAAGGCTTCTGGTAGCCGTAGTTAGTCTTGACCGAGTGACTGCGCTTAAGGCCTGTGTTCGGCGCGCCAGCAAAGCTCTGCGTGCCTGTCGGCGTGTTTCCACTGATCTGGCTGAGGGAAAGGATGCGGCGCGATTGCGGGTTTGCCTGGGCAGCTCCGTTACGCTTGGCAGCTGCGCGAGCACCTAAAGCCATGTTGACACCCTTGGCCATAGCGCTGGGAGGCGCCATAGAAGAGGGATCCGGAGAAGCGTTGCTGGGAGCACGGGAGATCCTGGGTGCCTTGACTCCCTTCTGGAGTAGTAGAGCACGAGAGTGGTCCATGATTCCGTTGAGAATACGGCGCTCCAACGAGTCCGCCTTGTGCTCCATGTGCTGGAGCTCCTCGCGACGGATGTTCAAAGCCATTTCAAGAGCAGACACATCTGCATGCAGACGCATCTTCTGGTTTGTGAGCATCTCTTTTTCGTGGCGAAGAGTCTCCACCTGCTGGCGGAGAGTGTCCTTCTCGTCATTGAGGTTGAGGATGTCGTTCTCAATGTTTTCCTTCTGGACAAGGCGGCGCTCAAGTAGGATAGCGGCCTCTTCGGCCTCCTTCTCCTTGTTCTCATGACCTTCGGTGATGAGCTTGGTCTGGAACTGGACAAACTCTGTGACCTCTGTTGCGGTGGCCATGACCTGCTGGTGAATCTCATCAAGGCGTTCGAGCTGAGCTGCGGACTTCTCGGCATCAGCCGCGTGACCCAGCAGCTGGTCAAGCTTTTCCTTGACCGGAGAGTCGTCGTACTTCTCGACCGGTTCTGGGGGAGGAGGGAGAAGGGCGGGAAGACCGGAGAAGAAGCTCTCCTTGAGCTCCTCTGCACGGCCCCTTGCCTCTGCGGCGGCGGCCTCAGCAGCAGCCTTGGACTCCTCTTGAGCGGCCTTTGCAGCCTCTTCCGTAGCCTTAGATTGCTCGTAATGCTGGGTGACAAGGGCAAGCACCTCTTGAAGGGTCATCATGAACTTAGGATGATTCTCAGTCAGGTCGTCTTGCATGACGGTGAGGGAGGTGATGGCCTTTGCAACCTCGTCGCGGGTCAGTTGATGTTCGACCTTGTTGTCCTCATGCTTCTCATCCATCTTGGCCGTGGCGTCATCGATCTTCGTGAAGACAGTGGCCGAGTCACCAGTCAACTTCTCCGTAGTCTCGGCGAAGGTCGTGTTCATGCCAGTGATGGTAGTGCCGAGGGTGTCTATCGTAACCTTGAGCTCTTCCGAAATGGTCTTGGTGCCGGTCATGAGTTCCTCTTGGGCGGTTGTTTTCTCGTCCATCTTCTGAGCCGACGCTTCCGCGAGCAAAAGCAGGTCGTCATACTTGGAAGTCATCTCGGTGAACTTCTCGTCGAGCTTCTCGACCAAGCCAGCGATGACAGCATCCTTGACTGCATCATGTTTCTCGTTGGCGGCCGTAGCCTTCTCTTCCGCATCAGTCTTGAGGCCCTCAATAGAACCAGTCGTGCGCTCGAACTCGCGGTTGACGGTCTCCATCAATTCCTTGACGTCGGCGGTGATGTTGAAGTTGTTACTGATAGTCTCCTCGAGGGTCTTGAGGGTCTCCTTAACACTTTCGACACCCTCACCGCCCTCCTGGAGCTTGGCCTTGATCTCTTCCTTGACAGCATCGAGGAACTCCTTGACTTCACCAACTTTGGTGATGATGGTGTCAGCCTCGTTCTTACGGTCGTCGAAAGCCTTGGCGGTGACGCCAATGTCGCTTTCGTAGCTTTCCTTCATCTTGTCGTGGCTGTCGCGGAAGTCATGGATCAAGCCAACCACTTGCTCGATGTCGGCCTTCGAAGGAACAGCCTCCGGCTCCGGGAGGGTCGCAAGCTTTTCTTTTATGTCGGTAATCAGGACTCCAAGAGCGTCGGTATCCTCCCTGGTGACCTTCTTGGCCTCTTCTTCCTCAGAAGGCTTGGTGTTCTTGAGCTCATCCAACGCTGTCTTCAAATCCTGAACGAGCACCTCAACAACGGCGACATCACCCTTCGAAGCAACCTCCTCGCCATCAATTTTTGCGACCAGCTTGTCAATGGCCTCATTTGTGACCAAGACTGCGGCTTCAACAACATCCAAATGCTCCTTCTTGACCGAAGTCTCAGGGTCCGGGAGGACCATCTCGTCGAGCTGAGCCTTGGCGTTTTGGAGAAGGGTCTCAATGGCGTCGGTATCCTCTTTCCGGGCCAAGCCTTCCACGATTTCTGTATCTCTGCGCTTGTCCTCGGAAAGAACGGTGATTGCAGCCTGGACATCCTTCAAGAGCTCCTCGACGTTGATCAAGTCCTCCTTAAGGGCGATTCCAGCAAGATCTTCCTTCTGAGCGATGCCATCAAAGTCTTCCTTCATGGCGACACCCGGAGCAGCCTCATTAGGAGGGGCAGGGGCAGGGGCAGGGATATTCTGAATGTTGGAGTCGATTGCTTCAATCTTGATTTGAAGTTGAGTCATCAAAACCTCCAGCTCTTTCAAGTCATCGCGCTTGAGACCCATTTCCGTCTCGGCCTCCGCAGGGACGTCACGGGAGAGCGCCTTATCGGGATCATCAGCCAGGACGACCTCGTTGCCGACGGCCGAAATGTCGTCCTCGACCGTGGCCTGCTTATCGCCTTTCAGGCGGGTGATCTCGGTAGTGATGGTCTGGATGCCCTCCTTGAGAGTCTCAAGGATCTCGTAATTGACGGACATGTCAATAGCTGCGCCAGCGCCAGTGGCAGTCTTGATGTCGGTCCGCAGACTTTCGACGCCATCGTTGATCGCATCCAGAATCTCTCCGGTAGCGGCCATTTGACGCTCCGGATTGTCAATCTTCTTGGAGAGATCGGAGCAAAGGTCGTCCAAGCCCAAACGCACCGTCTCCAGGACTTCTTCTGTGTCGGCGCGAGATGCAACATTGCCAAGGAGGCTCTTGCGAAGGTTCTCAAGCTGCTCACAAAGTGCTTGGAGAGCTTCTTCGCCAAGTCCATGGCCAGCGTTCTGTGATTGCGCCTCTTTGACGCCTTCCAGGCCAACACGGAGAGCTTCGAGGATCTCCTCCTTATCCTCCGGAGCACCACCGCTCTTGACCAGGCTACCACCTAGAGTCTCCTGAAGACGATCGAGCTCTTCTTTGATAGCCCCGAGGCTCTCCTTGGACGACTCGCTTTGATCAACCATCAGTTGATCCCGAAGGGCATCCATGTTCTCACGGACAGCGTCAATGATGTCATCTTTGTCCCCTGCTGCACCCGACTTGACCAGAGTTGTTGCCAGAATCTCCCGAAGGTGCTCAAACTCATCCTTCATCGATTTGATAACCTCTTCGCTCGAGTTAGCGGATCCAGCTGCCTCGTCCCGGGATTCAAGCTTGACGTGGAGGTTTTCAAGGCTGGCATGGATAGTATCGAGGACTTCGTCACGGTGGGAGGCGCTTCCATGGATAACGGCTTCGCGAAGCTGATCGAATTCGACCTTCATGGCCTCCTCCATCTCTTCCTTGATAGTATCCTCTTCGTCGCGCTTCTGCATGTACGTCTTGAGGCCATCGAATCCCTCGTTCAATGTTTGTAGAAGCTCGGTCTTGTCTCCGTTTGCAGTGGGCACTATCTGGCTCGTCAAAGTCTCGTGAAGATGCTCAAACTCCGATCGAATGTAGTCCAGCATTTCAGAGCGGTTGATGGCCTGATCCCCCTGGGGACCGGCAGCGACATAACCCTGTACGTCAGAGCGAAGAGTGTCCAATCCACCGCGGAGTGAGTCGATGATCTCGTCTTTGCCGGTGACATCCTGAGCGCGGTCCACATAGGCCTCAACCTCTGCACGAAGTGATTCCAGGCCATCCTTGAGAGCGTCGAGGACTTGTTCAGTGTCGCGTCCATTGGCAGAGGAGTATGCCTTGAATTCAGTCCGCATGTCCTCAACCAAACCCTGCAACCTGTTCATGACTTGCTCGCCATAGCCACCAAGAGGGGTCTTGGTATCTTGAAGGCCAGCCTTGATAGCCTCAAACAGGTCTTCACGGGAGATCTCGAGCTCACGAGGAGCAGTGTCGAGACCCGCTTTAACGGCATCAAACAAGTCATCTCGGGAGATTTCGAGTTCACGCGCAGCAGCCCCCCCGTGCGTTTCAAACCCATCCCGGACGGCCTCCAGGATGATACCACGTGTGATTTCCGGATCCAGGTGATTGGAGGGTGCGGCAACCTGCATTGACGGCCTGATTTCATCCAGGCACTCATGCACAGCGGAAAGAACTTCCTCGCGAATCTCGTGGGCGTTGCTAGGGGGTTGAGGGAACTCAACGTGGGTCAAAGCCTCCATGACAGCGTCCATCATGTCGTCACGGCTGATCGATTCCGGAGCTGGGGCGGAGGAGCGGTACTGAGTGAGGCCTTCCCGAAGGCATTCGAGAATTTCATCGCGCTCAAGACCGAATTGCTGGAGTTCAATCTCAGGCTTGTAAGCTTCGTAAGCCTCCTTGACTGCTTCGAGTATAGCATCCTTATCGAGCTGTGGACCTGACGGTTGGGCAGCTTGGCTGATACCCTGCTCGGCAAGAGCGTGCTTGACGACAGCATAGACCTCTTGGTTGTCGACTGAGGAGTCCATGGACGCGCCGGAGCCTCGCCTCCTTGACCTCAAGGCATAGTCCATGTGCTCCTTGAGCTCGGCCAAACCTTCCTGCACTATACGTGCAACGTCTTCCTTCTCGCCACCGCTCTCCAGAGCCAGCGCACCACTGGCGTTGGGTGTGATCTCGTCAATCTTGCGGCCAAGCTCACGTCCCATACCAAGCACCTCACCTCTCAGATCTCTCACGAAAGCCTTCGTTTCTGATGTGATGCCACCCGATTCCTGCACGCTGTCCTTGATCTTTTTCAATAGCTTCAGCATGTCGGCACTGACGAAGTCGGCTGCCTTTGGACTGGAGTAGGGCTTCGATGTGTTTGCATCATTTGAAAGACCAAGAGCCGCGTTGATGTCTCGAGTCGCCCTGGTCACCTGACTCTCGGGGCTCGATGCACGATACCTCTCGGAAGGTACATCCATAAGCGCGAGCGCGCGGCTCTCCGAACCCTGCTTGATGAACTCGACCAGCTCGCCGACCTTCTTGGAAGTCTCATTAGATTCTTGATTCGACTTCTCGAACAGGCCGTTTAGTGTGTTGACCAGGCGCTCCTGTCCCTCCTTGGTAACCATTTCCCGCACGATTTTCTCGAGCATTGCGACGCTTGCAGCTCCCTCGATGGAGTAAGGATTGGGGCTTCCTATCCTATCATCCATAAAAGACGAAGCCATGCGGGGAAGACGGAAGCCGTGTTTGTCCGATGCATCAGGAGTGCCAGGCACACCACTCATACCGCCGAAGCTGTTCGATCTTGTGTGCAATCCGATGGGCGGAGGGGGAGCGAACATGGCAGGGCCATTTATGTTGCTGACAAGCTCCTTCAGGCTCTTTCTGATGTCCTCGTCACGGGCATTGGTTGCTTCCTTCAAGCTGATGAGGTCCGTCGCGTTGTCCTTGCTGCGCCGGCTCAACTGTGCCATCTCGCGCTGCAAGTTAGTGGCTATGGTGGCAATCTCTCTGATTTGGTTAGAGAGGCCATCCGCATCTTGCGGCCTCGCGCGAGGCATGGCACCGTTTGCGGCATCGTGCAGAGGGGACTCGAAGTCTCGTAGAGGCATCGACTGAAGAGCCATGTAGGTGGCTGAGGGCGGCGTGTTTTCACCCAGGATGGCCTTGTGGTGGGGTGGTCTGCTTCCTGTTCGCAAAGGCGGCGTGTCTCGCATGAGTTCGCGTTGAGCGGGCGTAGGTGTGCTGGAACGAGTCTTCTCCGGGGATGCAGGAGGAGAGTTCAAGGGTTCGGGGACGGCAGACGACGTGCCATGCCTGCTTCCAGGCCTTTCCGGCGACTTTTCTGGCGAGCGGTTCGGGCTGAGTATGCTTCTGAAGTCACGAAGATTTGCGTCCTGGAAAGACTGTATCCGCTTGTGGGCAGCACCCTTGATGAGTGACCTCTCCGGCATGGGATTCGTGGTGTAGTTGGGCGCATTTTCACGGGCCTTCTCCTCAAGAGCCTTTGCAGCATTTGCGATGGTAGCAGAGGTGTTTGGGCGAGTGAGCAGGGGAGAGCCGGGGTTCAGAGGCAGCGGAGGAGGGGCACGTTCCGGATCTGAGCTGTCCCACCTAGAGAAACGGAGACGAGAAGTCAGTGGCATAACGTTCCTTGGGCAGGCGTTGCAGCGCCCGGGGCATGTGCGGATCGCGTGGAGTCAATCGGGCAGAAACGTGGGACGGGCGACGGGCAAAGCAAAAGAGTGGAGAGTGGGCTCACATGGGGATGTTGGACATGCGGCTGGAGTCGGACGAGAAGGAATGCTGGTGCTTGACCAGAGCGTCAGGCTCGACGGAGCTCTCTCGGCGACTGGACGGCATTGTCTTGTGATGCTAGAAGGACGCAAAAGGGTATCTGAAAATCGAGGAATGCTAAAGGCGACAATTCGGTGGAATGCGCGGATCGCTGCGAGCGCGACGCGGGGAGGCGGTCAGCGGCGCTGGGCGTGGGCGACGACGCGTTCTGGAGGGCCGGCTCAGCGCTCCAACGCGTTTGGAGGGGAGGATCGGTGCGGAGGGCGTTGCAATGCGGAGAACGAGGTTGGGCTCGCGGCAGGATGGTGGTGGGTTAAGAAAGCAGGGAAGAGCATGCGGTGCATGGGTGGTTGCTGTGGTCGTAAACAGCAGGTAAACAGAGCACTGACCGGGAGATCAGGCGGCTGCGACGCAAATCGCTCGCGAGTCCTCCACGTCACTGCCGGCCTGGGATCTGGGGCTGCGACCGCGCGCCTTGGTTTGGGCACCACTGCCTTGGCACCAGCCAATCGCAGCCCGCCGCTCGGGCACCACAGCAACCGCCTGCGCTCCCACTCTGCGCTGACAGCCAGGACTTTCTGCTCGACGCGCCGAGTCTGAGGCGCGCAATAAATCGCGCGCGCAGCCCGTCCCCAAGCACGCGTTGGATGCGCGCCAGCGGAGCCAACGCAGCTCGCATCGTTCCGTCCATTCGATCCATCGCGTGCCGCAGGCCTATTGCCCCACAGCTTGCGCGATTCTTTGAATCCCCATAGCGCCCGCCTGCCACGACGTGCGCTTGCCGCCTGCGCCGACTCTCTCCGCGGCGCAGCACGCAGTGCCTCGCAGAAGCGCTTAGAACACGGTACGAACTTGGCGACGACGCACAAGGCTGAATCGCTCCCGCCAGGGTCCGGGGCCTATCATCTTGGCCGGTGTTCCTTTTTTACTTTGGGCCAAAGCAGACAGCACGTGGACGTGCGGGCCAGCGCGCATCGGACCCGGCGGAGCCGCATGGTGTATCTTTCTCAACCAGAGATATCACGCGCATTGTCGCCCCAATTCTTTGCTTCGTCCAGCAGCGGTGGCATGGCCGCCGTTCTGCCAAACCGCACACCGCCCATGGCCATCACAATCTCCATGTGCCTACTAGGGCACGTCTTGTGACGGCGCCGCCGACGGCGGTAGCGCTGTCCAGGAAGGGGGCGCAGCATTGAAGCGGACGAAGATGGATTTCACGAGATAGCGGTAAAGTCGCAGGAGACGACGGAACCGTCGAAGACACTAGATTACCTCGCGGCGTGCCTTTGTTAAGGGAAGATAAAGTGACAGGCTCGCCGTCCGGGCTGAGCGCATGGACAAACGAGGCCGCCGCATCCCGCAGTCCGCATGTCCTGCATCGAAGTCCTCGCTGTGCTCAAGACCGTCTTCTGTCGTTGCTGCATCCCGAGCAGACGTCGCCACAGAAGAGGCAACAGACACAAGGCGAGCAAGGGCCACGAACGCGCGCGCTCATTGGACAGCGACACGCGATCGTATCTCGGGCCGCCGGTGGGCGGATTAACCTAAACGCCGAGGGTCCTCGCTTCCGGGCACCGCACGATAGCGGAGCCGGATTTTTACCCTCGCAACGACGACGACGACCTATATCACGCCCATCTCCGATCGCTCAACTGACGACAGCAGGCAAGATGAAGTGTACGTCGCCGCCCGCCGCCGTCTCCCCGTACTGCCCAACTGGCTCGCTGACACTCCGCGCTGTGTACAGTCCTTAAGGTCGGCCGTGTCGCCATCATCACCCGGGGCCGCTATGCAGGCAAGAAGGTACGACGAAAACCATCCACACACTCTGCGACCGATCACCGCCGACCGCTGCGTTTGGGAGGAGCCGGCCGGGCACACGAGACGGGAGATCGGAATCGCATGTTGGAGGAAATCGGCAGCCATTGGGGATCGCAAAGAACAGAACGTTGACTCGGGCGCGGAACTACAGGTCGTGATCATCCAGCCCCAGGACAACGGCTCCAAGTCGCACCCCTTCCCCCACGCTCTCGTCGCCGGCATTGAGCGCTACCCCTCCAAGGTTACCCGCCGCATGTCGAAGGGCCGCCAGGCCAAGAGGTCCAAGGTCAAGCCGTTCATCAAGACGGTCAACTACAACCACTTGATGCCTACCCGTTACACCCTGGAGCTCGAGGGCCTCAAGGGTGTCGTCAGCAACGACACCTTCAAGGAGGTCTCGCAGCGCGAGGAGGCCAAGAAGACCGTCAAGAAGGCTCTTGAGGAGAGGTACCAGAGCGGCAAGAACAGGTGGTTCTTCACTCCTCTCCGTACGTCTCTACCCCGTCCAAGAACCGGCCTTCAGCTGGCCCGGCGTGAACGAAGAGCGCAAAGGCTGACACATGTTTTTCCCGCGAACAGGTTTCTAGGCGTCTCGTTTCTCTCGGATATGTGGCATTGCGGTGGGGCGCGGCTTGCTTGAATGATCCGGCGTCAAAAAGATGTAGCTGGATCCCAAAAAACAATCGAAATTCCCACACTGCATAGGCTCCACCATCCCGCGCAGCACATCCTACACATTGAGCCGTGATTGTCGGATTTTCTACGGGACTTATGAATACCTGGGGTGGAAGGGAAAGGATGGCACGGAAGAAGCAAAATGGGGCGTTTTCTTTCGCGGCCAACAGTCACCTTGAGCTTTTAATAGACTCTACGACAGTCTAATCGGAATGAGAAAAAAGCTTGCTGCCGTCAATGTTTCAAAGGAAAGAGTCCTTTGCAGCTGCACTGTGTTTCTCCAGTGTCCACATACCCACACCGAGAGCGATAATTCCCGAAAAGCCTCGGCCGGAACAAAACTTGAGAGCTCACAATTTAGATTCATCACACAAATATGCTGAAGAAGCTTCTCATGTCGCCCTGCAAGGGTGTGTGCGGTGCAGTGCAGCAGTTACGCAAGCCCTCTGCCAGAAGAGCGGACCCCCACCAGCCCTGTCGCCCAGCGCAATCACAAGCCTGGCTGCTCATCGATCGCGCAATGACATACTGCACCCCCACCCAACTCAACCGTCTCCTATCGTCGCATTTTGCACATTGCCGCACCCGCACCATCCTAGCACAAACGTCTTTGCCTCCTCCGTCTCCGCAATTCCGCACACCGTCTCACACCACAATCACGCCGTCAGGACCACCGGTCCGAAGCGAAAACAGGGCGGGCGGAGCGGCCGGGGCAAAGGCAAAGCCCTACACGGCAGAGACACGAGACGACCGCCCACGTCAATGCCGCGGCAACAAATCTGCCATTGAGGAGTGTCCCCATGCGCGGAGCAGAAGAAAGTCTAAGGAACGAACAAGCCCGCGCCACCTTGCTGTCCAGATTGAGCGGTACGTAGTCCAGCTCGTGGATTTTTACTTTTCGTGGCCCTCGAGCAAAGGACTTTGGGAATGATTACGTCGTCGTTGCTCAGCAGCCAACAGCTAACATACCACAGAACCAGTTCTATACGAAGCGCGTTCAAGGCCCTTAAGATGGGGAGAAGATTGGGAGTAAAGAATACTTCGTGACTACTGGAAACGTTGACGACTCTCATAAGATACGGATTAAATGAAAGACTCGTCATCAAACTTGACGCCCAACATAACGCCCTAGGAAAGGGAGGTGAGGCACTCACGAAATGCAAAACTCAGTATGCTTCGCTCCTTTGCCACCTTGTTTTCCTGAGGCGCAGTCCTCCTCTTTCCTGTCTTTTTTCTTCTTCTCTTCTGAGTCTGGAAATCGGTTCCTTCCTTTGTAAAGATAAGGTAATTCATCAACGTGGGGAAAAGAAAGAGCCCGAGCTTAGTTGTACCGGTATTGAACTTTCTTACCGTCAATGTTTCCTGCTCATGACAGGACGAGCCCGGTGCGATGGGAAGTAAGTGTTTAAAGGTGACGTCTGCGTCGACATGTCATGCACGAAAGTGGAAGCCGCAGCTCAACAAAAACTCCCGAAACGTGACGAGACAGCCAACCAACAGGGAATTGGAAAGAAGGGCGTCGGCCCAAGGAGAGCAGAACAAGTCAAAGTAGAAGTCTATTAGTCCACGCACGCGGCCGTGAATACGATACAGTCCAAACGAAGTTGCGGGCAGAATAGAAGATATAGTCGATGCAAACAAAAAGCCGATATGCAACATGCCCCGCATCCCCCGCATCCCGGCCCGAACCATGAAACGTCAATTCCCAACAGTCGTAGAATAATGTGAACATAAGAAAACCCCCATACCGACTTCACAGAAAACGATGACGGAGAGTAGAGAAGGGGCCAGTGTGTTTGTGTTTTTCAAGTTGACAAGACCTCGTAGCCAGTGCACTCGCCGCGTAGAAAGGGAGGGGTGATCAACCATGCCCGTGGGGGTGTGATCGTGTACGGTCAATTGGGGAGTTGCGGATGGTGGGGGAGGGAGAAAAGCTCGTGGGCGCAAGGGAAGGGATGGTGACGCCATCGCGGGGCTCGCCGCGCGACTCAACCTAAACCAGCCGGCCGACGCCACTTGGAGCTACTCTCCCCCCAGCCGCGTCAAAAGAGTTTAGTTTAGTTGTTGACCTTTTCTTGCGCATACTTCTTCGCCTCCTCTTTCTTGGGGCCCAGGTAGTCGGCGATCAACTGCAGCACATCGGATGTAATCTTGAGCTCGGTGCTGAGGATGGCCTTGGCGGTGGTGATGACGCCGTTGCCACCCGTCTTCTGGTACTCGTCACTGTAAGTGTTGTAAAGATAGTCCTTGCCGTGTCCGGCAATGCGCAGCGGGAAGAAGGCGACGTCGACAACCCTGTCCTTGATGGTCGACGTGTTCTCCTTGACGATGGGGAAGCGCTTCTCAACCTCGCTCAGGCCGTTGTCGGCCAGGCTGTCGGCGCGCTGGACGTAGGGCGCGACGAAGCCATAGGGCTTGGACAGGTAGGGCACAATGGGCTTGCCGAAGCGGTCATAGGCGGCATTGCTGAGGTCGAGCGACTTCTGGCCGTACGGGTTGGACTTGTAGGTGCTGATAAGATCCGAGACGACGGGGTACGACGACAGGTGCTGGATTGGCAGTGTCAGACGGGCGCAGCAGGGCAATTGCGGGGGGCGCTTACAGAAACGAAGTGCGAGGAAGGCTTCTCGCCGTTGGTCAAGGGCTCGCCCATTTTTGCGATGGTTGTAGCGTGGGGCACGAATCTGCTGTGTGCTGTCAGCGGGTGAGTTGGCAATGAGGGGCAGAGCGGGCCATTGGGAAGGGCCACGCACCGAGAGCTGGATGAGAGGAAGCGACGGATTTGCAGCGGCAGTGCTATCGGGCAGCGCGGGCTCAGAGATATCTGGCAGCGACGGGACGAAGGTCAGTGTCGGAATGGCGAGGGCATTCCACAATCCTCGACTCACCAAAGGCGGCAGTGGGCTGGCACGGCAGGAGAGGCGTCAAGTATTGGAGCTGGTGCGGAGTGGGAAGGGGGGCCGACGGGTGGTTGTCTGCGGACGAGGACGGAGTTGGGTGATGGTGGACAGAGCAAAGGACTGGTAGAAAGCTTGCACGGGATGGCTTGAAGGCGCAGGCTGGGACGCAATTGACATGTGAAGGCGCACGGACGCGTGGTTACGTATGGGGGCGCTCCAAGCGACCAGCGATAAGGCGGGCCAGGGCGACGCTTCCGGCGGCGCATCCCTGCCCCAGGGCCTGCATCGAGCTGCCCGTGAGCGGCGTTGGGTGCTGCCGGTGCTGCTGCTGGTGCTGCTGGTGCTGCGCTGCCTGCGCTGCTGCGGCGCCGCCTGCTGCTGGCACACTGGGCGGCGGGGGCCAATCCAGGACGCGCGCATGCCGGAGCGGCCATCATGATGGCGGCGTGCGCCGCTGCTGCTAGCCGTTGGCAAATTCCCGCAGCCCAGCGCGCCCTTGAGCAGCCCGCCAACGGCCGCCGCCAGATGCTCGCCCGAGCCGGGAGCCGTGGACGCCCTGCGGCCCGGGGCGTGCAAGGCCTCGCAGTCGCATCCAATGTCACTCGACGCTCGACGCTCGTCAGCTCATCACCGGGCTGGGCTGCCGGCAATGGGGGCAGTGCGGCCGGCAGCGCGTCTGCGGCTGGGCTGCGGCGCCGGCCGGAGCAGGATGGCGCGAGGGACGCCGGCGGAGAAGTCGTGGCCTCCTGCCGCTGCTTCTGTGGTTGACGCGAGTGCGAGGGCGGCGGAGGCTGACATGTGAAGTCGGCTGCTTCCCTGTCGCGCCCACTGCTGCACCCCGAGAAGGCCTCTGCTCCGGGCCTCTGCTCCGGTCCTCGTCGAACTGGCCTCACGCCGCCCTCCCGAGCCTGGCCCAGGCCTCGAACCGCAGGCGCCGTCGCCGTTGGCGCTGCCGCCGCCCCTCTCCGCCCGGCCTCTGTGCATCTCCACGGCAGAGCCCGCAGAGGCGCGCGCGTGGCCAGGCAGTCATGTACCGGCGCTGCTGCCTCTCCGTCGTGCGCCTCGCTGCATCTCCATGCGCCGTGCCAATCAGGAACACGGCGTCCCCGTCGTCGCGCAGCCAGCCCGTCCCGTGTGCCGTGCCAGTCGCGCGCATCCCGGGCGAGCCTCCCCACTTAATCCTCATCGTATTCTCCAGGCATTCTCACATGCTGCCATCGGCTCTTCACGTGCGTGCCGCTGCTCCAGCTCCGCTCATCATCACTGCCCGCGAAGCTGGGAAAAGGAGACGATGCGTGCCGCTCCCTCCCAATCCATCACGGCCTCGAGCAGCTTGCCGGCGATCTGCGAGGGCTGATCCCGTTCCATCCCGCTCGCGTCGGTTGCAGGGAATCAAGCCCCCAAGCCATGAGGAGCCATGAGGGTGCCGCCGACTGCCAACGAACTGGCTCGGGGACAGGGTACCCTTGCCCTGCTGCTCCTCAACATCATGCTCCCGCCTTGCTGGGGAGGAATGGACTCCAACATCGCATCGCTAACCCAGCACCTACCCGATGGCGACTGGCCTTCGTGTGCCTTTTCAGCGCCGTGCCCGTTTTCGCAGCCCATGGCTGCGGCGCTGGTCGCGAGCTTAATTCTGGACCCTGAAGAATCAAAAGCAACCTCTCTCAACGTGCAACCGATCCAACGGAAAAGGGAAAGCGAAGGACCACATTGCATATCCTCGCGTCGCCCGCCGGGCCATTGGTCGGAAAGCGGTAGGTAAACGAGCAACCACAGCACGCAATGCTGCCCTTTGCCTTGCCGCCTATCGTTCCCTCGCCTTGCATTGCCTGCCGTCGTGGCAAGCACTCGACCGCTCAGGGCGCCAGGCGCCTACGTGAACAGGACAGACAAACGGCTGCTGCATGCTGTGGACCTCTTGCTCCGGCACTCTCACACCATTGACGCCGCGCCATCGACCATAAGCCAAAATCCTCCCGGATCGTCGATCCTGCGCGCTCTTCCTTTTACCCAACCAAACATCTCGCCCGGACTCCCCCTGCTCGCTTGGGCCCCTGGCTTCCCGCCGGCGTTGGAATCCTGCGGATGCTGTGATACCACTTCAACGTTTGACGTGCGAGGTGGTCCAACGCCCGCAGGGCCAGACCCGTAAGCGGTAATCTGCCACAAGATCTCCGCGTTACACACCACACTACCTGTGCTCACCGACGTCGATCTCCGTCGTCACCATCATTTCCCCCGAGATCCGATAGAACGGTTGTACGAATCAAAGTCGCACCGCAGATATATGACAGCTTTGCTGCATATGCGATCAGCAGCGCCATTTTCCTACCCTCGCTGACCTTTATCTCAAGCGATCGTCCTACAACACCTTCCATCATCTTCTGCACATATTTCCCTTCCTTCTTTTTCATTCGGTATCAGTGACGTACTCCAACCCATGCCCCAGCAAGACCTGCGAGGCTGACTGACAATCCCCCCCAAACTCTTGCCCTTGTGCGGCAACTGCATGTAGAGTGACGGCTCTCGTCGGAAAACACAAGCAAAAACCGGGCACTTCCAAGCTCTTCCGCCCCAACCGATATTCCGGGAACCCCCACAGAACCCCACTACAACGTCACCCGCCTCTCTGCCCTACTCCATGTCTTCCAAGACCTTGGCAGCGGGGAAGGAATGACTGAAAAGGTGGCGAGCCCAGACATGCCTGCGTTCGAGGAGAGTAGGAAAGCTGCTACGTGTGGACACGAATCGAAAGCTGGCTAAGGCCGATGATCGCTCGTGAATCCGCGTCCATCTTGTCATTCCCCCTCCCCCTTGCCTAGTCTTGCGAAGTGAGTTGGAATGGAAGATAAGAACCATCCCCCTCTGCTTGGCAGATTGATGGCAGTTTGAGTCACATGTGTTCTGGTGAACAATAGATATCCGCTTTTGCATGGCCGGTGAGTGTCATTGCACATATCACGCCCCCTGTCTATGACGGTGAAGTGGACGATGAGACAGTGTCCACCACGAAGCAAGACGTAAGGCTATCCGAACCCCGAGAACCCATTCCGAGACGGCGATCATTAGTCGCTTGCATCAGCTCTTGCTGTCAGTCGCTGGGGAAGAAAGCCGTCCCGAGCCTCGGGGTACAGGATCTTTATGTCACTACACTAAGCGCCTTCTAAGAACCAGCCGATTGCCTACCGAGATACCATAGACCTCGTTTTACTGTACTACGTTCACTAACGAAACAACTTTCTTTGATAAAGGACTTGTCTTACCGAAATTGCTTGGAATTGATGTAGATGTATCTCAGTCGCCCCCATCACGTCCTTTTTTTCTTGAAAAAAAAAGACACTTCCCTCCAAACTCGCTTCTCTCCTAACTCAACCTGAACAAGTAGCACTGAGCCAGACGGCCAAACCCCCCACGCACCACTACCAGTCATTGAGCGTCGACGACGTCAAAACAGCGCTTTCGCCCATATCTCCACATAGGATCCCGCTACATGCAAGCCAGCCCGAGTCGGCCCGCACCGCACCGCACCGCACCGCACCACCGGGTAATCCTTAGGTCGATGTTCCCCTAAAAATAAAAGGTGGAGAAAAGCGCCGGCTCGGATAAGAAGAAGTGCGAGTCGGACGGGAAGGAAGACGCATAGATAGGCGTTTGAGAAGCCCCGGGGGTGGGGCCGCTCGGAAACAAGCTAAATGGAAAGCTGTCAAGAAAAACACTGGTCCACTACAAACTTAGAAGGTGGCTAACAAAATAAAAGGCTGTGGGTAAGCAAGGCTGTCTATATATGGGGCCTTCGTCGCGACATATGCGAAGCGTGCGAGCCGATATGTTTGTGCAAAGGCATTGGGTGTATGATTGGTGAGAAAGGTGTCTTAGTAAGAAGTACACTTGAACGGAGGACATGGTAAAACATCCGGCTCGCTGTGTAGCTAATGGTTGGATTGGTGTTAGAAAGAAAGACACATACGGGTGCATGTGAAAGGGGTCGAAAGATAGTCTTGCGAACCAACCTTGCGGCCCTAGATGCACCTGTTCGTAGTACGCTATCAGTAGATGCAGGCTTAGCTTGTAGCTTGGTAAGCCACGCACAGCGGAGGCAGCTTTTCAGTCACGTAGTATGCATGATGTGGAGCGTGGTGAACCGCACACAATGTTTTCATTGGTGTGCCTTTCTGAAATTGAGCCAACTATCTACCCGAGCCATTCATTCCTCATGCGTCCTGATCATACAGTGATTCCCCTCTCCATCAACTCAAACAGGGAAACCAGGGTATGAATAGAGAAAAGCAATGACTACCCAATCGATAAACCCCGAAGATTTCCGTCTCCAAAAACTATGATAGGAAAGAAAATAAAGCTCTGGGGATCCCTTTCAACCAAATACGCCAAGTTTTTCCCGTTCCCGTAAATCGCCGTTGGAAGAAGCTTAACCAAAAGGGACTCGTATCCAGGTAGTACAAGAACGGTTAAGTGTCCCCAAGCTCCTCCCCAATGCTCCAGACGCCGCGCAGTAGAAGAGAACTAGACCAAAATGCAAGCACCCGCTCAGGCAGCAGCAGCGACTTCCTGCGTCTGACCCTGGTTGGCAATCTCGCCGCCGGCGCTCATCTCAGCCCAGTCGCCCCACAAAGCACGCTTCGCCCGCAGGCGGATCGGAGCGCCAAGATCATCCGCCTTCTGCTCGACCTTGACGGCGTCCTTGGTCGCCAGCACGAGGCACTCGAAGAACATCTTAGTTGCGTCGGCCTTCGTGGTGGTTGCCTCGGGAAGCATGTCCTGGAAGAGCACGCTGCTCTTCTGACGCGCTCCAGGCGAAGACTCGGCCTCGGGTCCGAACTTCTCGCGGAGAATGTGCACTGCGTGACGCGTGCCGACGGAGATGGGGCCGGCATCCTCGGGGTGCAACAAGGGCGCGGTCGTGTCGTCGAAGTTATCCCCAGGGAGAGGGGACATGGCCTGCTCGTCATCTTCGGGGACCGGTTCGATTGAGGCGGTACGCTCGCGAGCCGGAACATGGCCGAGTTCCTCCTCCTGGCCAATGTTCAAGGTGGTGTCGCCGCCAGCATCAAGGCCAGCTCCCGCGCTGAGATCGAAGCCAGACTCGTCGGGTATCTCGAGCTGCGGAGCGTGTCCATCTTGCTCCTGCTCCTCAGTGGCGCCCGCAGCGCCGCGCTTGCGCTTCAGCTCGCCCGAGCGGCGAACAACCTCCAGCGACAGGATACCCCGGAGCTCGGGGGCCCAGCCCTGGCTAATTCCACCGCCAAGGATGCTGGAGACGAAGCCGCCATTTTTCTGCATGTTCATGAGAGCGAGCAACATGGGATCGCGAGGGAGGAATTCCGGCTGCTTGAGGATCTTGGTGTGGTCGTTCATCTGAGCCTTGAACTGGGACTGCGAGTATTCGGTATCGGCGTCGGCCTGGAGAATCTTGCGCCTCTTGACGCGCTGGGGAGCCGTGGCAAGCTCCTCGTCAGGCTCCATGATGGTATTCTCCTGGTCAAAGTGGAACGTTTCCTCAAGCTCGCGAGCAACGCTAGAACGGGCAGAGGAAAGGGGAGACGCGCTCTCCCGGCGACGCTGGTCTACATCATGTTCTTCGTCAAGAGGGGTGGGGGCACGGGGCTCCTCTTGCTCAGGGACAGGCTCATCATCAAGTCCGCCCATAGCGATATCGTCGTCTCCAATGGACGGCCTGCGACCAAGATCGGTGGTGGGGAGAACAGAATCGTCGCCTAGATCGAGCTCAAGGCCGTCATCTTCAAGCGGCTTAGGGCTGGGGGCAACCTCCTCAGAGGCGGGCCTAGGGAGAGGAGCGTCACGACCAACTTCAATGCTGCGGTCCATGGTAAGATCGGGACCCTCACTGATATCCAGGTAAAGGTCGTCGTCGCCAAGCTGCAAAGTCTCCTGGGCCTGGCGCTCCTGGGTGTCCATGAGATACTGACTAGGCAGATCCAGGAGGGTGGGGTCGCGGCGGCCGGTCTCGATCTCTGGCTCTTGCGACAGCAGCAGGGAAGGATCAGGCATGGGCGCCAACAGGTCGAGCTCGGTCAAAACATCTGGAAGGGTCAAAGAGGCGGGGTTCACGGACTGGGCCTGGACGGGAAGATCTACGTTGCCCGGACGGAAGGCCTGGGAAGTGGTTAGAGACAGTGTCTTGGGTAGTCGGGGGTGTACATACCAGCTTGATCTTCATGAGGGCTTCGTTGCAGTCGTCGAGGAGATAGCGGGCCTTCCTGCTGTAGATCCGGACGACACCGAGCAGAAGCTGGCCACTGAGACGGAGAGCCATTGGGGCCTGGCCCTGGTCGACAATAGCGCTGACGCTGGTCTCAATGTTGGACTGGAGGATGTTGCTCTTGGAAAGCTTGCGCTCGAGGTTGGCGGCGAGCCAGACGCGAGCCAGCGGCCCGGTCTTGGACAGGAGGGTCTCGGAGTAGAACATGGTTCAGGCACTGCAAGGTCGTGGCGTCGTAGTTGCTGGGGTTGGTCGAGGCGGCCCCGGCGGACGGGCAGGCACTCGGCGCGTGTTGTGCTGTGTTGCGACGCGCCGGGCAAACACTGCGACCGGGCGCGTTCGAGGGGCAACGCGTGTCGCAAGGAAGCAGCGGGTGGGGCAATGGGGGCAGGGCGGTCGCAGCAGCAGAGGCAGGGGTCTCGGGCAATGCGCCAGCGCGGGGAGGGGGTAGGTGGTGATGGGCGGTGGGATGGGGGTGGTGGTGCGCTGCGGCGGGTGGGAGCTGGGGCGTGGGCGGCAGGCTGGGATGCGGCGGGCAAAGGCAGTGGCTGGTGCGGGCAAAGCTTGTTGCCTTAGTCAGCCGCCCGCGATCCGCGCGCCAAGCCCGCTCTCCGCCCACCTCGCGCGCGGAGAGCTGCGCCCGGTCCGCGATCGTCGGACACAAAGGGTCTCCTGGGCAATTGCATCGCCGCCGCGGGACGCGCAGCCGCCCGGGAATTCGCACAGCTCGCGCAGACGGCGGCCGCAGTGTCGCGCTCCGAGCGGCGCAGTCGTTTCGCGGCGGGCTTCGTGCAGCAGGTACGTACCGCGCCGCCGGGGCCAAGCGGTATGGAGCTAGGCCTGCATGCGTCGGGGGGATCTGTCTCGATTTCCCAAAGTCCACCTCGACCAGCAGCATTTCTTTCACAACACCACACCGCCAGTCTGCCCTCCGCACGTCCGCCTCGCCGCCGCCCATGATATCCGCGCCGTTATAAGCTGCAATTCGTGCCCTCGCCCCGCGCCGCCTCCGCCGGTGCCTCGCATCCCCAGCCCTCACCTCGTACTCCGTCGCCAGCTGGCGGCGGCCATGCAACAATGCCACGAGGAGATTCGCCTGCCCTTCCGCTCTACGCTCCCAACGACAGCCACTCCTTGCGACCGCTGTCCCCCAAGCTAGCCTCTGCTCAGATCTCCAGGTCGTCCTCGCGCCGTGGCCGCACCCCCGACCAGCCGGTACCACCACCACCCTTCTCTCACCCCGTCCCACCCACACCCCATGCGCATTTGATGCTAACAGAGCCACCGCGCCACCCAGTCCATCACCTCCTCTTACTCGCTCCTGTCCGCCGACGAAACCGCCATCCAGCTCGAGACCTCTCTGAAATCTGGCCTTTCCCCGTCTGAAGCCTCGGCGCGCATTCACGACCATGGCCTCAACGAGCTGCCGCACGAGGAGCCCGAGCCGCTCTGGCTCCGTTTCCTCAAGCAGTTCCAGGAGACTCTCATACTGTTGTTGCTAGGCTCGGCCGGAGTGTCTCTAGTCATGGGCAACTATGACGACGCCGTAAGCATTGCCGCCGCTGTGACCATTGTCGTGTCCGTCGGCTTCGTGCAGGAGTATCGCTCCGAAAAGTCTCTGGAAGCCCTGAATCAGCTAGTCCCGCATTCTGCCCATGTCATTCGGAGCAACTTTCCCAACGGTCCGAGAGGCTCCCCGCGGATTCCGCAGGAAAATGGTTCGGCTGCTGTTCCCACCGGTGCCCTGGAGGACACTACTGCTGCGCTTGAGGCCGCCGAGGGCGCTTCTATGACAATCTCTGCCACTCAGCTGGTACCGGGAGACCTGGTGCTCTTCCATACCGGTGACCGTGTCCCTGCCGACATCCGCATCACTCATGCCGCCGACCTGTCAATTGACGAGTCCAACCTGACGGGCGAGAACGAGCCAGTCTCAAAGACACCGGATACTCTCGACAAGGCATCGCGCGGCAACGGATGGGCCTCTCCCGGGCCACAGGCTCCCTTTTATGCCTCCCCGGCCACCGGCACCGTTGGAGCGGATATCCGTTTGAACGACCAGACTAACATCGCCTTCATGGGCACACTTGTACGCTCCGGGTATGGTCAAGGTATCGTCATTGGAACTGGTGCCAACACGGAATTCGGTGCCATTTCCGCCTCGTTGCAGGAGATTGAAAGCCCCCGAACCCCGCTGCAGCTGTCCATGGACCGTCTTGGAAAGGATTTGAGCTACATGTCCTTCGGTGTCATCGCATTCATCATGCTCGTGGGTTTGTGGCGCGGGTGGGCATTCCTAGATCTCTTCACGATAGGGGTTTCACTGGCTGTCGCTGCCATTCCCGAGGGCCTTCCGATCATCGTCACCGTCACGCTGGCGCTGGGCGTGTTGAGAATGTCCAAGAAGAATGCCATCGTCAGGAGGCTCCCGAGTGTCGAGACTCTGGGCTCGGTCAACGTCGTCTGCACCGACAAAACAGGTAAGACCTGCAGTGTCTCAGGATGGCACATGTGACGCAGCCAGAGACAGCCGAAGCTCACTTTCTGAACTCATCACAGGCACTTTGACAACGAACCATATGACGGTCACGAAACTCTGGCACTTTGAGGACAAAGAGCCTGTCGACGTTACGCGAAAGAAAGACTCGGCCGCCCTCGATCCAGCAACCCGGACCATTCTGCGCATTGGAAATATTGTCAACCATGGTCGCCTGATCAGCCCTTCCGCCGCCTCCAACGCGACTGCCGCCGTTCTGTCGTCGACGCTTGGCGGCGCCGACGACCCTTCTGGGGCCAAAAGCCGCTGGGTTGGCCAGCCCACCGATGTTGCGCTTCTTGATCTACTAGACGAGTTTGGCGAGGACGATGTCCGCGACAGGATTGGCGCACGGCTCAATGAAACGCCCTTCAGCTCCGAGCGCAAGTGGATGGGTTGCGTGGTACAAGGGAATTCCGGCCATGAAAGTGCAAGTGCGTCGGATGTGGCATACATCAAGGGCGCGCTGGAAAAGGTACTGGATCGGTGCGACACGTACATCACCGCACAGGGCCGTGAGGTGCCGCTTGATGACGCCAAGCGACGGGAGGCAGTCAGCGCTGCGGACCACATGGCCCAGGATGGTCTGCGCGTCCTTGGCTTTGCGAGTGGATCAGTCCGCGGATCGGGTGGCTTGAAGCCGCCGCACAGAAGCCGCAGTGCCGCTTCGTCTCCCGTGCTTGGCTTTACGCCCGAGAAGGACGAAGATTCCTACCGCGGTCTCGCTTTCGCTGGTCTCGTGGGCATGAACGATCCGCCGCGCAAAGGTGTCGACCGCTCAATCCGTCGCCTGATGGCTGGAGGTGTCAAGGTGATTATGATCACCGGCGATGCCGAGACCACGGCCGTTGCAATTGGCCAGAAGCTTGGCATGCCCATCAACCAGAACTCTTCGATCGGACCGGCGGTTTTGCGAGGTGACGAGCTTGACCAGATGACCGAGGAAGAATTATCCCGTGCCATTGCTACAACGACCATCTTCGCTCGGACAAGCCCCGATCACAAGATGAAGATTGTAAAAGCGCTGCAAGCCCGCGGAGATGTTGTTGCTATGACTGGCGACGGGGTAAACGATGCTCCGGCGCTGAAGAAGGCTGACATCGGTATCAGCATGGGACAGCTCGGTACTGATGTTGCCAAGGAGGCAGCAGATATGATTCTGACCGACGACGACTTTTCCACCATCCTCGCGGCCATTGAAGAGGGCAAGGGCATTTTCTACAACATCCAGAACTTCCTGACTTTCCAGCTGAGCACCAGCGCTGCGGCATTGAGTCTGGTGCTTGTAAGCACGTTCATGGGCTTCAAGAACCCACTCAATGCCATGCAGATTCTTTGGATAAGTATGGTTCCCCCGCCTCACCTGTACAGCACGGTTGCTAACCTTTTCTGAATAGACATTCTTATGGATGGCCCACCCGCCCAGTCGCTCGGTGTCGAACCTGTCGACCCTGCTGTCATGTCTCGGCCTCCCCGGAGCAAGACGGCACGTGTTCTGACACGGCCTCTTCTGCAGCGTGTTCTTACGCAAGCGTCCATCATCATGCTCGGCACGCTGGCCGTCTATATCCAATGCATGCAGGATGGCGCCGTGACGGCTCGTGACACGACCATGACCTTCACCGCTTTCGTCTTCTTCGACATGTTTAACGCTCTTACTTGCCGGTCCGAATCCAAGAGTGTGGTGAAAGGCGAGATCAAGGTGGCAGGGAACCGCATGTTCAACTTTGCAGTCATGGGTTCTCTGGTTGGTCAGATGTTTGTGATTTACTTCCCAGGCCTGCAAAACGTCTTCCAAACGGAGGCGCTCTCGCTCGCCGATCTGATCAGGCTGCTCGCCCTGGCCAGCCTGGTGTTCTGGGCGGATGAAGGGAGAAAGCTGTACACAAGGATGATGAGACGGAGAGGCTTCATGGGTACCTACAGTGCGGCTGTCTGAGCGCAAAGAAGATGCAAGACTTTGTAAATGTATGGGAGCGAATTGCGATGGGGGGTTTGGTGCAATGATTGGTTGGATTGGCAAGTCGAATGCATTGTGCGAGTGCTCGCTTATGCAACAGAAGTAATTCTTTTAAGTAATTCTAGAGATATTTCTAGGATCCCCCCAGTGCGTTGCACTGATGTCGAATTGTCTATTGTTGTCTTAGGCTCGCCACTACCTGTCAGAATATTCAGTCTGGACCTTCACTAAGAACAAGCTCTCCCGACGCCCAACTCCTGATCCTCTGGTCTTATTAGTCTCGCCTGGCCAAGGTTTAGCCATGTGTTCTTACGCTCGTGGCCAAAGGTACAGCAACTCGATGATGCTCGCACAGCGTCAGCAATGGCTTGGTTGTCTCGAATCCGCCAACAATAATCCATATTGCGAAGCGAGAAGGCTTGTCGCATGACGTTTGTGTCGCAGTCATGGTGTTGAACCGGGTCGACCACGCTGCATGCGGTCAACATGCGTAGAAGGTCACAGCGCAGTGGCCCACCCACACGGGCGCTGGACTACTGGTTCATCAGACCGATCTGCCTCGCATCAGCCAAGTCCTAGGCCGCAGCATTGGTTGCACAATCAGGACCCGTTCATCCATCCGAGGTCCGTGGACGGAGGAAAGGGAGAGCGCGGGCCATGCGCAATCGACGTCCTCCTCCCACCACTGGTGTCATCAGACAGGGCCCCGTGTTGGCTTCGCAAGCAAAACTTTCCTGTACCACGGTGGCCCTAGGGCCGCAGCCGGAGCTGTTTCAGTGCTGCCTGCTTCGGTGCCACGAGGGATCCCGGAGACCGGGATCGGTACCTGCAGTCGCGCGACCGTTTCATTCCTCTCCACGGCCTGGAATGCGGTTCCCAGAATTATCCGATTCATGGCGTGTCCTCTACTCCTAACGGCGTGCGTTGGACATGACGATAGTAGGTTGTATGGAAAAGTGTTGTATCCACGGCTGCCGGACGGTCTATGATGGTCTATGATGGTCTATGATGGTCTATGACGGGCTATGACGGTCAAGTCGAGAAAAACACTTTGCAGCCACAGAGGATCAGTGGATGCCAGCTGCCAATGGCTATCCTTTGGGTATTTTCGTCTTTGATGACAGTCAGATAGGCGCCACTCATCTTGCTTGACGCCATCTCTTTGCGTATTTTCCATCCACTCTCCGAGATGGGTGGCTTCGCTATAGTATACTTTGACAAGACGCGGCGCCATGTTGGAGTGTTTGCGCATCCAAACTCCAGGCTTGGAACATCCCATGTGGCGGAATTGGCTCATGCGCGATCCTGCATTCCTCGTTCCCACGCACGTCAGGCTGAGATTGGCAGCATTCCACCTTCGCACAGCCCTCCCACCAACTTTGCGAGACACGGCACAACCAAGCGCCAGCCCATGGAAGACGCCGAATCGGAGGGCGCTGCCAAGGACTCAGCTGGATCCGTGTCTTCTGCCCTTAGCCCGGCGTCATGATCGCCAAGCCTGGCCTGCCATCAGGATGTTGTGTCACCAAGGCAAGTCCTCCATCGTAGGCTTCGAAGTGTAGTGCAGGCGAGCTCTCTGAAAGGCTCACTGAATTGGCTAACGAGTAATGGTAAACAGTACTTGACGTTCTCGATTGACTAGGGTGCGTGAGGCTCCTTCTGCTCAGTCCTAGCCATGCGTGGCAAGCTGATTATCTTCTTGCAAAAGCTTTGGCAGTACAGAGGTGTGACTGTTGCAGAAGAAGCGGTTATCTCGACTACAGCCACTGCCATTGCTGCACCCGCTACAAGTGTAGCCGGGAGGATCAACTCGCAGCCACTACAACCTCTACCTGGTGGCCAGGTATGCTTGATCTAGACGAGGATGGGGTACAGACAGTGTGTCAGGCAAGGGCCACCAACATCCCGGCTGCGGAGCATGCTTCTGCTGGCTCCAATTTCCCAGTGACAGGTGTGCAGTTTACACGCGAAAGGGTATAAAACCGGGGGCGCCCTCTACCACCTAGTCTTCCAAGGGCGACGTTTCATTTTTCCTCGATTCTCTCCGCAGTGAGGCTCTAGTCCCCTCTGTGCTACCGGCTGCTGCCGCTTTCGTTCGGTGCTACCGCCTGGATCTGCGGTACTATCTTTGGTCACACCACTTGACAACCTCCACACTTTCGTCCGCATACAGCATGATCTTCCAAACAAGCTTCTGGCTCGGCCTACTTGCGGCAAGCCTGCACGGCGTCGCCGCGGTCGACCAAGTCGTCGACGCGCAGCTGGTCGAGGCCACTCTGGAGGCGCCGACGCGGCTGGAGCGGCTCAAGCTGTATCCGTCGGACAACGACACCGTCTTCGACTTCTACGAGCAGCCCAACTACAGCAGGGAGCCGGGCTCCGTGGTCAACGCCAACCGGGCGACCTTCCCCTATGCGGCGGGCAACGGCATGACCATGGCGCTGCTGAGCCTGGGCCCTTGCTCGATGCTGCCGCCGCACTTCCACCCACGCGCCGCCAACTTCGTCATGGCCATCAACGGCACCACCGACACGTACATGGTCGAGGAGAACGGGGCGCGCACCGTGCGGGCCACGCTGGACGCCGGCAAGGCCACCATCTTCCCCGCCGCGAGCATCCACACGATGGAAAACAAGGGTAAGCCGAGTTTCCGCTCTTCTCCCCCTTCATATGTCGTTCCTGGCGCGACGTCGGGCTCCTGCGTCCTGCATCCCCTGCGTCCTGCAAGCCTGCGTCGCACAGAACCCCGGTCTGCACTCTTTCCCGCATCAGGCCAGTTCTGCCGTCGTTACGGACTGGCCAAAAAGATCTCCTTTGCAGACAGTGCCGCTGCTCCGCGTGGGCACCTCATATCCCATTTGGGAATGCGTCGTGCCCTGTTTGCGGACAGATGGGCGTTGTCCCCGTCGCCCTTCGTCGCACAGCACGTCTGTCGTGTCCTCTCACACTGCTGTTGCAGCGCTCAATCAACCCTGTCCAAATTAGAGTAACTGTCTTTTACTCAGAGTACCCTAGCTTAGCATGTACATACCCGATCTGCACTTTTTTCTTTCTTTCTGCGCTCTGCCTTGCCAGCAGCTGCACTCACCTTCCACTCATATTAACGTTCAAAATCCGACAGGCTGCGAATTCACCCAGCTCGTCTCGGCGCTGAACTCGGAGGACACGGGCACGACCAACATGGCCAACGTGCTGTTCCAGAGCCTGCCCCACGAGCTGGTTGTTGCTGCCCTCGGCGGCAGATGGTCCGCTGCCGACCTCAACGCCACGGCGGGATCGGTGCCGCCCGTCGGGTTTGGCAGCATCTATGGCAGGAAGGAGTGTTTGGATCGGTGCCGGAGGGCGGGGTATAAGGTTTGATTCGGGTTCATGTGTGTTCGGTCCCTGTTCTTTATGATTCGCTTCCGCCGATATCGTTTTATACTCGAAGACTTGGATGCCGCAAGGCGAATGGAAAATTTGTTCGATCATATATCCGCACCTGCACACTTCTTTGCAACAGTATGATGTTGAAGTTAGGTAGCCTTAGCTTGGGGGAAAAGTCCGGCGCTAAAGAGCGAACGTTCGGTGCCCTGTGTCATGTCATGCCCTGCCCGTGCTTTGCTTTTTAATTATTGCTGGGGTTAAGTACTTACCTAACGGACTTTAGCCTCCACAGCTCGACGTCATCCCACTTTTTTCCCACCTACCTACCTACCCTTTCTTTGGCAGTACGACAATCCCAGCCGCCTTCTCCCAATGGCATCATCTAATGAAGCAGCAGCAGCAGCACCACCACCACCACCACCACCACCACCCATGCACTACCTCATAACCGGCGCCGCCCGCGGCATCGGCCGCGGCCTGACCCGCACCCTCCTCTCAAAAGGGCACCGCGTCTTCCTCATCGACTCCAACGCGCCCGAGCTCCAACACACGCTGTCCCTCGCCCCGTCCTGGTACAGACCAGCTCCTCCTTCTTCCTCGTCTTCTCCTTCCTCCTCGTCTTCTCCCCCTCCCCCTCCCCCTCCCCCTCCCGATCCCTCCTCCCACGCAGGTGCCGGTGCCGGTGCCGGTGCCGCCGCCGTCCAAGGCGCCGTCGCCGACCTCTCCGACCGCGCCGCGCTGCGTTCCGCCGTCGCGCAGGCCTCGGCCTTCTTCTCCGGCCGCCTCGACGTGCTGGTCAACAACGCGTTCGCGACGCCGCACGTATGGAGCGAGGGGCGGGCGATGTATGACGATGACGACGACGCCAACGAGGCGATCGAGCGCGAGTGGGACGTCAAGATCGCGGTGGGGCTGACGGCGCCGTTCTTGCTGGCGCGGCTGTGCGTGCCGATGCTGAGGAAGGGGGGGAGGGAGGGTGGTGGAGGCGGCGGTCCTTGTATTATCAACGTCTCGTCTACACGCGCGCATCAGGCTGAGCCGAACCACGAGGCGTACAGCGCGGTCAAGGCGGGGCTGCTGGGCCTGACGCGCAGCATGGCCGTGTCGCTGGGAAGCGGCGGCGGCGGCCTGTGTCCGATCCGCGTCAATGCCGTCACGCCGGGCTGGATCGACGTCGACGATGAGAATGCGGCGGCGGATGCGAGGAAGGCCGGGTGGGGCGAGGCGCTGGGGGAGGCCGACCATGCGTGGCATCCCGCCGGGCGGGTGGGGAGGGTCGAGGACGTGGCGAGGGCGGTGGTGTTCTTGGCCGAGAGCGGGTTCGTGACGGGGGAGGAGATTGTGCTGGATGGCGGCGTGGGGAGGAAGATGGTGTATCCGGAGGAGTAAAGAGGATGGGGGGCCTTCGGCGGGCCGGCTAGATGTTGTTACCTAGTGCTGCGACGGTGCTTTGAGTGCCACTGCGCTGAGGGGGAGGCGAGTTGGAGATGGGGTAGCCGGAGGGTACTTACTCTAAGAGGTGTCACCCTGCGTGGAAGCTGGTTGTGGGAGCCGGTCGCGTTGCTGTGCGCTGCCCTCTCGTCGCCCGCGGGTTCGAACGCGCTCTTTCCCCAGTGATGACCTTTGCTTTGTGTTCGTCCTGCCATGCGTGTTAAGTTGGTATGTCACCCAGAGAGCGCAAGCGCAAGCGCAAGCCGAAGGGGTGCTCAACCGGTCAGGGTGTGACGCGATGGAGTCAGTGAGGTCAAACTACCGTGGCTTGCGGGCGTTGCTCGCCGCGATAGTAAGAGGAGGCTCTTGCTGCCAGAGCTATCTCAGCAGAAGGCCACTACTCCATCGTGAGACAGCCAGAGACGTCTCATGCTTTGCGACAGGGCAGAGTGAAGGGAAAACACCAGAGGCGCGCGGTGACATTGCGACGCGCAAGCGCAACACTGGGCAACACTGGGCAACACTTCAGCGTCGCAGCAGAAAACAGAAGAATGCAAGCTCTTCCTCGAAGCCCCAGGCAAGCCGGAGCAATCAACGAAAAGAAGGAGTTCGCATCAGCCTCAGACAGTGCGATAGAGGCGACACTGTGCCCAGGTAGATGAGCGGAGCTCAGCGCCACCCAGGCGGGTTCCAAAAATAAGATTAATCGGCGTGCCCCCGTAAGGGCGTTTTAGAGATTAAACTAAAAAGAACAGCCACTGCACTTGATCTAAGCCAAAAGGCAAAGAGAGCTGAAGAAGAAAAGAGGAGTCGGAGGTCGAGGGGCGGAGGGGTTTATATAAGTTTTGGAACCGGCAGCGACGGCGGCCGGTCAGTTGACCCGGCTGGCCTGCTGGCATGGCAACACGTGCGGGCGAGTGCCGAATTGGTGGGCGATGCCGGAAAGGGAAGGACCAGCGGGTTGGTGCTGGCTGTTCGAGCCACCGCCCCGGCAATCCTACTTGGATCATCTCCACATGCGCTGAACACCCATCTCTCAAGGTAGATGCCGACCGCTTCTGCCACATTGGAGGCAGTGTACGGCACTGGCCTCTGGAATTGCGCTTGGCCATCCGGATCATCCACGGCGACAGCCTAGACGTACTCATGACGGTCATTACCGGCATTGAACCACACGATCCGCGCGCTGCACAAGATTTTCCTGCTTAGCCCAGCAGCAAGCCATGTCAGTAGCTATGGATGCGTGAGGATACCGCAGTAAACAGACGATGAGCCGCAGCCAAGGCATTGGGCACGACGAGAGCCAGCTGGGCAGGAGCGTTCCGAGGATGAGACTTCTTTCCAGTGCCTGCAGCAGGCTCCATCTCTACATACATGCACTCCGTTTTCTACCATGCGGCCACGCTCTCTTCTTCTGCACTTCACAACCCGTCATCCGTCCAGCCTTGGTCGACACGGTCGAGCGCAGAGAGGTCGATACATCTGGTCGATGAGACGACACTGCCCGAGTCCTTCCTGCGCTTCAAGCTCCGGGGAGGCCGTGCTGGCTAGACACAGCATCCAGCTGGCGCGCTACGTGGCGGGCGACGGTGGTAGAGGCCGGCGCATCCCGATTTAAGACGAGGGGGACAGAAGTGAGGCCGGGTGGAGACGCAGGACATGCAGGCGGGGCTTGGCAGGGCCGTGCGGGAGCTCCGCGGGCGAGATCATGACAGCTATCAACACCCGCTGCTGTTTCAAGTCGACGCTTTTTTGGCTGTCCCTCAGAGAGAGAGAGCGCGAGGCCCGCCGTGCCTCCTGATTGCCTGCGTCCAAATTCCAGCATCCGTCAATTCTCTTCGCTGCGCTATGCACCATCCCCATTTCCATCACCGTCGCGCCGCAACCAGCCCGAGTCTCTAGTGCCCGCCCTGCAGCTACCCTCTGCACCCCACATCCACACCACTCCCCCAGAACACCCCGAGAACACTCCTCGGCCGCGCCTCTTCGCACGTCGCCATGAGGGTTCGTCATTGGCTGCCGCGCGGCCAGGCGGCCCTGCTCTTCGCCGCTCTCGCCCCCCAGAGTGCCACCGCCAGTCCGCCCATCAACGTAGCTCTCAGCGCCCGCTTCAATTCCCCCCCATACCTCGTCGAGCTGCTGTAAGCTTGCCATTGCATATCCCTTATGCTCCTGCAGCTAACCCGAGCTAGGGAGACGGCCGCCCTCGAGAACGCCACGGCCTATTTCCCTCTGCTCGACCGCATCGCCGACGGCTACTTCGACGCCAAGTCCTCTGAAAAGGACCAGCACCATGCCTTCCTGCAGCTGCTCCAAGACGATGGACACATCACCGACCCCGACGCCCTCTCCTCCTTCCAATTCGCCCTCTCCATCCACACCGCCGCCCCGCGCATCGAAGCCCACTACCAGTTCTACAACACCTCGGTCGAGCCCTCGCTGGAGGCCGACCAGGGCGACGACTGCGAGTCCTGGGTTCTGCTCGATGGGAAGCAGTATTGCTCGCCCGCCATGGACAAGGAGCGCGGTGAAGTGAAGGACGCCAGGTCAGTCGCATTGCCCATGCACGCTGCCCACGCACGCTGACAATGCATTCCAGAGTCACGGACCTGCCCTTCGACCGCCCCATGAGACCAGACCACCGCTCAGTCGCTTCCGTCCTCTACGCCGACATCACCTCGCCCAGCTTCCGCAACTTCCACAAGACCATCATCAAGACTGCCCGCGCCGGCGACACCTCTTACACACTGCGCCACAAGCCCTCCAAGAATACCCGCCACGCCCCGCAAGACGTCCATGGCTACGGCGTCGAGCTTGCCCTCAAGAGGACCGACTACATCGTCATTGATGACCGCCAGGCCGAGGATGACGATGCCAAGGCACCGGCTGTAGATGCCGCCCAGGCCGTCCTGCACGACGACGACGTTGCAGACTTGAAGCCGCTTTCCGAGTCGGACCTCAAGGGTCTAGGACTCAAGGCTGCGAGCTTTGTCATGAGCTCTGAGGACCCGCTGGACACGCTGCTCAAGCTATCGCAGGACTTTCCCAAGCACTCTTCTGCCATTGCCGCCCATGACGTCTCCAAGGACTTCCTGAAGGAGCATCAGGACAACAGGGAGGCTGTCCTGCCGCCAGGATACAACATCCTTTGGATCAACGGCGTGCAGGTCATGCCTCGCGACGTGGATGCTTTTGCTCTGCTCGAGCACTTGCGCCGCGAGAGGCAGATTGTCAACAGCGCCCGCAAGCTTGGCTTCTCCCCGCCCGAGGCCATCAACGTCCTTGCCAACAACAACATCGCAAAGGCAAAGGACAACGACGAGCCTCAGCGCTACGACTGGCGCGATTCGGCAGAAGGTGGCAACGTCATTGTGTTCCTGAACAACCTTGAGAAGGACAAGCGCTATGCCGAGTGGCCCGAGAGCCTTCGCGCGGTAAGTCACCAACGGTGCAAATGTCCCTGCAAGCACACTGACCTGGCTCTAGCTCCTCCAACCCTCCTACCCGGGCACCCTGCCTAACGTCAAGAGAGACATCCAGAACGTAGTCATTCCCCTCGACCTCACCAACCCCCTCGACGTCACCGTACTCGTCGAGACTCTGCAGAGCATGGTCAAGCGCAAGCTGGCCGTTCGCTGGGGCATCGTCCCGTCGACAAAGAACGTCAGGGCGGAGCAACAGGCTCGCGTCGTCTACTATCTCCTTGAGTACCATGGACTGAGTGCTGTTATGCAGTACCTCGAGCACGTGAGTTACAACGACCCTATGCATCCAAAGAGCGCTACTGACAGGCGAGCTGCAGTCCCTTAAGCTGAAGGAAATCTCCGAGCCTTCCAAGACGGCCTTCGGCACCGTAACGGCGGACGCCAAGATCCGCGGTAATCGGGTTGCAAAGAGCTTCGACCAGGTTTTTGAAGAGGAAAGCGTCGCCAAGCGCGTAGAAGCAGCATCAAGCTGGCTGTTCAGGATGGCCGCTGACGGCAATTCACCTCCCTTCTTTGTGAACGGCGTCGCGCTCCGTCGCAACGACGAGTGGCTTTCAAGCATGAGCATGAGGGTCTCTCGGGATCTCAACACCATCCAAAAGGCCGTGTTCGAGAACCAGTTCGACGAGGATGCCGACCAATGGCTTCCTGGTGTCTTCCTTGCCAACGCCCTTCTGAGGCGCAACCCCATGATTGTCCCTGAAGACGAGAAGGACGTCAAGCACGTGGACATGGCCCAGGTCTATGCCGACTATGGCCATCTCATCGAGCGCTTGCCGACATTCAAGGCCGCAGAGGACTCGGAATGGTTCCAGTGGGCGCAGCTCATCGTTCTCGGCGACTTCGACTCCAAGGCGGGCGCGACTCTGCTCGCAGATGCCTACCAGCTTGCTGCAGAGCATGGCGATCTCGAGACGGCGTTTGTCCACACGGGCGATGTGGACCACTACTCTAGACTGTCCTATCTTCTGTGGAAGAACAAAGGTCAGAGCTTTGTGGATGACCTTCCCGAAGACTTTGTGCCAAGCTCCAAGGAGCTCAAAGAGTGTGCAGAGTACTGGGACGCCATGAAGCCGCTCATGCGCGTCTTCGACGGCGAGTCCGGACGCGAATCACTGGTGCTCAATGGCAGGACCGTCGGTCTCATCCGCAAGCGCAGGCCTTTCACTATAGACGACCTGGAGAATCTCCTGACTTATGAGAGAACGAAGCGCATTGAGCCAGCGAACAAGGCCGTCATGGACCTGGGCCTCGAGAACAAGATCAAATCCCCTGGTGCATCCGCTCAGTTCACATCCTTGGTGGCTCTCTCAACCGTCTCCAATGTCCCAGAGGGCATCTTCGACACTCCTCCCACCACGCGTCGCGATGTGTTCAAGTTCTGGAACGATACCCACACGTGCATCAAGACGGGCGAGATGGAGACGTCTGCGATCCAGATCGTTGCCTCTGTTGACCCCTCATCGGAGACTGCTCAAAGATGGCTTCCCATTCTCAAGGTGCTGTCGGAGCTGAGCGGCGTCCACATGCGGCTGTTCCTCAACCCCAAGGAGAGGCTGAGTGAGCTTCCAGTGAAGCGTTTCTACCGCTATGTCGTGGCGTCCAAGCCCTCTTTCGATGAGAATGGCTCCACCGAGGCACTGCAGGCTACCTTCGATGGCATTCCCTCTGAAGCCCTCCTAAACCTTGGGTTGGACGTGCCGCCGCAGTGGGTCGTCGCAGCCAAGGAGTCGGTGCACGATTTGGACAACATCAAGTTGAGCCAGCTCAAGGGCCAGTCGTCCATCGACGCCGTCTATGAGCTCGAGTACATCCTGATCGAAGGCCACTCTCGCGATCTCACCAATGGCATGTACCCCCGTGGCGCCCAGCTCGACCTGCGCACGACGTCGAACCCTCGCTACGCCGACACCATCATCATGGCCAATCTTGGCTACTTCCAGTTCAAGGCCAACCCGGGTTTCTTCGACATCGAGCTGCAGCCCGGACGCAGCCAGGACATCTTCACCATCGAAAGCGCGGGCACGCTCGGCTGGGAGCCGCAGCCGGGCGACCGCACCAAGGAGATCGCACTCATGGACTTCAAGGGCGTGACCCTCTTCCCGCGCCTGTCCCGCAGGTCTGGAAAGGAAGACGAGGACGTGCTCGAAGCGCCCACCACCATGGTCGAGGACCTCGCGGCCAAGGGAGCCGCCTTTGCCGACGGCATCCTCTCCAAGGTCGGCATCAACGTCAAGACTGGTGGTATGTTGTCCTCCCTCCTCTCGGCAGTCGGGCTCTGGACCAATCTGACGGCACTCGCAGGATCCTCGCGCCACGCAGACATCAACATCTTCTCGGTCGCCAGCGGGCACCTGTACGAGCGCATGCTCAACATCATGATGGTGTCGGTCATGAAGCACACCAAGCACACGGTCAAGTTCTGGTTCATCGAGCAGTTCCTGTCGCCATCGTTCAAGTCGTTCCTGCCCACCCTCGCCGCGGCCTACGGCTTCGAATACGAAATGGTCACGTACAAGTGGCCGCACTGGCTGCGGGGCCAAAAGGAAAAGCAGCGCGAGATCTGGGGCTACAAGATCCTCTTCCTCGACGTCCTCTTCCCGCTCGACCTCGACAAGGTCATCTTCGTCGACGCCGACCAGGTCGTCCGCGCCGACATGCACGACCTCGTCACGCACGACCTGCAGGGCGCCCCCTACGGCTTCACCCCCATGTGCGACTCGCGCACCGAGATGGAAGGCTTCCGCTTCTGGAAGCAAGGCTACTGGAAGAACTTCCTCAAGGGCCGCCCCTACCACATCTCGGCCCTCTACGTCGTCGACCTCCACCGCTTCCGCCGCCTCGCCGCCGGCGACCGCCTCCGCCAGCAGTACCAGCAGCTCTCGGCCGACCCGAATTCCCTCTCCAACCTCGACCAGGACCTCCCCAACAACATGCAGGCCGGCCTCCCCATCCACAGCCTCCCCCAGGACTGGCTGTGGTGCGAGACGTGGTGCGCCGACGACGCGCTCAAGAACGCGAAGACGATCGATCTCTGCAATAACCCCCAGACCAAGGAGCCGAAGCTCGATCGCGCGCGGAGGCAGGTACCGGAGTGGACCGTGTATGATGAGGAGATTGCGAGGTTGGCTAGGGAGGCGCATGTGGACGCCGCTGCTGAGGGCATCGTTGGCGGTGCTGGTGCTGGTGCTGGTGATGCTGATGCTGAGGATAGGGAGTTGTTGGAGAAGGTGGGGGAGCAGGCGGAGGAGGTGGAGGAGGAGAAGAAGGAGAAGGAGAAGCAGAAGAAGAAGGGGCATGATGAGTTGTAGTTTTTGTTCTTGTTGATTAGCGTTGGGTATGACATACATAGATTTTTTTTTGTGTGGGTTAGTAGGGTAACGAGAACGAGAGGTTTTTCTTTTCCTCTTCCCTTGCTATTACTTTGAAGGAGATGAAGAAAATAAAGAAGGAGAGGAAGCGAAAGATATAGGATGTAGTAAAGTAGGAGGGAAAGCGTTATAAATAAAGAGAAAAAAGAATTCGAATCCTCTTACTGGAATTGTTTATTATATGGCTTACTCTGTTAGTAGCATATTCCTCTACGTCCCTAAGCAAAGACATTAAGGAAAGTAAGCTGCCAACGAACGATAGGAATGTAATGAATAAGTATAGAAAGTTCCTATTTCTTATTTCCCATCCTATAAAATGCGCACAGCAGGTTCGTGAACCTTAGGACGATTGAAGCTAGTAAGAAGCAAGAAGGGAAAAGAAAAAAAAGTAAACACGTCCCTGACAGTCGTAGTCTGATATCCTGAAATGACGCCCTGCAATGCCTCGCTATCCCATGCTCGCTGGAAAGAAAAATGATGATTGTGCTCCTCCCCCTCACCTCCCTCCGCTGATAATGCTTCCAATGAAAAAAAAAAGATGAAGTAGTAGCAGTGATGGTACAGCAGTGACCGAAATGACCAACGCCAAGCCATGTCCCAAACCCCCCTCATGTGGGTGTTAACAACAACAACACAGCAATAACAGAATCGGTGAACCACATTGATGTGGGTGGTGCAAGAGAAGGCCGAAAGAGGACTTCAGGATGGGGGAAGGACAGGAGGATAGAAGCAGGTGTGTAGAAAAGCGGGGAGAACTCATCAGTCAGACCAGTGCCCGCTTTGGGTGACGCTCGAGCCCCACGTCTCCAATCGCGACCTGTAGGTGAGATCAAAAAGACGTGAGGCGGACATCTAACCTGCCGCGGGACGACTGAGCGAGAGCCAACCCCCACCAACCACGCACGCACAGGGCCGATCCACTCCCACTCTCGGATGGCCTATCCTTTACCTCCTGTTGCGACCCCAGCCCCGCCCGCCTGCTTTCGAGTTCTTGTTCTTGATCTTCAGCTTCTTGAAGTTTGCGTGTGCCTGGGCGCTGATCTTGCGCGTCGCCTTCTTCATGACGTTCTCCTTCTTCTCCCCAGCATCTCCCTTTGCAGCCGCCGCCTTCGTCGGCTGCTTCTTGCCGCTGCTTCCAACCTTGCGCTTCTTGGGCGTGTGTTCAGACTCGTTCCCGTCATCTTCCACGGCCGTAGAGTCGCTGTCGTCGAAGTCCTCGTTGGCGGGCTGGGCAGGCTGAGTTTCGGCAACAGTGGCGTCGCTCTCGTCCTCGGAATCGGCAGCGGCGGGTTGCGGCTGCTGGGGCTGTGGCCTGGTTCTGACAGGGCGCATGTTGACTCTGCGAGTCTGCCTCTTCGCTCCCTTCTTCTTCCACACCTTGCGTGGTGGGCCGTTCTCGCCCTCGCTGGGCTCCGAGTCTGAGAAGTTCTCACCGTCTGCACCGAGCTTCCTGTCGAACTGGCTGTCTTGGACAAGTACGGTTGATGGCGCCTGCCGGGGTGCGGGTGCAGCGGTTGGCCCGTTCTCCATCTCACGCATTGCCTCCTCCTCATCCTCATCAGGGTCATTCGCAGCCAACTCGGCCTCTGCCTCCAGCTCGGCTTGCCTCTTGGCCTCGGCCTCTTGCCTCGCATCTTCTTCCTTCTCCTTCCTCCGCTCCTGCAGAATGGTGCTCAGTGTCCGGGTGAACGACATGGGCTTCCTCGGCATCCTGGGGCTCGTCGGGTTCTCGGTCAGGGAAGGCATTGGTCTGAAGTTCCTACGAAGGAAGGCGGGGGTGGTGGGCTGGCCACGTGACGACGGAGTGCCCTCGTCGTGTTGCCGCTTCGGCTTTTGGGGGGTAGCAAACTTGTCCAAGAAGTGGCGCTTTCCCTCGGACACGGGGGTGCGGCTCTTGCGGGCCATCTTGCCGCTCCAGACCAGCTCATTCTCATCGTCGTCATCGAAGTCGAGCCTGCGCTTTTTCTGCGGGGTCTGGAGGTGAGAGTTGGCTGTGATGTCGCCAAGGACGGTGCGCTGCGGCTTGTTGGGTGATTCGGTGGGGAGCAGGTCGAAGAGGCCCAGCAGGATGCCGTCCTTTTGAGGTGTGGGGCCGAGCTCGTGGGCGGCCGGGCTGAAGAGCTTGGTGGGGGAAAGGTGCAGCAAGTCGTCGCGCGGCTCGCGTAGCTCCGAGTCATTGGTGACGGGTATGTGCTTTACTTTCTTGGTGGGGGTCTGGTAGATGTCGATGGCGGAAGGGTCGGCCTTGCGTTTCGGGGAGGCGGGTTGCGGCTTGGATTTGCCATCTAGAATGTCGCGCAATTTGTGGTATTCCTTGTATTTGGCAGCTGCAGAGACGGGGTCAGCTCTTAGGTGGAGGCAAACGGGGAGGCAAACGGAGCGACAGTGGCGTACCAATGTGGGGAGTGGCCTTGATGTCGGCGCGTCCTGCCTTGCGGCCGGCATTGGCAGTCTGGAACGACTTCTCCCAAGCCTTGAGCTCGACGCGGATTGCGGTGCACTGCTGAGCGTATTCGGGATTCGCGAGGGTCGCCATGGTCGGTGTAATAATGGGGTGGGGGGAGGATGGCGGAGGCGGTCGGGGAGAGAGAGGAGTTTGGGTGTTGGTGCACGAAAACGCGACGCGGTGCCAGGACGCGTCGGACCCACGCGACGCTATGACCGCATCCGTAAGTGGTTGCCGCTTCCCCTCAACCCCGGAACCATGCTTGCATGCTTTGTTCACACACTCTGCTCGTGCCTCTGTGCAACCCTTTCCGATCCCTGCACTAGCTCTCGAATCCTCGCTGTCGAGTCCGAGTCCATCACTTGCAGGCATTGTCCAAGGACAACCCTCTCGCTTACCCATGCAGCAACCCGGCACAACCCTCTCACTTCTGCGATTCCTATCATTGTATTCCTTGCGCTGCCTGTGATGAAAATACTGGATACGATTTGCTGTTTTCGGAACTAGTCTTCCTCCACTCGCAAAGCGGGGCCGAAATGCAGCGTCATCTCGGCCACCCCTTCGGCTGAGGCTGACCCGCTCCCCGCCCTGCGTCTGCTAGAGACGATACTAAAGGAGGGGCAACCAGACACATTTCTCCGGCTCCCTCTTCACTTTTGCTTCAGCTGTCGCGTTCGCAGCCAAAGCGATTGCCTTGAGCTTTGCAATACTACTTGTTCTTGAATCGCAACATGGCATCCTCACTGAAGACATCTGCACTTGAAACTATATTCGGGGAACAGCTAGACGGAACCAAGCCCCAGGGTGGAGTAGACGCTCCCGCCTGGCACGGCCTTGCCGCGAAGAAGAGGGCTTCGAACTTGGCCAAAATCCCGCAAGAATGGCGTCTTCCAAGAGACTTGCTGAAGAACGTCCACGACGAGTCCAAAACCAGCGTCCTCGATGTCCCGCGGTCCTGTGGACTGCTCACCGCCAATGAACTGCGAATCACCGAGACCTTCGACGCCACTGGCCTCTCAGAGCAGCTGTCAGCAGGAACTCTGAAGGCCTACGATGTAGCAACCGCTTTCTGCAAGCGCGCCGCCATTGCCCACCAGCTGACGAACTGCCTGACCGAGATCTTCTTCGACCAGGCCTTGGAGCGAGCCAAGGAACTCGACGAGTACTATGCCCGCGAGAAGAAGCTGATGGGGCCCCTTCACGGCCTTCCCATCAGCCTCAAGGACTCGTACGTGGTAAAAGACGTCCATAACACCCTGGGATACATCTCCTTCTTGGACAGACCGCCAGCCGAGAACAACTCGCCAATCGTACAGATCCTCCTGGGCCTGGGAGCCGTGCTATACGTCAAAACCAACGTCCCCCAGACGTGAGAGCCCTTCCCCTTCTTAGCTGAAGCTTTGCTGACCCCCTTTGCAGCTTCATGACCGCCGACTCGGAGAACAACGTCTTCGGCCGCACGCTCAACCCACGACGACTAACACTGACAGCAGGCGGCAGCTCGGGCGGCGAGGGCGCGCTGATCGCCATGCGCGGCTCCCTGCTGGGCGTCGCAACCGACGTGGCCGGCTCGATCCGCATCCCAGCGCTGTGCAACGGCGTGTACGGCTTCAAGCCGACGGCGAACCGGCTGCCCTTTGGCGGCAACGCCGCGCCAGGCCGCCTGGGCTCGCCCTCACCCATCGTGCCGCTGTCAGGCCCGCTGGCCACCTCGCTGCGTGACTGCGAGCTGCTAGTCCGCAGCATCGTCAGCGCCGAACCATGGCTGCTGGACGACAGTGCGCTGAACCTTCCATGGCGGTCGACCTCCCCCCCAGCGTCCTCCACCACCACCACGAAGACCCCCCTCCGCCTCGGCCTCATCACCGAAGACCCCACCCGCCCGCTCCACCCGCCCGTCCTCCGCGCCCTCCGCACCGCCGCATCCAAGCTCTCAGCCGCCGGCCACACCATCGTCCCCCTCGACGAACCCTCCGCCTCCGCCTCCGCCTCCGCGCTCCCCACCCTCATGACCACCGCCTCCCTCGCCTGGAAACTCTTCGCCCTCGACCCCTCCGGCACACCCCTCCGCATCATCCGCTCGGGCGGCGAACCGCCCATCAAATCGCTCTCGACCGTGCGCGTCCCGCAAAACGACGGCTGGACGCCCTCGCTCGACGGTCTGTGGGACCTCGTCGCGGAGCGCAAGCGCGTCGCGCGCGCGTTCCACGAGGCCGCCGTGGTCCGCGGCGCGCTCGACGCCGTGCTGCTGCCCGCGCACTGCGCCACCGCCGTGCCGCACGACTCGTACGGCGTGCCGGCCCACACGGTGCTGGCGAACGTGCTGGACTGGCCGGCGGCGGTGGTGCCGTTCGGCGTCGCGGAGGCGGCGGAGGACGCGGCGTTTGTGAGGGAGGGGGTGGAGTACGTCCCGCCGTATGAGCCGGGCGAGGTCGAGGGCATGCCGTGTGCGGTGCAGGTGATGGGGAGGCCGTTGAGGGACGAGGAGCTGTTTGGGGTGGTGGAGGTGGTGGAGAGGGCGTTGCGGGCGCCGTAGTAGGGGGGATGAGGAGGGACGTGGGTGGCGGGCGGGTAGGGGGAAGGGACGAACAGGTCTTGCAGCAGAGGTTTGCAGCAGAGGTCTTGCAACGGAGAATTTCGATAACGCCTGGATTATGAAATAGTATAGATGTGAGAAAGACCCTAATTGAATGTTTTGAAAGTGGGTAGTAGAAGCAAGAACCACCGCTGCCGGCGAGTCCTGATGACCGCAAAGGAGCATGCCCCCTGATGGAGGGCGACTTGCCCAAGGAAATTTGCAACGTGAATGGAAAAGCCGGAGCCGCTTTCGTTCGTTCGTTCGTTCATCAATGAAGAAAAAAAAATGTTACAGGTATTGAAGAAAGGCCCCCCGTTTCCCGTTCAGACCCCCCATTCGCCGTACAGGAAAGCATCGCTACTCGAGCTCATGCAAGTGAGAATCTTCCATCAACCCCCGTGCTGGAAACTTTTAAAAAGAGCTTTTTGTAGTGAACAATCGACATCGCCCCACAATCCTTTTCGAACATCCCCCACAAGAGAATTCAGTGATCTACAGAGAAAACAGGCCCACAATTGGTGCAGATCAAAGTCTCCCCATCCTTCGGCCCAGTCAAGCACCACACATGCTTGTCGGGATGACTTGAGGTCGCTTAGGCAGTCGCGGTCTCGTCTTTGTCTTCGATGCTAGCCTGTTCAAGCTCCTTGGCTGCGTCAGTGACAGCGTCCTTCTCCTGGGCAAGCTCCGCATCAGCATCGGCGGAACCGTTGACCTGCTGGTTCTTCGCCGCCGGCTTCTTGGCAGTGTCCTTGGCGCCAGCATCCGCACCCTCGGACTCAGCGGCGTCAAGCTTCTCGATCTCCTTCTTCGCCTTATCAATGTTCTGTGGGGTCTGGTTAGCGACTGATCAGCACAAAGGGGGCGCGAGTTGCAGAATTTACCTCCTGGGTCTTGCGGCCCTGGTCCTTCTTCCAGGTCTCAAGCTTCTCCTTGAGCTTCTCGACCACGCCGGGGATGTCGGATTGGCTAGCGGGTGCCTCGACGTTGATCTGAGACAGCTGCTCGAGGACGCCAATCGAAAGGTTGAAGCCGGAAGAAGCCGGAGCAGACTCCTTGTTCTTCTTGTTCTTTTTGCCCTTCTTGCCGCTGCCACTCCCAGCGAAGTAGTCCTCCTCCTCCTTCTTCACCACCTTCATGCCCTTGAAGGCAGAGTCGTCAGTAGTCCTGCCGGCCTGAGCGAGGAACTTGGAGGTGCCGTTGGTCTCCTTGGCAGGCAGAGCGGAGGGGTCGAAGTAGCGGATGAGACCCTCGGCGGTGATGATCTCCTCGGTGTACGCAGGAGCGCTGGCCTCCTCGAGCTTCGCATCGGCAATCTCGCGACGCTTCTTGGCCTCGTAGGCCTTGCGCTCGGCGTCTTGCCTCTCCCTCCTGACCTTGTACGCCTCTTGCTCGTAGTTGCGGAAAGCGCGCTTCTGTTCAAAGTATTTGTCCTTGAACTCCTTCAGTTCGGTCCACTTGGCCTGTTGCTCGTTGCGAAGCTTGGTGCGCTCGTCACGGAGGGTGTTGAGGCTCTTGTAGGCCTCATCCTGCTCCGCCTTGATGGCATCAAGCTCGGACTGGATGGTAGAGTAACGGTCGCTCATGGCCTTGGCCTCGGGGTCATCCAGGGACTTGCGCAGCTCAGCAATCTTCGCCTTCAGGTCGGCGATGCCCTTCTCGGCCTGGTCAAAGCCGGCGAAGTTCTTCTTCTGCTTGTTCAGGCTGGAGATGTCGGCAAGGGCCTTCTTCTCCTCCACAATCTTCATCGAGCCAGAGTCGACCTGGCTCTGGAGGCGAGCGATCTCGCGGTCGACCTCGTCAGCATTCTTGAAGTTGACACGGCTGCGAGCCGTCTTGTTCTCCTGGATCCTAGACTTCAGTTGCTCATCGAGCTTCCTGATCTGCTCAAAGACGGTGTTGCGCGAGCCCTTGTTGGCCTGCTGCTTCTTGCGGATCTCAGCGAGCTCGGTGCGGAGCTCCTGTTGCTTCTTAGCAGTTGGTGAGTCCTTGTTGTTCGGTGTAGCGAGATCGATCTTCGCATTGAGGGCTTTCTACATGGCCGTGGTGGTCAGCAATGCTCTAGGCACTCGGACTGGGCGCGCCGGGTGCAATTGGCGCAGCCAAGTGCGAAGACGTACGAGCTTTTCTTGAGCAGCAGCATGTTGTTTCTCCTTCTCAGCCAGACCCGTCTTGTAGGCATCCTCACTGGGCTTCTCAGGCTTCACGAACTGCTGCTTCTTAGCAGCAGCGGGAGTGGTAGTGTCGGCCATTGCGACGGCGTAGGATGACAGAAAATCGAATCGAAGAGCCGGAGGGAGGGTGCAGCTGGATGCGACCGGAGGGTGGAGGTAGCGAGGGTGGAGGATCCTCAGTGAGGGTGTCTTGGGGGGCGAAGAAAAGGGCGGAGTGGGATAGTGAAGTAGCGCAGTCTGGCCAGAAGTCAAGTCACGGCAACTTTTCGCCTGTGGCTCAGCGAACCCCGGCACGCCAGGGTCCGCTTCGGGGGCGCAGAGCGCCTAGTGATCCTAACACCCTGCCTGAGCGCCGCCTTGATCGCGAATGTTCTCGCGTGCACGCGCTCCTCACCTTCGCGGTGTTATCCTCGAGCAGCCCGAGTCTGGGTATCGTGGTGTTAGTGACCAGGAGCCCATCGCTTGTGTTGATGCTGCGGGACGCGTCGCACAATGGCGCCTAGGATTTCATAGAACGCAAGCAGAATCCAACCTCCGCGTGCCTCCAAGGACTCAAAACCACTGGTTCCTTGCGCTCAATCATCTGGCCAGAGTGCATGCGCGGTTGGATGGCGTCGTGCTTCGATATCCACGCTAGTGGGCCCCTCAACCCATGCAACCAGCCGGCACTGTCAACGTTCGGTAGCCTGAAGCAACATCACCGGCACAGAACCCGCTCACCGGCACCATGACCACGTTCTGCGGCTCCTTCGCTTCCTTTTCGCCCGCTCACGAGCCTCTGACTTTATTCTAGATGACCTGGAACTCCTTGCGACCGGTGCCGCCCCTGTCTACTCCAAGCGCACCTCCACAGGCCCCATTCCCTGCGGGTAATGCCGTCGCTCACTGCCAGCAGTAGCCCAGTACGTACCAGCCCGTCATCGTCACGCGACTGCGTCTCTCGTAGCTCTGAACATCCCTTGAGCACTACAAAATGCCCGCTCAGCCGTGAGGTTACCCACCGGCGCCCCCAAGCAGGTCGCGCCACCGCTGTTGGGCAAGACAATCCATTGGCTGGAGTGAGAAGCACAATTCGGATACAATACTCCTCAAGGGACGGTGTCCGTCGCTCTACACTACGGAAAGGGTCTCACAAACCCTCGCGACGAAGGCAATGGCCGCGGACTCTCCACTGCAGCTTTGAAGTCCCACTCGCAAGCAACAGACCCAGGTAAGCATGGAAGCAGAACACGCTTGCAGAGACTCAACACTGCTTGGTCGCAAGCATTGGATGCCAGGATCCTAGTAAGTTCAAATGGACCATTGCGCACGTCTTCTGGCGAGGAGAGCGAGCGCAGCGATGCAGCACCTCATCGGCAATTGTCAGTGAAGACAGTCGCCTGTCTGGCTAAGCACGGCGTTCCTGCAGAGCGGAGTGTCTTTGGTGTTTGGCACACTGGCTATGGGAGAGACTGGTGACTCTCGGAAAGACGCTCCTACCCCCTGCCTCACCTTAGTGAAGCTAACTAGACGGGACCGTGGGGAAATTGAGCTGCTATCTTTTCGGCCTTGCGGCAGATGATGCTCTCGCAACCAAAGCCCAGCTGAGAGCACTGAGGAGACTGATCTCCTCAGCTCTTCCAAAGCCGTGACTACTGTTTCCTGACAGCCATGGCGGCCGTGATTTGCAAAAGACTCCCAATGAGGGTTCGTCGTACCGTGACAACGTACTCCATGTCCGCCAGTGCCAGCCGCTGGAGCGCAGAGGGGTGGGGGCTCTTGCCAGGGTGGTGCCGCACGTGCAGAAGCAGCTGCCAAACCTGTAGTATGAGGGCAGGCCGGTGTGGGCTACTGAGCGCATACTCAGGTAGCGGGGGCAGTTGCTGCGAACGCCGCTTCCTCATGGGGACCTCCCATGGGGCATATTAAAATCTTTCCAACTCGCCCACTCCTCTTCCTCCTCTTCTTCCTCCTCGTCACCTCCAACCTCTCCGCCTGGGCAAGCTGTGCACTCGCACGCTTGATTCAAGGCATCGTCTCTCCTCTCTTACCATCGGTTTGCCTTTCGGCACGCACGACCCGCTGCTTCAGCGCATCTACCTCACACCCGCTCACTGAGCCACACAATTCCCAAGTCAGTTGCGCCGTCATCTCACTCAGAAGAGCATCTTGACTTGTTCACGCCGTCACATCGTCGTTAAGCTTCGCATTCTCACAGTGAGTGAACCCAAGCTGCTTGCTGTCACACTTCCGTCATCCTTCCCCTTCGGTGTCTGCGCGCGATGTGTCTGTCTTCTGACCTTACTCCACAGATCTTGTTCCACATCAGCTGCGTCACCTGCCATCATGTCCACAGGTTCACAGCCGCGTTCCTCGGTGTCGTTCTCCGACTCCACTGCCATGAGCCGGCCAGGAGGCACTCCCCATACGCTTCCGACACCAGGTATGTGAGCTTCATTCGCTGACTCATACTGCGCTCTAACACTCGAACCAGAGAGCGAGCGAATGACGGGCATCCAAACGATGCCGTCAGCCGCCATCACTCATGGCGGATTGCCCATCTCGGGCCGAGTACATTCGAGCAACAGGTTTGGGCTCCGTCCACCGCCTCCCAGCCAGAGCGGAAACCACCGCTTCCTGCCACTCTTGGACCTTCCGGCGGTCAATGTCCGTCTGATCGACTCGCCCATCACGGCACCAGAGAATACGCCGGCTCCCAGTGCTGGAGCGTCAGATGGAGCGATTCCGCAGGAACGCCTGCCATCGATAGCCGAAGTGCTCCAGCGGCTGCCGGAGCTGTCTAGCGATGTGTATGTCTCCTGTGAGGCGTCGTGTCTGACCAGCTGCTAACGTACTGTAGGAGTTCTGCCGCGACAACCCTGGCCGAACCTGGCATGCTCGACGAGGAGGAGATCCTTGTTCAGTCCAGCCCGCTTGCCCCCTCCAGCCCCACGTTCAATGGCAGATCTTCGACTCCTCTGACGCAGCACGGAGTACGAGAACATACTGACTGGCAAGAGGATGTTGAGGCGGACCTTGACCGTGCTCTGGCACGACTTGCGAACCTTGCGCGTGATGATCACGAGCAGGACACGAGCTCCTCGGTCGAACAGCACTACACGCGTCGCTTGGATGCGGCGATTGAGCGTCAGCACACGCGATACACGTACCTTCAGGAGGCCAAGTCGACCATCACCACCCTCCTTCTTCACCGTGCCAAGCTCCGCTCTCTTCTGGAGGCCATCGCAACAGAGGTCGCTCACGACAACAAGGGAGTTGTTGATACCGTTACGACGGTCCTAGCTGAGATTGACGACGACGACGAAGTCGATGATGATGATGAAGACGATGATGATGAAGATGATGATGATGAAGAATGAATTCAGGCGGCACGCCGCAGAGAGAGTGTGTTTTCGGGGATACTTGCTGGAAAGGATGGCTGAGGAATATCTCAAATTGAACAGGCGGCACGCCACAGAGAGAGAGTGTTTTCTGGGATACTTGCTGGAAAGGATGACTGAGGAATATCTCAAAGTGAAAGGCTACAATTGCTGATGTTGCTAAACCGAAATGGAAACAAATCAAGCCTGTTCATCCCACGCAGCTCATGTGTGACAGTTTGCTTTGTGGTGATTTGCATAGAGATGGCTTGTTCAGTCCGATGAAGAGAGCGATGAAGATGATGGAGATCAATGAGAATGTTCAATGACTTGGAGGGAACGGAGCGATGGGGGCACGTGAAGGCGCGTGAAGCTCGGGCCTTGCATGGATGAGCGGCCGGGGCGCACTGTCTTCCACGCTGCGTCGCCAACCATTCCGTCGCATTGTTTACCACGCCGACCTGGACCAGAGGGCAACCCTCGTGCCTCTCCCCATCCACCGCCGAATGCTTGCCTGCTCCACCGACCCTCGTTGTCCGCGCAGTTCAACCGCCTCCCCACTGGCCCACGGCGGCAGACCTTCACCTCGGCGAGCTTCGCGCGCAACGAATTGTTTACAAACCGTCGCTCCGTCGCCATGGCTCGCAACACGAACCAACCCACTTTCAACTTCTTCACAGGCGAGACGGGCGAGCCAGAGCCCGCACACGCACCCACACAATCCTTCCGCCAGACGCTGCGGCAATCGGTCGTCAAACCAGGTGAGTCCGGCGCTTTCTCTCAACGCCACGGGGCGACGGCTTCTGGGGAGCTGACTCGGGCGGGGACAGACATTGGCAACGAAGACCTGCGTGCGCAGATCAACACATTGCAGTATGAGCTCGAATCGCTGCGGCAAGAGCGGGAGATGAGCACCCTCAGCCACCAGGCGGAGCTGCGCGATGCCCAGAACAGGGCCGAGGCCGAGTACCAGCGCGCACAGGTTCGTACACACACACACACACACACATAAAGAAAGATGCCGATCATTCACTAACTCGGAGCTTCTTCTTCTACTTTTCAGGCAGCCGAATCGGCGAGCAAGGCAGCAGCGAAAAAGTACGAGGCCCTACAGCGCGAGACGGGCGAGGCGGCATCCCGCAGCACAAACGAGAAGCTAGAGCTAGAGCGCAAAGTGCGGGCGCTACAGGAGCGAGGGGCATCGCTGCAGGAAGAGGCGGACGAGGCAACACACGAGCTGGCGGCGCAGGAGCGGCAGAGCCGGCACCGGTACGACGAGCTGGACGCGCGGCACGGGGCGCTGCAGCGGTCGTTCGACGAGCTGCGGGCCGAGCTCGAGGGCCAGGCGGCGGCGCTGCAGCAGGCCTCGCACAAGCTCGCGCGGCGCGAGGTCGAGGCCGCCGAGGCGGAGAGCGAGCTCATCCGGCTCAGGGCCCAGGCCGGCGACCACGACACGCTGCACGTGGTCAAGCGCGAGCTGTCGGAGCAGATTGCCCACATCCGGAAGCTGGAGGCCGTCAACAGGGAGCAGGCGGCCGAGCTGAAGCGCCTGGGCAGGGTGCAGAAGAGCGTCGAGGTGGTCGAGGAGGAGAAGCGGGCGCTGGAGAACAGGGTGCGCATGATGGAGGACCTGCGCCGCGAGCTGAGCGAGGAGCAGCTCAAGCGCCAGCTGCTGGAGGACGAGAAGAGCGCCTGGACGAACTATCTGGACGGCCAGGCGGCACAGGCCGATGGCGAGGGCGAGCTGCGGTTCGGCACTCCCGAGGACCTGGCCAAGGCCTTCGTCAGGGAGCGGCTGGAGACGGCCACCATGGTCGACCGCCTCGGCGCCGTGCAGGCAGAACTGACGGCCAGAGACGAGACGATCAAGGCGCTGGAGGACGAAAAGGCCAGGGTCCGCGAAGAGCTGGAGAAGCTGAAGAGCGCGGGCGGCGCCTCGGACAGCAAGCTGCGCATGCGGCTCGAACGCCAGCGGGCGCTGGCGGTCAAGGAGGTGGAATACCTCCGCGCGCAGCTCAAGGCCTTTGACGCCGAGGAGAGCGAGTTCCAGCCCGAGACGTTCGACGCCCACAAGACGCAGCGCATCCAGCAGCTGGAGGACGCCGTCGACGGCTACCGCGCCGAGACGCAGGCGCTGCACGCCGAGCTCTCGGCCCTCGAGGAATCCAACACCAAGCAGATCACCATCGTGGGCAGCAAGCGGCCGCGCGACGCCGACGACGACGCCCGCATGGGCGAGCTCCGCCGCAAGAACCGCCAGCTGCAGGACGACCTGGGCCGGCTGCTCACGGAGAAGAAGGTGCTCGAGGCGGAGCGCCGCGCCCACGAGAAGCAGATCCGCGCCCTCAACGAGTCGTCCCGCACCCGCGTCCTCGAGCTGCGCCAGAACCCCACCGCCGACGCCGAGGCCCTCAAGCTCAGCACCGTCCGCACCCTGCGCGAGGAGAACAAGGCCCTGCTGGCACGGCTCGAGGCCGAGGCCAAGCAGCAGCTCGCCGACGATGCCGATGATGCAGTCGTGCCGCGGGCCAGCCTCGAGGCCGCCCGCCTCGAGATGGCCGAGCTGCACCGCGCCATCGCCGACCGCGACAAGAAGACGCTGCGGCTCAAGCAGCTGTGGTCCGCCAAGGCGCTCGAGTTCCGCGAGGCCGTCGCCTCCCTGCTCGGCTGGAAGCTGGACATCATGCCCAACGGCCGCGTCAAGGTCACCTCGCTCTTCTACCCCGGCGGCGGCGGCGGCGACGACGACGGCGGCTGCGAGAACAGCATCGTCTTCGACGGCGAGCGCGGCACCATGAAGGTCAGCGGCGGCGAGAAGAGCGTCTTCGCCAGCGAGATCAGGGGCCAGATCGAGTTTTGGGTCGAGCAGCGGAAGGAGATTCCGTGCTTTTTGGCGCAGTTGACGCTGGATTTTTGGGAGAGCACGACGAGGGCAGTTGGTGGTGGTGGCGGCGGTGGTGGTGCTTGAAGAGCGAGCCGGGCCACCGGTGTGTCTGTTGTTGCTTGGGGCCGGTAATGGGAATGGGATTGGGATTGGGCATAGCAATGGAGTTTGTCGGCGTTTGTTCAACGATGGTGTCGCCAAGAGAATAAAAGGTATGGGTGCAGGCAAGGCAAAATGGGGCGCGATATCCAGGGGGCATGTGGCATTCATTCACTTCACAAAGACACGGCTGCGATGTGAGCGGAGTTGGCATATCACATCGAATAATTACAGGCCGAAGATGGCCTTTTGCACAACTCAATGAAGACTCGTGAATGATTTAATACAAACAATACCGTCTACTACTAACGTACATACGTACGAGAAAAGAAAAAAAGACGTAAAACATCACCAGTCCAATCGTACACGCTCGTAACAGTCATACGTTCCCGGCGCTAGCAGCCAGCTTTTACCTAGCAGCGCCGCCTCCCTCCCATCCTCCCCCCGCCGTGGCCACCCACCACTACTACCGGCGGGCCCCTCCTCCCGTATCCCATCCCGTACCCGCCCCGGGGCCCACACCTTCCTCCTCCGAAAGCCATGGGCGGCGGGCCGCAGGGCCTGGCGGCGTGTCTGGGCGATGTGTGGATTACGTGGACCGGTTGGTGGTGGTGGTGGTACCGGCCATGGGGGCGAGATGGTCCGCAGCCCATTGTTGTTTTTGTTGTGTTCGTGTTGTGGTGTGGTTGGTGGGTCTATTTGAAGGGAGTCGTGTTTCGCGCGTGCGAGTGCTGTGCACGTGTTTGGTGTTTTTGGTTGTGGGGATTTCAGAGAGGGCCGGTAATCAAATGAGTTTTTGCGAGGTGTTCTCCTTCTCTCCCGATGTGGAGGTTTGTTTTTCGACTTTGGTGCTCAATCCGTACAGACAGTGATCGTAAAGGCTCTCGCTTCACGGCGGATTGGTCTGGCAAAGCGATCGATGATGATGATGGTGATGATGGTGATGAGTGTTGATTGTTGCAGTAGTAGTGAATGACTGATGTCCAAACAAGGTGCTTGCTTACGCCCCTCTTATATACGTACCCCATCATGGCGGCCGGCTTCCCATGGCATAGGCATGGGGCCAACTAACTCTCCACGCTGCTTGGCCTCCCTCAGCCCAGCCACATCGAACCAAAGTTCAACCCGCGCCAAAGCCTCGTCACTCTTGTCACCCCACGGCAAGAGGACGAAGGAAGGTACCGCCCGCGCGCCACTTCGGCTATCGGCGCCGCTGGTTGTGCGCCGATGGGCTCGGCGCACGTGGGTGACGTACGTCGATACATACGGCCGAGCCACTCAGCCACTCAGCCACGGACGTACATGCCGTTGCGTCTAACGGTCGGTTCGGTTTGTCCGACGAGCCTAATTGGCGCGCCTTCCGGATGCAGCATCCCTGTATCGCGAAAGGGCCGGACCCTTGTGATCTGCGCGCCCTGCTAGACTAGATCAGGATCATGTCGCGAATTGTAAACCAAACTGCAGAAACCGGTGGACATGGAAACACGACCAGTCACCAGCTTATTTCTCAACTGGGGCAAAAGATATCCCTCTGCATTCCCGCCAGACAGATCAAAGAGGGTTTCTAAGAGTAATGACCGCAGAAAAGGTAGGTATGCGGAAGCCCAGTCGAAGCCGTCAGCCTTGCATGCAACCGAAGAACCATGTTTAGTGATAATAAAAGGAATCAGGCCGAGAAAGAACCAAGCAGTCTTCTCTCTCCGCGAGCAAAGAAAGGAAAGCAATTCCCATGGTGGTAGTCATCTGAACTCCGTTTCCCGATGCAGCAGTAGAATGAGTAAATTCGTCTAATCCTTCCCTTAGCGTTGAGTCTTCCGTTCATTCGTACAGCATCCTACTCGCACACGTCCACGCCAGCCATGAGTCGTCTTAAAGAGAAAGGAAAAAGGAGTTTGGGGGGTCGGGAGTGAAAACTAAGTCTTAGACAGTGGAGAGCATTTCTTTCGTCATTTGCCGCAATCAGGCGCTTTCGCCGTCGTCGCTCCATCTGGCGTCCGCATAGAGATCCTTCTTGTTGCTGCTGAACTCGAGCCTCTCCAGGAACTCGGCCGGCACCGTGGGCAGGTACTTGCGCTCGCGCTCCTTGTCGGTGCCTCCGAAGCCAGCTCCGTACGTCACCAGCATATCGGTCGAAGTGGGCAACGAGAACGGCAGCATCAGGGCCGGGTCCATCAGCAGGTTCTCTGGCGCGTCTTCCTCCTCGTCCTGTGCCATGTACGCAACAGTGGCCAGCGACGGCGCCAGCGACGGCGAAGGCGACGTGGGCCGCTCAATGGTGGGCGAAGTGGGCTGGCCATCCGATGAAGGAATTTGCGCAGGCATCGACTTCCGGCTTTGCTTGGATAGGCGTCGCTCTGCAACCTCCTTCTGCAGGTTGAACAGAAACTTGAGCGCAGGCTTCGGCAGCGTCTTCTCGCCAACCTCGGTCCGGTAGTATCTCACCGAGTGGTTGATCTGCTGCGGGGTGAGACGCGGGAGCTGCTCGAGCGTCGCCTTGAGCGAGTCGAGATCCTCGCCGAGCGACGAGAAGCATTGCAGCCACTGCAGCAGCTGGATGACTGGGTCCAGATGCCTGCGCGCAGCGTCCATTGTGTTCTCGCCAGTGGCAGTGAGACCGCCGCCCTCGTAGTGCTCGGGCTGGCGGTTGTTCTGCCGGGCCCAGTCCTCGAGCGTCGATACATTCATCCGAATCTGCATTGCCTTGGTGCGTGCGAGGTACTTTCTATTAGACATGATGCGGTTGAAGAGCTCGGCGCCGATCCAGTAAAGCAGCTGGGAGAGAACCTGTGCCGTGATGACCGAGTGGATGTCGTAGAGGTCCAGCACAAACAGCGTCGAGGACAGCAGCGAAGTGATGTTTCGCGGGGACACCTGGGCCCTGCGCTTGGGCGAGGGGGGCCTGAAGCGCTTCTCGAACGGCTCCGGGGGCTTCGGCTTGGATTTCGTCTTGAAGATGCGCCACTCTCCGGTGAAACTCACGTCCTCGAAGCCGGGGATGGTCTCGTGGTCCAGCATGGCGGTGTCGAGGACCTTGTCCATGCGGCGCTCGGCATCGCGAATGATCAGCACGAAGATTTCGTTGATGAGCTCGGAAATTTGGCACTGGAACTCGACCGAGGCCTCGACGAGGCCGGCGTCCTTCTTCAGGTAGTAGAGCAGCAGGCTGCAGTTGGACACCCAGAAGGCGAGCATGGTCATGTCCCATTGGTGCTTCTCGACGGCGTCGTTGATCTTGTCCATGGACGTGACCAGCAGCTTCTCCAGCAGATCTTCGCTGGAGTGGTAGTGGGCGTAGCGGGCGCCGAGGAAGATGATGTTTGCGGGGACGGGTTTCTGCGATGGCGAGCGGGTGGGCGTCATGTTGGTGATGACAATGTCCAGGATGCGGTCCAGCTCGTTCTCCTGGAAGACAAACATTTGGTCGTGCAGGCACCGGTCCCACACAAACTCCTGTCCCTCCTCGAAGTCGTCGGGTTCCTAGCCGGGTTAGCAGTGGCTTCCGGCAGCTCGAGAGGAGCACTGACCTCTGGCTGCTCGTCAAGGCCCAGATTGCCCAGATCGACCTCCAGATTGATAGCACTCTCCATCATCATGCGTCGCCGCAGCTCGTTCTCGGCCATTTCTTCCTCGAAGCGGTCCTGGTCGAATCCGGCCGTGTAGAAGTCGTCGCCGCCGGCGACACCGATGTTGCCGATGGTGTAGCCGCTCTCGTGGAGATAGTCCTGGAGTTCGCTGCCGGGGGTCACGAAGTCGAAGGCGGTGCGGCCAGAAGAGGAAGCGGCCTCGGGCTTAGCGCCCTTGTCGAGTAGCAGCTTCGCGATTGCCTTGTGGCGGTTCGTGATTGCCCACATCAACGGCGTCCAGTGGTTGCGGTCCTGGACGTCGACATGGGCGCCGGCGGTCAGCAGGGCGGCGACGACGTCGTCGTGGCCAAAGCAGGCGGCGTAGATGAGCGGCGGGGTGCCGTCGGCGTCCGGGGCGTTGACGTCGACATAGGAAGCGGCGGGGCCGGCGACGAAGCGCTCGACGGTGAGGGTGTCGCCGTTGGAGGCGGCGAGGTTGAGCGAGTTCTGCAGCAGGTCGCGCTTCTCGGGGTCCGACAGCTTGGGGTCCTTGACGACGGCATCCTCCTGGCCCTCGTTCATGCTGTCGTGCTTGAGGCGGGACTGCTGCTCGAGCATCTCGGTGAGGCGGGTGCCGGTGTCGTCGGGGGGCGGGCCGTCGAGCGACAGGTCGAAGTCGAGGGGCTTGGAGGGGAGCGGTGTCGATATGAATTGGGACTGGCCTGCGGAGGGGGCACCTGGTCAGCACGCACGCGGCGGGAGGCAAGCAGGCACGAAGCAGCAGCTAGGGGGACGGACGCACCCTGCCAAGCGTCGTACATCTCGGTCTCGCTGGCGACGGGCGGGGCGGTGCGGCGGTCGTCGAGCGAGCGCGGCAGGTCGGCGGGCAGCTGGCGCGGGGGGTGGGCGTCGGGGCCGCCAGACTCATCGGGCGACGCCATGGTGGTGTTGCATGGGCGTGGGAAGCTTGGGAAGCCAGCGAGGCTTCGGGCGATCGCAGCGCATGCGCGTGGGCCTGAGTAATGTGGCCGGCGCTGGGTGGAGATGGAATGCACGCAGCCGGGCAGATCTCCAGGACTGGCGCAGAGGAGAGCAATGCGGCTCGGGTGACGTTCTCGAGGCGCGCCAAGTGCGATTGGCAGCGCGCTGGCGTGCCATGGTTCTGACCTCTGACTTCTGCGCGCTGCGCTCTGCGCTCAACACCAGGCCACCTCCCGGCCAAGCACCACCGCCCGGCCCCCTCCTCTCGTGCACCCCCGCGTCGCGCCAACCCCAACCGCCCCCAGCTCCGCCCGCCGGCCCATGCCGCTGTGCTGCCCGCCTCGAGCCCTGCGCCAGTCCCGCCCGTCCAGCGTCCAGCGCCCCCGCCGGCCCAGAGCCATGAATTGAGTCGGCTCGCCAGCCCCCGCGTCGACCATGGACGACGACGCCCTGCCGACGAGCCGCCACGCCCGCCAGGCCCTGCTGCGCCTGGCCGAGCTGCCGGGCTACGTGTGGGACACGGAGACGGAGCCCTTCCACAGCGTGAGTCCCGCTCCCCGCCTACGCCTACGCCTACGCCTACGCCCCAAGGGCCTCGCCACTGACGCCTGCGTCCGCAGTCCTACGACAACTGGCACTTCTTCGGCCACCAGCTGCCCGTGAAGCCGCCCGCCCAGCTGCCCAGCCGCTCTCTCACCTCGCACAGCTTCTCGACCGGCTCCGAGCCCAAGCCGGTGCTGCGCTCGCACCGCTCCAGCAACAGCGAGGCAAATGCCGCCTCTTTGACCCAGCCCGCGCCCGCGCCCGCCGCTCCGCCGCCGCCCCAGCCCGGCCGCCGCATTGTCGCCCGCGTGTCCCACCACATCCTGCGCCTGGAGCGCGAGTTTGCCCTGGCCAAGGCCATCGTCGGCGAGTGCGACACGGAATGCAAGCACTTTGTCCGCCCCATCGAGCTGGTGCGCCTGCCCGCCCGCCCCGGCAGCGACACCCTGATCGTGTCCATCTTCGAGTCGCCCGGCGACAACTACATCCGCGACATTGTCGACCTGGGGCCCGCCTTCTACCGCATCGCCAAGTGGCAGGCCCCCCCGGGCAGCAAGACCGGCATGCAGATCCCGCTGCAGCTGTTCATGCGCTTTGCCACGGGCGCCTCCGAGTCGCTGGAGATCCTGCACAACACCAAGAAGCTGGTGCACGGCGAGATCCGCGGCGACGCCTTCCACTTCAACCAGGAGACGGGCGAGGTGCGCATGCTGAACTTTGGCTCCGGCTCCCGGAGCTTCGAGAACGGCCTGACCTCTGCCGGCTGGAGCACCCTCAGCCGCGAGCTGGGCGTCGAGCACAAGCTGCAGTTCATCGCCCCCGAGCAGACGGGCCGCCTGCCTGCTGAGCCCGACACCCGCACCGACATCTACAGCCTCGGCATCCTGTTTTGGGTAAGTGGGCTGGAGAGCCGCCCCCGCGCTGCTGGCTGACGCTGTGACCAGACAATGCTCACCGGCGAGCCCGCCTTTGAGGGCGACAAGCCGCTGGAGATCATGCAGAGCGTGCTGTCGCGCCGCATCCCGCCCGTTTCGTCCAAGCGCATGGACATCCCCGAGGCCTTGTCCCAGGTCGTGGCCAAGATGACGGCCAAGAACATCGAAGAGCGCTACAACTCGGTGTCGGGGCTCAAGTACGACCTGTTTGAGCTGAACCGCATCCTCTGCGACGGCGACGTCGAGCTGCTGAAGACGTTCAAGGTGGCCACCAAGGACGTGTCCAGCTTCTTCAGCCTGCCCTCGCGCCTGATTGGCCGTGACAGGGAGCGCCAGGCCATCCTGGACGTCGTCGACAAGGTGTCCAAGAGCCAGCACCCCTCACTCAAGAAGAGTTTGTATAGTTTTGGCTCCACCTCCGGGTCGTCGCTGAGCTCGCGGCTGGACAATCCTACGCTTGACGAAATCGCTGACGTGCGCTCCGAGAGCACCAGCTCCAGGGGGTCGGACTACCGCAACGACGGACGCACCCCGCGCAACACCTCAGAGGCTTCCGTGTCTCTTGCTGAGCCCTCTGAACACCGGCCCTCGACCGAGAGCCGCCAGTCGTCCGGCTGGAGCAGCGCCGACCGCCGCACCTCGTCGGCCCAGAATGCCTCGTCGTCCAGCGACGACCCCGCCGGCCAGCTCCGCCATCACCACCGCCTGCGCAAGAAGACGCATTGCGAGCTGATCGCCGTGGCAGGCCTGGGCGGCTACGGCAAGTCCAGCCTGATCCAGTCGGTCCAGCCCGTGGTGCGAGGCCGTGGCTTCTACTTTGCAACCACAAAGGCAAGCAATAACAATGCCCGCCCTGACCCTGCCCCTGCCCCGGCCCTGACCCCTGCCCCGGCCTATGGTATACTGACTTGCTGCAGTTCGACCAAGCAAAGCGCGCGCCCTTCGACCCCGTGCTGCGCCTCATGTCGTCGCTCTTCCGCCAGATCTTCTCCGAGTCCAACATCTCGACCGACTTCCACAACCACGTGCGAGCCCACGTGCAGCCCGTGTGGCCCATCCTGCACACCTACCTCGATCTGCCCGAGTGGCTGCTGGGCAACATCGCCAAGGCCACCGCCCCCGACGCGGTGCACCAGCACTCGTCCTTTGCGAGCACCATCACCAGCCGCAATGCGTCGCGGGTGGTGAGCACCTTCATTGACGTGCTGCGCATGCTGGCCCGCCAGCAGTCCATCTGCTTCTGCATCGATGATCTCCAGTTTGCCGACGACGAGAGCCTGGAGCTGATCCAGGCCATTGTCCACCACAGGCTGCCGCTTGTCATGATCCTCACCTACCGCGAGGAGGACAAGCTCACCGCAGGCATCAAGGCCGTGCTCGACAACGCGACCAAGTAAGTGCATGGTCGGTCTCCAACGCCTGCAGCTCTAATCCTCATCAGTATTACAAGGATTGTACTGCAGCCTTTCTCCGAAATTGACACGGCAAACTTTGTCGCCGAGACGCTCCACCGGGACCCCGAGTACTGTCTCCCCCTGGTTGCCACCATCCAAGAGAAGACGGGAGGAAGCCCCTTTTTCGTGCGTGAGATGCTGGATGCCTGCTATCGCAAAAAGTGCCTGTATTACTCCTGGCGAGACTCGGCCTGGCATTTCGATCTCGACAAGGTGTTTGCCGAGTTCAAGTCGACCGCATACGGCTCTCGCATGAACAACGACTTCATTGTGAAGCGCCTGCAGGAGCTGCCCAAGGTCACCCGCTATCTCCTCGTGTGGGCTTCTCTGATTGGGAGCACCTTCTCGTTCAACATTGTCAAACAGCTGATGCAGGGCAAGCATGCTGCCAATGCCGAAGGCCTCCCCATCACCGACGAGGACGCGGTCGATGGCATTGAAGGAGCGATTGCTGCTTATCTCGTCATGTCTGGAGACGACGAGGATCGCTTCCGCTTCGCGCACGACAGGTACATGCAGGCTTCTCAACTGCTCATCGAAATCGAAAAGTTCAACCAGAACGAGATGCACTTTGCAATCTCTAAAACAATGATCGAGCAGGCGTACCAGGACAACACGACAACGAGCTCCAAATCGCTCTTCACAAGGGCACGCCACGTCGCATGCGCTTCGGAGTTGATCAAAGGCCGCGTCGACATTCGTGCGCTGTACAGGAACGCGCTGCAACAAGCGGCGGAAAATGCGTGCGACGCCGGAGCACGCTCCACCGGCCTTTTCTACTACACCCGGTGCTTCAACCTTCTCCAGGACAGCCCGTGGGACGAGTCCATGGAAGACGTCGACTATCGGGAGACGCTGAACATCTACACGCGTTCGGCCGAGTGCTATTGGTACCAGGGCTTCTTCGAACCAGCGCTCGGCCTTTGCCAGACCATTTTTGCCAATGCCAAGTCAGCAGTAGACAAGGCGCCCAGTTGGGTCCTGCAGTCCCGCATCTTTGCCATGCGAGGGGACTCGTTCGCCGCCTTCGAGGCCCTCAAGCAATGCTTGACCGAGCTGGGGCTCCGGGTGGAGGAGAAGTCGTGGGAGGAGTGCGACAAGCAGTTTCAGGTCATGTGCGCCGCTTTGCAGCAGTGCGACAGAATACAGCTTCTCTCAAGACCCTTGACTACGGACCCTAAGCTTCTTGCAATGGGAGCCGTCCTGGTAGAAATGGCGAGTGCTGCCTTCTGGACGGATTCGCGCCTGTTCTACCAGATGAGCATGATCATGGTCGATCTGCACCAGACCCGAGGTAACTTCCCCCAGGCCGCGCTCGGCTACGTCCATCTTGCCAGCATAGCGGCCGGTCGCTTCGGCATGACTAAGTTCGGCATCGAAGTCGGTGAGATCGCCAAAAAGCTCTTCTCCATCTTCCACGAGGACATGTACACAATCGGCCGCGGTGAGACACTGCATGCCTTGTTCATAGGCCACCTGCAGACCCACGTCAGGGACCAGCTTCCCATCCTCGACCGTGCCCTGAGCGCGACAATGATCTCGGCTGATCGCATCCTATCCATTCTGAACATGGGCGTCAACGCCTGCTTCCGAATCTGGTCGGGCCATTCTATCTCCGAGGTCGAGGCATGGATCAACGAGTCCCCCGGCGACTTTGCGAGCTGGGAGGAGGATCTCCGCGGAGGTGTCTTTCTCATTTCGGCCCGCCAGTACGCCCGCGCTCTCCAGGGCAAAACATCGTTCAAGGTTGCCGACAAGGTGCATTGCGATGGCCAGCACAAGACATCCGAATACCTTGCCTTCGTGGAGAAGCGAGCGTCGAACCCTAAGCGGCCCAAGACCATCTACTACAGCTATATGCTGAACAGCTTGTACCGATTCGGCCACATCGAGGCGGCCATAGCCCTGGGCGAGACGCTGCTGCCGATGATGGAGGGCTGCTGGTGCATGCGCATCTACTACTCCAACCTCTTCCATCTCTCGCTTTCCTACATTGCCGCATGTCGGGAGAACCCTGCGCGGCAAGACAAAGAGTCCCTTCTGCAACGTGTTGTGTCGTTTACCGAGAAGATCCGCGTCGCCGCGAACTACAACGACGTCAATTTCCGGCTCTATCTGACCATTCTCGACGCCGAATACCACGACCTTGTGTGCGACTATTCACATGCGTCCAAATGCTATGAACAGTCGCTGGACTTTGCGGATTTAGATGGGTACATGCTCGATCAGGGTCTCGCATACGAGCTTTACGCAGAATTCCTAGTGAGGCGCGGGGCTCGCAGGCCAGCGAAACGCCTTCTCACCGACAGCCTTCGCTGTTACTCCAACACCGGGGCCGTTGGAGTGCTTGAGCATGTGAGCCACAAGTTTGAATGGCTGCTGAACAGCGAAGGCGGGATAGATACCGTTGACGTTGCCTGCCAAACAGACATTGTCGACACGGGCAACACGGCGTACAAACTGGAGAAGCATGCCGGTCAAATCGCACCCGAAACCTCGGCAGACAGGACTGAGGCCTGGCTTGCCCCGACGCCCAACCCGCAAGCAATCAGAAGGGCCGACACGCATGGCGACTTGCCTGGAGGCTTCTCTGCCGTTGGCTTGGACGTGATTGACTTGACGGGGATCCTTGAGTCCAGTCAAGTGCTCGCATCCGAGTTGCAAGTCGACAACCTCTTGGCCAAGATGACCGAAATCATTCTCGAGTCTACCGGTGCCGAGCTCGCAGCCATCGTCACCGAAGACGACAAGCTTGGCTGGAGCATTGCGGCCACCGGCGGGCCCGACGGCGTCACCAAGTACCCGGGTGGCCAGACTCTAGAGTCGGTCGAAGACCAGGTGGCCAGGCAAGTGACTCTCTACGTTCTCCGCTTCAGGGAAACCGTCTTTGTGCAGAACCTGCTCGAGGACGAGCGCTTTTCGAATGTCACCGACGCCTACCGCCGACGAAACCCGGACGGGCGAGCAGTCATCGCCATCCCCATACTGCACGGAGACAACCATCTGCTGGGATCGATATACTGCGAAGGCACCCCCAATCAGTTTTCGGAGCGCAACCTGACTGTCCTGCGTCTGCTGGTCAATTCCGTGTCGGTATCGCTTGCAAACGCCCTGCTGTTCAAGAAGGTGCGCGAAGTCAGCGCCAGCAACGTGGCGATGCTCGAGATGCAGAAGCAGTCGCTCGCTCAAGCGCGGGCTGCGGAGCTCAAGGCAAAGGAAGCCGAGGCGGTGGCCATCCAGAACATGAAGATGAAGGAAGAAGCCGCAAAGGCCAAGTCCCTCTTCCTCGCAAACGTCTCTCACGAGCTCCGCACCCCTCTCAACGGCGTCATCGGCATGAGCGAGCTGCTGAAGGGCAGCAGTCTGAACTCGGAGCAAGAAGGCTACGCCAACAGCATCCGCGTCTGTGCCGACACGCTGCTCTCCGTCATCAACGACCTGCTTGACTTCAGCAAGCTCGATGCCGGAAAGATGAAGCTGATCACAGTGCCCGTGTCTCTCACCGAGACCATCAGCGAAGTGGTGAGGGCTCTGTCGTTCACCAACCTGGAGCGCGGTCTGGAGACGGTTGTTCGCCTTGACATCAACCCCGAGCTCTTCGTGCTGGGAGACCCGGTCAGGCTCCACCAGATCTTCATGAACCTGCTTTCCAACAGTTACAAGTTCACCTCCAAAGGCACGGTTACCGTGGAAGCCAGGACCATCTCTGAGGATGAGCGGTACCTCAACGTCAACTTCAGCGTTTCTGACACAGGCATTGGGATATCAGAAGAGCAGCAGAAGAAACTCTTCTTGCCTTTCTCGCAGGTCGAGGACGCGAGCAACAGGAGCTACCAAGGCACCGGCCTCGGTCTCAGCATCGTCAAGGCCATCATCGAGACGACCATGGGCGGCAAGATCTGGCTGAACAGCACCCCTGGAAACGGAACGACGGTTTCGTTTTCACTCCGGTTCGAGAGGGTATCCAAGAAGGACGCTGTCGATTCGTCCTCGCCTCCGCCGCCAAAGGAAGAGAACGGAGACGAGACGCCGTCGGATGGGATGGGTGTGCCAACTTTCCACAAGAGCCTCCCCAAGCTCCCTCGAGAACAAATCAGGGTGGCCATCGCTGAAGACAACGCCATCAACCAGCGCATTGCCATCTCCTTCGTCAAGAAACTCGGCTTCCGATGCGAAGCGTTCGGTGACGGAAAGAAGACAATCGAGGCGCTGGAGAAGGCTGTGGAAGAGAAGGATCCCTATCATCTCGTCCTCATGGACGTGCAGATGCCCGTGCTGGACGGCTACGACGCAACCAAGGAGATCCGCCAGCATCAGGTGCCGATTGTGCGTGACATCCTCATCATAGCTATGACAGCCAGCGCAATCAGCGGAGACAAAGAAAAGTGCCTGGAGGTTGGCATGAACAACTACCTTGCCAAGCCGGTCCGGGCGGCGACGCTCAAGGCTCTTCTTGAGTCGTACCTTTCGCAGTCGCCCAAGCAGATGCCCAATCTCCAGCAAGAGGCAGCCGAGCTTGCCCAAAGTGTGCTTCAAGAGGCCACAGCGCGATCACAATCGCCACCCAGCGAGAAAAAAAGCCCAGCCCTTACTGGCGATAGCTACCACGCTGCCGAGCAGAACAACACGGCAGAGCTTCAGAGAGCCGAGAACGGGCGAATAGTCTCATCGGCATCTTCCACGACGTCCTCGGCTTCGACTTCTACGATAGTCCAGCGACCCGCGAGCAGCCAGTCCCCGGCCAGGCCTGCCGTGTCTCGCGAACCATTGACTGAGATCCGTCTGTCAGAAGCCAAGCGCAAACAGACGGACGGGGCAACGAAGAGGTAACTCGCGGGCCGAGGCTAATGGCTGTATAGTTGCGACTCTTCCTCCGCACAAGAGCTGATGGAGGGTTTCTTTTTCTCGGCACATGGCCGCATGTAATGACGAAATGGCAGTCAATTGTCTTATGTTTTCCCCGCTACGAAAAACCCCCCCGTTTTCCAGCTTGTATGATCAGTCTTGGGCCGAAACAGCTCATTATCCAAATTTTTCATTTCAACTTCTTGATGGTTCGTCGGTCATATCGGTTGTCGCGGAGTCGTGGATGTTGTTGTTGTTGTTGGTGTTGCTGTTATAAAGGGAAAAGATACCCCCGGAGGAACGAAGCAACGATTGGGCACGAGAAGACTAGGATGGAGGGGAAAACCCCGGCTTATGATACTATACCACACACAGCCTCGAGCCTTCCCTCCTTCCTTCCTTCAGTTTCCTACTTTTTTTTTCCTTCAACTTTATACTCAAGTAGTAGTGGCTGGGAGGGGGAAGGGGGAGCGGGGAGGGCCTTTTTCCATTTTCCTTTTCTTGTGTCTGAGCATTGCGATTCTCCATCCATCTGCATTAGAGAGAGAGCTTGCTTGCTTGCACTGCACATCATCTTTCCAGCATGGCGCATCTGGGCGGAAGCGATTGTCCGCAATGGAACAGCGAGACAAGATACGTTACTTTGGTTTCAAAAGCAAAACGAGCGCGTGGGTGGCTTTTGGTGGCATTTCGGGGAGGGGAAACACACTGGATGGCGCGATTTGGGAAATTGGGTGGTGTGGTTGGTGGGGAGGATGAGGGATGGAGGGGACAAATGATGATCATGATGCCGATAGCAAAGTCGTTCGAGGAGCGCACACGAACAAAACCAAAATGTGTTGTTAGACGTGGGCAGGGGTGGGGAGTGTTCAAATCATGTAAAGGTAAACCGGCTGGCGTAAAGAAGGAGTGCTTTTTAAATCTTCTTTTTTTGTTCATAAAAAAAACCAGATAGTATTTTGTTTCTAATCGTTCTTTTTCTTCCTAATTCTTGCTTTCTCTTTCGCCTCCTCTTGCTGCAGCTCCTCCTATTCTCCCCTCCGTTTTGAGTTACCTTTTTTCTTTTTTTATAATGCACAGTCGACTAGGTCCAACCCCCTCACGGTCAGCATACGTACTTTAGACTAGCCGAATAGTAAGAGGTATCCAGCGAGTTCCGTCCTCTTGGTCCAAAGGCCTCCGATGGCCGGTCTCGACGACAGGCAGACGCTCTTGATACACCCGTCCACCATCGCCCATGGATGGTCGCCCCATCTCCGTACGTACGGCGGCGCGCCGGCTCCACCCACCCATCCATCCATCCACCCATCCACCTCACTGAATCTGGCGATAAAAGTCGACAATCTTCGCGCCCACCGCATCCGGCGCCTCGACGCAATGCCAATGCCCCACGCCGGGCAGCACCTCGAGGCTCTTCTCGGAGGTGCCCAGCTCCTCAAACTGCTTCCTGCACGAGTCCAGCGGGGCCGACTTGTCCTCGGCGCCGGCGACCAGCAGGACGGGCACGCGCACGTCCTCGTACGCGGGGCGCGCCGCGGCCGCGATGACGCGGCAGTTGGAGACGTACCCGCGCGGGTCCTGGGCCAGCAGCAGCTCGCGCACCATGGCGCGGGCGAGGGGCGGCGCCCCGGCGGCGGTGGCGGCCGCGGGGATGGCGTCGGCGAGGGGCTCCATGCCCGCGCGCTCGACCGTGGCGATGCGCTGGTCGAAGACGGCGGCGACGGCCGGGGAGGGGTAGACGGGCCCGATGAGCACGGCGGCGACGACGCGGTCGGCGGAAGAAGTCGCGGCGGCCAGGTGCGCGGCGACCATGCCGCCCATCGAGTGGCCGCCGACGATGGCCTTGGGGACGCCCAGGGCGTCGAGGACGCCGAGCACGTCGGCGGCCAGGCTCGCGACCGACTGCTCGACTTGGGTGTAGGGCGAGCGGCCGGCGCCCGTGGCGTCGAAGGTTATGACGCGCAGGCCGGCGGCGGTCAGGGCGGGGACGATGGGCGCGTAGAAGTTTTGCGAGGAGCCGAGGCCGTGGTGGAGGATGATGGTCTCGCGGGCGGCGGAGCCGTGGGCGGCCGGGTAGTCGGTGTAGTGGAGGCGCTTGTAGCCGATGGTGAGGAAGGGCATGGTGGTGGTGGTGTGATTGATTGGTTTTGATTGCTTTGGGACCTCGTGCTGGTGCTCGTGGACGGCGTGCTGGGGGGCGGATATGCAGCTTCCCCGGGGGGGTGTCTAGGAGGGAGAATTGGCGTGGTGGAGGTGGAGAGAGGGTTGAGGGCTGGGGCGGGACGTCATGGTGTTTTACCCCCGGGCGGTTTGGGGCGGGAGCGGATGCGGGCGAGCCTGGCTGTCGGATGCGGTACCTGTCCAGCTGCTGCTGTCGGATGCCGGATAACGCGTTCCCTCGACGTCGTCTGGTCGTGTCGGCGGCGCGTCGTCTGGTCGTCTGGTCGTCGTCTCGTCGTCTCGCTGTCTCGTCGTCGGCCCTGGGGTTCCTGGGCCGTGGCGTGTCCGCTCGTCGGGGGTGGTGCAGGTGCAGGGCTGCGGGCTGCGGGCTGCGGGTGCATGGGTCAGCAGCCGTCAGCCAGCGGTGCGCGTGCCATGCTGGCGATGGGCAGCCGGGATGGCGCAGGTACTGCGGGCGAGGTGGGCGCGTGAGTGGGCTGGGCGCGGGGACGGCTGGGGGCTGAGGTGCATGAGGAATGGCAGACTGACGCCGCAGCCGTTCAGCCAACGTCGAGGGCAGCCGGGGCGCTGCCGGGGCGCTGCTGGGCCAGGAACGGCGCCGGCATCGCAGCACAGACGCCCAGTGTCACCCACGAGGCGAGCCGCCCCCCGTGGTCACGCACCCTTCACCTCCCGCCACGTCCGCCCTCGACGCCGCCGCTGCAAACCCGCCCATTCGACACGGCTGCCGGCGATCCCCAGTGTCCGCGTGAAGCTCCAGCGCGCCCAATCGCGTGCCCCGCCGCCCCATCGACAAGCGCTGCTTGACCGGCCGTCTCAACAACCCATGGCGGCAGCGCAGCGCTCTCGCAGCAGCGCCCAATGGCGGTGTGGTGGTCGGCCACTCGCCCACGAGCCCCGTCGCAGCCGTCGTGTGTCAGGCCTGCATGCCTGCGCCGTCGTGTGCGACAGTCGCCCTCGCCTTTTCATGTGAAAGCCGGCCGCTGCTGCTCCAGGCCCCATGGCCTCCTCCGCACATAATAAGGACGCCGTGTCCTGCGCAGCTTGGCCGTGGCGCAGAGCACTCATTCATCCATATTGCAACCCGCATTTCGCCGTACTCGCCGCGTCCCCACTTTAGATGGCGGTGAAGCGGCACGTACAGTAGTGCGGTTCAGGCCGTCTGCAAAGTCCTCCCAGCCAGCTCTCCTTTCCGTTTTTCCCTGCTCGGATCATTTGATTCCTTTGCATTTGCCCTGCAGCCCGCTCGTGCCCCAGCAGGGGTTGGGGAGCGGCGCCACGCAGAGCTTATATCCAGCACTGCCCCCCTGGCCGTATAAAAGTCCCTCCCCACCTACCGTGTTCGTCACCTGTTTTCCTTGCTCCCTCCCCGGCTATAGTGCGCCGGCTCGCACTGTGCTGGCTGCCCGCTGCTGCTTCCTGTACGCCTGCCCGCCTGCCCGCCCGCCCTGGCGCCAGCATCGATGCTGACCCGCGTAGATGATGCTTCGCTATTGACCAGCTCCGACCCCCGATGAACCCTCCCGCACGCCTCAGCAATGAATACACCACCCCCTCTGCGGAGCCCATGAGCCGCACCGACAGCGGCTTCGGGGACTATCAAAAGGCCGCCTCGCGTTCTGAAACCGCCGCCGACACCCCCCGCGATGCCTCCCCGACAGCCAACGAAGCGAGCGGCGGCGGCACGCCTAGCCACCGGCCCAGCCCGCTAAGCCATCACCAGTCCGCAATCTCGGCTCCCACCACGCCAGAACGCCCGGCGCTGAGGAAACGGCGCTCCAGGCCGAGCTCCAAACACTCGGCCAGGTCCAGCAGCCGCACCTCGAGCCTCTACCCGCGCCCTTCTCTCGCCGGCAGAGTGCGCAGCTTCCCCGTCGAACTCGCCATGCACCACCGCAGCGACCTCGACTCGGTGCTCGCCCTGCACTCGCGCAGCTGCAGCATCTTCAATTCCCTGTCTGCTCCCACCAGCGCCCCCCAGTCGCCCGGCCTCTCCTCCGTGGGCCGCCCCAGCACCGACATGTCCCGCCACTCTCTCCAGGTCGACAGGAACAGCCTCGGCTCCGTTGCCCACCAGGACCCCGCCCACTTCTACCCGATGCCCTCTCCGGCCCTGTCCAACTTCTCCTCGTTCGCCGAGGAGGACGCCGCGGCCGAGGTGGCGACTCCGGCCGTGCCACCGCCCACGGTCGTGCACTGGAACTCGCCCAGCACGCGGCGGAGGGAGTACGCCGAGATCGACCGGTCGACCAGGGGATTCCGTGGCTTCATGCGGCGCGTCACGCCCCGCTGGCTGTCGCGCCGGCCGCCGCGGCAGGCCTTCTACGACGGCGACAAGGAAGACGACGACGCGTGCAGCGTGCGGCGCTATCGCATCCACGTGCCCGACGAGGACGAGCACGAGGCCGAGGCCGGGGACGCGTTCGAAGAGAAGCACCGGCCCATGTCGGCGCCGACGGCCAGGAAGGCCAGGTTCTGGAAGAGCCAGTAATATACGTGAAGAAAAACACGACGACACGAGCACGGGATGCATAGAGGGTCGGTCTGTTTGTGCTGTTTTCCCCCACCTCAGGCATGGTAACGCGGGCTTGCTGGTCAATCGTCTTTCCTTTGCACTCACTCTGTTCACTGCGACATACCCCTCTACAACCAGCATATCGATAATTTGCAAAGATACCCCACCCCATATACCTTACAGAGTCAGCAGCATCGCATTAGCGTTGGTAGTGTTTAGTTATTTCCCCCCCTTCACTGCCGGATACCACGGGCTCGGTCTAGATGTTTGCAGCTCCCGTCACGTTTAGCATAGAAGTTCCGCGGTGCTCCAGGCGTTGGCAACGGCGTACCGGACGAGATTAGTAGGTCCATCTACAAAGGCAAAAATAAATATCAAAAAAGATCAAAATCAAAAATCCTTCCGGAGAATTTCATCATGTCGTCAGGGCTGCTAATAAGGTTGGCGTGTGCGTGGCTATTAACGTGGGACAGGACAGGCCACCCTGGCAGGAAAAGCATGGCCAACCCCCAAATAGAGATGCGCCGTAACCAGGGCGACACGCGGCCCACGGTACCGTCGTTTCGATGCGATGCGATGCGATGCGATCGCTTGGGAACACAGATCTTGCAAGCATGCAACCGTCCCCCTGGGTGTGCGTGGCCACGTCTCTCTCTCTCCCTCTGTCTCTCTCTCAATGCATGTCATTTTGATCGGAGGCTAAGCACTTTAGCAGCAGGGCCACCCCGATCGCGATCATGCGTCGGAGATGAAGATTTGTTGGGGTGAGCAGAATACCAGCTTCCGTGGCTTTGTGTTTATCCCAAACCGACCATGTCCCCCCAAGCCACATCTCTCTCCCGTGTTTTTTTCCTATTCATTTCTTTTTCCTCTTCTCCTATGGCATGTCCCGGATTTCTCTACCGATCGCCTGGGAGCCGCGGGTATGTATGATCATGATCGCGCGCCTCATCTCACTCCCGCTTTTCCCGCGCGTGCGGCGGTAACCGACATTGGGTTGGGCGCGCCGATCAAGGCCGAGGAAGCGCGCTATTGAACCTTCGCGAAGCCTTCGAGAAGGGGGGGGGGGGGGGAAAGNNGGGAAAGGAAGGAAGGAAAAGCACAGGCTAGGGGCGCGGGGCACGGTCCCTTCCTTTCGTCGCTGCTACTGCGGTGATGATGATGATGTATGTGTGGGTATGTGTGCGCAACAGATCAACAACGAACAAGCGCACTGACGATGGGGCCGAAATGGTCGATGGTTGGTGAGCATATGGCAGAAGGATCGTGATCGTGATGATGATGGATCCAGCGCGAGAAAGCACCGAGAGAGAGACAGAGAGAGAGATTAGGGAGGGCTAGCGGGCGCGATGACGCCGGCCTGACGTCGTCGCGGGGCTGCGATGTTGCGATGCACTTCTGGCTAGGGGGAGAGAGGGAAGGTGGGGATCCACACGTTTTGTTGTGCATGTCCGCTTCCTGCCCCTGGCCCCGTGCACACCCTCCACCACCGAGTCGTGGGCACTGGGCTCCGGGCGGGGGGAGACGGACCAGCGTCAGTGCGCTTTTGCATCCATTGTGGAGACTCGGCGTGCGGCACGGGTGGTCCGTGGCCTGTCCGCATCGGCGCACGGGGCGTGGCTGTGGTAGGGAGGGAAAGAGGATGAGAGATATGTACCAACGGTTGCCGTACCGTAGATCATCGCCTTCTTCTTTGATTTTTTTCTCTTCTTTTTTTTCTTCCCAACCGGTGCACGATGCGCGGGTTGGCTCTCAATCAACAGGGGCTGCCAAGGCGGACGGACGGTCATGTTTTCTGGAAGCCTGCAGAGAAGACCGGACAGACCATGGCCTGATCACGCAAGATGAAGAGGCGCGTTATCTCATTTGCATGCGCTGCCGAGGTTGCGACCGTGTGCGAGGCGGCCTGGTCTGCGCTTTTGTGCAGTGCAGGGGGTAATTTACCTGCTGTCCGCATGCGGAAGGGCGGTGCGCCAGGCGGAGGGAAAGGCGGCCGGCACTGGGCCGAGTGGGACGGCCCGCGCGTGTACCCTGACTTTGGCTTACCGTTAGCCGCCGTCGCCATCTGCTTGCTGCACCTTTCTATCAACCGGTAGACTTTGTACTGGAGTTTTGTTGGTCAATCGAACCGTGTACCACGTAGAGCCAAGACGCCCAGAAAGAAAGCCATTATCCCAAGGTTTGATCACCGCATGAAGGCGTGTGCCTAGCATTCAATGGTACTACTTCGTGCACACCTGTGATCTAAAGGTTAGGGACATTCGAGTGGTTGTGTGGTTCTGAGACCCTGGACCATATTTGCCATGTTGGTGAGTCCCAACATGTGCAGCATTAGTTTTTTTTTCCCTTTCTTCTTTTCTTTTTATTACCCGAATTCCATTGTTTGTGGTTTCTTTAATAGCCTTATAATCCCCCCATGACACCCAAGGTTTCTTGACTGCAGAGAGGACACATAGCACCGTTATAAAAACTTCGCCACGGCCTGCTTCCTTTTGCTTTCCCACCCGAGTCCTTCGCACAGAGCAGTCCTCGACACCACCCCCACGAAACGACGCCTTCAATATCGACATGGCACGCAGACGCCGTCGCAAGGCTCAGGCAGAAAAGAAGGCTTCTGGTGAAGAGATGGGTGGATCTACAGAAGACCAGCTTGAGGCCACGCCTTGGCCGTCGACGATATACACCAAGGAGGAACTGGAGCCGTACAAGAAATTCCCTGTCCTCTATGGAGAACGCAAGTTTGCCCGGGAATTTCCAAAGGAAAAGCAGACTTTGAGCTTCACTGACGACCTACCCGCCGAGTTGCGGCTCATGGTTTACGAGCGTGTCCCACTGCATGTATCGGGCGGCTTCCTCGAGCTTTGGAGCCCGGCAATTTGGCACCATGAGGCACGTTGGCGGTGGAGGGACTGGGCGGCGCTCTCGACGCCCTTGAAGAACACATTCTGGCAGTATGCTTCGAAGCGCAGGGCTCTGTCGCTCATGAGACTGTGCAAGAAGATGTACGGCGAGGTGGCACACATGTTCTACACCAAACAGAACTTTCGCTTCACCAACCTCGACGGCGTCTTGATGCTCGGCGCGTGGCTGCACACAATCAACGCAGCCCATTTCCGGTACTTGCGCCACGTCACGGTTCACGCTGCGCTGCACTACCGAGGGGACGGGAGCATAGCGGATTCTGGCCAGTGGAACGCCTTCCAGCAGCTGGTGGCGAGGCGGGGCATGAAGTTCCCATGCTTCAAGTACAGGCGCACGCCGAAATACTATGACGCCGGAAAGGTCGGCCATGAAAGCACCGTCAACCGAGTCGTCTCGATCCTCAAGTCCCTCCCGGACCTGCGCAGGCTCGAGGTCCTTTTCGAGTGGGACTCGCCCTTCATCGGCTTCAACGACCGCCGGATGGTAGACTGCTACCTAGGCTACCCGGAGCAGCTCGAGCCCGCCGCGGCCGTCAGACACGTTGTGGAGGACCATTGTCGCGATCCAACATGGTGGCCGCTGCTGGCGGGGATCAAGCGGGAGGCTGTGTCGCCCGACTTGAAGATGGCCCTGGTGCTTCTCTATGGCCCGAACGACGTCAGCACCTACGAGCTGGCATCTCCGTACGTCGACGAGAAAATGCGAGCGGGGAGATGGCTGGGAGCTTATGCCAAGATCATGGGCTACGACTTCGGGCATGCGCGGTGGGAAAAGGGCGCGTACCAGGTCAGGTACGATGCGAACGAGCTGCTCGCACGTCGTGAGATCAAGGAGGACGAGGAGGGACCGTTCCTGCCAGAGCCTCCTGAAGTGCAGCACGGCGTGTACGCCCAGGCAGCCAAGCCGGGGGGCTCCATAACAGACTGCCACGCTTTCGTCGAGGAAGAGCGTAGGCGGACGCGCCAGAACTGGTGGTGGTGGTGGTAGCGGCTGTGCCGTCTCTGGACTCGGCAGCGAGACGGGCATTCCGAAGCACCCATGCATCGTGCACCTTCCCTTCTCGGCTGGGCCGGGCATGGGCCGTCTCCCCCGCACGACAGCGGTCCATGTCGTGTCACTGCCGTCCCTCTGCCGTATCACTCCCGACTCGCGGCCGATCATGCCCCGCCGCGGCACAAGGCTCCGCCCACTTTAGCAAGGCGGGCTACCGCTGTTATCGCCGAGCAGCCCAATGCTTGTCCATCAACAAGACTCTTATCATCTCTTGGAACGCCCTTAAACCCACCCCCCCAGCCAGCCAGCCAGCCAGCCAGCCAGCCAGCCAGCCAGCCCGACCCGACTCGTCATCCACCCGCAGTTCGACCATGGCCGGCGCCGACGTTGAGAAGGAGCCCGTTCCCGGCGTCGAAGAGGCGGCCGACCGCAATGGCAGCGTCTCCGCCGCCATCGTCAAGCACAGCCACGATGCCGACGCCGCCATGAAGGCCTTTGCCGAGAACCAGGGCCAAGTCTTGGACATCGACGAGGCCACCAATGCGCGCCTGCTGCGCAAGATCGACTGGCACCTGATGCCGGTACGGAACGCCGGCCATCCTGAAGCTTATCCCGGATAGAGTGCTGACATTCCTTCCCGCGACCAAGCTCCTCTGCGTAGTCTACGGCCTGAACTTCCTGGACAAGACCTGCATCAGCTATGCCTCCGTCATGGGCCTGAAGAAGCCCCACTCCGAGGGCGGCATCGACATCACCTCGGATCAATACAGCTGGCTGGGTTCCATGTAAGCCCGACCCGCAGCCAACCACCCTTTGCACCGCTGCATGCTCACACGTCCAGGTTCTATTTCGGTTACCTTGCCTGGGAGTGGCCGACGAACCGCCTTCTGCAGTACCTGCCGCTGGGCAAATACTCCGCCTTCAATGTCATCATGTGGGGCGTCGTCTTGGCTCTGTTTGCGACAGTCGAGAACTTCGCCGGCGCCGTGGCTGTCCGCTTCTTCCTGGGTCTCTTCGAGGCCGCCGTGACGCCTGGTGAGCTAGTTCCAACGGCCGCGTCGTGCACTTGTAGCTGACTCCATGTGTGCCAGGCTTTGCTTTGTTCACCAGCCAGTGGTATACCAAAAAGGAACAGGGATTGAGGACAGGAATTTGGTTCAGCTTCAATGGCGTGGCGCAGGTATGTCGTTCCTGTACCTTTCCCCGGTGCGCTCGGTACTGATAGCTCGCAGATTGTTGGAGGCTTGGTCGCATACGGCATCGCTCGCGGGACCGCTATCCACGGCTCCGCCATCGCACCATGGAAGATCGTCTTCCTCGTCACCGGTCTCCTTACTACTGTCGTCGGCATCGTCTTCCTTTTTGTCATGCCCGACAATCAGCTGAACTGCCGTTGGTTGACAAAAGAAGAGCGCCTGCTGGCTCTTGAACGCATTCGCGTCAACCAACAAGGTATCGGCAACAAACACTGGAAGTTTTACCAGGTCAAAGAAGCCTTGATGGACCCCATGGTCTGGGCCTTCTTCTGGTACGCCTTGATTGCCGACATCCCCAACGGTGAGCATTCCGAACCCGCACATGCGCTGGCGGTTGAATCTGATTTTTTGATCCTCAGGCGGCGTCACCAATTTCTTCTCGCTGCTCATCCAGTCGTTTGGCTACACTTCGGAGCAGTCCCTGCTGTACGGCACTCCCGGCGGTGCGGTTGAAATCGTCACTTTGGTCGTTTGCGGATATCTCGGCGACAAGTACGGCTGTCGCATTCTGGTCTCGACCTCTGGCCTCTTCCTCGGCATCCTGGGCATGGCTCTCATCGTTGGACTTCCCGAAAGCATGAACGTCGGCCGTCTGATCGGATACTACCTGACGCAGGCCACGGCCACGCCCTTCGTCGCCCTGCTGTCCCTGATCTCCACCAACGTGGCCGGCTACACCAAGAAGACGACGGTGGCGGCTCTGTACCTGATAGGCTATTGCGTGGGCAACATCATCGGGCCGCAGACCTTCCGTGGCGACAACTACCTGCCGGCCGAGATCACCATTCTGGTCTGCTACGGCATCTCGCTCCTCGACATGCTGTTCATCTACTGGTATTGCATGCATCAGAACAAGAAGAAGGCCGCGGCCAGAGCGGCGCCGGGTTACGTGAAGCTTGAGAACCAAGAGTGAGTTGATGCCGTCTTTTTCAATCAAATGTACGTACTAACCTCGTTTTCCAGATGGCTCGACCTCACGGACAAGGAGAATCCAGAGTTCACCTACGCTCTGTAGTGATAGTTAGAGAAATTTTGTTGGAACAATGAATTTCAACTGCACCTCAGTGCCAGTATTGGATGCGTGGCCGTTGAATCGGTGGTCGAAACATATGCCGAGGGGCAACGTGGACCTGTGCTGTCATGAAGTGGGGCAATGCCGAGGTTGAATAAGTATGATCAGACAGCGAGCGTTCCCTTCCAGAAGGTGGCACTGCAGGGACGTGAGCAAACGACGCCCGCATTAACGCTCAAGTCCCCGCGCTTACGTGAGGCCACCAAAGCGGGGCACTGCATCGTACATGGCTCCGACAGGGTCCCATTTGCTCTTCGCTCAAGCCTCGTCGGGCCATGGGATCCTATGGATGCCTTTGAGAGAAGACTGGCAGCCGAATCAATAAGTCTTCGCTGCTTCCTTCACGAGAAGGGAAACGTCTCCGATCCGGGTCAAACGAAGCCGAGAATGGATGGATGACTTCAAGTCGTGAAGGATGCTGGATGGCGCTGCACGTCGTAGCGAAACGCTTGTGTCCGCCACGGCGCACACGCCATTCGCGCCATCAAAAATCGCAGTGCCGGCGCACCAAAGCAGGCTCGGTACTCGGCCGGGCAATAATGCGACAGCTCCACGTCCACGGCTCGGGGCGTCAAGTCGAGCGCTACGGCCGTTTCTGCGACTCTGCTGATCGCCCTCGACGTCCGTGGCCAATGGCCGTGTATTACTCGGGCTCAATGGAGTTTGCGGAGACTTGGCGGCCCGAGACGCGGTACGGCGGGTGCGCGGAAGGGAGCGGCCCAGCAGGGGTGCAGGAACGATGCGGTGTAAGTAGGTAGTAGTGCAGCGTGCGTATAGGAGTAAGCATCCGGCTTGAGTAGCTTCCAAGGCTTGGGTGGCGCGGATCTTTGCGGAGGATTTATGGCTGACGCCACTTTGTGCGACCGTCGACTATACCCTCCGCTGCTGACTTGGAAGGTCGGCCAAGAATAGAGCCATGACTGATGGCGGGGAAGGGCAGGCGGGCGGTCAGTGGACCGGCGGCAGCACTAACACGGGGTGTCTGCAGCAGTGGCAGCTGCTTCCAGTAGTCCTTGCGCTGCATGACCACCCTTCGCACCCGAAAAGCCCGACAAGAGCGAATCCCCGAGGACCCTCCTCCTTGGCCATGGTGTTTGCGGACTTTGGGCCTCTCTCGCACGAGGTTTTTTGGATTACGTTGACCCCCGAACGGACCAGATCTATCATGTGCCGATCATGAAGAGCGGCCCATATATATTTGACCATGGCGGTGCTCCGGCTCTGCTGCCCAACCTCTCACCCGCACCGTATTCGTTGTATCCGAAACATTGCCAGCGGCACGGCTCCAGCCCGTTCCTCGAAAAGGTAAGCGGCCGCTTCCCTGCCAGGGGCGAGTGGGTCGACGGCTCCTCGAAGAGGCGCTGACACGCTACGACCACCAGACCTCAGCACTACTACCCGCTTCGCTGGCCATTGGCGTGGTTTTGATAGAGCCGACGAGCGCTACCAGCGTCAGCTTATCGTTGCCGTCGACTATTTAGCCAGTTGTCGCCCAGACACGGCGCTTCCCGTCGCACTCGCCAGGCAGAGAGCAGCAGCCATCATGGACTCTGCATCACACCCACACTTGCTGGCCGCAAACAACTTGCCCGCTCTGGTCGGAGGGGCGGTTGTGACAGTGAGTCATGTCCTGTACAGAGGGGGAAGGCCTCGGCTCACAGCAGCAGGCAATTGTTTACACCATCGGGGTCGCCATCTACAACGTCTACTTCCACCCCCTGAGCAAGTACCCGGGATCCAAGTGGTACGCGGCCAGCAGGATCCCGTACGCGCTCGATCTCAGCCGCGGAACCATCAACAAGGCGATAACGGAAGCGCACAAAAAGTATGGCGACGTCATCCGCATCGCCCCCGACGAGCTCTCGATGATCAGCGGCGAGACGGCATGGAACGACATCTACGGCTTCCGTGGGGCCAAGAAGCCCGAGTTCGGCAAGGACCGGAACTGGTACGTCCGGCCAGTCAACGGGACTTACTCGATGCTCGTGTCGGACCGTGAAGGCCACTCCCGGATGCGCCGCATCTTCTCGCACGCCTTCTCGGACAAGGCGCTGCGGGACCAGGAGCCGCTGGTCCAGAAGTACATCGACATGCTGATGCAGCGCTTCAGCGAGAAGGCAAAGGCGGGCGTCGTCGTCGACATGGTGCGGTACTACAACTTCACCACCTTCGACATCATCGGCGATCTCACCTTTGGCGAGTCGTTTGGCTGCTTGGAATCGGACGACTACCATGCGCTCGTGGCGGGCGTGTTTGCCTCGCTCAAGTCGGGCAACCTTCGCAAGGCGCTGCACTACTGGCCGTATCTGGCAAAGGCATATCTTGCGTGGGACAAGTTCACCAAAGGAGGCAAGACTCAGGGAAACGTCATCTTCCACAACTTTGTGGCCACCAAGGTCGACAAGCGGCTCGCGGCGGAGACGGACCGGCCGGACATCATCACAGCGGTGGAGAACCAGCCCGAGAGCCGGGCGCTGACACGGGCGGAGCTCCAGACCAACTCGGAGCTCTTTCTGATCGCCGGGAGCGAAACGACGGCCACGATGCTGAGCGGCACCACGGCAGCGCTGCTGAGACACCCGGAGATGATGAAGAAGCTGTGCGACGAGATCCGCGGGGCCTTCAACAGCGCCGACGAAATCACCTTCGAGCGGGTGAACCACCTTCCGTACCTCATCGCGGTGCTCACCGAGGGCATGCGCTTCTACCCGCCGGTGCCGACGGGGTTCCCGCGCAAGACGGCCGAGGGCGGTGGCAGCGTCAGCGGCCACTATGTGCCTCAAGACGTAAGAAGACCCGGATGGCGCTGAGATTCGAAGAGCTAACACGGTTGCAGACTGCAGTGTACGTGTCCCAGTACGCGGCCTACCACAGCCCGCAGAACTTTGCCGAGCCCGACTCGTTCATCCCGGAGAGATGGATTGGCGACGACCCGCGGTTTGCGAACGACAAGAAGTCGGTGCTCATGCCCTTCTCCAACGGGCCCAGGAACTGCCTTGGCAAGAAGTGAGTGTCGGCCGCCTTTCTGCCCCCTCAATGCCGTGACTGATTCTTTGGCAGCCTCGCGTACGCCGAGATGCGCTGCATCCTCGCAAAGACGCTCTTCAGCTACGATCTCGAGCTGGTTGACCCGGAGGTGGACTGGTTCGATCAGAGGGTGTTTGGGCTGTGGGAGAAGGGCCCGCTGTCGGTCCGGGTCACGGAGGCGCGCAGGTGACGGGGGGGAGGAAGAGGAAGGCGATGTAGATAGTGAATGGAGTGGATTGGAGTCAGGCAGGCTTAGGTAATGCGGTGCAAGTGGGTCGCGCCTCGGCGGGTCCCGAGGTTTGGCCGGTATCGATAAGGCGGTTGAGGCCATCTGGCACACTTCTTCTGGCTTGACCTGCACAGCTCCGGCAAGCCCGCCAATCCACTGCCTCTGCCACTGCCTGCTCTCTCCTCCCAGGGCTGCAATCCCGGCCGGATCCATGTAGTGCTTGCTGTCACCGGCGCCGCACAAGTCCCTTCTTCACTCGTTCCCAGCTCCCTTGCGAGACACCCCCACCCACCACCATGCTGTTCTTCACCACATTACTTCTCCTCTGCGCCCTGCCGCTGCTCGTGCTGTGCGCCGAGGACTACTACAAAGTACCTGAAGCTCCCCCGCTGCCATTGCCCCAACCGCCCTGCTGACAGCTGTCCGTCTAGCTCCTGGGCCTGGACAAGAATGCTTCGGACCGCGAGATCAAGAAGGCATACCGCACATTGAGCAAGAAGTACCACCCGGACAAGAACCCGTGCGTCAATCCCGCCCCCTCTCCCGCCCCCTCTCCCGCCCCCGACGCCCCCGCTAACCCCGGTGTCGCCAGTGATGACCAGGACGCGTCGGAACGCTTCGTGGCCGTGGCCGAGGCCTACGAGGCCCTGATCGACCCGGAGCTGCGCAAGATCTACGACAAGTTCGGCCACGACGGCGTGCAGAAGCACAAGCAGGGCGGCGGCCAGGCCCACCACCACGACCCCTTCGACCTCTTCTCGCGCTTCTTCGGCGGCAGCGGCCACTTCCGCCAGCAGGGCGAGCGCCGCGGACCCAACACCGAGGTGCAGCTCAACGTGCCGCTGCGCGACTTCTACACGGGCGCCGAGAAGACGTTCAGCATCGAGAAGCAGGCCGTGTGCGACGCCTGCGAGGGCACCGGCTCCGAGGACGGCGAGGTCGACGTGTGCCCCGTGTGCCAGGGGCGCGGCATGCGCATCCAGAAGCACATGCTGGCTCCGGGCATCTTCCAGCAGGTCCAGGGCCCCTGCGACGCCTGCGGTGGCAAGGGCAAGACGGTGCGCCACAAGTGCAAGGTGTGCGGCGGCGCCCGCGTCGTCAAGGAGACGGAGACGCACACGCTGCACGTCGAGCGCGGCATGCCCCGCGGCGTGCGCATCACCTTCGAGAACGAGGCCGACGAGAACCCCGACTGGGTCGCCGGCGACCTCATCGTCCAGCTGCAGGAGCGCGAGGCCCAGCTGGCCGCCGACGGCTACGACGACCACCTGTCCCACGCCGACGGCCAGTTCTTCCGCCGCAAGGGCAAGGACCTGTTCTGGCGCGAGGTGCTCGCCCTGCGCGAGGCCTGGATGGGCGACTGGCAGCGCAACCTCACCCACCTCGACGGCCACACGGTGCGCCTCGGCCGCAAGCGCGGCACCGTCGTCCAGCCCGGCCATGTCGAGGTGGTCAAGGGCGAGGGCATGCCCATCTGGAACCCCGACGCCGACGAGCTGGCCTTTGGCGACCTGCACGTCGAATACGTCGTCGTGCTGCCCGACCAACTCGACAAGGCCATGGAGAAGGACTTCTTCGAGCTGTGGGACAAGTGGCGCAAGAAGCACGGCGTCGACCTGCTCAAGGACAGCGGCAGACCGGCTCCCCATGACGAGTTGTAGACCTTTTGCCTCGTCTTGCCCAATTTTCGAGTCATCTGGGAGGGAAAAGAAAATAGAGAAAGAGCGTGTTTTAATATACCCTTTACATTTGTTGATCATGCGCAAGCAAGCTCCTGAAGCTCCATGAGCCAAGAAACAAGGTGCATTCATTCACATCAGTTCATTGATTATATCGAGCCGTCACATCGTTTTTCTACCACCACCACCTGCTTCAAGCATCATGTCGGCCCCACAAAGCCCTCTCTTTCTCACAAAACATACCTAAACATAGGTCCGTAGTTCTCCTCTCCCACCCCTTCGGCCTGACCCCCCTCCTTGGCACCAGCCACATCGCCGGCCGCATCCCTCCTCGCCCTCTGCTCCTCGACAGTCCCATACTTTTTATCCAACCGACCATTCTCCCACACGAGCAGCAGCCGCAGCGCGACGACGAGCAGCGTGCAAAAGAACATGAAGGCCGCACACACAGCCTGGCCCTTGACGTAGCGCGGGCCGTCGCCGGTCGGATACAGGCGCGTGCCGAGCAGCGGGCCGCACTGGCCGACGACGTTGAGCACGACGAAGCCGACGCCGCGCCGCGTGTCGGACCCCTGGTTGTTGCTGACCCACGGCAGGATGTTGGCGATGGCGGGGAAGACGCCGCCCGCGGCGAGGAAGACGCCCGCGTACCGCGCGCCCGCGCCGTTGCAGGCTGCGAGCAGCACGTATCCCGTCCCGCCGACGAGGGTGAGCGCCGCGATGGTCCAGGCGCGTTGTCGCGTGCGGTCGGCGAGGACGGTGGTGCCGATGGTGAGGAGGAAGGAGAGGAAGTAGGGGGGCGCGGTGAGGCCTTGGGCGTTGATGGCGCTGTAGCCCATTTCGTTGAGGATGGTCGGGAGGAAGACGGGGAGAGAGGCGAAGGAGACGTTGCAGGAGAAGTACATGAGCTGTGTTGTTGTCAGTGGTGGTGTTGGCGATGGATGGATGGGGGTGGGCTGGGATGTCGCTTGTTCTTTCTTTTTCTCTTTCTCTTTCTCTTTCTCTCTCTCTCTTCCAGCTCTTCCTCTTCCTCTTCGTAGGCGTCCATGTCTCCCCTCTCTCCTCTCGCCCTTTTCTTTCTTTTAGATGTCGGAGACACTTACAGCAGTGAACCAGCACTTCAGATCCAGCAGCGCGGCGACCACGTCCTTCCACTCGACGCCGCCGATGCGCGCCTCGGCGTCCTGCCCCGTCTGGCGCACCGCCCGCGCCCTCGCGATCCTCTTCTCGTCCTCGTCCAGGAAGCGCGCCTTCTCGGGCGCGTCGGGCAGGAAGAACCACGCGACGGCGGCCATGACGAGCGTCGGCGCGCCCTCGACCACGAACAGCAGCCGCCACCGCGCGAGCGCCGACCGCCGCGCCGCCGTGATGCCGTACGCCAGCGCGCCCGCGAACGTGTTGGCCAGCGGCGCCGCCGACAGGAAGATGCCCTGCCGCGACCCGACCTCGTGCCGCAGGTAGAAGAAGGACAGCAGGTACGGGATCCCCGGCCCGTAGCCCGCCTCGAACAGCCCCATGAGGAACCGCAGCGCCATCATCCCCTGCCAGTTGTGCGTCGCCGCTTGCACCGTCGCGACCAGGCCCCTGGAGGTTTGGTTTGTGTGTAAGCATCGGTTTGGGCCGTGTTTTTTTTTTTTTTTTTTATATATTCCTCCTCCCCCTTTTGCTGCTGCTTGCTGGAGGAGGGGGGGACACTTGCTTACCATCCAAAGACACAGACGGCTGCCCACCTGTGTGGCGGCACCAGTTTCCACATGATGGCCTGGAACTCGAACACGATGTAGGAGATGTAAAAGATGGTGAGCAACCAATCGTAGCGGTCGCCGTCGAGGCCGAGGTCTTCTTCCATGCCCGCGATTTTGGCATTGCTGTTCTCGACACCGTCAGCCTGTGTGACCTTGGGCTTGGCCGCGTGGCCGGAGGGGGTGGTGACGGAGAGCTGCGCACCCGATATTGGATCGATCCAGAAAGGCGAGGAGATCTGGACCGGTCAGTTTCTCCGTCGTTTTGCTCCGGGATTCGGGGTGGGAGCGGCTTAGTTACAGAGAGCCATGAGCAGTGGGACGACATGGAGGTCCAGCTTGCGAACCACTCTCTTCTCGGCGACGGGGTCGATGAGCTGCTGCTGCTGCTGGTTGGTCTCGACCTGGAGCCCGTAGGCCTTCTCGACCTCGTCGAGCTCGCCGGGCTTGTCGGGCGCGGACATTGTAGCAGTTGCGCGGATGCTCGATCGAAGTGAAGAAGGGCTCGGTTTTATAAGAAGAGGGAGGGGTGGGCTCGGAGTTAAAAGCAACGTTTCTCAAACGATCAATTCGCGGTGAGATCAGTGCGACACAGCTGCGGCCAATAGCCACCGGCTTCTGGCCCGGCAAAGTCAAAGGGAGTTAGGTGAACGCGTCAAGTGGGATGCTTCGGCCGTGCTGATTGACTCATTGGGCGAGTCTCCATCGCAGTGCAGATGGCCGGGGCCGTGGGGGACTGGGGGATGACGCGCGGGCTTGGACGGCGGGTGGGGCAAGCCTCTAGTTAAGGAATAAGCCTTTGCCTCCGCGTCTCGGCATCGCGGGGCGGCTGACAGCGGGGACCAGCGAGCGCCACGAACGCCGCCGGGACATGGGTGCGCACGGCCGTGAGCCGACACGGCCTGCTGTTGGGAGCAGCAGAGACAGCCGCCGCGGTGGAGACACTGAGAGTCCTCGGTCCCTCGGTGGAGCGGGCCCGCACCCTTTCCGCCAATCCGCTGGGCAGCTTATCTGAGCAATTTACCTCGAGCCAGAAGCTTAATTCGCTGGCTGGTCCCTGTTCTATCTCGTCGCCCATGCGCGCTCACACATGGTTTACGCGTCTTGCGCACGACATGTACGTAGATATGAAGGCTCCCTGCGTCACGCCATTCTCGCTCCTCTCTTCCTTGTCCCTTTTCACCTCTTTCTCTTCAAGTGGACCCGGTAGAGTTGTGATCAGTCGGGAGTGGCTGCATCTGCCGGCCCGTCCCGTCAGATTTGGCCGACGAGGTTTTCACACACACCCATGTACATTCGGATCAAAAGCGCCTATGCAGTATCTGCTATCTTTCATCTTCCTTGTTCGGCACCCTCCCCGAAGAGAAAACGTTGAGAGCCAGGTTGATTGCTCTCCCAGGTGGACGATATTGAACTGATGCACCACCTCGACCCACTGTTTGAAAACGAGTCATCCTTTTTGTAGCCCCACGCGATATTGGCCCGTGAATCCATCAGCATAGGGCCCACCGATGCCGCCAAAGATTGAGCGGGGCTTGTTTTCTTTCGAACTCGGCCTGAGTAGCGCTCCCTTCGGCCAGTGACTCACAAAGGATGATACGACATCGTTCTATGCAAGGCGTTGCACTTTGTGAATGTCTGAGATTGCTAGTCGGACAAGATACAATCTCGTCTTACATCAAGAAAGTAACGCGAAAATCATTACAAGGGGAGTCATTGATTGTTCCATGAAAAGGCAGCTTCGCATTGCCCATCGGACGCGGAAGCCCCCATGTACATACAAATTTACCATTCTTACGAAAAAATCGGCATGTGTATCAGATTTGAGAATTGTATGACTCTTTACTACCGTCTGTAGGCCCGAAAGGCCTGAGAAGCGACACTAAAAGCGGCCCGAAGTAAGACTCACAGTGAGAAGAAACGTGTCGTACCAGTAACACGCTGCTAAGTCTTCAGCCTCACGCCACCACATCATCCTCGTCTTTTCCTGGCCCTGCAAGCCCGTCGTCCTCCACGTCGTTGTACTTCTTAAACATCTTCCAAAACACGGCAGCCGTCACCGAACACGCCACCGCCAGCCCCGCGTACAGCCCCACCAGCAACGGATCCCTCGCAAAGGGCGAGATCAACCCTCCGATCATGGCGCCGAACGCCGTCGTCAGCAGAAACAGCGCCATGATGAAGCTCTTCATGCTTGCCGGCGCCTTGGTGAACGCATACTCCAGGCCCGTCACGCTCGCGAGGATCTCCGACACGGCAATCATGAGGTAGGCCGGCGCCTGAAGCACGACGTGCACGCGGTTGGGCTCGTAGCCGCTGCCGTCGGCCCGCAGCGCCGCGGCGCAGGCCGAGGGAGCGTCGAAGCAGGGTTCGCTGGCGTAGATGACGTGCTGGAGGAAGGCGGCATATGCCATGCCGCACGCGGCGAAGAGGAAGCCGAAGGTGATGCGGGCGATGGGCCGCATGGGAAAGCCGCGGCGCCGCAGAAACGGGTAGGCGTAGCGGTCCATGAGCGGTATGAGACAGATGATGGCCAAGGGATCGATGTTCTGCATGGCATCGTTGGGGATTCCGTGTAGTTGCATTTGGCCGGCTGTCAAGTGGTTGTCAGCCGAACGGGTTCCCTCTTTTTCCACACACACGAAAATGGCCCCTTACCCTGCGAGATGAAGTTGTTCGACATCTGTCCGAACGCAGCCCAGTAGAATGGATAGAAGCAGAAGACTTTGCAGGCGAGCAGGGCGCGCTTCAACTCCTCGACAAAAGCGTCGTCCCACTGGATCTTGCGTTGAATCCTGTAGCTGCGCTGGACCGATGGTTTGGCGGCATCGAGATCGCCTTGGTTCAAGATAGCAATGTACAAAGCTTTGAAGCTGTTTGCTATGACAGATCCTGACGGAGGGGTGATTACGTATCTATTCTTCCCCATGATGATGAGCACGAATCCGACAACGAACATGCAAAGGGGCAGCAGATATGCAGCCCAGAAGCCGATACGCAGTTCCATGGTGCTGGTGGCAATGGCGGACAGAGAGCCAATGTTGATGCACATGTAGAAGACCATGTAGATACGTTGGATGGTGAGGGACGGATCGACTATCACACGTTCCCCGGAGGGCAAGGTCTTGATCTTTTGCCTCGTCTCCTCGTACTGCTCGGCAATCAGTGGCGACACATTGCTCTTGATGCCACCAGTGCCGAGGCCAATGATGAGGATTGCGACGAGCAGACCGGGATAAGCGTAGCCGGCCTCAATCGACGAGGGCAGAGAGGTAAGGAAGAGGACGGCAATGCCGGACATGTACACCATGGAGAAATACACAACAGTCCAGTACTTGCCCAAGTACTGGTCGGCCACCACGGCACCGAAGATGGGGGTGAGAAAGCACCAGAACTGGAAAAAGCTGCTGGTCAAAGTCGCGCCGTGCTGGCCAAGCCCACTGCGGCCGTGTTAGCTGCGATTGGACAGGCTTCAAGATGCACGTACATGGCTCCCGGGAGGCCGCTTGGGTCGTGGTACTTGTTAGCCATGTAGTTTTGAAACGGGCCGGATAGGCCGTAGTAGGCGAAGCGCTCGCATAGCTCGACAATGGCGATCAAAGAAGCGCTCCACGGCAGCCTGTCCGGAACCCTGCGGAGGGAGAGCCTGTCCTCGTCTGACGGCTCGTCGCCGTCCACCGACAGATTGCTGAGAGTGTCGGTGGAGTTGCGCTTTGCTTCGCCCACTTCAGGCGTGTCCAGGGCACTGGAGTCGCCGCTTGCACCAGGGCGCGGGGCCGGAGCATGGCCGCGCCTGCCCTTGGGTTAGCGCGTGCGCAGAGCGACGGAAGAAGACAAAGGACGATACCGGGCCAGCGAGCGGTCATGATGGACTCTAGCCACGTCCGAGGCAGCGCTCAGGTCGTGCAGCTCCACGGCAGATTCGGCTTGCGGCACCGAGGCATAGTCGCCGCGGCTCGAGCCAAGGGGCGCCATCTCCAAAGGCAATCCGGATCAGCTGCTTGCTGAAGATGGCATCGTTGAAGTTGGGATGTCGGTTTGAGATTGCCGGGCTGATAACACGTGGACGCGACGCGGCCCCTTAGTTGGGCCGGAGGGCTGGACTGACACGGTGCTGTGACAGAAGCCAAGGCGAGACCTGTTAGCAGAAGCCAAGGCGCAATGGTCAAGGCGGAAATTCGTAGCGGACGGCGGTTGGAGGGACGACAGGCGAAGGGGGCAGAAGCGCGACGGGCTTGAGGCGCATGGGTTGTGCTAGATGCGGCCCGTGCGCCGTGTGCTTCCGCAAGAGGGTCAATAACGGAGCAGCACAATGGAGAACAGGTCAAGAGAAGACGGCTTGTCTTCGATCGGGCGACGCTAGCCCCGAAACAGCTCTTCTACATGCGCCTCTTCCGCATCTCACTTGACCTCTGCCATCGCCCCTCCAAAGCCAACTCTAGCTCCAACCCCGCTTCAGTGATAAACAGTCCGTTGTCTTCCCATGCTTTCGTCCATACATGCACACATGCGCCTGAACTGCCCTCTCCTCCGAGACCACCTCTCTCGGTCCTCTTCATTCCACCTTGTACTTCGTGCCATGGCTTCGTCTCGCTACGCCGCTGCATTCGCTTCGCCCAGCGGCCCCGGCGATGCCCAGCCCACAGCGCTCGACATCATCCGCGACGAACGCCTTGTCTGCTATCTTGGGGCCTGGCCTTGAAGACTTGTTGGAGTTGGAGCTGGATCCCTGGAGAGTGTGCGCAGCTGTGCCAAGGGCTTTCTCTCCAGGAGCAAGACTTTGAACGTTCTGGTGCCGCCATATGCCAAGACCCCCGACGGCTTCGAGTCTCAATCTGCCACAAACCATCTGAGCCATTTCCTACTGTCCAACCTGCTCAACGATGCGCTTCTTGCCGGCTCCCCTCCTTCCTTCGGCTCCCGCGTCGTCGTGGTTGCGTCAATGGGTCATCGCGACGGAGGAATCCATCTCGACGACATCAACCTAGAGAACAACTATACACCAAGCAAAGGATTTGCACAGAGCAAAACGGCAAACATATACCGAGCGTCGATACGGCGCCAGGGGGGGGGTCCATGCGCTCAGTCTCCACCCTGGCGGCATAGCGACGGGGCTTCAGGTCCACATGGATCCTAAACTCAAGGAACGGTGAGCGAGCAATCCAGACTATGTGAAGGCGACTATGAGCCCGGCTCAGGATGCGGCAACCCGGGTTCTGGCCGCGGTTGGAAAGGGGTTTGAAGGACAGGGTGCCAAGCATGTGGAACAGTGCTCGGAGAGTGAACCTGTCAAGGAGGGGTACACAGTAATGGACTAGGGGTCTGAAACGTGGGCGTTCGACGAAGAGAAGGAACAGAAATTGTGGATCGAGTCATTGAAAATGGTGGGGCTCAATGTACATGATGAGTAAATATCACACGCCCCGCTGTGAAATATACAAGTACCGCTCGCTCCATCATTCGTTGGTTCGTTGGCCAATTGGGGGATCTGATAGTGGTTGTTAGATGTCACCCACGTTAGACCAAGGTCCCGTAGCTTTGGCGCGGCGGGTTGTCGACGTAGTCTGGGCCCTCGGCGTCTTCGACGGGGTTGCCCTTCTCTTCCATATGCACGACCAGAAGCGCAGAGCCGACGGTGGTGGTCAGCAGGAAGAACATGCTCAGCACGGGAACCAGCTGCAGCATAAGCGCAGTCGTGCCGAACCTGCGTCTGTCAGCGGGGTTAGGCTTCAAACAACAGGCTGGGCATACCAGGTGTACTTCCACCTCCACTCCTTGATGTAGCGGTTCCTTGTTTTCCTGTCAAAGTCAAGGAAGTTGAAGTACCTCCAGTGCTGCAGGGGCCCGGCGCGGTAGCCGGTGAGGAAAATGAAGAGAGGCACGCCGGCAATGGGGATGAAGTTGAGCGGCAGCAGCAGGATGAACTCGACTATCTGCCGGAGGTTGAAGGGAGCGTAGACGGCATGGCGCTCGCGCTTTCCCAGGCGGCGGATTGGGTTGTTGCCGTCCGGGGAGACGGGACGGCGGGTGGTGACCAGGTCCTCGTAGCCCTTGGCGACCAGCACCTGTGGGCGAAGTCAATACACGCGTGGCCAAGGATGGGGCGGCAGCGGCGGGGCTCGGGTGCCAAGCGCGAGCACATCATGGCGGCGGGCGGGGGCTATAAAAATGGCACGTACCGCGTCGAAAAGGTCGACCTGGGTCTCGTCGACAAAGAAGGCCTCGAAGAGGATGGCGACGATGGCGGCGCCCTCGCCGAGGACCAGAAAGGTGCCGTTGACCCAGGCACCGGCGTGGTGGAAGAGGTACAGGAAGGCAACCTGCGGCAGGTAGGTCCAGATGAAGAGGTTGGCGAAGACGAACACAGACAGCAGGAAGCACGGCAGCAGGCGGCCCTTCAGCAGCGGCCACAGGTCGGGATGGGTGCAGAAATACCAGAGTCCCTGTGCTAACGTCAGGGCAGGCGCACGCATCAAGACTCGCAGCTCGACCTACCTTGAACGGGAAGAGGACGCCGGCCTGGCCCGCGGCGGCGACGGGGCGCTTCAGCATCTGGGGCGCGGGCGGCATTATGTGAGTGGGCTCGAGATTCTTGTTGGGTGCTCGGGCTGGAGGAAAGTTGGCCGAAGCGTGCAGTGCGGGCGGCGTGCGGCGTGCGGGCGGCGGGCCACGGGCTGCCGACAGGCTGCCGGCGGACGGGACCGGGGAACCGCTTAGCCTTGTTGGCCGCCTGAGGTGCTGAAAAATCAAGCCCACAAGCCCACCACGCATGACGCCTCGACTCGCCTGCACTCGCCTGCACGCCGTTTCTGCCGCCCCCTTACAAATGCCACACCAGGCCCGTGTGGCGTGGCATTGCTTGCTCGCCCGGCCACTTGTGCTCGCCTCACCCGCCGCCATGGACGAATTGAGGGCTGCTGCATTGTTCGCCTCCGCAATCGGCTGACGGCACGAGCGGACGCTGCTGCTGCTCCACCGCTGCAGCCTTTGACAAGTTCCGCGCCCTGCGAGTGCACGCTAGGGGGCGCCGATGACTCCCTCGGCCACTGCTACCCCGGCCATTTAAAACCCACTGCGGTTCCCGGCGTGCCTGCGTTGCTACCCCGTTGCTACCCCTCCTCAGACCCGCTGCCCACCATGGTCTACGAATCCAGAGACGGCTGCTCCGAGAAAGAGATCGACAGCGGGGTACTTACTCCTCGATCGCTGCCGCCGTACGAGACTGACGGCACCGACTGCAGTCCAGCCCGGGACGACGAGATTGCCGTTGAGAGAGTAGCAACTGCTCTCGACGACGAGACCAAGGACGCCGCCGCCGCCAACCCGGCCAAACGAGTTCTCTCCAAGGTCGTGACCGCCCGCTCTGCGGCTTCCATCCGGGACCCCGGCCCTCCGCCCGATGGCGGTCTTCGCGCCTGGACCCAGGTGCTCATGGGCCACATCTGCATCATGAACACCTGGGGGTACATCAACTCCTTTGGCGCCTTCCAGGCCTACTACACCTCCACCCTGGCCGTCCCCAGCTCCCAGATTTCCTGGATCGGCACCGTCCAGGTCTGGCTGCTCTTCTTCATCGGCACCGTCTCGGGCCGTGCCACCGACGCCGGCCTGTTCCGCCGCGTGTACATCCTCGGCGTGTTCCTGAGCCTGCTTGGCATCTTCATGACATCGCTGTGCACCCAGTACTGGCAGCTCTTCCTCGCCCAGGGCGTCTGCACCGGCCTTGGGAACGGCCTCATGTTCTGCCCAACCGTGGCTCTTGTGGCCACCTACTTCTCCAAGAACCGAGCCCTTGCCATTGGACTCACCGCATCCGGATCTGCCACCGGCGGGCTCATCTACCCATCCATGGTCAGGCAGCTTCTCCCCCAGGTCGGCTTCGGCTGGACCATCCGCATCCTCGGCTTCGTCTCTCTCGCAACCTCGGCCGTGACCATTGCCCTGTTCAAGGTCCGCCTGCCTCCGCGGCCGTCGGGGCCGCTGATCGACATGTCGGCGTTCAAGGAGCTCACCTATTGTCTCTTCTGCCTTGGCATGTTCCTCAACTTCTGGGCTCTGTACTTTGTCTTCTACTACGTAAGTGACGGCCTCTTGCGGTTCGCGGCACCAGTGAAGAGTGAGGCTCACGTGAAGAACAGATCAGCGCCTTCAGCCGAGACATCATAGGGCTGTCGTACACCGACTCGCTCAATCTGCTGCTCATCCTCAACGGCGTGGGCTACATTTCGCGCATAATCCCACCCTTCGTCAGTGACCGCGTCACCGGCCCGTTGAATTTGATCATCCCATTTGCTCTCGCGACGGGCATCATGCTCTTCGCATGGTCGGCGGTGCACACGACAGCAGGGCTGTATCCGTTTACCGTCATCATCGGTTTGACGTCCTCTGGCGTCCAGGGCCTCTTCCCGTCGGTGCTCAGCAGCCTGACGCCAGACCTGAAGAAGACGGGGACGCGGATGGGCATGGCGTTTTCGATTGTTTCCTTTGCGGCGCTGACGGGGCCGCCGCTCGCAGGAGCGCTCATTTCAGACAACAACGGAAACTATCTGCGCGCGCAGATGTGGGGGGGCACGGTTCTTGTGTGCGGCAGCTTGACGCTAGTCGTGGCAAGGGTCGCCCAGACAGGTCTCAAGCTGAGAGCCAAGATCTAGACTTGTTTTGGAAAGTAATGAAAACGGAGTCGAGCGTTGCAGGCCCAGGGGCGGGCACGACAAGGCAGATTTCACAGCATGGATACGGCGTTACGGCGGAGCGCAGGGGTGGTGTTGGCTTCGCACACCCAGGCGCACTGGACGCGACAGTTTCGGATTTCGTGTGGTAATGATGGACGAGCGAGTTATGTACATAGATTCAATAACATCAACACGGACGATGGATTGCGAAATGATGAGAGCTAGGCCGGGCCTCGGATGACGCGCGCGGCGGTCTCGTGGACAGCTCACGGACCACCGCGCTTTCCCCAGCTGCCCTGCCAGCCACTCTTATCAGCGTCTGGCCTAGTCCGCAATCGGCTAATCAGTGCCAAGGCCTCAGATGACGAAGGGGAGGCGCCGGCCCAGGTACAACTACTGCAGGCAGCTCCCGTTCCCCAGACAAGCTCTCCCTCAACCGCCCATCTCCCTCTCCATCACTCCGCCCCATCTGCACCCGCCCATCTCTTATTCGAGCAGCTGCAGCTCCGTTCGATCCGCACCGCAACCATGAAGGGCTCTATGCTCCTCGCCGCCGGCGCCATGCTTGGCTCCGCTCAAGCCGGCGTCCACAAGATGAAGCTCAAGAAGGTGCCTCTGGCCGAGCAGCTGGTGTGTTTTCCATCTCCCATCTCATTGCCACGCCCCCGTGAAGCGTTCTGGAGCTCACCGTGTGCAGGAGCACGCCAACATCGGCGATCATGTCAAGGCCCTCAGCCAGAAGTACATGGGCTCGCGCCCGCAGCTCAACACCGTTGAGGATATCTTCAAGACCCAGCCCGTCGACGCCGACTCGGAGCACCCCGTTCCCGTCACCAACTTCATGAATGCCCAGTGTGAGTACACCGACCCTCCGATGCCGCCGATGCCGCACCGCCGTCATCTCGCTTCCGCCCAACGTGAGCTAACAGTCATTCGCCCCCAGACTTCTCGGAGATTTCGCTCGGCACCCCTCCGCAGACCTTCAAGGTCGTCCTCGATACCGGCAGCTCCAACCTGTGGGTGCCGTCGTCCGAGTGCGGTTCCATCGCCTGCTATCTCCACACCAAGTTCGACTCGAGCTCCTCGTCTACATACCAGAAGAACGGGAGCTCCTTCGAGATCCGTTATGGCTCCGGCAGCCTGAGCGGCTTCGTGTCCAACGACGTCTTCACCATCGGTGACCTGACTGTCAAGGACCAGGACTTCGCCGAGGCCACCTCGGAGCCCGGCTTGGCCTTCGCCTTCGGCCGCTTCGACGGCATCATGGGTCTTGGCTATGACACCATCTCCGTGAACAGCATTGTTCCGCCCTTCTACAACATGATTGAGCAGGGCCTTCTTGACGATCCCGTCTTCGCCTTCTACCTCAGCGATACCAACGAGGAGGGTGCCGAGTCCGTCGCCACCTTCGGTGGTGTTGACGAGAGCCACTACACTGGCAAGCTCACCAAGATCCCCTTGAGGCGCAAGGCCTACTGGGAGGTCGATCTTGACTCCATCACGTTCGGTGACGCAACCGCTGACCTCGACAACACTGGTGCCATTCTTGACACCGGTACCTCCTTGATTGCTCTCCCCTCCACTCTTGCTGAGCTCCTGTAAGTCTTCCTACACCCGGCTTGACGACTACGAGACCGCTAACAGACCACAGCAACAAGGAGATTGGTGCCAAGAAGAGCTTCAACGGTCAGTACACGATCGAGTGCGACAAGCGTGATGGTCTTCCCGACCTTACCTTCACCCTTACCGGTCACAACTTCACCATCACTTCGTACGACTACATCCTCGAGGTTCAGGGCTCGTGCATTTCCGCCTTCATGGGCATGGACTTCCCCGAGCCTACCGGCCCTCTTGCCATCCTGGGAGATGCCTTCCTCCGCAAGTGGTACTCGGTCTACGACCTTGGCGAGAACTCGGTTGGCCTCGCCAAGTCCAAGTAAGCGTGAGCTATTTATGATACCTTGAGCAGAATACAAGCATGCGGTAATGGACACTGGAATCGAACGATGCGGATATGAGGCTGCACACTAGCTTGATGTCCGGTTGGTAAATTGATTGTACGGTTTGGCTTCGCAGACTACGTTGATGAATGAATTGGAGGGCCTAGTGTCCGCTTTGATCTTACTGTGCGGTTGCGTGTTTCCCGTGTATTATACCTGGTGCCTCGTCTGGGAACAATAATGAAATAATGCCCGTGGACTGCTTTCTGAAAACCCATTTCAAGTATATCTCGTTCCTTGATTGTGTTCGTACGGTTCTGTCCCGAAACTGCACGGTGCTTCATGCTTTCTGAGGCCAATCCACTCCCGCCACTGTTCCACACCATGCCTCCATCAACGTCCCGCTGGTCCACTGACTGCATCTACTTCCCGCCAAGCTTCCTAAAGCCCTGCTTCTTGGCCTTCTTCTTGGGCCAGAACGGGATGCCCCAGCCCTTCCAGGTCCCGTTGTCCTTCTCGGTGCGGTAGTGGATGAAGACGGACAAGCCGACGAGCAGACCCAGGCCGAACAACACGGCCAACAAGATACCGAGCAGCGACGGGTCGCGCTGCACCGTGGCCAGCGCCGTCGGGGTCAGGATCGGGGCGAGGAATTCGAAAGCCATTATCGGGTGTAAGTTTTTTCTTTGCCGGTCCGGATTTGGGGGGGTCTTTTTTTCTTGGCTAGCTTCCTCTCCTTGCTTTTCCCGTCTTTTTTTTTTTTCCCTCGTGTTCGTTTAGTTGGAAGAGGGGGAGGGAGGAGGAGGAGGAGGAGGAGGAGGAGGGGTTTTGTCGTGTTTTCCTTGTTGGTTGTGTTCCTAGGTGGCGGTGCCGTTGGTTGGTTTCGGTGGTGGTCGGGATGGATTATCCGGAATTAACGTGTGGGTGGGGACAGCCAGCTGTCGACGACTGAGATCGTGTGGGGAAAAAAAGACACACTGATGGGGGGATATTTCGCAAAGAATATACGAGTAGCGAGGACCGGTAGGTTGAGTGGGAGGAGCTGGCGCAGGCGAAAAAAGGGAGTAGAAATCCGAGGATGAGGTGACGTGTGTCGAAAATGGCTGGGATACCAGCTAGCGAAGGACGTCCACAAAACAGGCGTGCGCACACGAGCTACGGCTGGGAGAAAGGGAGTGGGAAGTGGAAGAGCAGCGGCGTGTTGGGATGATGTGTGTGAGAATATGGGTGAGCCAAAAGAGGTCGGCAGTCGGGAGAAAAAAAAGCGAAACTTGCATCAAACCCGAAGCGTCTGAGAAGACCGGAGGGCTGTTAAGTCGCGAGTGTCCCCCAGCTGGCGGCCGTGCATGACAGGTTGATGGTCTGACGCTCGCTGAGGCTGATCTGCAACATCGAGCTTCCAGCGGCCAATGGTAGCCAGATGGGCCGCTGCTTCTGTTCCTGGGCTGCGCACGTGCGCCCCTTCCCTCCGGAACAGAAGCCGAGCGCTTCGCCGGCCCACACGGCAGCAACACGTGCCATCCGCTGGAGGCGACAGTTAGTGGCCTGCGGAGCATTTATTCAGCGAATCACAGTGGCCTGATGTGCATCTCGGCACCTGCCAGGGCCGTTCTTCTATCGCCTTGGGGAGCCCTTGCCAATTTGGGACGTGTGGGCCACAGGGCTGGTGGTTTGGAGCATGGCGAAGCAGAAGATCTGCTCATCGGCTTGTCCAGCTAGCCATTTGACTCGCTGCTCTGTCCTCTTCCACTCTCGGCTACAGGTGATCCATTCCGGGTTGACTAATACCGGAGCAAGTTACCTGCCAGTTGTCGTCTATTAATCGTTCATGGGCGGGATGCTTGTCTTTAGCAAGCCAAATGCGATAACATGGAGACGACACGTGCTTTCGGGGTTTCGAATCTCCGTATCGAGCTCATACGTTCAACGATTCTGGCTATACCACTTCATCGTACCTCTTTGAATCCGCGTGGTGTTCAAGCTTGTGCTTTCAAGCCACAGTGATGCGAACCTTTAGTAAGCAGGAACGAAAAAGGAAATAAAAAGGCCAGATGAAGTGGCAGCGCAGCTCAACATCGTGGGCAAGATGAAAAGGACGTGGAAAGACTTGATTTGGATGAAAACGGACAAAATCTCTCGAATGCAACTCCCACTCCTCTTACCCAAGCGGTAAGCCAACACCGCCAAACAACTCATTGCGCCATCTTGAAGCCCTGTCTTCCATGACCCTCGCACCCCGACACGTAGTTATGATGGTGAGATGATGATGTTGATGTACAAAAACGGAATGAGGTCGCCTCCGTAGAATCCAGCCTGCAGCTTGTGTCCGCCCTTTTTCGCAGCCGTTCCTTTTCTTTCTTCTCGTCTACGACGAAGCCCCGCCCGCCGAGGCTGTTCTCCGCCTCACGGCTTCAAGATGCTGCCTGTTCCTGAGGTGGACCTCGAAGTTCTCGACAGTCCAACCGGGACCAGGCGTGTACAGTTTCCCGGGACAGTCGTTGCATCTGATACGCGGGAGCCATTGGAATTTGACGTGCGCAGGAGGTGTTGAGCCTGGCGCTATGCTGTCGAGTCGGATCTGTTGCTGCGAGCGGGAGTCGATGGCGCAGTAGCGCATTAATGCCTCGAAAGCCGAGTCGGGATGTTCCGAGTGCAGCTTTTTCAAAGCCTCTGCGAGCCACGGTGGGGGCGGGGGCTGGTTTGCTGTTATTAAACTGCACCTCGGTTACGGGTGCTGATGACTTACTGCTTGGGCGGGTTGCGGGAACGAAGCATCTGCGCGTCCGTCAGGATAGTATCGTATCTCTTGCTGGCCGTTACTCGTCGGCGTCCCAGGACCGGGGGTCGACCGTTGTTGCAGCGCCGGCGAAGGGGGCGGCGGCATCGAGCTACGGGTGGGCGTAGCTTGTTGGGGCGTGGAAGCTGCAGAGGCTAACACCGGGTTAGGCTGACTCTGCCGGTACTCGGAGGCTCTGCCTGTAGACTGAGCCTGCATCCACCGTCGGAACTTCTCTCGAGAAATCTTGACCTTGACTAGGAGCTTTTCTGGAGCAGGAGTGGTAGGGGTGGGAGCAACACTCTCTTCTCTAGGCGTCCCAAAGCGCCGGGAGGTGCGCGTCTCATGGTGATGCTCTTGGCGAAGGGCCGTGACCTCAGGAGTTTGTGACCGACCAAGATTCTGGCGCATGGCAACTGTTGCTGCCGACGCCGCTCCACGCATGCCTCTTGTCCGTGCAGTTCCTCCCATTATCTGTGAAGGCGCCGGAGACTCTTGGCCCGACTCTTCACTCTCGGACTCTTCATCCGAATCGCCATCTCTTACGGTGCGCCTACCCCTACCCGATGCAGAACGAGAGAGCTTGTATAAACGGCTGTCCTCCACACGCTCCACCGCACCTGGAAGTACCGAGGAAACCACCATTGTCCGCACCGTTCGTTGGCGATCTTTGAGATCAGGAAGTGCTGGGCCGCCTCTCCGGTTCACCGAGCGCTTCTGTCTCCGCTGCTCGCGCATGATTGAAAGTTCTGCCCGCTCCAAGTCTGCTTCGTTCAGCTCGTAAAGGACCGGCGCATAGTCTTTTGCTGCTTGCACAGGCCGAAACACAGACTGTACCGGGGAAGCCAAGAAGCTATCGCGAACGTCCGCATCTTCAACCGGGCGACCGTCGAAAGGGTGGCCTGTTATGTAGAGGCTTTTCGTGAACATCTGGCATTGCTCACGTATGGAGTGCGCGATGGCGGTTGTGAACTCGCCGGAAAGGGAAAGCTCTCCTGTCATGGACCTGGCGAATTCTTCTGGAGAGTTCATGGGATCGTTGATGTCCCACTCGAACTGGTCCACCAGTGTATGCTGCCCAATTGTGATGTTTAGTTTGATCAATACGCGCATCTCATCGTTCTTGTAGGCGTCGTAAGGTAGGTGCGGGTCCAATGGTTCTTCCTTGAAGAAGACGTGGGGGTAGTAATCTTGGAGCTGCTCGTGAATCTCGGTGTTGATTTGGCGGAAAACGTGTGGGCCCATTTCCGGGGGCAGTCTGAAATCCTCAACCATGTTTTCCGCGAACAGTTCAGGCGTAACGACATGGTCGTGGAGGTTCCAGGTAAAGGTGTCCCGAAGCTTGATCTTGTCGAACTCGATGTCCAAACGTACGGGTACCAGCTCCTCAAAGATGTCAGCCTGCTTCGTGAGTTGCTTCCTGGGCACATGCAAGCTCTTGGACCGGCGGTTTCCGAGCCGTTTCTTCTGCGCGGGATATTGAAGCCGCGACGGTTTCGCCTCAGTATAGCCGTTGCCGTAGCCGTCAAAGCCATAGCCAAACACAGAGCCGGGATCGATTTGCCGTTGCTGGCGCAACTGCTTGTAGTACTCGACTTCCGACAGCTTCTCGGTCATCAGGGCTCGAGCCTTGGCAGCCTGGTCGTTCATGGCAGCGGCATGAAGCATGTCGCGGGTGGAATATTGATTGATGAGGAGCTCATTCAAGCTGGACTGGTTCTGGTTGGAGGAGCCTTGGGACGGCGGATGGGAGGGCAGACGCGAGCCAGAGCGAGAGCGCTTGCGGCTAGGCGAAAGTCCATTGGCCGTCTCACTGCCGGTAGGCGATGACTTTGCACGAGCCGAAGGTGAAGCTTTCTCGGTGTTCGCGGGCATGTCGACACCGGACGCGGCCATGACAGCCTTTGCCTTCTCCTTCGTCTCGCGTATTGTGCCATTGCCGTCGGCGGGCTGGCCAGAACTAGATGGACGCGCCGGATCCTGCGACTCGGCGGCATCGTCTCCGGCAGCGCCGTTTTGCGCGTCGTGTGCGGCCGGTGTTGATTCTTGCTGCGATTGCTCGTGCGACTGGGGCGGAAGCGCGGCGGTCGACGCGACGGGTGACGGCATGGTCTATGTACGGGTCACAGGCGCGTCGGAAGAGCAGCGATCACGGAGCCGCCCGAGGAGAAACGAAGGTCTAGCGGGTCAGGGAGAAGACATGAATGAGCTGGTGATGTCAGCGATAGGTCCGAGCAAGAGGCGCGTGGCCGCGGGCTGGGAGGTGAGGGCGCTGGCCACGGACGTGCCGCGACAGGCGATGAGCCGCAACCACGGCGTCGCCATCGCGCAGCGGCAGCGGCAGGGACGGCATCCAGCAAGGCAGGCGGGGCGGCAGGAAGAGTGAATCAACATACCAGAGCTGCACGCAATGATCTGGCGCGTCGAGCGTCTGTCAGTCTGGGCGGCTGGCACAAAGAGAACCGAGGGCAGCGGAGCGGCGTGTTAGGAATGGGCCCAAGCAGCGGAAAGCGCCTAGCCAGCAGGAGTCTCGCAGCTGACGTCGTTCGTTTGTCTCCGCCCCCTGGCGCGCGCGAGGGACGGTCTGGCGAGGATTGGGTGCGGGAAATGCTAAGCTCGGGCGTGCTTGCGAGCTGCCTCCGTGTCGCAGCGAAGAGCGCGGCCCACGCCCACGACCTCGCCAAGCCGCTCCGCTCAGCACTGCCATTGGCCTGCCACCGCGTCCCCTTCGCCCCCCGCCAGCCTGGCAACGCACCGCCCGGCCTGCTTCTCAGCCCTACCGCCGTCTCGGTGCCTCTGCCGCCGCGCCCGCCGCCGCCTGCGTGCGGAGCGGACCCCTTCCGGGCCGCCGCGGCCTGGTGGACACTGTGGTGTCTGTTCTGATCACGTGCATGCTCCGACGGGCGTGGTGTGGGAGCGGTTTGTGGACAAGCAAGCCCCAGCTAGCTAGATATCTCAAAAGCCCCATGCTACGTAACACAATGTCGATAGAACAAAATGGAATTCCCTTGTTTTCGTCTTCCGGGCGCCCTTTGGCAAGAGAAGGAAAAAGGTCTGGCCGTCCGCCGCCTGTTCCGCCGCGGGCAGCACGGCTCCGCTTCCTGCTTAAGCAGCACACCTGCTTACCGCCCCCAGCCGCCGTTGGTCCAGAATTAAGTAATTGTTCTTAATAAGCGCCGTGTTTGAGTATCAAAGTAACGCGCAAGATATAAGAGGAAGGCCGTCACGATGTCCCTAACTTATAGCAAAGAATCAAGCCTTGTGAAGACGCTCAAGCAAGCAGCAACCACCTGCGAGTCCGTGTGAGTCAATGTGCCACGTCTGCCATGTCGCGAAAGAGTGCTTACCTCAAGCTGCAACTCCTTGTCCTTGTTGTTGTTCACCTCCTCTTGGATGACCTGCCCCAGATTGGCTCCTATGCCTCCCGAGCCCCCGGCGCGTCGGGCGAACGGCCACTGTGAGTATTCAGCCAGCAGCTCGTCGACTTGGGCGAAAGCTCGCTCCCGCGCCTCATGGCCCAGTGTTGACAACGCATTCTCAAGCACGTTGGCCGCATAAGCCGCGCAAACCATGGCAATGGTACGGATGTACCTGAAATCCATCTCTTCGGGGAGGAACTGGCTTGGAGGGAGGACGACGGTTCGGTTGGTGAGAAGGTTGCGGACACGGCGCCGGATCTCGTCCTTTGCGCCGCCGTCGGCGACGGGATGGGTGGCCATGTCGAAGAGGAGGAAGTTGCGTTTCTCAGTGCGGAGGATGCCCTTGTCAACGAGGCCCTTGGCCAGGCGCTCGCGGACCTGCTTGAGCTGGTAGCCAATCTTCATGAGGTTCCATGTCTCGCCTGCGGTTGGGGACAGGTGTCAACGTGCTGTGCGTCGCAGCGCCGGGAGCAGAGGAAGGGCAGGCTTACCGCTCATGAGGTCAATCCATGAGGCCACACTCATCTTCTCGCTCGACTTCATCATCTTCAACGCCTCGTCCAGAAGCACCTCGCCGGTGAGCGTGTCGTCTATGACCTCGATGACGCGATCCGCGAGGGGGAAGCGCCGCCGCGACGAGTCCTTCTGCATGCTTACGCGACCCCTGAAGGCCAGCTCTATGACGATGCACCCGCGAAGGGCGTAGGAGATGTTGTCGTTCCAGAAAGAGAGGTAACCCTGGCCGAACAGATGTCAGTCGCATCCCTCCTTAGGCAGCCTTCGGGCGTGGGAGCCCACCTGCTTGTCCTTCAGCCCCATGAGCAGCACCTCCTCCATGAGCGTGAGCTTGGGCTGCTTGCTCCGCTCGGCGCTCTCGCTGATGTCTCGTGGGTCGTAGGCAATCTTGTGGCCATTCTCCGCGCTCTCGTAGGAGGTCCCGGGGCCCTCATCGTTGCGCCGCGGCACCGGCGAGCTCACGCGGCTGCCGTCGTTGTCGGCGTCGCCGTTTGCGCCCGCGCCCGCGCCCGCGCCTCGTCGGCGCGTCAAGCCTGAAGCTGAGGTGGCCATCCGCAGTGCGACTGTGGAAAGGTGTCGTGCCCGGTGTCGGTGTTGGGTCTAGGTCTGAGCTCGGCGCCCGCCGCACAGGGATACTACGAAGGGTTCGGCGCCCAAGGGTCGACAGGGCTCGGCACGGGAAGCGCACACGGGGGGTTGCAGCCAGATCGCAGCAGGGGATTTCGCAGGGTGCCGAAAGGGTCTGACGTGGTGGGGGGTTATTGCGCGAGTGCGCGGCGTACGGAATGTGCATTTACTACGGGCGGCGAATGGGCCAGAGTGAAATAACTGGCTTGGCGAGGACGAAGGACCAACCCTGCCGCGCGGGCGGCGTTTCACGCAGCACGCCATGTACGTACGTTGCAAGAGCAGCACAACCAAATTAAAGCGGCCATGCCGGAGCATATCGTCTTCTAGTCCATAGTACAGAGGCTCAGAAACTCAGAGCTGATGGCTTTGTACAAGCAAATGTCCTCTCCGCAATTCTCCAGCCATCACATTCCTTCTCCCGGTCCAGCCCTCATTTAATCCAATTATTTCGCTGCGGGTTCAATCAGCCAACAATACTCCACCCCGCTGCCGTGCGAGAAACTTACCATCGGGCTGGCTGAGGATGTACTCCACTGCCTTGTCAACTACGCGGAGTCAGTAAAGCTCGTTCCGGAAGTGATCGCCACCACTCTTAGCATGTGCATGTGAGTGGCATCACGGCGGGCGCGCCAAGGCTGCGGAGCGTGTGGGCTCAGACATACCGCTGTGAATCTGGTCGGCGTCCTTGTCGGGTATCTCGATGCTGAACTCCTCCTCAATGGCCATAACCACCTCGACGGTGTCCAGGCTGTCCAGACCGAGGTCGTTGGAGAAGTGGGAGGTGGGCGACAGCTAGAGAGGGTGAGCATTGAAGCGCAGCGCAGCAGAAAGGTCACCAGCTACCTTGGACGCGTCCTGGACCTGTATGGCGCATTAGCTAGATCCGAGGCATGCCGCAGCAGGTGCTCGCAGCCCACATACCTTGTCAAAGTTCTTCAGCAGGTCCAGTATCCGGCCCTGGGCCTCATCCTGGCTGAGAGCGCCGCCGGCAGAGTAGCAACGGACGGCCTGAAAGCACACAGCGGGGAGCTGCTGTCTGGACTGGGTGCGGAGGGCAGGGACGGCCGGGCGGGCAATTGGAGCTTGCCAGCGGGCGGCAGAGCGGGCAGCGCCACGGGCAGAGCGAAGGATGGCGGTCCTGAACATGGCGGATGGACGTGTGGGTGCTGGCTGGCGAGATGGGGGTGGGTGTTGCGGTACGCGGCGATGCGGCACTTCGCAAAATCAACGACGAGTCGGGACGGGCTTAGAGCTTGGGCGCCGTCATGGTCACGTGCATCGCCCTCCTCACCCTTCGAGGGTCGCCATGCCCGGGCGAACAGCCTGGAAAGGCGCGAACTGGGCTTGCCTGTCTGTCCAGCGACGCCTTTGGAACCCTGCAGACCGCAGCCCTCTTCTTGCACTGGGGACAGCTGTCACCGGCCTGAGGCATCCATGTATTGACGTTACAGACCTTGGCCAGCAGCGAATCAGATCGAGCCCATTGAACTTACAGAACCGCCACGCCGGCAACGTCAAAGTGCCGCTCAACACCACAACTCTCCTCCCCGCTCTGCCCGCACCCACCACGCCCACCATGGCAAGCACGAGGCCAATGACTATGTTGGCTCGCGCCCGGCCGACCACGCAGCTGCTGCGTGCGTCCCACACGCCCGCGACCGCCCTGTTCTTCTCGACCAGCGCACCGCGCGCCGCTCTTCCCTCCGGTCCGCCACCCTCGGGATTCCGTCTACCGACCCCCAAGCGTTGGGACGAAGGTGCCGAGAGCTCTCTCGACAAGGCTGGGAAATACTTCCTTCTGACCGAGATGATGCGCGGCATGTACGTCGTGCTGGAGCAGTTTTTCCGCGCGCCGTAAGCTCCCTTGCCCCCCGGGCTCTGCTCACGAGCCTGTGCCCGCCATCAAGCAATGCGCCCCGCATACTGAGACGTGGACTCCATTCAGGTACACAATCTACTACCCCTTCGAGAAAGGCCCCATCTCCCCGCGCTTCCGTGGCGAGCACGCCTTGCGCCGCTACCCGACCGGTGAGGAGCGTTGCATTGCTTGCAAGTTGTGCGAAGCCATCTGCCCGGCCCAAGCCATTACCATCGAGGCCGAAGAGCGTGAGGATGGAAGCAGGCGCACCACCAGATACGATATCGATATGACCAAGTGCATCTACTGTGGCTTCTGCCAAGAGAGCTGCCCCGTCGACGCTATTGTCGAATGTACGTACATCATACTTCACTCCCTTTCCTCGAACAAATTTGTCGAGAAATATGCTTGGTCCGACCGATGTCAATCCCGAACCTGTAAATTAACGATATTCCAGCCCCTAACGCCGAATACGCGACTGAGACAAGAGAGGAGCTGCTCTACAACAAGGAGAAGTTGTTGTCAAACGGTGACAAGTGGGAGCCTGAGTTGGCCGCCGTTGCGAGGGCCGATGCGCCCTACAGGTAAAGCGGAGAGTTCAAATGATGGATTCAACCATGACTATTTGAGGAAGAGCGGAGGCAAGGATATCACTAGGATGTACATACACTGTAGCATCAGCGCCGCCAGGACGGCAACTATTTCCTTTCGTGCGAATTTTCCATACCTTACTGCTTCTAATAAACGAATAGTATCCGTTCTGAGTTGCGGCCTTGCCGAGCTTGCCGGAACTTCCCCCATCTCGCCTTATGGTTGTAGTGCAGACATTTGGCTGGTCCATCCGTTTCGGTAGGCATGGCCCATTGAGCAAACAAAGTTCATCTTTGGAAGCTCTTCTCCATTCGCAAAACATTGGCAGACCTAATCTGATCAGACGTCGCGCCTGCCTCGGGAAAGATCGGTATGCAGCTGCTTCTTGACTGACTACATACCACGATTGGGCCATCATCGGATCAAGGGAAGTATCTCATGCACCAAGAAAGGCACCGTTGTAGTCCGAGGTCTGTCGTGACCAAGAAGTTCACATGGGATTGATTGCATTCGTCGTTTCGATTTTCATTTGGCAAAGCCCCTATTGACTTGAACGGCATCTGCAGGCCCATTCACATTACCAAGTGTATGCAGTACCCCATATGTACTCCTATCCATGCCCAGACCTCTGAACGCCGAGGAATCCCATCCCAAACGTGACTGCGCCGTGGCTTAATTCCCAGTCCAAAACTTTTCCTTCGCTTATTTAGTCTTGCTCCTGAAACTGCCCTCGAAGCCAGGCCTGGCGCTCTTCTTGCCCGCCTTGAGCTTGTTGGCCTTTTTGCCGGGCTTCGTGCCCTTCTCCTCACGGCGTTTCCGCAGGTTATCTTCACGCTTCTTTTGACGCATTTCCTTGCCTTTCTCGACTCCCTCGATGCGTTCGGTCCATTCCTGTTCACTCTTCTTTTTCTGTTTGTCCTTCCGCTTCAGCGTCTTCTTGAGTAGGTTGGTATCATCCTTGACCTTCTCCCCGTGGGCACGTTTCTTGGCGTTCAGCCAAAGATCCTTGGATTCGATTTCCTTGCGCTTCGCCTCGTCAAGGCCGGCGAGACGCTGCTGCTTCTTCTCCGCAGCCTCGAGAGCCGTCTTGGCGTCCGACCTGCCTTTCTTCTTCTTGGCGTCGATCAGATTCGATGCGGACGAGTCCATTTGCTGGCCATCATCAAAGGTGATGCGACCAAAGGAAAAGTTGTTTTCCTGTTCCATGGGCGAAAAGATATCAGGTGTGCCAGGCGAGCCGGAGCCGCGGAGACGAGCCAACTCTACCTCAGCTGCTTTCCGCTGCTCGTCCTCTTTGGCCTGTTTGCGCATCTCTTTCTTCCGTGTACGTCTCTCCTCTTCCTTGCGTCTCCGTGCCTCCATGAGTTCCTGGCGATTGCGCGCGGGCTTGCCGTCTATACCATCCGCTTTGCGTGCTGCGCGAAGAGCCTCTATCCTCGCCTGTAGACGTGCCTTGAGCACCTCTTGATCAACTTGCGGCAACTGAATCTTGCCAGCCTTGTTTTTGAGCTTCTTCGAGCTCTCAGATGAAGTAGGTGGAATAATCGAGGACGATGAGGAGGCAGAGGGGATGGCGGATGAAGCCGGGGACTCGGGGCCAGGGGAAGGGGAGGCAGAAGTCCACGAGTTGTCGTCCTTGGCATCTTCCATCATACCGCTGACATCAACCTTGTCGATCTCTTCATCTCCAGATATGCCATGGTCCGATTCGGCGTCAGAGGCCTCTTCGGCAGCCGGAGCAGGGGCGTCGACCTTCGGCTTCTGCTCAACATGCATTCGGTCGGCGTCAGGGTTCGGGGCCTCGAGAGAGGGGGCATCCTGGCGCTGCTTCTTGGTCTGGGCCTTCTCCTGTTGCTTCTCCTTCTTTTTCTGCCTTCTCTCGTCGATCTTCTTTTGCTTTTCCTCTCTCTGCTGCCGCGTCTCCTCGTCTTCCTCCTCGGCATCCTTCCCGATTGCGCCGTCTAGCTTCTGCTTCTTCACATCCTTTGGCTTCAAGCCCTCGCGCGGCTTCTCCTTGCCTGGGGCATTCAGGTCGGAGAGATCGTCGCTGTCGCCATCGCCATCGCCATCAAGCTCCCGCTTGCGCTTGCGTTCGTTCTCGTCCATGACGTCTTTGGCGGACTGGATGTTGGTCGGGTCAAGCTTTGCGCGCTTGGCAGCCTTCTTCTGGGCTTTGGATTGCTTCTTGCGTTGCCATTGGTCCTGCAGATGACGTCTTAGCAAGTGGGTGGCTTGGCCGGGCGGTCGCACATACACTCGTGTCTTGAGCGTAGTACTGCTTTGCGGGGATGAGGGACATCAGGCCCTCGAAGGCCTGGGCGTGGCTCTGGAGACGCTCCTGCGAGGCGGAAGGGTCAGCGGGTGTGCAGGCAGGCAGCAGGGCGGCGAGGAGGCTCACTTCCAGATCGTCGGCCATGGCGGGCGGGCTGGACGGCAGCGATAGACAGTGGAGGGTGGTGAGGCGGGCCTGGGGTGCGCTCACGAAGTTTCATGCAGTGCGCGGAAATCTTGGCCTCCGGCTCGCAAAAATCGGCGGGGCCGTGCGCGGGTGGGCCGGCGAGTGGCCAGTGGCACACGACACCACGCCTGCCAGATGCCCGCCAATGGCGCGTTTGCGGCCGGCTCTGCGTCACACTGGTACTAGAGGCCCGTGGCCCTGTGGCCGGTGGCCGCTCATGCGCCACACTGCGTTGTCCGCGCCCTTGCCCTGCCACGGTTCGCCTGGGCAAACGCGCAAGCATGGCCACGCCCGACTGCTCAGCCTCCCCTGCCACGATCAGGGCAGGCACTGTGCCAACCGTCAGGCGCCGGCCGCGGGGCTCCACTCGCGCTCCAAGTCCTACATAGTACTTCTACTACTCTTGCTCTCACGCCTCGAGGCCCGCCCCCTCCCGCCCCCTCCGTGATTTCTCTGTTTGTTTGCACGCCCATCGGCATCGGAGCATGACCGCAGCCGTCGAAGCCAAGTCGTTGTCCGCGCTGACAACTCTTGCCTCAAACCCGCCCCGCTACCCGCGCAATCCCACCCACGACAGGCACGAGCCGCTGGTGCTGTACATCGAGCGCGTGCCTGGCAGCAAAGGCGAGTGTTCCTGCCCAGCCCGGCTGTTGCGGGTGCGCTGACGTCAAGCAGATGTCTTCCTGACCCCGATGAAACCCCGGGACAAGGTGGTGACTGCCGAGGACGTCCAGAGCTCACTGTACTACCTGCACTTCGACACCCCCGACGACGACGACCTCAAGGCCTATGTGCTGAGTGCCGCCCCGCCCGAGCAGGCCGGCGAGTCGCCCGTGAAAGACTCGACCCCCATCATCCGGAAGCCGGTGCGAAGGCCCCTGCCTTCGTTGCCGCCCGATGCTCCCGTGCCCGCCCTTTCTCCCTCGGACTCCATCAAGAGGAAACCTGTGGTGCCGCCTCCCCCGCTGTCCATCAGGATAGACTCGGAAAACCGGGACAATGCCCGGCCGCATCAGCCGCATCAGCCCGTCCAGCCGACGATCCCCTCCGGCCCGACTCTCCATCGCCGGGGGCGTTCGACTGAGGTGCCGGGCATGCAGCAGGAGAATCTGCGACCTGCTCTGCCAGACCGTCGATGGTCCGCTCAACCGCCCGCTCAACCGTCCGCTCGGGGACCTTCGCCGCGGCGGCCGAAGGCTGAGCTTCCCTTTTGGATGCAGGACCAGCCCAGACGGCGGAAAAGCCCCGCAAGGGAGCCCGAATCGCCCTACTCCAGCAAGCCCAGCCTCGATGGACGCCCGGATTCCGGTCTGTTCTCCCCCGGGCCAGCCGAGTCTGGCCAGAGCATGTCCTTGACCCTCATTAGGCGCGATCCCACGTCAGGAGCTCAGTGGAACGTTGGCAGAATCACGGACCCCCCTGGATTCGAGATATACTCAGACAACCGCGGCCGCTCTGTGCAAGAAAGAGTCAGGAAACCAGCCGCCCCGCTATACATTGACATCAACAACCCCGGCTACTCCAAGTTCCTCTTCAACCCTGACCTGTCTTCGCCAAGAAGAAGCGAGGACAGCATGAACTCATTCCGGAGCGGCCAGGCCGGCTCCAGGAATTCATTCCAGAGCCCGACGCTGCCAACGTCAGTGGACACCACCTTCCGGAGAAGGATGTGGTATGAGGGATCAAGATACACTGCCGACTACTTTGGCCATAAGAAAACTTTGTCCAACGAATCCAACTTGGTTGTTCCCGGAAGCAGTCCATTTGGCGATCGTTCTCCAGTGGAAGAAGTGGAGAGCCAAAAGCGCGTTAGCATGGGACCGCAAGAGAGACGATCGGGCTATCGGGGCTACGTGTTCGAGAGCCCATGGAATGGGAGGTGCGAGTTTGTGACTGGTGGTGCTGGAGATTCTTTGAAGGTACGTCCTTTCGCGGTCAGACTTGTGCGGCATGGTGCGGAGGACCTCATCATTTTGAGGAGTCAAGCTAGTCATCTGGATACGTCTACGGCTAGCAGACGCTCGATTTTTGGGCAACTATTGCGGTGGCGTGTAGGCGATTAAACATGTTAACGGGCTGCAGTGCCGACACATTCTCCCCGTCACCAACGCCTCAGTCCAGACGCCAGAAGCTGTCACGGTCAGCGAACTGCGCTTCAACCTTCCTGCTATGCGCGGTCAGCCAACAAACACGGAAGAGCGCACATCCAAGCGCGCATCGTTTCTCCACCGCAAGCAAACACCATCGGTCTCGTCGCTTGGGCCGAGTGCGCAGGACATCCTCGGAGGAGTCGCGAACCTGGACCTCTCGTTGGGGCTGGAATATGCGGGCGGCGGCTTCGGGGGAAAGCAGGCAAAGTTGGGGAAGTTGATCATTCGAGACGAGGGCCTCAAGATGATGGACCTGGTTGTGGCGGCAAACATGAGTTTGTGGTGCAGAGCGTATGAAAAGGTGGAAGCGGCGGGGCGGTCGAGGCATGACCCTCGACACAGCACCATCGATGTGGCCTGAAGGGACTATGGGGAGCCACGGTTTGGCCAAGAACGGTTGGATGACGAAGACAGCTTCTGCCCAGGGCTTCGCTTTTAATTTTGCAGAATTTTTGCAGCTTCGTTGCTTTACTTCCATTCACCTTCACTTGGCGCTTCTTGCGCACTGCCACCCCAACACTTCATGCGCTCCCTCTTCGCAAACCCGCCCGCGCCGCGCCCGAAACCTTTCACACCAACCTTCTAGTGCCACCGGCATCACCGTCACGCAAAATGGCGCGTCGTCCCGTCGGTGTTTCCGACTTTGACATGGTCGTGCAGGAGCATGCCGGTGCCCTACAGCTCACACGAATCATTCATCACGAAGCAGCGAGATTCCAGGCGGCGCAGTCGCTGTACATGCAGATTCACGCGGACAAGTTCGACGACGCAGAGGACGACCAGTGGGCCATGGCTCTTGAAGCCATCCGGCCCGGAAACGTAAGTCCAAAGGTTTCTGTATCGCGCCCGCATGCCTTAATCTCGGTGCATAGGTCAGACACAACCTGAAGGCCTTCAAGATTGAGATCGTAAGCGACAGGCTGTTCGAGCCGTATTCTGTGACGAAGCTCCCGTCGTCCAATATGGACAACCCGTACGTCCGGGAGAAGATAGGACACTTCCCCGTGGCTAGCAGGAGCTTCTTCGCCGAGCGGAGCTTTATCAAGGCCCTTTCGAACATCCGAGGCGTCGAGCGAGTCGAGATCGTCGGGCCAATGGAGGCGTCGCTCAAGAAGATGCTGGCGGCAGCTATGACGACACAAGCCGGGCACAAGGTGCGCGACTGGCGCTACGGCGGAGGGCTGAGGTCGGAGGGCGACATAAGCTGGGGCTCGTGGTCGGCTACGATGCAGGCGACGGGCGAGGCAGCAGCATACAAGACAGGGCGATTCGATCAGCAAACCTTCCTCCCCAAGCAGCCGATGCAGATTGTCACGGATGTGGGTTTCGAGCCGAATGGCGCAGCCTCGCTCATCACTGTGCGGAGCTCCAAGGAGATGGCGAGACCGAGTCTTCCCTTGGACGGCAATTTCGGGTCGTCAAGCTTGGATGGCGCTTCGAGCAGAGATGTTGACGGTTTAGCAAGCAACGGCGATAGCAAACGAGCGGATAGGCACGAGAACGAAGGCGGTGGGATGGCGCGCAAGAAGGCCAGGGCTCTCTCGCCATCCTTGACCAAGAGTGGTCAAGGTCATGGAAATAAGAACGGCAGCACCGAAGTTGTCGGTATGGGTCCACAGCCAGGCCAGCCACCTGGCGATGCACGCGGGTACACGGAGGCAGGCGGCATGCAGACTGAAGATGACGCAGACGTGGAGATGGAGGACTGGGAGATGGAGCTAGAGTCGATACCCAGTGACGACGCGGACGACGAAGACTACCAGGACTGAAAAAAAAAAAAACATGGGGAGTGGATGCAGGAGCGGCGTTGGATTTGGGCGGCACCAGCTTCAGCTCGGTATTCTTGGAGGCACGGTCGATATCCCACGAAAATAGACATAACATTGCTGGTGGGTGCTCTTTTGGGGCTGCCGGGGGAGGACAGGTCGAAACAGGCAAGCGGGTCGTGTAGGTTCGTGCGGTAGAGCCAATGGAAGCAGTATTTTCAGATGCGATGACGTGGGACTGCTCGATCGGACACGTTGCGGCAGGGGCTAAATATGGCGCCATGCAGATACGGGCTGTCCAGGGTCTTTGGTCGAATGGTCGAATGGTGCGCGTGCCCTGGGAGCGGAGGAGCGGAGGAGCAGAGCAGCAGATCGAGGAGCAGAGCAGCAGATCGAGGAGCAGAGCAGCAGATCGAGGAGCAGAGCAGCAGATCGAGGAGCAGAGCAGCAGAGCAGCAGCGCAGCAGAGCAGCAGCGTCGCGTCGGCCCAAGCAGGCGCCGGCTGATCAATCCGTTGCTAATCTTCAGCAACCGCCGCCGCAACACCGCATGGCCCCGCGCCGGAACAGCAGCACTAGCGGCTGGGGGCGCGATGATCACGCAGCGCTGCTGGAAGCGTCTCCGCGCTGCTGGCACCCTCGTCGCCTTCGGCCTTCGCATCTCGACGGGCGCTTGCTGCAGCTCGAGCTCGTCCAGCGGCACGGTCCGACGCCACTTGACGACACGGGCACTCGCGGCAGCTGTCAGCGCCGGCCAGAGGCTATTTTTACGTCGCCCAGTGGGAGCCCTCGTCTGCGACTTCCAGACTTTTCGCTGCGTCGCCCACGTAATCCGCCCGACCCGTTTGTCATGGCCCTGCCGTCCCGTAGGGCTGCCCGCCGCCCGCTGCCTTCTGCGAAGCTTACACCACGCTGATAAACAGGGCGCCGTGAGTAAGCCGCACCGCGCATGCAGGCACCCATGAGGCTCTAGGTGTGCCTGCAGCGCCCAGCATCCCGTGAACATGTCCTTCCTTTATATCTGCCCGTTGTCCGGGGCATCCTCGCCCTGATCCGACCCGACAATGGACCACCCACCCCGCTCCACCCACGCCGTCGACGACGCCATGCAGGCCTACTTCCAGCACCCTGCCCATCAATGGCCCGATCCCATGCGCGTAGACTCCCACCCTGAGGACATTCCGTGGGACGACGGCGCCTCGAATTGGTAAGGGGACCCCGCCCCGCCCCAGCTGCCCAGATGCTCACTTCTCCCAGGTGGCTCCCTCAAGACACTCCCGACCAGTTCGACCACTTTGCCGCTTTCCCCCCTCAACAGAGCGGCCCGTGGTCCGTCGATCAGTGCCCGCCCGCCGCCTTCGATTTTCAGGGCGCTCACTTTCACCCGGCTGCCCCCGTGCCCCAGCCCGGCTTCGAGCCCATCCCGGACTCCGCTCAACTGATCCCGCATGACGCCCTCGACGGCCTGTTGAATCCGCAGCCCTTCAGTCCCCTTGGCTTCGAGCCGAGCTGCTCGGACCATCAGGGGAAGCAAAGGGTGCGCCAGCGCATCTCTTCCCCGGCCAAAGCCATCTTGCATCAGTGGTTCGATGACCACATAGAAGATCCTTACCTCGAGAGAGAGGATGTCTCGACGCTATCTCAAGCCACCGGCCTCACCCCGCGCCAAGTGAGGACTTTTTTTGCGAATGCGAGAGCCCGGAAACTGCCTGCGCCCTTGCCCGGCCAGCAATCCCCACCCGCCCTCTCATCAACCGATGGCGCCAGAGAGGCCAAGGCGTCTGCCGCTGCGGGCAACAAGCCGAAGCAACGGCACGCCAGCATCACGCCTTCAGTCAAGCCGGATCCAGGCGCTCAGCCGAGAACTCAGCAGAGCCCGATGCAACGTTATCTCTCCAGCTCTCCCGAAGACGAGGGAGTGTCCGAGGAAGCCCTGCAGCATGCAGCAGCTTTCTGCGCGCCCCAGTCGTCAGCTCAAGCGAACACGGAGGGCATTGCCTCCGCGCCACGTAGGAATCCCGATGCCTTTTCCGAGGTGGCAAGTAGCAACTCGTCCAATTCGTCCCATGCAAGCATTGATTCGGTGGTCAACCGCGTACCCCGCCGCGGCCGCAAGCGACATCGTGGCTCTTTGCGCCGCAGCAGCACAGTGGTTCGTGAACGCATCGATCGGAGCAGAATCTTCCAGTGCACATTCTGCAACCGCGATTTCGCCCAGAAATACGACTGGCGTCGCCACGAGGAGTCCGTACACATTCCGCAGAAAGAGTGGATATGCATGCCCGATGGCCCCCTCCGCACCGATGGCGATTCTGGATTCCAGTTCTGTGTCTTTTGCGAGCAGCCAAATCCGTCTCACGACCATCTCCAGCGTCACAACCACACGCCATGCCTGTCGGCCCCGCAGACATCGCGCACATTCACGCGCAAAGACAAGCTGATACAGCACTTGGGTCAGGTCCACAAACAGGCTCAGATGTCGGCCACGATGCAAACATGGTGCCGCCGCGTCTCCCGCAACATCGCCATCGCGTGCGGCATCTGCGGCCTCCGTCTCTGCACCTGGAACGAACGCGTCGAGCACATCTCCACCCACTTCGTCGACGGCATCGACATGCGCTACTGGCTCGGCGCTCCCGGCGGTGTCGCGTCCCTCGCGGCGCCGGCAGCGACGACTGAGCATCACGCCCATCACCGCCACGACCCCTCGACCTCGTCGTCGTCGTCGTCCTCCGCCTTGACTCCCCAGCCGCCACCGCCACCGCCACCCACCGTCGTGGACCCCCTCTTCCCAGCCTGCACCAGCCCCCTGCCGCACACCTCCGCCCACGACCCGTCCGGCGCCCGATCCCACTCGTGCACCGCGTGCGCCCTCCGCTTCCCCCGCTACTCCGACACCGTGTTCCACGAGCGCCAGGCCCACCGCCTGTACAAGCCGCGGCCGCAGCCGACCGAGGACGGCGCCAACATTGCGAGCCCGCTGCAGCAGCTGCAGCAGCTGCCATATGCGGCCAAGTTCGGCATCGGCGGCCCCAGAGCCACACCACCACCACCTCCTCCTCCTCCTTCTCCGCCTTCTCCGCCTTCGTCTGCCGTCTGGCAGCGTCATGGGGGAGGAAGAGGCCCGGTGGCGTCGTTGGTGCAGCGACACTAGCAGCAGCAGCAGCAGCAGTAGCACGCGTCGGCGGGTTCGCCCATTGCCATAGTGCTGCAGGGCAGTGGCGGCAGCAGCAGCGGCTGCGGCTGCGGCTGCGGTTGTGGCAACAGTAGCAGCGAGAGCAGGGGCCGGTACTAGAGCAAGGCTCTGCTGGACGAGGGCGGAGACAGGAGTGAGGCTGGGAAGGGACGCCCCGAAGACCTTTTCTTTTTCTTTTTTTTTGTGTGGAAAGACGGGCCTTTGAGCATCGAGTCTGTATATCTGGGTCATTGTGTGTTTGGGTAGCAGCAGTGGCGTTGGTGGTCGATGAAATTGTTTCGGTACACACATGTATAGAAAGATCACCGCTGGCTTACAGCAGGAGGCATGGATGGATGGCGTCTGGGCCGGAGCTGTGACATGCATGGCACGGCAAAAGTATTCTTTAGATTGGATGGCATAGAGGCTCTGGTTTTTTGGAAAGTCGATTCAGCTAGAATATGATACCCTCGTTTCATGAATGGTCATCGAGCGCACCGGCTCCCTGCCGCCTAGCCACTTGATGGTCTCTGGCTTACGCTCCAATGGCCGAAGGAAATGTGCCCGAATGCGGCAGTCTCGCGGGTTCTCCTGACGCTTTTCGTCATCGTGTGTCACTATTGTATAATGCTCGAATCTCGGGTGCTCAGTCCTGATTCATCAGCTCTCTTGGTCTACTTCGCCAGGGTATTCTATTTGATAGCATAGACCATGAAAGAAAAGGACAAGTTTCAGCCGAATTCAATCGCCAGTACTCCATTCCCAGTAACACCCCCGGCCCGTAGTGGCTTGGAATGCCACATACCGTGTTGCTTATGTGAAGCTAAAAGAAAGACAAGACCAGATACATCGAAACTCCGGGCGCCCAGCCGTCTAGCTACGACCCCAGCGACATGCACAACCATTGTGCATAGCCCCTGCTCCAATGGTGCACACCCATTCACCTAAGATCAGTGATTTATCGGTCTCCTAGACGCCAGGCCCGCGGCCTTGGGCATGAGCATTCTGGAATTGCTGCAACAGGCCCAGAACACCGGCACCCTTGGCACCATCCGCGGCATCTAGGTCATCCTCATCACCGCCACCACTGGAGGCATTAGGGAGCCAAGATTCACCAAGATTGCTATCATCCTCTGGGATTTGGCCGTGCGATAGCATCTGCCTCGCATCAGCCGCCCTCGCATCTACTTCTTCATCCAATTCATCCAGGTGCCTCGACGGATTGCGGTTCGGATTGTACCGTGAGCGGGCAGCAGTATGAGGCGAATGGCGAGCGTTGATGGCCGACGGCTGGTGGTGAGGGTCAAGTAGTACGGACCCCATGGGAGAACCTGGGCCGGCTGCTGCTGTTGACCTCAAGGCTGCACGTTGGCCTCCGCGCCGCGGCGCTGGGTTACGCGCACCGGCTAGTCCGTGGTCTATCCCAGTGGACGAGCCGGCCAAGGGGTTAAAGGCAGGAGGAAGGTTAAAGTGTGGTGCGGTCGGGCCGCGGTTGCCAGGATTGCGACTGTATGCTTGCAGGAAACCGTTGATCGAGGCGTCTAGCTTCCCATCATTGGATCTAAACCATTGTTTGCGGTAATTTTCGTGCTGCTGTGCATGAGTATCTTGCGCAATGTTGTCTGTCTTCTTGAAGTCAAAGACTGCGTAAGAGCAAACGTGGCCCAAGCCATCCACGTGAATGGTGAATTCGCGGAAGAAATCAACAATGCGCTCACTACATTGCGGGAGGCTATACCATAGCACAAACGGAGTCAGGACCATGCTAAGAAGCTCCTCCAAGAAGATGGCAATCTTCATTTGGTAGACTTGAGAAAATTCCCTTCGGACTTCGTCCGTGTGCAGCCGATCGCGCCATGACGCTGGGCAATAGTGAGTGATAGCAATGACTTCTTTCAGAGCGACTTCTGGCTCCATGATGATATCTGCGGGATTCGTGATTTGATTCCGGGCAGCAGCATATAGCGCACTGAGGACACCAATCCAGAAGAAGACTGGTTTTCCAGGCAGAATCTCCAGGCGAGTGATGGTCTCGGGATAGAGTAAGGAGCCGAGAACAAGCACTGCAATCCCAATGCTGACAACGAACGCGACGAATTCGCAAAGCTGGTCCGACTTGTTCTTAGGAAATTGATTTAGGTAACGGTCAGCATACGGGTACGCCAGGTTGCGTCGCTGCTCGAAGAGATGCCGCAGTTCGTTGAATTCACGAAATTTCCATTCTGCCATGGGTGTGAACATCCGTGAGCCAAGTTGAGAAGGGTCCTTTCGAAATTCCTGTCCGTTGTCAGAATATTGCTAACCTGTCGGGGCTGCTTGCACTTACGCTGAAGTAGTGGAAGAAATACGAGACGACAAAGTAAATGACGGAAACCGGTGCGATTAAAACGCTCAAAATGGCCGCTTTTTTGAACCGCTGATTGAGGCAGTCGATCAGATTCCGTCTCTCCTTGCTCGTGAGAAATTCGCGGCGGACATGGCCGTCGGCCGTGAAGACAAATTGCATCACGCAAGTTTCAAGGAGTAGTTCCATAGTTCTTGAGAAGAACTGGATATCCCCAAAGAACGGAAGGGGTACGGTAAGATTCGGGATATCTTTGTTGAAAAGGGCGATGAGGTAATTGTCCCGGCGCATAACCCGGTTCGCGATGTCGTGAGCATCCATGCGTTGTTTGGAATTGGCACCAAGTTCTCTGCGGTCAGCGGCGGAGATGTTCTCGGCAGTGGTTAAGTTCGCGTCCCGGAGGGCCATGAGTCTATGAACCACCAACTGCCATGTTGCAGTCTGGATGTCGCTTTCTGGAATGTCGAGAAGGTGCTGATAGAAGGCTCGCATGAGCCAGAGAGGACGGATGCTCAGTGTTACCTGGACAAGCTTGTAGACCCAGACAACGATGAAAACCCATAGACCGCAGAGCCAGAAGCCGTGGATGCTGCTCCGAGTTAACAAATGTCGCTTTGAGATGATAGGAGTCGGCTTACTTTCTCATTGCATCCTCGACGAAGATGTCCCGAATCGAGTTGCTCTCATGGATTTTCTTATAGTTGATGGCAAAGAGCAGGATTGTGCAGGTTGCAACAACACAAGCGGTGCGTCTCGGAGTAGGTTAATACCGTGGTTTCAGCAGGGGCTGGGGACCTTACAGTAGGTTGAGATACTGATTCAACAGGATCGACTGCATCCCGTGACCCTGATAGTAGGTGTAGACTTCGGTCAAGAAGCGGTCGAGGTTATGCACGTTGGCCCATCTCCACATGGCCTCTTCTTTGGGGTCCGTGAACACAATGCCGTTGGTGCCAAGCTGTGCTCCGAAGTGGCGGCGTTGGGGCGCTGGCCTGGAGTCGCCGTAAAGGCGTTGTTGGGCTCTGGTTGTGTTCCACTGGGTCCTGTTGGCGTGGGTAGACGGACCGGGGACAGGCGAGGGCAAGCGGTCGGGACGGACTTGGGTCTGGCGCGGGTGCTCTCGAGGTGGGGCAGCAGAAGGTCTGTCGCTGTCCAGCAACAAGGACTCGGGGACATCGTCATCCTCGTCCATCCGGGCGGCAGGCGGGCGCGATGGAGCAGGTTGCATCCACCTCGGCCTGTTGTGAGTCGTAGCAGGCGGCGGTGCCATACTGCGGTTGGGCTGGGTGTTGTTGTTGTTGTTGTCTGGGGGGAGGGTGGGGCTACGGGTGGTAATCTGGCTGTCAGCAGCTTCGGCAAGCAGATGCTCCAGGTCGGTGTCTTGGAAGCGGGCTTCGAGATTCTCCTCGTCCAGGGTGAGGCTGGCGTTGTCGTCGGCGGCGGGCCTGCGGCCGCGAGGAGGGTGTTGTGCGAGGGGCTCGTAGGCCGAATTCTCGTCGGCGGCGGGCAGAAGCCGCGAAAGAAGGTTGGAGGCCATCATGGTAGGCGGCGCTGGCGGTCGCTACGAGGTCGCGTGAGACCTCGACATGCGCCGCCGGCAACGAGCGAAGCTGGTAGGGAGGTTGCGATGGCAGCAGGCGCGGCAGGCGGTCGACGCAAGAGTGGCCGGACGGAGGTGGTGGAGCGGAGAGGGCGAGCTCGCGCGAGAGCTTGTGTCGGCGGTGGAACGGGGCGTGACGCTGCAGGGGCAGGTGCACGGCGGGCGGGCTCGTGACACACGGCGGGCGGGCTCGCAGGCAGAGGCACAAGTGCTCGCTGGACGTCAGGCGGAAGTTGTCTGGCGGCGTGCTTTATCGCCGCCTAGGTCTGGAGCCGCAGCCGCAGCCGCAGCGGGCGCGCGCGTCATTCGTCGCGTTGTCGCATGACTCGCGCCCGCTGCGGCTGCAGGGGTTCAGGAACAACGCCGGCCCGCAGCGAGTCCAATGGATCCATCCATGGCCCTTGTCACTGTGGCCCTGACCGAAGCTCCAGCTGCAGCTCCCGCCCAGCATCGACCGAGCCATGTCCCGGCCGTCCGTCTCAAGCCGGCCTTCGGGCGAGTTCAGCGATGCTGCCCTGGGAGGCTCCTCCCAACGCGCCAGTGCCCTGTCAACCCGCATTTCCAGCGTTCTGTCTGCCTCCTACGCCGATCTTGAGATCCGCGATGCTCTCGAGACGTTGGATGCCGGCGGCCTGAAGAACACCCAGGACATGCGCCGCCAGCTGAGGCTTGACGTGCAGCGCGAAGTCATCCGCTGCAATGGCGACATCGTCCAGGACTTCGGCCGCGTTGCTGAGGTTGCTCCACCTCCCGCCCGCTTGCTCGACCGTGTGCGCTGACTGCTATCAGCAACTGCGTCGCGTCGGCACCGCAATCCAGGCCTTGAACCGGTGCTGTACTGACATGCGCGCCCAAATCTCGTCTGCAACCCGCGAGACGAAGCCCGTGCTGGACGACGCTTCTGCATTGATGGCCCAGAAGGCCGATGGCGAGACAAGACTGCGCCTGCTGGACGCTCTGAAATCACACTTCATTCTCTCGGATGAGCAGCTGTTTACGCTAACCTCGACCACCGAGCCCGTCAACGACGACTTCTTCCAACTCCTGACCAGGGTCAAGAAGATACATCACGACAGCCAGCTCCTTCTGGGCACCGAAGACCAGAGACTGGGCCTGGAAATCCTCGAGCAGAGCTCCAAGCAGCTAAGCTCCGCCTTTCAGAAACTCTACCGCTGGGTCCAGCGCGAGTTCAAGACTTTGGATCTCGAAAACCCGCAGATCAGCGCTTCCATTCGTCGCGCACTGCGCGTCCTTGCCGAGCGGCCCACCTTGTTCCAGAGCTGCCTGGACTTTTTTGCCGAGGCCCGAGAACACACACTGTCTGATGCCTTTTACAGCGCCTTGACCGGAGCTGCCGATGTTGGATCCACTGCCAAGCCCATCGAGTTCTACGCACATGACCCACTACGCTATGTCGGCGATATGCTGGCTTGGGTTCATTCCACCACCGTGTCTGAGCGCGAGGCTCTAGAGGTGCTTTTCATCTCGGAAGGGGATGAGATCTCCAAGAGCATTCAGCAGGGACTTGAGAGCGAACCATGGCTGCGCGTAGACGGCGAGGATGGAGACGTGTTCGATGGGAAAAAGGCCTTGCATCAACTCGTCAGCCGTGATCTCGCTGGTGTTGCGAGACTGCTGAGGCAACGGACGGAGCAGGTCATCCAAAGCCATGAGGACGCAGTCCTGGCCTTTAAGATTGCGAATCTGATTGGCTTCTACCACAACACTTTCTCGAAGCTCGTCGGCACCGACTCGCCCATCTTGGACGTCCTCGCTGCCTTGGAGCAATCTGCTTTGAGGCAGTTCCGGGCGAATATGAGGGATCACGTCGCCAGCGTCCAAAGTGACCTAGCAGTTGCGCCTGCGAACCTCGCGCCGCCTGATTTCTTGGATGAGGCCCTCGAAATGCTGAAAGCACTGCTCAAAAGCTATGACTCGTCCATGACAGCGCTAGACAACCGCGAGAACGGATTCCAGCCAGTTCTGTCCGAGGCTCTTGACCCATTTCTCAACGGCTGCGAGAACCTCTACAAGAGGCTACAGGAGCCAGACAACGATGTCTTCGCCGTCAATTGCCTTCTTGCCGCTCGTTCTGTTTTGGCTTCCTTTTCGTTTGTGAAAGAGCGAGTCGAGGAGATGGACGACACGATGCAGGAACACAAATCGAACCTGGTGGCCTCCCAGCACAGATATTTTTTGCACACGTCGGGACTTTATCCGCTAAAGGCTATCCTGTCCGAACTGTCGGACTCGGAGGACGACTTGAAGTCAATCCCTCAGCTACCCCCTTTCAAGCCAGAGACTCTGGTCAACGTGGGCGGCCAGCTGGATGATTTCCTGCCCTCTGCCTTGATGGATGCGATGGACAATATCAAACGGCTACGGGATACAAGAATGGTCCAAGCGATTACGGAGGCGGCTGCAGAACAGTTCTGCGAAGATTTTGAATTCGTCGAGGATCGGATCCTGGCGGCAGATGAGCTGCGGGTGGTCGAGAACGGCGCAGAAGAAGCGCCCGCTCCAAGCTTAAGGGAGCTCTTCCCTCGCACGAGTGGAGAAATTAGAGTGCTGCTGAGCTAGCTGCCGATGAAAAGAAACAATCAATTTGCGCCGGTCAATTCCCCATGTAACTCGTTAGACTTGCATCGTGTATGATACACCGACCCGCCCCTCCCTGGGATATAATGCTCCCACGTCTTGACGGCATGGTCTTGGGTGAACACAGGCGAGGTATCAAGCCTGGATCTGGGCCTTCTTCTTCTCCCATTCGTCGGGGGTGTGGCACTTGGGGGTCCAGGCGTGGATTGCAGCAATCTGCTCCCTCAAAGCGGCGTTGACGAGGCGGTGACGCGCAAGAGTTGTCTTCTTGTCGAACTGCGGGGAGACTATGATGGCCTCGAACATCTGGCCGCAGCCGCCTGGCGGGGGAACCAGGTAAGAAGGCTGCGCAGGCGAAGGGCGAAGGGCGCGTACCTGAGAGATCGGCTATCTCGACGTGGACAGCGCCAACTTTCTCCTCCAAGACGGCCTTCAGAGACTCGGGGGTGACTCCGGAAGAGGCGCTCATGGCGGGTGACGGGGGCAGGATGGTCGGAATGGGTGCAGAGGGGCGGATCAGATAATGCAGCGGGGAGGAAAAGCTGGGCGAGGGCGAGCCCCGCTGACGTGAGTGCCGAGCACGATGCGCACAGGGATCCGATCAGCGCGTTCCAGCCCTGGTCGGCGCCTGCGTGGTTTGAAGCTCCGACCCATCGCCCTACCTTCCGCACCATCGCCCGTTGATGTTTGCCGCTACGCTCCGACGGTCGTCCAGGATGAGCTCTACCATCACCTCCGCCCCTTTCTCAAGGGCTGTGGTCAATGCCATGCGCAAGCTGTACGTCCCAATCCATCTCGCTGGTCGACCGAGCCGCGCTGACACAGGACCACCAGCTATCCCGAGGCGCTGGCCGACAAGAGCTGGGACAACACTGGGCGTGCGTTGCCGTCTTCCGAGTGCCCCGTCCCCCGTGCTGATGCCGTCCAGTGCTTCTCGAAGCGCCGTTTGACCCGCTCCGCCGCAACCGGAACTCAGTCCTACTTACCGTTGACCTCACCCGCGCCGTTGCGGACGAGGCAATTGAACAGAATGCGTCCATAGTAGTAGCCTACCGTCAGCCCAATCTGAATCGCGGGCCTCCCGGCGCAGTGGCTGACAGGACTCAAGCGTAGATCCAATCATCTTCAGAGGCCTCAAGTCCTTGACCCTCGCCAATAGCCAGCAGCAGTCTCTGCTTCGCTTGGCTGCGAGCGGAATCAGCGTGAGCCGCTTGTGTCCCTTCACTGCACGTGCGCTGACGGTGCCCCGAAGGTCTACTGTCCCCACACAGCCGTGGATGCCGCGCCTGGCGGGCTCGGAGACTGGCTTGCAGACATTGTCACAGGGAACCCGACCGACGCTTCGGAGCAATCGTCGATCAAAAGCACCCAACCGTCACCTCTCCCGACAGCTTCATCAGAGCAAGCCGATCCGTTTGTGGAGAAGAGATCGCTGTATATGTTGCGGCATCACCCTTCGCAGAGCGGAAGCTCTCTGCGTATCAATGATCTCAGACTGTACGCTCGCCCATCTCCTGCGTCGTCGTGATTTTTCTGACACAGACACAGTGGAAAGACGGCGCACACCCGCCAGGTTATTACTCCTGTGACCAACGTGCCGGGACTCGATGGCGCTGGCATGGGCCGCATCGTGCGCTTCCAGACACCTCAACCGCTCACTTCCATAATCGAGCGCATCGGCCAAGGCTTGGGAGACCCCAAAGGATTCCCCATCGCCATCCCTCAAGGAAGCTCGGTCGACGAGATCAAAGTGTCGAGCATAGGCATATGCGCCGGCAGCGGTGGCTCGCTCTTCTCGGGCATTGACGTAGATTTGCTCTTCACTGGCGAGCTGTCCCACCATGAGGCGCTTGCCGCCATAGAGAAGGGCCAGGTTGTCATCACTCTGTTCCATTCGAACACCGAAAGGGGCTACCTTCATAGCGTCATGAGGGACCAATTGCTGGAAGCAATCGGAGATGAGTGGGAGTACCTCAGGGCGGAAGAGAAGGGAAAGCCCAACCTAGCCGACAAGGAGCTCGAGGCACTCTGCGACGAGTCGATTATAGTGGAAGTGAGCGAGAGGGACAGAGACCCCTATGGCATCATCATTGCCCAGGAGCCGTGACGGAAGACGGGCAGGAGTACCTAGTCCCGCAGGCGAAAGCTTGGCAGAGTCGCAGGCGTGTCATCAAGCTGAAATTGCCGTCTCCGCAACACGGAAAAGAGGCAGCTAGACCAGTTAGCGCTTAAGCAGTCTGCAGGAACACGCTATGAGGGGCAATACAAGCCGCACTGTGCAGAGGTGCCAGGACTCGTGGAAGCAATGATGATGGTGGTCGGGGGCTCGCTTATCGCTTATCGGGCGGCGATACACTGGCCCGCAAAATTCGAAATAGCGAGCGCCTCAACGACGACACACGCCTGCAGCCGCGACCGACAACCTCCCCTCCGTCCCTCCCACGAACCCACCCACGCATCAAAAATGGATTCCGCCAAGGTCCCCGTCAAGCTCGTCAAGGTCACCCGCGTGCTCGGCCGCACCGGTAAGCACAACACCCCCTACGACGGGGAGCGTTGCAAGGAGGACGCGAACATGTGCCGGTGCTAACGGTACGCGATGTACAGGTTCGCGCGGTGGTGTGACTCAGGTCCGCGTCGAATTCATGGACGACACCGTAAGTTGCGCTTGAAAGGACGGCCGTCGTCGCTTGAGGCTAACAGCAAATTCTAGACCCGCAGCATTATCCGCAACGTCAAGGGTCCCGGTGAGCACCCACCCAGCACGAGAACCACACGATCGAAGCGACTCCTGCCCCTGGGAGCGCTATTTTGTGGATAAGCAGAACTAACACGCCTGCCCGTCCAGTCCGTGAGAACGACATCCTCTGCCTCCTCGAGTCCGAGCGTGAGGCCAGAAGGCTGCGCTAAGTGGTTTAGCCACCGCTGGCCGGGAAAGGGAGATCAGGCGAGGACAAGTGAAAAAAATGGGTTTCTCCTCGATGAGAACAGTTGGGCTGAGGAACGCGATGGCGCGGGCAACGGTCACGATACGATTCCGAGGGATGTCTGGATACGGTATGGCTTTCTGGCGACTGTCCCGAGAAGCTGGAGAGTTGTTCTATAGGTGTTGAATGGCCACCTTTTCCAGCGTCCAGTTCTTGATTCCCGCTCCTCTCCCTGTCACCTCGGATCTACCGCCAACACGTCCGGAATATTCGGCTTTTCACGGAACCAGAAGGAATACCAAAACCTGCCTGTCCTCCGTTTGCACTGGATTTCAAAAACGAAGCGGGATGGTTCAATGAGCCCCCATGGTTCCCTTGGTGCACTTGTATGAAATTACCTGCTTCACCCGAGTCCAATCAACGTCTCGAAAATCCGCCCGTTCGTGCATTCCCGAACAGTGTTACGGCCATTGTGCACATTTCGCGCATTGTCAACCCAGAAATCTCGAATCTAATTTTCATTTTTACTTGATCTTTCGTTCCTTTTCGTAGTCGTAACCCCATGCAATATGCACCGTCAGATCGCTATGCCCTAAAAACGCATTCAAACGCCCTCTAGATGTCCTGTGATGCAGTCGAAACGAAAACAGATACGACCCGATACCATCGGACCAATGTTGCACTCTAGACTTCAACCTTCGGCTTCCGCGGCTCAAGAAGAAGCTTTCCGATTGGACCCGACTTCTCCACAAACCCGTCGGTTCTGGTGAAGATCTTCTGTCCACGCAGCCATGTCTCGGCGACGACTCCGCGAAGCGTCTTGTGCTCGTAGGGCGAGCACTTGTTGCGGAACAGCATTGTGCTAGGCTCGACAACAAAGGTGGCTTCATCGTCGAAGACGGCAATGTCACCATCATATCCGACGCCCAAATCGCCCTTGGTGTCGTCCAGGCCAACCTGCTTGGCCGTGTTCTTGCAGCACCATCTGACCACATCCTCAATCGTAATGTTGCGGGTCCTTGCCTCAGTCCAAAGGATGCTCAGCCCCAAGCCAACGCTACTGATGCCGCCCCAAGCGCTGAAAAAATCTCCATCGGCGCCGTCTACGTTGTGTGGGTCGGTGCAGCCCAGATCGGCCAGCTTGGCCGGCAGCAGCTTTAGATCGGGCGTGCATGGCGAGTGGTCGGACACGATGGTCTTGATGATGCTGTCTTCGGGACGTTGCAACTCCGCCCATAGGCCGTCCTGGTTCGACTGCTCCCGGATTGGAGGGCAACACTTGTGCCGGGTGTCACCCTCCTTGACAGATTCGGCGGCCAAGCTCAGGTAGTGGAAGCACGTCTCGGCCGTGATCTTGATGCCCTTTGCACGTGCCTCTCGCAGCATTGGGATGGCTTGGATGGCCGAAAGGTGTACGATATGCAGGTCAAGCTGGGGAGCAAGGTGGGCGAGGGAGAGAATTTCAGCAATGGCGTAAGTCTCGAATGAAGGAGGCCGCGAATCCAAGAATGTCTGGTAAGTGGTCAGAGGCCCGGAAGGCTGGAGTGGCGGCTCAGAAGCTTGGACGTCATCGCCGACAGAGGCGGTGATGGGAGGGATCATCTCAGCGTGGAACATGACCGTGGTGGGCTCGTCAGCCAGCTCCGCCAGGACCTTTCTGATGTCTTCAGAAGCGACAGCAGGGAACTCGTCGACCTACAGGCTCGTCAGCAAGCGTGTTCCAGAAAGAAATCAGCCATGTTGCCACAGGGCACTGGACTCACTCCACTCTCAATGAGGAAACCCTTGAACCCCCTCACGCCGGCCTGGACAAGGGCTTTCAGCTCCTGGTCGTTGCCCGGAATGATGCCGCCGTAGAAACCAACGTCCACCCAGCATTTGCCCTGAGCGGCGTCGATCTTGGTCTTCAGGTTCTCGACTGTTGTGGTGGGAGGGATGGCATTGAGAGGCATGTCAACGACGGTAGTGACACCGCCAAAGGCAGCGGCACGCGTGCCGGTCCAGAAGCCTTCCCATTCGGTGCGACCCGGCTCATTCAGATGGACATGAGCATCGACGAGACCCGGAAGCAAAATCTTGGGGGAATAGTCGACATAGGGAGTTCCGGGAGGGAAATCGGAGGGCGGCAGAACGGAGTGGAAGATTGACGTAATTTTTCCAGTGAAGGTGGAGACGACGAGGGTTGCCTCGGTGAGACGGCCGGAGACGACGGCGCGGGATGAGGCGATGACGGTGATGGGAGGCACCTGAGCCGAGACGGAGGGGGAGGAGGCTTCGGTGGCATGGGGGGCCATTTTGGGCTACAAAGAACAAAGATTGATGGTGTCGTTGGAGGGCAGCAAGGTCAAAGAAGAGAGGCCTGTCCAAGCTTCGGGTGACGGGCAGGTCTTGGTCCAGAAGCTTGGTGCAGACGATAAGGTGACGGCAGGGCGATAAGGACTGCGGCAGAGCACAGGAGGCAGCGGACAGAGGACAAGAGAGCAGAGCGGTGTGGAGAAACAAAGGCGAAGGCGGAGGCGGAGGCGGAGAAGGCACGAGGGCTGAAAGGAAAGGCGGAAGGAGCGGGCAAAGCTGGGGTACGGCGAGCGTCTTATCAATGCTGCGATATCTCAGCCAGATTCGGAAACTGTCAGATTGGCTTGACGGGCCCGACCGGTGCCGCGTCGATCCAGCCAGTCTCAAACAGCAGCAGGGCTCGCGCTCGGCGCAATGGCGGGGCGGCGGCCCTCATCGTGGGCCGGCTGGGCTGGTGTGGAGCGAGGCGCATTACTCGATAGAAATGGCGGAGCCCCTATCGGCGGCAGTAACGGTGCAGAAAGCGCCAGCCCTGCCGCGCTGCCCTGCCGCTAGGCAATCTTTCGGAGGCCCCAACACCGCCGGACGCCGCCGTCCAGCCCTCAACCACCACTGCTGGTCCTGCGCGCGTCCCGGCTGCTGGCGTCGCCTCGTGGTCAGCCGGCGGCGAGGGCAGGGGGGCTGCCGGCGCCGCAACCACCGCGCCGCTGCATCACCGGCCTTGGCGCCCATCGCTGCCCCGTCGTTTCACCTGCGCCTGCCACCGCATTCCCATCGAGTAATGGAAACCACTCGCTCCTCCCTAGCCTAGCTTATCACCGCCGCCGACCAGCGCTACCCCTCCTCTTCACCCGCATATTCCTGGACTGCCGCAGCCTTTGTCAGCCGTCCCACGCACTTCGCATCGACCCATCATTGGACCCTGCTCCGCCGCCTGTGTTTGGCGAGAAGAGCGTCTTCGTCGAGCGGGTGCACCGTTGGCAGGCGCCATCATGATGATGGCCATGGCCTAACCGGACCGACGGGGGGAAGACATGTAGCATTGGCTTCAAGAAGAGGGTAAAACATCCATTGCACCTCTTTCACAGATACTTCTTCTCGAGCCTTCCCGACAGACTCTCTGGCACGTCCTTCCCCCGTAGGCCTCCACCCTGGTGGAAATGCTCCTGAAGCGCAGTCAAGGGAGACAGGAACAAGGCGCCCAAGACGCAGAAGAAGGTCGCTGCAAGCTGCCACATCCACACGAACAAGAAGCCGCCGGGCCAGAAGAAGCGCACGAATTCACTGGTTTGATAGAGGTCATTCTGCGCCGTGATGTAGTACTTGGCCCTGCCGGCTTCGCCCTTCTCGTCGGCCGACCGCGAGGCCGGAACACGGGCGAGATGCAGCACCGTGACGAGAGACGCAGGCGCTGAGTAGAAGGGAATGAGCCAGACGCGGAAGACCTGTGAGATGTGGACGTAAAGGATGAGGTTCGTCTGGTCGAAGGCTGCATGACGATGGAGTTAGCTCAGGAAGGCTGCGCTTATCACGCAATAGGCTGCCTTGGCATGCTGCCGCGCTTCTATGGGGCCGGCGCACCAACTGAGTTGACTCGCAGGTCGATTCTTGGACTCATGATCTTGTACCACCGGTAGATGGCAACGATGAGGGCGCGCGAGTTGCCGAACTTGCCCGTTCTGCAGAAGGGATGTGTGAACGAGGCATTGCGCGTAAAGTACTTCTCGATAGCAGCCCGCTGCGCGCGCGGCGGCGACTGTGTAAGGAGATAGATGACTTGGGCGACTTCGTTCTCTGCGCCGCGTCCTGTCAGCCCGGGTCCGTGGTGCACGCGGCGCCTGAGTCTTTAGCTACCTGGATTCTCCATGGTCGGGGATTGATGGGAGACGATACGCGGCGTGACGAGAAGAGGACTTTGTGTCGGGGGGAGCGAGGCTCAAGGCATTAGCGAAGCCGCTGCCATCACTTGCATGGATGAACAGGAACCTAGGCGACGGGCAACGGGGGTCGCGGGCATTGACGTCATTGGCCGCCTGCCGCCTTCACATGCCTGACGAGGCACGTCACGTCCACTTCATGTCTCTGCAAAAATCCCATTGTGCGTAGCATGCAAGAAAGCTCCGCGTATACTATATACAGGTTGAACATGTGCGTGCTGTGCTCTATTGCCCGGCGCCAAGCTCCATTACCAAAGGCAGCGATTTAATTATACGAATACAGTCATAAGGTGAAGCAACGCCTCTCTCCGGCGCATGCTTTAGTCGACCTTGATGGACGAGTAAATCTTGAGCACAAAGAGCCATGAGGCAAAGAACCCGATGGTGCCTGCAAGAATCCGTCAGCCACTGCCGCGAGAGGGGGGAAGTTGCACAACACTTACCGCTTAGTACGAAGAACAGCACGCTGATCAGTGCGCTGTAGCCAAGATACAGCACTCCACTGGTCCAGCTACCAAACTCCAACACCTTTCCCCAGTAGAGCAGCGCATACGCAAACACGTAGGCCGCGCTCGCGCCCGCCGTGCAAAACGCCCTCCACTGCCAATGATAGTTCTCTGCGCACAGCAAGAAATAGATCATCAGGACCGTGACTGCTGCGCAAGTAATGATCATGAGGCCGTAACACAGAAAGAGAAACCCGAACATGTAGTACACTTTGTTGACCCAGATGCTGTTCATGACGAAGTAGAGCTCGACGAAGATGGCTCCGAAAGGAAGGACCCCTACGATCAGCATGCTAGGCAAAGGGCGAAGGTAGCCCGACGCAGGTGGGATCTGCCGTGGGATCTGGTTGGTCCGCACCGGCGTCTCAACCCTCTTGTGTTTGAATCCGATCCACGAGCCCGCAAGCGAGAGCGGAACGCTGATCAGGAACCAAATGCAGACGAGCGCGAGCATCGTCCCAAACGGAACGGCCCCGCTCGCCGACCTCGCCCACACGAAGAGGTTGAGCAGAAAGAAGATGCAAAACACCACGGCAGGGAGCGCAACGGGTGTGAGCGCAAAGTTTTGCTTCCACTTGTCGCCATGGAAAAACTTGTAGATGCGAGCCGACGCGTAGCCACCAACGAAGCCGAAGACGGTGTAGAGAAGAAGCATGACAGTGCCGAGAGAGCCGCGATTGGATGGGGAAAGGAATCCTAGCAGTGCAAAGACTGGCATTGAAGTTAACCTCTACTCATCACTCTTCAGTATCTGGAGCCTTACCAATGGTGAAGCCGGCCATCATGAACAGCTGTGCGCCATTGCCGACAAGCACACTCAGAAACAGCGGGTTCTTCGGTGGCCTGAAGACGTCGCCGTGCACCAACTTCCACCCCGAGTCTTCTTGGACTCCTTCCTCGACCACGCTCGTTCCCGACAAGTCCTCAAGCGCAAATTGCTCGAGGCGATTGTACCTTGCAATATCCTTCTTCAAAGTGCGGATGAGGATGGTAGCGACCATGGTGACCAAGAAAACCACAATGACCGCCGAGTTGACCAGCGAGAACCAGTGGATTTTCGGGTCGTAGACATGAAGGTACTTGTCCCAGCGCGTGGCAAATGGCGTGGATGAAGGCCTCCAGTAGACGCTGTAGGTAAACAAAACAGACGTGCTTCCTGTCTCCGACAACTCTATTGGTGCCGGCTCACCGCACTCAGCCTTCTCTTCGTTGACCAGCTTTGCCTCGCCCATCGACCGCGGCTCCACAAGGATACCGACAACCCTGTATGCATCCGGACCGGCCTGATGATAGTCAATTAGGATGTCATAGTGGGTGTTGAGAATTGGCTTGTCGTCCTTGACGGCGCCCAACGCGAATCCGGGGCTGTAGAAGTTGGTGTTGTCGTTTGGATCGTGTTTCAGCTGTCCGGCGGGTAAGCCGTCGATCAGCCAGTTCAGGTTGTAATTCTGTAGAATCCTCTGGTTGACAAATTGCGCATCACTCGGCTCGTATGTCTGATCTCGACATGCAGGCTTGCATGTTTCATTCTTGCCCATGCGCAGCTCAAAGGGCGATGTTTGTATGCGGTCACCGAACAGGATGCTCCCCAGCGACTCCGAGATGTATTTGGGGCCGCCGCTCGGCTGGCAAAAGTGGAATTCCGGGAGGTAGTAGTCAAACGAGAAGACCGAGTGCACGTGCGAGTCGTCCGGGGAATTGCCAGGTGTGAGGTGGTTGACGAGCAGCGGCACTTTGTCCCCTTCTTTGTACGAGGTCGGCAAGACTCCAGGGAGGTAATATGCGCTCGCGGGAACGGGGGCGAGGAGCAACAGCGCCGAGAGCACGGCGGCTGGAGCACTGAGGCGGGTGAAAAGCATGGCGGCGACGACGGCGCCGAGGCCGCGGGGCTGGCTGTGAGACCGTCTGGCGGAGCGACAGCTCGCGGTTGGCCGTGGACTCCTCGGCGCGCGCGGGAGGTGCGGCGGAGCGCGTGGCAGCGGAGTCGATAGAAGCGGATGCGCGGCCGCGGTAGGAATGGGACTGCCCGCAGGGCTCGGGGGGGGGGACAGGCGCAGGGCAGAGGCGGCTGGGCGAGAGTGTGGTCGTGGCGGAACGTGTGGTTTGGAGGTTGAAAGCTGTCACTTGCTTGCGACCCGGAGCTTCGCCGGCTACTTAGCCTCAGGGATCGGCAGTCATAAAGCCACGCGTAATGCCACACTGTTGCAAAGGCCCTGGTTGGCGCTTTCTGAACAGAAGGACATGCGCCATTCACCGTTCCATCGTCGCTATGTGCATACTACGCGGGAGCTGGGCCATGGTCTGCCGACGCCTCTTTCCACCACAGCCAGTAAACTCAGAACAACCTCCGTCGATGCTTAGGGAAAACGCGAACATGATATCACAGGCATAGAAACATGAGAGAGAGGAAAGATGCCGCCACGCCTCACACAAGCCCATCGTACAAGGACAGCGCCGACACAATCGTCTCGTCGCGCTTGGAGCCCTCCTTGAATTCGGCCATGTCCAGGCTACCGTTCTCGTCCTTGTCCATCATGCGGAAAATCTTGCGCACGCGCTTCTCGGGCGTGTCTTCGTCCTCGGGGAGCTTGACCATGGAGCCGACCTGCGAGTTGTCAGCACTGTGCCGCCCGCCAGCCTGTCTTGAACCAACCATCTTGTATATAGCCTCCACAATCGCCAGCATCTCGTCGTAGCTAATCTTGCCGTCGCCGTCAATGTCGTACAGCTGGAACGCCCAATCCAGCTTGTCCTCCATCTTTCCTCTGCTCGTGACGCTCAGCGCGCAGATAAACTCCTTGAAGTCGATCGAGCCCGATTTGTCGGCATCAAACACGTTGAAGACATAGTCGGCGAACGACGACGGGTCACCGAATGGGAAAAACTGTTTGTAGATCTTTTGGAACTCCTCCTTGGTGAGCATCCCCGAGGGACAGTCCTTTAGAAAGCCTGCCAGGCCGTGGTCAGCGTGGCATCGAGCCGCGGGCCGCACGACGAGGACGTACCCTTGTACCACTGCTGTAACTCTTTCTTGTCGAAGTGGGTGGCCTTCTGGAGATCGCTCAGCTCCTGCTGGGTGAGCTTGCTCTGGCTGTGATAGTGCACAGTTAGCCGGGAATCCTCCAGCATCACGCGAATCAAACAGCTGCGGGCCGATATCTCGCGGTCCGTTTCACGGACGGCCAGTTGCAGGGCGACATGGCGGCTTCCCACGTAGCCCTCGTACTGGCGTGCGCCGGGAACGGGTATGGAGGCACCGCGCGTCCTTCCGAGCTTCACCGGGGGGTGCTCAACCTGGAGCAGCGGTGCATGGGAGGTGCGCACGTCGTGCAGCGAGACGCTGTGGCGGCGGCGGCGGGACTGCGCAACGTCTCCGACGGTCGTCATGGCAGAGTCGTGGTGAGGCTGGGCGGGGAGAAAGAGTGGCGCCAGGCGCGATGACGCATTGCTCTGCGGAGGCGCGAGTAGGGACGGTTGCGCGTTCGAGCAGGCGCGCGGAGGCCAAAGCAGTCAAGGAAAGCGTCACACTTACGATTTGCCCATGGTGGACGGTGCCAAGCGTGAGTCCAGCGGTGTCGCGGCGGTCGGGCTCGGTGGGCACGGGAGGGAAAGCGGTCTGCGGAGAGGAGAGGGTCTTGCAGCAGGCAGGCGTGCGGTCGAGGCTGGGGAGGGTAAGAAATGTGGCGGTAGGCAAGGCTATAGCGAAGAGCGAAGGTGGGTGGGAAGATCGCGGGGTCTTGGGCTGAGGGCTGAGGCGCAGCAGGCGGGCGGGAGGCTACGTCAAGCACAGGCACCTAAACAGAAAAGTCGCGTGGAGGAACGTTGGAGTGTGCGGGCGCCAGCGAGTCGTGCATTATTTGCACGTTGGGTCTGGCCGCAACCTGGCAAGCGGGCGCTTGTGGTTGTGTGTGGCTACCAGGCCTTAGTGAGGGGCTGCGCGCTGATTAGCGGAGCGCTGTCTGGCCCAAATTGCCTGCATCCTCAGGCACCAGCACCTGGTGAACCTGCAGCCCGTCGCTCGTCGCCGAACGCACGAACGCACGCGTCGGCGACGCCGACCAGTGGAAGCCCGCCCGCGCCCGCGCCTGCGACCAGCCGTCCGTGTTGCCGCGCGCGCAGCCAAAACCGTCCAGCTCCGGCCTGCCCATTGCTCCATCTCTGCGCCGCCCCGCGCCCTCTGCCGCAACATGGACGCCCTGCTCGACCAGCACTTCCAGCGCGTCGAGACCGCCCTCAACACCCTGATCGACTCCATCGCCTCCTACAACCCCTCGCAGCAGGCCGTAGTCGACCTAGTCGCCGCCGACGATGAGCTCAGCCGCGGTCTCGAACAGCGTGCGCCTGCCTCGGAGAGCTCCCCACACTGCTCTGCTGACATCATTCGCCCAGTTGCCGCACACCAGGCCAACTACCAGCGCGTCCTGGCCCTGCGCCAGACAGCTGACGCCCTGGACTCCCAGGTCAAGTCAACTCTGAGCCTGCTTGCCGATACGCGCAGAGAGCTCATCGCCACGCCCGTCACCCGCCCCGCCTCCAATGCCCGCGATGTAAGCACCGCAGAGCTGCTAACCTACGCCAAACACATTGGCAAGTTCACCGTGCCACCCAATTTCCGCCCCCCGCCGCGCAAAGAGGACGCTGCTGCGTCCGCGCAAGACAAGCCCGACGAAGACGCCGCCATGGCGAACGGCGCTGCTGCGGCCCCCGAATCTCAACAGGCCGATGTTGCTGCTGTTCCCGAGGAGACTCGTACCATGGCTACTCTTAACGCGGAGCAGAAGGCCTGGCTAGCCGGCCTGGGCGCTCTGCCGTGGTTTCCATGGCCGACAGAAGACAAGATCCGCCAGGGTGCGCTCGGTCAGATTCAAACAATGGTGGAGCAGGGCAAGGACCCCACAACTGTACTTTCGCCCGAGGAGCAGGAGAAGCGGGCAAGAGAGGCCGCGGCAGAGGAAGAGGAGCAACGTCAGGAGGAGGAGAGGCGCAGGGCCGAGGCTGAGCAGAGACGCAGAGATTTGCATGCCTCACAAAATAGGCCTGACGGACAGGGCGAGCAACCGGCCGTCTTCGGAGGTCTGGATCTTTACTAAGACGCGCACCCTGTGCTATCCAGTACCGACAATTCATGGGAAAGTAATTTACTGCACAGGCAAACCACAAGGTGACGGTAAATTCACTGCCAAAGCACGTGAGGAAAACAAGATTGAGTATACGTATGCCCAATATGCGACCCCCTTTACCATTAGGTTGCCACGCTCTTTGAATTGATCACGGCCATGCCCGCGGCCGTACCCGTCATTGCCTTCGGATATGAGGAAATGCTTCAGCCAGGAGTCAGCGGTAACACCGGTACAGGCTGTCGATGGTCTTGTCCCAACGATTGTGTCTGTATCAGGAGCAATGTAAACCAGTAGAGACTTGTTGCACAAGACCCACCCGCCAAAAATCGGCCTCCGTTCTGGTGATGCAGCACGCGTTCAGGTAAAAAAAAAAAACGACTGCGTGGTGATGATATGTCCATTGGCTCGAACCCGTGGCCAACCGAAGTGAAATCAGCCGTCGATGCCGTGATGGTCGCGTCGGCGTCGAGGGGACTGCGAGTGTCGCGAGACAGGATGAGACTCCGGCTGGGATATATAGCAAAGAAGGTACCTCAACAGTCTCGCCGCTGGCAGCACAGGAACGACGATACATGTGATGGGGTAGCTGCATATGCGCAGGCCGGCCGGCATTCGCCGCTCCAACCAGCTTGACGACCGCGCAGGGACGCCCGACGTGGCCCGGGCCCCTGCGTCCCTCTGCCTTGTGACGTCATCTGCTGATGGATGCCGCCTTCGTCAGATCGCTGCTGGTGCTGCCAGGGGCGCAGGCAACACTGCAGGCGGCCGGCCTGAGCCGACACCACCACCATGTCGGAGAACGAGGACTACGACGACGTGCACTTCGACACTGCCGCCGTCATTGCCGGCAGCCACGGCGGCGGCCTGGACACTCCCGGCCTCATTGCCCCAGACGCGCCCAACGACTCCAGCGGCTTCAGTGGCTCCAGCGGGAGCAGCCCAGGCGAGCCCGCCTACGACGCCGTGCGCGCCCCCGCCGACGCCGACCGCGCCTCGCCCCACGGCCGGCGCAAGAGCGTTCAGGTCAACCTCGAACGCACCGCCACCAAGGGCCGCTACGTTCTCACCGCCGATGACCACGAGATCCGCCGCATCTTACGCCACGGCCTGCAGCAGGAGCAGCGCCCCAGCCCTCGCCTACGCTTCCGCGACCTGGTCTTCACCCGCCAGTTCTCCACCTTCGACCGCCAGAACTCACTCAGCTACGACTCGCCCTTCCGCGGCTGGTTTACTCTCTTTTGGCTGTGCATTGCCCTGCTGCTTATCCGCGTCGCCGCCAAGAACTGGAGGACATACGGCAGCGTCCTCGGCCGCAATGAGATCTGGAATCTCATGTTCGAGCGCGACGTCGTCGTCCTGGGCCTCACCGACGGCGTCATGTGCGTCGGTACCCTTTTTGGCTTTGCCTTGCAAAAGGCTGTCGTCGCCGGCTACCTGGCTTGGGAAGGCCCGGGCTACATCATCGAGCACCTCTGGCAGGCTTCTTACCTGGGAGCTGTGCTCTACTGGACCATCTACCGCGACTGGCCCTGGACTCACACCATCTTCACTGTCCTACACTGCATGGTCTTCCTCATGAAGCAGCACAGCTATTCTTTCTACAACGGCTACCGTAAGCCCCGCCCCCCACCCAGTCCACCCTCGCGCATTTCGCTAAGCTCTCCAAGTATCACAGGTCTATCGCCGCAAACAGCTTCTGGAGCAGAAGCTCCACGAGCTTTCCGAAAAGGAGCCTACTACTTCTCGCCCGAACAGCCCTATGGTCACCTCTTTCGACGTCCCCCATTCCGACAGTCTCCGCCGGAGGCGCCGCTCTTCAACCTCCAAGGCCTCGACTGACCTGTTCCACGAGCAATCCCCCCTTTCCACCATAGCCCACGCTGTGGAATCCGGTGAGCCGTTGGATGCCGACCAGCTTGAGGCTTTTTCTGCCGTGGTCCGTAGCGAAATAAGGAGTCTTGCGTCGGAGCTGCGTGGGAAGAGCACTTCGGAAGAGTGGGCATATCCCAAGAACCTCACCTTGGCCAATTTCGCCGATTGGACGATGCTCCCAACGCTTGTCTACGAGTTGGAGTATCCCCGCCAGGAGCGCATCAACTGGTGGTATGTCGCTGAGAAGACGGCCGCGACCTTTGGAATAATCTGGGTCATGATTGTTGTCTCTCAGGCATATATTTACCCGCCCGTTGCCGAGACAGTCCGCATGAAGGAGGCCGGCATGACACTTCAGGAGCGCGCGCTGGAGTTCCCCTGGATAGTCAGCGACATCCTCTTCCCTCTGCTTCTTGAGCAAATCCTCACCTGGTATTTGATTTGGGAATGTATACTCAATGTCCTGGCTGAGTTGACTCGCTTTGCCGACAGAGGCTTCTATGGAGACTGGTGGAATAGCGTCAGCTTCGATCAGTATGCGCGCGATTGGAATCGTCCCGTGCACAATTTCCTCTTACGTCATGTCTACCACTCCTCCATCTCCTCGTGGCACCTCAGCAAGGGCTCCGCTACCTTCGTTACATTCTTGCTCTCTGCTCTGGTTCACGAGCTCGTCATGTTCTGTCTGTTTAAGAAGGTACGGGGCTATTTGTTCGCCACGCAACTATTGCAAATTCCTCTGGTCAGTTTAAGTCGGACTCGCTTGTTGAAAGGCCGCACTGTTTTGGGAAACGTAGTCTTCTGGATAGGATTATTCGTCGGACCGAGCGTTATAACAAGCCTCTACCTGATTGTTTAAAGTCCCTTTCAATGCCGCATCCTCTTACATTCTTGTAGCCATCCAGCCAGCGTAGCGGCATAAGCGGTCGTAACAACTTATTTTCTCCACTCCCTCCTAGACTATCGAATATTCCTAGAAAATTGAGCCAATAGCACACTAACTCCATGAAAGCGAAGTTGGCTGTGATTCTGGAAAATATGATTTAGCTAGAGGCTCTATGCACAATTGTTTCTCGTTAGACTGCTCGAGTAGTCTTGATTAATTCCCCGATAACACCTATCCGTAATCCAAGGGAAAGGGCCAGAGCAATTCGGAAACAAGGATACCAGGTGAAAACATTGGTGGGGGGGAAGTTATCCTTACTTCGTTAATCGCAACGTCTCTTCAACGCATATCGGAGGGTGCATGAAAACGAAGCCCGTATGTTTTCAACTCCAACGGCGCACATAGTGCTCAAATCAGTCTCCTTAGCTTCGTATTGCGAGCTTTGGAACCACCCAATTCGACCAATGACTCGGGAACCTACGCAATACGCATAGTATCGAGGAATCGTGTCACGAGTGTGGTTAGCCTACACCAAAGTTTCCAGCAAAAGAATAGGAGTTTTCTGGTCCTGAAGAGCTGCCTTTCCGGGATCACGCGGCAAGGCTAGGAAGGACGGACGCGACAGGAATGAATAGATAACTAATCTCACCGTCCGGGAGACGATACAAGTTGTATTATTGAGTGTATTGTAACTACGACCAGAGGGTCATTACTGAATGGTATTGCTGGTTTACTATTTTCACCGAAGGACTTCGGATGAACAAATGGAACAGCATGGAGATATTCCATAATGCGTAAAGTGCAAGCTCCTGAGGCAACGCCAAGAGAAAGCTCCAACTGGAAGGGGCTTGCATTTGATTGTGAAGGCTTATTACACAAACAGCCGGCATCACGGATTCGAGGCGACAAACAAATCGCTAAAGTAATAAATGGCAGTCTACATGTTCATCAATTACTGCCTTTCCAAGCGTCCAGTACGCTCATTTGCCATTGCTGGTCACTTCTTTGAATTGCCGAATTGCACTTTTGTGGTCCAGACTCCATCACCAAAACCAGTTAGTTCCTTGTTTACTGCCTGAGACGAGCCATCCTCTTGTTCATGCTACCCGATATGTCAGTACAGCGTTTTATCTGAATAGACCTAGAGAACTTACAAGGCGAAAAAAGCAAACTGGCTTGCAGAGATGCCATATTGATACACGAACCGACTGGCCAAGTAGCTTCCAAAGATGGCACGAAGGTAATTTTCAGGGACCTATTTCTGTCAATCACCATCATTACGACCGTATCTGGAGAATGACTCACCCGTTGCATGATGGTTTCCAAGCCAATCTTCCGAAGCAGGAGGCTTGGTAGCGCATCACTTAGGACAGACTTTCTCAGTTCGACATTGTCCCATAGCTCTGTGTTCTGCAGCTCCTCATCAAGCTTGGTGATAGCTATACTGAGCGTGTCACTTAGTATACTACGAGGCTCGCCAGTCTCCTGGTGTTCTCTCCAAATCGCCTCGAACTCGAGCGCGGCGTTGTTCTTGATGGTCTGCTGCACTTGCTTGACGTACTCGTCATAGAATTCTGGCGCAGAACCGTCTTCGCGGATGCACATATGCTCAATGAAGCCCTCGTCATCGAATGAGAGCGAGGCAAGGACTTCAAGTGAGGACGAGGTAACACCGCCCTTGTTGGCAGACGCATCCTTGTAAAGGATGCACCCTGCCTTCTCCAAACGAAGTTTGGCATCCTGGGTAATGAATAAGTTGGCGCCTTCGACAATGTATGGGATGAGACATTTGCCGTCCACGATGAGTCGGTTGGCCGTTCCAAGGTCGATGGACTCAGGACGGCCACCACATGGAACGAAGATATCGTACGCGGAGCTATCACGCAGATGGAAGGTATTGCGGAACTGTGTTCCGTTGTTGACGGTCTCGCCGGTGGGCAGCTTGACGTTGTTCTCCTCAACTAGAACACGGTATCCCTCCGGAGAGAGCTTGGCTGTATCGAACTGCGATATCATGACGCGGTTCTGCGCCATGCGCACCAGCTCATCACGGTCGATTCCGTTAGGGTCGACAAGGACACCGGAGCCATCCACGATCGCTGTATATTGCTCGTTACCCAGAAGGATTTCGTTGGAGCCGAGATCACCGTCCGGTCCGCCGGTTTGAAGCTTGCGGATCTTGGTCTGATCAAGGCTGAGCTTGCGGTAGATACCGAGCACATATTCGCGGACAGAGAGTGTAGTCATGCCGTAGCGGTCGTGCGGGATTCCACCAAGCTTGGGACTCTTGCCAGTGAAGAATGACTTCCACCAAGGCGCTCCTCTTGCTCTGGCATGTTCCGTAGCCCAGTCAACGAGATCGGCAGTGTTCTCGTCCGGCCCCATGAACAGAATTTCCTGTTTGCCGTGCAAATCGACGATCGGGTCTTTGATACCTGGGCTGGATGGAGGAAGCAGCAGGTCCAGGATGCTGTCGATATACTTCTCGAATGCAACCGTGGCCTTGTCTTGGTGGCGGACATCCAAAAGAATGACACCCTTGGAGCCGCCCTCGGGAATGTCTTTGTTCTTCCTCTGTTGGGTGTTCGCAAGGTTGTAGTTTTCGTCAAAGAGTGACCTAGCATTGATAGCATAGGCTTCTGAACTCCTCGACTTCACGATGCGAATGCCTCCACGTGCAATATCGCGGAAGCGAAGATGGAAACCGCGGAACTCAGAGCTGATCACCAGGAACATGCCGTACAAAGGCTGTGGGTACTCTGAAGGTGGGAGGAAGGTAGGGTTGAGCCTGAAGCTCAACGCAACCTTCGTCGGGGTGTAAAAATTCGTTTTTCTAGTTGGGATTAGCTGAGAAATAACGTCAAAGGGTTTCTGTAAAGCTGCACATACAAGACACTAGCGTTGAAGGTTCGGAAAGCTGTCATAACCATGGCATGATGCTCGTTGGTCACATTTTTGGCGATCAGCCCCTCAAGCTCCGAGTCACTCAAGACTTTGTCGACTTTCATGCGCAAGTAACTCAGAGTCGGGATGAAGTCGTCCTGATCACCCCTGGTCTGCACGTAATGTGTGTTGGCGAATGCCAAGTAGAGCGAGTGGATGAGCTCAGGGTATTCGTTGATGATTTCGAGGATGTAGTCCGCGGTGAACGTCTCCGTACGGAGACGGCGCTTGAGCTTAGAAAGCAGTTCGGCGTGTACGCTGTTGTTGCTGTCCAGCATTGACGACAAAGTGGTATACTCAGAGCCTGTCACCAGCGGTCAGCAAGCATCCTGTAGTTTATTGGCACATGGCACCATACCCAATCGGTTGAGGAAATGACCGACGAAAACCCACACGCAGTGAGCATAGATGGTCTCCTGCAGGCTCAGCCTGCCCGAGGCAAAGTGCAGCTGGAACTTGTTCTGCGGAATGCAGTACAGCAAAGAGACCTCTTTGATGATCTGGTGGACGGAGGCTTCGATTGGCGGATGACGTGCCGAGCTGACCGATTGTGGGGCGTGGCGCAAGTAGATGGACATGACCGTGTAGCCATTCGAGAATTGTTCTGTGGGGAAAGTGTCAGCTCTATGGATACAACGCAACGCGTGCAACGGAACACATACCGACGTATTTGCGCGACGAGGTCAAGCCGTAGTAGTGGTACTAGACACGGACATCAGTTTCTTTCGTAGGAGCCAGTAGGGACCTCGACGGACTCACCAGATCGCTCAAGGCACTGAACAGGCCAAGTGCAGAGCCCTGCTTGTAGGCGATGACCAAGCGCTTCTCGCGTGAGCCTTCAATGTCAAAATACTCGATGACGGGGCCTGTGCGCATGACGGCATTTTCAAGGACCTGCTTGTAAATCTCCTTGGTGTTCTTGGTCGCCTTCTGCAAGAAACGCTTCTCGCCGATCTTCTCCAGCTGGGTCTCCTCAGCGGACGTCGTTGCATCATTGGCAAACTCGCACTGGTACACAAAGTAGCACCGGAGTTGTTGCTCGTTCCCGCCGGGGAGCAGGCCGGCAGAGCGGAAGGTCTCAACGCGGTAGAGACTGCTTCCAGGCGAGGCATTGAGGTACTTCTGGTCGATGCGTCGCTCGTACTGCGGGCCATCCATGTTGCTGACACCCGGCTTGCTGGTGTCGATGTAGACGGCGTGATCTGCGGCTTCCTTGTCCAGGCGGATCTCGAGAAGTTTGTCATCGCGGGCATATGCAGCAATTTTGGCAGCGTAGAGCGAATGGATGTGGTTCACAATGCTGCAGCAAGCGCGTCAGCCGGCGGGGTGGCGGTGACAGGGGCAAACGGGTTGCTTACGCCTCGACAGACTCGGTAGCGAAGTAGCTGTCGTCAATGCCCAGCTCACTGTAGAACCAATTGGTCTCGGACTCGACGAAGTCGGCCGGGATGAAACCCTTCTCCTCAACCTGATCCATGACCCTGCGATGTGTTAGTCGACTGCGAGAAGTCGCTTGCTCTCCAGCTCAAGCGTACGTCTCCATCTGCTGCTCCTTGCCCTCGAACTTCGGCGCCACATATCCCGGACCCTCCTCGTGCAGCACGCGGTGATGTGTGGAGCCGGGAACGCTCAGGTGAGTGGGTTGGGGCGACGGTTGGCGGCCGGGCGTGCGGGCGATGGTGTCCAGAACCTTGTTCTGGACGCCGTTGGGAGCGGAGGAGGCCATGCTGGCGGCTGCTCGAGGGGCGGTGGGAAAGGATGCGGGGGAGAAGCACAGCGGCGGCGGTGGTGGACTGGCAGGTGTCTGGAAAGGGTCAGCATGCGTTGGCGGGACAGATAAGCCGCGGCGGGCGGTGCTTCTTATTAAGCTACCGGTGCAACCCACGGCGCCGCGGCGGAACGGGAGGCGAGTCAATGGGCGCCAGACCTCTATCTACGCGCCGGGCCACAGATTGACGGGCTTATCGCAGCGCGGTGGTACAGAAACAAAAGCAACAAGGCGTGCGGACGCACGAGAGAGCAGGCTGGCTTGCACTTGCACCCCCGGTGCCGCTCGGCGGGGCTTTAAATAGGTCTGGGGAAGCGTCGTCCGCTGTCCGCTGTCCGCTTTGCGCCGGCACAACTTCCGTCGACGCTCCTCCCCTGGCCAAATGCTCACGATGCGCGACTTTGGTACCTGGAACTAGCCCACATTAAGCCCGCATTGGCTCCGCCGCCGCCGCTGGCCCTGCACGGTCAGCGAGAATCGGAGTGGCCTCACCGGTCACATGGAGCGTGGCATCCAGTCAACGCTTTTGCGCTGTCATTGCATCGCCATGGCTGACTACGGCGTGCTCGTTTTCACGTAACAACAACCCTCAAGTGCAAGTGTGAAGTCATGGGGCCGGCCGCTTTCTGCGGGGAAGACGACCGCCGAGGCCGCTGTTGCGCGGATAAGTGGACGCGCCCCACCTGCCGCGCACCTTGACTCGCGCCACGGTTCTCTGCCCCGACCTGCGGCTCTATCCTGCCTGCTTCTCCCGCCTTCCACGCTGCTCACCCGCCCCGGCCGCTCACCCGCTGCGCGCCCGTGCCGCCCTGAACTGCTGGAGCGCCTTCCATTCGTCTTCCGTGGCCGCGTAGCGTTCCTGCTCGCCCACCGGCAGCTTCTGATGCTTCCATGCCTTGCCCCCTGAACCGTAGTCCGCCGATGCCTGCCCGTTGCCATTGATGCGCCAGCGGTAGATCGTCAGGCCCTCGAGTCCTACGGGGCCCCGCGCATGGATCTTGTTGGTGCTGATGCCCACCTCTGTGCCGAACCCGAACCGCTGCCCGTCCGCCATCCTGGTGCTCGTGTTCCAGAACACCGACGAGCTGTCCACGCCGTCCTGGAACCGCTCTGCAATCGCCCGGTCCTGCGTCAGCACCACGTCTGTGTGGTGCGACGAGTGCTCATTGATGTGGGCAATGGCAAGGTCCACCGCCTCCTCTGCGCTCGCTGCACGCGGGATTGTTTTGACGGCAAGGATGAGATCCAGGAACTCGGTCCGGAAATCCTGGTCCTCCGCATCCTGCAAGAAGGCCGCTTGATGCTTGTCCAGCGCCGACGCAAGCGCCGCCTTTGACGCCGCGTCACATCGCAGCCGAACACCCTTGGCCAGCAGTGCTTCGGCGACGGCGGGCAGGACGGTGCTCAGTGCGTCCTCGTCCACCAGCAGCGTCTCGACGCTGTTGCAGGCTGCGGGGTAGCTCGTTTTGGCGTCGACGACAACCTTTGCGGCCATGGCGACTGCGCAATCGGCCCGCACGTAGATGGAGCACACGCCGTCGGCGTGGCCGAGCACCGGAATTTGCGTGCTTTTCTTGATCGAAGACACAAGCTCGTTGCTGCCACGGGGAATGACGAGATCGATGTACTGGTCCAGCTCCAAAAGGGGCTTGATGGCATCCCTGGTCGTCACCAGCTGCAGGCAGTCGTTCGGGACGGCCGTGGTGCTGAGCGCGGTCGAGATGACGGTGGAGATGGCCTTGAAAGACTCGGTCGACTCCTTTCCGCCTGTGTGGCATGAGCGATGGCCGGCAGCTGGCGGAATGCGACTTGTCACGAACCTTTGAGGATAGCGGCATTTCCAGACTTGATTGCCAGGGACGCGATGTTTGCGATGACCTCGGGGCGAGCCTCGAAAATGATGAGCAGCACGCCGATGGGAGAAGAGCGGCGTTCGAGAACAAGGTCGTCGTCGAGCAAGGTGCGCACGTCGGTCCTGCCGACTACGAAGTGGTCAACGTTGGGTCACGCACGGCGCCAGTTGCAAAAAGCAAAGGCAGCAAACGCAATGCAGCACATACGCGGGTCGTCCAGGAGCCTGACATCGAGGATGCCCTGCAGCATGTCCTCGTACTTGCCCGTGCGGCCGAGGTCGAGGCGCTTGATCAGGCTCTCGTTCAGCTCGCCGCTCTGGGCGGCGTGGGTGGCGGCTTCCAGATCGCGCGCATTTGCAGCCAGGATGTCGTCGCGTGCAGCGGCTAGAGCATCGTGAATGGCGGTCAGGGCGTCGTTGCGAGCTTGGGCGGGCAGCACGGCAAGCGTGCGCGATGCCAGGCGGGCAGAGCGCGCAGCCTCGACGGGGTCGGCGTTCGTTAGAGACATGATGGCTGGTTGGCGTCAGGACAACGAGCGCGTGGGCGTGGTCAGGTGCGTCTCACGTGGCAGAGGCACGATCCAAAATAGGCGGTGCACAGGCTGGGCCCTGCTTGGTGCGGGGGATCGGTCAAAAGCGGCGGATGCAGGTTCTGCGGAAGGGATGGTGGCGCTCAGGTTGTCGAGCTTAGTTTTTGTCCTTGGTGCGTCAGGCGGGCGGGCCGGCGTCGCTCAGGCGGAATCCGGGGTTCGGCGAGCATTGCCGACGCTGGCTGGGGCGGCGCGGGGTGGCTGGGTCAGCCTCCTCTTTTCCCCTCCAGCCCCGGCACTTTCGCGGCGGCCAACAGCAGCTTGCGATGCTGCTGCCACGTCGCGGGGCACCGGACCTGCAGGCCTCCGGCGGCGGCGCGGTGACTTATGGCGTCGCTTGTGAAATGCGATGGCTGGTCGTGTGTCCTATAACAACCGCTGCTGCAGGAAACCTTCTTTTGCGCCGCGTCACTCTGCACATCAGCCTCTAGCTTGCCCACAATTCTGCCCGGCCCTCCGCTGCCTCCTCCACCCTCCGCCCTCCTCCGCTCTCCACCGTCTCCACTGCCAACATGCGAACGCCCGCGCGTGCCGTCGCCGCGCTTGCGACTGCTGCTCTTCTCTTTGGCTGCGCGAGCGCGCAGACGAACGCTGCCCTGGGCAGATCCGTCGACATCGACTTCTCCGAGCAGTCCGACAGCTTCACCTCCCAGGGGCCCGTGTCCTACGGCTCCGACGGCGCGTCCTTCACCATCACCAAGTCGGGCGATTCGCCCAAGATCGAGTCCAAATGGTACATCATGTTCGGAAAGGTCGAGTTCACCATGAAGGCTTCGCCCGGCGCCGGCATAGTCAGTTCCGCCATCTTGCAGTCCGACGACCTCGACGAGATAGACTGGGAGTGGCTTGGATCCGACGCAGACGAGGTGCAAACCAACTACTTTGGCAAGGGCCAGACCACCACCTACAACCGCGGCGCCTTCCACGCCGATGCCGGCAGCCAGACCGGCTTCAAGACGTACACCATCGAATGGACTGCCGAAGAGCTGGTGTGGCAGATTGACGGCGTCACCGTCCGGGCCCTGAAGCCGGCCGACGCAAGCGGCCAGTATCCGCAGACGCCGATGCAGATCAAGATCGGGTCCTGGGCCGGCGGTGATACTGATCTCAACTCTCCCGGCACGGTCGAGTGGGCCCGCGGGCCCACGGACTACTCGCAAGGACCCTTCACCATGCAGCTGAAGTCGCTCGCCGTCACCGACTACTCGACCGGCACCCAATACAAGTACGGCGACAGCAGTGGCACCTGGCAATCCATCGTGGCCGTCGATGGCACCGTCAACTCGGGCGGCAGCAACGTCGACAGCGCCGCCCCAGCCGTGACGTCAAGTTCCAGCGGACAGCCGATTCCCTGGTCGGGTACCCATGACTCTTCATCCACCTACGTCCGGCCATCGGTGTACCCGTGGGTGCCCGAGTCGACGACGCTCGCAACGGCGTCGACTCAGACGGCTACCAGCTACCCAGGCCTCCCAAGCGGCTGGACTGTAACAAGTTCCGGCAAGGTCGTCCCGCCTAGCTCGGCCCCTGTGCGTAAGGCCTCATCTCGTTCCAGTTCTGTCCATCAAGGCGTGCCTGCTAATGCTTCGTTTCTTTAGTCGACATCCCCACCCGCTTCGCCTACCTCGTTGTCTGCAGCGTCTCGGCCGGATTCCTCCTCGGCTGGAGACACTGAAGTCCTCACCACGTTTGACCAACATGGCTTCACCACCGTCGTCACGGTCGCAGCCGGAGCGGCAAAGTCGGACTACTGGCGCGGTGTCATGACGGCAGCGCCGGATGCGCAAAAGCAATCGGCTGAGACGTCGGGCTCCGCGGCGCCAAGTCCAACCGCAGCCGGGGGGTCAAGTCGAGCTGGGCCGGTGTGGCTGAGTTTTGTTGCGTGTTTCTTCTTCTCAGCATTCTCCCTTTGGTAAGCGCATTCAGCAACCATTATACCCGGATCTGCATAGCGTTGGGCGTTTGGCATAGATGTTCTGTAATTGTAATGATAATCGGGTCACGGACGGATAGAGGAAGCGGTAATATACGTTAGCGAGGAGGGCTTCACAGTCAGCCGGGAGCCGCAAAGAGCAGTAAGAGCGTGGGCCGACGGACGAAGGAATGCAAGCTGTACAGGTGCTATATATACCAAACGTGACTGGCTGTGCAGCGGAGCGACGGCCGTGCGCGCAGAATGAGGGGCCGGCGCAGGCCCAGGCCGCCGTGTCAATCCAGGAGCCAGGGCGCATGGACAGCGGCTTGGCGGCGAGGCTGGTGAATCGTGATGCTGTTGTTTCAACGCCACAGCGGGCCAGCGTTTGATGCACAAACCTTAGCCGGCACATGGCGCCCCTGCGCGAGTCGACACAGGTGCGCGAGATGGCGATCTCCTGGAGGCAAAGTCAGGGCGCCGACGGGGCGAGTAAGAGGCGGAATGCAGCAGGGGAGGAGAGATTGGATGACAGCCCGTCAGCGCCGGGCCCCAGCCGCAGCGTCGTACCGCCGGTAGCCTGACCGTGTCAGCAGCGGAGAGAGGATGGGTGGCATTATTATTGCCATGCTGCTGCCGGCACTCCGCTACCCAGGGCTCCCCGGCCACTCGCTTCTGGAGTTCCTGCAGTGGCACCGCCTGGTGACCCGCCCCCATCGTTCCATCGTTTAAATAAACTTCGCTCGCCCGGCTGCGAGCCTCGCGACTCTACATCCTCGCCTCGCCCGCGCCGCACCATGAAGCTGCTCGCCCTGCTCGCCGCCGGCGCGCCCTTCGCTGCCGCGCTGTGGCCCATTCCGTCGCAGTACAGCTCCGGCAACACCACGCTCTGGATCAGCAGTGACGTCAAGATCACCTACAACTCCCCCAGCAACCAGGTACCTGAGGCTCCCTGCTCCCCGGCCGGCTGCGGCTGACCCTGCTCCCCAGACTGCGTCGCACAACTCGTCGGCCACCGTTACTTCGCAGCAGCTCGTGCAGAATGCCATCCAACGCACCCACGACGCCATCTTCGACCACTCGTTTGTGCCGTGGAAATTCCACCCGCGCTTTTCCGACTTCGAGCCCCCGACTTCCGACAAGCAATTCATCTCCACCGTCGCCCTGCAGCAGACGAAGCCGGATCCGACCAATCTCATCGCTCCGACTGACGACACCCTCGACGAGTCGTACTCGCTCAGCGTCTCCGAGTCGGGCGAGGTTGCCATCTCCGCAGCCTCTTCCGTTGGCCTGCTGCACGGTCTGACCACCTTCTCGCAACTGTTCTTCAAGCACTCCCAAGGCGGTTCCTACACCAGCCTCGCCCCCGTCGAGATCCAGGATGCTCCCAAGTTCGCTCATCGCGGCCTCAACATGGACGTCTCGCGCAACTACTTCTCTGTCGACGACCTCAAGCGCATGCTGGACTCCATGGCCTTTGCCAAGATGAACCGCTTCCACATCCACATCACCGATTCCCAGTCCTGGCCGCTGGTGGTCCCTGCCATCCCCGAGCTCTCGGCCAAGGGTGCCTACGCTGCCAACCTCGTCTACACGCCCGAAGACCTCGAGGACATCCAGAAGTACGCCAATCTACTTGGCATCGAGCCCATCCTGGAGATCGACATGCCGGGCCACACTGCCTCCGTCGCCTTCTCCAACCCGGACCTGGTCGCCGCGTTCAACGTGCAGCCTGACTGGGACACGTACTGCGCCGAGCCACCGTGTGGCACCTTGAAGCTCAACTCTTCTGCCGTGTACGACTTTCTCGACACGCTGCTTGGTGACGTGCTGCCGCGTGTCAAGCCGCACACGGCCTATTTCCACAGCGGAGGCGACGAAGTCAACGCGCAATCGTACTTGCTAGACGACACGGTCCGGTCCAACTCGACGGCGATTCTCCAGCCCCTGATGCAAAAGTTTGTTGACCGCAACCACGACCAGATTCGCGCCAACGGCCTTCGGCCGATTGTGTGGGAGGAAATGCTTCTGGAGTGGAATGTCACGCTCGGCAAGGACGTCTTGGTCCAGACGTGGCAGTCAGACCAGGCGGTTGCGGACACGGTCGCCAGTGGCCACAAGGCTCTGGCGGGCAACTACAATTACTGGGTAAGTGCGGCAGAGGTACAGAGGCAAGGCGATGGACTGACGTGGCGGCTAGTATCTTGACTGCGGCAAGGGCCAGTGGCTGGACTTCACGCCCGAGACGGCGTCGACGTACTGGCCTTTTGCGGACTACTGCTCTCCGCGCAAGAGCTGGAGGCTAATGTACTCGTACGATCCGCTGAGCGGCGTTCCGGCCAACCAAACGCATCTTGTGGTGGGCGGCGAGTGCCACATCTGGGCCGAGCAAACGGACCCGGCCGTCATCGATAGCATGGTATGGCCACGGGCTGCGGCGGCCGCGGAGGTGCTCTGGAGCGGGGCCAAGGACGAGCAGGGCCAGAACAGGAGCCAGATCACGGCGAGCCCGCGGCTGAGCGACTTCCGCGAGCGGCTGGTGGCTCGCGGCGTGCAGGCGGAGCCGATCCAGATGCCGTTCTGCACCCAGAACGGCACGCAATGCGCGCTCTAGGCGCAGGGGCGGATGTCGGCGATTGCATATAACTCAGCTGGCGTACAGATAGTGTGCGACGTAGGAAATAAGTCATCCCTGTCTCAGCCGGCGGCGTTTTACCCCGCAGTGGCGCCGGATCGTGTGCCTGTGGCTTTCTCGCGTGGCGGCCGGCCGCGATCGTCGTCCCCGTCGCGCCCACGGACTCAGGCGTGCGACTTAGCTCCGGCCGTGGAGACGGCGCAATGCCTCTGCGCACCTCGTTGGAGTTGGAGTCGGAGTCGCGTCGCGTCGCTTCATTGTTGCACCATTGACCCTCAGTGTCTCCTCCCCAACTCGCCGCCATGCTCAACCAGTTGCTCGGCTGCATGTCGCTGCCCTCGTTCGCCGCCTTCGCCATCCTGCTCTATCTTGTGTACGGGCTTGCCAACCGCATCAATGCTGCCGCCAGGCTCCGCGCCCTGGGCGGCTGCGCGCCTGTCCGCGCCACCTATTTCCCCCTCGGCCTGGATCTCGTCTTCACAGCTGTACGGGCAAATCTTAGGCACGCCAGCTATGAATTCTGGCTCCATCTGTTCCGCACCGTCGGCCGCCCGGGAAACGCCTACACGGTCGAGGCCGACGTGGGTGGCGTGCGGACCATATTCACCGCCGACCCCGTCAACATCAAGGCGCTTCTGGCCACGCAGTTCGCCGACTACGGCAAGGGCGAGCGCTTCAACCAGGAGTGGCACGATTTCTTAGGCGACAGCATTTTCACTACCGATGGTGCAAAGTGGCACAGTGCGCGCCAGCTGATCAGACCTCAGTTCGTCAAGGATCGCTTGAGTGATATCCAGGTGTTTGAGAGACACATCAGCGTCCTGCTGAAGCACCTCGGTGGCAGTGGTGAAGCTGTCGATATCACAACTCTGTTTTTCAGGTCGCTGCCATCGCTTTCTGCCCATCTGCCTGGTCTGACATGGAGATAGGTATACTCTTGACGCAGCTACCGATTTTCTGCTTGGCCGTAGCGTCGAAAGTCTTGATAACCCCCAGGCAAAATTCGCCGAGGCGTTTGCGGAGGTTCAGCATGTGCAGAGCCTGATCGCCAAGAGCGGGTATGCTAAGACCGCTGTCCAACCCCCCATGATGTAGTGAGTCAATTCTCTGACCTCGGTAGGCCTGTGAATTGGCTGCTACCACGCAAACGATTTCGGGACAACATACAGACCATGAACGACTTCATTGAACCCTTTATCGACCAGGCTTTGAGTCTCCCTGCAGAAGAGCTGGACAAGAGGACCAAGGATGATGAAGGTTATACCTTTTTGCACGCGCTCGCCTCGTACACCAGGGATCGCGCCACTCTCCGTGACCAGCTCGCAGCTGTTCTTCTGGCTGGAAGAGATACCACCGCCTGCACCCTGTCATGGCTCTTTTATGAGCTATCAAACCACCCAAAGATTGTGCAGAAGCTCAGGGAGGAGATACTCGGTGTGGTGGGTGACGAAACAATGCCCACCTACGAGCATCTGAAGTCCATGAAGTACCTTCAGGTAGGAGGTCAGCGACCCAGTATTGCCGTAATGAAAACTAATCTAGATGTACGCAAAAGCATACCATCAACGAGACACTTCGCTTATATCCCGTTGTCCCGTTCAACATCCGCTCTGCCCTCCGGGACACGACGCTGCCTCATGGAGGGGGTTCCGATGGCAGTCTGCCCATCGGCGTGCTTCGGGATACACCTATCGCATACTCCACTCTCGTCATGCAACGACGTGCTGATCTCCATCCGCCCGTCTCTAAAGCTTTCCCGCCTGTGCTTTCATTCGCGCCTGAGAGGTGGTATTCCTGGACGCCTAAAGCATGGACATACATTCCTTTCAACGGTGGGCCAAGGATCTGCATCGGGCAGCAGTTTGCGCTCACTGAAATGGCTTATACGGTTGTACGGATATTGCAGTGCTTTAAAGGGGTGGAGAATCGAACAAACACTTACCCGGGACTCAAAACGGATATCGTACTACAACCAGCTAAAGAAATATTTATAGCGTTTCAAGCAAAATAACTACTATATTACTAAAATAGTAAATTACTAAGATACCTAGTTTTTATAGTAAATTACTAAAGTAACTAGTTTTTATAAAAGAATTACCAAGATATCTAATTTTATAGTAAGTTATTAAAGTATCTAGTTTTATAGTAAATTACTAAAGTACCTAGTTTTATAGTAAATTACTAAAATACCTAGTTTTATAGTAAATTACTTAAATACCTAGTTTTATAGTAAATTACTTAAATACCTAGTTTTTATTTATATATTTTTTAAATATTTATATACTCTTACTAAAAACCCTAGGTTTATAAAAGTTATTAGAATATTTAGAATTTTAATATTAATACGTTATTTACTAAATAATAGATAAGACCGCTATAAATTTAACCTCTCTTCTCTTTTCTCCCTCCCTCCTCCCTCTAAACCCGGATTTTAATTCTTTCTAGGGAAATAGCTTTCTCCCCGTCGCTTATCTTAAATTTATATATAAAATAGTAGGTAAACTCGAAGAACTCGCTAGTATTCTATATCTATATTACTATCTATCGTTCTTACTACTTACCGCGGTGTCTTACTATCTACTAGCTACTAGCCTTACCGGCTAAGATACGTCCTCGTAGATAGCGATTACTCGAGGTAGTATAGTTAGAAGGGCGGATAGTAGCCACTCTACTACCGGGCGAGAGATAAAATAGTATACTAGTTTAGTCTACCTATCGGTCGACTAGCTATCTACTAGTACTTATATTACTAGTTAGTGCTACTACTACCTAAGGCCGGTAGTAGCCATACTCTACTACTATAGTATAAGATACTTATCCGCCGGCCCGCGCGGGGGGTAGGTGGATGGTAAGTAAGGCCGGTAGCCGGTAGCCGGTAAGGCTAGTAGCCGGAATACTAGCGAGTTCTCCGAGTTTACCTACTAATTTATATATAAATTTATAGTAAATAACGGAGAGAAAGCTATTTTCCTAGAGGATTATTAAAATCAGGGTAGGGGGGGTTAAAACATAGATAGAGGGGAAAAGAGAGGGGGGGATTAAATTTATAGCGGCCTGGAATAATTACTTTTATTATAAAATTAAAGTAATAAACAATAGTAAATTACTAAAATATCTAGTTTTTCGAGAATATTTTTTAAATACCTATACCCTTACTAAAATACCTAGTTTTTATTTTAAATTTACCCGAATATCCTACTTATAAGTAAAACTTTCTATATATTTCTTTATAAATTTTAAAATATATATAACTAGGTATTTTAGTAAATATTATTTACTAAAATACCTAGTTTCTTCTAAAGAGATTACTACTATAGTGGTAGAGCATAGCCACCACCGGCCTTAGGCAGTAGTAGCACTAACTAGTAATATAAGTGCTAGTAGACAGCCAGTCGACCGACAGGTAGACTGAACTAGCATACTCTTTTATCTCTCGCCCGGTGGTAGAGTGGCTGCTATCCGCCCTCCCAACTATATCTTTAGTCTACCTATCACCCGATGCAACTAGCTATTTGCAAGGCGTAGATCGTGAGTTCGACCTACGGCACTGGCTATCGGCTGGCCAGCAAGGTAGCGAAGCGGTATAGACGGGGTCGAGCGATAGGCAGGCTTAGCGTAGTACGTAAGGAATACGTAATCTTAGACAAACTACGGGCTACTGGGTATACAGTCAAAGCCCGTTAGGGCGATCACCCCCCATAACGATTAGCTAGGTGTAACGATTAAACCCCCCCTCCCGCCGTTTTTTCTTAGAGAAATAACGATTATCTAGCTATACCGTAATCGTTACGGTCACGCCCGCCAAATCGCTATATCCAGAGCGGATTTGGCTGGGAAAGGGAAGTGGGGGAGGAGGGTTAACCCGAGTCTAAGCCAGATTGGGAACCCCTCTGGGCCTACCCGGCGAGAATTCGGATGAGTTACGGGATTAAGTATAGCGATTATCTGATTAATACGATTAGGAGGTGGTAACGGCGATAATCGCACTAACCAGCCTTGACTATAGTATAACGCGCACGGGCGTACGGGCGCACGGATCGCTTAGCGAGGGTTATATACCGTAGTAGATTACGTGTATTAGGGCAGGCACCGCCGCAGTTGCTAGAGGGTTAAAACCGGTCGGTCGGCTTCCTATTAGCTAGGTAGGGGGAGAGATGTAGTAGTAGAGTATAGCCACTACCGGCCTTAGGCAGTAGTAGTACCAACTAGTAATATAAGTACTAGTAGATAGCCAGTCGACCGATAGGTAGATTAAACTAGTATACTCTTTTATCTCTCGCCCGGTAGTAGAGTAGCTGCTATCCGCCCTCCTAACTATACTACGAGTTTATTTCTTTATAAAAAGTTCTAAAATATAAAGTAGAGTATCTTAGTAGAATATTTTACTAATATACCTAGTTCTTTTAAAAAAAACTATTAAGACTTTAGTTCTTTATAAAAAATTTAAAACTTTTATTAAATATTTTATATAGTATATATTAATATATAACTATTATTTAACTATATATATATATAAAGCCGTTACGCCTATAAATAAACGTTATATTTTTTAAAAATATATTTATTATTTATAGGTTATCTTTTTATACTTATTTTAAGCTTTTTATTTATATCTTATATTTTATATATACTAAGTTTAAATAGTTAGAAATCTATTATAATAGTATAGTAGTAGAATACGGCCTCTAAATATAATATTCTTTATTTAGTTTACCGTCCCTCTAGAAGCGGTACTTATTAAAAATAAGACTAGATTTAAGACTACTTATACGCCTAGCGTATCTATAAAATAGTTTTCTAGAAAAGTATAAGAAATAGTACGCTTAAAAGCTAGAGAATATACTTAAAGAAAAAAAGATAAATAATCTATAAAAGTAAAAAAGTATTATAGTAGTAGAGTATAGCTACTACTAGCCTTAGATAGTAGTAGTATTAACTAGTAATATAAGTACTAGTAGACAGCTAGTCGACCGATAGATAGACTAAACTAGTATACTCTTTTATCTCTCGCCCGGTAGTAGAGTGGCTACTATCCGCTCTTTCGACTATAGTATTAGAGGGGCTTAGCCACCTACTAAACTTTATACTAAACTTTAATTTTAAACTTACCGTAAAAACTCGAGGCGTCTATTCTACTTAATACTAGACGGTAGGTCGTTCTACTAAAGCCTATATACTCTTCTACTATTAATTAAGTAGTATTTTTAAGCGAGACCGTATAAAATTCTAGAGTTAATTAGTAGTAGAATAGTTTATTATTTATATAATCTCTAGTACTAAGTAGGCGAATTAATTAAGATTACGTAAATATTTCGAAAACTAATTTAGTTACGACTTATAGCGAGAAGCTATACTACGAAAAGTTTAGATTCGTATATAGCGTAGAGCTACGCTATAAAAGGTATACGCTAAGCTAGAGCTAGGCGTATATAGATTCTTAATACTATACTAAACTATTTAACGCGGTATTAAGAATCTATACGCGTATAAAGTAAGTTTTACTAGATAAAATAAGTTTTTAAGTTTAGTATAGAGTTTAGCGTAATAGCTAAACCCCTTTATTTAGCGGTATATATTTAAGCCTCGTTAAATAGATTATTTAATTACTATCGCTAGGTAGTAATTTTAATTTTTCTAGAAACTTCTCTATTAGGCTAGCTTATATAGTCGTTAAGAAAAGATTTATAAGTTTAAGCCGATATTTCTTTAGTACGTTTTTTATAAAAATTTAAAAATCTTTATATAGTTTATACTCTAGAAGTAGATAGTATAATATTTAACGAGTCGTTAGACTATATTTATACTAGTCGTTTTTAGCGTAGTTAACGCGGTAAAAATAGAACTTAAAGTATTTATATTCTATCTTTAATTAGTAGAAGACGAAAGCTATCTCGCGTATTTTTATAAACGATTTTAGCTTTTACTTCGCTATTAACGTAAAGATTCGCTTATAAAAAGAATTAGAAACTAATTTAAATTTCTTTTTCTAGTTTAATAGCGTTTTTTATTTTATTATACTTTAGTAGAAGCTTAGCGAGCTAAAAAAAAAACTTTTAAATAAAATAAATTATATTTTTTTAATAAGCAAATTAGCCTTCTTATTTTCTATAATATCTTTATATTTTAAATACTATTTTAGAGAGATAGTATTTTCTTTACTTTTAAGCCGTTTAGCTAGTTATATTACTCGAACTTACTAGACCTATTCGGGCGTATTCGTAGGTTTTTCTAGTCTAAAAATTATAGTCTAATTATCCGCGTAGATTCTTATATTTCTAGAGTAAAAGTCTATTAAAAACGGCGAGTTAAAGGTCTTAAACGAGACCCCCTACTTCTCTATTATAGACTAGATTTTTAAAATAGATATTTTTACTAATCCGCGTAAAGAGCTTCTTCTTAAAGCGGCTAAAATTATAAATTTTATTTTAACGCCTACGTTTTTATTTAGAAATAGAACGAAGGCGTTTAATTAAGTAGCTATTTAATTAGAAAGCGCGTTTAAAATATTTAAAATATAGGCCTTACTATAAATATAATAGATAGTACTAGATAATAAAACTACTAGTAAATAAGCGCTAAAAATATCTAATTAACTAATAAATAATTAAATAGCTACTATCTATCTTAGTAGCTACTCGATTTATACGTAAGAATACGTAAAGATACGCCTATAAACCTTTAAAAAATAGATATTTCGAAGGATAAAACCGATACCTATAAAGAAATAAATTATCTAAAGACCGCCGCTTAGCACCCCGGCTTTTATAGCTAGAGAAATAATTAACGGTAGAAATCTTTTCTAAGTACCTATTAAACCCCTTTAGAATTCGCGGGGTTACGTAGATATTTAAGCGTAGTTTTCGAATTTTTATAAAAACTATTTATATAGAAAACCTCGCCGTCTCTTATAAAAACGCCCGTCGTAAAGGGGGGCTATTCTCTACCTATCCGGCGAAATTTTTAGACTTAGCCGTTTTTACTTTTTCTTACTTTTCTTACGTTTTTATTCCC